ACTCCAGTCGTCGACTGGAAAGGCCGCACTGTCCGTGTTGGCCCTGACATTGTCCTGCAGGGCATGGCCTCACCCAACATGCCACCTCTCCTCTCAGCCATGCAATTCAAGAGGCTGATCAAGAAGGACACGTCGTTCCTCTGTGTCGTGCGTGAGGTCGACGACACCGACCAAGCCGGTCCCGGTCCCCCGCCTGTGGTGACCAAGCTGCTCGACGAGTACAAGGACGTATTCCCCGACCAGTTGCCACAATGCCTGCCACCCCAACGCACCGTCGATCATCGCATCGACATCGAACCAGGCTCGTCGCCTCCGTCAAGACCGACGTACCAACTGTCGCTGACGGAGATGGACGAACTCAAGCGCCAGTTGGATGACCTCCTCGCCCATGGGTTCATCCGCCCGAGCCAGTCACCGTATGGTGCACCAGTGCTCTTTGTCAAGAAGAAAGAAGGTGATCTCAGGATGTGCGTCGACTATCGCGCACTAAACAAACAGACCATCAAGAACACCTACCCGTTGCCCAGGATCGACGAGTTGATGGATCGTCTGAGTGGAGCAAAGGTCTTTAGCAAGATAGACCTCCGCTCAGGCTACCATCAGATCCGCATCCACGAGGATGATGTCCACAAGACCGCCTTCAGGACTCGCTACGGACTGTACGAGTTCCTAGTGCTGCCGTTCGGATTGACGAACGCACCTGCCACGTTCATGCAGCTGATGAACGATGTGTTCCGCCAAGAGCTCGACAACTCTGTCATCGTGTACCTGGATGATATCCTTGTGTACAGCAAGGATGAAGCGACCCATGAAGGTCATGTCGCCCGCGTGCTGGCCAAGCTACGCGAGCACAAGTTGTATGCCAAACTGTCCAAGTGTGAGTTCTTCAAGAATCAAGTCCCGTTCCTGGGACACGTTGTCTCAGGAAGAGGAATCGAAGTCGACCCCGCCAAGGTCAAGTCTGTGGTCGAGTGGCCGCCGCTCGCATGCGTCTCTGACGTGCAGTCGTTTCTCGGTCTCGTCAACTACTACCGCCGATTCATCCCCGATCTGGCGCGCACTGCCGGTCCACTCACAGACCTACTCCGCAAAGAGTGCCCCTTCGTGTGGGACCACCCACAACGCCAAGCGTTCGAGACCCTCAAGCACGCCTTGACGAACGCTCCTGTCCTCGCTGTGTTCGACCCGAACACGGATGTCTCCGTGCACACCGACGCCTCCGACTTTGCGGTGGGAGCTGTTTTGATGCAGGAGGGAAGGCCCGTTGCCTTCGAGTCGCGCAAACTGTCCCAACACGAGATCAACTATCCCGTGCACGAGAAGGAGCAGCTTGCGATCATCTACGCGCTGCAGAAGTTCCGAGTGTACCTCCACGGTACCGCCAAGCCCTTCAAGATTGTGACGGACCACCAGTCACTGCGTTACCTCGACACCAAGAAGAACCTGAGCCGACGCCAAGCGCGATGGATGGAGTTCCTCGCCGAGTACAACTACGAGGTTGTATACCAGAAAGGCAAACTCAATGTGGTGCCTGACGCACTGTCCCGACGCCCCGACTACCAATTGGCGTCACTGTACGAGTCGACTGTCAGTGTCGACAACACGATGCTGGATGTTGTCCGAGACAACATCGCCAACGACAAACAGTTCGGAGAACTGTTCCGAAAGGTGTCTAAGCTCCCCAAGGACGACGAATCATCCGAGTACACAGTGCGTGATGGCCTGCTCCTCCTGAAGAAGGACAGCCGTGTCTGTGTGCCGGACATTCCGTCGTTGAAGACCAAGTTGCTCCAAGAGGTCCACGACTCGCCCCTCGCTGGACACTTTGGAGTCGAGAAGACATACGACCGACTGGCCAAAGTCGCATACTGGCCTGGAATGAAGCGCACCGTCGAGAAGTACATCGAGTCCTGCCATACCTGCAAGATGGTCAAGTCACGCACGACCCGAGAGCAAGGATTGCTGCAACCCCTGCCTGTTCCCGACCGCCCCTGGACCAGCATGTCCATGGATCTCATCACGCATCTACCGACGACCAAGTTGGACCACGATGCAATCGCTGTCTTTGTCGACAGGTTCAGCAAGATGGCACACTTTGTGCCGTGCCAGACGACATGCTCCGCGCCTGACCTTGCACTGCTGTTCTTCAAGCATGTGTTCAAGCACCACGGCCTCCCAAAGTCCATCGTCAGTGATCGAGACCCCCGATTCACCTCCTTGTTTTGGACAAGTCTGTTCGACCATCTCGGCACCAAGCTGAACATGTCAACCTCGCACCACCAACAAACGGATGGACAGTCCGAGCGGACGATCCGCACCCTCGAGCAATACCTGAGGACATACGCCTCGACCAGCCAAGACGACTGGGACATACAGCTGAGTCATGCAGAGTTTGCATACAACACCGCCAAGTCGAGCACAACTGGCTTGAGCCCCTTTGAGGCGCTCTACGGATTCCAGCCTGATGTTCCCACCTCCTTGACACTGACCGAGTCCACGGCTGGATTGCCTCCCAAACCAAGTGCCTTTGTCAAAGATCATCAAGTCCGACACAAGATGATCGCCGACGCGCTCACGGATGCGCAACAAGTGATGGCGAAGTACTACGACCGCCGACACCAGGATGTCTCCTTTGAAGTTGGAGACCTTGTCTACCTGGACGCCGACAACATCAAGGTCCCCGAAGCCCAGTCAAAGAAGTTGTTGCCCAAGTACCGAGGACCGTTCAAGATAGCGGCCCGACCCAGTCCCCTCAACTACCTGTTGGACTTGCCACCTGGAAGCAAGCTCCATCCTGTCTTCCATGTGTCCAAGCTGCGTCGCCACACGACCCGCAGTCCAGCACAGTTCCCCGACGCCGACGAAGGTGTCCCGGACGACGCACCACTGGAAGACGACCTCGGACAATACTATACTCAAGAATATGAAGTCGAAAGGATCGTGAGGCACAAGAAAGTGGCTGATGGGTCACTTCGGTTTTATGTCAAGTGGGTTGGTTACCCACACTCGGGCAACACATGGCAAACACTGGAGGACTTGTCCCATGCACCCGAGGAGCTGAGTAAATACGGTAAACACCTCGAGGAGCCCCAAATAAAGAGCACACGCAGGGCTCCTCGCAGGAAGCCTTCTTAAGTGTGGGAGTGTAGGAGATGGTATCTCCGACGCTGTGCTGCGCGTACTGCGCGTACTGCGCGGCGCAGTGGGTCGTGACCTGTGCTGCGCTTTGCGTTTTCACGCACCGCAGGCAGGCCACCGCAGGGTATACCTGCGGGTTGCCCCCGTTCCCCCCGTTTGTCTGGAGTTCGGTTTTATCGTGAATAAACGTAAGTGCTCCCCGAGCTCACCCGTCCGCTAGAGTAGCCTAGCACCGCCCTGTTCTGCCCCGTCCTGTCTTGTCTTGTACCCCCTCCCTCCCCGTCTTGCCCCAACGTCCCAGTAGTGGACGTTACACCGGAACTCTTCATGTTGGTTCTTGCCTTTGCTGGGACATCGGCTTTTTTATACCGCGGGAACCCATCCAGATGCTGTGAGGCAGCAATTGGATATTTCTCGCTTATGTACGCTACCTGGTCCTCACAGAATTTGAGAACTTTTTCCAATCATCACATTTTCTCGGGTGTGTTATCCCATAGCTCTCCTTGATGCAAAATTATCATAGCTCTTCAATGTTTTGTCCCATTGGCTTCCCATTTCTGCACCCAGTTCCTGTTACTGTTGGCCGATACCCGCTGCCTTTATGACAGCCAGAAGCAACATTGGTTCCCTCCCAGGCCATCTTGATCATTCCATTTCGAACCGCCTCTGCTCCAGCCTCACATCACCTCCTGGCCCTCGGTTCCCATTCGTGCCTGTGTTTGCACTTCATTTGTCGTCTATTCCTGATGGCCTGTCGCCATGTTCTCGTCATACCCTCCCTTCGTGTCGAAAACCAACTCACGAAGATGTCTACTCATAATAGAGCGGTATGGAATTGAAAGAGGTTTCTTTGCGACGGAGATTCATTTATCAGATATTTGGCACAAGTTCTTGAGGAAGTTTAGCAGCTCTTCCTTGTCACTCCCCATGTCTCCAACCCTGATACAACGATATCTTGACCCTGAAGTGTCATAAGAGCATACGGATATATCTTATCATCTTGCTCGATCATCGTTCATGGTAGTATTGCCAATTATATCCATGTATCGCATATATCGCAGCACTTACATTCGTGTCGCATCATATGCGAGCTCCATGTTCCCACATGGTTTCTTGCCCATCGAACCGCAGACCCTAATTCTTGGAATAGAAGCCTCGATCCACCCGAAATTGCCCTGGTGTCGTAAATGCACAAATATCTGTAATTTTTACTGATGGTCAGTGCATCTGATATTCTCCTCCTGTCATCGACATCTCTCTCCAATACTCTCAATGCTGCCACGCTCATTATCGGCTGCATTTTCAACTAACCTCTCGGCACCTCCAGTAATCTGTTTGCATGAAACTTGAACACTGCCTGGCGACGCAAGTATGATGATTTGTGCGTACTGAGCTAGTAGATGACCGCCAACATGCATGACACGATGCAAAATGCTAACGTGATCACCAATGCTGATATCTTCTAAGTTGTGATCTGTGGCCCGTTGCTATATCAATTTTTGCGTACGCTCCTTTTGCGAAGCTACTGTTTCCCAAAACTTACATTCTATCCATATGCCCATGACAACGTGATCCACCGGTTCATGGAGATCGTCCACATCTTCAATTGGACTTGCTGTTCTTGGGTTCATTCGAGTATATCCCAATATCTGATGTGACACTTTGATGTTCAGAGTGGAGATTCCCGAATTGTTGTCGCGGCATTAGTTGTATCCAGTGATGGCATCAAGCCGCTGTCGCTGTGATTTACGATCTTTTCACTCCTCACTGTCAAGAATAGCCTTGGTGAAGCTGATGCGAGGCCCACCTCGTATTCTCCCGTAGTGAATCGTTACTTTTCCTCGCAAGAAGGCTGTCGGGCTGTAAGGCATAGACTTGCTCATAATTGATTCAAGTGGTAGAACCGTGGTCGAGCTTACGGCCTTCGTTGTGTAGGTTGCTGTGGTCGGTGTTGCCAAGGCGCACTTCTTGGTCCAGCACATATGCTTGATCACATAAGTGTCACCCCTGTGCATGAATATCGCTCCTAAAACACACCCGATGAATTCTGAGTCACTTTCAAGCTACACTCAGAAACCCCCCCCCTACTGAGCAACGCGGGGGTGGGGAGCAGAGTTAGCATTAACTCTTACCCCGATAAATGGTGTTGAGAGCGCGGTCCACTTCAACGTCTTCGATATCCGTATTTGTGACTATGTCGACCACCCTGACAACGTCCGCTTGGCTTCCGCGGATTTGGACATGCTGCGACGGTGATCCGCTGAATCTTATGTCGGGAAAGAAAATCTGAAAGAAACGTGGGCTTCAGATCGGCGTCCCCCTAATGGAGTCGTGAATCCTCAGGACTCGATCAAAAAAGCGCTCAGCACATGGGAGTAGTCCTGCGATCATGAGTTGGATACAGCCCTACATTGTTCTGCGGGTCGAAAAAGAGATTCGCTTGCATCACTTCGCCTGCCGATTCGCCAAAGTATTTCGCATCTCGCTCAATATTCAGCGGTATCTCTGCGGCGGCACAATGAAGGTGCTGCTCCAGATACCACTTGTTGTCGGTACACAACAGTGCAGCGCTATAGCTGCTATCGACAAGCGAGTCGGGATTGTTCAGGTAGAATTCGTCGATCGGAGAGCCCGGGATTGCTATCTGCGGTGACCGATGTTGCAGCATGATTAGCAACTTGTGTTCACAAACATATGATTACAATCTCTGGTTGGGTGGCCGCTATTTCCCTTCCTGGAAGTGCTCGAGTCGTTACCACCGACCCTCACGCCTTCGCTCTCTTCATGCTTACCAATATCGAGACCGAACTGAGACTCCGTCGGCCAGCACGTCCGGCTTGCTGCCGATAGGATGCCAGACTGCTTGGGAAAGATAGATGCAGCACAGCATCTATCCAAGTCAAGGGAAAGGTGAGCAACGCCAGTAAAATTGCTGTTTTTGTCCGTCGTCATTTTCAACTCTCGATGGCCAGCACAAGTCCCCCCGCATTTAAGCGAATTTCGGAACACGCTGATAACCTCTCTTTGATGGCAGGCTGGTCGAGAGGTCTCCTTACCCAAGCTTCCGATATCAATCCCAAGCTCTAAGGCACTCGTGGAAATCAAACCTGGAGACCTCAAGTCAAAAGGTTGTCTTCGAGACAAACAGCTTACAATCGTCAGTCCACATTGGAGCAGCACTTACCAAGTAACTCGCCCTTAAACATCTTATGTTCGATGGATCGGCGCTCCGACGCACTGTATCCTGCCCGATAACAGCTGATTCGCTCAATTAGAGCATCGGGATTGAGATACATCCGTCGTGCTGTCGCCACTATCTCCTTGAACAAAATTTCGCAGTCCATTCTCGACTACCAAGAAATCGGTTGTTGACAGTACAAACGCCAATGCAGCCAAGAGGAGGTAGAGTTACGGCATGGTAAGCTATAAGCAATGCCAAATCAAACTTCTTCTTGCCGACAGTATTAGCCCGCAACAGTCTATCCGATATTAAAGGGGGCGAGGAATTGCATTTTTGTGGCACCTGAGTACCTTAGAAAAGCAAATGGTGCGGATTCCACGATGCAGAAAACCGATGAATAGTTCCGCGACCTCTTCCACTTGGGTTCGCACGGGAGTCCCATTCGATTTCTCTTTTCGTAGTCCGGCTTTCCAAATGATGTGTCGCTTCGATCCTGATGGTGCCCCATCTTGATCGACAATTTTTACGGAATCTAGACCTACAAGCGTGGAAAAGTGCTGATTTGTAGAGCCGTATCATAAGATCGTCAAGGTCTGGTTTGGACGTGAATCGTCGAGTGCGAGGATTCGGCGAATTGGCTGCGCACCTCCTTTGGATTTGCAATTGTTGCCGAGCAACAAATAAACTGAACGCCGTGGTTATCGTAGTGCTCACAGATGCGTCGCAGTCGCCTAATAATCATTGCACAATGGGTTCCAAAGGCCTCGGTGTAATGATGTAGTTCTGGGTACCGATGGGAAGATCGATTCTGTACTTAGCAACATCACCGTTGGCTCGACATGGCAACGCTATTTCGGTTCACAAGTTACCATCAATAACTACATATCGTAGTCGAGATAGGAACCCCCGCCATCCGCTGTGGTGCGGAAGTATGCTGTAATGAAGTGTATCCGGATTCGTAAAGATAACTTGGCAGTTGTCGCGAATTGAACGGCGGACATCTCTTGGAGTGTCGCCATCAAAGTCGGAGATGATTCCCTCAGATACAGTGGTGCATTGACTCAGGAGGTTGCCAAACGACTGCTTTTGATCTTGAGCAAGAGCCTTGGGTCGCGAAATGAGCTTACCATAAGCATTATTGACCAAATCTGATTTCCCAGTTTCAAAGCGTCGCGGCAGTCACCATACCTTTGTTGGAAAGATATATATTGTAGTGGCGCCGCCAGCGCCATCTTCCAGAGAACGTAAAACTGGCAGTTGATAAATCAAGGATTTGCCGCTGCGATTCGAAATGACGGATTAGTTAGAGTTCATCACAGACACTCACCATCCCAGCGCCCACATATGAAGGGGCGTCATTCACCTGGACGTTGGTGTTGTGACGACGACATGGTGCCCCTGCGAAATGTGATTCAGGGCGTCCGTCTGGTGTCGGTAGAGCTTCTTGATGCCATAATGCCTCTCCAGACCATCACGAATGCCTGCTGGCAGCGGCTCGTCGAGGAAACCTAGGACATCACGACATCGACGTCAGGAGGACAGGCCAGAAGGATAAGGGGCCCATATCGTCAAGGTCGCAAGAGCAGTGCAGTTTCGTCCTCAAGTCTCTCTCTGGAATGGCCACCCATGAGTACTGTCGGTTGCCATCTCGGATTCGGTGTGGCCTTCTTCATACCAAATGACGCCTCTCGTCCTGGCGTCTCCACCTCGGCCACGATTTGGCCATGATAAAAGCGCTCTTGTTTGATGGCATCGATAGCCTCATCGGTTGCAGCCAAGCGAGGCTTCTTTGCGATGGGTTCATACTGACTGGGAGAGCCGCTTCGAATGGCTCCTCCAAAGGTTTTCGGCTCCTCCGGGAGTACTTGGAGAGCAGTTCGCCAGAGTTTTTCCAAGGGATCTTCACCCTGCCGGCATATCCAGCAGACGCAGCCCAAACCATTAGACTATTGGATCAACTGCATTGATAGCGACGGTGGATTGCGGATCAAGGAGTCGATCGGAGTCGGCAAAGCGCGATCTTTGGTCGTACCTGCTGCAGAGCGAGCTTGTGAAAATCCCGCAGTGATGCTCTGAATGTCATGTTTCTCGCCTCGATGATCTTGGAGAGCTCGCACACTTGCGTTTTTTTGGCAGGGTCAATGTCGACAAACTCCAGTATCAACTGTGGATCGGATCGAGAAGCGTCAGGCGAGGCGATGGACTTGAGATCTTCATAGAGTTTATCGTCATAGTCGATCTTGTGGCCGTGACCGAGCCGTAACATTGACGGACATAGGACCGCAACGGCTGCAACATCTTGCTCAGATATACGATCGCCAAAGAGGCCCTCGACTGAAGGTTGAACACTGCTAAAGGCGATCGCAGAGTGTCGCTTCGAAAGCACAAATGTACAGACGGTGTTGAAGCTTCGAAAAAACCTCTCGAGACGGAGAAACTCGGCCCCGAGATCGAGCGGCTCATCTGTTGCCGCCTGTTTGTCTGTGGATCCAGCAACCTGAGGTTTCGGAGCGCGGCCGGCTGGTTTTCGGGCAGCAGACCGCTTCTTCAACGAAATAGTAGCAGGCCGAGTCGTCGGATCGGCCATTTCACCGGACAGACTCTTCAGCTGTTGTAGATGCACCCCAGAGCCCGCTGATGACGGCCGATGTCAGCAGCAGCAGTGGATACGTGGGCAACGAGGCCGTGCCTGGCGCCGCTGGCTGGCTGAGATTCTCCGGATGCGGAGTCGGCGAGGCGGAGGAGCGACCGCGTGATCACAGGGTTTGATTGCCCAAGATCGCAGATCCAGACACATTTTGCCCGCCTCCCCCATCGCTGCCGTCTCCGGGCACAGTCGAGAGCAAACCATGCGAAATATGCACCAGATTCACCCTCGGCTCTGCCCTGCGGCTCAACAGGCCTTCCGTCCTCTCAGACGGAGCCTCAGCACTCAGGCGTATCCGCGACCGCTGTATCTGATTGAGACGAATGACAAGCTCTATGGGATATCCATGGTTGACCCCGCGAAGCTTTCCAGAGTCTTGCCAAAGGCCCTTGTTGGGTGGGTACCAAAGGAAACTGCACCAGAGCCCTCATCCTTTGCAGGGCCCTCACCACGCAGCTTTTTGGAGAACAAAGAGTTCCAAGGTACAGCCGAATCGTGAGATGGGGCAGCGGCTTGATCGAGGATGGCGAGTAGGACGGCGAGTAGGATGGCGCGTAGGATGCGACAAAATAAACGTTCGTAGGACTCATCCGTATCGGACGATAAGATGTTCTTCATTCTACTCTGGAAAAGTACATTCATCTGGATGTTCATACTCAAGGTGGGTTATCTCGGTTGGCACAATCCACAACCCACAAGCCCGCTCGTATCGATACTTGGCGATCAAGAGTCGTTCGGCGTTGACTGCGGTCGCCCGCTGATCGAAGACTCCTCCCATGCTGCAGATTTAGCAAGGCATCAAAATATTGGCCACCTGAATATCAACGATCAACGAGTGTTCTCGCCATGGGGACGAGTCAGGTAGGACCTTAACTTGGCATCGCTCAGGACGAATCTGGGCATCAGCGGCGGAGCAAACGCAAAGTTCGCGTCACAGACAGCCCTCGCAGGTGGAATTAGCGCGATCGATTGATCGATCTGCTGACACGCTGTCGGTTATTTAGCGACCCTGAAGATATTTTCGGGACTGTGCTGTTGGACCAAGGTGAGCGAAGGCAACGCGATCCTCTATCATTGCCGGCCAGAAGAAACCCCATGTGCTGATCTTGCTCGAGTCTATCAATCCTAGGTCGAATCGTGCCCGGCTCCTATCAACGGTAAGCCATGGTGATGAATCATGTGCCGCCCAAAATGATGGTAGAGCTCCGTGTGCGACTACGGCCCCTTCTAACGACGCCGATCTTCTCGCCAATCGAACAGTACCGGGTCTCATCGGGTCGTTTCTCGCGAAGGATTGTTCCAGCTATCGGACTATATGTACGAGCAGCTCCTTGGGGAGATACGCCTCTTGCGATGAAATTGGCGCAGTCCAATATCAGAATCAAAGTGGCCGCCGTGATTGAGCATCGCTCATCAATAACTGTCCATTGCCCACCGCCGTTGCTCTCGGCAGTCCATGGGCAATACATCGTGTGCGATGGAGGAACCCGCAGCACCCATTCAACCCATGAAAAGACCACTCCGTTGTTGTGGGACGAGATTACATTCCAGAAATCATAGGTGACATTCGGATCACATTGGTTGCTGTATTGACGGATGACTTGCCGGGACACACCGTCATCTCTGCCGAGCGCGAGGCTGTGGTGTCTTGGGTACAACCGTCGAGCTCACTCTCCGCGATTTGGAGCCCAAGCTTGACATTTCCTTGCGTAGGCCCGACTGAGTCGAAGGGCTTGCTTGGTGGATAGCAGCATGTTCGCCCGCCTGACTTACGAATGCGTGTGGCTTGGAGGATGGCAGGGTTCCTCGGAAAGCAATCTCGTACCTCCCTGTCAACTCTAGCATGGCCATCGACAGCGATCGGCGGTCAACGAGGTTGCCAGGAGGCTGCTTCTCTGCCAAGGCAGAGAGGTTCTTCTGGAGCGATGAGACTGACAAACATTCAAGAATAGACGTCAATATTAGTCACGAGAGCGTCGGAAACGAAAGCAATAACGGGCCGTGGGCAACAACAGAAGCCGCAGAAGCTCCAAATCCCGCAGAAAACAGTGGTTAGAGCGGCAGCCCTATTCCTATCACTATCACTACCATCACTATCCCTATCCCTATCCCTATCCCTATCCCTATCCCTATCCCTATCCCTATCCCTATCCCTATCCCTATCCCTATCCCTATCCCTATCCCTATCCCTATCCCTATCCCTATCCCTATCCCTATCCCTATCCCTATCCCTATCCCTATCCCTATCCCTATCCCTATCCCTATCCCTATCCCTATCCCTATCCCTATCCCTATCCCTATCCCTATCCCTATCCCTATCCCTACCCCTATCCCTACCCCTATCACTATCACTATCACTTCGCCAGAACATAGTCCCGCTGGTCAGCTACCAGCTGAACCTCGATGGCTTAGCTACAGGCCGACTTACTTTGATCAATCTCATCGTCACTGTACACAACCGGCAGTGCCATTCCGAATTTGGGCTCCAAAACTTCGATGAGTTTGAGAATTTGGTGCTGAGTCTCAGCCAAGCCAGTATCAACGGGGTCGATTTCCATGGACGCCACTGGATCAGTTGATTCTTCCAGAATACGAACAAGGGCTGACGAAATGTCAAAATCCGGAGCGGCTTCTTCAGATAGGGCATCGTGTATCATTTGGTGCTCGTCCAAGCCGAGAACTGGAGCTTGTTCGGCGTCGGCTCCCCCGTTCGAGTCAATGTCGCCCGCGAAAACTGGTAGCGCGAGATTCAACGAGGCGCTTGGAGAGGCAAGGTCGTTGAGGACCAACGAGGATTCGGTTTGAGAGACAAAGGCACCTGTTGCGTCGGCGTCGGGCTTGAAAGACAGAAACGCTCCTGGCGCAAGAAACTCCACTGCCGAACCGAGAAGCAACATTCGGATATGAACGGATGGATGAGCAATCTGCCCGCATATTGGCGGCAGGGCTGTCGGCGCTGCTTGGCCGAGCGCCCCCCCCCAACGTCTCCGCCATACGACATGCACATCAGAGTTCTATCCTGCGCACCTATCTCATGGCTCTTTCGCCGTCGGCGAGTCTGATTCTTGGTTGGCGCCACATGCTCGGGGGATGACACAAATTCGAGCTGGGGGACGGTTTTGCAAGGGAGCTGGAACGAGACTTGAACAAGCTGGGCCTCGCTATCTGAGATCGACCGAGCATTGCAGCATACGTCATCACCAAATGGCAATCGGGGGGCTGAAAGCGTGAGCCACAAGCAATCCTGTTCAAGGCAGTAGCGCCTCCCAAAACCAAACAGTGCATCAGACTGACCTAATATTGCTTTATCTTGTGCAACTAGGGGTCTGATCGGCCCGCTAGAAAAGTAGTATGAGCCATCTGGGCCCTGTTTCATCAGAGCTACTTTCTGGTTCTGGCACAACCGATCTGGCAGAGCGCGGAGATACGGGCACCGGTTAGCATCAAAAGAGTAGCAACTGTGCTCGCACCGACCCGGCTCCCGAACCAACCTTGAGGATCCAGCTGGATAAGATGGCAGAAAAGTATAAGCAGGTGAATAGGACATTGATTTAGCTACAGGGTGTGATTGCTGCCGCCGAGAAGCAGCAGCCCCTCTCCTGTGTCGACCAAAAGGGAAGCACACGATACGATGGAAAAGCCACAGGCAAGGCGAAATCCATGCGGTTCGTTGGATCGACATGCTGGCACGATGATAACCACCTGGCTAAAGATCGCTCGCGGACCAAATACTGGAGATCGGGTCGATGGGTTTGCGCACTTGGTGCCCGAGTCCGAGGGAAGGTTTTGGTGGAGACTGCGGACCAGTCGGATGCCCGCTCGATACAACCGATGAGCGGTGTCAAAGACCTCTCCACCATACGGATAGAGGGCCATGATGTTGCTCATCGATATTTCAAAGTCATGCTTGGTTGGATCGGTAACAGAACAGATCGATATCGAAAGGAAAATGCAGAGATTCCCGCGTCGAGTTGAATCAGAGCTGTCACGCACATGGCCAGTCGATCTCATCCTCAATATCCAAGGACCATCATTACCTCGAAATGATCGAGAGACAGATAGGCACCTGCCGTGACCTTTTCGCGCATCTTTGAAAAGTCGACGTGGTCAGGCGCGGCGCCGGGATCGGGGTGGGTCTGATCAAAGAGCTCGAGCTCATCTTCGCTGGCATCGTCATGGCAGCCAAGAGAAGCGAAGCAATTAGACAGCCGCCCAAGTGGAGCACAGATCTAGAGACCACCACCCGGCAAGGTCGGCTGGCGCTCTGCAGCTGCGTGTATGCCTGTTGGCGAGCTGCTGCCGGCTGTCGAGCACCAATGCTGCACCAGCTCCGATGCCAAAGCGAATATCAATGCTACCGACCCAGCGAGAACGAAGAGAATATCTTGGAGGACACTCTGGAGCGGCATAATTTCCATGGCTAAGGGCGAGGCGAACGAGGGACGTGAGGGTTCGGCAGTGCCGATCTTGGGCAAGCGGGAGGTTGGCCGATCAGATCAAGGTCATCATGGCTTCTGGGTGGTCAGCCGCGCTCTCGCATGCTCTCGTCATGTTCTCGGTTGGTCTCGCCGTGCTCTCGCCTGGCCTCGCTCTCGGGCTTTCTCCTCTGGGCGATCTCAACGTTCACAGCCAGTTCGTGCTAGTGTCGTCAGGGGAACGGCGCAGGTCGATCCGCCCAGGACAACACACCACCGCCAGCAATCAGTCTGCCGGGATATCGCACACCAACAAGTGGCCAGTCGCTCATATTGTTTGCTGTACAGGTTGTATTGGAGCTGCATCCGCAAAGCCTTTGCTTTGTACAAAAAACAAGCCTTTTATTGAACTACCCATCTCCGTGCTGCGGAGTCCATTACTTCTGCTCGACCGGGCCGAGAAGAGCCTCCTTCTTGGCAGCAAGTCTCTCCTGGCGACGCTCACGAGCAGCCTTGGACTTGTTGCGGTGAGCCTCAGCCTGGTCGCTGTGTCAAAAACAAAGTATGTGAGCAGCCGGACACAGGGTGTCGCACATACAGTTTGTAAAGGTCGCTCAAACACAGAGGTGATGACGTACGCGAGGAGCTTGGCACGAGCCTTCTCAGCCTTGGCCTTGTGGATGTACTCCATGAGGACACGCTTGTTCTTGAAGACGTTACCCTTGGACTTCAGGTAGAGAGAGTGGTAGCTGGGAGCCAACCAAGAACCCAGAGGTTAGCTGCATCAGGAAGAAGCAGCATGTGCCAGCCAGACAATACAGCAGATGGATCACACATTCAAGCATGGGATCGCCAAGGTATACGTACAGATGCTTGTCGATCTTTCCAGACTCTCGGTACTTGCGGAGGAGGCGGCGGAGGACACGCATGCGGCGCATCCAGAGGACGGCAGTGGGCATGCGGGCCTCGGCAGTACCGCGGCGCTTACCGGTGCCGGTGTGGCGACCGAGACGCTTGGCAGCAAGCTTCTCACGGACACGGAATCGCGAGTGAGAGACCTGAGGCTTCTTGATGATCAGGCCATCCTTAGCCAACTTGCGGATGTTCTTGCCTGGTGGCGGAAAACGGGATCAGGGAATGTTGCCCACACTGTTGACAAGAAGCAATCGGAAGGAGATCTGCCCCGGTGCACGGATCCTCAAAACACTTACGGGAGTTGGCATTGGCGATCTCGGTGACCTCGTTGGGGTCGAGCCAAATCTTGCGCTTGCCGCACTTGAGGACGGCGGCAGCAAGTCGCTTCTGAGAACGGAGGTTGACCCTGAAACAGACAAAGTCGAGCCATTAGGCCAAGCGCTCGGGGCCAAGAGACGTCATTTCGGATAGAAGCCTCCGGGATCGAGTGTTGGTCCATATGCTCCCTTTTTGAACGTCGTTCCGGTGAATGGTTGATCCTGTTGCGTGCCAATGATCCAATTGCCAGAAGACGCATCCACAAGCTTTTCGTTCGATCAGGGTCCGTGATGCCCAAAGTTTCCTCGGTGTGTAGTCCATGCCCAACCATGAAACCAGACGAGGCGATGTAGGTCAAGCCCGGCGGAAACCCTTCCATGGCAGTCACGATGACTTGATTGACAGCGGCAGAGACCCAGCACAGCGTTTCTCGGCCAAAATGCCGAAAACTCCACAGCGGCACCGAGCGCCGAGCACGATCCGTGTCGATGGTGTTCTGTGATCGGGAGCGGACCGCTTCGCCAGAGCGGTTCCGGGATATTCCCAGCTTGCTGCTCCGTAGGTGGGTTCGTCACACTTGCCGCCGTTGGGGCTTGGCTCGCCTGTCGTGGGCAATTCACGGGCGCCGACTTACATTTTATGCAACTGTAAGCTTAATCCACCCCAAAGCGATTATGGAGATTGGAAATTGGGCAGAAAGGGGAGAGTCAAAAAGGTGCTGCCCAAGGCGGTGTGTTAACCCAAGCGGCGAGGAGAAAAAGAGTCTGGGGCGTATGTGGCGCAGCCCGACACCCCAATCGGAATATTTCCTGCTGGCTGCGCCACGGAATGCGGCGACAGAACCAGGACTGGATCCAGCCGGCTGCGCGGGGAGTGATTGGGCGGGGGGCGGCCTTGCTTCTGATTGGACACGACGAGAGAGAGAGAGAGAGAGAGAGAGAGAGAGAGAGAGAGAGGGCCGTCTCGGAGGCAATATCGTTTGGCCGCCTTCGTGGGTCAGGAATCCCGCTCGTCTCGCTGTCGAATCATGGCTTCTGTCATCAAAAAGACCCTGGTCGGATGGTAGGCTGTAACCGCATCATTCCTATGTAGCCAGGCCAGTGCTTTCCGGCTCGTTTTTGTCGCCGATCCCGTTTTCTGCCCAGACAGAGCTTCTGACCGCCACTTGCATCCCTTTCCCGCATCAGGGCCCTCTTCACCGTCGCAACCTATGTCTCAATTAACTGGGTGCGCTTCAGCGTTAGCAGCAGAAAGAAGGAAGAGTACCGCAGAACGCTGGAAGAACGCCAGGTGTCATGAGGCCGAGGAGCTCTCGGCCTGAGCTCCAGTCCATGCCTGGAGGTGGCACACGAATCCGTCAAAGCCGAAACTCTGCCAGGTGTGCACGGTCAGGCATCCGATATCTTCTAGTTATGACATCCTAACTCGCCCCCTCGGATTTGTGTCGGATGGATTCAACATCAATAAACACCTTCAAGGCCGAACCGCTCCGCACTGTGACGGAGATTGGAATGGAGAGGATGTCTGGGTTGATCTTTATTGGAAGCCGCCTACGAGGGCTCGATTCGGGGAGGGGTTGGGCTCTGCACAACTGCGGCCAGGATCTGCGTGGCAAACGGATTGGGGGTGGCCGCACGATCACGGACGGGAGTCTACGCGATTGCAGGAACTGGATCCGTCGAATGCGTTTGGCGCCGCTACTTCTTCTTTCCCTTTTCTTCTTTGCGATACGAAAACGGTTTCCGAGTGGCAGCGAATTCCCCGAGCTTGTGGTTGACCATTTGCTCGGTGACAAGCACGGGGATGTGCTCTTTGCCGTTGTGAACCAGGAACTTGCGGCCGACATATGACGGCAGAATGGTGCAGGCCCGAGCGCTCGTCTTGATTGCTTCGCCAGCAGCAACCTGGGGGAACTTCACAAAGAAGGGGCCTTTCCAGACAGATCGACCCATGGCTCAGCTTGTGTTGTGTTGTGTTGTGCTGTGGGATCGGGATGGACGAACGGGAATGCAAATGCGCTGGATCTGGCTGCGAACCAGTGTCGGCATTCTGGCCACGAAACACCAGAAAACCCGCCCTCTGTCACGTGTGGGGCTTGGCGCTTGCCGCGTGCAGATTCCCCGCCACACCACTGCCACCGGATCGAACCGGCACAGGTACACACACACACACACGCGACCCTGGCTCGCACCTTCGTCCTGCATCTGCATCCATCAAAGGCTCCCCGCCCAGCGCACATCATCTGGCGCACATCGTCGCCACCTGAACCGCCGCCTGAACCGCCGCCTGGACCGCCGCATAGTTCGTCGCTCCTGCCTTCGCCACATCCAATATCCGACTTCATCCACCTCTTGTCGCATCAAGCTCGTCCCTCGGTTCTGATGAGTGCAGCTCTGCCGGACCAGGCCTCGGACCTTGCCGAGAAATACAAGACCCTCCTCCAAGAGCGTTCTGTGCTCAAGGCTCAAAACTCGGTGCTCAAGAAAGCACTGCTGGAGGTTGGTGGCCGATGGAGTGGTCCGACGTATTCAGATATTCCGATGAGGCTGGCTCACTGAAAGCCGGGTTCGTCCGTCCTCCCCACAACGACAATTCTGCCGACCCTCCTGATCCTCCTATTCCACAGGAGCAAACCAACTCCAAGACCTTGGCTAACCAGCTGAAGCAGAAGGAGGAAAAGCTGCGTCAAACCACGCAAGAGCTCGATCTACAGCAGTACCACAACGATGCTCTCGCAAAACGAATCGAAAACCTCAGAATCGAGGGCCAACGGCCGCTGTCGGTGAGGATTGCAAACCTGCGGTTGGGCTGTCAAGGGCCGCCACCTGCCCTTGCCGGATCTATTCGAGACCTACCGACTTTCTATCTATAACCCATTCACGAGCTCAACTCGGCTTCAACTTGGCATTCCCAACCCAGGCTGTCTTGCCCTTCCGTCGCTCAACGCCCCTCTCTCCCAAGGACAGCCGTGAAATCGATGTACTTTCCGAGGAACTGTCGAACCGCATTGCTGAGAGTGGTAAGAGCTTTTATCCTTAGTTTCCACCTTGCTCCTTCCTGCGTCGCTCGGTCTAGCGGGGCCGGTCCGGCTCAAAAGCAAATGCCACCGCCCCATGGCTGGCGCTGATAAATCGACTCGCCACCTGTATTCCGTCTCCAGAGCAGCTCCATCGAAAAATTGCCGATCTGACAACCATTAATGAGCAGCTCGAGGTTCAAATTGCCGAAATGTCGACCGCATACAACGGCTTGTTGGTAGGTGCTATAGATTCATTGCCTATCGGCTTTGCCGCCGACCGCGTACCGTGCAGCGCCGGTCTCGTCGAGCTTTGTGTCGAGCGCCTATCTCACCGCACCCAACCCATTCGACCTCTTCCGCCACGATATGAACATCATGGTGTAGAAAGAATCGCAAATCATTGACACAGAGAATCAGAAGCTCAAATCCACATCATTGCGGCTCCAGTCAACCCTTGAGGAGTCGTCAACCCAGGCGACATCCTTCTTGGATCAGTACAACTCACTCCAGCGCCTTATTAGCACCCGGCTGGAAAGCCTCACGATCGCCTTCATCAACGCCGAAAACTGCCGGAAAGCCCAGTACGCAACGATATCTGTACCATCGCATCCGAGTTGTCGATGCAGCTTTGTAGCTAACTTGCATAACTCATCGCGCCAACGTCTAGATCGAGAATAATGACGGCAAGCCCCGATGTGAGTTTGACTCTTGCCCTGATCCAATGCCGGACACTAGCGCTGTCCGATCGATCACTTCAAGCGTAGCGCTACCCAACTCCAACACCGCGGGTTACCTTTGTTCATAGATTGCCAATTGGTGCCAAGCACTGGAGGAGTTTACCGATAAAATCCACAGATACACCAGCGTTTTCTACCAAATCTACAAGGTGAGTGACCCAGCTTCCCAGTCTCTACTGAATCTGTTCTCGCTTTAGCGCTCACCTAGCCATTTCGACTGGCTCAGCCCAGCTCCCAGGTACAGCCACAATGGACAAAGACGTCTTTCAAGACCTGGCCTGAGGGGCTTCCCGCGCTCCAGATCGGACTGCAGATTGTGCACTATGCCAACACTGCGCACCACGCGGCCTTTTCAAAACACATCCGCCCAAACTCCTGGTCGAGCTCGATACTCTCATGTGTCGGCCTGATTTGTCGAACATACGAATCAATCATCGAGTCTGTGAAGCTATTAGGTATTCGCTATCCTCTCTTTGAACCCCACAAACCCCCGACCTTGTCGATATTGGCTGCGTAAAACCAGGGCTCCCACTGACCTCCATCGGCCGTTCCTTGCTGCAAGGGAGTGCTCCTCTTACAATGCACACGGCGATCCAAAAGCGAATCGAGCTCTCGTTCATCCGCCTCGTGTATACTACCAGCGACCTTTCTCGTTACTGGCGATACTACAAGAGTGTCGATGAAAGTTCTGAATTTGACATCGAGCTGATCCTCAATAGCCTCATGGATCCTGCAGGTAGCCATCCACGCCACCGCTAACGCACGCGACATGATCCCGGTCATTGACCCTGCACGTCGGATCGCATCTCCATAGGCTCAGTCAATATCGTTGAGCTCTCCGAAGTGGCCACCCAATCCACATCCCTGACCGATATTCAGGCCCAGATTGATGTTTGTGAAGGTAGGTCGGCGATAGCTATGATACGTTCTGCATTCCTCCAAATACATCGCCATCAGTTTCGGTTTCTCGTGACGCGCACCTGTTCTCAGCACAAGGCCATTTTGCTCCGCTTGCGCCTTGCCCCTGCTCACACGGACGTCATTCCATGCCACAGGGGGTGTCAGAAACCTTTCGCGCGACTGGGAATCTCTTTGCATCCAAAACAAAGAGCTGTCGCTTTTAGCCGAGCATCAATCGGCGGACATGTCGTCGATCAAGGCCCGCCTCGAAGTTGAGCAGCGCGGATATATCGAAGCCGAACGGGAGTGGGAAGAGCTGCGCCAGACTATGGCCACTGAGATATCAAAATATCGCTCGGAAATTGATGCGCTCCTAAGTGAGAGGAAGCCCAAGCCACTCACGGAAAGCCGGGAAATGCAAACAGATAATGTATATATGGTCTCGCCGTTGCCATCATGTAGCATCCATGCTACCTGCCCAGTCGCGCACGATGGCCCATTTGGTTTCTGTTACTAAAGTCCTCCACCACCACCACCACCCTCTCTTCCTGCACAGACAACGCCACCGACCCCGGTCTTGCACCAGAACGAGCCTCTCGGCGCAGCACATGGTGGAAAGGTTCGTTCACCCATGATGATGAGAATGCGCTCGGCTTCAATAGCTTGGCTTTGTCCACTAACCAGGCCGATACTGACCCTATTTGCTTGGATTGTTGTGTATTTAACTCGCCTGTGATGGCGCTCGCGTATCCCCCCCCCTCAGAGCGAAATCAACCTTCTTGGGCCACTTGCTCGCTTGAAACAGCTCTATCAGCAGCTCGAGGTATCCGAAGCAAAGGTCATTCGACTCCAACATAGCCAGGAGCGACAAACCCTGGAACCGGTCGCTGTTTAGGTAGAGGAGTATTGCCGACTCGGCACGCTGTCACCACATGATCCAGTTCCCATATCCTCGGAGGATGGACGACTCGAATAGCCCCTTGTTCTTCGGCTGCGGCACGAGTTATCCCAATAGCAAATGATTTACCACACCCCATCTCCATGCATGGTAACTCGCAAAGGCTTGCGGTTAGCTGGGGGATGCGGAATACATGGCTCACAGCTATTTGTGGTGGTTGGTGTTGCTGGTCGTATGATACCCCCAGTCGTTTGCAGTTACTGTCACACACAGTCGGCATCGCGAGCTGATTTATTGAGAGAAAACACCGGCAGTCATAAGGACATTTGGGCGGGTGAACTGCAACGCATGAAGCGTCGTCTTTTTTGTCACGTATGTGGACGTTGGCGATACAATCGGGCCGCTGCAAGATAAAGGGAAGTGATTAGTCTCCTCGCTACATGCCGAGGCGGCTCCTGCAGGCTACTCATCGAGTCACTGTCATAGCACTCACAATTTGGCCCGCTGGTTTGTGGCCTCTTTCTTCAAAATCGCTGAATCGGCCTCCGATGTCTGCACATCCCAGAGTCGCACTGTTCGGTCGGCGCCTCCGGACACAAGCGAATGGTTGTCGGTGCTGAAGCAGAGACTGTAAACGGGCTGGGTGTGACCGATAAGCGTTTTAATGCGCCGGCCCGAAGCAATATCCCAGAGTGCGATGGTCCCATCGTCGGCTGATCGAAGAAGGAAGGGTGAAAAATGAATCGTGTGAGCCGACTTTCGACGATCTACTGAGGCTCGGGAACACGCGAGTCGATGCAGGGGGAAACCGTACCAGCGCAAGCGAGTGAGCGGCCGTCTGGCGACACTGCCATAGAGAGTACGCTCCCAGAGTGTTTCAAAAACAGACGGACAGTGCTCCCGGTCTGGATGTCCCACATCCGGCAAGTTTTGTCACTCGAGCCTGTGAACACATAGTTGCTGTTGGGATGAAATCGAACCACCTGTCGAAAGGAAGGAAGGGGCGTCAGTCGTGTTGCCACGGACGCATTTATCAGCGCCAGAGGCTTCCGGTCGATTCCGAAATGATCGGCAAAGAGCACGCAGGCTCTTGTATATCGCTGTGTCTGCACGCCGTCCCATGGCAACTCACGATTCCCGCACCAACGACACCTACATCGACATCAGAGAGATGTCCAACAAACACGCGCAGGGGGTAGATGTGATCACAGCTCCAAAGCCTAGCGGTCTTGTCATGGGAGGCCGTTGCAAAGTAAAATCCGACGGGACTGAAAGCGACATCCCAGATTGGGAAATTGTGGCCGCGATAGGCAACCAAGTTTGTGCCGATCTCTGTGCTCCACAAGCGAGCTGGGGACAGATCAATTGATGAGTTCTTGATCACCGATCGCTGTACCGATACTCTTCCTGCAGGGACTAATCACTGCTATCCAAGTGAACGGAGCTCGTCGTATGTAAACCACAAACGAGACAAAGTTCTCGGAGATAGCTCGGGCAGAACGATGCCTTGTAATCGACGGCTTGTCGGACACCATCCATCGACCTGGATCGAGTCGTGTCTTTCCCTCGATCCACTCATCCCAGCCTACCCGTGCGATCCTCTGAAGCTGAAACTATATACTTGGTATCCGGGCTGAAGCTACATGCGTAGACTGGCCCTGAGTGCCCAACTAGCCTGCGGTATTGCTTGACAGAGAGCGATCGTTCGGCTAGCAAACAGAGCCACATTAGCAAGGCCCGTGGAACGCGATCGTCATCTACGATTGATTTCGATGGCATTCGGCAGCCGATTGTGCGCAGATCCACTTACCCCCATCTTCAGTAGATACCGGCTGGACGTTTTTGGAGTCGTTTTCAAGATCCCATAGCTTGATTACTGAATCGGTGAATCCGGCAGCCACCATGCGGCTGTCCTGAGATATACCGATTGATGTCAGGCTGGGTAAATCGTACATACCGTTAGTTGGGCCAGTTCGAGGATGACCACGGTGTCGAGACGTTCGCCTGCCAGCTCTGTGGTGAATAATGCATATCTCGGTGCCCGATCCGACGACTCAAGGCGTCGACCAGAGCGACAAGCTGGAAGCTGCGCCAAACGAAGCTGTGGAGCATCGAACCTGTTGAAGGTATTGTGGAACGTGTACGAGCAGATCGATATCGAGCTTGCGGGGGCAGTCCGGACGGCGCTCCGAAGAAGCTGGAGTTCCTTTGCTTCTTTGGCAAGCTCATGATAGCGCCTGTTCCGAGTGTGATGCGAAGGCAAACCATTCACACAGCATCGGCATCAGATTGGGCTCGTACAGCTAGACCTACAACTGCGATATTCCGTCACTGGCGGAAAATGGCTCCGAAGAGGTTGATCCTACTCACTGAGGAGGCAGTGGGATAGCATCTCGTGCTGGAGAATCGCTTGCAGCCTCCTTTTTGATCTTCATCAAGGCGTCTTTGAGAGCAGCATCTGTCGACTGCGTTGGTCGGTTGTCGTTATCGTTATCGTTGTCGTTGTCGTTGTCGTTGTCGTTGTCGTTGTCGTTGTCGTTGTCGTTGTCGTTGTCGTTGTCGTTGTCGTTGTCGTTGTCGTTGTCGTTGTCGTTGTCGTTGTCGTTGTCGTTGTCGTTGTCGTTGTCGTTGTCGTTGTCGTTGTCGTTGTCGTTGTCGTTGTCGTTGTCGTTGTCGTTGTCGTTGTCGTTGTCGTTGTCGTTGTCGTTGTCGTTGTCGTTGTCGTTGTTCGGGCAGGGTCGGGCGATCAGTATCAATTAGCGACGTCTTCGCGGCAGCTATGCGGCTCCATCCATGGGCGAGCCATTGGGGAATCATCCGCCAGTGCTGATTGGACACATCGATCGTGCTTCCGATAGACTCGCTCTGCTTGGATTAACCAATGTTGCCGACACTCCCTCGCTCTATGCAATCGCCTCTATGCGGCCTTGACTCTTACTTCGTCTTTGCAAGCCTTCTCGATTTCGGCAAATAGTGCCGCGTCCGAAGGCAATTCGCCAAGCAGCACGGGCTGGCTGTTGAATTGGCTCCACTGACCCACAGACTCGGTCAAGATGCCAATCTCAGGGATTTCCTCAGTAGTCAGCGTGGGATAGTCCGAGGTTGCTGTTTGGACCGAGGGTTGGCGTCGCCACAGTTGGTTACTTGCCAAAGAGCGAACGGCCACCACGCCGTGATCCCACTCCAGAAGCACGAGACCCAAGCGATATCGCCGCGCATAATCATCAAGGTACACAAGGTCCATCGAATGTATAAGAGTGTGTGTAAGGTCTCACCTTGAATGTTGATGTGCTGATTCACAATTCTCAGAAGCAAAAACAGCTTGTTGTCCTGAAGGAACGCAATCAAGAGCTCGTACGAATAGCGACTCAGGATGACAGTGTACTTGGACTTTCTGAATAGCTGAGCAAACTCATTCTCCTGAATGTGGTGTGGCTCCAAGATCGAGGAAAGCCGCTGAATATCCTGTCCGTGCTCCTCAATGAAATCCAAGCGAAACGCATCGAGGAAATGGCGAGCTTCCGCACGAGAACCGACACGGTCAGTCTCAGGAGAATGGCGGATACTGGGTCGTCGACGTTATGCACGATGTGCAGAGCCTCGACCATCTCAATCCCTACCTTTGTCCCCCAGCCCGCGACTTATCAAATCGAGGTAAAAGTTCACATACACCGGGAAGAGGATCTTGCGAAGCTCAGTCTGATAGACAACCCGAGCAAGACGCAGATGGGATATTTTCACAAGCATTTAATCTCGGCAATTTGACTGCCACACCGGTAACAACTGTGATCGCGCACGGCTTTACCGGACGATGAGCGAGGCTTCACGGGTCAGCTTACCTTGTATTTGTCGATGGACTCATCGACCCATCGCCGGAGCTGCCCAAAACTTGACTCAAACGCCGCAGGATCGGACGACTCTCGCTCATTGAAAAATGCCACAAGATCGGGAATCGAGATCGAAGCAATACCATCTTTGGAGGGCGGCTGCTCTAAAGATCCGAGCGGCTTGATTTGGGCATCTTGCTTGAATGCAACCTCGGCCTGTTTAAACCCTGCGGACAGTTATAAATAAGCATATTGGACACAGATGCCTCCCTTCGGACATATCAGAGCCGACTGGGCTGATTTTGGTTTTGGCTTTGGTTTGGTTTGGTTTGGTTTTGGGATATCGAAGCTGAGGGTCGGATCATGGAGTCAAGCACAGCCTCACAGGTTGCCCCTGTCCTTGCCTCGAGCTCTGAGATAGTTTGCTACGAACTGGTCCAGAAATGCGTTGTCGGAGGCAGCCTCGGAGGCCATGTTGGGATCTGAGACCGAAGCAGCCATCGGCCAGCCGATGCCAGGGACAATCATCAGGGCGAACATCAGTGACAAACATCGGGAAACAGACAGCGGTGTTCAGCAGTGGACGCAGCACAGCGGAGCTGAAAGTGGCTGATCGTGGCTGCAATCGTGCCCCAGGCACACGGCGCCGCCGCTGAGCATACATGTGCAGTGGTTTCCGGGGGGATGCCCTTGGACGATCTGATCGGCAACAGAGCGAGTCCTGGCCAGCCCGCGCCGTGGTTTTGGGTGCGAGAAACCAGGCGGAAGCAAACCGGGCGGGCTGCATCTTCCCGTGACACCCACCTGACCCGGCGCAACGAAAATTTTCTGCGCATGGGCGCAAAAGGCAAAACGGGTCTGTTGGCGATCTCTGGCCGCTTTCCCAGAACATCCAGCCAAGTACCCGCGGGATCGCCCTGATCCAGTCCAGATCCAGCCCGATCCAGGTGCGCCAGCATCCCAGTCAACAGAAGCCGACACAGGCTACTCGTCACACCCGGCCGACAGTTCCGCATCGCGCTGTGGATGCTGTTGATTCGCCGTGCTGATGGCATCGCTGTGCTCCATGCTTGTCCCCCGCAGGATGAGTCTGATTTTTGCCAAGCTCGTGCCAAGGCCCATCTGGGCAAGAGCCATCCAAGCAAGCACACCGATTCGCATGCTCTCGACGTCTTCAGCTCGCTTTGAGGCAGCCAAGTCTGATGCTGTGGGACAGCCGGTCGCTGCGACAGCCGAGACAGAAGCAGAAGACAGAGCCCAAGCCGATGCACCAGCCAGCCGCGATGGAGAAATCGAGCGCCCCGCCGAGCCCACCTTTCAAACGCATAAAGAGTTTGTTGAATCTCTCGGCCCTATCGAGGGCCCATTCGCGGAGGCAAAGAAGTGGCTGATTGAGAACCGAGGACTGTATCAGTACACTCGCGGACCACCAGCGTTTGTTGGAGCGAACGTGCGCCAGGGCGGCAAGTCGGTAAGGGTCTCCTCCATTTTGTACAGCAGCGCTTCCGCATTGTGCCATAGTCGCGCTGCCGATCGCACCTTGCCGCGGCCGAGGGACTGCATCTACGTAATGCTGCCCGAATCGGTGTCAGCTTCCATGTGGCCTATTGGACATCCACTTGGCCATGGTCTCTGGGATCACAACCAGGCCGTTCCATGGTGCTTGAGTTGGGATATCGACCGTAGCTGACGTCTACCCAAGATCATTTTACTGATCAAAACCAACTCCCAAACGACCCGTCATTTGGTGGTGGCTGCATCGGCCCCAGCCCGTCCCGTTCCCGATGAATCCGCTGTTCAGACCCAAGCCGCCGGTTGCCGAGGCAACCAAACAGGAAATCTACAAGCTCTTCCGAGCCGACCCGAAAAAGAACACACCACGATCTCTGGGTGTCCAGTTCGGGCTTTCGATCATTCGAGTCGAGGCCATCCTGAGACTGAAAGCTCTGGAGGCCAAAATGATCCAGGAAGGAAAGACCCCACAGACGAATCTGACCGAGGGTATGGAGTCTTACCTGGGCTCCCAGACCATTGCCCGATCAACGAACGCGAATGCCCGTCGCCCTCGGCGCGAGCCCCTCCGATTCATGGCCTCGGACAACAGCCGGCCCTTCTTCCGCCTCGTTGATGAAATGGAGTCATTTTCGCCAGAGGTTTGTCATCTTGCTGCACTCACTGGATAAGCCGCACATCGATCTGCGCGTCAACCATGGCTGGCCAGAAATCGACCAGAATAAGCGCAGCCATCGGAGTACCCCAAGCCATACTGTCCACCAATCAGCTTGTATCGTTAACATTCGCACATTCGCCCTTGTTCTTGTTGTCTACGTCCTCAGGAAGCAGCCGTAATCATGGAAAAGGATCCGTACTCCAAGATGGTCGATCGAGTCAAGCAGCACGATGGCAAGATCCTGCAGCTCGACCCGCCTGCTGAAAAGCCTGTTGAGACGATCGCGTCCTCCAACCGAGTGCAATCCAAATTTGCATTCATGATCTCGGATTCATCTGATCCTCTGGTATGAGTCCACATTGATCTCCATGTCTGAGCACAACCGAGAGCTTGTTGTTGGTCGACGTCGTTGCTTGTGCTATTCCAGTGCGCACTGCAGTGTGTATTTTCGCCGCCCGAACACTTCAACTGTATGAAGTGAATTGCCTCTCCGCTATCGCGACCTTGCAATTACGGATCCAAGGCGCCTGCTTCCGATCAGAGGATGGCTCCATTGCACAGCCGACTATATTTGTGGCAGCTGCAAGGGTCTTTGCTGACAACGCCACATGGGCTCGCTCCCTTCGCTATTTTGTACAACAGAAGCAACAACTCTTTATTCGACAAAAGAACGGAGAACTTCGCCCCCTTACCAACGTCGAAAGGTTCCAGAAGCGCAACGAGAAGCCCAAGTATGCTGTCATCGGATAGACGAGGCACTTTAGCTTTCCAGGAAAGAGCGGGCGCCTAGTTTCCAGAAATCGCATGTATTTGAATGCCGCCTCCTGACGGAGACTCATCGACCCATTACTACCAATGATGCTATCAATTGACGACAGGCTTCCATTGAGAAGCGCAGTCCCGAATACACTCTATCGCTTGCTCGCGATAGAAATCCCACAAATAGCGCCTATATGATCAGAGCAAGCCCAGATCCTGCTCGTGCACAGAAATACGACGGGGCTCATATACGCTCTTTCACAGCCCAATCCTGCCTTCAGCGTGGCGAGTGGCTTGAAGGCCGATGTGGGCTCTGTGACTCCGATGGTGGGGGAGCTGCCCATGGTACCCGGCGAACCTGAGCCTCCATGGGCTCGATACCTATCTCTCTCCTACTTCCACGGTGCATTCCCAAGGCAACCACAATGTCAGTCCCATCGAGAATATTGCCTGGTTCCGGTGGAGGAATGTATATCCACGTCCAGGAAAAGCGACAGCCCTGCTTCAAACAGGGTGACTTGTTTCATTGTATGACCAGTATATTTAGACAACAGACCAACAGCCTCCGATCTCAAAGCAGATTGGCTTCGACACGGCCGAGGGCGTTCGCATGATCAGTCGCACCGACTCTGACACAACTACTACGCGTCCTTATCTTCCTTGGCAGGGACGCTTGCGCTGTTGATGTCTTCCAAGAATTGCTGTGTGGGGCTGGAAGGTCGGCTCGGCATAGGGCTATTGTTGATGTTGTCAATCACCTTCTGCGTTGGAGATGCAGAACGGCTCGGCATCGGGCTACTGTTGATCTCGACAATGAGTTTCTCGGCTGGCGATAACCGCGATTTAGGACGGGACAATGATACAGAAAACAAATTAGTCAGCAGTTGCAGCTGCAGCCGCGCTTTTACCCCACCCTCTCAGGTTGTTGAAAGCGTATATCTGCTAAGGATCCGATCCCAGGCAGATGCCGCATCAGCCATTGGCAGCAAGAATCAGACACAAACCCTCTGCAAACAGATCGCCGTGCTCATATTCCTCGTCCTCGTCGTCCTCGTCGTCTTCCTCTTCTTCGTCTTCATCGCCTTCACCAGCGGCGTCGGGCTTCTGAGCATCGGTAGCGTCGGTAGCGTCTGTAGCGGCGGGAGCTGCATCGGCGTCTTTGGAGCCAGCCGTGCTCTCTGAGCCTGCAGCAGCGGCAGCGCTCGCTGCGCCTCTGGCTTTCTTCGAACGGCCCCGGGTTCGGGTTGTCCACTGGAGACCACCCTTCCACAGAGCCTCCATCATTTCCTTTCCTACCGCCCGAGTGACTTCGACGGTGGTCTTTGTGGTTTCGTGGAGGACAAAGGTCTGGGCAAAGCCTGTATCAAAATAGTCCGTAAGGAGGGTATCGCCCAAGATAAGCTCCCGAAACGTCGAAATGGGAATCGAGAAGTTGGTCTCCGAAAGCGGTGTCTCAGAGTTGGCGGCATCAGCGTTGAGTTGAAAAGCAACGTTCAGCAGATTGGAGACGGAGTTGAGATGAGTGTCGCCTTCCTCGAGACGGAAGAGGAAGAGCAATGACTCGGAAAGGTGGATGATTTGTTCTTTGGAGATGACATTGTCGCCGTCGTCGTCGTGGATCGCAAAGAACAGATCGATCCTCCCCATCAGATCCGAGTGGATAATCTTTCCAAGGCCAATCACAATATCTTGAAAATCAACAAACCCATCGCCGTTGCGGTCGAAAAGCCTGTGAAACATGCTGGTCATGAATGCCTTTCCGACCAGGGGCCGGTCGCGATACTGTGCCTCTTCCAGGTTGGCGGCCCAGGCGGCGACCTGACCGAGGTACTGGCAAAACTGATTAGGATCAAGACGATCGCTCGATTTTTGAGATTGCTGTGTCTCGTAGTACTGGATGGAATAGTACTGATCACACAAAAACAGGAGTTCGTCCTTGGTGAATCTGGAGGTCGAGTTGAGATTGCGAATGACACTCCGCTTGGCGTAGAGATCCAACCCGTGAACGACTTTGAGGTGATGGGTCTTGCGAAGATCGACGATCATGTCATGGGTGATCATCTGGAACTCTCGGTACGCCGTCTGTATCAGGTGGCTGAACTTGGTCATCGACTTTGCGGATCCGTCGGATGATGCCACGACTTCGCCAAGCTGAGCAAAGTAGCCTTTGAACACATTGCTACAGTGGGGTCACAGATGCGGGTGCAAGAAGACTTAGTGGTCAGCTACGACGTGCATCAAGATGGCTGCCAAGGCACCGCAATAGTTACATGAGTTCCCCTTCGTCGCGAGCTTTGAGGAGCGCATCACCGTTGGTCTTGAGGATAGCCAAGCTGCACGTTTATCGTTTGTCAGAATCGGTGTGGTTGATGGAGAAAAGTGCGTATGTGGGAGGGGACGATGGTCGATTTTAGTTGAGGAGGTGGCGGTGCTCCAACAACTTGGATTGACTTGCCAATCCATTTGTAACGAGACTACTCACCCGATCTGGAAGAGAACCTGATACCACCAAGCATTGAGGGAAGAGCGGAATCGAGTCAGCGACTTTTTTGTTTGTTTGTTTTACTCGCATTCAAGGGGAAAGAAGACGCTGGGCATTGGTAAACCTCATTTGAGGCAAATACCTTGGGACCTTCCATGAAAAAGCAATCCAGGATCCTCAGTACGAACGGGAGCGGGAGCGAGTTGATGTACAGGCTCAAGAACCAGGGCAGACACGCCACCGAGAGTTGAATCTCGTACTTTTTCAAATGCTGGGCAAGCATTGGCATGTACTTTGCAGCCTGCGCAGAGTCACGGCGTCAGTATGGGCTCTGTGCCTTGGAGCGAGAAGGGACCTGGCAGCTGTGAATGAGGGCGGGTGGCGCGTTTGTTCGATCATGAGCTGCATCCAGAATAGAAACCGACCAGTGTTTCGAACACCTGATTGTCGACCACGGCGCCGACCATGTTGACGCTAGTGGGAAATGCAAAGATGGTTGACAACACAAGCAAACAGGGCAAGGCTGTTCCTCTGATCAGGCCGCTGGATTACGCTGAGTCATCGTACCTATAGTACCCAGGCAAAAAGCTATCGCAAAGCACCGTGAGAACCCAGAACGCCTGCTCCTCGGTCAAATAGATGAGAAGCACACTGGCGACAATGTTCATAGCTTGACAGTATCCAAGTTCGGGGTCGTGGAACGAGTACGCCTGTGGGCATCATAGGTTGTAGTGAGCTGCGTTCCCTTTCAATCGAGATAGTACCAGCCCACGATCCAGGATGACACCTCAGAAGCGCACTCACATAGAGCGTTCGACGCAGGGCGCTGATTCCTTCCTCATTTTGGTACCCACTGTACTCGGGTAGACTCCTGGGTGGCGGTCGCTATCAGCGACGGAAAGACTCGAGCCAGTCGACAGGATGACGCCTGGATTTGGGGTATCGCTGAAGCCACAGGGAGCATATAGACTTGCCTGTTCAAGTCCTTCTCAATCTCTTCCGTCGAAATGGATGTTCGCCCGGCATTTTCTTCGTGCAGGCGCTCGTAGTAGCCATTGTTGATATATCTACAAGAGCCACTCGTCACCACACTGACACAAGACTCAAACCCAGGTCGACAGTAATCAACCAGAATGCTCCGATGAGAGGGAACGACACCACTACCTTTTGTAGATTGCTCCACTCGAGACCTCCCAGATTTCGCCTTGATATGTAAAGCACCAACCGGCAGGGCAACATTGACGACATACCATTCCATGAGTATGATTAATCACCAAAGTCAACACATGGATACGTTACCGAGGCGTCGACGAAACAGGAGAGTGGAGTGTCCAAATTTCAGTCAACCACCACTGTTCCAAACGAGGCTCTTGGCAAGCGACCGTCATACCTCGGAGTGTATTGGGAAGTCCGACCCGAACCAACTTGATGAACGTCGGAAGGCGGATGAGGGTCAAATTGCGGCCGAACTCTGGGTGTTGTCCAGCACAAAGAAAAGAGATAATGACAGTGTGACATGTTAGTTTTATCGATTCCACCAAAGTACCGATGCTATGTGCAGCATATTCACATACCATTGAAGTATGCGAGCCAGAATTTGATCTTGTTCCGTTCCTTGACCCTGCGTGGGCGTACGGCAAGAGCAATGCCAAAATGGTGCGAGGTATCGGTCAGCGGCTCCCTGCATCTCAATGAGAATGACCGAAGCTCTACCATTACAGACCGAGCGGGTCGGAAAGCCAGGTGTGATACTGGTGCGAGGTATTGCTCAAACAAGCAAACCCCGGGTGTTGGTGCAGCGTCGGGCATGACTTGGCGTCCACGCTTACTTTTTCAGCTCGACGTAGCCAAATTTGAGACCAAGGCCACCACGGACAATCTCGCGATTGTTGATCAGATCCTCGGAAGAACATGTGAGCAAAAAGGGCTTCAGGAGCTTCATGAGATGGACATGATACTGGAGCTTCTCCTTGAGGATGTCGCAGAAGGCGTCCGAGCTTTTCTTGTCGCTGGCCATCTGGAAGAGAAGCTTGAGCTTATGCCAAAGGGTGATTGCAATCGTCGAGGTCTGTGAGCTGATGCGCTCGACTCGCTTGATTGCGTAGAAAGGGATGACGAGCTGGCACTGGTTTTTGGTCGTGGTTTGGAAGCACAAGAACATTTCCGAAAGGTAGATCTGGCCTGAAAGCGTAGTTTGAACTCCTGGGATCGTGCAGCTACCCTGAATTTCTGAAAGCAGCTGCTCATCTGGCGGAAGATTAAACATAGCCTGGAACTTTTGGTTGCGCTTTTGGGCACTGAGGCTCTGCTTCAAAGGCTGCGATGAGCCGGGAGGGGCGCCCATATTGGATGGTAGCAGCTGCGAGCTGTCATCGGCAGCTTCCCAGGATAATCCAGGGGCAGGATCGGTTGTAGTGCTCTTGAGAAGACGGTGCATGGCAAGATTGGTCACATGCTCAAGCAGTTCAAAGGTTTCATCGCGGTTGAAAAGATTGGAGAAATAGTGCTAGTTGGGGTGGCGCGTTATGATTGCGAAGTGGGCCGGGGCACAAGAAGCACGACGAAGGGGGGTCAGTCGGGTAGCTGATCATCAAGGGCATATATCAAATTCTCGCCAAAGCGTATCGGTGCACAGCATCCGCCTATCAGGAAGCCAGCCAGGCAATGCGACCACCGAGCTTAGCAGTGCTGTGATGGCCGCAAAGCACATACGAAGGGCACACGGGGACCCTACCTCCTGTTTGTTCTTGGTCACAATCTTGATGGCGTCAGAAAAGACACCCCGCCTTGAGGTATCTTTCGATAGCTCCTCGATGCTCTTGAGCTCAATAACAACCTTGGTTTCAACCCCAAAGATGAACGAGTAGAAGCAAATGTAGGACATGGAGACGTACATCCAGCCTTGGTTGGTCAGCTTCTTGTGGTACGCACATGAATAGACTGGAATACCAACGGAGTCTGGATTAGATGGGCGACTTGAAGTTATCCTCGATCGGAGGACGATACGTTACCACCGGCTTGAGCGGCGCGGGAGCAATATAACTGTAGCACCACTTACAGTTGACCAAGCGCTCGGATTCCGGCAGACGGAAGGTTTGCCGCCAAGCCCTCGAGGCTGCCCGGAACTTGGCATCGGTTGATTTTTCGTCCGTGTCTTGCTCTGCATATCATGCATGGACGACAAGCGCAAGAGGTGTGGAGAAGAGCACGATTGAGGCACGGCTGGGGTGAGGAACTGCCCGTTGAATTGCGCAAATCCATGGTACCATCGAAAACACACGAAGAGCGCTGTTGGGACTGACCTGTGTTTGTGATGAGTGACTGGAACTTGGAGACAGCAAAGGCTTCCTTGTCGAGAGGATCCTCGAGCTCAGCAAGCTCGGGCATGAGCGTAGCTGGATTGCAGAGGTAGACAATGTGGCGGAATGATGAGTTCGTCTTGGCGCCGTACCGTCATCAATATACAGCCAAGGCACGGTCTAGATGACAACTTCGACAACGGGGCATACCAACGACCCAGGCCCAATCTTGCTCGATAAGCTTCAGCGTGTCGGCCGTCTAAATCGAATAACGATATGAGCATTGGATATCGACACAGCCCTAAAGAGCGTCTGGAGCGAGCACCGCCAAAACAGCAGAGCCTCCGTCGCCGTCTGTTCGCGATGCTGGCTGATAGGTTGCCAGAGAGGCAGCAACATCGAAACAGGTCAAGTACTCACGGCTACAAGATAGCCAGTGTCGCTACTCTCAGCACTCCGAAGGATGATTCGGAACGGAGGCTGCTTGGTGTCGAACCTGCAGGGTTATTGTTTTGAACGCATGTTTACCCAGACTGTGAGCATCGCAGCAACAAGCTCCAGCGGCCTTTTGAAGCGAGCGGAAGCTGCACCGTGACATGATGGAAGCTGCGATGAATCGAGCGACCAGGCAGTGCACGACACAGATGCCGGCGAGCTGCATGCTGAGCAGACGGCCCGCAGACTCTTGAGAAACAAGGCATCAAGCCCCGGGCGCGATGCCAGGGGTATGGAAGCAGAGCACCGGGCAGAACGCGAAGGACGGGCTTTACACATTCTGGATGGTCGATAAGACCGATTTCCACAGGGCTCCGTTTGACTGCTCCTTGAGCTTCTGCAGTATGAAGAGCTCGTTTTCTTTGAGAGCCTCCCAGTAGGCGGACGGCGTGATGTCCGTGGGCGTTGGAACCACCCACATGGCGGGCTCGTGGCGGGTCGGATTCGGCAGGGCAGAGGGGGTGCCGCCCACGATCGCCAGCGCCGATGTTGGAAGCAACAAGCCCAGCGAGCGAGGTGCGAGAGGATAGCGAGAGGCGCCTCGCGAGAGCAGATACGAGAGCAGCCGGATCGAATGCTGCAGCCGGATCGAGTGTGCCGCACACGCCTCCCTTGCATTTCCCTCTCGCCTTTCGGGTCAAATCGCTGTCGCCCATCCATCACCAGCAGCGTCGCCAGCAGCGTCGCCAGCAGCAGCGTCCCGACATGTCGGCTCTCTTTGACCAGAATCCGTACCAGTCGTACTCGGCCGGTGGCCAGGAGGACTCGCTGCAGTTTACCCAATTCAGCTATGGCGAGCCCTCCGGCGCCTCCTATTCATCCTCATACGCCCACTCGATCCAGCAACAGTCCTACAACCAGGCCTCGCGGATGCACTCCTCATCGCCGTCCGAGTTTGACTGGAGATCAGCTTTTGGAACTGGTGGTCTGGCTGGGGAGCCGCCTCTGCTCGAAGGTACATTTGCCGAGAGCTCTTGACCATGCTGCTCACCTCTGAACCATGCTGCTCACCTCTGAACCATGTCGCTCACCTCTTGGCCATGCCGCCGGCGCTAAACGATTTATCAGAGCTTGGAATCAACTTTGAGCATATAAAGAACAAGGTGCGTACCAATCATTGTGCACCCATCAAAAACCTTTCAGGAGGTGTGAGGGTAGCAGGTCCCTACATCCAGCTTCCCAGACTCGACCACAGAGCGGCGCATTTGGCAAGGGGCCCACGTCAGGCAGCGCCTCATTCTGACGACATCCGCCTCGTCTATCCCCATTTCTCCCATTCGCTCGATTCGGCATTGCTGCCCATACCTCAAACGGCCTCGCTATGGTCTCCGATGGTGTCTCAGAGCCTCACGGTTCTCAACCCCTTCACGAACGTCGATCAGCACATCATGGACGATACCGATTTGGCCGGGCCGCTCATTTTCCTCGGGCTCTTTGGCGGTTTTTTGCTGCTGGTATGTAGACAGCTTCTCAAGCGTTAGCTGTCTTGACGGCCGACGCAGGGCTGCCCAGACCCTGCAAGCAAAGCTCCGTTTCCGGCCGCTGGCGTCAGCGTATTCCCGATTAACCTGCCTCGCCTGGACACAGTCGGGCAAGCTTCACTTTGGATACATTTACGGCGTTGCTATGCTCGGCTGCGCTTCGATGTATGTCATCCTCAACCTAATGAGCACCGACGGCATCGACGTTTCGAGAGCAACCAGCGTTCTTGGATATTGTTTGCTGCCGATGGTGCTGCTGAGCTCAAGCACAGCCCTTCTCCAGCTCAGGTGAGCAGCCTTCCAGGAGCAGACGGTTGCATCCCACCGCATACTCTGACTCTGGCTTGCTCTACATCTCCAACGGCAGCGGCTTTGGCCTCGGCATCATCGGATTCGCTTTGACGTGCGTGTCGGTTCTCTGGTGCACGTATTCGGCCTCCCTCATGTTTGTTACGGTGCTACGCATGAAGGAGCAGCAGCTCCTGGTGGCCTATCCTGTCGGCCTGCTCTACAGCGCCTTTGCCCTACTGGCGATGCTGTGATGTGCCCGCTGAGACATATGCACCAGGGCCAATAGAACGACCCAATGCAAAAACAGGATTTGATTCCAGAGAATCATTGGTCCGCTTTCCAAGGCGACAGCGTTGAAAGACAAGGCAGCACACTGTTGCTTTCGGGAAAAGCACGGCCAACAACGACCAAGTGGGTTGAATCATCTCCCGGAGCGCCCGTCTCATGGCGCCGGTCCGGCCAATATTCCGACATCGCTGCGATCGATATCTCATCGGCCGGGTGCATGCGTCACAGCAGCGGCACAAGCGCGGACCAGCGCCACATCATTCCATCCGCCTGCTTCGTCTGGGATGGGTCACGTGCCATTCGGCTGATCCGGCACCGAGCCCGTTCAAGCCGATTGACCCAGCGTGCTTGCTGTTCCGCTCGGTCGCATTCCACCGACTGCAGCCAGCCGAAAGCCAGACACCGAGGAACCGTCGATCCATCAGAAAGCATGGCACCCAAGATTTGCGTGATATGCTCCGCCGAACGAGCCGTCCTGAAACGGCCCAAGACCGGTCAGCAGCTCTGTCGAGAGTGCTTCTACACCGTATTTGAAACCGAGATCCACGAAGCCATCGTCGACAATAACCTGTTTGCTCGTGGAGACAAGGTTGCCATTGGCGCATCCGGAGGCAAAGGTGGGTGCTGTCTCAGATCTGACGATTTGGGCTGCAGTGGATCGATCCGTTGGCCGCCGAGACCCAAACACGGCCTGGAGGCAGCCACTTTGGGGCATGCAGATCTCTGGGGGCATGCAGATCTCTGGGGGCATGTAAATCTTTGGTGGATGAGATTGAGGTCTGTGGCTCTCGTGACACGCTGTTGCTAATATCGAGCTTTGGCAACATACTGTGACCCCGTATGCGCTCGTCGGCATCGGTCTTAGACTCGACGGTGCTCGCTCATGTCATGAAAACCCTGAATGAGCGATATGATTATGGACTCGAGCTCTTCCTGTTGTCTGTTGATGAGGGCATCAATGGCTATCGAGACGACTCGCTCGAGGTGAGGATCCGGGATTCAGATGTCCCAGCGGCGCTATCGTCACCGATTCAGGCACAGAACCGACTGCTCGATGCAGGTGCCGGCCAACACAAGCTGTCCTTGAATCAGTCGCCTCGAGTGGTAGTTCATTCTATCTGCCAGGAGGCTTCCCTACTGCAGGCCTGCCGCCACGGCATTACTCCACATGGTCACCCAGGCCGATACTACCACGACGCATCTGACGAAATGGCTGTGATCTTGATCATGACTCAACATCCACAATGACTCAACATCCACAATGACTCAACATCCACAATGACTCAACATCCACAGACCGTCAAGAGAAACAAGGAGCAGTATCAGCTTCCCCTGCTGATTGTGTCGTATGAACAACTCTATGGTTGGACGATGGACCAGATTGTGGAGGAAGTCGGTTTGAAAAACAACTGTAAGGAACGGTTCGTGCTCGTCGAGAGCAATCGGATTCATTCTCGCAACAGCGACTCTAATCAATCCCCTTGACCCAGGCACATTTTGTGGTGTCTTTAGACGGCAGGCGCTTGACCGAGGAGCCGCCATGCTCAAAGTCGATCATATTGTGACGGGACACAATGCCGACGACATTGCCGAAACCGTTCTGATGAACAGTAAGGATCGCTTTGAGACACGCTGACATTTGCTGCGTCGTCAGAGCAGTTGGCACAGCTGTATCCTGGCCATCCGCAGCACGACCGACTTGTGCTGCACTCTGCGTCACAAGAATCGAATGAACGAGGGGTGGATATGGATGCGATCGGCAAGAGGGAGCCTTTACGAACACGTACATACAGCACTCGTGGGGTGCTCAAATACTGATAGCTCGAAACGGCGTGGACCTACGACCGTCCTTCAGTCCTTCGCGGCGACATTGCCCGACTGCAGCGATGCACGGCCATCAAGACACTAACGGATGACTCGATACCGAGGTCCAAGCCCTTCAAATACACATACGAGAAGGAAATTGTGATGTATGGCGCTCGCGAGCCCATCTGTCTGTCTCTCGGCCGCCGCTGGTGTTGGGGCTGCACCTTGACACTGCTTATGCGCCGTCGTACCTAGGTATGCCTATTACAAGAAGCTCGACTACTTCTCGACCGAGTGCACATACTCACCGAATGCCTACAGAGGATACGCCCGTGTCTTTCTCAAAGATCTCGAATCGATTCGACCAAGTGCGATTCTTGGTGAGTGAGCGAGGAAGGGTGGAGCGCAGGTTGCCATGACGAGCATGATCTGCCTTGTGCATGCATCGACGCAATCGAGCAACTGCAAGCATTCTATCGAAGGAAACAACGCCATTTCCAAGTCCTTAAACGAGCAGGCTTCGCTACGGCACTGGCTTTATGCTAATTGCGGAGGAAATGGCTGTGTGTACGGCATGTGGATGTAGACATTATCCACTCTGGAGAAGCCTTTGAGCTGCGAGAGGAAGTTAAATCCAAGATGCCTGTCCAAAGTATGTTTATTGGTCGCGCTTGCCTCAGCGGCACCGCATCGACTCGGGTGTCGATGCGACAAAGATCACCAGTGCTGACCACGACAGCGATTGTGTTTGCTCAGGCAACTGCGAACGCTGTGGATATATCTCAAGCAACAAGCTGTGCAAGTCATGTATGCTGCTTGATGGGCTGAACAAAGGGGCCCCCAGGTAGGTGTTAGGCAAACGCAGCTATTCAGGATTCGGGGCCTTGCGTTCTTCAGGATCGTTGGACAGAGCGCTGGGGAACCTTGGAGTTTCGCCGTCGTCGCTGCTAATGAACAATACATTGATGTGTTGCTATACCCACACAGGATCGCGCTGGGATAGATGCCATTTTCATCTTGTGCAGCAGAGCGGTGCATATGCAGGCTCGATGATGGCAGGTGACCGTCGACTGGAGCGGTGTATTCAGGGAATCCGATCTGATCAATGCGGAAATACAGCATGTTTGGAGCGAGACGGAGCGGTGCCAATTTGCGCTCTGCCGTGCGCCAACCACTGCCTGCTGTTGGCTCGGGAAGCATAGTCTTGGGATGCAATATGCATTCGACCCTTCGGGCAGCTCTGTAGTTTCTCGACCTCCGAATCGTTGGATCGACCGAGTCGCCTGCCATGTGTTCTGGGCCTTGGGCGTCTGTGTTAGTGGCGGAGCCGTTCAAAGTCCAGGGAATCTCAAGATCCGTGGACTTTGTGCATCCTCCTTCCCTTGCACGAGGCATTCCCAAAGGCAACCACAACATCAGTCTCCTTTGACACGCTGTTTGATCATGGTGGATCGGTGTATTCATATCAAGAGAAAGTCCCCAATCGACACTCAAAAATGGGTGTCCTGCTTCGTGTTGGATGTGTTGGAAAGCCACGCGGAATCCGCAGCTGCCGGAGATGGCCGACAACCCGATGGCTGAACAACGCTACACAGAGATTTCCTGCAGTGCATGGCGTTCATGATTTGGAATCAAAAGAGTGTCAAAGACGGTCAATGATGGAATCAGAGTGCATGGAGAGCGGGCGGCGAAACGAGACGGCCTAAAGGTCGGGGCCAAAAGAGAGCCATCCCGAGATGCACTCGTCAACGGTATACAGGCAGGATCGCATGCCTCTATAGCGCACATCGCTGCCGCCCCCTCGGAACAGAGGGCAGCGGGTCGTGTTCGAGTGCTAAGGGAATCAAAGACCACGGTCCTCGATTTATCAGGCAACCCAGCGCACAACTTGCCTCGTCCTTTTCGATGTAGTCAACCGACGGCCAGTTCTGGATGGTATTTTCAGCAAAGGAGGGATCGCAATCGATGATGATGGCGGGGAGAACCTTGAGGCGGCGAACGACGGAACCGCCGCTGGCGACGACTTTGGCGGAGGCCTCCGAAATCTCGTCAGCGAGGCTGCCAGAACGGAAGACGACCACGTAGCGGTCGGCAGCGACGCATGAAGCGAGCACGAGGCAAACAAGGGCAGTGATCAGCACGGGGAGCGAGCGCCGGGCCATGGCATGCAAAAATGGTGCTTGGAGAGGAGAGAGAGCGACGGGTGCGACGGGTGCGATGGGTGCGATGGGTGCGATGGGCTGGACACTATGAAAAAATTTCTTGTTAATAAAATGAGCGAGAACGAAAAAACGCGCTCTCGGAGCCACCTCGGTCGGCGAGAAGAGCAGTCTCTGGCGAGAGACCCCCGAGGGAAGGCGAGAAGCCTCTCGCCGTCACACACACACACTTTGCACAAGGGAGTCAAACACCTCCCATCGACCATCCCAAGAGGGATGGCAACCCCGAAGTGGACTGCCCAGAATATGGGCGACCCGGCATCCACTGTCGAAATGAACAAGATACTTACAGTCTATCCAGAAAGAAACGGGACAGTCACTTTCTGGCTTCTGAACCCCGCTGACTGACTGTAGGCCCAGCGGGTAGGCCATGGCATTGCACTCCTGTCTTCGTTGGCAATCTCTTTGTTGGTTTCGGGAGCACAGTCTTGAATACACCCGGCCGATCTCCTGTGGCGATGATCGACTGGCATACCGAGATCATGTTCCGTGAGGCATTGATGTCTCGATGTGTTTGTGTGATGCATTAACTCGACTCTCAGGACAACTCCATGGTGAATCGATATCAAGATGCTCGGGTGACTCAAGTCGCTTGAATTCCCGGCAGTGTGAGCACACCTGGGATGTGTTGAACTCGTTCACCGAGCACACATGGATCTTGGAGACGGATCGGTCTGGTGGGCGTCTCTGGTGATGGTGGAATTGCTCAAAGTACTTGGCAAACCTGAGTCTCCTGGGACTGGAAGCATATCCCTTCCCCTGTTTCCACGAGGCATTCCCAAAGGCAATCACCACTTCGGTCTCCTTTGGTGCCTGGTCGATGACTTGCTTGCACATCTCGTGGACAGTGCGCTGTCGCTTGCCGTAGAGATCGAGTCGCTTGAATCGCCGTCGCCGGGTCAGGCTGAAGTACAGCTGTTTCTCCAGCATGTCTCCATCGAACACATGGCGAATATCTCGTAAGAAAGAAGGCACTCCAGGGATCTTGGGGCTCGGTGTGGTGCTCATCCATTTCTGCAGACCAAGGATCTTGTGGGTGCTCTGGATCCACTTGGTCGCCTGGGTGGTGCCACATCGATGCTGGTACTCCTTGTTGGAGAACGACACGATCTTCTCGTTGGCACGCTGTGCCTTGGTCACCTTGACACCGTCTTGCTCCTGGATGGTTGGTTGACCGGGTGCTCGAATGACAGCGGTGAAGATCGATCCCACACCAGGGTCGATCCCAATCCATGTGGTCCGAGAGTCGTCAATGGGACCGACCCTGGTCTGGATCTTCTTCTCGGGGGTGAGCTTGGGTGTCTTGTCCACGGGTTCTGGTTTGGCATCAGGGTCCTTCTTCTCCAGGATCTTGTATCTGAGCGTGGTGATTGAGCACCCGACCCCATCGGTGGTGATCTCGCAACCAAAGAGCTGCTTCCCCTCTTTCCTGGCACCAAAGAGTCTCGGATCCAGCTTGAAGTTGGTCTGCCAGAAGGTCTCTTGCTTTGTGGTGCCATTGACCTTGGTCTTCAGGTCGTCCCACTTGAACCCAGTGCCAGTCTGGTATCCAAGGATCTCCCACAGTGCTGTGGTGTCGAGCTTGACATACTTGGCTCGGGCATCGCAGAGCGGGACCAAGGTGCACTGTGCTCGAGGGACATTGTGTCGCTTCTTGGTCTGGGCAAGCCGGTCGGTCAATCGCTTGATCCGCTTCGTGTTGACAGTGATCTGCTTGCACACCTCCTCGTGCTGGGTTTGGAGATCTTTGAGTCTGTCAGCCCCGATGTGGTGGATGGGTTGACACATTTCCTCGTTCAGCCGTCCGCGCTCTCCTTTCAGATCATCGGTCACCCTCGCGAGCCTGGGAATGATCATCTTCTGAAAGACCACCATGAAGAGGGCCTCCTTCAGGTGGGTCAGTCGAGAGACTTCACTGGCCAGAATTGGTGCGACTTTGTACAGGTCCTGGTGGCTTTCGTACCGAAACTCATACAACTGGTCGGCATGGTGGGCGAAGGATTTTCTCAGATCACCGAGGAGTGTCTTGGAGAGGGGATTCTCCATCAGCTTCATGCACTCATCGACGTGTGTGTGCCGTTTGACATCCTTGGGAGCAATCAGGGCCAGATTGCAGAATCGACGGAGGAGAGACCAGTATCGATCAAGAATGTGGGTCTCGCAGTTGACTGCATAGGTCTTGACAGCCAAACCAAGGACCTGTGACCCAGTACCCTTTGGAAGGGACACTGGAGGCAGGATACACGACTTTCCCCATGCACGTCGATACAGCTCATATGTGTCGAGGAGGTGCCTGTCATCTTCCGGGGTGTTCGTCCTGGCACCCACTGTTCCTGTCTGCACCATATTGAAGCACTTTCGAACAAACGCGGGTTCACTCGACGACACAGTGTGGAGGGTGATGCCCTCGTCCAAGCACCGCCTGAGATGCAGCTCCAGGAGACGAGATGCTTCGTACTGCACGTGTGTCATGGCCCGGACAGTCTCCTCGATCTTGTCGTGCAAGGTATCGTTCTTGATGATGGCGTCGAGGGTGCACTTGACGGTGGAGTAGTCGGCCTTGACTTGCTCGTTTGGGCCACAGCCAGGCAAGGTAGAGCTCCAGAGTGGGTTCTTCTTGGTACACAATGAACTGTTGCTTTTGGCATGACCCACTTGCTTGCACGTGGCACATACAGGGACCTTGGGTGCTTGGCTGACCATTTCAGCGACCGAGGCAGGGCTGCTGTCGATTCTGGCTGTGCACTTCTTGGTGAAGGGCCTAACATGGTTGGTCAGGCCACAGGAGGGACACGATTTGATAGTGGGCTTCTTGGCCACAGGAGAGTCACTGGGTGATCCCGGGTCGGGATCGGGGGGTGTCTTTCTCTTGGGAGCCATCTGGCGAGAAAATAGCAGCGATGGCTGGTTCTTGTCAGGAACGGAGCTGGACTTTGGCACCAGACAGCTGATGGTAGTCGAACGGACGGTCGTAGGACGAAGGGGAGTGTATTCAATAGGCTAAGGGCAGGATACAAGAGGCAAGGTGAGGTGCTGGTTCTGAGGCCACAGCACCTCGTTTATATCTCTAAACGCCGTCCTTGTTCGCCGCAGATTTTTTTTCCACTACAATGGAGATTGGTTATCTGCGACGGGGGGAGATTAGATCCGAACGTTTCCCTCGCCCGCCGGGAGGTTTCATGTCAGTGCCTTACCCAACATTGCACATCAAGGAAACAGGACACGGGTTGGGGCGCCCATGAAACCATCCACCGGGCGTGGGAACGCGGTTCATGACAGTTCTGCCCTTGGGGAAGAAAAATTCTCCTCAAAACCAGCGCATTTTGGGCTGGCAGAGATACTGTGCAGTGGCGTCCTTGATTCAGATCCAGAAACGCATCGCTCGCTCAATCAGTCGTGGGAAGACATCTTGTCAAGGTGAGTCTTGCCTGATAGCCAAACGATCATGTCATCTCGCTGACACACAGCCACGCTTGACTAGGTTTCCAACCAGAGAGATTCAGATGGTGGTGGTTCTTGTCCGCAATCGGAGTGGAGCTTCCAACAATGATACAATTGGTCATTCTTCCACACCAATTGCCCACCACCACCGTCAATCGGCTCAAGGTGATACCAAATGCCGTCAACCGACCATGGCCGGATTCCAACTTTTGCTGCTCCACATTCGACGTGACTTTCAGGTGACCGAGATGAGCAGCCGCGAGGGGCCGGAAAAAATTGATAGTGGAGCCGTTTGGAGCTGGAGCCGTTTGGGTTGGAGTCGGCATGGTGGGAGAATGTCCGTCAGAGGAGAGTCACATGGCGCCGCCCAGCCAGCCAAGGAGCCGGCTGGAGCCGAGGCGGTGGCGATGTGTGGCGGTGGTGGCACGCCACAACAAACAGTGCATCTGTGGGAATCGAGCTGCTGGGAGACGAGGCCCGACCGAACGCAACCCAGCAGCAGCCGGGGGGGGGCAGTTTGCAATATATAACTGCGGTGTCGCAGAGATCTATATTGAAGTGTAATTGAGCCACGCCAAATATAGCAACTGCATATAGCACGATACATTGCTCCTCCGAGCTTGCAAAGTCATGCGACCAGAGCCGATGGGGGATGCGATGCGCTCGCCTCCCCCGCCTCGCCTTCTGTTTGCACATTCGCGATCGAGGGCACTCTCGCCCGAAGCCCGAGGATACTCATCTGTCTGCCCGGAGTTGTTTGCATCGCCGGCCCGAAGTTGTTTGCATCGCCGGCCCGAAGTTGTTTGCATCGCTGGCACAGACCTTCCATCCTCTCGGCTGCTTCTGCGGTCCTCGCGGTCGCTCCATCGGCGCTGTTGTCATTTTCTTTGGCCTCGGCCACGCCGGTCTCGGCGCTTCTCTGCCCCGCACCGCCCCTCGCCGGCCCAAAATCGCCCTGTTTGCCGTCGCCCGTCCTTGGCCTTCGTCCACCCCCAGCCGCATCCCCATCCACCCACACCATGGCTACCTACTCGTCCTCGCAAGTCTACACCGCAAACGAGCTCGAGTCCAACTTCCCCGCGCGGGAGAGAGAGCCGCTCAACAGGTACATTGCCACCCATGCGTTGCCTGTGGGCTCGGCCATTCGCTGCGGCACCATCATGGCTGGCACCCGACCACACCCCCACCATCGTCGATGCGCCCGGCCCACTGGGATCGTTGCCCCGGTTCATTAAACAGCCGATCCGTTTGCTCTTTCCTTCCACGCTGCTCCGATCTGCTGTGCTCACACACTCTCTGCCGATGCATCCGTGCTTGTTCCGCTGGTCCACGATGCCTCGGCTTTGGGTATCAATCACCGACAGCCCGATAAGACCTAACCCGTTTGGCGAATCATCCAATCCCTCCCTCCCCTCGTCTCGGCCACATCCTTCGAACCACCACCGCAACCCCCATGATCACAGGGCCTCTCCCTCCAGCAACATCGACATGCACGAGTCTGACTTTGGCAAGCATGGGCCCGACGCCGGCCAGCAAATCCCGAACGCACAGCGACGCAACAGCACCCGCTCGCAAAAGAGCGTAATGTGGAAGAAGTGGAAAACTGTGCCGTGGTTCCTGGGCACCATGTCGCTCGCGCAAGCCATCGTCCTGGTCTACACTCTTGTCGTCAACTACAACAACACCGGCGAGTTTATCCAGACAAACCCATTCAACTTTCTCATTGGTCCCACCACCGGAGTACGTCCCTTCTTCGCTTGGGGCTCTGAGGCGGCCAGGACGGCCAGGACGGATCGATTGGGTCGTTGCTGCTTGATGCTTCGGCCGACTGTTGCCTCCGTGTGGAATGAGTCTTGTGTGGACCTCTGCACTTGCTTACTGCTCTTTGTCTCTTCCTTTTGTGTTGTCAACCCCGTCTGCTCTGTCTACCCGTCCCCCCCCCTTTCGTCGGTCCCGTAGACACTTCTCCTTACAGGCGCCCGATATGTCCCTTGCATGAAGCCCGTCGCTCCGTACGTCAACTCGTCGATTATCTGCATCCCCGGCATTAACCCGTCGGTGCCTGGCCAGCCATGTACCCTGCTCGACTTTTGCGGCATGGGTGGATTCCCCAGTGGCCAGCCCAACCAGTGGTACCGCCTGATTGTGCCTATCTTCCTGCACGGCGGTGTGCTGCACTACGCCCTCAACATGACCTTGCAGATGCGCGCCGGCTTCGGGCTTGAGTCTGAGTTTGGTAGCTTGCGCATTGGCTTGATCTACATGATCAGCGGCATCGGCGGCTTCCTGTTTGGTGCCAACTTCAGTCCCTTGACTCCCTCGGTCGGATGCTCCGGTGCACTTTTTGGTACGTGCTATGCGAACACCTTTGCCGCATCCGGGAGATGCTTCTCCCGGCCCTTACGCTGGCCGTGTCTCTCTCGGTCCTGAATGGTTTCTGCCTCTTGGTCCACTGACACTCGTGACGGCTCTTACGACGGTGCAGGCCTGATTGCATGTCTCATGATCGATCTGGTCCAGAACTGGAGCCTCGTGGAGCAGCCACTCAAGAACTTTTTCGTTTTGCTGGGAGTCACCATCTTCTCGTTCCTGATGGGTCTCCTGCCACTCTTTGACAACTTTGCCCACATCGGCGGGTTTGTCTTTGGCTTTACCTCGGGCCTGTTCCTGATGCCTCTGCTGGAGAATCAAGAGCTCGACAGCACCAAGCCCTCGGCCTTCAAGCGCATGGGCCTCAATCGCCAGAACTGGAAGCGGCTGTTCATGCTGGTCGGATTTTCCCTCACGGTTCTCCTCTATGTCGTTTTGTTCATCCGCTTCTATTCCAACCGCGACGACTGCTCGTGGTGCAAGTACTTGAATTGCATTCCTGGTCTGCCCTGGTGCCAAGACAAGTGGAACCAGATGGGCTCCAACTGAAGGCAAGGCGCATAGGCGCCGAGCCAGTCGCTTGGCCAGCGCTAATCACTTGACCTGTGCAGCGCCATTACCGGCGCCATTACCGACGCCGACGCCGACGCTGACGTAGTTGCAGACACAGGCGCCGTCCGATCCAACAACAACAGTGATATATTCGTCTCGTCCGTTTGCCGTTCATTCGCATGCCAAGGCACCGGTTGCATTGGTCATCTGGGCCAAGTGGGTGTGATGGCTTGGACATCCCGGGTATGCGGTTGCTCGTGCCCCGAATGCGTTGCGCTCGAGTCCGAGAGCGGGCGTACTGACCCGGCATGTTTGATGGCACGGGATTTTGGCCGTCTCGACGGACCCGGGCCGTCCTTGGGCAACCGAGATATAACATTGTCTTGGGCAGCGCAGGAGCACCCGGGGTGCTGATCAGAGACGAACGGGAAGCTCTTGGCGACCAAGAGCTGCAGGATCTCGTCCTCGCGGCCCTGGCTCACCCGGGCCACGATCTCGTCGAGGGCACGGACGTCGTCGAGGGCCCGATGGACGACAGGCGACAGGCCAAAGTGCTCCGATAGAGCGGCCAGGGAATGCTTCTTGAGCGGCACCATGGGTCGCAGAAACCCAACCAACGTGCAGGCCGCTCGCCAATGGGTCAGCTGCAGGCGCTGGGCCGGGCTGAGTTCGGCATTGATCATCCTCACATCGAACTTTGCGTTGTGGGCCAAGATCAAGGGAGCCACCCCTGGTCCGCAACGGTCCTGGACAAAGCCGACGATGCGGTTCCATTGGGTGGCAAAGACGGGCGCACTCGCCACCATCTGGTCGCTAATGCCGTGGATGTGCTGGTTGGCGATATGGCTCTTGGGATTGACCAGGAGCGAGATATGTTGTGGGTTCGACCGAGTCGGGCCCGCGAAACACGAGGCCTCCTGGATCGCCATCTCGATGATTTGATTTCGCCCCGGCGAGAACCCGGTCGTTTCGGTGTCGCAGATGAACGCCTTGTACGAGACGTATCGGATGCATGCTGGCCTGGGCCGTCGTTGCGGAAGCCGGATCGCGCAAACGATGGCACCGAGGATTCGCGGGAACATTTGGGGCTGATCGGCGTGAGATGGAGAAGGAGCCAAGGACTTGCGAGGGCGGATCGATGCTTCTTCAGGGGGGCCACGCCCACCTGCATCATGTTCGTGTTGTCGCTGATAGGCCAGCCGCGATTCGGACCCAGGAAATGCAGGGATCATGACAGGCGGATGTGTTCTCGGCCTCGATGGAGCAAGCAGATGGACGAATGTCTCGAGGCAAAGAAGTAGAGGGTCGGATTGCGAAAAGTAACTGCGAATTCGTGCAGCTGGGAGGGGGAAGGCGAGTTTCCATGCGAGAGCGACGGAAACACTGGCACATAGGGACGGAGCTGGAACCGGACGCAATGGCGGCCTGCGGCGAGCCATTCGCCCGGTCCGGTGTCTGTTTGTGCGGTACAGGTTTGCAATGCTGGGAAAGCAAAAGGCGGCAGCATCATGGCCATGAAGTCGACGACTGGCGTGGCAGGGAAAGCGATGCACTGTATTGGGGCGACATGGAACTCGACGGGCCGACACCGATTGGAAGATCCAAAGCTGACGGGGTGACGAGGTTGGCGAGGTGCAACAGCAGCATGCAGAAAGGCCGCAACGGAACCGGGCCTTCATCAGAGTGCGTTGACAAGCGACAGGGATCAAGGACGGCCCGGCGATGGAGATCGAAAGCGACTCGGCGACGAAATGCAGGCGATCCAATCGGTCGAGAAACGGAATAAGCAAGAAAGAACCCATCACCCGGATCCTTGCGAGCCAGCTGTGCAGAGTCCCTCGGGGACAGGATGTGTGTGAAGCGAGGGCCGCGACAGCCGGCTCATCCGATCAACACCCTCTCACATCAGCAGACAGCCACTGGTCCGAGGCGGCTCCGAGTCGAGGCCCTGCTTCTCGATCTCGCCCAGGACAAGCTCAAAGATCTTGCCAATGTTCTGGTTGTGCTTGGCGCTCGATTCGATAAAGGCGCAGTTCCACTCGATAGCGACCCGAGTGGCCTCCTCGGTTGGGACCTGACGCTGGTTCGAGAGATCGGCCTTGTTGCCGACCAGGACGATGGGTACCCAGTCGATGCCGGTGTAGTTGAGAATCTTGTCTCGGACAACGTGGCACATCTCAAAGGATTGTCGAGAGGCGATCGAGTAGACGAGGACGTAGCCGTGGATGCCGATGGCGTGCTTGGAATTCAGGATCGAATACTCGTCTTGGCCGGCAGTGTCGATGATCTCGGCGTCGTAGTCCTGGTTGCGGTACCGGACGAGCTTGTGGAAGGTGTTTTCGATGGTTGGGTAGTAGGTGTCTGCAAAGTGGTTCTCGACGAACTGGATGGTCATGGACGACTTGCCGACGGCGCGGGAGCCCAGCACGGCGATTTTGCGGGCCTTGGGAGGAGCTCTGCTCATGGCTGCAGTAATTCAGAGAGGGTGTGGGGCCGATGGACAGACGAGTCGCCGACAAAGGTACCGGCGGATGGGATGGGATGGGATGGGATGATGAGATGGGATGATGGATGGGATGATGAGATGAACGGAAGGCTCGGGCGGACGAGAGGGGCGAACGGGCTGAGGCCGGGCTGGGCTGCGGCGTTCGGTCAGGGGCCGGTTGGGTGCACGTGTGCATCGGTTTGGTAAGACCACAGACGGATGGATGAATGGATGGATTGCACATCTCTGAAGCAGCGAGCAGCGGATGCATCGGCAACGACAGAAGCGGCTCGGTCACAGCACGCAACGAGCAGAGATGGTCTGGTCGGCCGCAATCGAATGTCCGTTCACGACGGATTTGCGGCGGCGCCATTGAAACCGGCCACTGTCGCAACCACCACCAACATATTCTCGGCATCAGGTACCAGTATTAGCGACAGTATCACGACAAAGAGGACGAAGACAGAGCAGGCGACAAAGCTACACGAAACAAGCAATCGATTCACAGGCAGCGACGGCAAAAAATAACAAACTAACAACAGATAATCTATAGCAAAGAAAGTAATTTCAGATAGTTCCCAATCCCGAGGGCCGGGGCAGTTGGTAAAGTGTTTTCAGTGTCGCCCGAAGAGAGAAAGCGCAAAAGAGATAAAGAACAAGCGAACGGGCGAACAAACGGACGAACGAATGAGAGAAAGCTGCGAGAGCCACCTTCATGGCGACTCTGGGCCAGTGCATGCACATGAGCATGTCATGTCGATAAGGTACGGAGCTCGCCTGGTGTAGGGATCGCTCGAGTGTGCTTAGGCTCGAGCGGTGCCCTTGGACCAAAGCTTGTCGCTGATGGACTGAACAAGGATATTGAGCTTGACAATGCCCAACTGGATCTTCTTATTATCCCGCACGGCGACGGGCCCGGCGACCTGCTCGATCTCTGGCTTGGCAATGTCCAGCATCCAGTTCTTGTACTCGAACAGTCGGTAGATTGGATAGCGGATGTACCAGCCGACATCGGCACGCACACGCATCAGCTCGAGCGTCATCGGGTCGGCCGACTCGTCGTTGGGGGCATAGTAGTCCTGGCTCTCGGCGTGGGACTGGATGTGCTGCGACTCGAGCGACGTTGAAACCGGCGAGACGAACTCTTGGTGGACAAATTGCGGGGCGTACGCAAGATCCTGCAGGAAGCGGGCCATCTCGTCTTCGTCGGGTGTGCTGGCGCCTGCTGGCGCTGGCGCAGCAAGGATGCTCCGTAAGAGATCGACCAGAGCCTGCGATAGCACGGCATATTTGATGTACAGCTTTTGGATCGCCGTGGCAAACTTGAGGACCGTTGCGCCAATCTTGACGACTCCGACGCTTTCAGGATTGCCCGGTGCACCAGAGTCGAGTGCGGAGCCGGCGCGGGCACACTCGAGACTGATCTCGGCAGCAAACTTGGTGTGAGTGGTGTCGATTTCTTTGAGCAGGGCAATGAATCTGGAGAGCTCCTCGGTTTCTCCTTCCAGAGGATCGGCGACATGTTGGCGGCGTCGAGCAAGATCATCAAGAAAGGCGGTGATGACGTGCAAATTGTGGACGTAGTTGTTCTGGCAGAGTTTGGCGTGGTGGAGCGGAACGGGAGGGGAGGAACGGTGTGTTAGCCCAAGTGTCCAAGCCAGCGGCGATGCCGATGCCGATGCCGATGCCGATGCCGATGCCGATGCCGATGCCGATGCCGATGCCGATGCCGATGCCGATGCCGATGCCGATGCCGATGCCGATCACACAGGCGAGAGTCGTGCTCGCAGGCTGTCCCTACGCCACCATCAAGAGACTGCGACGTAGCTACAAAAAAACCTCACCTCCTCGGATACCAGAGTTGCGATCGCATTGTTACGCCGTTTGCGGTAGTTGAGGAGCCGATTCAAACTTGGAACGCGTGGGCGGTCGTGATCGGCCAGCTCACCGCGGGCCTCCAACGAAAACGACGCGGTCGTGGCCGGAGAGGTCGATTCATAGGCAGAGAGGCCGCCAGGGCTTACCAGACCCGAGTCACTTGGAGTCAGCTGGGGAGTCAGCTGGGGGTTGGCGTGGGAAGCCTGGGATCTTGGGATGGGCACGGGAGCGCTGACATTCCCGGTCGAGGGCTTGGCCTCGCCCGAAGTGTGGTCCGCTGCTACTGTGGTGGGCGGCTCGGCATCGATGGACGGCACAGGCTGCAGATCCGGAAAGTCAGCCGTATAGGAGCCCGTGCGTGACCGGATCGACTGGCTGTCGGAACCAGCCATGAACGAATGGACCGAGCCCACGGTGGCGGTCCGGGCAATCGATGGCGAGGTCGATATCATGCTGACGGGGCGCTCGCCCATGGGGGGAGGCGGAGGGGCCGCAAGGGTCTTCTGTGCCTTGGAAGCGATGCGCAGCTTGTTTTCGGAGCCGGTGGACGAGCCCAGTGAGCTGACGGTCTGCATAGACATGTTTGAGACGCTGTTTGCCCGGCGAGAGCTCGAGATGGGCGGATGCGCCGTGTCGGAACCGATCTGATATGCAGTCGCCTGAGGGCCGGGCTGTGAGGAGGCTTGTGGGCCCGGTTGCAAGGGCGGTTGCGGCGCAGACTGCGGCTTGGGCTCGTCGCTGTCCTTGAGATTCATGGCGGGCCCGTTCCACCCCTTCTTACGAGCCTGTCGCTCAAGCGCACAGATGGTTCTCAAGACCGTCAGGGCGGACTTGCGGAAGGGGTCCTCGTTGCGAGGCATCAGCAGATCCTCGACGGTGAACAGGATCGAGGTTTTCAGGCCAATGGTCTTGCAGAACTCCAGAAAGAACACGATCTTGTGGATGGTATACTCGTTGCCTGTTCCCAGCAGCTGGCATTGTATCTTTGGGAACATGGCGCAGACCAGATGGCAGAGCACGTTGCCGGTCGATATGATCGTAAGAAGGTCGACGTCGGTTGGGTATTCGTCGTCGAGAACAGTTCCGATCCTTGCATAAAAGGCGACAGAGGAATGTACGGCTGCGCGTCAGACTTGGAAGGAATCCGCCATGACTGCGCCAACATCTGTCCGAGCCGGTCTGTGCAGAAACTCACCAGGCGATCACTTTGGGAGCATACTCGTTGTACATGACGACCGAAGGGATAGCTCCTGTGTGGCGGCGGCATCATATTAGGATGTACATACATGGCCAAGCAGCGCTAGGACGGCGGCACTGGTCCGTGCCGGTACAGAACGCACACAGTGCGGACCCGTTGAGGGGCTCCAAGACTATTCGACCGTGACTCGGCAGCCGAACAGAGTGAAGGACGAGCTACTGACGACACTCCAACAGGCGGTGGAGGGGGGGGGTGATCTTACCGGTCCTAGAGAGTGAATCGCTGCCGAGAGCCATTGCAGGCTAAAGAAGGACCAGGGAAGAAGCCGGTATGAGTTAGACAGCCTCGACATGGCAGATGCGCAGGAATCGTATGCGAACCTTGGGAGTGTTGTCATTGAGGAACCCAAGGTTGGAGGCCAGGAGGAAAGACTCTTCAGAATTGAGAGCGTCCATGAATTCCCGCTGTGCAGAGTTGTCGTCCTAGGTGAGCGAGCCAGTGGACATGCAATGTGCCCCAAAGAGAATGCACCGCACAGGTGTATTAGTGAGGATGCAGGAGATTGCATGGGGATGCATGTGTGGTTTGGGGGACAGAGAAGCAGAGTGCACTCACCGGATCGGCCCGTGTGGAGGTGGCATAGAGCGAGGAGATGGCCTGGAGATGCTTTCGCAGCCTCTCGACCTTGGTTTTGATACGGATGGCATCGCCGTCGGCGGTAATCGGGCCTCCCTGCAGATCCTCGTTGCGGGTGAGATCCAGCGAGGGTGCAAGCGAGGTGGCATGGATCCCTGAAACAGTGCGCGTTGGGGCAGTGGGGATGTACTCGGCCGGCGGTGAGACAGGCTCGGAGTGGACAGAGAAGATTCGGGGCTGATGGGTGCGCTGTGGCTCCACAATCTGCGGCGGGGTGAGATCTGGCGGGGGACTAGTGGACTACAGTGGTGGAGGAAATCGTGTCCGGTGCCCAGCACATTCAAGCCCGTGGAACCGCGGGTGAGACAGACCAGGTCAGTTCGGGGGGGGGCAAGTGGGATCCAGGTGGGTTTGGACCAGAGGAGGGACAGAGTGGTTGATGCCGATCGATCGCAAGGGGGGAAATAGCGATTGGCCGCCATGGAACGAGAGACGAAGTGGGTGGGTGGTGGTGGTGAAGGCGGGGCCGAGAGAGTGCGCCCGCCAGATTGAGGATGAAAACCAGAGTCAGTCGGGGATGAGTGGCAGACGAGTCGAGGCGAATTGGGGAAGCCGATTGTGGGAAGCCGATTGGGGGGGGGCGAGCAAGGTCGCAGAGTGAGCGAGTTGGGATCGTCAAGCAAGTACTGCTCACAGATGACTCGGTACATGGCAAGTTCATGTCGACATTGGCAGGAGCGAGTGTAGGGCGAGCCACTTTGGCTGGCTGGCTGGCTCGACATACCTGGTAGATTTCGTTGGTAGACTCGAGATAAGCCCGAACGAACTCGAGAGACTGCCCGTCCATGAGCATCCGATGGATCGACAGGCGCAGACGGGCACCTCGCCATGTCTTTTGGATCTTGATGGCGGCCTCGTGCTGGGGCTTCATCCAGAGATAGCGCTCGATCGTCTGCATGCCCCAGCTCGAGATCCAAATGGTGCCGCCAAAGGCGTCCTTCTCGCTCAGACGGACGTGCCTGGAGCTGATGCCGAGCTGGGCGATGAAGTGGGAGCACATGGCAACCTTGCGCTCCATGGGATAGAGATGCGATGTGGGAGTGCCGAAGATGTACTTGTCGACAAAGTCGCCGATGGGCAGGGCATGCTCGGGGATCGAGTTGCTCTCGGATGGGGAGCTTGGGCTGGGATACTGAGGCGACTGTGGACCAGGCACAGAGAGCCGGCCTGGTGCGGGTTGCTTCGAGGCCCTGCCTTTCTTCAGAAAGTTGAGCATGCTGGCAGCGACAGTGTGTTCAGGGCCGATAGGAAGGCGGGTGTCGGGGCTTGAGGATGCAGCCCAAGGGCAGGCGGATGGAGCGTCGGGGCGAGCGAGAGCTGTTCAGAGAAGAGACACGAGGGTGTAATTCGACGGCGGGACGGGACAGCCAGAGAAGTAAAGGAAAGGAAAGGAAGAAAAAAAAAAAGGGACGAAGCTGGGAAAGAGTCGGCGACGAGAGGAAAGCCGTGGATGAGGACCAAGACCTGCCGAGCAGTCGAGCGGTCGAGCAGTCGAGCGGGGAAGACAAGAAGGACCAGGAGACCGGGGCTTTGTTTGCGACTCGGGGAGGAGCCCAAGGACAGGGCAGACTGGAGAAGGGATCGCCAGAGAGCAGCGACGGGCAGGGCGAGGGCAACGAAGGCAGCGAGCGCAAGGGAAGACAGGTGCAAAGGAAGCAAGCGAGCAAGCGAGCAACCGACCAGGCCGGGCAGCAGGAGCGGCAGCGACCGAGGGCACGGCCAAGGCCGACAATGCATCGCAAGAAGAAACACCAGCAGCAGGAGCTCTCGAGCACTGGCGCACAAGCGCGGCCATGCGTTTGAAGCACCGGCGCGCGCCACTGCTCGTGGCAAGAAGAAAGCAAAGGCGCTGGGGGCTGGGCGTTGGTCCGGAAGTGACAATCGGAAGTGACAGTGCATACGGCAGGTGGAATGATAAACATCTGCGGTTGGCGGGATGGTGTGTGTGGTTTGCAACGAAACAAATAACATCGACTGCGGTCCAGCAGCGAGAGAAGGGTGCGATTGGGCAATCCGTCGTCGCTCAAAGTTGTGGGAACAACCGTGTTGACAAGTGGTGCTAACAAGTGGTGCTGACAATCGGTGCTGATAAGCAAGGACATGAGAGCGACGACGAGCACGGACGGAAAGCTGATTCGACCCACTCCATCCCACTCCTGCGAGCTCTATCCCACTCTCGCGAACTCTATCGTGTTGTGCTGAATTACATCGCACACGCCCCCCTCCAACCCAGTCCCACGCGCTTCCATCCGCCGGCCGCCGCTCCTTTTCCTTGGCTGCAACAAGGCTGCCCGCGGCTTGTCTCTCCCCGCCTTGGCTGCTCGGCTCCTGGGCCCAGTTCGCCAGCGTGTCCGCCTGGCCCTTTGCTGCGCGGCTTGCTGAGCGGCCTGCGTTCTGCCGTTCACGCGTCTGTCCTGTGCTGCATCCCTCGCCCAACGTTGGGCGCCACCACGCAGGCCGAACGCTGCTGCTGCTGCTGCTGCTGCTGCTGCTGCATCCCGCCTCCTGCATCTCGCTCCTGCGTCTCGCTCCTGCATCTCGCCCGCATCGTGCTTCTGTGTTCTTCGGCCTCACGGGTCTGGCTGGCGGCTCTTGCCTCGGCCAGCTGCGCAGCACTCTCGCCACAGCGCGTTTGTCACACTGCGGTGCGACACCCCAGTGTCCCTTTGTCTCCGGATCGAGTGTGCGATCCCGCCGGATCCAGCCAGCTCGGCTGCTCAGCCACCCCGCGCCACACGGCTTCTCCGCCAGACTCGATCCGCACTCGATCCACTCCCGATCCGCACTCGATCCACTCCCCACATAAAGCCTGCCCGAATTCCGCGAGATCTTGCCAACAACACACCGCCGTTTCGTCGAGCCGGCTCTCCCTCCACTCTCCCGAAATCTCCGTTCACACCACGCCGTTGCCGCCGTCGCCATGGCCACAGCGTCTGCAGTGCCCTCAGGTAGCGTCCTTGCTCTCTCGTCGCTCCCGCTCTATCCCTGCGATCGCCTCGACACCCCTGCACCGCCTCGTCTGGATCGATTGCTCGATGTGGTCGCTAATGCGCTCAGGTCCTCCAACCGCGCGATCGCTGCAGGCTCGAGCCTCCTCGGCCGAGCGGGTGGTGCCTACATCCCGCCGGCCAAGCTCCGCGCCATGCAGGCCGCCATCACCGACAAGTCAAGCGCAGAGTACCAGAGGATGAGCTGGGAGGCCCTGAAGAAGAGCATCAACGGCCTGATCAACAAAGTCAACACCTCCAACATCAAAAACATCGTCCCGGAGCTGTTCTCGGAAAACCTGATTCGCGGACGTGGCCTGCTGTGTCGGAGCATCATGAAGGCCCAGTCCGTGTCGCTCCCCTACACCCCTGTTCTAGCTGCCCTCATCGCCGTCATCAACACCAAGCTCCCCCAGATCGGCGAGCTTCTCCTCGTGCGGCTGATAGCCCAGTTCCGCAGGGCTTACAAGCGCAACGACAAGACTATCTGCATCGCCAGCACAAAGTTCCTCGGTCACCTCGTCAACCAAAAGGTCGTCCAGGAAATCCTCGCCCTCCAGATCCTGATGCTGCTGCTCGAGCACCCCACCGACGACTCGGTCGAGGTCGCCGTCGGCTTCATGAAGGAGGTCGGCGCCTTCCTCACCGAGGTCTCTCCGCGTGGCACCAATGCCGTCTTTGAGCGCTTCCGCGGCATCCTCCACGAGGGCCAGATCGACAAGCGAACCCAGTACATGGTCGAAGTGCTCTTCCAGATCCGAAAGGACAAGTTCAAGGATAATGCCGCTGTCGAGGAGGACCTCGACCTGGTCGATGAACAGGACCAGATCACACACTACAAGCTGCTCGACGACGAAGCCAGCATCGAAGATGGGCTCAATGTCTTCAAGTTCGACCCCAATTACCTCGAGAACGAGGCTAGATACCAGCAAATCAAGCGTGAGATCCTCGGCGACGATGACGAGGACGATGATGAAGATGAAGATGGCGACGATGAGAGCAGCGACGGCGACGAGAGCGACGACGCCGAAGCTGGTGACGAAAGGGCACCCTCGACCGAGCAGCTTCAGCAGCAAATGCAGATCCACGACCAGACCAACACCAATCTCATCAATCTCCGTCGCGCCATCTACCTCACAATCATGTCCAGCTTGAACTTTGAAGAATGTGCCCACAAGATCCTCAAGCTGAAGATCCAGCCTGGCCAGGAGTCCGAGGTCTGCGACATGATCATCGAGTGCTGCTCCCAGGAGCGCACCTACATCAGCTTTTATGGTCTTTTGGGCGAGCGTTTCGCCAAGATCGACAGAGTCTGGGCCGACAATTTTGCCCAGTGCTTCGAACGCACCTATCAAACCATCCACCGCTACGAGACCAACCGTCTGCGCAACATTTCAAAGTACTTTGCCCACCTTCTGGCCTCCGATGCCCTCACCTGGGAGGTCTTTGCGCTGATCCGCATCACCGAGCAAGACACCACCTCGAGCTCCCGTATCTTTATCAAGATCCTGCTGCAGGAACTCAACGAATCGATGGGCCTGCCGAAGCTGAAGCAGCGCCTCGAGGACCCGTATATGGTCATTACCGTCAACTCCGAGCACGGCTCCGTCACCCGCGGTGCCTTTGACGGCCTCTTCCCCAAGGACAATCCGCGAAATACGCGCTTTGCCATCAACTACTTCACTAGCATCAACCTCGGCGGTCTGACCGAAGACCTGCGTGAGCACCTCAAAAACGCACCAAAGCTGATCATGGCTCAGCAGCAGCAAGTCGAGAGTTCCGACTCGTCGTCTTCGGATTCAGACTCGGATTCAGGCTCAGACTCGGATTCAGGCTCGGACTCGGATTCAGGCTCGGACTCGGAATCAGACTCGGAATCGGAATCGGGCTCAGATTCATCCAGCTCCAGTGCGTCCTCTCGAAACGATCGCCGCAGCCGTCCCAAGTCTGCTCCAAGAAAACAGCGATCACCCAGCCCACCGCCGCGCGAGAGTGCTCGTCGCCGCAGCCCCGATGCTGCCCCCGCTCCGAGAGCCCCGGAGCGAGTCCCGGAGCGTGCCGCACGATCCCCACGCAGCGACCGTAGCCCGGCTGCCCGCTCAGGCGGACCTCGTGGCGATCGACGACCTCCTGTGCGCGACTTGGATCGACCAAGCGACCGGAGAGGCTCGCCACGACGATTCCAAAACCGCTCACCTCCAGTGCGCCGAGGCTCGCCCGCGCGGGACCCTGCTCGGAGGCGCTACGATAGCCCTCCTCGCCGGCAGCGCCGTGACTCGCGCTCGCCCGATTCGCGTCGCCGTCGCCGATCTCCCGGCGGCGATTCAAACGATGACCGGCAGCTGCGCAAGAGGCCACGAGAAGACGAACACCGGTCCCGCAGCCGCTCTCGGGACGAGCGTGGTCCCCAAAGGCGACCTCGATACCGCTCGCTCTCCCGGTCGAGCTCTGCCTCTGCTTCTGGATCTGGCTCTGGATCGTCCGGCTCGGGTTCCCGTTCGCGCTCCAGATCAAGCTCGGGCGGCTCTTCTCGCTCGCGGTCCCAGGACCGAAGCCGCCCGGGTAATCGCCGCCCACGCAGTCCGTCTGGCTCTCCGAGACGACGAAGACGCAGCTACTCCCGCTCGCCCTGAGTCGCTAGTATGCATCCCTCTTGCACCCTTTCGCCACTGGGGCTGTGTACCTCCAGCACTGTGCCTCTGAGCGATTCACATGCCCTTGCGGCTGACTCGCACTCCCTCCCCCCTCCTCCTTCGAAGAAAATACACCTGCAGTGGACAGGCAGTGGCTTGCAATGATCATGTCTCACCTTGGCCCGTCTCACTGAGATGATCAAGCACCTGGCGCCGTTGCCCAGTTGACTATTTGACTGGCTCACAGACCCGGCTGGTGGTCAGAGGCCTGTGTGGCTGCACCTTTCCCAAAGCCAAGCGGGACACCTTGTTTTGAGTCAGGGCTGCCGTTTTATTCTGGATCTGAATACACTCGTCACGACCAAACGGTGGGCTCACAGCGCCTGGAGGCCAAGCGGCTCGAGCAGCCCGAGTATCTTGACATCGAGAAACCATGGAGTGTCGCCCAGAGGACCGATTGCATCCACCATTTTGTTCACAATCGTGAGTGAGATATTCGATAGCAAAGAGCACAGCACAACACAGCACAGGATGGAGGAGGAGGAGGAGGAGGAGGAGGAGGAAGAAAGTGACGTACAGGGCAAGAAGGGCCTTGGGGGAATGAGCAAACAGAGGCGGGAGCAGCAAGTCCGCCGCAGGAGCGGCAAGGTACAAAGATGAAGCGGTGCGGGCAAGCGATGGCAGACAGACAGGCGGCGGCTCGCTCTTGGCGCAGCGGCCAGGGCACAGATGGAGAGTCGAATATGGAGCAGCAGTGCGGCTTGACAGGGACGGTGGTATGGAAGCAGATACAGCAAATGGCTGTTGTTCGCGCCCAGCGCTCTCACGACTTGATCTGCAAGTCCTGGCTGGGGCTGTGGCTGTCGGAGGACCGCGGACGAACACGAAATATGGACTGAGAATCAAAGGCCGTGTCGGAGACGCCGTGGATGAGCGAGGAGTCGATGTTGAGAGGCCGGAGGTTGGTGACGGGTATCACTTGGCTGAGTATCCCTGTGTCCACATGGCGCACCTCGATAAAGGTGGGATCGAAAGCAAGGACGTATGGTGGGACATATGCTGTTCGAGGAAGGCAGATTCGGGGGTGGAGAGTGGGTGGGCAGAAAGCGACGACAGCGGACAACCGAGACGATGAGTACGGGGCATATCCAGCAAGCCGACAGGAACATCCACGATCCGACCAGATGGAGGCAAACGAGCTTACCGAATGCCGTGGGGGCTCCCGACCAATTGATCAACAGCTCGGTATTGGTATGCTTGCCGAGCTTGTTGACATAGAAGGCGAACTCTGTGCAAACCAACGCCAAGTCGAGAAAGTGGCGGCGAAGTGAGCGGGAGGCAACAATCCAACCAAGTGATCATGACGGGCTGTTGCCTTGGGGAGGGAGGGTTTCGCTGTGGCTCTCTCTGCCAAGGTACCACAGGATGCACTCCGCTCCGGCGGGTGAGGAACTCAGTATACCAGGATAGCAGAGTAAAAACTCTCCGTCACGGACGCGAAAAATGGCGATGGACTTGAGATTGTCTCGCTTGCGGAACTGGTTGAGCGACTCGTCTTGGGGATCCAGTAGCTCTGTCATGTTCCGGAACAGCGCCGAGCGAGCAATGGTCGAGGTACAGCAAGGTCAGAGTCCCACAAAGCAACAATTACCCACCAACATGAACAGACAGACAGATCGACGGCCAGACAGATAGACAGACGCAGGGGCCCACCTTGGCTGCTCAGCGTCTCCAGGTCGACAACCTCGAACCCCTTTTGACTGCCAACGCACAGTTTGTTCTTCAAGAAATAGACAGTGCTTGATTCGGCAGGAATATAAAACTCCTGCAATGATCGAATGAGTTGCTGGCTACATATCACTGCGGGTCGCACATATTGCTGCGGATCGCACATATTGCTGTGGGTTGCACATATTGCTCTTGATCGAACGCAATATCCCAGGATCATATGCGCACATGCATACACACCGCTGTGCCCGTCGCCGCTGGCGACACTCTCTACCTACCTTCAGGATTTTCATCGAATCTCCTCCGGACCGGAACAGCTTGGCGAAACGATTGGCCTTCTTCCTTGTGTTGCCCTGGTCCACAGGCTCGAAAATCTTGATGGTCGACGACAGCGTGGTGGACCGGACCGTGCATATCACGGTCTTGCCCATAAATGCACCAAGCTTGAAGAAACTGACGGGGCTGGTGATCTTCTTGGACCGCTTCTGGGCGGCTTCCTGCTGTCCTTCGTTGAGGAGATCCAAGGGAAACGTCCACAGGGTCGAGGCTATGCCAGCAACAAAGAGTTCATGGCTCAGTGCTTTGCCCGACAGCGAGGGACGCTTCTCTTTACCGATTGACCACTGGCGCGACGGTATTTTGCCGATAACGACGCATGGACATCCGATCAACCGCCTCTGCAGCGTTCTCTGCCATGCCGCACAACTCACCAGCAAGGATCGCAATTGTCTCGAAATCCTGGAGCACCTCGATCTGGGTGACTTTCTCGAGTTCCAGGACATGCTGAAACGCCGCCGTCCGGATATCAGTCGGAAAGTTGAGGCTATTCTCCGGACCGAGCCATAGCCCGTTGTCGGTGCCGAGGATGAGTCGGCTTCCGATTGCCGCTGAGCAGTTGACCTTGGAGTGATTGGTTAGGTTGGTGTCGACAAGGGTAACGACCTCGAATATCCGTTGGCTGTCGACCAGAACCTTTGACTGCTTGTCGATTGCTTCCCGCCAGGCGCGCCGGTCTGCGTGGCTCGAGGCATACAGAGTATACGTGCCGCCAAACCGCCCCAGATGGATGACGGTGACGGGGAAGCCTTTCTCGGTGAGGCTCGAGGACGATTTGGGAGCTGTTGCGGTCGAGGACGTGCGAATGTCCTTGGAGGACTCTCTGCGGTCGAGGGTTACTTTGAGGAAGAGAGCTGACTGTCGATTGGCTTGTACCGTCCTGTCGGTGCCGAGCACCAGCAGTTCGAGAGGGATTGGCTGTGGGCCAGAGACGTAACCAAGCACGGGCGATCCGCAGCGCATACAGAGCGGATGAGAGGCGTTAGACGGAGTGCATCGAGTCGAAAGAGACAACCAGCACTACTGGGGTATCCAATACAAGGCAGATCATGGCAGGCGGTATGCTCGCCGTGCTGCCGTTGACTCTGCCCCAGCGACTTGCCTTCTTGAACACCTTGAACCCGGTTTTCTTGACCTTGGTCAAGAGTAGGCAGTGATCGAACAGAAATATGTGAAGCGACAGGTCCGTCGCCGCTTTCTTGAAGGTCATTGTGCCGTCTCGCACAAACAGTCTCGACGGATCCGTGAGTTGCAGATCCTGAGGTGGTGGGAGTGGGAGCCAAACCAAAGCCGCACGAATCGAGATGTGCCGGCAACGAGAGAAATAAAGGGGCGGTGAGTGGATCGCCATTTTCGACTTCAAACCCGCCAGTTTACTGGCAAGCATAACAATGCCAGTGCGGCTACTGACTGCCGAGTGTAGCTGTATCGGCGCGCATGGGCCGCACAATGGCACCCACCTCATACTCCCCCGGCGGCCACAGAATCTTGTGATGCAGCCGCGCCAGCTTCAGAATGTTGTCGGCCTTGCCGGCTTCGGTGTTGATCCGCTGCAGGACGTCGCGAATAACCTTGATCGAGTTACTGATGAGCAATTGATCGGGATGCTCCTCCGATGTGTATTTGAGAACATTCTCGAGCAGCAGAGGGTATCGCCCCATCCGCGTCACGGGCCGTCCCAGGAAGCTTTGGATTGGCAAACGCCGGCTGTCGGGGTGTCGCTCGACTTCCTACAATGCGAGAGGATGACCACAGTTAAAGCTAAAGCACAGCTACACATGCCACATTCATCAGGACATGTGAACACCATGTGAAACAGCTATGGGAGAGAGTTTCTGTTCTAGATGTGAAGCAGGTTGACCAGCGGGTCGGCGGTCGCGCTGGGACGGCAGACTCATATCCTTTGATATGTACCTGAAGCAGCTTGGCGAAATCGGGGTTCTGGGCAATCTCAACGTCGAGGGTGTTTTTGGCATAGACCTGCTTGGCGCCATATTCGACAAAATGAGAGAACTCGTTGACCACGCCCAGGAATATATCGCCAATCTTGGAAACGATGTAGTTTTCGCTTTGGCGAGCCAAGAGCTGCCGACACAGCTTGGAGTTGATTGCATGGATTTGGCCAATGTTCAAGAAGACTTCTTTGACAAAGTCGTCGCGCCGTGTGTCCGGGACAATATCCGATTCCTTCAGTCGCTTGACATAGAGCTTCCCACCAAGAATGTCGAAAGGGGAGGTGAGCAGGCTACCCAGCATGCTCAATGTCCATATCAAACCACTATCTGGGGGAAATGAAGCCAAGGCAGAGGAGCAGTCGACAAAGAGCCTACATTCTGCACCAGCGCCAGGTCCGCAACAAACTCTTGCTCAGTGTGGATGATTTCATAGATAATCTCTTGCCGCTTCCGCTCCTTGTCCGAGGTCGAAGCCAAGACTTCCTCAGGCACAACGGCAGACCATAGCTGATTCAGTTCCATCGTGGGGCAAGTTCAAGTCCGAACCAAGGCAGGGAGGGCACCGACATTCCAGGGATTGAGTCGATATGCCGCACAGGAGGGGTTAGCCGCCACAATAAGCCCAACCGACAGCGTTCATTGCATTGGCGACATCAACAAAAACAGACACAGTCGACGAGCATGTAGTCCTTCGTTCAAGCCAAGCAGCCGCAACAGAAAGCGAACCTTGTTGTGATTCGAGCTTCCGCGATGGAGCTGCGTGACTTGGTTGCTGACTCGAGTTTGCTGCTCCAGGCGCCGCGGGCAGGCGATGCTGTAGCATAGTTTCTCGCGGGTACATGTGGGCGAGTAGCAATCCGTGAGGAGAGTGAACACTCCAACGGGAGTATCGTCGGTGAAGTTGAGAGACAGTGGGGTTGGCTCGTTGTTTGGCGAGGCTGAATCGATGCCGTCGGCCTCGAGCATGTTGATTTCGCTATGGGCCGTGATGCCTCGGGCAAGGCGGATCGATGAGATCGAGACACTGAACTGGTACAGTTCGTGCGGCGAGTCGCGCAAACGGTGGTTGTAGTGGACATCGTGGAAGAACTTTTGGGACTCAAGAGCTCGGCCGATGAGGATGGCGAGATTCCGATCGGTAGTTTTGATAATGTATGCCAGAGTATCCTAGGACGGTAGAAGAACAAGCAAAAGACATGAGGCGGGGAGGAACCGACGCCAAGTGAGTCGGTTTGTTGCTGGGTTGTCGACGATGGGACCGCGGAGGTGGGCCTTGGGCTTGAGCGGCAAGGGGGGCAACATGCCAAACGAGAGTTCCACCAGAGGCACTCGGCTTTATGGCACCCCGCTTGGAGCCTGCATGGCTTTGGCGGCTCTGGCTGGCTGTCGGATGGACGAATGAAGAGGCCCAAGGCACACCATCGCCGAGGCGCCGACAGGGGCCCCGAAACAGCATGCATGGGTGAAGGAATAGCCACACGCATACCACAGCTTCGGCCCCGGTGAACGAGTCCTTATACTCCAACGAGTCCTTGACATGGGTATCGAGCCGGAGGATGGCCCGAAAGGCCATCGCAACCTGCGAGAGGATGGCCGTGTAGATGACCGGCAGATTCAATGCCTCATATGGGGTCGCTGAAGCGCTGCCCCTGGCGCCCCTCCGATAGCTGCTGGCCGAAACCGAATCTCGGGTGACGGCGGACTCTGTGGACCGGCTTCGGGCGCGGAAGCTTTCCTTCCTTCGCTCGAGCTCTGGTCGACAAACGAGCATACATCCGTCATAATTGAAGCAGGCCGGGGTCGAGATAGACGACAGCGAGCAGGGAATGCACAGATAAGCGAGCAAATGGGTAAGCATGTCTCGCAATGGCGTTGGAGCACCCTCGCCTTTCGCTGCGAGGGTGCGCGGCTGGCCGGGCTGCAACCAGTCCCGGCAGATGAACGACGACACTGAAGAGCGGACGGGATCCAGGTGAACGATACTGTACGTCCTTCAGACATCATCTTGGCGGCGGTGGAGGATGGTTGTGGAGGCAGACGCTGGGCGGGAGTTGGACGGCAAGGTGAGATGGACCGCGAATGCTCTCAACCAGGGCGGCAGGAGTGCTGCAAGCGGATGTGATCGCAGGGGGGGGGATCTGGAAGGAGACAAAGGAGGATCGCCGGGAAAGCGGATGTCGCTGGTGGAGTGCGTCGACTGCCCCCTCCTCGCTGATTGGATATGGGGTCGTGGCAGACGATGCTCACCAAGAGGGTCTTGGCTCTGGCTCTGGCTCTGGATCTGGACCTGGATTGCTCAGGAGAAGTCGGAGGAGAGGGGACAAGCGAACAGACCAGCCCGGTCTGTCGATACGGGCAACTTCACGCCGAATGGGCAGCCCCGCGCGCCAGAGAAACAGGGCTGGTTCGGCGATGCCCGGACCAATTGCTGCCGAGCCCGGCCGTGCTGAGCAGCGGCAGCGGCAGATGCTCGCGGGGCAAAGGCGACGGCGGGTGCGTGCTGAGCGTCGTGTGGATAACTAATGGTGAACTCGTTATGAAACGGGACGCCTCGACGCACGGATGATATGTGGTTTGTGTTGAATGGTGTCGATTGATCATCGTTGAATGATATCGATTGATCATTTGGCTGAAGGACATCGATCAGCGTTCGCGCTGTTGCGATGGACTCGGCCGATGAGATGGCGACCACAGTCATGGACTCCGTGAGACAGACCCGCTCGGTTGTTCTTGGCCGAGCGAGACATGATCCAAGGGCACTGTGTTTTGCCTGAAAGAAATGGTGCGGGCCATGCTGTAACGGTGACGGTGGCATGAATGGTTGTCGATGGCGACATAGACGCCTTGCGATGTCGGGATGACTGGGGCTGACATGGATACTGTCACAGTGCTTGTGCGAAGAGACGTTGCCCAGTGCGTCGGTCAACCGAATGCATCGCATCATGTCTGGTCCCTGTTCCCAGAAGCCCCGCCGGGTGCCGCCAGAGCGGGGCATCCAGGGTGCTCGAGTCCTTGGCGGGCGACTATCGCATCCTGCATCTCTCGAGGCTGGCCCGATCAGCATCCCATCGCCATGAGCTCGTACGGCGAGTTGAAGGAAGGTGTGTAGCCCATGCCAGAAGCAACATTGGTTTGTGAGAATGCTGCGGGCAGACACCAGATCCGCACCCTGGGCTCGGTCAAATCCGTTGGATTCGGCTGCCTGCCGTGCGGTCTGATGTTCAGCCGACTCACTCAACACATTCAATGCACCCGACACCTGGCCCGATCCGCTCGGCCAACACCGTACTCGTCCTCTCACCTGCGTGTCGCTGGCCGTTACCGCTGCCGGTGGCACCGGCCGCTGGCCTGGCTGGACCACAGCCTTAAAGGAGACGCTTGCCGCTCGGGGAATCCTGGATGAGCTCAAGGCAAAAATCAGGGCCGAGGTCTTCCGGTCGCTGGAAGATGATGTGAGTATCATGGGCACCACGCGTGTGTCGACATGACAATCGGCCGCATCCTATGATCGACTGCATCATCCATGTGGCTGGTCTGACCCACAGCCGAAACTGCTTTCCCAGCTCCAGCCGCGACCAGCGCCGGCACATGAAACGCAGACGATCAACGGCCTGATCCGGGAGTATTTGGAGTGGAACGGATTCCGCCACTCGCTCTCGGTCTTTGAACTGGGTAGGATCTCCGTCTGCTATCGAGCCGAGCACTGATCGTCGGGCAAGAGGCGTGCAAGACCTTGCCTTCGTTGGGTTGGATGGCTGGAAGCAAAGCATGGGAGCTGAGCCTGCCCGTCGTGCACGCCGGAATCAGAGACCGGATCGGTCAACTCTGAGTCTCCAACCCGCGATCAGCTCTGTGAAGAGTTTGGACAAGATCCAGGTGTCTTCAACGACCCGAGCCGAAAGCACCGGTGAGCACTCGGGCTGGGCCGGACTGGGCTGGGTCGGATTGTGTGATGGTGCTGCTTTGATCCAACACCTCGCCAAGCCAAATGCAGTCGATCGATGGTTCTCCATGATCCTTGGACCGGCAGTTGGCACAGTCATATGCACACAGCCAAATCGGACAGCTCGCACTCGCTCACTCGCAATATGCGCAGGCCATTGCTATACGACCTAGTCTACCAGAACTCCAAAGCTCCATTGACAGGCGCGAGAACACTCGAGACGAGATCCAAACTGCCAGGCCGAATCATGAGCGATGCGCCTGAGCCGCTCTCGCTGGATCACGATGTGTTTGAAGTGAGAAAATAAAGCTGGACAGCCCACAATCGCAACGGAGGCGCGCACTGTTGCAGCGCAACCCGATCCGTGACGATTCCACCGCAGTTTGTCGCTGTTCCATAAGCTGGCTTAGTGCCTGAACCTCATTCGTGTCCCGGGCGGCCGCGCCAGCCGACCGATCCCTTCGCTGGTCTCGCAATCCCATCGATGCTCGCAGAATGGTCGCTGGGGCGTCGTCGTATGATAGCAGGATCTTGTAATGGTGACGGAACTGACCCATCGACAAAACATTAGCATCGACGTCCGTTTCCAGTGTAAAAAGCATGCGCAGGATCGCAGCAGCGCGGCGAGTCAGTTGATTGTCGCATATGAGGATTGGTCGAATCGATTCGCGGACAAGCTTGTCCAGCGGCAGTCGTCGAGAGGGGCGTTGTCCGTGACGCCCTGGCTCCGCGTGGATCTTGGGGATTTGCTCCACAAAAGTGTATTGGGATATACTGTAGTGCCTATCCAACAGCTGTTACATCACTTCGAGGTGGCTGTGGCGACTGGGCTCTGGAATGTGACCCTGCTTACTGCTGAGCGGCAGCGAGCTTCTTCGCGGCAGCGGCAGCACGGAGGGGGGCGCTGAGGTAAGAGACAGTAGTGAGGGTTAGATCCGCCCACCAACTCAGACCGGGCTTTCTGCCGCTCTGTTTCCGTGTCTACGATTGTCGCTATCGCACGTTCCCTCTCAATGCATTCGCCACGACCGGTGGCAAACGTTGAAACAAGCAGACTTACATGGCAAGCTCGACGGCTATAGAGCGGGAGGAAGGTCAAATACACATACGACAGGAATACGCTCGTCAGTTGCTGTTGGCATGATGCGGATGCAATTTCCACAGAGGTTTTGCACATGCACCGGCGCCCAGGAGATGCAGCGGCTGCTTACAGAAGAAAGGCAGGCCCAGGCCGACGATGGACAGAGTCCAGAAGACAGTGTTGAAGATGATGCGGTTCTTGAAGCCGAAGGGGAGGGTCTACAAACAGGTGATGGGGTTCAGTGAATTGCTCAAGGAATCGCTGGCTTTGCTGCAGATGACATGAGGGCAGGCCGCCTTGGGCATTGCGGAAATGAATCCTCTTGTATCGGAGTCGCTACGACCGATCGATTCTATTTGCTCTGTTGCGGCATTGACCGTCCCGCGTTGTTTTCGCAACTTGCGGGTCGCAAGCGGCCATGACCATCACCACCCCGCCGGCGGCAGGTCCTTGGCTGGCTGGCTGCAGCAGACGAGCAGCAGACGAGGAGACACTTACACCGCGGCGGACCCAGTTGACACCGCTGTTGAATGAGAAGGGCAGCAGGTCGGGGTTCAAGATGGATTTCGAAAGAGAGGCGAGCGATTAGCGGACGCGGCCCGAGCCCGAATCCAGAGCGAGTCCGCAACAACCTGTCTCGGATGCGAATATGACGACGTACGTGAAGTGAATGGGGCCGAAGGGGGCGTTGGCGTGATCGGCGCCCCGTCTCAGCAGGGTCGACGCGCGGGCGAGGGCAGTCTTGGCGAACATGGCGGACAGGCGATGAGGGACAGGAGAGGAGACGGAGCAGAGAGGAGCCGAAGGAAGCGACAGAAGGATTCGAGACGCCATCGGAAACGATTTTTTGCTTTTTTCTGAGAGCGCGGCGAGAAGCACGGCGGCGAGAAGAGAGCGCCGACAAAGGCACGGATGCGAGGGGCGAGAGCAGCCGAGAACGCCTGGCGAGACGACGCGGATGGCAGCACAGAACGCCGTGCGTGCACGGAACAGCCACTGGCGTGAGCCACGGTGTGTCATGTGGCTTAGCGGCGGGTCGAGCCGGATCGAGCTGGGTCGAGGGCCGGGTCGATCCGGAGCAAGCCGCAAGCGCGCAAAGGAGCAAGGCCGCGCAAGAGACAAGGCCGCTGCCACGTGAATTGGCTCATGGCCCGATCGACACCGCCGCGCCGACCACTCCACGTCCTGCCCGGTCAAGAGCAGACCTGTCCTTCCGGCTGCCATTTCAAATACCGCAGTCTCTCTCCCACCTGCTCGCTCGCCGGGCTGCTCCAAGATTGCTCCAAGATCGCCGGCTGCATCGCCGTCCTGAACAATCTCACATCGCCGTCCTGGACAATCTCATATCGCCAGCTCCACCCTCGGCTCGCTCTCGGCATCCAGAACCGCAGTCCCGGCCCTCCAAATGAATCCCTCGCCGACATCCGATTGCTGTCAAAGCCTGCCTCCCTTGCACCAGTACAGCAGGGCTCGCCAAGACATCCGCACGATCCTGGAGGCCGAGTTGCAGCTATCCCATCGCGTCCGTGAATCGCTCGACATCATCCGCGAAACATTCGAGCAGTTCGGGTATGCCTCAATCGAAATGGATAGTCGACCGGGCGCCGATCTCCAAATCGCACTCTGCCGCTGCGAGCGTCAAGAGGGATGCGGCGTGTATCGGCACTGCCTCTCGCTGCCATGTGCCGTTCGGCACTAGATCAGCTCGTTGTCAGCAGCCGTAATTGCATCGCTGACCCATTCACTTCCATCCTCTGACGCACTGCTGTGATCGCGCCTCCTGTCATCCGGGCGCCGGCCAACTGTCCATTGCGATGCGATCCATTGCATCGGCTGCTCGACATATGTGGGACTGGCTCCATCGACTCGATCCAACGGCATTGCTCCGCTTCCACAACCGACATCCGTGGCTCCGGCCTCCTCAGCGTCGAGCATGTGGCCCTCAGCTTCAACGGTGGCAAGGACTGCACCGTGATGCTGCATCTCGTCGCCGCTGTCCTCGCAGAGCAACAACACAAGCACCCTGAATCATGGGCGCCCATCAAGACGCTGTATGTCACTCATCACTCGCCCTTTGGCGAGGTCGATGACTTTGTCGAGTTTGTCGCGACAAGGTGAGAGTGCGCCGATATCAACAGACCTGGGCATATGCGGCTCCGTTTCCGTCGTTGCCGTTGGTGATGCTGATGCTGATGCTGATGCTGATGCTGATGCTGATGCTGATGCTGATGCTGATGCTGATGCTGATGCTGATGCTGATGCTGATGCTGATGCTGATGCTGATGCTGATGCTGATGCTGATGCTGATGCTGATGCTGATGCTGATGCTGATGCTGATGCTGATGCTGATGCTGATGCTGATGCTGATGCTGTCCGCGAGATTGGCCATTCGAGCAAATCTACGGTGCTGCAGCTACCATACTGATCAGTCGGATGTGCCGCTATGCGATCGCCACTGGATCTGCGCCCCGGTTCCAGCTACTCGCTCGATATCATCCGCACCCCACCCCCGATGAAGCAGGGGCTGCAAGAGTTTCTTTCATCGGCTCCTCAAATCAAGGCTATCTTTATTGGAACACGGACAACCGATCCATTTTCGGGTATGCGGGCCAGCATCTCGTTGGGGTGAAGGAGTCAGCCAATTGAGCCGCTGTTGCAGCCCCGGCTGCAGTTGTGGGCTTGAGCTTTATGCTTGTTTGAACTTGCGGTATATCTTTTGTCGAGGATGCGTCCTGCTGCCCCCCGGCACTCACAGCCCCGGCTCCCGACATTGCCTCCATCTCTCTTGGATCTTTGTCCTGTCCCGATTCCACCAGCCGACATCATGCCAATCCAGCCCACGGACGATGACTGGCCCAGGGTTATGAGGGCACATCCGATCCTGAACTGGGAATACGGCGATATCTGGGATTTTTTGAAAATCGCCAACGTTCCGTACTGCTCGCTGTATGATCAAGGGTCAGTTGCGTCGGGCCGCACTTTCAGCCGTACTTTCAGCCGCACTGTCGCTCGGTCTCTCCTTACTTATGTGCCTTTGCGTTGCAGATATACCTCCCTTGGTGGCACCACTGACACCATCCCAAACCCCTGCCTTGCCAACCCGCTCCGGAGCTCCGGTTACGACGAGGCATTCCGACTCAAGGACTACTCCAAGGAGCGCGATGGGCGGGTCAAGCGAAAGACATAATAGATTGCGGCGACATTCATCCCGCCTTTCCCACGTGCATTTTATGGACAACTGAACTATGCCCGCCGCTGGGGCAGACGCTGATTGCCACAACTGAAATCGAGCCTAAGAGCGGAATTGCGCATGGGATGCCGGACTATGTATGATACGATGAATGGGACGATCGGCCCTTGCGTGTTGATTTGATTTGATTTGGTTTGGTTTGGTTTGAACTGATCTGAATGCTGCCTGGTACGGTTTGCCTCGCTTGCGATGCACGAGCTGGGTGGAATTGAAATGCATCGCGGAAGGCCGCGACACGCAGGAATCCAAGTGGATACACAGGCGACGGCCTTATTGGATGTATGCATCCGATGGGATGTTGCTCTGGTGGAGATGAAGACAAGGATGAGGATAGATGGCGCCAGCAACAAGAAGAGAAAGAGGTGCGACAATGTTAGTGCTGGGATGGCGGCTGAAGGCAAGCGGCGAGACATGTCTTGAGCACTCGGTCGAGAACAGGTCACACCCACCTTGTGCCGATGGAATGCCTCCAGGGCCGTCGTCATCTGCCAGCCGCAGTCGCTGAGGCATTGTAGCGAGTAGGCATAGTTGAGGTGGGTCCTCGATGAGATTTCGTAGACCATTTCGAGCTGCTGTGGGTTCTGTAAAGGCGGGTCCGGCGGGGCGCAGCGAAAGTGAGTATAGAGCAGGATCAGACGGAGGTCGAAACGGAAGATGCAGTCGATCGTGGCCAGGGGTTGTCGACACAGTTCTGCGCACAGCGGCACGAGTGCTTACGAGGTGGGCAAGCTCTGCAGGAACCGGGTTCTGGCCCTGACTCTGCATGGGCCCAGCCGGAGCCGAGTTTGGTGTTGATGTTTGCAGTGTTGGAGCCGGCTTTGGTGTCGTGGTCGTGTCGGCATAATCAGTTGCATTCGCCCATGCTTTGTTGCCGGTGCAGCAGCGGACGACGAGGAGATCGTTGATGATGGCATAGGGCACGCCTGCTTGGTGAGGTCTGCCGACGTCGCGATGATGGATGAGTCAATGATGTCAAATACTGCGGGCTGGTCGCGGGAATCGTGGTGCCCCACAGGTGAGAGGTTGATGCAAAGTACAACAGGGTCGCCTGGGATATTCCCTCGCGCCCGCAGGTTGGCAATGAGATCGCCGCAGTATCGCTTACCTCGAGCCAGGAGTCGACGGAACGAGGTAAAGTGTCCGATCAAAACTCCTGTTTCTTCCAGCCTTGTTGTCTCTGGGGTTGACTGCACATCCAGTCGGTCGGCCGTGCAAATGGAGCGTTAGCCACGGAAACGAGTGGTCAGCCGTCCACCAGACCATGTCCTCTTTCTGTAAACTCTGAGGGTGGGTGGGCATATCGAATCGAATCGACTTACTTTCGCAGAACTCGCCATGCACTTGGATGAACAGCATGGGCACGCCATTGGGTCCAGCGATCTGGAAAGCATCCGCTACAAACTTGGATGTGTCGTCCAACGGATGGCGGGTGGCGGGTAGGGAGTTGAGGGCACACATGATGCGTTCTGTGCCTTGATACAGCAGCGGGATGCGCTTGTCTGTTACGCGCAGATTCCGAGTTTGAAGGGTTCCCGAATGATTTGCAACAACATTGAGATTCACGGGTCGATGGGCAGCAAGATATGATTAACGAGATGGGATCAATAGGATGCAACCGATGGCATGTGAGCAAGGGAATAGGAGCACAAGCGTGAGGGCTGCTGAGTGATCGCTGCGGGAGTAATGCGGGAGCAACGCAGGAGCTGCTCTGCGTACCTGTTGTTTTGCTTCGCTGCAGGTTGCGATTGAAGGTCCACCAAGTATCAAAGTACTCGGTGCCCGAGCCTCCAGCTCGGCTGCCGAAAGCCTTGGATGTTGGGGGATAGTGGTTGTTGACCGAGACCGAGAAGAGCGCATTGTTGTCGTAGACGTTCGATAGCTCGGACCGATGAGAGTCAAAGGCCGAGAAAAACCTGCAATGCGGCAGGATCAAGGGGGAGGCGGTGAAGGGTTTGATGAGTTTGTCGCCACACCACACTGGGCTCATCGGCGCCGGAACCGCATATCTCCGAGCGAAGAAAAGGCAACTGCGGTGAATCTAAGCGATCCACCAAAGCCTACAACACATTCGGGCCACATACTTTGGCAGAAAGTCCTGGACCACATTCGATGTCCCAAGCGAATCCATGAAGCCCTTGCATGACTTGAAGGGCAGATCCGACTCCATAGTGTCCTCCTCTCCGACGTCGAACCGAATCTCACCCACGAGCTGCTCGTTGTCGAGGAACTCGAGGCTCGGGAATATCTTTTTGATATCGCTGTCGGATATATCGCAGCGTTGCAGGTTAGCAGAGGAGACATACCGATGTCGAGCGCAGCGAGAGCACCCGTAGCCAAGCCCATGATACAAACCAGGCAATCTCCAGTCGGCTACCAGAACAGCGACTCGCCCATTGTCAATCGCATACCTCTTATATGTGAGATCTCCACCAGGCCGAGACAACAGCTTGTCCCGAATGGGGTTGCCAAGAAGAATCAGATGCTTGAGATTCCGCAGCTGGCTCCCAGGCAGCACATCGATGTTTTGATATGAGAATAGCTTGTTGTTCTGGAAGGACAGGTTGGCGAGATTCGGGAGCCGCGTTGGCAGTGTCGAGAACGGCTGCAGCGTTTTGATGTCATTTCCGGCCAGAGAGATTGACTCGACCTGCACATGTTTGAATCAAATAAGCAGGGTTCAGCAGGGCTTGAGTTGCCGGAGGTTGCAGGGTGTAGCAGCAGCCGCTATCGGGACAGGAGCAGCAATGACATTTGAACGGCACTATCGTCCGGGGGTGATGAATCAAGTGTCTCTGACCCCACATGTCTGCAAACCCACCTCTGGACAGATTTGCTCAAACAGTTTGCACAGCACAGGCCCCAACTTTGAGCTTTCGGACAGATCGGGCTGGCCGATGGCCTTGAGCTGATCGGTGATGTTGTCGAGGTTCAGGTAGCGGTTCGCCGAATCGTAGCGAGAGTTTATGAGCTCGGTCAGCTTCTGGATTGCCGTTTGGCTGCCGCTGTCATCCGGCGGAGGGCCGGATTGGCCGATTGAGATAAAGAGCTGTCCGGGACATTAGATGGCATTCGATGGCATTCGATGGCATTCGATGAATGGAGCGAGTCCGATTCGGTCGCTATCCAGACCCCGGATATCGCCCGAGTAGATTCGTCTGCACACGCAGGCCGGGGCGAGAACCGATGGCCGACGCTGTTGCTAGGCCACTGACCTTGATCCCTTGGAAATAGATGCCCGAGAGGCTCTTCAGAACGATGGCGTGTGCGGGCTTTTCGACCGTGAGAGTGGCTGTGTCGCCCATGTATACGCTCTGGGGTTGGGCATCAAGTCGTTAGAATGTGCTGCCTGGAACCCAAACAACACCAGGAAGGCAGGAGAGCTTGAAAGCGCCTCGTGAACCTACATTGATGATGGTGATGGGCGATCTGACTTTGGATCGGATAAAATCGAGGAACGTCTGCTCCGTTGCAGTCTTGGAAGCGCCGGACCAGTTGGTGACCTGGGGAGATTGAGCGGCGGCCGAAGCGCGAAGCCATCGCAGAGACAGCGCATCGCAGAAGACAGTGCGTCGTTAAGGAAAGGGTGCTGAGAGGAAAGGTGCATCAAGAAACAAGATTGCCGAGACAGGCGCTTCGGGGGAGAGCAAGCCAGAGTGGGCCGGAAGCACCCGCTGGCCATGCACCCAGATCGGGGGTATTGTTCGAAATCGACAACTCGACAAAAGTTGCAGACGATAGATGTGCGCCGACGGTGCAGCGGATACCGACAACGACATCGACGGGTCCTACGAGTCTCGGGGTCCCTTCTTGTGCCAGAGTGTTGAAGGTCTTGGATCGATTGCTGGAGACCCGGATGGAGAGGATTCCGGAGCCGGAAGCGGCACATTGGGGTCAGAGCGATGGCAGTAGGTGAGTGGTTTATTCAGGCCCAAGCAGCCGGACAGCTTCCCAACTTTGCATGAACGACCGCAGAACAGAAAAGAACAGAATAGAACAGCGCAGACAGACAGACGGACGGACGGAGGCTCGAGTTGAGTCCATCTGAGGGCCACGCCGACAGCAGCAATCGCAGACAGGCACCGGCTCGACAGAACAGCTGGTCAGGAGGCAGAGAGCATGCATGGCCGAAGGCTACAACACCGAACGCAGATCTCGTTTATTTAACAACAGGCAGCTCTCGGGGCCAGAGCATTGATCCGAGCCGTACCCAAGGGACGGCCCAGAGCTAATGCGTGCAACACCGCAGAGGAATCTACTTTGCGCTGCGGGGCCATATGAAAGCCATGCTGGCCCAGCCTCAGTGCGCCGCAGGGCCTCAGATATCGACCGAGAGCGCACAAAAGCCCGGCGATCGGCTGCGTTGCTTGGTAGACCTCTGCATCTGCAAGCTCCCGCTGCATGATAGTTTCAACGCTGGAGATTCTGCACTGTCTGCACTGTCTGCGCTGCCTGCACTGCCTGCACTGCCTGCACTGCCTGCACGGTGCCATCCATGTCCCGGTGCAGGGCCTTCCATCGTCGGGGATTCGGGTGCATCGCCCTCTTCGTGGCCCTCGCAGCTGCCTGCAGTCTGACTCGGGCCGGGTTGTCCCATCCACACAGACTTACTAGGATCGCCGCGGACCACCATCGGGAGCCGAGGAATAGGGAGTGAGGTTGTGTTCGGGCCGCCCAGGGAGTGAGTGCTTGGAGATGCCGCCCCTGCCTCGGGTCGAAAACCCACCGCCACTGCGATGGCGAGCATGGGTTCCGTCGCGCTGGGCCGAGGACTCGCCCTGGCCGCTCCCGCCCAGCCGGCTAAAGACGTCGCCGGACGAGGTCCGGCCGCGGGGCCGCGCTCGATCGGCACCGTAGTCGGTGTCGGCGTATCGACTCATGGGCGGTGGCTGGTGCGTGGAGATGGGGATGGAGGTGAGGATGTGATCGGGGCGAAGCACAGCCCGAGGAAGCGAACACTGGATGGACGATGTGTTGCGAGCCACGACCGGTGGCGCAGCACCGAGGCGCTCTCGCTGCTCGCTGCGGCTCTCGTTACGGGTGGCGCCGGCGATCGGCAGGACAATGGAGTTGCAGATCGAACAATGGAGTCGCTGTCGATGATGGCCAGCAGATACTGTCGGCTCTGAACGGGGTCGCCGTCAGCCCGACAGAATGACGGAATCGAGAAATCCGTCGCCTCGTCCCAACGAGGCAACGACGTGGACATTCCCATCCAATACCGCGGGTAAATCTGGTAACAACGGTACTCATTGACAACGGCGTCGTTACTGCTCTCTCGCCATGGATAGCTCTGCGACCAGCAACACCAGCAACGCCGACCCGAAGAGAACATCGCTGCCGCCGCTGCCCGAGCCGCACGGGGACGATCGGGCCCATGCCGATAGCGCCGGCGACAGCTCGTCGCAGACCAAGATGACGCCCTTTGCCCTTGCCAAAGCCCAGCGGCAGAACAACGTGGCATCCAAGACCTTTGGCGGCGAGAACCTGATGATATACGACGGCGAATGCATCCGCAAGCAGACCCTGCATCGCTAGGCTGGGATCCTGACTCGGGCTGGCCGTGGCTGGCCATCGGTTGTCCGTTGGCTACATTAGCACCAGGTTGCGATCGATGAGAGCCGCCTTGGATGCCAATACAGCTTCCTCAGTCGAGATTACACAGTGATATCCCTGGGTGTCCCTGGGTGTCCCTGGGTGTGCTTCACCAACGACTGCATGTGGTTGGTTTCGGGACTGTAGCCTTGAATACATCCGTCGGTCTCGTGTGGTGACAGTCAACCGGCATCGATGTCGATGCGGCAGTGTGGTGCACGCACTCGACCATCTGGACTGCTCCCGTGGTTTCTCGCCATCGGGATAGTCAGGTCGAGCGAGTGCTTGCCATATGTTCTGGGTCTTGGGCGTCTCTGGTGATTGCCGGGATGTGCGCTTGGGATGTGCTGCTGGGATGCATCGGCTCCTCCCAGCCAATCTCCCCAAAACAGGCAGGTCGCTCGGCTTCTCGTCGTCGTCCTCGCTGCCCGATCCGCCTGCCATATTCAACGCCGATTTTGGAATGGCTCGCTCTGTCGGCTCATCCTTCCTGCAGCCTCCTTCACACACCTCCTGCACATCCGCCTGTCGCAGGACCCACCGCTGCAAGCCGATCCTCGGACCCGCACCCGTCCCGCGCTGTTATTTTCCTCCAGCCAGGGAATTGCCGCACCAAACTGCCACGATCAGGCGCTTGGCAATCAGCACCCAGCTCAATCCGCAATCCGCCCAATCTGCAACCTACCCAATCTGCAGCCAATCTCTGGCGAATCCGTGGCATCCTTCCAAGACGAATCGCACTTCTACGCTTCCGTGCATCATCCGTCAAAGCCTATATCTCTCGTCGCGATGATCGCCGAACCCCTTGCCGAACTCTCAACCCCGCAAAAGCCAGCCACGCTCAAGTCAGCCATGTCCGCCTCTCGCATCCCTGTACCCATTTCGCAGCGATCATCGTCGCCCACGTCGGCCGATTCCGGCGCAGAATCACAACCCAAGGCCGGAAAACGCCTCAGCTTGGGATCTGCTGGTCCTCTGGGCCTCGCTGATCTCCCGGCATCACAGAGCCCAACATCGCTCTTTCCTTCATCGCAAACGGTGAGCATCGCCATCTTCAAGCACAGTCAGCCGCCGATGCACCCACCCAGTCTCGTGTGTTTACCGAGTTTTGAATTCGTCTGGATTTCTGACCCCTCCTGCTTCTGCTTTCCCTGCGGACGCCCTCCAGCTGCCGTTCGGATTCTCCTCCGTGAGGTTCAAGTCTCCCGAGGTCGTCAGAAGCGACCATGATGAGCTCAAGGAGTTTGCCCGGTGTTCCGCGCCGCTCGGAAGCGGCCTGATCTTTTCCCCTGTCCAGCCCGAGTCGAGCGTCTTCAAGCTTCCGGCAGAGCCTCCCAAAAAGACCGAGCCGGATCTGCCTCGGGAAGTGCAGAAGAAGGTCGACGAGGTCGTCTCCTCCAACATCACTTTCACCCCGAGCCGTCTCCTCAGCGCTCTTTCGCGCGAATCGGTATGGCCTACACCTACTCGCCTCCCGGCCTCGGAACCGGCGCCGTTGTGGCCTGGGCATTCATGGGGGGGGGTTATTTCGGACGTGTGTGCCTCCGTGAGATCCATGTGCCATTTCCCACCCAGCACCGTCGTCGAAGCAGCGAGCTTGTCTTTGTGGCTGGAGAGGTGCTCCCGATCTCACACTCCTTTTGTTCCCGCTGGCATGCATATTTGGTCTTGGTGTGCACCTCGGCTCCAGCCGGCAGAGCCCCCGCCCTCAGGCCCACCTCCGCCTCCGCCCGTCTTCAAGATGGAATTCAAGTTCCCGCCGTCACCAGGAAGGACCGAGGACCGCGACCCGCTGTCCAGCTCACTGGCCTCTGGCCTCGACGTCGATCCCGAAACCTCGTTTTCGTCGTCCATTATCCCCCTGGAAGAAGTCCTGCATGACGATATGAACGACGATATGCTGAACCAAAGCGATGGTATGCTTGACTGCAGCTCATGTCCATCCACATACCCCTGGTCAAATCTCGTTTGAGCGTTTGCGTCTATTTCTTCTGCTCTGAGTCAATATTCACCCAGGTTGACATTCGCCAGCCATCTTGGTTGCAGATTTCTTGGCCAGCTCCACCAACGACTCCCTTGCAAAAGAAATCCTGCGTGCCCGCACCGAGGACATTTCTGGAATCCAGAAGCCCACCGAGTTTGGCGGTCTTGTCGGGGCAACAGGGGCCCCGAACGACCTTGATATCGAGGTGCCCGGATACGCCGGCGATGACATCCACCAGGAAACGACCCCGAGCGCCTTCGATCAGACTGCTGAGATCAGCATCCAAAACGAGCACGAGAGCAGCATGGGAGAGTTTGACCTGAACTACCGGCCATCCAACTCTCTGCATGACGAGATCCTCGGCGCCGGCTTGGACGGCCCGCTCTCCGCGACCGAGATCGCCAAGACACCGATTCTGAGTCACCAAGTGCGTCTGCTGAACGGCAAGGACAGCCAAGACTCGGACAGCCTGGCGGCGAGCGAGCTTGGCCTCGGCCTCGGCCAGGATGAGTCTAGCTTTGCCGAGCCCGTCAGCGACATCGGCAGCCAACAGTTCCGCAGGCCGTTCAGCGAGCGCTTTCCGTGCGACTTTGAGCCCCATGATTCGAGCGACGATCTGCTCTTCCTCTCCGCCAGATCCAACGGCGCCAATCTCACCACGATCTCGGAGGAGCTGACTCTGGACCGCGACCCAGACAGCAGCCTGTCCTTTGCAGTCAAGGATGCACCGTCATTTGCGAACCACAACGTCGTCGATTCTGTTGCGGATCTGTCGACCATCTATCCTTCCGACCTTCTTGGTCCCTCAAACGAACCCAGCGACTGGGACGTTGTCGACGACAGAGAGCCTGCCCCCAAGCTTGCCGAGGGTACTTTGGGCTTTGGCACAGTGCGGACAGCCAGCTCCCCGAGAGCGCAAGCCCTGTCCAATGGCGTCTCGGCCCATACTCGGGGCGAGCGGCAAACCTCGATCTCGCCCGTTCGGCGCGCAGTCGCTGGTGCTCGTCTCTCGCCTATGTCCAAGGAACGCCAGGTGTCGCTTTTGGGAGAAGTTGGCAAGAAGATCAATCAAATCGCAGACCGAAACGGTGGGGAGGCCCACGCCAACGGCGTCTATCTGTCGATGATGCAGGTCCTCGACGAGATCCGGGGCATCTTTGGCAAGGTGCATCATGACGAGAGCTCCAAAAGGTATGGAGCCGAGCGTTGCTGTCGTCGGACCCGATTGCTGCCGAACTCGTGTCCATCGTGCACGTCGGGATGGAAATGATGACCTGGACCAACGCTCGCCTGACTCTGCTTCTTGGCTGCGCCGTACATGCGAACTACTTGTGGTATCCAGCAAGCTTATGGAGGAAATCGAGCGTGAGCTTCAGGGCATCAGTGAAGTCGACAGGAAAATGGAGCGTCTGCGTCGAAGAAACACACAGCTCAAGCAAGAGCTCGGCGCTGAACAGGTAACAGTACTACAAGTCGATCCCGGCTGCACGTGGTGCCAATGATGATGATGATGATGATGGTTGTGGATCGCAGGCATCGCTGCGACGGCCGCTGACGAAAGCTGCTCGCAATGCCCATGCAGTCTCACCTGGAGCAAGTCGGAGAAAAGATCAGCAAGCTCGAGAGAAACATTGTGGTCTCGCAAGCCGGCCTGGAGTTTGATGAGGCCCGTCTGAAGGATGTCGAAGAGCGCTATACAGCCAAGGTATGTTTCCAGCTTGATCGCCCCTGGACCAGGGCGATCGCTCGGTGTCTGCGGCTTTGATGGCCATCCAAGATGCTTGTACGCTGACTTGTATCGCCCGGACCGATGTTGCCCAGCTTCGCGAGCTCGAGTTGGCAAAGCAGACTGGTCGGTTTTCGCTCGTGGCAAGGAAGGTCGGAAGGACCATCACGGTCTACGCGCAGTCGTTCTGGCACAGAATCCTGTCGATTCTGTTTGTAGTGTTTATCTTTGCCCTCGCATACTTTGCGCTGGATGTACTGATGGGGTAAGTCGAACGTGGCTTGGAGATCCAGCCTCAGCGACTGCTGCCTGGCCGCCGTGCTTCATCGATCTGTGCGGGCGCTGCTTCAGTCGATGGACTGGCATCGAAGGGTTCGATGGGGCCGTTGCTGACGCCGTCGCTGGTGCCGTTGCTGACGCCGTTGCGACCAAACTCTGCTTCCTCGGCGGCCGCCACCAGACTCTGCGTCCCTGTTGGCCATGCGCCCAATGCCCTTTGTCGGGACACTGTCTTTCCCCAGCTCATCATCGCCTTCCGGGAAGCGATCCGCACCGAGTCCGAAACGATCATCTAGCATTGGCGGCATCGCCTCGTACTGAGGCCAAGCCAAGCCAAGTCCCGCGGCACATAATTTTCGCCCATTCGACACTTTTGCGCAGCTCGTTGCGGGCCCACCAAAGTCACACTGAGCCAATCCACACTGCATTCACTTTCGACTCCCTTCCCCACCCTCGCTCTGCATTCTCTATCATTGTTCTGCGTTCTCCTCTTTTCCTCTGCTCCGCTCTTGCCGAAACCAAAAACAAGACTCTTGATAGTGCAGAGTGAACTGCGTCGAGCAAGCGAACGTGAGCGGCCGGCATGTTATCGCCGGTGCAAAGCAAAAGTGGATGGCGTCCATATGCGTTTTCCTCACATCAACCACTCCCTGGTGCTGCTTTGGGGAACTCGGGCTTGAAATGCCATATGCATTCGATCCTTTGAACAGTCCCGTGGTTTCTCGCCATTGAGATCGTTGGGCCGAGCCGGTCGCTCGCTGTGTGTTCCGAGGCCTTTGGCGTCTCTGGCGATGGTGGATATGCATTCCCGCCCAGCAGAAGTAAAGTTCGGGGTAACGGACGGCCCTCTGACCGGCTTCGGATTCAGGCCCGGTGAGTTTCCACGCCAATAGCATCCCCCACGCGGGCGGCTTTGGCGGGAGACCAACCTTAGCGCCTCGATGAGACACATTCCACATGGCTGAATGCGGGGGGGGGGCCAAGCACCTCGAGCGCCTCGAGCCCGAGCGAACTTGGGTTTTGATTTCGCACGTTTTGGGGGGGGGTTGGGAAAACAGAGTGGCTGCTTCGGGCTATCATTTCGGATTACCACCGCGCTCGACGCCCGATCCTTTGACATTGTTCCATTCCGTGACCGGTGAAAGTTATGCGGCCAGCGGCGAGCGTCAGAGGCCCAAGACACATGGGAGCGCAGCGGCAGAAACATGCCCGTTTTCCCAGGCACAGGGCCGCCGCCACCAACCGCCAACGTGGTCGGTTGGTTCATGGACAAATGACAAAGGAGTTGGTGCTGACTGGGCCTCGTCGCAACCTTGGTGGTGGACAGCCGACGCTGGCCCGGGCGGCAGCGAATCTCGGATCGAGGATTCAGGTTGAGCAGGGTCAGCCGGATCAGAGTTGCGCTTGAAGGGATGACGATGTGGGGAAGAGCGAGAAATAGAGTTGGAGACAGAGCAGGGGGATGTCGACAAGCAAGGATGCATCGACATGCCCAATGGTTGCTGCGATTCCGAGACATGAATCCCATGAATACCGCTGAGCAGCACGGCGTGGTGCTGTTTCTGTAGTGCTATTTGAGCGGACGCGCTGAGCGTGACAAGCCCGTGCGACGGCCTGTACCACCCAAGGGCATACATCGGTGTACAACGGGTGGACAACGGGTGGACAACGGGCCGTTGCCAGCGATTCACCGCAGCCGCGCCAGCCGTGCGTCGACGGGATGAAGTTATGCGATGACGGAGCTGTGAAGAGTTGGGGTGACGTATTCGCATCTCCATCCACGCCAATACACATCCATGCTAATACATCCATCCATGCTAATACACATCCATCCACGCTAATACATCTCCATCCATGCCAATCCACATCCATGCCAATCCACACCCACAACTCTCGCGCTCCGGCAATTAGAGTTTCGGTGGTACAAAGGCAAACTCTAATTGCTGAGGGCTGCTCTGAGCTGCAGCTCTGCAGAAAACTCTATCGGCCGAGGCCGCCGCTTATGGGGATTCCTCCGTCCTTTGCGCTGCTCTGCGACGTCGCCCAACTTTGATCTGCTCTTCGCCGACGCCGTCGCCCCCATAAGACGCTGCCGCCAAGGCTTTCCGTCCCGTTGGCCCCGTCGATCACATCGATCTCGCCGATCCGCCAGTCTGCCTCTGATATAACTCTCTGACTCACCTCACCCCTCCTCACACACCACCGCTCGCTCGACATGCCGACCTTCCTGGCCCCACCCCCAACACATATGCGCTATCCCGCCCAGATGCCGCCGCAGAGTCACGACGTCCGGACCACCATCTCGATCCCGCGCGGTGCTCAGTCCATCCAGCTGCAGCTTGTGCTGCCGAGCTCGGGAGGCCGCACGATGAGCGTGATGGGCCCCGATGGTGCCCTGCTGGCTTACAGCTTTCGCCTGCCACCGCCGAGGGCAAAGTCCAACTTTCTCATTACCATGCGACGCTATGGCCCCACGGGCCGGAAGTTGTATGAGATCGTGAGCATCAACGGCCGGTATGTGGATGGGCGCTGGGGGACGTTTCTGTCGCTAGATATCTCCGTCGTTGGATGCATCAGTCATTGGATGTCTCTGCTTGATGCCTGGGGGGGGGGCAAGTCAGCGACCTCCATTCTCTCGTCCTGCGCCTGACGTGATGCTGCTCCGATCCTCCTGCAGATCCAGCCTGGTCGCTCCCTCCGGCAATCCCAACTTTGCCTCGGCGCTACAGCCGTCCAACTTTTGGCACAAGGTCTTTGGGTACTCAGTCCGGACGCCAAAATACAAGATCATCTCGATGCTCACCGGCGAGGAATTCTACTGGACCTTTGAATATCCGAGCGCAGGCGGGGCGCCGTCCAGCTCCAGAGTCTCGACCTCGTCCTCGTCGTCTGTATCGTCGCCGGCATCGTCGTCTGCGTCGTCCCCGGCGTCGTCGAGCATGCCCGCCTTTCCGGCTGTCCAGTCGCCCCAGAGGGTATCGCCACCGCCGTCACCGCCGTCGTCGTCGCCAATGTCGTCGCACTCGTCCTCAGAGTCTCTCAACCGGGAGTCATCGCCGCCGCTGCCGACCCTGCCGTCGCTTCCGGACTTGGTTTTCCGGGATGCAAACCACAACACAATTGCTGTTCTCGATCGGACCGACTGCAAGCTCACGGTCTTTCGCCGGGGCTTTGCGATTCTCGACTGGCTTGTCGCCCAGGCAGTGGCTCTGGATTTCCTGAGCCGCCGGAAGCAATCGCTCCGCTGACTGGCGAAGCCCCCTCTGGCTCGCATCTCGTGCTTGCCCCGAAGCTGTGCTTCAGGCTGCAGTAGGTGCGCCTGTCATGGGTAGCCCTGCCATGGGTAGCCCTGCCATGCGAATCACACCGATGGATCTGAATCGCCGAGCTCTGCAAGTGTGTCCCCGGCGGCCGCTCGCCATGGCCACGATCAGCGTATCGCCCAGCCCGGAGCTGCGATGCATCCACATTATCAACAACAACAAGCGCAAGTATAATAGTCATAGAAGCATCACGGCAACTCCTCCCAGCCACCCGCGGTGCCCCCTCACCCTTCCATTCATACCCTTCCGATTCGAACCCTTGCCAAGCTGCCGACAGCCAAACCGTGCCCGTGCATGTTCAACTTTAATAATGGCTTCTCGTTGTCAATGGAGTGTTTCTCTCAATGCTTCATCATCCCCGAGACAGAACCACCCACGATAGTGCCGGCTTTGCTCGTCCTCTGGACTCGACCGTTACGCCTCATCAGCAATCATAACAATCTCACAGGGGAGCAATCTTGGCGCTATCCTTTCCCTTGATACTCCGTCAGTTCGAGCCACACGAGCACAGCTCGCCATCCGTCCACCCAGCAACCCCATTTGTACCTTTATGCATGCCCCTGGCCTCGGGCTGTTGCTACGGTCAGTTGGAACCCATTCTGGAACCAACACTCCCAGGCCAGCGGCCACGTTTTACTTTCTGCATCATCCCTGAATACACATGCTCTCATCCATCCATCAAACCCCTGATCCTGTCGTATCGCTGCGCTGCATTCTGCAACGCGCTTGATCTGTAAATGAACTACGACGGTATGACTACAGCCATCGACTGCGGCCACGATACGCATGCCGATTACTGCGAGCACAAGAAGAAGAAGGCATGCCACACTCTCATGACTACTGCCTTTTGTGCTCAACACTCACTCATCACCCACAATAATCATCCAGAGCAAGGAATGCGCGGCCTGCTGCCGTAGGTTCCCACAAGTGTTTTGAACAGTTCCAGCACTGCCCGTTCGCCGGGCAGTACAACCAAGCCAGACTTGAGCAACGAAGGACTGACAGCGACTCAGTGCTCCCTTGAACAAATGCAAATGGAAAATGGACGATATCCGTTGTGATAGAACTGTATTTGGGCAGTAGTGCCTGCTGTTCTGGTCTGGTCTACATATCCAAGGCGGAGAAGGGTAATGGCCAAATCAATGACCAGAAGAAAAAGAAACAAAACAATGCAACAATAGCAACGCTAACAATGCCGACAACAGAGACAAAAATGATGGCAACAACAAAGGTACCGACAGCAGCAACTTGAAGAAAGGAAGGCGAACATGAAGTACAGGTCAATCAGAACGAAAGGGGGGGGGGCCAAATACAACTGGATTGTATGGATATAGAGTAATGCAAATGTTTTGTTTTTTTTTGCGTGCGTGAGAGGAAGGTAAGGATGAAATGTTGCGCTCATCAGCACCGTGGAGGGAGGGAAGATGCAATGCAGCTTGTCGACTGCGGCGGAGGTGATTCGGAAAGAATGATGGATAATGAAATTGGACATCGAAGGGATGGTGATGGTGATGGTGATGGTGATGGTGATGGTGATGGTGATGGTGATGGTGATGGTGATGGCAACAATGCTGATAGAGAGCAGCTGGCTTGGCTTGGCTTGGCTTGGAGGTCTTTAATAGTGGCTTCTTACTTTGAGGCAGGGGCTGGGAGGTTTGCTACCACCCATCCCTCATTTTTTTTTTGGGTTGTTGTATGAGAAGGGAAAGAAGGTCCCTGGTTGGATGGGGATTTGTGGGATGAATCTGTGAGATGGCGGCTTGTTGCTTACTCCAGCTTCTTCCCTCCCTTTCCCTTCGTGTTCAAATCCAGGCGTCAGAGTCGTCCGATGAATCAAGTCTGGCAGGTCAGGAGTGTGTGTGGTCACTACTAGTTCGGGTTCAGGAGGCTTTTGCCCTTTCGCGGACCAGGGCCGGGGCTGAAGGCTCGCGCCGGAGGCGAGTGTGGTCGGTTGATGATCGGCGGCGGAGTGCGCGGACGCAGAGGAAGTCGCGGACGCAGGGCCGAGCCACTCGAGACCCGGTTCAGAGGAACAAATCGGTCTCGAGCGGGGTCTTCCTCGACCACAGAGTGTCGCTTGAAGTCTGGGTCGAGCCTCTGCCAAGTTGGAAATTGAGATGGAAAGTGTCAGTGTCCAGATATTGAGGCTGATGTGGTAAGGTGGAAGGGATGGATGGATGGATGGATGGATGGATGGATGGGGCAAGGTCATTTCCGCCAGGGAACAAGCTGTGTGATCCATCATGGCCATCGCCAGATCGAATGTAGACTCGCATGGGTGCGAAACGGTGGGTGACGGAGGGCTGTCGCAGAGCACAACGTCATTGGCTTTACCTTGCTGGCGGCAACATCGTGGGAATACATGGCCTGGATCTGAAGGTTGGCACTCTTGAGATCCATGTATCTTGACCACAGCTCCTGTGCGATGGGTATCCCAGGTTGAGATGGGGGCTGGTGCGTGAGTTAAGGGCGAGGGTGTGAATGGGGGCTCCCGGCCGTTGTCTGAAGCAGAGTCGCTGGTACACATCGATTCAAGGGGCGAATGCAAGTGACACCCACCTCGTATGGCATGTACGAAGCACCAAGCTCCATGGCAGAGTGGGTTGAGAGTGGGCGAGATGCCGGGGGCTGTGCTTGCATGAGCTGTGGTGGAAGAGATCCCCCGGAGGTTCGGATGAGAATTCACATATGCACATCAAGCACGGGCAGGCAAGGCAGAGGCTGGTGCCTGACACAACATGGACATTGATCGATCGAGGGAACTGACATGGCTCGAGGGCCAGGTGTAGTCCAAAGGACCCTCATAGGCAATGCCCGGCAACATCTGTTTGCACACTTACGTTTCCGTTGGTTAGTGTCATCAGATATGTCTCAAGATGCTCGTTGAAGGCAGTCAGCTCTCGGATCCGGCTGTTGAGTTCTCGGGTCTTGTCCTGGCGGGATATCGACCGGCAGATTAGTACGCGAGTCGATAGCAGAGCAAGCCGGCTTTCACAGCAGATTGAGAGCGAGGAGGGCTACTCACGGCCACAATGTCATTCATCTCTTCGAGCGTGAAAGCGCCGGCCTTCATCTCTTGGCGTTCCTTTTCGACCTTTTCGCAGCGATCCAAAAGGAGAGAGTACTTGACTTGCAGCTCGCGGCGAAGTTCTTCCTCCTGGGCATGGGATTGCTTGAGGGTCTCGACCTTGGCCTCGTACTGGGAAATGATGGTGTCCTTCTGGGAGATGGATTTTGCCAGCAGAAAGGACTGGTACCACTCCTTGATGCGAGACAGATTGAAGGAGCTCCGGAGGAAGAGCTTGTATTCGCCCGTGGAGCTGTTGATGGTGACTGTCAGGACTGGCCCGCACACTCCAGGGAACTCGTCCTGGTACTTGACGTGGCTGACCTTGCCGGCCATGCTGATGGAGACGTTCTGGGCGCTGAATTCGCAACGCTCGTTCAGCTGCACCCGAACCTTGGTCCATTTGTAGATGTCGCCGACGATCTGACCGCTCCGCACCAGCAGCGTTCCTTCGCGGATGACGATGGAGCCACTTGAGTAGTGCGACCGGTTGCGCATCAAGCTGGGAAACGATCGCACTTCCTGGACCTCGAGCAGACGAAAGTCGGACTTGTCTCGTTCGCCGTGTTGCAGTGCCATGGCCGATATGAAGTGGGGGGGGGGAAGTATATGGGAGCGAAAGGGAAGCGGATGTGTGGGTAGAAGTTTGGGGGGGGTGGACTTGATTGAATGTAATCAGATGGAGTTCGTGCAGAGGTGAAGCGAGATAGAGTTCGTGTGGACGGGATGTAGCGGGGACCGGGTTTTGGCTGCACGATTATGGAGGCTGGTCGTCGAAATGACGGCTGGGAGACAATGTAAGGTGCTGTCGCCCAGGGTGTTGGCGTTGCTGCAGGATCGTTGCCGTGCAATATCGCTGGGTTCTGTTGTGTGGCAACAGACAAGACGGATGCTTGTTGATCGGACTGGTATGCTACGAAGGGTGGGGACGAATGCGAATGCGGTCTCGGGGAGAAGTGGTCTTGGAGACTGCAGCGATGCTATTGGCAAAACTCGAAGGACAGGACCAGCACCGTTGGTGAGCTGTGATGGAGAGAATGCTGGTTCGACTGGGAGATGGAGGGAGGGAAGGAAGCCGCACCAAGCGATGGCTTCTTCCCGAAGCGCCTGTCCGGGAACCGGGGGGTTATATATCCGCCGCGGGAGGATCCGAAACTTGCAGACACCCGACCTGGCCGGTCGACGAACGACCGAACACCAGACGGTCGAACGACCGACAAGGCCAGGCGATGCACGTTTGCTCTTGATCCCCTCACTCTCCGCCCCGCCAGTCCCGTATCTCAGCCGTCCCTCGGGCACGGACAGGGCTGGGACGCACTCTCGAGATGGGAGCTCGCGGCCGCAGCCATGCGGGATGTGCATCGGCATTGCCAGCGTCTCCGGTTTGGTTGTCCGATATATGGGCGACGCGGCATGTCCAGCCACCGAATCTGCGATGGAGGAATGGGGGGGGGATCGGCCACCGCTGTCCAATGCTCAGACCGATGGTGTTCACGACTGACAACATGGTGGGCCGCTTGCCGCTGAGGGTAACGGCAGAATGGGGGCGGGCAGACCGGCTGGCAGATGCGAATAAGCTGGGAGCGGTCGAGGAAGGCCCGCTTGTCCGGGGGACGGCGTTGGGATTGCACACAGCGGCAACTCGAAGCATAGCAGCAACTCGAAGCATAGCAGCAACTCGAAGCATAGCAGCAACAGCAAGGGCGGCACAGACCGCATAAGCACGGGAGGGATGCCTTCCAGACCCGCATCAGCATGAATGCCCCACCAAGGCGGCTGCATCGAATACGAGTTGAGCGATCGACTGGGTGCGTTTGGTGGTCAGCGGATGAAGACGGTGCGCGGCGACTGCGATCAAGGGGCTCGAGTCGAGCCGAGGAAGTATTGGATGTCGGCGGACGAGAGCGAGCGATCGGCGATCGGTGATATGCATTCGCGGCGTGGGATGCACACGGATCTGTTGCGATATTGCGGTGTGATGTCGATGATGGCGCTGCTGCTGAGATCGAGACGAGCGACATTAACGACATTAACGACATTAACATTAACGACATTAACATGAACAACACTTACAACATTAACATCAACAACAACACCAACAACATCAACAACATCAGCACCAACACCAACACCGACAGCCAAGCGCCAACACCAGCATCGTCAGACATCCGGCGCCGGATGGCATTGGCGCTGTCGGCGCAGAGCGTCCCACAGGGCCTGTGTCGCGCGTGGCGCTGCGGGCGCGGGTTGGCGCTGCATCCCAGAGCCATGTTCCCACGCCCTGGGCAACGCGCCGCCCTGCCGCCGGCTGTCGGCTTCCTGGCCCGCGAAATCGCATATAACTCGCGGTGCTCGCTCGCCGTCGCCGTCGTTGTTGTTAACTTGCCATCGCCATCGCCATTGCTGTCTGTCAATTGATACTGCAATCGATCCATCCCAATCCATCCTAATCGACAATCCGACAAAAATGAAGCTCTCGTTCGCCGTTGCCACTCTGCTGGCTGCTCTCGCCGCTTCGTCGTCGGCCTCTTCGTACCCCGACATTGCTGTCGACCTCGGCAACATCCAGGTCCAGAAGCGCGACACTCCGTCATCGACCTGGTCGGCTCCTGCGTCCCAGGCCACCAACTCCTTCGACAGCGGCTGGTGGGACTGCGAGGAAGTCATGGAGATGGACGAGGAATGCGTCGATGTCTCGCCCTCCGAAGCCATGCAACTGAGCCCCAGCAACTGGGACTGCACCGAAGAAGAGTGGATGGATCCCAGCAAGTGGGACTGCGAAGACGAGCCCATCACCGACTGGGACTGCGAGGCCGACTTTTTGCCCAACACAGGTGCGCATGTTTTTCTGCTCCGAGCCAAGAATCGTCGGCGCATGCACATGTCTCGATGGACTTGGGCTGCCGTTGGGCCTATGTTGCCGTGGAGCTATGATGCTGTGGGACCTATGTTACCGTTGGGTCAGCCCACTGGCCCCGACCACTCTCGCCGTTCCAACGGGCCACAATGTCTCTGTTCTCGAGCCAGGACATGTACTGACAGTGTCCTTTCCTACCCCTACTTGTCCCCAGGCCCGGCCAACTCCACTGCTCCTTCCAGTGCCCCCATGGTCTCGGCGACCGCCATCGGCTCTGCCACTATCCCACTCTCGACTTGGATTCCCACTTCGTCGCCTTCCCCGTCGCAGAGCTCCGGAAGCGGCGACCAGAGTGCCGTCAATGCCGCCCACAGCGACGCTCCTCCGTCCCGCACTCCGCCAATTGCTGCGTTCCTCACCACCCTCTCGGTTCTGGTTGCCGGAGCTATTGTTTTGTTCTAATCCTCCACTCTCTCACCTCCATTTTTCTCCCTGGCGTCGGTTGCTCGGTGCAAACTCCACCCATCCTCACGCAAAATCCATCTCCCCACGGCTCCTTTGCCTGTCCCCTCCCCTCTTCATGTCCACTGTGCATCGATTATCGGCACCTGTCCTCCAGATCGTCGTGCGGTCGTGCCCGGAGCTAGCTCTGCGGCCCCTCCACTAAGCACCATACATGCAGCGCTTTCTCCGCCTCCTGATATTGGTCGCGCTGGGTGAAGGTTTCCTGCCACCTTCTCAGTTTTTTGCTGGTCGTCTCCCCCCCCCTCGCTCTGCTGTCGGGCTCGATGGCCGTCCCTCCTTGTCTTTTTGTTGGCATATTCATTATAATGTATGTACACTATTTCAGAAAATAACAGCGGGCCACAGTCTCACTTCAATCGAACATGTTTTCTGAAAGAGCTTGCGTCCAACGGAGGCCCCTCTGCAATCAAGCCTGATGAGCTCGGCAACCTCCAGGTGAAGACCGTGGGTCGCCCTTTTGGCCCTCACAATCGCCCAGCGATGCAAAAGTCCAAGTGTGTGGCAGACAGATGATCATGGTTTTGGTCAAAGTCTAGTCTTGATCATGGTCGCGGCCCGCACAAGATGCTACGAGCCAACAATTCACCTGTGGGCTGGACCAGATTGCAGAAGGCTCGACACACCACAGGGATGGGTCGTTGTTCTCGTGCACAATGATCTTGGATCCGCATGATCGATTTTGTGAGCGATCCTCAGCTCGTCCGTCGTAGTTGTGGCTGCTGCACCGATGCCGTGATTACAGAGAGAGGAACAGCATGGCTCGCGGGAAGCAATGGCGATGCGAATGATGAGGATGTGTGTATTGTGGAGTCCAGGACAGGTTGCCGACGAACCCAGAACCACGACATCCGGTGTCATTCGGCCCGCAATCAAAATCTTGGAAATGGAGTCAGCCATCGTTGATCGAGCCGACACGGGATGCCTCCTATGCCTTTGCAGAGCCGCTGTTGCTGCTGCCACTACTTGTGATCTCCTTGTCTATGATCTCTTCGATCTTGGACCGGGCCGCCGTCTGCGGCTTGGGTGCCGGAAATGCCTCCTCGAGCCTGTACGAGGCAATCACCCCACAGAGCGCAAAGGTGAAGAGTCCTGGGTGCCGCCAACGGGTCCAGGTCGTTCGTTGGCATTCGTATGGTGGGGGGGGAGGGCGGTTGTTGGTACGCAAAAAAATGGTGTTGAGGGAAGTGCGGTTCGCCAGCACCAAAGGCGGCAAAAGCAGCGGCATTTAGCATTATGAGCACCATGTCCAGCCCTTCTAAACCCGAGGAGCACCCATTGCGATGCCGGACGCTCGAGCAGCACCAGTCTCATGGTCCTCTGTTCATGCACGGTCCATCCTCACCAAGGCTAACATAGAGCTTCTGTCTTGGCGGCAGGCGCTGGTAGGCAGCTCCGAAATCGCCAACCGCAGGCGCCTTGGGCTTTGGGGAGGGATCGTGCTTGGATGGATACGCCGGAGTGGGTTTCGGTTTGGCAGACATTGTGGCGATCAGGTACGGATGCTTGGGGGGGGGGAGATGGTGGCGGGGACAGCGTCGGGTAGACGACTGAGAGCCGGTGGCAGATGGACGGCGAGACAGGCAACCAATATCCAAGTCTGGCTGGTCTCGATCGCATCGGGCCGAGAGGCAAAGAAAAAAACGAGCCATTCGCGTCAGCCCTCCATGCCCAACGGCAGAGCCGACCAGTGCCTGCGACTCTGGGATATCTCAGACACATGTCGGTCGTTCAAAAATACTGTATTCGTGTTCACAATAACAACAACAACAATAACAACAACAATAACAACAAAAATAACAGCAAAAAGTGTACAGCGATGCATATGCCGAGTTGAGAGAAATGGCCGAGTGATACATCGAGGGCCACGCATTCACGACAGAATTGGTTTTGCACACGCAGGGCGCTTCCGGCCGTGCTCTCTTCGGGGTCTGATTGCCACGATTGCTGTTGCGACAGTGCCGAGGAGGAATTGGGCCCCATGAATGGCAGAGCCCGAGCGATATCTGCTTGGGTCCGGTGGGTGATGGCGTCTAGAAGAACCCTGCCTCGGGCTGCGGAATCACTTTGGCAACTCCGAAAGCAGCGCCTGAGGCCAGGGCGCCGATGAATGCCGTTTGAAGGGCGCTCACAAGTGGTTTGGCTGTTCCAAGGATCCGGGCCTTGGCGTATCCAAAGACGAGCAGAACAAAGATGGTAAAGGCCACCGACACCAGCAGAGCCGTCTGAGAGTCGGCAATCAAGATGTACGGAATCAGAGGAACCAGGCCGCCGATCTGTTGGGGAGTGCGAGAGTTCATTTGAGCATCGCGATGATTTGTTGAGGATGTACCGGCGGTGCATTTGGGCAGGTTGTGTCCAATGATGGTGTCCGCAACCGAGAGTGAATGGCATCGGCAATGGAGTAAGAGGACGTGCGGGCGCCGATCAGAAATATGGCTCGTCGTCGACACGATGCTGATGAGACACTGACAAGCGAGGCTCCTATCCCGCAGCCGGAGACCCGGCCAGCACAACCACAGTGCAGTCACAGTGTGGTCACAGTGTAGTCACAGCACAGTCACAGCACAGACGCAAACCGATCGTGACACTTACAAAGTAGGACGATCCAATGGTCAGGGCCGAAATCTACTCGGGATCAAAAGTCGGGAATGACGGCAATCGTGGTTAGAGTGCCATCAGCGGCTCGAGTGGTGGTGGGGCCCCGCCCGAGCCGCACCCGTGGTCAATAGTTAACAGATCACTTGGTGCTTGGCCAAAACCAGGACCCCGGACGAGAGCGCCATACTCACCCAGGTTCGGCTGGGGTCAGGCTTCTCCAGGCAGAGCTCAAACTTCATCATAAAGTCGACCCATTTTTCGGGGTCGGCCTTGAGGCCATCCAGCAGGGGCTGCAGGGCTTCCTTACTCAGGCCGTAGGGCTCAAAGATCTCAACGATCTCAGCCTCCTCGTGATCGGGGAGCTCCTTGACTTCAAACTGCTCGCGTTTGCGCTCGGCGTCGTAGTGCTCAATCTCGGACCGGCCAGCGAGCCATCCACCAAGGCCCATGGAAATGGCGCCGGCAACGATTTCTGGCAGTGTCAGCCATAAGCCCGACGGCAGAGAGCGGCGTGGGAGAAGCGGACGTCAGCACAACCGTGGGCGGGCGCGAGAAATGGCGCAGTGTGCGCATGTCCAACAGAGCCCGGACCAGAGGGCAAATGTACGCCAGGCGAGGACGACGATGGAATGGAAAGGGAGCATACCCGCCATGCCTGCCAGGACGACGAGCCGGGAGTTTCCGAGGGCGGCCAGGCCGGCAGCCAGGGCAAAGGGGACCGTCAGGCCATCCGAGAGTCTGAGAGAGCACGATCAGGTCGATCGAAGCGAGAGAGCGGATGAGAAACCCAGCGAGCCACACGAGGGCCGCAAGTTGCAGCAGGGACACATCCAGGAAGCGATCGCCTGGGCCGAGCAAGCCAGCAGTTGGCAGGACATGGAAACCAAATGGGCCGATCCATCCCAGCTCCGACGATCCGAGACGATCCGAGACGATCCGAGGCAGCCTGAAACGGTCTGAGATGATCGCCTCCGCAGGCAGCGCAGATCAGCACGCAACGGACTCGTACCCGACAATGATATCTCGAAGGACCTCAGCACCCTCAAAGTGGGGCTCGATGTGGCTATCGAAGCTGGAGACGCTGGGGGCTTTGCTGCTGGTGATGGTCTGGCTTTCTTCTTGGATCTGGACGGCGACATTGGCGGAACCGTAGTCTTGGGTGACCGAGGGAGGTGCGCTTGATCCTGACGCCTTGAGGAGGGGCTGGGAGCTCATTTGCGGCTGGATATCTGGGGAGGGGGAAAGTAGATGGGCGAGATGGCGGGAGAAGATCGATCGACAGAGTATCTGCCAGCGAGCGGGAAGTCAGGCCTTTTGATGATCGAGAAAAAAAGGGGGGGGGCCATGAGTGGTTCGTCGGCGATTGGCCACGAGGCCGAAAGGACGGTCGTTGCCCTCGCGCGGGTGGACTGACAAATGGCTCCGACAAGGCAGTGGGGAAAGCGATTTCGGAGATTGCGAATGCTGTGGGGCAGGACATTGGCTGCCGAGGCCGAAGAGGCGAAGCGGTGGCAGTCTGGGGAGGGAAACGATCGGCGTTGCAGGGATCGCACGCAGGCAATAACGAGTGCAGGGTACCGTGGACGATCGTCGATGGCGAACAGCGGTGAACGGCGATGTGATAGTGATGATAGCGATGATGTGGTGCTATGCTTGATGCTATGCTTGATGCTATGCTTGATGCTATGCTTGATGCTATGCTTGATGCTATGCTTGATGCTATGCTTGATGCTACAGCGAACCCACAACGAAATGGCACACTCGTTTGAGCCAGGACAGTTGTTGTTTTCTGGAACCTGAGTACACCCACCTACGCATTGCCATCATGACCAAGTGTATTCAAGACCATGCTTCCCAAACCAACGAAACAGAGATTGCCAACCAGGACGGAAACAGTCGCATGGCTTGCTCACTGGAGCCTACAGATCAGCAGACTTGTGTCGTCGATGCCAGAAAGTGACTGTCCCGTTTCTTGGTGGACCGAATGTATCACCAGCCCACAATCGCTGCAATGGTAACCTTGGCCACCCCCAGGTCCTGCTTGATGTGGCACTCGATGTAGTAGGTTGGAGCCAGTTGGTTTTGATGCAGAACTCGATGGAACGGCTGTTGTATCTGAGCCTGGAAGACGAGACTGCCGCGGTCGATTGCAAGATCGATTCATGTTTGATGACTGTGGCAGTGCCTGTGGCAGTACAAGAGCAACAACGAGTCCAGCCATCAAGCCATCGGATCGAGCCAGGATTGTGTGTGTGGCTTGGACTTGCTCCGCCTCCAATTGCCAGGGGTTTGGCTTGCTTCGCCACGACCTGCCTCTCTCCTGTCCACTTCCATCATCGCCCTGTTTCCTCCCTCCTGTCTCCGTCAACATGGCTAGCATGAACGAGCCCGCTTCAACCACAGTATCATCTGCCACTCAGCAAACGCAAGCAGAAGCCAGAACAGCTTCGTCGATGCCCGATATCGCCCAGCTCTCACTCGATTACGACCCTGACATCGTCACCATCATCTGCTGCAACGACGGTTTCCAACACGCCCTCGATTTGAACACCATTAAAACCCTGCTGCGAGTGTGCAGCAGAGTCCGACCCCTCCTGAGCTCCAAGGTATCTCGCTTCCACGGCTGGTGCCAGAATGCAGGACTGTACAATCCAGACGGACAACTGAGGATCGGCCTCACACCAAGCGACCAGATTGCCATCTCGCTTCATTGTGATGATCAAGACACAGCCAACAGATCCTGGCTCGCTGCTCAGGCAGACCGGGGAAACGCTGCTGCATCGTACTTCCTGGCACGGATCCTCCAAGTCGATCTCGACAAGCAGCAGTCTGCGGATGAATCTGACCGGGTGACCACCCATAATCAAACCTTTCGCCATCTGCAAAGGGCTGCCAACGCAAACCACACGATCGCACAGTTCCACCTGGCTAGATGCTATCACGATGGCACTGGAGTCGATCGAAACCATACCAAGGCCGTCGAACTGTATCGCACTCTTGCAGATCGGGGAATCCCTCAGACTCAAATCTCTCTCGGTCGCTGTTACGAGAATGGCGAAGGAGTCGATCAAGATTACGATGCCGCCATCGAGTGGTATTCCAAGGCTGCAGACCAGGGTAGTGAAGACGGTCGACTGCATATCGTATTCCTCAGAGCCTGGTTCTCGTTCATCGGCCGTGGTGTCGATAAGAACGACGTCGATGCCTTCAATCGCTGGCAGGAAGTCAGCACCCTGTCCACCGACCCAGTCCTCAAACCCATCGCCACTCACATGGTGGGATGGATGTACTATCTCGGCCGGGGCACCGTGCGAGACAAACAGCAAGGTGCCAAGATTATCCGAGAGAACGAATCGGATGAGTTCAAGCTCGCAGAGGCTGAATGTCTGGCAGTGCGATGGAATATCATCGAGTCCTCATCTGCAGCCTGGAAGTTCTTCGAACTGTGCCAGCTGGGATCGGACCGAGACTGGCTATGTAGACACTTGATGGCCGTGTGTGTGTTCCTTGAATTCGGATACATCAAGGACAAGAAGGAGGCAGCCGGCATCTTTGAGCAGCTCGCCAACGAGGGCCACAGTGACAGCCAGCTATGGATCGGAGTGTGCTACTGCTATGGCCAAGGAGTATCGAAGGACAAGGAGAAGGCATTCGAGTGGCTCAGCAAATCCGCCGATCAAGACAATTCGTACGGGCAGTGGATGGTCGGCATGTGCTACTGCTGGGGATACGGCGTCGACAAGGACCACTCCAAGGAAGTCGAGTGGTATCGCAAATCGGCCGAGCAAGGGAATCGATACGGGCAAAACGCTCTCGGCTACTGTTACCACGGTGGCAGAGGTGTCCCCGAGGACATCGACACCGCCGTCTTCTGGTATCGCAAGTCCGCCGACCAGGGTTACGAAGGTGCCATCGACAAACTCAAGGAACTCGGCAAGTGGCCTTGATCCACTGAGTACCACTCCCAAACCATCACATTCCGATACTGAACATGCAAACAGAGCAACCAAGCCGCTCACTCCCATCCCAGGCACCACGATACCAATGAGTGGACTTGCAAAGTGGTTTCCATTGAGTGGCAATGACCGAGCGATGTTGTATTTGACATTCAATACATCCATTACTCACACTAAACACATTGTGCTGTCTCATATCCATTGCACATATTGATCGACCGAGAGAAACACCCAATGACTCGAAAACGACAACTCTATCATTACAATCGATACTCGTTCTGCACCCATAGATGGTGGAAAGAGTCAGCACGACCCAGACCATCCTCCCTCGATCCGACACCAGGCAGCTTTCTGGTCCACCCTCGATCTGACCCAGAGAGCGACTGGAGGCCTCACTCGGAGGCGTGTAGCTTGGCTGGACGCAGGCCATCACATACCGCAGTGACATGTGGGAGTAATGGGTATAGTGTTAACGGGTGATGGTGATACGATGTGATGATTAACATGGCTCGCCTTGGACACATCGCGATCCACCAACGCAGACCAACGATCAGTCCAGAGCATCACATCCGCGAGGACAAGAGCGATCGGTGGTGGCCTGATCCGCCCCACCCCAATGGCAATAGGACGCCCTCGCTCCCCACATATGTCCCTGTGCGTCGACCTCTGCGCTCGCCCGCTTGGCCCGACTGGCGGTTCTTCCTCTGTCCAGATCTCGGCCTGGCTTGCTGGATCGCCCCCCTCCAGCGCTCTTGTCCGGACTCTGACCTACTGTATCATCCAGCCCGCATCCACGTCTCCATCCACATCTACCTCCGCATCTACATCTACATCCGCGCCAACCGACTCGCTGCCTGTCGCTATGGTCAAGAGTCTCCAGTCCCGGGTCTCGTATTCCATTCCTGGTCCAGGCCCGCTCAACGCCCACTCTCGAGGCATCAATGCCCTGGCCCTCGATCTTACCACCCCCGTCTCGCCGACATTCTCCAACCCTGCCTCTGGCATCCTATACACTGCTGGTCGCGATGGTCTCATCCATGCCTGGGATCTAAACATAGACTTCAAGGCCTCCGAGGCCAATCTGCGCGAGCGTGAGCGGGCCATGCAGCAGAGGAGCATGCGCACCTCCATCTCCACCTCCAAGAGCAATCTGAACCATCGCGCCTCAGTATCATCAAAGCGGTCGTCGGTCCTCCAGCCCCGGCATCTCCACGACAATGTCGACCACACCCTCTTCTACTCGCCCGAACTGATGCCCGAGAACGCCGATCGAATCGACGATGCTTCCGTCCCGCCCCTCGACATCTCCGGCATTGCCAGCGAGGCCGGCTTCCATCTTCACCCATCATCGCACAGGGCCCAGCCGCTGGCCATCAACACCTCGCCCGCGGCCCGTTTGAACCACGGTAGCCTATACGACTCGCCCCAGACTGGGCTCGAGAAACGTACGGCCTCGGGCTCCTACGACGACCAATGGAGCTTTCGCACTCACGGCGGCCTGCTCCGCAAAACCCGCAGCGTCACCTTCACCGACCCCTCGCTCCCTATGGCAAGAACCATGTCCAAGAGCGGCTCCTCTGCGGCTGTCGAGAAGATGGCTCTGTCGCCAAAGTTCGAGATGGTACCGTCACGGATTTGACACAGCTGCTTCCCTATGGTTTTTGGATCGGGTCTGTTGGGGCGCTGCCCTCGCCCATGATTCCCTGGACTAACAAGTCATTTAACAACTACTCCCATCAGTACGTCCCTCCGGCAGCAACCCATCGACAGGTGTTTCAGCATCACAGCGACTGGGTCAACGACATTGTGCTCTGCAATGATAATCAGCAGCGTAAGCCCCCTCGCAACAGATCGATGTCGACACGATGCCCGCTCTCGACGGCATTCCAACTACCTCACTCTTGGGTCAACATCTACGCACCATGAGACGTAACGACTCATCACTTTGGCTTTGTTGTCTATTCCTTCTATGTCCCTTCCCTCTATGCTCCCTCGCTCGGTGTCACCTCTTGCCGTATCCACAGTAATCTCGGCCTCGAACGACCGTCTGATCTATCTTCGATCGTGCCACTCAAGCGGCGATCCCGTTCGGATTGGATTTCATGCCGACGCCGTCAAGCGGCTGGCTTACCCACGCGAGCGGAATTGGATCGTCTCGGGCGGACTCGACCACTGTGTTGTTCTTTGGGATCTGAACGAGGCTCGTGGAGCCATCAACAGCATAGCTGTGAACACTTTCCGCCGTGAGTACTGCCACGACCCGCTCCAGAGCATCGGTCGGCCCCTCCGTTCGGATTGTCGCTGGCTCGCTGCCGATTCTTGCCTTCATCGGCGTTGGCCTGGAGCTGCAACTCAGACGGTCTCTGCTTGCTTGATCAGACATCTCCAAGGAGACGAATCCCCAGTCCTCGGTCTATGCCTTGGCAACGAATCCCTCTGGGAGTGTTATTGTCTCGGGGGCGCCTGACAAGGTGGGCACCTGGATCTGCACCTGGTGGACTGTTCTGTCTCGACTGCTGTAATTTTGCGTTTGCACTGACTCGGCCTGGACACCTCAACCAGATTGTCCGAGTATGGGATCCTCGAACCAATGGAAATAATCCGCTTGCCCTGCCTGGACACACGGACAACATCAGAGACATTCTTGTGAGCGACGACGGCCGATGGGTAAGTCCAGGCTCTCGATTGCGCCGTCATCCACCGCTCTTGAATGTGTGCCTCTCTCTTGAACATGTGTCTGCCTCTGACCCCACCACTCCTGGCGTCCATCCAGGTCCTCTCGGCCTCGAGCGATACAACGATCAAGCTGTGGTCGCTCGCTGCCCCCCACCGCTGTGTTGTCACGTATACCCACCACACCGAATCGGTCTGGGCCCTCGCCTCGAATCATCCCAACCTCGAGACGTTCTGGGCAGGAAGTCGCGATGGATTGGTGACCAAATTCAACAGGCGCCGACTCGGCGCTGGCGGCCCGGAAGAGGAGCTGGTGGATTGCGTGGCTGTATGCAAGGAGAATGGACCAGTGTCCAAGGTACCTTGTCTATAGCCTGGCACTGGCTCAACTTGCGGCGACGTCTGTTGTCTGGCTCGTGGTTGGATCGCAAATCACCGTCGACATGAACCCAGCAGCTGTCTGGAGACTGTGTTTTTGCGAGCCCCCTCCCTTGGTCTGCGATCGTGCCACAGTCTAACTCGCCGTTGTGGTGACTCGACTGTCCCGGATATTTCTCTCCCAGATCGCCGCCATCGACGATATGTATCTATGGACGGCAACCCCACAGTCGTCAGTCAATCGATGGGTGAGTTGTGCAGTGTATGCAGCCGACGCAATGGAGGATTTGGTTGCTGTAAGGCAGGGCTCTGGTATACACCTCCAATGCCTCGGTTCACAATGCGGGCCGTATCCCTTGCGACCTTGTATTCCCCGTTCTGATGGCGAACCTTCTTTCTCGATCCGAAGCGGGATATACCACTGCATGTGGCCACTGTCGAGGTTTCGTCGCCGACCACCCACGAAGACCATCCCGAGGTGATCATCATCCCTCCGTCAAGCATCATCCACCAGCATCCCGTCATCTTCAACGATGCCGCCAGCTGGGATACGCGCCTTCGCTCTGCTTACAGCACCGATGATGGCGCGAGCTTCCGAACAGGGCTGGCAGGTACCTTTGCTCCCTCCGGCATGGTCGGACTTGACGAAAACGACAGTGCCGAGAGCCTCATCGAGCCTGTTTGGAGAATGCCAGACTCGACCATCCAGGGTATGAAGCATATCAGCTCACGCACCGCCAAGCCTGGCCACTGGAATGGCTCTCGGTCCGTCCTGTACTTATATGGCGTCCGCCTGAATGCACGACACAGGAAAGCCGTACTTTACAGATGCCGTTCTCTTGAATAGCCGTCGCCATGCCGTAACCAAGAACTCGGCTGGAGACGTGTGTCTTTGGGACATCTTGACCTGCCAGATGATCAAGCAGCTCGGTCAAATGGATTTGAAAGAAGCCATCGAGCGCGAAAATACCATCGAGTGGATCCCGAGCTGGTGCGCAGTTGATATAAAGAACGATGTGAGTATTCAGAACAGCCCAGTTGGATAGGCTGGCGACGCGGCGCTCAGCCCAGCACGCTGGCTGCCGTAGGATGGACGGCGTGCTGTTGACACGGGTGCGAAAGCCGTCATCGTTAACGCTCTTGGTCTTCTCATGCCTCGGACCTCGTGCGGATAGTGTCTCACCGTCCACCTAGACGAGTCACGGTGCTTTGACGCTGAGCTCTACGATGACCAAGTAGATATCCCCAGCGTGCCTGGCGATGAAGATCATCGAGGTAAAATGGACCCCCATGATTTGGCCGAAGCTGCCTCGATCGCAACGCTCCTGTTGTTGAGCCGCTACTGCTCCACTGACACTTTGCGCATATCTTGCCGCTGCTGCTGTGGTCTCTCTCGCCCACCGGCATTGCTCTGATATGCCACTTTCGCTCCACTACGCTGACATGTCAACGCCTACGGTATCCCTTTGAACTTTGACTCTAGTGAACCTGGGCAAGTGGATCCTGACGAATCTGTTCCTGTCGTATGTCAAAGAGCACCACCGTCCGCATCCTGCGATCCCCACGCCTCTGGCCCAGCCCTTGCAGCCGACAGGAGGACTGGCACCCTCGCCTCAGGCCGGTGCTGCCTGCAATACAGCATCCGTATCTCCGCCGCCATCCACCAAACTGCTCGCACCAGCTACCCCGTCCACCCGAGTCTCGACCGACAGCAACGCCTCGGATCTGTCGAGCGGCGGTGAAGAGCCAGTCCGACAGCCCAAGCGAACTCCGCTCACGCTCAATGTGTCGACCCAACCTCTCAACCCCGACGGCGACAAAGCCAGTATCAGCAATCCAACCACCCCGACTGGCGCTCGCCCAGGCAAGAACAAACTCAGCGACACATCTGGCAATGTCTCGGACGCCTCTGACTCGAGCGTGTCGACCACGGACAAGCTGAAGCGCAAAGTCAGCAACCTTGCACAGAGTCTGACGCGCAAGGCGACTTCTTCGTCGGCATCGAGCTTGGACGAGGTCGGCGACTCAGGCGAAGAGTCTAGCCTCTCGCAAAAGATCAAGTTCCGGATCCGCAGCCGCACGGCGTCAAGTGGACGAGTCAAGAAGGGATCTGGGCTCGCCACCCAAAAGGAAGCCGGGCCAGCGCACCTGGGCTTGACTAAGGAGAGCTCGCAGTCCACCGACACCCGCTCCACACCAAAGCCACTGGAGGAGAAGCTACCGTCCCCTGTTCCTGAGGAGAGCTCTCCAACATCAAAGACCACACCCCAGACTGACCCACCGCCTTCGAGCCAGACACAATCACAGCCGCCAGCGGGTGGCCCTTCCCAAACCACGGATGCATCTGATGCTGGCTCGCGGAGGCGGTCCGAGGACGAACCAAAGTCGCAGGCGCAACCATCGGCGCAGGCGCAGTTCCAGCACGATCGAGCCCTGCGTAGAAGCATCGATAGCAACATTCCCAGCGCTCGCAGCACCCCTCGAAGCACTTCCTTGACTGAGCCCGTTCGCAGCTCGTCAAGAGGCCGCGTACCCTCCATTACCCATGAGCAGGTTGGATTGCCTCCCCCCGACAATGTTGAGAGCAGATCACAGGGCTGTGTACGAACACAGTGGGTCCGTCTCGTTGCTGCGGGGCACCGCTCGAATACTCACTGATATGAATCCTCCTCCTTTCACTATGCTCGCCTCTTTCCGAGTGCATTTTGCAGGTGGCCGACCACATCGACCACCGAGAAACACCGATTCTCTCGCTTCCGCCCAGCATCCAGATCCTCGTGAGTGTGGAGGAGTCGCCTGACTCGTGTGGGTTCCTGGACGTCCTGCGCGGCAATACCTCGAATGGCGACTGGTGCAGCCGCATTGGACCGTCGCAGATGCTTCCCCAGTGGATCCACGATGCAGTCACACAGGTACGTCGCCAAGCGGAGCAGGAGCGATTTCAGTCGGCACCCGCAGAGGTGGCAAGTACTGCAAATGAGCTCGTGCGCGAACGAAGCGACCTGACGACCGTCGATTCCAATCCCAATTTAGACCAAGCCCATTCAGAGAGAAGTCGTCAAGCTGCCATTCTCGCTGCTCCCCCAGATGGGCTCGGGTCTGCAGGAGCTGCCAAGCGGGTAAGATGCCGTCGCTGCTGGCTTTGGTCCACCGCCCCGGGAATGTTGGCCCGACCCTGACTGTCCGTCTCGGGCCATCTCTCCCCCAGCAACTCACGCCTGAGCGCCAACCGCTTGTTGAGAGTCAAGAAGCTGCTGGCATATATTGGCGAGAAACTGCAATTTGATGCCCAGTCCATGAACAACATTCAAGATGTGCTTGAGGTGGTGTGCAACGACAAGGTAACGTCGATGTGGATGGGCAGCGACTGCGTATGCACGTAGCCGGGGTGGGAAGGAGGCGCTCTCTGCCAAGCACAATCGAGCCAGAGATGTGTTCTGACAAATGGATGAATGAATGAATGAATGAATGAATGAATGGATCCTTGCCAGCTCGTCGATCCCCGGATGACGGTCGCAACAGTCAAGCATTTTATCTGGAAATCATCAAACGACGTTGTCTTTTTGTATCGTCGCAAGAGCGCAGGGCCCGCGGCGACAAGCCCGATAAAGACATGATGCCCATCCCGAACACGGTATTCCAATTGCCCATGAGGGCCCATGAAGACCCATGGCAGCGCCACCGCCGACGATCGATCGAGTGGCTGAGACGTGTCATTTGGTCCAGAACGGAGAGCAAGGGTTTATGATATTCGTATGAGGAGAGATGACAAAAGCACCCAACTGTCAAGAGCAGCAGAGGCAGACGCTCGCCCCATGGCTTCGAGCTGGTATAGAGAATGGAGGGAGTGGCTTTGATGGTGAGGACGAGCAGGTGAGGCCTGGGATCGAGGACTATGCAGTGCCATCAGAAAGCCCCGCTACCAAACCTGTCTCGACATGGAATGGGAAGAAAGGGGGGAGGGGAAGCACGCAGCGCCGGGTCGGTTTGAGTGCTGGGCGAGCAAGGCTGTACGGGCTGGTGGATCCGACAAAGTGCCACCGCCCATCCGAGATCATGATGGATACGCATCCATTTGATCGCCGTCGATGCTGACCCTCAGGTAGTCGTCGAAGGCCGGTTCTTCAGAGGCTGCGGTTTGGCCGTCTGGCTGCCAAAACGACTGGCAGCAATCGTCAGCATTTAACCAGGGGGGCAACTCGCCCGGCGTGAGGCCCCGGAGATACCTGGGCGACGACGACTTGGAGTCCAGCGAGTGGCCGCCCATGTCGAGGTCAGCCCAAATGTCATCGCCGAGAGCATCGGTTTCAACATCACTAGGCAGCGGCGTTTTCTTGTCGGACAGTCTATAGTCAGCATCCGATTCGGTGCCAGAGGCTTCGAGGTAGGGCGGGAGCTGATCGCCGTAGGGTGGGGGCTCATCATCGGTGAGGGGCTGCTGAGGCTCAGGGGCATACTGCTGGTACTCTGGGATGGACATGCCCGAGTCGTTTGGATTGCTGGCGATGACAAATGCGCCGTGTGTGTGTGTGTGTGTGTTGCGAATATGAATCAAGGCAGCCGAACACAAACGAATCCAAGCACAGATACGATGGGTGAGATATTCAAAAGCCAGGATGATAGGAGAAGTCAATGACAGGCTTCGAACGGCCACCGTCACCCGCACATGATACACTCAGGTGCCGTGGCAGAGCCTTCTGTCACAACACAACACACAGCAGACACATGCATGCGGCTGGCACTACGACGAGCCGGAGAGAGACAAAGGACTTACGGTTGCAAACTTGGATGCTGAGCCGTCACAGCAGCATGCCAGTCGGCGGCAGTGCAGTGGCTCGAGAAGCTTGGTGGATTGAGAGTGAATTCTGACCGGAGGTTTTGCTGCCCCAAGGAAAGTGGTGCCCCTGCCTGGGGCTGGGTGTAGCTTGGAGCGCTGTTGGTGCTGCTGCTGAAGGCTTGTTGGTCCGCAGACCAGGCGGCCGGGAGCGACGATGGGCTGGACGCTGGCAGAGTCCATATCCAGGTCGCGCCCGAGAATGGCGGGGCCTCTGGGCCGGACGAGAGCTGCATCTGCTCCATAACATACGGACGAGAGACGGCCAGCAGAATCTCGACAAACTCAGCATGGCTCAGCTTCTGGCCGACGGCTGCTTTGGCCTGCCGGAACTTGTCGCGGGTAGCGGTCGAGACCCAGACGGTCCATGAGGTGCCATTGGGCGCCCGATCGCAGAAGTATTGAATCATCTTAGCGCTGATGCTGTCCGAGCGAGTGACAAAGTCATCGAGCAGCCTAGACAGGAAAATATCGAATGGCTCCAGGAAGAGGGGACGATGGTCCTGCCGGCCGAGGGAGGCGAATAACGAAGGTGGTTAGTACCATGCCGGATTTCGAGTCCCGGAGCCCGGCCGAGACGGGCAAGCACGGAGAGTCGCTACAGAGAGCCGTCTCGGTACCGATGCATCACAGCCTGATTCTCCAGCTTGGCGACGAGGGCTCGGTCGACCCTGGCAGTCAAATACAGCTATCGGGTGCCCTCCTGCTGCCCAGGCCGGCTGACGGCCAGCGCCCTCTCGGCAGGGGCATCCGGCAAACCAGCGGCCAATCGAGCCACTCACGATGCAGAACTTGAGACAGTGCCTCGCCGCCCTCTTGAGCTCATATTTCTTGTCCCAGTTGAGTCTGCGCGGAGTCGAGGTCGGGGGCGGGTTTGCGGACATGAGCGCAAGATGCACAGCGAAGAAGGGGACAAGCGCTGCGGGACCGAATTCGGCTGCTTGGGCGTGGATGTGCGGCAGCCCACGGTCATGTGGGTGTCAGATGTCTGCGGCGGCTCGGCATGCGCCACACCCGTCCAGCGAGCCAGCCCGGCACAGATCGGCACCGTTCCCACCGGCTTGTCAGGCTCAATCTACAGCGCAACCGTTTTGAAACAGGGCACTCTGTTTCGAGTCAGGTTTTTCTTTGATTTAAGGGCCTGAGTACACATCCAGGACCGGAAACAATCGCACAGCCTGCACACTGGGGAGCTACGGAAGTTCAGCAGCTTCAGGCCCTTGATACCAGAGAAAAGGGGCACTTTCCCGTTCCGTCCTGGATTGACTTTATGAGGCAGATGTATTACACGCCATGAGCGCAGGTCGTTCGGTCGTGGTGCATTTGTTTGCCGAGGACCAAGGAATAGGTGCGGTTGCTGGATCTAAGCAAATCAATTGTGTCACTCAAACCATCGGGACTGAATATGCCCAACTCAGCCTCTCATATAAGCTACAGGCACTATCGTGGAGCGGGTGTGGCAAAAATAGCAGTCACAGCTTGAGCTGTGAGATTATCGTCCTGCACACGCCCTGGTAAGCCCAGGTGGAGCCCTTGGTGCGCTTCATCTCCACACCCCTCAGGGCTGTCCTGTAGATCCGCACAACCTCGATTTCAAATTTGATGGACTGGTATGTGCACTGTGCCTTGTATCCGTTCCAGGTGTTGGGGATGCTGTTTTCGTTCAGGACGCGCTGGACTTCCCTCACAATCAACTCGGGCGATTGAGTCGATGTCGTGTCGGCTCCGAATATGGCCTTGCTTGCCCGAGGCTCATCCCGAGTACCTCCCAGGGCAGTGGATCCCATCGTGGACTTGCCCTGCTTGGAAAAGCTCGTGCTGCGTATTCGCTTGATCGCGCTGGAGATGGTCTCCGTGAGCGACTTTCTTCGCCGGAGCTTTGATTCTTCGGGAGGAATCAGCCCCGGCGGCGCCAAGGAGACAGCACTGGCGTCGATGCGCTCCTTGATCGGGGACGGCGGTGACATGGATGCATTCGACGAAAGCGTCATGCTTCCCATGTTGACCGACTGCGATGCCAGCTTTTGCGACCCAAGGCGGTGGGCCGTCGTGCTCGTCCGGTGTGGAGAAACATGGGCATTGAACAGCTCCGGAGTGCTTTTCTTGGTCTTGGATGCTGGTCCGGAAGGCAAAGAAAGTCGTCTGAAGAGCTTGGACAGTACCGGTACGGCCAGGGACTTTTCGTCTGCAGGGCTTGTCTTTGCCGCAATGTTGTTGTTGCTGCTGCTCTCCTGGCTGAGGGACGAGGTGCTGTCTTTCTGGTCCTGGCTGTGCAAATGGCTCGGCTCATGTACAATCGAGTCAATGCTGGAAGTAACGGACTCTGACGCCGGTGCTCTCGATCTCTTGGCCTGGAGCGGGATCGGATCGGAAGAATCGGATAGACGCGGCTCCCCGCGGTGGGAATGCTGTGACGGGGTTCGCCTTCGGCGCATCGTCTCGGGGGAGAGCCCGTCGTCGGAATGACCAGAGAATGTGCCGCTGACAGTGCTTCTTCGACCAGTTGCCGGGCGGGCCACTCGAGTACTGGCATTTTTCCTCAATTTGTTCATGATTTCTTCATTCGACGATACTGACGTCGTGTCCACCGAGGTGTTGGAGCCTGCGGTGATCGAAATCCGAGGCGCTTCGATCGGGGCCACCTCGGTCGGGCCCGCTTTGGGACGCTGAGACGGCGAGTATCCATCGTTATGCAACTGAGCGTTTTCGAGGTCGATTTGCGAGTCCCGTTGATCGGTCGGGGCCGTGCGGAGGTGACCTCGTTCGCGAGCCTGCTGCTCTCGCAGCAGGTAGTAGAGGGCAAATGCCGGACCAGTGGGGGCCGTGAGAATCTGGTTGATGGCAGCGTCTTGCTCGAGACCAAAGCTCGTCATTTTTTGGATGATTTTCTGGTCAAGCTCCTCGGCATCGTGGAAGACGGGGCGAGGCGGCAGTAAGGAGTCTGGCGGCCCAGGATATCCCTCGGTGGTCCAGGGATGATTCCGGATCTCGTCGACAGAGGCGCGGTGCACCGGGTCGACCACGAGCATGATCTTGATCAAATCCTGGGACTCTGTTCCGAGAGAGACAGCAGGGATTGTTAGCACAAAGTCGACCGAGATCCGCGATGCAACTCTGGCTGGTGCGGGGGGGGCACCACCGAATGCTCTGAGACACAAAGTATCGCCAATGACGAAGGGCAGCTTCGAAGTGCTCATAGTTTTTGCGTCTACCTGGGGACATATGGTCGGGGCACTCGTACACGCCTCGAGTGATTCTCTTGTAAAGCTCTGCTGTGTTGGACTCGCGAAAGGGCAGCTTGCCGGTAAGGAGGGCAAACAAAATAACCCCCAGGCTCCAGACATCGACTTCAGGGCCAATGTACTGGCGGCCGAGAATCATTTCTGCGGCAACAGATCCATCGATGATGCAGATGGCGTGAGTTACTGCGTGCAATGATCGTCTCAAAACACCGGGGCGTTGCGATGGGGCTGGCCGGGTGGCATGGGGCCATCCAGGACATGGTGCGGCGCTGCCGTGATTGTCGATGCAACAATGTGGACGTACCTGGGGAAGCATAGTATGGCGAGCCGCAGAACGTTTGCATCATATTGGATGGATCAAACAGATTGGCAAAGCCAAAGTCGATAATCTTGATGCCACGGTTATTGTCCAAAAGCAGATTCTCGGGCTTCAGATCTGGGATGTGGGGGACGATACATGGTGAGACTGTTGACCGACGCAATCTCGACACGCTGGTACAGCCGCTTTGCAATATTGCCACAAAGCGCAAGGGAGGCGTTGCTCTTTTGTGGGAAGCCAGTATCTGTGCTTTGTGTTGATGCGAGCTCAATCCAAGAGTGGTCTACGCGGCGCTGCCGCTCTGCCGGCCCTCACCTCGGTGGATGATGCAGCTGCGATGGCAGTAGTCCACAGCGGAGAGTATCTGACGAAATACTCTGCGGGCAACATTCTCGTTGACTTTTTTGTGGGCGACGATATAGTCAAACAGCTCGCCTGCCAAGCCGACGATAGTGTGGGCGAGACACACGATTAGAGAGGTCGGACGCACGCGCTGTGTCTCCAGGTTGAATCGCCGGCACCAGCGACGCTCAAGCCATCGAGATTACCTCCTTCGACAAACTCCATCGCGAGGATGATTTCCTTTTCGGTTTCCTACGTCGTGACATGCAACATAAGTTCGGCTGGTTTCGTCCAACTTCGGCCCGTCTCGGCTCGCACCCAGCCCAGCAATGGATCGGGCATCGCCTGTATTGAGGGTCTACCGAGCACGTCCGCACCACCATGAAGGCATTCGATATTCACAGAGCTGCTACACATACCGCAACGTCATAGAGCTTGACGATGTGCGGGTGATGGACCAACCGCATCAGACGGACCTCGCGCTTCAGCCGAGTAATGTGCGAGACCTTCTTGATGATGCTCTTGGATATGATTTTGAGTGCAACCTATGGGTGTGAAGCAGGGTGGTCGGTTCATCGTGTTCAGTCGCCACCACAGCCCCATTACCCGCAGAAAGAAAGGCCTTGGGCCGACGACACCACTTTCAGCACAGCTGTGCCAGATCATCCTGACCAGCAAGCATACCTTTTCCATCGTGACCGTATCGTATGCCAGCTTGACCTTTCCGTAGCTGCCTTCGCCAACGACCTTGTGGATCAGGTATCGGTCCAAAAACAACTCGGGTTCGGCATTCTGGGGTTGCTCTGCCGCCTTCAGCTCAGAGTCGCTCGAGGTATTGTCGACGGAACTACTCTTAGTTGGCGAGGGCGGAGCGGAGGACGACGGCTCGGATGCATTATGGGGCGCTGTGGGTGTTATCACTGTGTTGCTGCCGGACGCAGATGTAGGATTGCCGTCGGTTGTGGTGACGCTGATTTGGACGGCACCCTCCATCCTGCACTGTGATTTGAGCTCAGGAACCCTCTGATGGCGATGGCGATGCTACGGCAGCAAATGGAGCACCGACACTCGGCTCGATATTCAGACTCGACAGAGTGCTGCTGTAGAGGGAGTGTGGGGCACTATAAACGGGGTTCCGATAGAACTCAACTCGCAGAAGCGCACCGATGGGCAGTTGTACTCTGCGTCCGGGCTGGAGGGAGGGAAATCCGGCGCGAGCTGCTAGTTGCTCAAGGCAATCAAAGGTCGACAACACCAAGCGCGGGAACTGATGAGTGTCCTTCGTGGTAAGAGGAGGGGAAACTGAGCAGACAAACGAGTCCAGAGAGAAACAAGTGCAAAACGCCCTGGCCGGAGTAGCGACGAGGGCCGGGTGTGGGAAGTCTTTGATACGGAGGACGCCGAGAACGGTCGTCTGTGGTCGAACCGAGACGCAGAACAGATGCAAGGGCACAATTTGTGCTTCGTCCGAGGGATGACGGCGAGCAACAGCATTCTCCCTCTTGGGGCACCGATGGCTTTGTGTCGATGTGCAATAATGGGGTCGGTCGGGCTGTGATTGGAGTTGTATGGTGACGATGCTCCCTCGAATCAATTGCGTCGGCGGCTGCGTCTGCGTCGGCCTTGCGGTCGATCCGTTCCAGCCCAAGCTGGCCCTCATCGCTACAGGCACTCGCACAACCAATCCAGCACGATCGATGGTCGGAATCGACAGCTCCCTCCTGGTGGAAATGGCTCGGCCAAGCTGTGCGACAAATTCCTGCCGATCGAGAAGGCTGGCTCGAGAAGGGCAGTCGATCCCGTCCGCATCAGAAGCCAGGCAAGGACGATATCCAAACGACTCGTTTGACCCGAGTCTCTTGATGTCGAGAACCCACACTCTGTACGGAGCTGTTCAACGGGCTAAATGCATGCACCACAATCCCGCATTGCGACACCAACATCTCGCGAAACATGATCTCGGTATGCTAGTCGATTGTCGCCACTGAAGGTCGACCATGCGTGTTCAAGATGTGCTCCCGAAACCCACTAGAACACCTTTCGTTGCCAATCAAGATGGGAGGAAAGCAACCACACGGCTGGCCCTCAGCAGCCTACAGATCTTCTGACTTCAATTCCGTGACCGTAATCGAGGGAACAGACACTGTCCCGGTTCTTTCTTCTTCTTCTGCATTAGCTGGCGTCGGAAAACACAAGCTGGTTCTCGAGCGAGCGAGAAGCATCGAGCGCTTTCAGAGCGGCAACGGCAGCCTCCAGGGACTTGGTCTCGCCGCGAGCCTGCTGGCTGGCCTCGTCTCGGTTGCGAATGTTGACGGAACGGCTGTCTTGCTCTGCCTGTCCGACAACTAACAGGGCGACGAAGTAGTAGTGTCAGCGACGGCCCATTCTGAGAGGCCCATTCTGAGAGGCTCGGCAAAACAACAGTGCGAACAGCAGCAACAGCGGGTAGGGCGTCCCTGATCCTTACCAAAGACAAAGTTGTACTGCGACAGCTGGGCAGTGCGGATCTTCTTGGGCAGGGTCATTCCGCTGACGTCAAGATCAACGACAAAGCCAGCGTCGTGCACGGCGTTGTAGACCTCGGTGGCGTAGTCGTAGTAGGCAGGGCCGATCGGGATAACCATGACCTGGCGTGGGCTGAGCCAGAAGGGCCACTTGCCGCCGAAATGCTCGATGAGGATAGCCATGCAGCGCTCGACGGAGCCAAGGACAGCGCGGTGGATCATGACCGGGCGCTTGAACTGCTCGTTGGGATCGTCACTTGACACAAGGGAGGGATGTGAGCAGTAGATCATCGGGTGTCAGGTAGGTCGAATAACTAGCAATAGCAACGTGGGAGGCGGTCTCGATGGTGCATCACAGGACCGACACTGCGGCTGACGAGAGGACACGGGCGACAAGTCGCCATTTGCATCCGCACACCAACACAACGTCCCCGCATCGACTCGGGCAGCAACATACGTGCGGTAGCTCAGGTTGAACTGCTCGGGAAGCTGGAAGTCCAGTTGCAGGGTGGCGCACTGGAACTTGCGCTTCAGGGCATCGGTGATAGTGATATCGATCTTGGGTCCGTAGAAGGCACCATCTCCAGGGTTGATGGACCAAGGACGGCCAAAGTCATCCAGGACTCTGCGCAAACACTATCGCGGAAAGGTGACATGAGCCCAGGTCCCACAAGCAGCATGACCAAACACCAGAGGAGCAAAGCACCATGCAAGCGCTGAGACACTTACGTCTTCGGCGTAGTCCCAGGTCTCGACCTTGCCGAGGAAGCTCTCAGGGCGAGTACTGAGGCGCATGGTGAACGACTCGCTCCAGCCAAAGAGGCCGTAGATATCACGGACAAAATCAAGAGCGTTCTTGATTTCTTGTTCGAGCTAATAGATCAAAGCAGAGACACATTAGATGAGGCTGCGTCTCAGACGCCGCGAGCAGGGTCGGCTGTTGTATCGCCCCATTTGCTGACCACACATACCGTCTCGAGTGAGGTGAAGATATGGGCATCATCTTGCTGGAAACGGCGCACGCGAGTCAAGCCCGTGAGAGCTCCAGAGGCTTCGTTGCGGTGCAGGACACCAAAGTCGGCCATGCGGAGAGGAAGTTCACGGTAGGAGCGCTCGCGATGACCAAACATGATGCAGTGGCCCGGGCAGTTCATGGGCTTGAGACCAAACTGATCCTTCTCAACCTTGAAGGTGAACATGTCGTCCTTGTAGTGCTGCCAGTGGCCGCTGGTCTCCCAAAGCTTGCTGCTGTAGATGTTGGGGGTGATGACCTCCTGGTAGCCACGCTTGTGGTATTCCGAGCGCTGAAGCTCAACAAGCTTGTTGTAAATGCGAGCGCCACGCGGCAGGAAGAAGCACGATCCAGGGGACACGTCGTTGAAGAAGAAGAGCTCTTGTTCCTGAGTGGGGCAAGCAGTCGTTCACCAATTAGAGCGGCTTGGGAGCTGTATCGAAACACTCGCCACCCCCAGACGATCGGGTGCGATCAAGGCCAGCCAGCCGTCAGCACCGATACCTTTCCGATCTTGCGGTGGTCGCGCTTGGCTGCCTCTTCCAGGAACTTTTTGTATTCCACCAACTGCTTGTTGTCGGGGAACGAGATGCCGTAGATGCGCTGGAGTGAATCGTTGGCAGCATCGCCGAGGAAGTACGAAGCAGAGTTCTGGCAGTCGAAACAGCGAACTGGTTAGCGCTGCATCGTGAGGCTGTGCAGAGGACAGGACAGGACACCCACGCAGCCGTCATATCACTCGCAGAGACTGCTGTTTGCGGAAACGCACCTTCATGACCGAGAAGGCTTTAATGTAGCCAGTGTTGGGCACGTGAGGGCCATAGCACAAATCGATCAGCGGGCCGCAGCGGTAGACCGTCGAAGTAGTGCCATCGGGAACCTTTTCGCGGATGATGTGCTCCTTGTAGGGGTTGCCCTGGAGTGTGCATGGTGCGCATGGTGGCTCAATCAGAGATGCGCCCTGCATACAGATACCGCTCTGGAAAAGGCCCTCTCACACAACCGAACGCGCATGTGATGCGTAGCAACAGCCTGAATGCACCGGCTCGTACCTCGAACATCTCGAGCAGCTCCTCCTTGGTCATCTCGAGGCGCTCGAACTTTTGCGACTCCTTGACAATGTCCTTGGCAATTGATTCGATGGGCTCGTAGTCGCTCGAGCTGACAGCACTGGTGGACAAAATCGTCGATGCCCGATCCGTAAGCAAGCAAGCAAGTACGACAAAGCCGTGCCATTCCATGAGCAAGGGCTGGTGCTTGTGCCCACAGATGCGATCCGACGGCTGATCACGCTCAGCAAAGCGGAAGGCGCCACGTACCGATCCTCGGGGTTCTTCATCTCGTAGTAGAAGCCATCCTCGGTGGGGGGGCCAATGCACAAATGGCAACCAAACATGCGCTCGCAGCTCTCGCCGAGGACGTGGGCGCTCGAGTGCCAGAAGACCATTCTGCCCTCTTCGTTTTCAAAGTCAAGGAGTTCCAGGCATGCGACATCAGACTCGAGAGGACGCAGCAGGTCCCAGAGGACGCCGTCGACCTTGGAAATGATGACCTTCTTGGCAAGCGAGGTGGAGATGCCCTTGGCAACACTCATGGGCGTGGTTTCGTAAGCGACGCCATCGACTTCCTTGCCGTTGGGCAGGGTAATCTTGATGGGCGTGCGTGGCATTTCTGCGAAACCGATGACACAGATATAAGATTACAGCGACATGTCCGTCGGCGAGATACAATAGCTCCATGGCTTCAGGCACATATCCACGAGTGCATCATATGTACCGCGAAGCTCATCGTCCTTTCGCTTCTTGATCTCATCGAAGATCTTGATGCGCTTGTCGATGTACTCGGGCCGGGGGTTCATCTGGTCGCGACAGAGGATAGTGAGACGACGAACGACGAAGCCAAGGCATCTCGATAGGAAATGGGCATGGACGGCAAGTCCGTTGTTGTTCAGTCGTTGATGGGGATGGATGCCGTTGCGGATGCAGATGCAGATGCCGATGCCGATGCCGATGGCACCCTGCGGTCGAAGCGAGCCTTACCTCCACCTTGGTGGTGGGGCCGAGATTAGAGTCCTTGACAAGAGGGGTGGCCATCTTTGAATGGGAGTGTTCACAAGCGGGCTTGGGAGTGGGCTGTTGTTGCTGTTGCTTCTGGGGCTGGGAGCTCTTGGCCACGACGGGTGACTTGCTGGCTGCTTCAGGAAGGGTGGGCTGCGGGGCTGCGGTCTCGATCTCCGCCTGAGACTTGAGGGTGGAGTTGTAGACGGGATGGGGCAGCACGGTGTAGACGAGATCCATCAAGCGAGCAGGGGATGCTTGTTATCTGGATCTTGGGGGCGGGCGCTGGCGATCGGATGAAGGCGTGCTGGGAAAGGTGGGCACCGAAAGGCTTGAAATGGGGGGAAAAAACGATGCCGTCTCGCTGCCGTCTCGCTGCCGTCTCGCCGCCGTCTCGCTGCCGCCTCGGTACGCCCTCGCGCCCTCGCTGCGCGTCTTTGCTGGCTGAAGCCCATTTGTCAAGTGATCTATTGCACGTGGGCCGCTGCGCATTTCCTGTTGCGGACACCGCGTCAGAAAAAGTCGGTGCCCCCTGTCACCTCCAGCAGGTCATCCATGATGCGCTCGACCTCGGAGCCGATGCCCTTGGCCAGCTCGCGCTGGGTGCTCTTGGAAAAACTCGAGTATCGGTAGATCAGATCGCCGTCGAGGATGAACTTGGGGCCCGGCAAGCCAGTGTTGATGCTGCTGGTTGCCCCGAGATACTGACTCCGAAGCTGGAGTTGCCTGAAACAGCATGGGGCCATGGAGGGCACAGGAGCAACACGGGGCCATGCAGGCGGGTGGATGGGTGGATGGATAAGTGACTGGGCCAACGAATCAGCAGAGTCGATGCGCAGCGCCGATATGGACAAGTGTCATCGGCGTCATGCGTGGCAGAGGTCTGCCTACCGGAATCCTCGTGGGTTCAGCGCAGCCGCGTGCTGGATGTTTTGGACCATGCGGCTGTAAAGTGCATACATGCGCTTGTATAGCTTCTCCGAGACGGGCAAGACCATGCCGAGGCTGCCATCCAGACTACCTGGAGCCGGAAGAGCAGTGATGTCAGCAACGCGCGGTGGGTTGGTCGGGTCGTTTGCCAATCGTGCGGCAGGGTGACCCGCGAAACATGCTGGGCTTACCATAGACACTGAGAAATTGGACCGACGGCGTGCCTGTCGGCATTTTGCCTCCAGGAGCCGTTTGCCGACGCAGACATATCATCTTATCGATGCTGTTGCCGACATGGAACTCGCCCTTGCGAATCAGCTTCTGCCCATTGTACGACTGGATGTCTGTGAGCGCAGGCGTAAGTATAGGTGTGTGAGCGTAAACCCGAATGGCAAGGAGGCAGCGTCGGTCGTCGGTTGTGATAGCCACCCTGGTGGTCACGCCCAAAGAGTGTCCATCCGCTCTTTCCCAGCGCCCAATTCCGCATATCATCTTTGCTGGCGACGTACTGTATGGGGCATATGAAAACATGTGCAGATTCTTGTCACCATCCGCCACAAGTAGAGACAGAAGGTTATCGTTCACCAGGAATGCCGAGCTGTAAACCGAGAGTTTGTTGAAGTCTTTGCCCAGGAGCGCCAGTTTGGGCGGCTCCTCCTGCATCGCCAAAACGGATGTGAATCAGCCCATGATCACGAGTAAATATACTCAGTATGCTCTTGGGTGTTCAGAGTGTGTCGCAAATGTCACCGTGGAAGCGGGTGCTATTATCCAGCAACAGCAACAGAAGCACCGCCTGCATCGTAGCACACAGGCTTACCTGGAATCCAAGGAACCAAACGCTCTTGCTAATGTCGCCCACAAGGATCAAGTTCTTGACCACCGACACGGTTGTGACGTAGATATTGACGTCAAGGAAGGCAACGCCAACAAGTGATTCGGCATCTTCAAATGAATGGATGATGATCTAAAGCAATGTCGCTGTTAGCACAGTAATGCGGCGGATATGGCCAAGCCGTCCATTCGCCACTGCCTCTCTGCGCAGCGAAGGCACGCAGAGTAGAGGCCGTGATGTTATGAAGGCACGCTGACGCACCTTTGAGCCAATCGCCACCAGCAGATAGCCGCTGATTGCGGAGACTGCCGAGACCGGCGTCTTCTCCTCATTTTGATACAGAAGCTTCAACTTGTGGTTCGTTTGCGGATTGTCGATCTCGGGCACAACGTCGATAATCTCAAAGACATAGATCTGGCAGTGGTGATGCATACTCGCCAAGTCAGCTTGGGCTCGATCCCGCTGGATATCTCGATCCTGCTCGGTGTCATTGTTCTCCCGGATTTTGTGTGTTTGTATCCATCAAAGACCCTGCTCATTACTCACCTTTCCTCGAGCCGTCAAATCTTCGCCGCGGAAAGCGCCTGTTCCGACAGCAATGAAGCATTTTCTTCCTGAGGCGGTTTGCTTGCTTTTCAGCTCAACCGTTTCGACACAGAGGACTTGCTCGTATTCATCAAAGATGTACTTGTCGACCGTCTCCCATGTTACAGGCGACACCAACTCGAGGCGGTGCGCGGACACTTCGGGGAGGTATCTCATGACATCTGTGGCGACATTGCCGGATGAGTGACAGGATGTGCGGTAACTCCATCCAGGTGGAGCTTGCAATGGTGCTTGCTGGGTCACATGGCCCAGAGGCTTGGGGCCAGCACTCGACCAAGCTCGATCAGCAGTCGCAACCAAACACACGACTGCCACCGCGGTGGCCCTCATGTGTCAAAGGACAACTCACCGCGCTCCAGATCAGAGTTACGATTGCCGCCCTCGGTCTCCTCTGCCTCCTCGATCACACCTGCGGCCACGGCGGCAGCGTGCTGGGCGCGGGAGAGCGCAAAGGGGACCTTGGTTGAGGTTGACATGGCATAGGTCAAAGATGGGTGATGATAGGTGATCTTATGGGCCGTGCGATGAAGAGAGACCTTGCATACGGGCCACTCGGTATCGAACCGGAACTGCGAAGGGAGTTGCGCGATCTTGACCGAGCCCTGACGTTGGATATTCGGATGCGCCAAGCGCGACACTGAGCGTCAGCAGAGTGCCGAACAGCGGGACAGCCCCGCTTCGAAGGGACATCGGTGCTCGACCCTGCACAAGATGCCGTATCTTACCCCAGAGGTCGCGTACAGGAATCCGTTGTTGATGTTGACGTTGTGGAGCCCAGCAAAGGTCTGTACGGGTCCGTCCATGGCCGCCGGGTGAACTCGCAACACGTTCTGGCCGATCAAAGGCATCGCAGAGTCCAGTGTCGAGCGGCCTTCCACTCCGTTGATGGCCTCCAGATTGATGCCAGATCCCAGCCGAGTGGCCACCATAATCCAGCACGGACGCGGCCCGCTCATGAAAACGCCCGAGTACATGCCAGAGTCGGCGTGTCCAATGTCCTCGAACGGCTTGAATAGCTGTTGTCGAAGAAAGGCCTCGCTCGAGGGTTTGGAGATGGGCTGCAGCTTGTCGCCTTCGCGGTCAACATACGAAGTTGGCTCCCACGATATATGCTCGTGGTGCACGCGAGAAAAACGGGTTGCCAGGCGATTCAGGGCAGCACCATCGTCCGACGCACCGGGTACTGAACTGTCGCCATCGATCGACACATAGTTGAATGCCTCGTAGATCGCGAGCTCATTGTTGGCCATGCGCAGCTGTCCAAAAAACGATAGCAAATTAGACCGCGGAATCGAGACTACGCCATCATGGAGCACGATGGCGCTGCGTACAGATAAGCTCAAGCGAGCTCGTTTACGTGGGTCAAGTCGGCAGGGGCAAGTGCGAGGGGGTGGGAGGGCAGTCGATGGGAATGAAGCAGCTTGCGCGAAATTCACTGCCTCGTGTCGGTCGCATACCAAAAGATAAGGCCGCTTGCGGTTTACTTGCTTTCCAAACGTCGTCAAGACCATCTCCTCGATCTTGATGGTTGGCGGTGCGGCTGCTGGCGTCCGTGGTCGCTCGCCGCCAGTGACAGGTGGTTGATCAAACACTAGGCCAGGGAGCAAACTGAAGTTGGAGCAGACGAACCTGGGCTCCAAGCCTGGGACGGTGTAGATCTGGAAGGCAATATCGGATAGGTCGAGTGAGCCGAGAGGTTTTGGCACTCAAATTCGGGAACATCGCACCTCAAAGCGAGAGCGAGGCAGCATGATTTGGAATTGGGCTTGGACCAACGGAGAGTTGGGGGCGCGGTCGCAAGGCCACCAAATATGCTCCCGCCAGAACAAAGAACTGCAATCCAGAGCCAGATCCCGGTCTTGATCTTGACTACGATGCAGGCATCGGAGGGTCGAGTCCGCTCACCTCAAAACTACCGTTGTCGCGGTAGATCAGACACCAAAACGACTTTTCGTCGCCACGAACAGCCCCGTTCGACCGACTAACATTCTCCTCCGTAACATGTTCCTTGTGCATCTCGACATCAGGGTCGACGTCCGTCGGATCCACGTTCATCAGAATATCGTCGTCCTCCAGCTCCGGGTTATCTTCGTCGAGCTCTTCGGGGACTGGCTCGTCCCCATAGAGATTCGAGTCAATCTCGAGGGTGGCACGGGAGCCCTTTTGTCTTGCGCTTGACGGTCGAGGTTGCGCCGCGGCCCTCGATCGCATGCTCCGGCGGAGGTCGCGTCGAGCAGCCTTGACTGTCTGCAGGAGACGGCCGCCGCAGCCATCGAGATACAAGGTGCAACAAGTCACACCAAGGCCCGTGAGGGAGCCACAGAGCTGGAGAGTCTTCGACAGCTCATTCACTTGGTAGAGCGCCATATTTCCGCGGTTGTTCAGCACCGCAATATACGGATCAAGGATTTTGGCAAAGATGATCCGGGTGCCGGAGGTCGAGATGGTCGTTTCGGCGACCAGTCGGGCAGCTGTGAACCCTCGAATGGATCAGAAATCGCCCGGTACCGCCACAAAATGACGCCACAAATGACGCCATGCGATTGCTTCGGCTGGACTTACTGTCGTCCAGCAGCAGAATGCCACCAGGGTAGACTTGAACAATCAGGGTTTCTTCCAGTACAGATCCAGCGACAACAGTGGCGCCGCTGCGATAGAAGGCGCCTGAGTCAACCTCCTGAATTTCATCACCGGTCTCCAAGATCTATACGGAGAAGAAGGACATCCTTAGCAAGCGCGGAGCAGCAGCAGCAGCAGCCCTATCCGCAGTAGAGATTTGGCCATGTCACACTTTCTTTGAAAACAGCGGCGATAGTTGCAAGCCCCTCCCATGCACCGGTACCCGGGCTGCACGCTGCCAGCAGAAATGACACTTACCGTTGTCGAGTGGGCCCGCGATAGCACCAAGTAGCGGTGATAGCCCTCGTGCTCCAAGCCGGGCAGTCCCGCTTGCCCCCCGTCAAACCGGAACTCGTTTCGAGCAGCTCGAAGCTTGTGGGAGAGCTTGATTGTCCACATGTCAATCACCCCGGGGATTTCAAACGAGCCCAGGACTTGCGGTCGCAAGTTGCGCTGGAGCACCGCGAGGGAGCCCGTTGCCACCTCGCCGACGCAGGCTACAATCTCCATGTTGCTCTTGGAGGGATCCGGTGAGTACTCTGGAATACTGGAGCCAACGGGCGCGCCTACGGCCATACTCCGGATCGGTCCGCCACAGACTAGCGAATCACACACTCGGAATGAATACTTGACGTTGGTCTCGTTCGAGGAGGCCTCGGTGCCGAAAGCAGCATCTTCGCTTTTGGCCTTGGCATCGGCTTTGTACGTCTCGCCATAGAGCTCCATTTCAAGATCGTCAATGTCTTCCCGATCGCCATTCAGCGTCGCCGCAGACCCGCTTGCTGCGAGCGAGTCGGGATTGTCTGTCAGCATCGACGACTCCCAGTACTGAATCAGCATCGCGTCCGTGACTCGACTCGCGATAAAGATGTATCCAAACTCTCGCCCCGAGATCTGGAAGCCGCCTCCGGTGACCGAAGAAACGAATGTCGGGCGAGACTCAATTCCACCGATGCGAATGCCGCACACGGGCATGGTCGATCGCAGCCCGACCCTCTCGATTCGAAATCGCTTGACGCCGCTTCTCTTTCGCTTCCAGCCGCGGCCGGCGTCTTCTTGTCCTTCAAGGTGAATGATGAGCATCTCGCCCGACCTCAGCACCAACAGCAGTGTATCGGGGTTGAGGAAGAACGGAGAGCAGCCATCGAGTGCAGCGCCGAGGTGCTTGTAGTCCGTGCACAAAGCCGGGGTGTACAGCGGGTTGCCTCGCGATCCCTGCTCGCCGAGCTCGCCTTGAGGCCCGGATGAAAAGGCGGACTCGATGCCATAGTATGGGTTCACAGCCACGGCGACACCAGGCACGGAGGTCTGGTCGACATGCAGGACCGAGTTGGGCGAAAATATCATGATGCCGCCCACTGGACTGGGAGCACCCATGAGCTTGAAGCAGTTGTAGGGCAGATTCTGGACAGTGTAGAGGATCGGATAGCTTTTCTGCACGATATCCAGTGAGACGACGCTCAGAGACTTGGTATCGCGGCGATTGGCAAGACGACTGATCGTCGAGCAAGAGGCTGGTTAGAGCGGCGTCACGACAGGGCATATGCCCAGATGCAGTCGATGCCTGCACGAGAGCGAGGCAATCAGCGCCGATACAGTACCCTGTCCATGTTTGCGTGGTCTCGTACAGAATCGCCAGCGTCGGCTCCAGGAATCCGTGCAAGAAAACAATGTCGACGACGTTGCGGATCTTGGTATCGATGGCCGACAGAGAGATAACAAAGCTCGACTGATACGGCAGGCGCTTGCTGCAGGAGCGTCCCAATCGATGGTCAATTGAAGATCGAGCCCTCAGTCATATAGCATCAAGAGCGTCGGTCTGGTTGACATGAGCCAGCCCAAACAGACCCGCTCCGAAAGGTGCCGCCATACCTTGTCGGATCCAGATCATCCGTGTTGGCGCCGTCGTTTCGCAGTGGCAGGATGGCGAGTCGATCGTTGTAAAAATTCAGGACAGCGCATCTATGCTCTGGATCGACCCGGATCTCTGGAACCCACTTGTCCGTGAGCGATTCTTTCTGTCGGCCCAACGGAAAGGCGTTAGGAAGTCGTGTCGGGATGCCAGATCGACCAGGCTGATGGCTGGATCGACCAAACTGATGGCTGGATCGACCAAACTGATGGCTGATCACCAGACAGAGTATTTACCTTGAACTCCTCCCGTTCATAGTAGTGGATCGATACCGTCACGATGTTGGATGTGGCCCGACAGTACTCGATCAACGACATCTGGGTCGTCGAGAGAAAACGCTCCATAAGCTTTGAAGGAGATCTGCACGATCGCCTCGTCGAGAATCGCTCGGTGCTGGATACCGAGATCACCAAGACGCACACCCAGCTGCGTGTACAAGCAAACGACGACGGCTGAAGCGAGCAGCGCAGACACCTCTATACCTTGGCATCTCGGAAACTCAGGAGCAGACTGTCCATGCCTTCGAGCCCGACCAAAGTCGAGGTCCGGACAGCCGCAACCGAGGTGATGAGGCCATGGAGCTTGAACTCACGCAATAGTTCGAGGCGGGCAATCTTCTTGGGCCGGTTGCGGTTCGTAAATTCGTTCTCCGTGATCAGCTTTGGAAAAGCCATTTCCTGAAGCGAGCAGAAGCACCAGGCGTGTGAGCAGCGACAGGTCAGGATCGATTTTGAAGCAACATATGGGCCAAGTTTGATCGGGCCATTGCCGAACTGTTTGGGTCAGCGACGGCATTGGACGAGACCAAGAAGGGAATCGGTGCATTGCCGATCTGACGGCCACTAGCTCCGTTGGGCGACCCATGCGTGCCGGTATGGATCAGGGCCGTTATATATACGGCTTGCCCTGGCACAACATCGAGACCCGGCGTCGAACGCAGCAGAGAGAATCAGAGAGACTGACTTGGTCGACATCAAAGTCCTCCAGATCGGCCTCGGCGTCGGCTTCGGCGTCGATGGTATACGACTCGGGGGCGTCTTCTTCGGAGACGATGTAGATCTGCAAGACATTGGCCCGGGTGACGATCAGATTGACCACGTCGGCGGCCGTGAACCGAGCCTCGATGCAGTTGTCGATGCTCGTCGGGGCCATCAGCTCCTTGTGCAGAGCAAACATGGACGACGACATGCTGCCAGTGCTCTGAGGCAAGATACGTCGGCGGTGGGGAGGACGGGGGTGTCTGTGGGCGGCTTGATCGGCCGATGCAGCGAAAGAGGGAGGCCAGCGAGGTTGCAAACGGGCCTGGCTGCACTTGACAGCACAGATCCAGCCGCGACCGCCCCCTCCCTCGCTCGCCCGCTCAAGCTTTCGCTGCATCCAGCCCGATCTCCCTGGCCAAGCCAAGCCGCACTGCATCGCATCCAGCATGTCCAGCGACCATCAGGACAAGCTCGTCAAGGCCGACTCGGCTGCCTTTGTCGAGTCCGACGCCGTCGCTGATCTCGACTACGACGACGACCACGATCATTCCGGCCACGATGACGATGAGGACGGCGATGAAATCCAAGCCCCTGCCGATGACGATGAGACCCAGGAGGACGCCGAAGATGCCAAGCCGAACCAGCAGCCCATCACCCTGGCCGAAGAGATCATTGACTCGATCCTCAATCCGGGAATCAAGGGCCGGGTAGCCGCCATGATGAACCTGTCCTTTGCCTTCCTGATCCTCTCGCTCATCGTCCTGGCCGTCCTCACCGGCGGAAACATCCATGTGCTGATCCTCATTGTCATTTCCGCTTGTTTGTTTGCCAGTCTGCAGTGGTGGGTTTTCGTGCTGCTCCACAAAAAGCTCGGTTCATGTCCACATCTCATATTCGCCGATCTGACACCCAGCTCGAACTATTCTGCGTCTGGATTGACCCTCCGTCCCACAGGTTCCTCTACGAGCTGTCCAAAGGCCCTCCTCTTCTTACCAACGAAGAGCTCAAGAAGCAAAACGACGAGTACCAAGCCAGCTTGAGCAAGAAAACCAACTAGCACCACAACTACGAGCCGGGGCAATTTTGGCAACAGGGCAATACATACCGTTGTTCGGAACGAAACGGAACAGCGCCCATCTGTGTTCCTTCATGCCAACCACTGCCGTCAGCACAGTGATCTGTAAGCCACAGTGTGCAGGCCGTGTGATTGTTTTTGGTCAATGTTGTTGGAGCACAGTCTTGAATCCACAGTCGTTCTCCTGTGACAGTGATGCCGAGATCGCATTCCGGGTAGTATTGTATGCTCGAGAGCCAACCCCTGTCGACCAGATGCCAGAGTCGGGCGCCATAACCTACATGCCATGGATCAAAATATGGCATCGCAGTGCAGAGGTGCAGAATCAAGGGTGCTGCGTTTGGCCGTGGTGGGTGAATGAATGGGTGTGTATTCAAGACCCAGAAAAAAGTCACCCTCCGCGCTCAGGAACGGGCCACGTTTCGGGTTGATCGCTCCTTAGTCCGGTTTCTGGAATATGTACGAGGTGATCATGCGTCCGAACCGATTCAGGATGGTTGCGCTTCGGTCATGGGATCCGTCCTCGTCATCGAGCTCCGGAAATAGTGGATGATGCCCGATTGACTCGCAGTCATGCACCCAGCCTGGGTAGTCGAGATTCAGAGCATCGATCAGCCCGCACTCGAGCCTCCGCTGCTCGTCCATGAAAAGGCCGCTCTTTGAGTAAGTTCCATGGAACGGGACAGTCTCGGCCTGGAGAGCAAAAGCAGGTGCCGGCGGACGCTTGCCATCGACATGTCCTGATACCCCTGATAGACTCCAGTCCATCAGGTCGCTCTGACTATCAATGATCGTGCTTGACGAGGACTTGTGTAGACACAGTGGATGTGGCTTTGGCGAGACCATGGTCGGCATCATGATGTGAGCAATATCTTGCTTCAGCTGGCCCGGAAGGTTGATCGGAATGGGTACCGCTGGCTCGGCTGTTCTTGAAATGACAAATCTGCTTGAGCTGTCTGAGCTACTAGCACTGCTGGATATCGGCAGGACTATAGCCTGGTTGGTTGCTGAGAGCTCGCGCTCTGGGCAACGGATCTCGAGACTTGCTGGAGCCACCAATGTTGTCGGTGGCATGGTTTCCCACGCAGGCTTCATGGAAGTGACATGGGAATGCCCGGTGCGATCACGGCTGCTGTGGCCACCTGGAGCACTGGCTTGTTCCTCTTGAGTCAGCGGAATATCGACAAACGGATGGACGCTTGAATGGAAAGCATCCGGGGTTATGGCATCCGTGTGAGTGGCAAAGCCGCGAGGACCGACCGAGGAGCAAAATCCAGGGACCTCAAGGGCAGCAGACGGTGGATAGATACATCCCATAGACTCCAATCGCGACGTGGCATTTGAACCAGTGATTTCGATGCGATGAGGGTCACTGCCACTGAATCCTTGCGGCGTCGCGTAGGCCAGCGAGAAGGCATACCGGCAAGGATCGACAAGCTCGGCGGAGCACGGCGCCGGCTGCAGCGATCGCTGTGGAAGCTGTGGAAGCTGCGAGGGATGCAGCGGTGGCGGGTGCTGCAGATGCTGTGGATGCTGCAGATGCTGTGGATGCTGTGGATGCTGTGGATGCTGGGAAGGCTGGGAAGGTTGCAGCTGCTGAGGGTGTTGTAGAGGCTGATCGATTCGATAGGAGGAGGTCCAGCGCGGGGGCTGCGGATAGCCACTTTCGGCGCCGAATCGGTGGCCCGAGTCGGGCTGGGGAGCACGGAGAGCAGGCCGGATCGACGGGCGGTGATGGTCCGCCAAGTGTCCGCCCAGGAGGCGATGGCGATCCAACCAGTCCCTTGGGCCGCCAGAACCTGAACCGAGATCAGCTTCGAGCCAGTTATCCCAGAGATAAAGCAGATGCCCGGTGGGTCTGCCTCCCTTCGAGTCCGAGTACTCTTGCTCATCGCAGAGCAGCAGCTCGTAGTAGAAGCCCTCTGCCGACATTCCGACCCAGTTGCCAACGTAGGTCAAAAAAGCCAGCCACTCCTTGCGCTTGATGTACAGGCGGTAATCCATGTAGCCCATGAACTCAACCTCCATGGCGTTGACATCCTCGAATGTGAACAGCCCGGATGAGACGGATGCCCAGGCCCTGTTGTCGAAGGTGTCGTCGGTGAGGTATTTGGCGGCTGCTATCAGCGCCGCTAGCAGAAGCCGGTGGCCCGAGACGAAGGAGCCTGTGCAATGCGGGTATTTGTCCTTGAGCCGCTTGAGATACAGCAGTGCCGTGAGGTGCACCGTCAGTGACAGATGTGTGCGGTTGAGGATGTGAAGCAGGAAGGCTTGTCGGGTGGGAACGTTGATGTCTGTGATTTTTGGAGAGCTGTAGTTCAGCAGTCGGCCCATGAACCTGTCGGTATATTCTGGAAAGATGCGGGAATTCGTGAGGAGCGTGGTTCGATGCAGACGCCTGGCCAACCAAATGCCTGGCCAAGGAGGAGCAGGACAAACTGGGGAGCGATGCAATTGTTTCGATTTGATTCAGCAGCATCGGCCTTGCCCAGGGTACCCGACACCACAGCCAAGATCTCGTAGACATGAGAAGCACAACGGACCATGTCTCAAAGAAGTCGAGTGTGCGCGGATCGGTAACGGAGGCCGGAAGTGCTCGGATCAAAGCACAGCCAACTCGGCCGGGAGACGAGGTCGTTGGTGGACATCACGGCAACCCGATCCACCGTGCTTACCAACAAGACTCATCCGCAGTTGCTTGGGATCGGCTTGGGGCCTTGGCAGAATCGACTGGGCTGACTCGCTGCGCGGATCTGTTCTCGGCATGATGGATACGTCGCGTGGCTTTCGATACCGAGCGTTGTCCCGCTGGTGGGAGTCCGAGACCATTCCGCCCCAGGTCGGCAGATTCTGGCTTGAGACGTAGAGCGGCGGAGGATGGGTCCTCTGAGGCAAATGCCGGGCCGAAGTCGAGAAGGTCGTCTTGTAGTGGTATAGCCCTTTGAAGCTCTGGGGCGGAGCATCGTATGCGAGCGACAGCTCTCGCGGAGTCTGGTAGGCCTCGGATTGCATCATTGGCTCGTGGAAAGGCAGCTGGGCGGCGGCTGGATGGGCTCGGCGGCAGGTTGATGGGAGCAGAGCAGCCGGCGCAGCTCCCAGGGCAAGACGATGGAGACGGCGTCGACGATAAGAGGCGGCGAATAGCCCGAAGCCAATACACGATTCATATGACCTTTGTAATAGAGGAGAGCAAAAGCGAGAGCAAGCAGTGGGTGGAACTGCTGATTGGAATATCGCTTCCCGCTTAAAACTCCTCGAGACGCGGGGGCGACAGCACGGCCGGGGCCATTGAAGTGGAGGGAAGCGGCTGCCAGGATTCCAATTGCCCGCTGCAATAGAGGCATGTGGCCGGTCGTGAGAAAGTGAGAAAGAGCGGCAAAGCCAGACCAGATGACATCAGTGGTCTGCCAGCAGGGATCGTTGGCCGTGCGAATCACAGCGCCAGCACGGATCCCGGACGATGAAGTCAGCGCATGCGAGCACGATGGCGGTCGGGGAGGGAGCGGATCGAGCGAGGCCGATCGGATTGCGATGCAAGCAGTGCAGGCGATGTAATCAACGTCGGCGATGGGCGAGAATGGGTGGCCGAGGCAGTCAATGTCCTGGCCCAGAGACCACCGCCAGACCAACTCCGGGACAAAGCGTCGACCCTCTCAATCACATCCCAGCAGCATCTCAGCAGCATCCCGGCAGTGTCTCCGGTGTCAACAACGATCGCAACGGAGATGGGTCTGCCTATCAGCCAAGCAGTTGCCTGGGCACCACCGGCTATATTGGCATGCCTTGGCAGCCGACTCGGTATTAATCGACAGGCCATCCTTGCTGCAGCAAACCGCTCTGTGGTTGCGACGAGCAGTTCATTCAAGGTGGATACATTCGTCTCGGGCGGCGACACAGCAAGGCCATCAAGCACAGCGATTCAAGTCATGCCTATCCCCGCACAGCGATTCGACGAATGCACTGCACCCTGTGGCAGCCCGCGGTCGAGGCATGCTCGTCAGCACCTCTTCCCACGGCATCAGCGCCAGGGATCCCCAAGCGGCTGTGTCGACTACAACATCCACAGTACGATCGGCGATCGATATCCAAGGACGATCGATGTCCCCGGACAATCAGTATCCCCAGGACGATCGAGGCCCGGGGCGAGCCAGATCGAGGATGCCCGCCCTTGCCGGCTCCCAGCGGGCGCACTGACCAGCCTGCCCGCCCGGTCTACGAGCAGATGGCCTGCAGCCATATCCGGACTCCCTCCTCCGAATCATCCCACAGTTTCCAATCTGCGTCGACCCGGATGCCCTTGGATCCCAGGGCAGTGCATTGCCGCCCCGTCCAGTCGCTGCCCCGGGCTACGATTCGGCAGAGGCGAGGATCGAGTTGCTCGCCCTCGCCCTCGCAGAAAGCCTCAAAGGATACCGATGAAAAGCTGATGTCGAGGTGGGCGACAGAGAAGGTGGCCGACTTGATCAAAACCCGGAGTCCTTGATCGGTGATGTTGAGGCAGTGCGAGAGCGACAGGAATGCATAGACCGCCGGAGCGCCGGCCATCATCGCAAGGGATTTGTCCGAGGTGTGTGTGCCAGAAAGGTCGAGGCGCTGGAGGTTCGGAAACAGCTCGGGTATCCTTCCAATCCATTCGGGTGAAAAGCCAAAGCAGCGAGAGATGTTCAGCGACCGGAGGAGTGGCATGGCCGGCAGATTGCTGATGCGGTGGCTCGTCGAAAGATCCAGGTCCTGGAGACTGGCTCCACACCAGCGCCAGAGGCCATCGAGGGCATGCTGGTCCATATCACCCCAGGGTGCGATTAGCCGGCTCAGCTGTCCACTGAAGGCCGAGAGAGCTTTGAGCGGTAGAACATGACGACCTGTGCGGTCGTCCGGGAGAATGCCCTTGCGGGTGATGTGGGCTGTGAGCCGGAGAAGCCTCGAGCGACTGCAGCTCCTCCACTTCCGGCAAGCCCTGGAGGCGATATAGAGGCCCGGCAACGGGCATTTTTGGAATATCAGGACGAGTATTTCCGTAGGCAAATCCATGGGGGATCCCGGACTTGATATCGACAAGCCCTGGCGAAGAGCGGTGGCGGTTGCGGGTAGCAGAGGCAGACACCAGCGGGCCCCTGAATGGACGGAGATGGTGTCAGTAGAAGCTGCCTCTCGTTGACGACAGAGCACACGCAGTATCGCCCGTAGCGAACCGCCCTAAATGCAGGAGCGAATGGGCCTGCATCCATCGGGCCGTCGAGCTATTGCCCTGGCTGGCAGGACCAGGGGGTGTCTGGCTGGTGGCATTGGGCGATCATGATGCCGGTCCATGATTGGGTGGCGGGAAAGAGAGCCGGGACTTGTGCGGCGACTGGCAAAGTGAGGATTCGCAAACCGCTGCCACCGGGACTGGATGCACAATCCTTTCTCTGTCAAGGTGCAGCATCGAGTGTGTGCTGGGTAGCCATCATGAAGGATGGAGGTACGAGCATTCCCACCCAGATAAATCAGTGCAAGCAGTGTCCCCTTTCGTTTTGTGAACGCTGATGTGCTCTGACGACTCGTTTATTGGCTCGCTTAATCATCCATTTGCTCATCCGTTCATTTGCTCATCCGTTCATGGCTGTGCACAGAATCGGTAAATGGCTATCGATGAATTGCCGAACCGGGCTGGTCTAGCTGCTGCCGGATTTGATGGGAAGCACCGGACGGATGGGCTCGTATGCTGTGAACTGGACTCCGTGGAAGGGCGACAGCGGGTCCTGCATATCTAGCGAGCTCTTGAATGCCCACGAGACACAGTAGTGCGCACTCAGCAGCCTCCATTCCTCGACTTCGTCAAAGATCTCCAATTTCATGATTCTGCAACATGCAGGCAGCGTCAGCACTACACCTAAGCAGGCAGAAGCAGAATATTGTGTGTCGCAGGCGCGCACGACGGACAAACATTCAGTCGTGCCCACCTTAGATGCTCCTGCGGATCGGTGTGGTGATCCCAGATCTGGTTCATGTCAAGTGCATGGGCTTGATCGAAGCCGTGCTTGAGATAGCGCTCCTTCTGGTCTTCGATTGTGGGATACGAGTGAATCCCGGGCAGCTCGATTCCACGCATCTGCGGGGAGCAACTTGGAGTATTATCGGCCTGTCGGCGACCAAAATGTCCGATGACGGGCAGGCCCGTAGAGTCTCCAGCGTACACATGGACATGTCTCTCCGGTCTGCGCTCGTTCCGCCACGCAATCGCATACCTTCAGGTTATGGAGCATTACGCGTCCAAAGGCATCGTCGGGGAGGATCTGTTCATAGGTCACGTACATGGCGTTGTCCATATGGGTGGCGACCCATCTGACGAGGGCGTCCGAGTCCTGAGGCAGCATGTATATCATTACACACTCGGACAGGAACAGCGTCGGCAGCCTATCGGTGGCATCCGCGGGGCAGCGCCAGACAACGGAGACCGGTGTAAGCAGATGTGCGTTTTGGGTCGACGATGCACTGTGGTCAGAATCAAGATGCGCAACCAAGGCCAAGAGCATGCCCAGTTCGCGGACGTCCAAGTGCTCCCACCTTTTGTCAAATCCGTGGGATTCGAGCTTGGCAACGACCTCGGTTTCCCACTTGCGGAGATCTCCAGCAATCAAATGGTATCCCTTGGCGTGGATCTCCATGCCACCCATGGCTGAGGCCGGACAACAAGCGCCGTCAAAGCGTTAGTCGGTATTGTCATCCGGAAGGTCCCGATGTCCCCATGCAGCCTGGGCCTTACCGAGTTTGTAGTCCTCTAGCAGCTCGAGCATCTCCTTCTTCTTTCGAAGTACACCGACCTTCTTGACGGTATTTTCGCCAAAGTCGATCTCAAAGTAATTCCGGGCCGAGACGCCACCAGCCTGGGACGATGGAGCACCCCGAGGTCGCCGCAATAGTCAAGATGGGTCGAGCAGCATTGTTAAGCAGCGTTGTTGAGCAGCATCGTTGAGCAGCGTATCGAGCATGTCGATGCAACCCTGTTGGGAATATTGGCAAAGCCATGGCGCCGGCACCCACCTTCAACAGAAAGTATCGAGTATCCGATCCTGCCCCCAGCGACACGACCTGCTTCGACTCCGGGTTGGTTTTGAGGAACTTGGCGGTGAGATCGTCGAGAGCCCGAACTCGGGAGTATGTGCCTGTATCCACCGCAGCGATCGTCACGACATGAGATCCAGACACAAGTGGGCGGCACCTCGTAAGTCCCACTTTGTCGTCATAGCCTCTGGCTGCATTCGTTGCAACGGCGATCGACAGCCAAGAATGCTGTCCGCGCTCTTCCTGGCTGATGTGAGGAGTTTGCCGTTGGTGCGTCCTGCCTCCAGCATCTACTGGCTATCTGCATTGCCCTCTCTGTTGCCTCGTATACACTCTATTGGGCAGCCACGGGTCGTTTCGGTATTCCTCGCCTAGATCGTTGTGCTCGCCATACCTCGGTTGATGATGGGTGGGCGTTTGGCTCCTCGGCGCACAAACCATTTGATAAATGGGTCCGACAAGTAGCCCATTTCAACCGCAGATGCTCGGCTGATGACGGCGTCATCGTTGGTGCCGCGGATCGACTCGTCCTGGGAGTCGTGCGGCAGCGCCGAGGCAGGCGGATGGAAGCTGGGCAGCGGGCTGATACCATCGATCGTCGCTGTCGTTGGCAGATTGCGACGCGGAGGCGGGAGGGGTGTGCCCGGCGATCGGAACGACGAGCTATCGCCGGCCTGGTATGGGGCGGCGGGAGCATGGTCCCTCAAGGGCGGAAACGATGGATGCGAGGACATGGGAGGGCGGCGAGGCGGATGGTTGGATAGATGAGCAGGTGGTGCCGAGACAGAGACGGAAAGCAGGGCCGGTTGGCTCCAAGCCCACGCCAAATGCAACCAAGCGGGCTCTCGCTCGCCAGCCACACCGCAGACCCAACGGCTGCCCGAGCGATCGATGAATATATTGACGGTATGAGGCACTTCGGAGGGCATCGCGGTGTCCGAGTGTCTACCGGGGTTGCTGGAGCAACCCTCCACGCTATCGGATGAATCTACTCGCTTTTGGAATCGTTGCTCTCGAGCCTTTCCAGCAACTTCAGGTAGCTGTTCTTGTCCTTGAGCTTGATGAAAACAGCACTGAGACAGAGACATGCGCATATTGTTAGCTTAGATGCAAGCTCCGTGGCACCCTCGTCCCTCGGCTATCGCTGGACAGGAGCTGTATCAACGCTTCCGTTGCCGTTTCGTCAGGGCTTCCTTCGAATATCCAGCACAGGGCCCAACAGAGGTCTGATCGCCAAGAGCGTTACGGTACTCACAGAGTTGCGAATGCCGTGAAGGAGGTGATAGCAAAGTCTCGCTCGGCAGTGACCCGGACGATTACTGGATAAAATGATGTGGAAAGCCCTGGTCAGCACTTCCAGACGCTCCCGGCGACAGAGCATCGGCCGAACCGAGCGCGGCTACACCATGGCGGTTGGCGCTCGACAGGAAACGTACTAGCGCTGTTCGAAGTGCCATCATTCGGGAGGTTGGACTTTCGGATGATCTGGACGAGACTTTCGAGGAACAGCAAGCCCACGCAGGCCGCAACAATCAAAGAGGCGTGCTTGAGGGCCTTGACTTTGTGCGAGTTACGCAGGAACTTGAGCAGGGCTCGGCGCTTGGAAGCCCCGATGAACGACGGCGAGATGAGGGCACCAAGGTAGACCACAATCTCAACCGCGAGGACCAGAAGAGCGAGCTTGCTGAAGATGCTGTATTCCTGGAGCACTGCCATGACCGATGCGGGTATTGGACGACGATGGAGAATGGTGGAGAATGATGGAGGCGAGCGAAAAGGTATCGAGCCGCATCGCCACACGCGCAGCAGCGGCGACTTGAGGGCGCGGTTGGGCTGGCCCAGCGATCTGTTCTTGGCCGACCATCATCCGAGATGACCGACAGCAAGCGCAAGCGGGTAAGTGCCGGAGCCCTGCTGCCCAGTCTGGCCGGCCCAGAGCGGCGCACACGATCAGCTCACCAACATCCGCAACCCTCGGGGCTGTCCTGCCATCTCCAGGAAGAAGACGACGGCCTCTCGGCCCTGATCAGCGAGGCCGATAGCTATGTGCCATACGTTCCGATCCGGCAGCGGAAGGACGAAAAGTTTTCGCGGCTCGCATCCATCGACCACCGCCGAAGGGTGGTTCTGGACGACGACAGCTCGATGCCGGCAGCCGACGACGACGCCCCCAGGGCCGGCCCGATGGCGAACGTCTCCCTGATCGAGCAAGCCGTGGAGATCAAGAAGCACGAGTACAAAAAGACCGATCTGGAGAAGGAGATCGAGGAGGAGCAGTCGATTTTGCTGGCCCAGGAGCGATCACACAAAGCCCTGTTTTCGGCTCGCGAGCTGGCCAAAGGCATTACCTACGACAAGCCCATGACAACATCGTAAGTTGCTCGAGCCCGGAGCGGCACAATCTTTGCAGTGTTTGATTCCTCGGCATCGCCAGTCGAGAACCAGGCCGCCATCTGCTGCAGATCCCCGAGCCCCGAGTATACAGAGCGATCTGGCAACCAGTGTCAGGAGCGGACGAAATTTGACCGGGGCGCTGGCTTTACCTCGACTCTTGGCAGCTGGAATCCACCAAAGCACATCCGTGATATGTCCGAAGAGGAATACGAAAAGATCCGAGAGGAGTTTCATATCCTCACCGAGGGAGAGCACATCCCGCCGCCAATCCGAACATTCCGGGTAAGCGCACACGGCTCTCGGCTGTTTCCGCATTCCCAAGTAACATACGGAAATGCCGTCGGCCCAGCATTTCCGCGCATCTCGGCTCCTCACATTGTTGTAAAACGTATTCCAGACGCTGATCCAGACCCTTGGCCTCAACAGGATATGCGGTTCCCGAACTCCATCTTGGCCCAGCTCGAGAAGAAAGGCATCAAGAAACCCACGCCCATTCAGATCCAGGGCATGCCGGTAGTGCTCAGCGGCAGAGACATGATTGGAATAGCCTTCACCGGCTCTGGAAAAACACTCGTTTTTACGCTGCCGCTGGTGATGCGCGCGCTGGAGGCCGAGGTTAGACTACCTCTGGAACGCGGCGAAGGGCCCGTTGGCATGATCATCTGTCCATCGGTATGTATCCCACAGTGACCGAAACGATGCACATGGGCTGATGCACCGTCTGGAGAGTGAGCTTGGAGCAGCGCCGCCGGATCGAGTGTCGATGACCCTGTTCAGAGCACGTTCTGAATCTAGTCCCTGGCCCGAGGTGCTCTGGCTCTAATAATCCTGTGTCCCGACCGGTACAAACCAACCCGTTGTCTCGAAACAGCGAGAGCTGGCACGACAGACCTATGACGTCTCGAAGGCATTCTGCGAGAGTCTGGAGAGCCTTGGCGGCTTCCCCCAGATACGCACGCTGCTGTGCATTGGTGGCATCTCCATGAATGAGCAAGCCGACGTTCTACGAAAGTAAGTCGCTCTGCCCGGATCTATCCGAGGATTAATCTCGCTACTCATTATGCCACGTTCTTGGAAAGAGCCGCTGCTGCGTTTGCCGATCCCAAACATCGCTCTGCTGATCCCAAACATCGCTCTGCTGCTGCCATACCCAGAGGACCCCACATCGTCGTGGCCACACCAGGTCGTCTTCAGGATCTTCTCCAGAAGGGCAAAATCAACCTGGACATTTGCAAATACATGTGTCTCGACGAAGCCGATCGCATGATCGACATGGGCTTCGAGGAGGATGTCCGAAACATCATGTCATTCTTCAAGGTATGTCGTTCGTACATCGAATCGAGAGTGCCAGACAAGAAAACGGCCAACCGCATTTGGAGCCTTGCATATGTAACGCAACCTGCTGTTCAGGATCGACCCGAGAACTGCATCGATCCACACACACACCCACTTGCACCGACGTTGTGGATCCGCTTGTTAACATGCTCCCCCCGCTCATTTCTATACTGCATGCCAATCAACTCGTGCTTGTCTCCTGCAGTATCAGCGTCAGACACTGCTCTTTTCCGCCACGATGCCCAAGAAGATCCAGGACTTTGCCCGCTCCGCGCTGGTGAAGCCTGTTGTGGTGAACGTCGGCCGTGCAGGCGCTGCCAGCTTGGACGTCATCCAGGAGGTCGAATATGTCAAGGAAGAAGCCAAGATGGTGTATTTGCTTGAGTGTTTGCAGAAACGACCCCCTCCGGTAAGCGCCGTTTGCGGGTAGCAACAGCAGCGGGGGCGATCCAAAGTGCAGAGAGCCATGGGGCGGAAGCAAGTCATTGACGTCCTCGGGGTATTCAGGTGCTGATCTTTGCGGAGAACAAGAACGACGTCGACAACATCCACGAATACCTGCTGCTGAAAGGCATCGATTGCGTCGCCATCCACGGCGGGAAAGGTATGGTACGCTTCTGGCTTCTCTGGTGGCTCGAGTGCTATGCTGCCGAGGCACTCATGCACACACCCCTCTTTCGATTGTCCCAGACCAATCGGAAAGAGAATTCGCCGTGCGTGCCTTCAAGGAGGGCAAAGCCGATGTCTTGGTCGCTTCTGATGTTGCCTCGAAGGGTCTCGACTTTAACGAAATCCAGCACGTCATCAACTACGACATGCCCAAGGAGATCGAGGACTATGTCCACCGAATCGGCCGCACAGGCCGTTCCGGCAAGACAGGTGTGGCCACGACGTTCATCAACCGCAACTGCTCGGAGCAGATCTTGCTTGATCTGAAGCACCTGCTCAAAGAGGCCAAGCAGTCAGTGCCTCCTGTCCTCGAGCAGCTCGAGGATCCGACCGAAAAGTTCAGCCAGGTCGACAACGCCATTGGCACGGTGGGCTGCACCAACTGCGGTGGTCTCGGCCACAGAATCTCAAACTGCCCGAAGCTCAAGCAGCAGCAGAAGCAGTCTATGGCCAGCCAGCGGGGCGACCACATGGGCGGCGGTGGAGGGGATTACTAGATGATCCGAATGGGTTGCGGTGCACTGGAGCGCTGGCCGTGCGCTCTACTCGGTGGAATCGGGACGCCATCCCATTTCCATGAACACGGAATATGAAACGGCTTGCATCGAGCAAAGTCATGTGCAATGAAATCAATCGCCTCGCCGATGCGGTCGAGGCAATGCAGGCTTTCGACTGCTGCCAGCACGACATGCATTGACCTCAGCGAGGAACTTCGTTCCCCGCAGTATCCCGATCGCACCTGGTTGAAGCGCAGGGATGCGGGTGCTCCCGGATGCTGTCTGCGCGGGGGGCATGGGCCGTGCTTGGGTGTCGGATCCTGGAGCGCCCGCTCGTCTTTGATCTCGGCCGCTGCTCACCATCCGCGAGCGGGGCATCCTTTGCCCGACCTTCAACCTCTGGCCTCCTCTGCCGCTGACAGTCATGGCCAACAGCTACGACTCGTACCGCAACTCGTCGATGCCGATCGTCGTCGATGCCGGATCCCACTCGCTTCGGGCGGGCTGGGCGGACCAGAAATTACCTCCATGTGCGAATCCACCCCCATCTCATCCAGCCTATCGACCGCATCCATGAGACTTACCTGCCAGATCGCCGTCCTCGGTCCCGTTGGCTTCATTCGTGCGTGCCCGCCCTTCTTGTCTGGCCTCTCTAACCCGCTATCGTCGGTGTCGGCATCCTACTGCAGTGATTTTCGATAATATCGTGGCGAAGCATAAAGATAAAAAGGGCACGCACCATCGGATCCTCGTCGGCAACAATGTCCATCTCGCCGGCCTGACGGGGGCAGCCAAGTCGGCCTTTGATGGCGGCGTTCTGGTCAACTCTGATCTGATGGTAAGCAACGACACCATCGGCTACTCGATGAATGTGGCTGCTGGCCATGGCCCCGTCTCGAACAACATCTCCGACCCAATGCGCACCCGTCTCTCTAATGCGTTGCCGCTCGTCTTTTCTGCAACCGCTCGCCCGACCAACCCTCAGGAGCATACGCTGGACTATATTTTTCTGCGGCTCGGCATAGACACCGATCGGGTTCACCATCCGGTTCTGATGACCGAGCCTGTCTGCAATCCTCTGCACTCGCGAAAACGTCGGTAGCTCATGGATGGCAATAGTCGATAGCAATAGTCGATAGCGGCAGCGGAGACAACAGTGGGCGGCAGCGACGAGACCCCCTTGCGACGCTTGATGGTCGCCCGATCGAGCAGCTTAACGAGATCGAACGGAACCACTGATGTCGAGCGATGTATGCCGCTCAAACGGCTCCTTGGGCATTGGGTCCAAGGTGTTGGCTGACATGTTCATGGCGGCCGCTTCAGTCTCCTCGGAGCTTCTGTTTGAGGTCTACCAGGCGCCGTCCGTTTCGTACGGAATCGACGCCTGCTTCAGCTACTACAACAACCAGATGCCTCTGGGATCCAGCCAAGGCGGGTTCATCGTGTCGGCAAACCACAACGGAACGGTCCTGCTGCCGATATGGGACTCGCGATGCGTGGTTGAGCATTGCCGAAGGTTGGGATCTCTGTGCCTAATCTCTCAGGATCAAGCCAGATGGATTGGCGATCTTGCGCGTACGGCCTCGATCGAATGCGGTCCTGATCCGGTGTTTCTGCTTGTTGCCTCCAGGATATCGTACGGCGGCCTGCAGAGTGTCGACTACATGATGAAGGTGCTGCAGATGAAGTTCTCGTCGATCCCTCCAGTCAAGATTTCTCCTGCGGACGCGGAGGTATGTCCCTGTTGGCTTTGATGCAAGCGGTCGTCCTTTGCGGCCCACTCACGGCATCTACTATCAAACATGCAGAGCTACGTGCACAATCATTGCTATGTCTCGTTGGACTACATGAACGAGCTACGAGAGCTGTCCAACCCGCAGAGCTTGGCGCCAAAGGATATCGCGATCCAGTTCCCGTACATTTCCAAGGTACAGGGCCGGTGCGCTGGGCTTGGACCGGGTCAATTGGTCCTGAGCCGCTTGGGTGGTGTACTGGCACAGCCATGCTTCATTCTATGACGGGATTGCATCTGCGCTCATGGAAGTTTACGGAACTAATGCTATCAAGTACTTGCCACCAGTTTGGCCCCACTCTCACAGCAGAGGAGCAAGAACGAGCGGCCCAGCGACGCAAGGAGCAGGGACGGAGGCTTCAAGAGCAGGCTGCCAAGAATCGAGAAGAAAAGGTTCGTCTGGACTGGATCCGTCTGGGCCGGATCCGTCTGGGCTGGATCCGTCTGGGCCGGATCCGTCTGGGCTGGATCCGTCGTGGGTCCGGCTGGCAGGTGTAGAGAAGCATGGATACTAAACCGCTTCATGCTTGTCGCATTTTCAGCTGCGAAAGAAGGAAGAATACTTGGAGGTCCTCAACGCATTGCTTCAGAATCCTGATAATGCGGTGCGTTTGGAAATAACCCGATGGAGGCGCACCAGAGCCATGCCAGCCAGGGATTGAATGTGCAAGCATGCGCTTACCCTTCTTTGGTCTGATTCGACAATGGCGCTGCTGCCGATCCTCTTCTCCTGCTATAGGAGCTTCGATCGCACGGGTTTGAGTCGCTGGCCGAGTGCGAGGATGTCGTCAAAGAAACTGAAGTTGCTATCAAGAAGGCTCGGAACAAGCAATTGGGGATCGTCGAGCCGCCGCCAGAGCGCGTAAGTACACTTCATCGACGCTGCCGGCCACTAGAGCCATGAGCGGCAGCCGGTGTGCTCCGAGACACTACCCTCCAGAGTTTCCGCAGCCCGTGTATGCGCAAGTCTCTTTACAAACACTGCCTGCTCCGTAGGACGAGCCTGTGTTTTTGTACCTGGATGTGCCCGACTCGGAGCTCACCGAAGAGCAAAAGAAGGAGAAGCGCAAGAGCCGACTGCTTAAGGCTGGCCACGACGCCCGCGAGAGAGCACGCAAGGACAAGGAGCAGGAGCGGCTACGAGAGGTTCGTTTGTTGCTCGGCACTGGCTCCTGCGGCTGAACGAGATGCTGAACGAGATGCTGAACGAGATGCCGTTGACCCTTGCAGGAAGAGCTTCTGCGACATGAAGAAGAAGCGCGCAATGCAGACTTTGGCAAGTGGCTCACCGAGCTCAGAGCCAAGCGACAGGTACGTGGCCGCATCGCATGGCACACACTCCACGGCAGCTTAAGCGCCAACAGAGAGTGACCTAGAACGAAGATCCGCACTGCATTCTCATATTTGTTCATCGCGGCGCTCCGTCGTGGGAAACTGCAGCTGGTGGTTGACAAGGTTCGAGCACGGCAGCGCAAGAGAGCGCAGCTGGCCGATCGACGCAGCCAGGCCTCGCAGATGCGCATGAAGAACATTGCATCGCTGGCAAGCGATGAGCCAACGCCAAAACGTCGCCGGAAGGCACAAACTGGTAAGACGGGTCCGAGTCGACCTGTCCCAAATCGATTCGTTCGGACTCTGGCCACGGTGACAATGACAAAACGCAAGCGGCATTGACCTATCTCGTTGACCACGGCCCATCTATTGCAAATTGCGTGGACACACTGGCCAATCAGAGGATACCTTTGGTGCCGACGATGACGACTGGGGAATCTACCGAGAAATCGTAAGGCGCTCGCTGCATCCAGACCAAGGCCATGACCCGTCCTCTGGCTACTGAGGCCGATTGTCGGACATTGGTGGCCTGTCCAAGTTTGCTGGAGATGTGCCGACTGCTATATCGACGGACCATAACAGTCCTGGCTTGCATCTGGCAACATGCCCCAGCGCCGTCGCCTACTGACTCGGTGTGGTGTGGTTTCTCGCGGATGCAGAAAGGTGTCGAAGACGAGGACGAAGACGAGGAGGATGCCCTGTTGCTGTCAAAATACGATGGGCTCCTGACGACGCACGATCCAGAGTTTGTGCCTGAGGATATCTTTGGCGAGAACAAGTCGCCGTTTGCAAACACGCTGATCGACTATCTCTCGCATGGCGTCCCCACGGGCCGCGAAACTGAGATCGAGAAAGAGGCTCGCGACTACCAGATCCATCTCAACGTCGAGCGAATCCGCATCCCCGAGGTGCTATTTCAGCCCTCGATTGCTGGGCTTGATCAGGCCGGAGTCGTCGAGGTGCTGTCGGATGTGATCGAACGATTTGACCAAGCGGCGCAGATCCGTATGATTGAGGTACTGGCCCGCGCCGCAGACCGTCGCCGGATTGAGCATCGCTGAGGATGTGTCATGTGGTTTCACACTGCTTCTTCCCGTTTGACTTGGCAAACATCCAGAACGTCTTTGTCACCGGCGGACACTCGCAGTATCCAAACTTTACCACGCGGCTCTACAACGAAATCCGCGCCCTATGCGAGCCCTCTCAGAAAGTCAACATTGTTCTGGCTAGAGATCCTTTGCTGGATGCATGGAAAGGAGCCGCCAAATACGCCCTGGCACACCGGCCAAGCAGCGACCAGCCCAGCTCCATCTGGATCCAACGGGAGCAATGGGATGAGTGTGGCCACGACTACCTGATCGAGCACGCCTTGAGCAATCGGTACTACGGTGCATCCATTTTGAAACGGGACACTCTGTTTTGAGCCAGGACTGTTGATTATTTCTGGGCCTTGAATACACTCACCCGTCCATCGCAGCCATGGCCACATGATGTACTCACGGTGCATGGAAGCTAAGCGACTCAAGTTACCCTGGCCAGAGCCCCGAATATACGGATCACCGATGCCGATGCCGACGCCGATGTCGACGCCGGGATGGCAGCCCGCGTAATGAGGTATTTGGTCCTTCCCGATATTCATAAATAGGTTTATTGCCCGTCCAGGCGCAGCAGTCCAGAGTGAGTTGGTATGGACAGGAGAGACAGCGCGAGGAACATGCAATCTGGTCTAGGACGCCAAGCTCCGATACGGCTATTACTGTATGATGATGCGCACAGGTGGGAGCTGGGAATTGAGAAGGATGGCGCTGGCGTCGCAGAAGCAGGCGTTAGGCTTTGGTCACCTGGAAGACTTCGTAGTCGGCGACTCTGAAATGGCCACCAGGGTACCGTGTGCCCATGATTGGGCCGTGCTTCTCATATGCATCGTCGATGCACTCGGATCGGCTGTTGGAGCCACAGTTGTCGCTGATAATCAGATCGTCGCCAAAGCAGGGGCCAAAGCCGGCATCGTGCACAACGCTGTGGTTGGAGAATATGCCCTGGACCGGATATCTCCTGATCTCGGCGGTCAGTCCTGGAGAGACCGACGAATGAGTGTGCTCGGCCTCCTCGTTCAGTGTCGTGGACGACGTGGACGAGAACGAGCGGTCCAGGTTCGGGGGCTTGGTCTCGCGAACAGAAAACAAAAAGGCATTCGGGTCCATTTTCTCGGCCGTCTCTGAAGCCTGGCCCAGCTGCGAGGGGTTGTTGGACTTCCAGCCGATCTCGGTGTACCCGCCGCCAATCTCGCCGGTAGTCGACTTGACAACACACAGGGTCGGGCCCTTATTGTCACAGAGCTGATGGAACCGAGCGGCCTCGAATCCGTCGCGGGAGGCCCGATAGAGCAGCACCAGATTGTGTGCGGGCAGATACGATTCCAGCAGCTTCTTTTCGACGGTGCGCGAGATGATCTCGCTCTTGGGACTGACATACTGGGCCCTGGGCGAGAGCCGCGGGTCGGTCTCGGCAATGATCGTGGGATCGTGCAGATAGTCGGTCAGATGTTCGACGAGGGAGGGATCTAGAAAACGCCGATACATCAGAATATGGTCCGTGATTTGGTCCGAGCTTAACAGCGGGAAGCGGAAGGTCGGGAACAGCCGATAGAGGAAGGACGTGAACAACCCCTGCTCCTCGGTCGAAAGCCGCTCGAGGTCGTGGATCCTTATCGACTTTGGCAGGCCGATGGACAGCGGCGGTAGTTCGGCCAGTGAAGCAAAAGACTTGAGCTGCGATAGGGGCCGTTCTGCGCCCTTTGCCATGATCCAGGCGCGCTTGAGCATCAGGTCCCAGATGACCAGTTCGTCAAACTCGAGGTCGTCGGAATCGAAGAGATACAGGATGGCCTCCTCGCCGAGGTCGAACTCGATGAATCGCCAGGCCAGGTCGCCGTTTTTTGGCGACAGGACAAAGTCGATGCATCGCGAGGTAAGCGTCTGGTACACCTCGGACGTCTCGAACTTGGAGGCGGCCAGATCCAGAGTCTCGAGGCAGTCGGAGAGCAGCAAATGGTCGGCCTTGAGATCGGCAAAGACGGCGCTTAGGTCGTCGTCCTGGAACTCGTCGATGACCTGGAGGAAGGGCAGGATTTCTTTTGGCGGCAGGTCGGTCTGGTAGGAGCCCGTGTAGAGGTAGTACATGTATGCCTGTACATGGCGCTGTGTGAGATTGGGCAACTCGACTTGGATGGGCCGCAAGCGGTTGAGGACCGGGCTGGAACCGGTCTTTTCATCGGCGCCGCCACCGAGATACTGTGTGAAGCAGGACGCGAAATAGGGCGAGCGTGCAGCCAAGATGCAAGCATGCGCATAGACCGTCTTGGTGCCGTTTTCGACGATAAAATGCACATCTGCAAAGGCCGATGAATTGTCGACGAGGACGGCGAGATCCGAGGCGAGTTTGCAGCAGAGTTCCTGGCGGGGCTCTTGATCCTGGCGGTGCGCGGGGCGGGTGTGCGTGCTGTGTTGATTGCGCTGGCTGTGCGGGTTATGCTGGCCATGCGGCTGGATTGAGTTTGTCTGGGTCATCATGATTGCAGATGGGGCGAGCAGCGGGGGGTGGCGAGAGGGAAGCGGTCTGCAGGTGGCGAGCCGGATATGGGTCTCGGAGGCGTGCCGTAGCTGTGCCGTGGATTCGGACTGGCGGTTGTCGACGAGCAGGACAGGCTTGAAGAGGAAGCTGGGTGCGCTTGGCGTGCTCGATCCGGGAGAGCTCGTTGAGATGGAGAGCGTTGAATCGCGATGACGACGTCCGATTGCGATGGGCTTGGGGGCGCTTGCAGGAGGAGTGGAGCCGGAGCCGGAGCCGATGGGCCTGCGGGAAGACGGAGATGCGGGTGCCTTGCCTGGTGCCGACGGAAGCAGGTGGCGATCGTGCGGATGGCCGGTGCAGAAGGCGACCGATGCGGATGGCCGTGCGATGGGCGATGGGCGATGGGCGATGGGCGATGGGCGATGGGCGATCAGGAGCGAGTTGCGGGCAATCGCCGAAATGCGGCGAGTTGCCATTTTTGGTTTGATCACCGGAGAAACCGGGACGCATCGCCGCGCCTGCCAAGGCGCGGACAGCCAGGCCGCACCCTGACCCAAGCGCTGGCCCGAAACCAGACCCGAAACCAGACCCGAAACCAGACCGAACTCGGACTTGCATCTCGAATCTCGTCCCGCTCAAGCCCCCAGTCGACTGCCATATTCGCGCCCATGTCCCGGATACTCCTCCAGCGTCCGTATGCGTCGTCCGTGCTGCTACTGGCGCTGGCGCTGGTGCTCCTCGCTGGCTCAGTCGCTGGCTCCGTCGCTGGTTCTTCGGCCGGTCTGTCGCCGCTTGAAGCGAATTCCTCGGCCGGTCTGTCGCCCCTCAAAAGCCTCCTACACGGCAGCGAGGTATGCGCTCATCGATCCAGAATGCAATCGCTACAACATGCGCCCATCGATCCAGAATGCAATCGCTACAGCATGCGAGCTTGCTATCACACCCAGTTCATTCACACACTTTGCTGATGCCTTTCCCTCTGGCAGTGCGTCGCCCCGCCAGCCTCGGAAGCCGACGCATGTGCCTTTGTGAGGGAGCACTGTCCGAGCCCGGAATCGGGCCTGCTCAACTATATGAAGATATACTACTGTACCTTTGGCCAAAGCACATTCGGATTCGGCATCATGGTCCGTGCTGGATGGCAATGTCTGCACTCTTGCATCAGCCAGAATGTCCATCGATCGACCCGTGGCTCGTTCCCAGCGTAACCTTGTCTGTTTTCTCCCGATGGCTATGCGAAACCGTTGGATTGCAGCTGCTGTGGCTGATTTACATATTCATCCTCTTTGGCACCGCGGCCGAGTCGTACTTTTGTAAGTGCATTGCATTGAGCAAAGCGATCATTGTCCAGAGAGGACCATGGCCTTGGGCTAGATACTCAAGGCGGGAGTGAAATGCGCTGCCGCTAGGTAATGATAACCAACCGATGGTAAAATGTGTGCGCTGGATGGTTCGGAAACTGCAGGCCCGAATCTATCGTACATTTCGTCGTCGATGCTGCTGTCCCAGACAGTCTCTGGCGTGACCCTGGCGGCTCTCGGTAAGGAATACCCAGCCCCGTCGGTGCAAGTCGGTCGCTTGATCCGCCAGTTGATCCGGTCGCCGGCGAGGCCGATTTTGGAGCTGTGGACAATTTCGGCCATAAGGAAGCTAGAGCTTACAAGATCGCCGCTTCCCCAGGCAACGGAGCACCCGACCTGTTCTCGACTTTCTCGGCCCTGGACTCGGGCAGTGTGTCCATGGCGCTTGGCGAGCTACTTGGTGCCGCAACGTTCATTACCCTTGGAATCGTTGGGGTGGTTGCCTTCATATCTCCATTTCAGTTTCCCAGGTATGGCACAGCTGGGCATGTGGCTCCTTGGTCCTGATTGCTGGTGTCGAGGCAGTCCGCTCGAGTCAAGGGATCATCAGAAACCAACTCATCTTTACCGAACAGACGCCCGTTTGTCCGAGACCTTGTTTTCTTTATCTTCAGCATCATCTGGATTCTCATCATCATCAACGATGGCTTCATCTCCCAGCTCGAGAGCATCTTCCTGATCCTGTATTACTGCGTGTACGTGGCTGTCGTTGTGATCGGAAACATCATCTATCGACGACAGAAGGCGGCCCGCAATGCAGCAGCGATTCTACTCGATGACGTCGAGGAGCCAGGTGCGTCAAGCTTCAAAAGCGATCAGATCCATAGAGTCGGCGCTGCAGAAAGGGGAAGCTGCGGCGATCTCGGACGTATATCTTACACTGTGCGTATCTGTCCTGACCGACTATCCCCGGATCCCAAGACTGGATTGAGGATTCGGACGAAGTCGATGGATTGATCCCAAACCCGACTGCAGAGCAGCGTGGTCTCGACGGCGACTTTTTCACACGCAGATCGATCTTGGGCCTCCAGACGACATCTCTGCCAAGGGAATTCGGCAGAAGACGGGACGGCATTCCAAGCATCCGACAGCCGGGTGGAAGTTGGTCGTTTTCAGACTCGAATCGACAGTCGCGAACCAACATCTTTGGTCTCTTCTCACCTGTTACTCAGCACCAGCCGGGATACAGCCTGGTACCGCCCGCCCCTGAAGAGGTCATCCATGCACGCACACGCGACCCTGATTTCAGCAACTACTATGTGCCTCCGCCGCCGTTTCCCTGGACAGAGACTTTCCACGATCTGTTCCCCATCTTCCGCAAGTGGCATCGCGTCAGTCTGGTGCGGAAGGCATGGGCCATCATCCAGACCCCAATCCAGTTTCTGCTGACACTGACGATACCTGTTGTCGGCGAAGAAGAGGGAGCGCCGATTGATGTCCTTTCGATCAACGAGCTAGAGTCACTTCGGCAGCACACTGCACCAGACGACGAGCTCTTCCTTGCCCCCGGTGTTGGCAGCGAACAACAGGCCCGGTATCTGCAGAGCCGCGATGGCCATTTGCAAGCTGTCCGCGAAGATGCAAACGACGTAGGCGACGATCTGCTATCGTCCCCTGTTCCGTTCGACCCCGAAGACACTGTGGTCGAGAAGATGGAGGGCCGAAGCACACGCAAGGAAATAGTCTACTTGCAAATGTGCTTTGGTCCGCTGTTTGCAGCCTGGGCAATCTGGGGTAGGTCCAATGACCGACAGCGACTGCTGGCGATTTCCAAAGTGGCAGTTTGTTGTCGGCAGAGCTTCGATCGTTCACGATGCCACTGTACTTGTGCGCGGGTGCAGAGGCACATGTGCGCAACGGTCTCATCCGGACTTTGCTCCGTGCTTATCAACAGGGCACTCGACCGATTCGCTTGTCCTGCTGTACGCCAAGGCGCTGCTGTTCTCGGCTCTGTTTGTTGGTCTTGCGTATCTCTTAATGGGTCGACTAGGGATTCCGCTGCAACGACTTGGGTTTGGGCTGTCGGTCTTTGGCTTCCTTTATGGTGTCGTGTGGATCTATGTGATCGCTAACGAAGTGGTGGAGCTGCTGCGGTCCTTTGGTCTGATCCTGAGTATCGACGAGGCGATTCTGGGCATGACTGTCTTTGCCATCGGCAACAGTCTCGGAGGTATGTTTACCTGCAGCCAAACGAACCGCCGGAATCGGCAAGCTGCTATTGTCCAATCAGTCTTGGAAGACGGAGGATCGCGGGATCGAGATAACTCAAGGGGCCTGTCTTGTCCGCAGATCTTGTCACGAACATCACAATTGCCCGGATGGGATTCCCCGCTATGGCAGTCGGGGCTTGCTATGGAGCGCCGATGCTGAGTAAGTTGCCTTGTGTCTCGACCTACCTGAGCAACGGAATGGCTGTGGATGTGTGCTTGGCGAGGAGGGGCTTTCTATTGACTGAATTGCGAGCAGCCCGATAGTCGCCGTGGACGGGAACAAGAACTCACACAGCTTTCACCCTCGATAGACATTATTCTGGGCCTTGGCGTGTCGTCCTTTTACCAGACATACACCTCCGGCCAGAGCTATCCCGTCACGGCCTCAGCAACAGTCCGGCGCTGCTGCTTCATTCTTCTTGCTGTTCTCGTCGGCGCTCTCGTGGTCATTCCTCTGATGAACTTCAACTTTGACCGCCAGATTGGGACAGGCTTCCTCCTTGGATATGTGCTGGTGGTGTCGCTCAGCATCCTCGGCTCGGGCCTTGGCGGATGAGTGTCGGGGCGAGGCTGGACCGCTCGGTCGCTCTGGGGGCGGGCGGTCGTTGGTTGCTGGCGATCGATGACGCTGGGACATGCAGCTCGCTGCATCGAAATACAGTGCTTGGTCGTATGGAAGCACTGCCGTCTCAGCGCCCTGGCCCGTCGCCCGCCGTGTGTTGTCCATGGGGCACCAGCTCGGCCCGACATGATCATGTCGAGATGCATCGGTTTGCGGAACAAAGGGAGCCGGTTCCAATCGTGGAACCTGATCGCGCAGGCGGCGTGTCGACAATACCTTTTTTTTTTTCTCCCTGCCGACCCAAACCAAGTGACACCGCTGTGATTTCTTTCCTCTGCCCCCAATTCATCTCGAGCTCGCCTGGCCTCGTCTCGCACCACCGCTGTCCGGGACACGCAAGTTGCTCTTGATCCATCTACTCGCGCCGCCGCTCATCTCCCAACGCCCCAGCCCTCCCCGCAACCACAAACCTGCAATGTCTCCTTCAAACCAGACGAGCTCTGGCGGATGCCCGGTCGACCACTCCAGGCTTGCCCAGGGCGGCGGCGAGTGTCCCGTCAAGAACAAGGATGGATCCTTTGGCATCCTGAACCCCCAGAATATGATGCCGCATCTTGGAAACTCTATGGCCCCCGGTCAGGACAAGCCTCTGCCCACTGAGCGAACGGCATCCATTATCCCCAAAGCCGACGAGACCGGCAAGACCTGGGCTTATCCATCGCCCCAGGTAAGGACCTCCGAACCAATCGTGCAATCTCGCGAGGGCGTCGCGGTCTCGAGCACATCGGTCACAGCAGAGGGAGGTCGACAACGCAGCTGCGTGATTTGTTGTGTGTCTGGCTGCATCTCTTGATGTGCGATGCTGCCGCCGCCAATCGCAGCTCCGGAATGATCGTTTATCGATGCGCTTGTTTGTTTCTCACCCTTTGCATCGGCCTGCTCGCATCGGCAGCAATTTTACAATGCCCTGAATCGCAAGGGCTGGGAGACCCCCGTGGATGCGGTCCCGATGATGGTCGACATCCACAACTTCCTCAACGACGCCTGCTGGGAGGAGATCATGAAGTGGGAGCGCGAATACCACTGGTATGGGCCCACATCGTCTCTGCTCGATCTCACACCGAGATCCGTGGCTTTGGTGGCAGCATGCGTGACTGCTGCTCTTGCAGCAGCATTATTAGGACCACTGTCGACTCACTCGTCCCCATCGATGCCCTCGGCCATGCCAGCGACTGCAAGGATGTCAAGCTCGCGCGGTTCATGGGCCGGCCCCACGACCTGAGCCCGAAAGCCCGCATCTACGGCTTCTTTGGGTAAGCACCGTGTTGCAGATTCCTTGCGCCTGGATGCCATCCATCGAGGCGGCTGCTGATGACCACTCTCTTGAATCTGTAGTGCCGAGAAGCCCTTTGATCGCCACGACTGGGTTGTGGACCGCTGTGGCAAGGAGGTGCGATATGTGATCGACTACTACGGCGGCTATCCCGAAGGCGACAATCCCGTCTTCCACGTCGACGTCCGGCCTGCTCTCGACTCGCCTTCGGCATTTTTCGACCGATCACGGAAGACATTTGCGGAGACGTGGCAGCGGTGCTTTGGCTCGCAGTGAGCCTGGGCCATGCCCTGTCGCTCGGCGATGCCATTGATCGTGGGTGGCACTTTGCACGGCGTCTGTCTTGGCCCTGGCTTGGACAATCCTGCCTTCTTTGGTTCTGTTCCTGCGGTGCACTCACCCTGCATGCAATATTCACTCCGACGATCACGAGTTGTGTGTGCAATACATCCCCCTCACAACCCAGCATCCTCGATTTCCGCATCGCTGCACTGCGACCGGTGATCTTCACTCGGAGGTGATCTGTTCTATTTCTTATGGCATAGCTTGACGCATGCCATCGCATACGACGCCGACAAATGGGTTGTGGGCAGGTGTACCATTTCCCCCTGAACACAGTCTTTCCAGCACACCCAGTCCCAACGAATGGTATGCCCATGCGCAGCAGTCCGGTGATCCAGCCTGATCGCCCTGGTTTCGTGATCGTCGATCGGGAACCTGCTTTCGGAATCGACTCGGGCTCATCACCCATCCACGTCAGAGTCTGTCCGTAGGTCCTTGCGAGCGAGCAAGCCAGCGAGTGAGATTACACATCATGAGCGTCCGTCGTCTCGTCCTCTTCCAGAAGCGCAGATATGCCGCCGGGGCCACCGACGTTCCGCCGCAATACGCAGCCAAGCTTGCGTTCTTAAGAAACAACCAGCCCATCTCCAAAGCCGAGTTTGCGGCGGCGATGAGGCCGATCATGGCCAAGGCAAGGTCCAAGCGATACGGTATGTCCGTGCGCACTGTTCAGCAGTGGGCTGGATTCAAAGATAGATATCGATTTGGCTTCCTCGTGCAAGATGCGTTTGGAGAAGAATGCACAGGCAGCAGCCGTCGCAGGATGAACGCTGCAGAGCAAGTCCAGTGCGAGAGAGACCGGCTGGACATGGATGAGGCCTTACGCTAATCATCAGCTTGTGGAAATGCTCTGCAACGTCCGATATCTTGGCAACATGCGTCTGTCCTTCATGGCCAATGACCCGATCTTGACACGGACCCACTTTCGATCAAATCCCTCGATGTGGTCAATTCGGACTCTGGCCCACTGCTACGACCCCCGCGCTCGGACTCGAATGTGATTCAACCTTAGCCGTACCCGTCAACGGAACCTCCAGTTCGTTTCTACTATGCCATTACCTCAAGGAACTTGTTGGAGCTGACAACATCGCGACGATCACGATCGATCACTTTCCTGAGGACGCCGGGAGAGCGGCTGCCATCACCCGCCAGTTGAAGCAGATCGGTACGGCTATAGTCTCTGGTTTCTCGGCCCCAGCTCATTTAGTGCCCCATCCATGACTAGAGAAATCTGTTGGGGCGATTACGGCTACTGGAGGGTTTGAGGCCAGCGAAACAGCGAGGCGATTCATGGCGGTGTGTGGTATGGAGCCTTCGTTATTGACAAAGCCTTCCGCCACAGGCATCCAAAACATCTTTGTCGTCGATCCTGACTTTTCAAGCCAGCTCGTAGTCACGTCGCAAAGGGCCCTAATCTTGTCAGGCAGCACCAGCAACAACAGCAACAACAATAGCAACAACAGCAACAACAGCAACAACAACAGCAACGCTGCTGAAACCCGCCCACCCGAACGGCTTGACAATGAACGCCTGCTGGAGCAGTTGGCCCGCGAAGCGGTTGTTCAGAACTTTCCGACGCTGATCATGACGACCCCACTGGAGGAGCACACTGCCGAGACGATGAGACGGCTGATTCGGCAGAGCGGCATCGATGGGCTCTCGGGCCGTCGCATTTACTTCCCCACAGCCGGACTCTTTGGCTGGTATGGCAGCCATGTCGATGTCGGGCGCCCACTGTTGGTCTTTTCTGAGGTTTGTTGGTGTGGGCTCGATCGAGTTTGTTGGAGCTGTACATGAGTGCTGAGTGATATGGCTTGGAAGCGCCCAACCCAGTTGTAATGTAGCGCCGGAGTGATTGAGTTGAAGCCATGTCGCCATTGACGACCAGCGATACCGTTCTAATCAGTTGCACGCCTCCTTTCTTTCTGCGCGGAAAACAGGACCGCTTGCGAGCCTCGGCAGAGTCTTTGGGCATCGAGTGGGTGCCGAAGCCGACGCTTGCATCTGATGAGAAGTGGGATCTGGCATTGGGTACGAGCCAACAAGACCTGGTCCCTGGCACCGAGCTGGACAGTCTCAATAAGTACTCCCTCGCTCTGTTTACCGAGCGCATGAGCCATCACCGGATACGGATCGAAGCAAAAGGTAGGCTCGGCCAGCAGCAGTGGCAGCGTTGGTCTGTCGATGCAAGATTGAGGGCAGTTGGGTGCACCGTTTCCCAGAATCGTCGTTCTCACGACACCTGTCGGTACGGCTGACATACCTTCGGCTCTTTCTCAGTCCTGCCATACATAACAAAGTACACTATGACAGACCCGCCCACGGGAACAGCCTATCTCAATCTTTCGATGGCACCGGGGCAGAAGCGGCATTGGCTCTCAAACGGCCTGGTTGCCCAGCGGGTGATCTCTTACCTCGCGCGGTGGACAACTCCGTCGCTTTCCACAACATCCACTGCCGCAATCGTCAGCGCATGGCGGCAACTGATCGAAGCCGCCACGAAGCCCGTCAAGATGAAGCTTAGTCGCAATCCCTGGGGTGAATTCCAGGTGCAGGAGCAACGCAAGGTTGCCGAAAATAGCGGCGGCAAGCGACCGACCATCTCGGTCGGCCACAGCATCATTTCGCCGCCTGTCCGGAGACTGGCCAAGAACATCTGGTTCTTCAGCCGCGCTCCCATGGCGGTCAAGTCGTCCGAGTCAGGCATGAGGCAGCAGTTCATCCCGGTCGATATCACTCAGCAGAACTTGGTCCTGTGGGACAACCGGTTCCATGTCCGGCTCGGGGCACCAAAGCCACCCAGCAGCCATTCGCTGGTGACCTCTCTCGATCCCGCCAAGCTCGGCCTGGACACCGAGAAGCTGCGGTACGTCATTCGCGGCCTCACTGCCGCCGATGTCGTGCAGATCCAAACTCGCTTCAAGCTCGGAGTCCCTACGCCGGAGATGACCTTTGTCAAAAATACGCTCGCCAACGTGGTCCTGAAGGTCCCGCAAAAGTCGCTGTCCACCATTCCCGTCATCGCTTTACGCCAGGACGACGGTGATTGCAGCTACGTTGTCGCTGTTCCGTCCCTGGGCCTGCTGCTGGAGCCCAACTTGCTGTCAGTAGAGATCAAGTTCTTGCGGCAGTCGATGCTGGAGCAGCAGCAGGTTCAGGTTGGCTTTGAAGTTAGCGATGACGTCATCGCTGCCAGTCGTGAGCAGTAACAGTCGATGCTGCGGAGAAGCAATCACTTTGATTGACTGATCGATCGACTGATTGATAGACTGATCAACAGACTGATTGATTGATTGGATGGCTGGTCGCCGACGCCCCACAACAGATGAGTTTGATGGTCAATGTGAAGCGTTAGGACCAATGTGATCGTGTGGACGGTGGATTTTGTGGGTTCCTGAAACCACACCTTTCGCATCCATGGACGTGGCGAACATGTACAGACTGTATTTACTGCGAGCACACTGTGCTGAAAGTCACGAAATGGGGTTGTCAGGGGGGGGGAAGTGGCCATGGAGTTGAGGGGGTTGCACACGGGTTGAATGGAGTCACTTGTGACTGCCGCGGCCGGAGAATTGACACACGACGCAAACCCCAGACTGTGCTTGATTGAGCGAGTCGAGCGGACATGAGGGTAAGGGCGATCGGATGGCGAGCTTGATCAGAGGGCAACTTCGACATCGGCATCGTCCTCGGGGGCGTCTTCGCCAGCCGCAGACTCATCCATGGCATCGTCCTGGGCATCGTCTGGAGAGATCAGGTGCTTCTTGAGCGCCAATTGACGGATATCGTCCTCGGCGAGCACACCGCCAACCTCTTTGCCACCGGGGACGCACTCGTCGTCGTCCTCATCCATGACCTCGCCCCCGACGTACGAGAGCAGAGGGTCATTCTCATACGTCGGGAACAGGAACTGTGGGTCGCTCCAGAAAACCCCGTCGCTGGCTGGGATGGCCTGCTCCGAGGCATGCCCAGAGCTCTGGAAGTGCTCCACAAGCTCGGCCATGGATGAGAGCTCGAGGTCGCACGAGAAACACTTGGACAGCGATGTTGCGCGGCGGATGTAGTTGATGAGCCGGATCAGACCGTAAAAGTCGAGGCTACGATCCAGCGAGATGCGCTTGAGGTCAAAGTCGTGGTGGCTCTTGAGGTGCTCGCTGCATTCTTCGGGAGTCGGGAACATGGTTTCATCAAAGAAACACATCGTGGCCTCCATTTCAACGGGTTCGTCCCAGTCCTCCCACTCATCACTGGCGAACAGTTGTCTGTCAGATGGAGTTTATGATACGCGGACCAGCAACGAGCGACAAACAACGAGCGACAGGCAACGGGCGACAGGTCGTATGGACACAGAGCTTGGGCTGGACTTACTTTTCTCTGCGCTCCTCATCGCTATCGTACTTGTCGTTCTCGAAGGACTCCCAGTTCTTGCCCGGCTCCTGCATGATGGGGGGGGCGATTTGGATGAGCTCACCGAGATACGAAACAAAGTGGTATGACACGGAGCACCATCCACTTATCCAACACGATGATCCAGCGGCACGGCGAGAGCCAGGTCCTCAAAGAGTTTGTTGGACACATGGCCAAATCGGCGTGACATGACTGAATCGGCGTGACATGACCAAGCGAAGCAATACGGCCAGAGATTACAGTTCGACAGCCAATCGATCAGCGACCTCACGGATACGTACGAGGTAATTGATGATGTAGAACCGGTCATAGGAGTGGTTGCGGGGGTTGATTTTGAAATGCTTCTTCTTTCGCATATGCTTGCGCAGAACAGCGCTAGTCTTGAAGATCTTTTCGCAGTAGAGGCACTGGAGTCTGCACACCCAGCAACGCCAACGAAGAGTCGGGCTCGAATTAGGATCGATACAATGGCATGTGGCCTAGCCGCTGCGGTTACGATACTAACCCACTAAGCTTGGTCTGCAAGGTGTCCAGAAACTCGTTGACCTCAACCAGGTTGTCGGGGAGACCAATGTTGAAACCATGTTCGTTGAACATGTGCTTGAACAGCGCAGATCTGCAGCAGGAGGGCAAGAGCATGGTGAAAAGCTGTGCCAAATCGCAACGTGGTGGCGGCTGTATCCTCGGGGACAGTAGGGCCACCAAAAGAATCCTTGCCGACGCTCCAGTACGATGCAGGGACGCCGGCTCGCAGCCAATCGTCAGGACTCTTACCGGTTGTCGCAGACGAGCTTGCAGAAGAGACACTTTCGGGGGAGCGCCGAATCGTGGTGGCGCTCGCGCTCTTGGATGGCAAGCATCTCATTCTAAGCAATCGATACATCGAATGAGCGTGTGATGGCGATGGGATAGAGCCGGCCGTGCATATCAGCCAAACATGATCGCTCGGGCGTCACACCAGAGAAGCCGAACTAGAAGACGAGTCCCGAAACCTACCAGCTTTTCTCGCTGCAAGCGATCACGCAGCTCCTTGTCTTCCTGATTCGATTCTTCGCCAAACGAATAGATGGGATCGCCACTTTGGTCTGCAATCGGCGCCAGCCAAGATCGGCAGGTGATGAGTCAGTAAAGTCGAGTCAACATCGGGAACGCGGCGTGCCGTAGCGACTCGATGGGATGCATGTGGTGATAGCCACTGTCTCAGGATGACAACAGAAGCGGGTCTCGCACAACACTGGGTGCTGCCTCCCAACAACACATGCGCTGCTGACGATCTTAGGGACTCAGGATCTGCACACTGTGCAGATTGGCTGCCCTCATCCCGGGGTATATGGCTGTATCACATTGAATCGCAGCAATCCATGGTGTTGTGTCCAAACAGTGCACGCCTCGATGAGCCGGCTTTGGATGCTTACTTGTCTCGAGGGTCAGGGCAGCAACTTGATCGAGCGAGGTCTCGTTGAGCCGACTGGCCCAGTAGTTGACGTACTTTTCAAGATAGGGCATGACATGGTGGTAGTCCTTGAAGACGATTTGGTGGTCCTGCTTCAGATGCTCGAGGGCAACGTTGGGGTCGGTGACGGGCAGGGTGTTGGGAGGGCAGTTGGGCATCGGGCAGTGGAAGACAATTGGGTTCCAGAAGGTGGGAGGGGCAGCGGGAGCAACCTCGCCGGCCTCCGAGGCGGCACCATCCGAATCGTTTCCGTCCGAGTCCGAGTGGTCGCTCTTGATGGAGGTGGAGAGCAGGGCAGACTGGGGATCGGCCTTGGGCTCGGTGATGGGAACGGCCTCGGATCTATCCTGTCGCGGGGCCGAATGGGCAGGCCGGGTGGCGACATTGTGTCTCAAGACCGATGCAAAGGAAGCCGACTGTGACTTGCCAAAGCTGCCGATGGCACCAGGTTTGGGAGCAGCATCTGCGGCATGGGTAGACGGATGTTGGGCCGAATCGTGGGGCCTGGAGTAGTCCTTCTTGCCAGGGCGACCACGCTGGGCCCGACCACGCACGACGGTTTTGAAGGGAGGAAGAGAGGCAGGAGCCGAGCCCTGAGAGTCGGCATGCGAGGACTTGTGGCGGCTCGAGGGCACCGATCGCCACTGGTTGCTCGAATCGGCCCTGGAATCCTGGGTCTTGGTCGCGGGAGCGGACTGGGGCTGAGACATGGCGACGGCGACGGCGGTGGTGGCGGTGGCGATGGAGCAGACAGGCAGGAAGCCAGGCGCAGGAGAGAGATGCACTTGGGATCCGGGGGTGCCGGTGGTCAGGGAGATGGACAACAGGGACTCTGGTAGGCGGAGAGATCGACGGGAAGCCGAACTTGGCCGGTGTCGGATCGCTGCGTCCAAAAAAAAAAAAATCGCCAGCCCCGCCGGCCAATCAGCGGCGCCGCAGAGACTGCTGGCTGGATCCGGCTCGAGCCGGATTGGAGGCTGGCTCGTTCACCCCACGTGACGCGGCGACTTCATTGCCCATGGGCGCCGCGACTTCCTGCGATCCACCTCCGTCTCCCCTCCTTCCCTCCTTCCTTCGCATCTATCGTCTTGGCTCATCGCCCTCCAGCTCGATCGCAGGCTACCCCTCCCTCCCCGTCTCCCTGCTCCTCCGCCGCGATCGTCTCTGCCCATCTTGCTCTGCCCAGGGTCAATGATCGGCGCTTCCCTTCGTCCACACCTTCCCTCTGCCTTCCCTCTCCAGCCCCGTCGGCTTCTCCACCGCTCAAAGCCCCACTCTCCTCACAATGTCCCGGCAGAACTCCAAAGCACATCGGTGAGGCATCTTCTGCGAGCTGGCATCTGGCTTTTATCGATCGTCGTCCCTCATGCGACCCACTTCGTCGCGCTGCTGCTGCTGCTGCTGCAGTGGTCTTTCCCATGTCCGCACACCCGTTGCTACTTGTCATATGCAAAACTCCAACCACTCCCATTTCGCTCTCCGTCGGTATCGTTATTGCCACCGTCGGCCTTGTGGTGTTGCCGTCACATCCAGGGCTCGTGTCCACCACTCACTTCCCGACTTGCGCTTCGCATCCCACCCCGCACTCGTCCCGATCGGCTTGGTCGCGACCATCAACCGCACTCCCCCAGAACAACCTTGTCCTGAGCGTCTTGAACGCCATGCCGTCCAAACGCGAGGCCATCCACTTCATCGATCGCTTCTTTGATCCCCCGACCTCCAAGGACTCCAAAAAAACCATCCCACAGTACCGTCGTCGTCCTTCCGGCCCGGGTGCTACTTCGGCCATCCACGACCACATCGGCCTCGTCCTGCTCGACTCCAAGCTTTCGGACACACATCTGGCCACCTTTGCCACCACCTTGAACCACCTGCACCGCCTCGACCTCAAGCCCATCGTCGTTGTCGACGACTGGTGGGCTGGCAACCACGAGGCTGCGGCCAGGCTGCGGCTGAAGAAATCCAAACTGCAGGAGAAGCTTTCGGACACCTTCCGTGTCGTCGATGCCATCGAAGCTGGCGGCGGCCGTGCTCTAGCGGCTTACAACGGCGTCGCAAACCCAAGCTTCTCTGTTGAGGTACGCCGTTGCGGCCTGGTTCGCCTCGCTGTCCCTCTGTTGTGACGTGTATGCTTGTCGGTCTTGCCTCAGTCGGACGACCTCCTTGGCCGCATCGCCCATCTGTGCCAAGGACTGCTGGCGATCGCTGCCGATCCCCGAGATCACAGCAGTCACCATCGAGTCCCACAATAGCTGTCAGGTGCCTCCTGTGCAAGCGGCCCCGGTTTCCTCCACCATCAGGACGAGTGTCGTTGATTGCCACATACACCAGCTTCTGTCGTTCCGACCCAGTGACGCCTTTGCTTCCGTTTCCCACCAGTCTCGGCTCCAGCCAATCGAAACGGCTTTCCGCCTCGGACATATACCCGTCATTGCTGCCTTCTCGGGATCAGCCGACGGAGGGGCCGACGATGCCAACCAGGCTCAAGTCCCTCCCCACCAGATCCTTATTTCGCTGGCCAACGATCTATCCAACCGACCCACACTTGGCGCTCCTGTCAAGCTGATCGTCGTAAACGAGCGCGGCGGCTTGCGCAACGAGCATCACGGCACCCTCGGATTCATCAACATCCAGGAAGAGTTTGAAGACCTGCAATCCGAATACATTGCCAGGCTCAAGAAGCAGACCGCCCGCCCAGCCTTCACCAAGGAACGCTCCGACAATCTGCGCCATCTGGATCTTCGCCAGCAGCTCGAGGAGCTGCGAATCGTCCGCAAGGTTCTCGCCGCCCTTCCATCTTCGGCCTCGGCCGTGATCACGTCGGCTGCCTCCAGCGCCGTCCTGATATCCAATCTTATCACCGACAAGCCCGCTTCGTCTACGAGCACCAGTCCGCACTCGTTCTTCATCCAGGGCTATGCCCATCCTGCCGCCTCCCTCGTCGTCCGCCAGAACCGACATTCCCATGGCAAGGTTACTCTCGAAGAAATCTACCATCCGACCGTTCTCCGATCTGGTCTGAGCATCAGCGAGCACTACGACCTCTCCACTGTCGACATCCCCAAGCTTACCAAATTGCTCGAGGCCTCCTTTGGACGAAAGCTGATCGAGGACGAGTTCTGGGAGCGTATGCGCAACCACCTTGATTCCGTCATCGTGGCCGGCGACTACGACGGTGCCTCAATTGTGACCCGCGAGTACGACCCGTTGGCCGCCGACTCGCTTAGCCAAGAGCCTGACCAGCCCCGCAAGGACCCTATTCACTACCTGGACAAGTTCGCAGTCGCCCCCACGAGCCAGGGTATCGGTGTAGCCGATATTCTGTGGAAACGTTTGAAGCGCAACTACAAGAACCTGTCCTGGCGCAGTCGGGCCGCCAACCCGGTGAACAAGTGGTGGGTAGAGCGAAAGAGCGCTCGGCTGGACATCACTTTCAACCTGGACCCCTGCTCGCCTGCAGCTTCATGCTTGTGCTTAGTTGTTCGAGTTGACCCGTCGCGGCGGCTTGATTTTGCCCTCTCCTCGTCGCCCGCGCATTATTGAACAGCGCCCTGCCCCATCGCTCATCGTCAGCCTTCTATATCGTCAGGTACTTTGAGAGATCCGAGGGCAATCTGCGCCTTCCCGGCGATTACTGGATTCTGTTCTGGTATGGCACCGAAGGCGTTCATCGCATGGCAGCCTACACTCGCGCGGCCCTGGCCATCACGGCCTCGTTCGCCCCCGTCAAGACACAGTCTTCCAAGTCAAAGGGTTAGACTCTACAGCCTGATCGGAACGAAATAGGACAGTGTGTCCTTGGGAGCGAACCACATTCTGCCTCCCGCTTCTCTCTTTCTCGGCTCGTTGGCCGTCTCTGGGCCATATCGTCGACACCCGGCTCCGTCAGCTGCTATCTTTCTTTTCTCCTGGGCGTTGACCCAACATCTGAAATACACTTCCTATGAGAAACCGACGGATCTTCCGCACTACCATCACCGTCATCAGTCCATGCTGTTTTCCGCCTTGAGCGGGCTACACAGGATACAGTGTGGCATGTATTCCACAGGGAGCAGCCGCGGATGCAAGTACAATGGGCAGCGCTTTCTCCTTGTTCCGGAGCCGCCCTTCGATTTTTTGTATTGCGGAGCGTGCTAGTTGAGATACCCACGGCAAGCCTGGCAGAACAAAAAGCCGTGTTGGCACAATCAATCAGAAGCACCCAAGTCAGCAGCTCACCTCTCAGCTGCACCATTCGCATGACAAAACATCACCAACAATAGGGCATGGGTGAGAGAGTGTGGAAGCACAGAACAGCGCCTACCTCAGCCCCGCAGCGGCATGGAATTTTCTCATCCTCGATCGGGAACTTGTAGTCGTACGTGATTTCCTCGCCCTCCAGGATCGTGCGTCCCGCGTAGATGACAATCTTCTTTTGTCCGTCGACTGTGATGATCTTGGCGTTGCAGTTGGGCTTTCCAGACCAAACCCCGTTCGGATTGTCGGTTGTGACAACACAATGGACGGAATGAGCGACGACGAGCTGGTGGACTGACCGTGCAATCCTCGGACGCTGGCTCCTCCCTCCCTCCTCTCTCCAGTCAGACCAGTGCCACGAGCGCCCAGCGACATCGGAAGAGTCTATGCGACTTACATCGCAGCAATGATTGATAAACCGTGCCAGATTGCCCTTCTTAGTTGCGTCGATGATGGTGTCGTCGTCGATGCGGAACAGATAGCTGCTGCCGATGCCACTTTTTTCATACTGCTGCTCGCGGATATCGGCAATCTGAGAGCACCAAAGTACGAACACGGTTAGGGCAACGGGCTAGAGCCTGTGGCAGCGAGTACGAACCAGCGATGGCTGTTCCATGCACCCGCATCACTGCAACACACATCACCCCTGCCATCGATCTCGACCGAACCGGTCGCACACACAGTCCGCCGCTCGGCAGAACTTCACGCACCTTTTGTCGCACGATCTCGCCAATATACTCAATCACCATCTCGTTGGCCTCGATGCGCTCCATGGCAAAGAGACCCCAGTCGTGGATGGGACTCATGGCAAACTTGAGGTGCTTCTTGCGCCCCTTGAGCTGGTTGAACTTGAGGGCATCGCTCACATCGCCCACAGCAGTGGGCAAGCTTCGCTTTTGGCTCTCCAGACCAATTGCCAATTGCCGATGGTGCATACGGTTGGCGCGGCTGCTGATCTTGGTCAGCGGCATTGCCGCCAGGCTGGCGCCAATGAGGGCCGCGCTACTTCCGAACGGCAGCTTGTTTTCGGGCTGGGTCGGGTTCCGTGAGCGCAGATATCGCGTCTTGAGCTCCTCCGAGATCTTGTAGTATCCCTCGGTCCTAGCGCTATCAGTTGTGTTGTGCCAGAGTTCATCATCCGAGTCGGATTCTATGCCTTAGGCACATCAAGTATGGCGGGAGCGATGCAACAGAGTCGTTCCCATGGAGGGCCGAGCCGTATGGATGGCGATGTGCAGATGCATGAGGCGTGGATTCGGATCAGAAACAGGGTGAAGAATAGCTCGAGGCGTGAAGACGCAAGGAGCGAGCATATTGGAGGCAACCGTGTCGCCGGTACCATTGACGCTCGAAGCATTTTGCCCGACACCAGTATGTGTGCTGCAAATAACGGCATGTGCTCGCACCCACCTTCACTGCCCAAGGCCCGCGCCTTTGCCTTGATCCGTTCTTTGGACCTGATGCGCTGCTTCTGCACCTCCTTATCGATTGCGAGTTTCAGGAACATTTGCTCTTCCTCGGTCTCGGCCAGATCAGCCAGAATGACTGTGCTGTAGTCTTGCTCCTGTTCTTCGTCCTCTTCCTCGGCACCGTGGAACCCCTCCACGGCGGCGCCTGAGCTATCGATTTCCTGGTGGCTTTCGTACTGAGTCTTCCACACAAGCGGCTTGGTCAACTCCTGCATCAAATCCTCGGTATCGCTATCGAGTTGTACGGGAACACGAATGGATGTCGAGGTCAAGGACACGGGAGCCCGCGCTGCTGACGCAGGTTTCTCAACAGGCGGTGGCCGCTCGCGACGCCGAGCCTTCTTCTTGGACGATGACTTGCTCTCAGAGTCTCGCTGTCGCTTAGACCCGCGCGCCCTGGGTGACATGGGCGACTGCAGCCCATCCGCGGTCATGGTGTCTGTCTGGCTCAGAGCCTCATCCACCTCGCCGTGTCTGAGGAGGTCTCTCTGCACCTCGGTCTTGGCCGCGTCAGTGGGCTTATCTGTCGTCGAGACGGGCGCGCTATGATCGTCTTGGACAGCTGCCTTCTCGGGCGATACCGACATCCGATGTACGTTTGTGGAAGTGTCGCGCCGATCCCTGCTTTTGCTGCGAGACCAGCTGTGTTCAGGGCTCGAGTTGTGTGAGTCATCGGTGCTGCGGGCACGGCTATCACGGCCACGGCTTGGGTGTCGGCTCCTGCTGCTACTCCTGCCTTTGCTTCGACTTCGACTTTTGCTTCGGTTTCGGTTTCGGTTTCTGCTTATGCTCCTGCTTTGGCTCGGAGTGCGGCTCGCGCTCGAGCTACGACGGCTTCTTACAGCCGCCGAACTGTGTTGACGCTGATGGGACGATGGTGACTTTGAGCGATTTTGTCGTGGGCTTTCGCTATCGTATCGCCTTCGCCCAGAACTCTGCCGGCGACGATCGCGACTATAGCTGTCGCTGCGACTCCGAGAGCGACGGTATCTGCGATGGCGATCCCGACTCGATCCCGAACTCTGCCTGCTTGAGCTTCGATTCGAGCTCCGACCACGACCACGGCCACGGCTTTGACTGCTACTTCGGCCTGTGCTTTGACTCCGACTGCGGCCACGAGTACGACTGAGGGAGCGACTGTGGCTGTGGCGGCGACGATGACCGCGACTAGAGCTGCGGCTTCGATGGTGACCGTGTCTCTTCTGTCGATTTGAGCTCAAGCTGCGTCCAGAGCGGGAGCTACTGCGACTCGAAATGCTCCGACGCCGAAGTCGACTTCTGCTTCTGCTGCGGCTATCGGACGGCGAGCGCTTAGATCGGCCACGCTCGTCTTCGCTGTCGCTCGAGGAGTAAATCAGCTCGGCTCGGATACGCTGGGCCTTCTTCGAGCGAATCAGGTTCTTGATATCTTTGGGCGACTTGTTCTTGTCCTTTGGGCCGGTCATCTTGGCTCTGGCGGTCTTTTCGGACGACTCGGGCGATTCACCGGCAGTGTCAAGCGCGCCTTGGTGGGGCCCAGACTTATAGGCCGCCGAGTCTTTTTGAGCATCAAGCCCTCGCTCCCGCATCAGAGTCAGGTTCTTCTTGAAAGAGGGCAGAGAGAGCATACGCTTCGTTGGTGAGATCTCGCCCTTCACAATATCAAATATTGTCGACGATGTCATGTAGGACATTGTCGAGGACGATAAAGTGGTATCGTGCTGCGCTTCGTCGCTCTTGACCGCCAGGCCATCGGTGTCGACGGCACCGCCGCGAATTTTGGGCTCCAAGACGCCGTCCAGCCTTGTACCCGAGTCGGCTCGCTTCATCTCCAGCGTCGACTTGGCCAGCTGCGAAGCCTCCCACTCACTCAAGAATTCGGATATCACCGGCGCCAACACGCGGTTGGTGAGGTCCTGCTTGAACTTTTGGCCGAGCTCCTTGGTAAGCAGACCGACAGTCTTCTGGATGATCAGCGCTTCATCAGCCGAGAGCTTTCCCGACCCAAGGGTATCAGACACTTCGGGCTCGGACGGATGGTGGATGGCATCTGGCGTGGGCGGGGACCAGCGCTGAGGCGCAGAACCAACTTGGCTATCGCCCGGAGGAGGCGGCTCTCGGCCATCGCGCTCCAGTCGGGATCCGCGGGCGTCCCAGTCTTTATCCCAGTCCCGATCTCGGTCGCGGTGGTGGTCTCGATCCAGATCTCGGCTCCGGTCCCAGTCGCGACCTCGATCTCGTCCACGATAGGGAGGCTGGGTTTCTCGACGAAAGTCACGATACTCGGCATCGTAGCTGCTATGGCGATCATGCGAGTGGTCCACGGATCTTTGGCGGTCACGGAATGACGGCCCACGGCCCCAGTCACGATCGGCGGCGTCTCTTGCCCATGTCGTGTCTTTGTCATAGGCGCCGATTCCCGGGACGTAAGCCTCGCGTGACTTGTCGAGGTAGGGAGAGTAAGGCGAGGCCACGCTTCCCCGACCGGCCGGCCGGCCAGCAGCATGCTCCTTGGCAGGAACATAGCTATCGCCGCCGAGGGACCGCCTGGCTGCAGCATCTCGCTCCGGGGTATAGCTGTCCCATCCCCGAGGCTCAGCTGCCTTGACGGTAAAGTCCAGCAAAGGTCGGTCTCGAGAAGAATAGCGATCACGGCCGAGTGGCATGTCAGTCAGCAACGGACCAGCTTTGGGTGTGCTGTAGGCGTCCGGAGGGATGGGGCCGTCGCTCCAGGATTTCTCGATCCGGATCTGGTTCTTGGGAATGCCGGTGTCCGGTTGGGCGGAAGGCGAGTCGCTTGAATAAGGTAGACGAGGAGGCACGCTCCCGAGATTGCTCGGCTTGGGCTTGGGTCCATGTGAGAAGGCGGATTCAAGGAACGGCGGGGGTGGTGTTCTTGGGGGTGGAGCCAGCGGCGGGGGAGGTGCGCCGGGGCCCAGGGAATCGGGAAACGGTGCAGGTCGCCGAGGAAGATGGCTCGCAAATGAATCAGGCCGTGGCGGATAGCTCATAGGCGTAGAACTACCACCAAAGTACGGGGACCCTGACCCTGGTACTGGTCGTTTGGTATCGAAGGGCGGCGCATGGCTGACAGGAGGCCGTCCGTAAAGTGGTGAATGTCCAGGCGCAACGCTCAGCTGCGGTTTTGGTGGGAGCGACAGATCTGGCGTGCGAGGGAGTGACTTGGACGCCTCCTTGAGTTTCTTGTCTTTGTCCACGGCCATGTTGATTATGGCGAGGTGCATATCCATGGCCAGCGAGAAACCCCAACAACGGATCGGCAGCAATACAGGTCGTCAATGATCGTCATCGAGCCATCGTGGACCAAACTAAGGCAGCCCCTATCGCTCGAGAGCCGATACAGGCCGACATCCTCTCCGCCGCCGCCCTCTTCGATGACCCGGACTGCTCTTTCACCAGTTCATTTTGTTGCACACTCTCATAACACTCTACCGTCGTAATCGTATTCAACGCGGATGACGTTGCCTTCGAGAATATATCCATGCATGTCCAACACCGCCTTGCGTGCCGAGCTGGCCGACTCGTGCGGCGCGCTGCTGCTTCCAAAGTAGACCGAGCCAAAGCCATAGTTGACCTGCGGACGGGTGGATTTCATTGGCAGCTTGATTCGCTCGATCGGTCCGCATGTTGCAAACAGCTCCCGGAGTTGAGTCTCGTTTGCAGATGTCGGTAGATCGGACATGAAAACCGAGGTCGGCATGGCTTTGATGACGCTTTGCTCATCGAACTGGAAATGCACCCAGCCCGAGAGCACGGGATTCGCATCGTTAGAGAGAACGTCGGTGTCCGATGCGATTCCCACAGGCATCATGTTTATGAGAGCCTCGGTCTTTCGCGATCCAGGCGGCCTCGATGGGGCTGCGTAGCCTTACCTCCATGTTCAAGATCTCGAACGATCCCACGACTCTCTTTTTGCCACGACCAGAGAGTCGATACGCTGCATTGGCGGTCCTTGGGTCCTTGGGAGGGGTACTCTGCGAGAGCGATGGTGCAGCGGGAAGGGTCAGACTTGCGGCAGATCCGGCGATCGCATCACAGACCCGGCGATCGCATTGCAAAACCTGTCCGAGAAATGGCGCAACTGAGCCTAATTGGCAATCCATATCGGTGCAGAGAGCGCCGGCCGATCTCGAGTTCGAGTTGGAGCCAAGCACAAGCCAAGGACCAAGTCAAGTGCACGCCAAGGCAATGGCACTGCAGCACCAGGACGGACGCTGTCCTATGAGGCTGGCCATCGCACTTGTGGACCAGCGACCTGCGTGCCATGCACGGTAAGAAGCCAACTGCAGAGAAAAGCAGGAAAAAAGCAATATCGACGACGGACAATCTCGCCAGAGTATCGGTAGCTTGGATCGCGAGAGCCTTTCTGCCGATCCGGATCCAGCGCCGGGTCGTAGAGGATCTTGTAGCTTTTGCGACTCGGATGGCTGTCAGGCGGCGGAGGCGCCCGAGCCTCCGCATAAACGCCTGGATAGGTAAGGCCAGAGACCGATTCGGTTTGTGGCTCGTCCGCTGTTTTGATGGAGCTTGGCTTGGGCAGAGCAGGAGCGAGGGCCGAACCGCTGCCGAGCTGGGATGGAAGCGAGTTGACTCGAAAGTATTTGGGAGTCGGCGGAGGCGGGGCTACGTCATGTCCTCCTATCTCGGCTGAGACGGGCCGTTCAGGGAATCGCCAAGATTCGGAGGAAGCCGCATCGTAGTATGGCTGGTGCGATCCGGGCACCGGAGGGTTGATGGGTCTTGAGTTGTGCATGGTACGTCTTGGCCGAGGAGCCGATCGGGCAGCGGCTGGTTGAGACCAGATCCAAGAAGCGTCAGCGCCTTTGCAGAACCGAAGCAGGCGGTGATGTGGCCGACAAGCGGCAACAGACCGGATCCGCAGATGGCAGAGCACCGCCAAAGATCCAGTGATCCAGGGGGCTCGCTCAGGCCTGCGACTATCAGTCAAGCTAACCTGGATGCGGATGCTGACGCTTGCCGGGCTGCGAGGCAGAGCAAATCCTGATGCGGCAGCGCTATCACAAGACGCAGAGCCGCAGAGCTCGATGGCGGCGGATGGAGGAGAGGGCTCGGAGTCGGCCTTTGCGCTGCAGTTCACGGAGGATGCCCTCTCCTGGCGAGCTCCTTTCGGGCACTGGAGACGGTCTCGATGGGGGGCCAAGAACATTGGTCTCTGATTTGCCTTTCTTGTGCGGATGTTGCGCCAGACAGAACACAGCCCCGGCAGACGCATGGCGGATGCCCCCTTCGCTCGAGCAGCACTCATGGATGCTGCAGCGCTATCGGCAGGGACAGAGCACCGTTGGTCTTGCGGCTCGTGGAGATGGTTGGCACTGAGCACTTGTTGCTGCGAATCCAGACTGCCACGGCACTTCAGTGGGGATCGACAGCCGATCTCCCCATGCGACCAGATCGACATCCAGATGACCAGATCGGCATTCAAATGACCAGATCGGCCGGCGATCGCTCGGCCCTGCCCTATTGAGACATCTGCCCACGCACCAATCCAGACATATGTGCTGGAGAGGGCCAAACCGTGACTGATGGCCGAGATCGCTCTCGACGAGTGGATGCCAGCTCCCTCAATCAGGTCCGCGAGCAATCCACACAGCTAAACTGAATCTGCTGCCGGCGATATTCAGTGATCAGGATGATATTCGTGGACTGCGCGGCATGACAACAACAGCAAGATTTGTGGCTGGAGAGGGCGACTGGGGCTGAACCAGCTACATCATTCGATTCGATCACCGGTGGCATATGTGTCGGTGGCCCATCGTGGGTCCAAAGACAGTGACGTCGAGCTCATTTTATGCGAGCGATGGACAGCAGAGGTCCAGACCCCAGATGCGAACGGGTCCAGCTATAAAGCCAAGTACTCTGGCCCAACCGGCATTGACCATGCATCCTCGCTTGCCATCCTGTCAAGGTCAGCAGCACGGCCCCCCCCCCTTCGCATCTTGCCCAATCCCAAGCGAATACTTGCTGTAGTCCAAGATGCCAAAGGCAGCGATCCTCAAGCGCTTCCCGCTGCGATTCGAGAAACGGCAAGTAAGTCACAGATCAGCGTCGCGAGCAATCGGGGACTCCCACCACCATCTGGCGCTTGACCCGCCACGATGCTATCCGTCATCAGGATTCGGCGGTGCCCGTCTTGCGTTAGCACAGCGATTGTCGTCCAGCAATGCTCACTCTCGCAACCCGAGCGGAACTGACACATCGTTCTCTCCTCAGCTCGAGCTCGAGTGGAGCAAGTTTACAAGCGTTGCCTCGCGCCGATACGACATCAATGTTGCTTTCTGCTTCATCTACTTGGTCGCCGTGTTCTTGAACTGGGGTACTACCCCGACTGTCAACTTTGGAGGCAAGTTGCTACATTTGGTTACACGACAGGACTACTTGATCCTGGCCGCTGTTTCCACCGTGAGCACAGAGCTGCCTTGGTTCTTTGGATGGGCTGTCGCGCTTATGGTGGGTGGATCCTCGGCTTTGGCGGCTCAATGTTGTTGTGGCCTTGGCGACATATGGCTGATCCGATTTCCGACCGATTTCTCGGCACGCAGATATCCCAGGACTCGTGCCTGTCCTCTTGCAGCTTGTCGTCACAAAAACCCTTCCGCGGGCCAAAAAATACCACTTTTACTTTGACACCGCGATCCTCCTTGGGGTTCTCGCAACCGTTACTCTGAATGTCGACGGCCACACACCTCAGTTCCAGGGACTCACAATCACAGCCGTCCAGACCGCCTTGCTCTATGGCCTGACTGCTGGCTTCCAGATTAGAAGCGCCGCCGAGCACTATTCGGCCGTTGTGATCTTCATCATCAGCTCTGGCATTGTTTGGGGAGTCCTTTATCCGCAGTTCTTCTTGGGAATGGGTGGCTTTCGGGCACTGCTCCTGGTCATCAAAGTAGTCTTGACTGGGCTTGTGGCCGCCTATGCACAGGTACGCAGCGATTGTTGATGGGCCGACACACCGAAGCAGTATCGACGCCCTGGAGTGAGTCGTAGGGCTCGATCAACCACTGCTGTATTCGTGGTTCTTGGCCATCACCCACCAACCCATTGCCTTCGAGACGTGCCATTTACCCAAGCGAATGCACGCCGACTCGGCTTTGATGCGCTATATCTCCTTCTCCCCCAGGATCTGGTCCTGCGCGAAGCCTTTTTGGTTGCCCGCCGAATCCAGCAGCACCAGGAGCTTCCGCGCGCAAACCGCAGTATCAACAGCGAGCTGGCATTCTACTTCTCCGAGATCAATTTTGAAACCGGCAAGTATATTTTTCCGATCGAGAAGCACATCAAGGTCGTGACAATGACCCGGCTCGAGAAGCTCAAACGCTTCTGGCGCCAATGGATCTACATCCGCTTTGTCGACAATGAGCTGGAGCAGGCCTACCTCGGGTGAGTCACCGGCCAATGTCGAGCAGCCGCTCTCTGGTTACTGCGCTATTACAACGTGGCTATTGTCCGGTCTGATGTGGATGTCGCAATGCTCATTCCGAGTGCCTCTATCCTATCCTGACACACGCCTTTGTCGATCAAACTTTGTGATGCCCGCAACGCTGCTTGTGTCGCTCCCATGTCATGTCCGCTGCAACGACCTCATGATTCAAGGGACTATCGAGCATATTCGATCCACCTCCATGTGCTGACGCTCATGATGAACGTAGGCGGTGCCTGTCTAACGTTCCTGTTCGAGGGCAACGATCCCTACGGACTCGCCCAGGCCGGGGTCGTTAGCACATCCACCTTGCGGCTCATCTTTGGCATCAAGATGGCGTATTTCCCTGTGATGCTGTTGATCCCGACCCTGGCGCTGATTTCCAAGCGTATCCGAGGATCGCCAGCGGCCTGCCAGAAGGTGATCTTGATTGCCTCGATCGGCAACATCGTGGGCTGGTTGGCCGCATATCTGTCCCTGGGCTCGCTGAAAGTCACCGACCCGCTGGCGTTCCATCGTGCCCTTGCTGGGTTCACAGCGGCCATATTTTCGGCCGGGGTGCAATCGGGACTGCTCTCGTACCTCTTGCTCCCGCTGCTGGTCGTGGTGATGCTGGCCCACCTGGCGCTGATCTTCCTGTTCAAGATGCCCTTCAAGCAGTACTCGCTCACGGCGCTGCTGGAGGTTTGCCTGACTGCGGCTGGAGTCTGCCTTGTCAACGAGTTTGAGTTCCGGAAGCTGTTCCTGCTCCGAAAGTGGGCCGAGGACTTTGTCGATGTCGAGAAGATCAAGTTTGTATCCAAGACTATCGAGCTCCCCAAGTCGCTGAGCCGCGCGAACGTCACACTCCATGGAACTCTCCGGACGACGGACTACATGCCGGAGGAGGATGGGCAGAAGGCTCCAGAAACCCCCGCGCAGGGGATGGAGGCTTGAAACAATCCCAAGCTCCGAATCGGCACGGGCTGGTGCTGACGGTGGTCGTAGTGGCAGCAGCGGCGCAGTGGTGATAGACGCAGGGACGATGCATTTTGAACGGGACATCTCTCGTTTCCACCGGGCGGCATTGTCGTTGATGGCCTCCGTCCAACAGACCATTTGCAATGAAACGGATCGCCTCGGGAGCCTCCGAGTGACGACATCGAGTCTGTCTCTGGTCTCCACAATCGCCGTGCACACAGCGATCATGTTGCGCCGGATTGACGCCGCAATTGCCCGCTGAACGACAGCAGCCGGGATTGTAGCATCGCAGCGCAGCGATGGATGTGCATTCAGGACCCAGAGGAGGGGGTCTGGACTGGTGGTTGGTTGAGGACATTTGTGTCTGGGGCCACAGAGCCGCTCGTGCATCGTCCTGACCAGCAACAGACCATCGTCCTGGCCGTCCGAGAGTTGTGCCCACATCCCAGCAACCAAGACGGGCCCACAGATCGTATCGAGTGCCGGGCCGCGGCTCTCCCGGCCACCACCCAGCGAAGGCCTCCAGCGCATGCCGACCGCATGCCCCGGACACGGGGCCCAGCACTCGCCTCGACACCACTATCCGCGGAGCATCCGGGCGACGCTGGTTGTGATCCCTCGCGGAAAACCCGCCGTGAGGGCTTTTGGCAATCGCCATCGGTTGCCAAAGCGGCCGGGTCGGCCGAGGGGGGGGGAAGTGTCTGGGCATCTGCGCTGGTCAGCCGCTCCAGAACTTGTCCCATATCATAGCTCTGCTGCATCTATCACCTCGACTCTGCAATCTCCTCCACCACTGCTGCAAGAATGTCCTCGGTCTCTGCTGTATCGCTTCATCCATGTGCTGCCCCTGCCACGGAGAAGGACGCTCCTTCAACAGTCTCTGAGGATGAAAGGGCACCCTGTCCCATGGCCGCAAATAAGGCCAAGAAACCATCGCCCTTGAACAGGAGCTGGCTGAGGGCATCTGGCTTCTTCTGGCGGAAGCCAAAGGACGCTGTCGCCCCGGCATCGTCAGCTACCCCCGCCAAGCCACTATCCAGCAAGACAAAGCGGTCCTCAGTGCCTCCCTCCAACGGGCGGGCCTCGGAGGTTTCCTTAACAAGCGGCCTCAAATCCGATCTCGCCGCCACCATCGAGGCCCTGGTCGCCCAGGCGATTCCAGGGTACGGCTTCCACTCCTTCCTGAGAAAGTGTCGATCCAATCACGCGCAAATCGTTGCCGGTGAATATATCGAACAGATTTGTGTAGGTGATGCGATTCTGTTGGCCAGCATTGGGTCATCAACCGCAAGATAAGCCCCCCTCTGGCCATGCAAGAGCCCTCCATCACCTATTGTGTCTCGTCTGTGGTGATGGCCACATTTGCCTTCTTGATGACACTCACACGCTTTCCTCCGAACCAGAGGACGAAGGAGTGCATCTCCTATGTCTTGGACGTGAGCCGCTACTTTATTCGAGTCCAAGCCGAAGCGCAACACGGACGACTGGTAGTTACTTTCGATGCACCAGGTAAGCACTCAGTCACCGTCCTATCTTCGCTCTTTCAACTCGTGGGGTTCGTCATTACAAACATACGATGTGATTCCAACTGCCCTGCCAGCTAACGACAGACCAATGCCTCACGATAACCCCGCTCTGCTGGGTCTAGGGATATCAGAGATGCCCACTGGTCCATCGGATATCAGTACTCAATACATGGAGCTCGAGAGCAGGATGGCTGAGCTAGGTTTCCGACTCGATGGTAAAGGCCCCTTCCTCATCACCCATACCGCCGTGCTGGTCGCTCAGAGCTGTGTTGGCCCAGGGCATTGGTGCGGGATCGCTGAACATGGCCCCCATCTCTCTATCGGCTTGCGCAGATGTCAGCACAGAATCTCGATTGCACAAACTGTCAAAATGGCTTGCATGGGACAGCTCCAGCCCAGAGAACGAGTGGCTACGGTACCTCTGCGTCGATGATAATGAGCACCGAGGCATGCCGTCCCATGCTATGGTCGACTATATAACGTCGCTACTTGACCTGGAGAGCTATCAAGCTGAGCTCGCAAATGTACGTGCCCACTTCATACTCCACGGCTACAGCTACTCTCGATTGCGCTGTGCTCAGTCAGACCTTCAGTCTTGCTTTGACTATTCGTATGGACATCGAGTCCCCCCTTCACTCACACCTGGAACTCTCCATTCAGCTGAAAGGATACCATCGGGACAGCCTATTCAAGCTCGCAAGTCGAGTCTCGCTTCTACTCACGTCCAAAGATGTCAACGAGCACATGGCCCGCAGCATCTTGAAACGGATAGCCATTCTGCTCCTCCAGACGCGGCGAGAGTTCACGCTGCCTATGATTCTCCGGTTCGACACCGCCTCGTTGCAATCCAAATTTACAGTTGTGAAGCTTGGCGATGGCTTTGTCTTTCTCGGCGAGAACTAGATCCTGTGTGGCACTATGTCCGCCTCTGCTCTCGTCGGTGCTTTTGGATCTAGCAGCCAGCGACGATACCTGTACAGATTATGCAAGAGCCTCTCTCTCCGGGACACTCTCCGCCTCGATAATAATTATAGTTGGCACGGAGAGGCGCTTATCAGTGAGTCTATTTGGTCTGTCGTCGCTGAGACCCCCAGTTCCTGGGCGTGATTCTGGCGTGCGGTTCAGTTCAGATGGTTGCTGATGGATAATGTATTACCACACCTTGAGCACCGCTGGCTGATCAGACGCTGTGTCATTGTAATTCCTGGGAGCACTGTGGCGTGTGTGGGTAGTGCATTTTGCCATTCTCGCCACAGAGGTGGTTCGGCACAGGGGACAAGCTGGACGGCAGTACCTCAACGAAGCAAAGCAACGGTCGGGAGTGTGAGGGGAGGGACGAGGAGGCCGCTGTGGTGGATGTATGTATTTGTGGCCAGAAGAAATCCTCGGCATTATACCGAGGATGTCGCTCGACTAGATCATTTTGCACTTTTGCGAAGCCTTTCTCGGCTTGATGGACAGCTTGGCGGCAGCCAGGAAGATTTCCTCGACTCCGGTGCCGGCCTTGGATGAGCATTCGAAGAACTTGGAGGCGCGAATGCGGTTCATCATGTCCTCGCCCTGGACAACATCGACCGATCGACGGGGCCAAGTTGCGTCGAGATATGCAATGCATCGGGAGTGAGCGGAGTGTCAGTCGAACATGAATGTGTGGGCGGAGGGTATTTATGGCACAGCCGAGCCAGAGCCGAGCCAGAACCAAGCCAAGCCAAGTCAAAGAAACGCTACTGCTGCAAAATACCATTTCAAAGCTGACGGGCTTGGAGCCACTCTTTCGGAGACGCTCCTTGATTTCGGGATCGTCGCGAAGATCAAGCTTCAGACCGACTAGAATAGAAGGCACATTGTACAGAAAGTGCGATGTCTCGGGACTCCACTGATTCATTTAGGCGATATCCCACATGGGTTTGACGATAGGGGTGGACGAGTTAAGAGGAGATGATGGAGTCGATGTCCTTGAGCTTGACTCGTTCGAATCCGAGTGGGGTGCGTCGCTCCCCGGCAGCCTGCGGTGGCCCTCGGCCTATTCCCAAATGCGGCCACGACTTACCTTCTCCAAAATGTTCCAGTACGACGAGGGCTCGGCGATAGAGTACGCCAGGAGCACCACATCGGTATCAGGATAGCTCAAGGGCCGCAAGCGGTCATAGTCTTCCTGTCCGGCGGTGTCCCAGAGCGAGAGCTCAACAAGCTTCTTTCCCAATTGGATCCGCGAGATGAAGTTTTCAAAGATCGTGGGCACATACTCCTGAGATGCGGCCATGGCATGACGATAACAGGTCGATGGGCGAGAGGAAGGCGGCGCGGGAGCATGTGCGTGTATATTTGCAGGTGTATGCGGAGGTGAATGCGAAGGTGAATGCGGAGGTGAATGCGAAGGTGAATGCGGGGGGGGGGAAGTATATGCAAATATTAGTGCCAGGAAGACTGATGGTGGGCCCGATGACCCTGTGCAGATGCACCGGGGTTTGTGCGAGGAGGCTGTGTGCCGGCTATTCTCAGGTCAAGCCGTTTCATGAGACCAGGCCGCGGGATAATCGCGCGTGGGAACTGCGAATATATGCTCCGCTCACGCTCGCTCTGCCGTCGTTGGGCTCGGCATCGGTTACCTCGGGAAAGTCTTTTCCGCTCTGCACCATCAGCAGGGCCGACTTGCCGATATTTCCATCACCGACAATGACGAGCTTTCTTCTCAGTCGAGACGACGGCTCCTCGTAAAGTCGCATGTTTGGGGAGCGGACTGGGGTTTGGAGGAGCACGAGTTTGATGTGGGGTTGCAGGAGGACACTTTCAGATACGCGGGGATGTTGGCGATGCCATCTCGTGCTGCCCTCGCGTGGTCGATATCAGCGTCTCGTTCAATGGCGCCAAAACCTCCCCCCGACCGACCAGGTGGGTATGCTCGACCGGGCCCACGGCGCTGCTTTTGATGGGGGGGGGAGGGAACTTGATCCTGGAGTTGGACTGTCTGTGGCGCGCGCTGGACTGGCTGTGGCGCAAATCCAGGTGACTCGCGGCGGTATCCAGCACGGTTTCTCCCGCCCATGCTTCAGCCGCTGGATCGTGGCCAGCTGCGAACGATCAAGCCAGCCCGAGCCACCCCCCCCCCAACGAGATGGGCCGCCCAAAGATCCAACGCAAGGTCGAGGTCAAGACCCAGCCCACGACGCTCTCGGAGAGGTAGGCGCGCCGGATGATCCTGCGGCTCTCGCGAACAACGCGGGCGAGGCGGGCAGACGCAGACCCCAGATCGGCTTTTAGGGGCAAGGAAACCATCGCATCGACCGCCGATGTGCGATTCCATGCATCAGGACCACGAGCGAACGAGTTGCAGTCCCAAAGCTGATCTATCGTCCCGCTCATGCCGCTTTCCCAACAGATTCAGTATCCTGGGGCAGGGCCGACAGGGCAAGGCTGCCGCGCCTCCACAGCCGAAAGGACGGTCGGTCGCCTCTGCGGCTGCACCTGCCACGGCGATAAAGAGCCGTCTTGGTCCTGCGCCGGTCCTCTCCCGACTCGGCTCCATGAAAGGGGCCACGGTTGGAGATGATATCAACAAGCGCCTGGGCACGGTTCGCCGTGACGGCGCCATCACCAAGAAAACTCAGAGCCCTGCCAAGAAGACCCAGTCCAAGGCGGCATCGGGTACCGCAAAGCCCGGCAAGGCCTCCAAGTTGGCGAAATCTAGAAAGCCAGCCGCTGCAGCTACGCAGCGGGGCCTCAAGAACCAGAAGCGAGGCAAGGGCAGCGCTCGCCCTGGCACCAAGGATACCGCCAAGACCTCGGATGCGCTGGACAAGCAGCTGGACAGCTACATGATGAGGAACACCGATTACGCACAAAAGAAGCTGGACAATGACTTGGATTCGTATATGGCAGCCAAGGAGCCCTCAGGCGATATGAATGTGGAGTAATCTTACGCAGGAATATACGCTGGATTCCGTCCCACGGCTCTCCCTTCGCTCATCCAGCTCGGATCTCCGGATCCTTGGGTCTCAACCAATGCTTGTCTCAACTGGTCCTGAGGGTGCCGATCCTGGACAATCCAAATGCCCGAGCAGGCCGATGGCTGAAGCGATTGTTCGGCAGTGCAAGTCCAGCTGCCCCCCGCTACCAATGCGGCTCAGCGCGGGTTTCTTGACATCCGGAGCCGATGGAGGAGACTGCGGCGTGGCACGACCATCAGCCTGCTGGCTCTGGACTGAAGAGCCGAACGAAAGAGCTGGGAGGACGATGGTAATGCAGCTGATTACCGAGGGTCGAGCGCCACATTGGCGCTGCATGGGTGATGATTGATATGTACATCTCCAAAACCATGAGAAATGCTGGAGGCGGCTCCGTTGGGAATCCGCGCGATATGCTATAGCAGAAACCATGCTTCAGATCCGTCACCAAGGCGGAAATTGGTCGTCGTAGATCGACTGCTAGGATCACTGAATCAAACAAAAGATCACTGGAAAGTAGAAGGCGGCGACTCTGTGAGCGATATTGGCAGCGGGGGGTTGCGGATGTGAAAACGTATCCAGCACAGCGGCGAGGTATCGCGCACTCGCACGGTGCTTACCAGATCGTCCACAGATCCGATGATGTCGACGATGGATTTCTTGCCAGCAGCCCTGCTGGCCGAATTGGTCATGGTGGCTTCGACAGTGGGCTTGTGGAATATTGCGTGGACAAGAATCACTGGACCGCATGAGGTCGGAGCGTCAGCCAGAATGCGATGGTTGATGCAAAGGGTCGGCGCGACTGTGAAAGGGAGGCAACATCGACGCCCACGGATGCCTGGCTTGCGGCCTTGCCTCGCATTGCGGCCCCGCATAAAGAACCAATCGAGTACTATTTACCTATAGACGATATCAGGAAGCCGTAGAGGCACGCCATGCCTGAGGTAGCGTAAAAGAGGAGCCCTCCGGCTGGTGGAGGAGCATTCTCGGTCAGCCGTGTGTTTCCACGCTGCCATATCCAGTCCCGCACTGCACCTGGCATCGGATTGCAAGCCCACCCATGTTGATGAGCTTGACGGCCTTTTCCTTGCTCAGATGGATATCCGACGTAATCTGGATCGATGATTTCCAAGTCAATCGTGATGGCGGCGAAACCCCGGGCTGATGGCAAGGAAGCAGCGATGCGATGGAGTAGCAAAGCCGAGCAGAGAAAACTCGTCCACTTACCTGGACCGGCGTCGTAATAGTCTTCCGGGCAACCTTGACGCCGCCCAGCCACAGTATGCCAAGGATCAAAATGGAGCTGTAGATGTAACTGCGATGCGGACCAAAGCAACTCCGGCTGATGAGAATCGCGAGGCTTGTGCCATGCAGAGCATCAAATGCCGCATACCAATACAAAGCATTGCAATGCACAATGCAAAATGCACAGTGCAGAATATCAAGTGCAGTGCATGGAATCCGGTCAGGCAGGTCCTGTGGCAGCCATCTGCGGGGACAATGCCGCGGCATCTTGGCCAACCAACCGCCAGCCAGACTGGTGGCCAATCTTCCTGCTCCCGACCCTTGCTGCTTCGGCAGCGGGGGTCATGTTGCTCGGGTATTGCCCAACCCGGACGGAGAGGATCGAGTACAGGGAGGCCACCAGGAGAGCGGGTGCCATCGACTTACCATGCCATCAGAAACACACAGACCATGATGATGCCATAGTTGCCCTGGTAGTACTCCAGGTTGATTGCGATTCGCTGCCAGAGGCGGGTCAGACCCTTGGAAACCTGGCCCTTCTGCATCATCCGCAGGCCCAGGGGAAGCGTCACTCGGGTACGCTCAAAAAACTCTCGCCATGGGCGGGTGGTATGCGGGATGGACTTGACGATGGTGATAACGTCACGCATCAGCGACTGGACCTGGCCCTGCTGGATTGCGATTTCAGCCCCGGCCGTCAGAGCCTCCTCGGCCAGGAATTGCAGGTTGTTGGCGGCTTCTTCGACCTTGTCTGCCTCGTCCAGGGTGACGGCAGAGTCCAAGGCGAGGAATCGCCTGGCACGGCGTGAGAAGAGACGCATTGGATATGGAGGGAAGTGGCGAATGGGGAGGGAGATGCTGGCTGAGGGAAAGTGGGTATGAGGGTGGCACCGCACTGCACCGCACAAGGGGGCCAGGCAAAATACGGTGGGGCCAGGGGGAACTGCGGCGCGGGAGGGGGAGACCCTTCGGATGCCAAGACAGAGGGGCACCCAGGACGCTGCTCATTGGACAGCCCCAACGGCGCAAGCCCCAAACGATGCCGCTCTGTTTCGAAGCTCTATCGCCACTGCGTCCTGTGCTGATTGACCGATATCGTATCTGGTCTGGATCATCTGCTCTGGCCTCACCCGCACTTGACCCGCCCAAGCAGAAACCACGCTGCAGCGGCGTGGCTGGGCAGAGAAGAGGCAGTGCACCGGACACGAGCTGTGTCGATCCGCGGGGGTTGCAGAAGCAGCAGAAGCAGCAGAAGCAGCAGAAGCAGCAGAAGCAGCAGCAGCAGAATCTCAAGCTGCTTTATTGCTGCAAGCAATATCGACCACACTAATGCACCACAGCGATGAACGGCGCAGGGGTGCTCAGAGGAGGTCGTCGATCTCGAATGCCTGGAAGCGCAGCGGCTATGTGGCAGCTGCTGCGCATGAATGGCAAGCCTTTGTGTATTGATTAATAGGAAGTTGGAGTCAAACAGATTCAATCTATATGACTCGAAAAACTTCTGTCGGCGAAAGAGGGATGCACGCGCAGGGCGGTATTTATAGGGTTGGCTGCGGCAACAGGCGCCCGCGGGCCAATCGGAGAATTGATCACGCCGCCAAGCCACACGCGGCCTTTGGGCTCGATCCAGGATGCATCCTGGGTCCAGCCCGGATCGAGCCCGGATCCAGCCGGAGGCACCAGAGCCGGCCCCCTGGTTTTGCGGCCCCATGCGATCGATCCCGGATACTCGCCCTCTCTCGCTGGCGGAATAATGACCGACGAAACCGCCTGGTGCGCATACAAGTTCCTTGCTCCGGGCGAGGCTATCGTGCCCGGACACACGGCCCTGATTGTCTTGAACCAGCCAGTGTGTCGGCGCTCGGTGCTGGAGTCTGTTTGGCGCAACGGTAAAGAGGACTGCTTTGCTCGATCGCATGCTGAGCGGGTTCGGCCTTGGTTCAGGGGCACAGACAGGCAGCCCCGAAGGATCGCAAGCCATCCCCTCCGCAGCGCAGATGTGCCATATCGAAAGGCACGGACGCAGCGCAGGGATGATTGATAAGAGAACACGGAGAAGTGAAAGACCGAGGACAAGAGCAAAGGAGTGGCATTGGAGCGGCTCGCTGGGTGCTGACCATGTTTGTCTCTTGGATTTCTCAACTTCATTTCACGCACATACGGATGCCCAACATCGGATAGCGTCGCTGAGGATATGCGCCGACGGAGGAGCCAATCGACTCTTTGATGCCTTCGAGGACAACGTGCAGCGAGCCCTGTAAGACCCGTGCGGATATGGTGTCGGAGACGGCAACAGTGTCTACCTCACAACCCGACGCTCTTTGGATCTCTCCAGTCCAATGCCTCGCCCTGGGTTCCTGCTATTCACTCCTGCACCATTGCACAATCTCGGACCAACCAATCGATGCGCAGATTCATCCCAGACTACATCCGCGGAGATCTCGACTCGATTCGGCCCGAGGTCCGGGTCTGGTACGAGCAACAGGCGAGTTCATCTGTGATGCAGAGTCTTGGCGACACTCGAGTCTGCTCGCGTTCCAGCCCTCGATGCTGAACAGGCTTCATATTGATCCAGGGCGTCAGCGTTGGGGTTGTCGAGGATCAGTACTCCACCGACTTTCAGAAATGCCTGCATCTTCTGGGGCAGGTCGAGTCCGAGCGTGGAATCAAGGTTTGTGTGCGATGCTATGGAGGCGACGGATCTGCGTTGGACGATAGGATGGCCGTCCTGTCGCACCATCGTTCCGCTTCTGGTTGCTGGGCTGACTCTGGATTGCTCAGTTCGACAGGGTGCTCGTGCTCGGAGGAATCGGCGGCCGATTCGACCAGACAATGCACAACATCCATGTCCTCCATCTCCTGGGGCGGTCGCGAGTGCTCTACATGATCAGCAACGAGTCGGTCTCGTTCTTGCTGATGCCGGTAACGCCTTGCACTGGGTCGATTCCATCCTTTTCACCACGCTTGCGGGCCAGGGTGGTGGGTGGGTGGTGGTGGTGCATACGAGGGAGACTGGTGGCAATAACGCCGTTCTGTCTGTGTCGGCCGATAGGGGAAGCATCGCATCGAATGCTCCAAGGCCATCGAAGGTCCGACCTGTGGAATCCTCCCCATCGGCACCGCTGTCGCCAATGTGATTACGCACGGGCTCAAGTGGGATCTCGACGAAACCATGCCGTCGTCGTTTAGCCAGCTCGTGAGCACCTCGAACCAGTTCCCGGACGACTCTGGCCCGCAGCCACAGATTCATGTCGAGACCGACGCTCCTGTTGTGTGGACAGTCGAAGTGCATCTGTACTAGCGAGCACGGCCATGTTTCGGTGGGATCTCGCATCCGCACCGCATGGTCGCTTCGTCCGCACAATACAAGCCGCAATGCAATCGACGGCTGTATCGCCTGCACACAAACGGACGGCATTGGCAAGCCCACGCTGGCTCAGAGAGCAGTTGAGCGCACTTTGGTATTGGCTAGCTGCACTTCATGACTTTGTTTCACGACACAGTTTCGTTTGCATCCCCATGCGCTCCATCGCTCGAATCCTCTCGTGCGATCTCGCTTGCGGATTCAGACTCGGATTCGCTTGTGTCGTCACTTGAATAGTCCGTTTGGCCAGCATCGTGGGCCGCAGAACCCGAATCGCTGTCCAGGGGACCCGCTTGAAGCCTGCGAGCCTCCTCCAGGATCGCGATAATGCTTTCGTTTTTGCGACTCTTTGCCAGCGCCAGCGCTTCTCCGCCAACTTGGTCGATTCGCACACCTCGGCTGATCAAGCGGCGGATCATGTCCTCATCGGACTCTTCGACAGCCGAGACAAGGAGCGAACCGTCGTCGGTGCCAAGGTTGAAGGGATTCGGCGAGTTCAAGGTGAGGAGATCCAGCATGAACAGGTCTCGGTTCCGGATCGCGGCCTTGACGGCTTGCCGACCGACGTAGCCATCGAGGGACATGGAGCACTTTTTGATCAGGAACAGGACGACCTGGACCCGCTTTTGGGCAACCGCGGTGATGAGGGCATCGTGGGCGTACATCGTATTGAAGCTGGCGCCGTCCCTTCGCAGCTGATCCAAGGCCCTGATATTGGAGGCTTGGGCAAGCCGCACCATGTGGCGGCGATTCAGCGATGCTTCGTCCTGGCCTTCCAGCGCGACGGCTTCTGTCGTCGTCTCGGGTGGGTTCGGGCCCGCGGTTGTCGTCAGCGTGGAGTCAGGCTCTCGCTCGGATTCGTCGGCATGCTCATCCTCGGCATTTGCGCTGGCAAAACTTGGAGGCGGGACTGCATGGTCAGGCATATTGGCAACTAGAAGCTCGATAATGCCCGTGCGTCCGTATTTCTTGGCAAAGGTGATGGCCTCGGCGCCATACCTGAGGAGACTGACGCCGGCGGTCAGAAAGTATATGACGATATCTTCGTATCCTTTGACGATGGCGTCGATCATGGCCTCGGCTCCATCCCGTCCACGAACATCGACGCCGAGACGGACGAGGACCTCGATCGTGTGAATGTCGCGCTTCTCGGCTGCTGTTCGGAGGCAGTACCGCCCGTCTTTGCGAGGGTCGAACCCGGTTCCGACAACGATCGGGGCGTCCGGGATCTGGATATAGGCCCCTGTCAGGATGTTGAGGTAGTAGCCGCGGTCGTTGAGGTACTTTACAATTTCGACAAGCCCGTCGCGGGTGGCAGTCCTCAGCAGAGCTTCGAAGCGCAAATCGTCCACGGGGGACTCGAACGAAACCAGCAGCTCCTGGAAGAGCTCGTCTTGCTTGCTGACGAGGGCCTCCGAGAGGGCCAGAATACCGACTTCGGCGACTGGGTAGCCCATCAGGATGAGCCATCGCACGCTCTCCAGGTCGCAGTCGGCAACGGCATTCAGGAGAAGCCCGCCATTGTCCCGCTGCAGGTTGTAGCGGCCCTCGGAGATCAGCAGGTGGAACATGTCAAAGTCTCTCGTGCGGAGGGCGACTTGGACGGCGGCCTGGCCAACGTAGTGAACCAGGTCGCAGAGCGGCAGGAGATACAGGGCAACGTCCCGATGGCCAGCCTCCAGGGCCTTGACGAGCGCTTCGCCGCCGTGCAGACCGTTGGGTCGGAAGCCCTCGTCGACCAGCGTCGCTATGGTTTCGAAAGCCCCCTGCGAGGCCGCATTGACGAGGCACCGGCCTCCATGTCGATACAGAGGCGCACCTTTGTGGATGAGCAATCGGACGAGCGGTGGCGATGTGTTTTGGGTGCGGTTGACGATTTCAAAGGCCTCGTTGGCGTTGAAGAGCTCGTTGTCGGCGGCTTTGAGGATGCTGATGGCCAGCCAGCTCATCCGGTTTTCCAGCGAAAGGGTCAGCAGCTCGGAAGGCGGGGTGGGCAGGCGCTGGAACAGCAGCGGCTCGAGCGAAGCCAGGGCATCCAGCTGGCCGAACTGGCTCTTCTCCAGCAACAGCGGTCCGTTGTCCAGCGCCCGGCGGATGTGTCTGCAACTTCGGGCGAGCTCCCTCAGTTGGGCAGGAGTCAGGTATCTGGCGATTTCGACCAGAACCTCGCTGGGAATTCGGTATATGTGCATTGCGTCCATCGAAGCCAGATGTGAAGGCTGGCCGACCAGTGCCGGGGGGGGGGAGGGACCGGCGAAGAGCCAGGGGAAGCCGAGACGGAACCACATCCGTTCGGGCGCCAGCAGACTCATCCGTTTCGGGCGACCACGAACCATGAACGTGCTCACCACGAACCAGGCCGATCGCACAGCCAGCAGCGGGTGTCCCAGAGCCGCCACCACACCGCAGCCGCGGGACGCTCTTCCTCGCCGAGCGACAGAATCTTGTGAGCGAAGCGGATTCATGCTGGCACAGGCTGGTCCATGCGGTAGATTATCGGCCAAACGGTCGGCCAGGGCAGCCGCGAGGTGCTACCGCAGTATTGTGCGAACGCAAGTGATATACAGACGCACCAGCAGTGCAAGCTCCCGACCGGCGGTGGCGGCTGGCGAATCCAGTGGCCCTTGGGATCTGCACATCGGCCAGGGGTGTCAATAACAGGCATCGATCGGCTGGCACGGCACTCTGCGTTGCATACCCGAGCTACTCACTCATCGGGAAGTTGGGCCATTCCGACAGCACCAGCGCCTCGCAAATGCTCGATCCGAGAGCGGATCAGGCTGAGCTGGCGCAGAAACGGCAGACAGCGGCTCCGGAATCGATCGATGTGATTGTGGTGTCGACGGAGCAGGAACGATGCCAGTGCCTGGCTTTGGACACAGTTTCGACCGACGGTTGGTGGTCTTGCCATCGACATCGAGGCATCCGGGTAGTTGCTGCGTGGATCACTCACGCGGTAATCGGCTGCTTGCCGAAACCACCGGGATTCCATCCCATCCGAGCCTAGGACGCCCCTTTCTGCAGCAAGAAGCTGCTTTGATGCAACCATTTCTGGGATTGTTTCAACCAGGGCTGCAGCAAACTCGAGAATCTGTGAAATGGAAGCCACAAGGACGATAAGAATGCAGCGACGCAGCCTACGGCCACCAGGCTCGGAATCGCAAGGTGGCAGGATGAAAGGGAATAGAGAGGCTGCCTCGGGTGCTTGTGCTGTACCTGATGCGCTTTGTCGACATCGGGACCAGAGTCATCGGTCCGATACACCGATGTCAGCAACTGACGGTGGCGATGGTGGTGGTGTTAGAGGCAGTTGCCATGCTGTAGAATTGTCCATCGACGAGGGCATCATCATCGTGCTGATTGTGTTTGATCATCATGCGCATCGGCAATCCGCCGGCTTACCCTCAGCTGCCATGCTTCGAAGCGCTCTTGCGGCCTCAAACCACACAGACTGTTGCGGGCCAGAATCACATTCCCAGGATCCGACACATAGTCCATTCGGGATTTGTGCAGCTGAAACAGCACCACCGGATGTCGTCGCGGCGGAATCTTCTGCGCATTCGGAGTCGGTGTCTTTGCTGCCAACGGATTCGATTGTCTCGAGCGAATGACGCTTGCGTTGAGTGGATATCGCATCGCTGATGCACGGCCGATCTCAGGCGACCCCGAATCGTCTCCGGGAAGATGGCGCTGCGAGGGAGGCCCGGGGCGCTTCATCCTCTGACCCGACATTTTGAGCTTAACCGAGATCGGGGTCTGCAGTCGATTTCCAGTGCCGGACAGAGGACCTTCTGACTGGCTCTGTGCACCGATGCGTCCCAAGGCACTGGGCCCGGGTTCGGATATGCTCTCGCCCAGGTCGTCGCAGCGCATACGATCTGGATCATCCACATCCATACTGTCTCCATCTCGCCGCTGAGGCGTCTCGGCATCGCTTGGTTGCGCTGGGACAGCACGCTGGCTTTTCCGTTGTCCGCCTCGGGCTCCTCGTCGGCATCGCCGCAAGCGGGGGGTTCCAGCCCCAACGCCGGGCTTGGTATCAAGATGGGTTTTGTGAAGATGGCTTCTAAGATGGCACGCAGAGGTCAGGTAGCTCCGATGCACCCGGGCGAGGTACTCGGCCGAATTCAGATGGAGCTGGATGTCATACTAAACGGTTGCAATCCGGATCAAGCGTCAGAGGAGCTGCACCAGCCCTTCGTTGTCGATAACAGCAGCGCAGATCACCAAGCTAAGATGCGATCGCGCAAGCACGAGTCGTCACTGATGGGATAGAGTCTTACAGTTCGGGTCTGGTTGGCAATCTGCAGAGCAGCAGTGGAAGCGAAGCCACATGCAGCACATTCCACATCCTGAGCAGGGAGGAGCGCAAGACAGCCTGGGCATGGATAGAGGCCGTGGCGGCAGGCAGGGCTGCAGTCGACGAACATGCCAATGCACAATGTCAGCGTCGAGGCGAAAAGATCGATGGTGCTGCCGACGACAGGAGCTCAGCGGGATCAGCACCCACCATCGCAGCGAGAGGAAGACACTGGCGCCGCTTTGAGCCGGGGAGAACTGGACGACCCTCTCATCAAGCAGAGCGGCAAATGCAAGCTCGTGGTGCTGGCAGGCCGGATGCGGACATAGAAGCCGGACCATGTCGTCGCAGCGAGGGGCAGCGATGCAGATCAAGAGGAAACCCGGCAGTGGGCGATGCGGAGTCCAAGAAAGCCTCGCCGTTACAGCGTATCCACTAAAAAACGGGACACCCAGGGTTTTGACCATTGATCAATATTTTGTTACCCAATGCTATCGCGCGCTGGCCATGACCATTCGCCACACAACCACTCTCCAGAGGAAAGTTTCACTCTCACTCTGCCACACTGCCATCCAGCGAGCAGGTCTCTCTCACAAGAGGGCAACACACCTCTACAAGTTCAAGCGACTGGATGAGCGAGTGGCACAGTTCAGGGACCAGGCCCGCTCCATTGACCCACGACGATTAGTCTTTGTCGACGAGACAGGGATCAGGAGATCCATTTTCCCTCTCTACGGATACTCACCGAAGGGTGCTCCGCTTCGCCAGCGCAATCACATGAAACACAAGTCTGTCTCGGCTGCATTTGCCATCAACCACTCTGGTGTGCTGCATCGCATGTACATCCCCACATCATTCAAGACACACTCGATGGTCGAGTTCTTTGAGCGAGCGACGTTCCCAGACGACTCTGTGATTGTGATGGACAATGTCAGCATGCACAAGACACGGGCTGTCCTGGACTGCATCGAGCGCCGAGGATGGTCAGTGATCTTCACCCCACCTGCTTCACCCGACTTCAATCCCATCGAAAACTTCTTTGGGGTTGAGTTCCTCCAATTTGGAGTTGAGCTCCCCAATCACGCCGCCATTTTCACGCTCAAATCCCTGGCTTGAACCTCTCGGCGATTTTTGAACAGGGTCGCTTCCCAACCAGCCCGCAACGACGGGCTCCTGCTCTCGGGTATAAATGCCACACCTTCGTCCTGCTGCTTTCTTCCCTCATCTCGCCTTGATCTGATCATCGCGCTATTGTACGATAAAAAAAGTCTCTGCTCTGACCAGTACCACTGGCAGACATCCAGCATCCTCTGCCCCCATGCCTCCGAAGCGCAAGGGTACCGGTGATTGCCAGCCTCGACCACCCAGGCCCAAGAAAGCCAAGTCACAGTCGGAGCCTGTCTCTGGTTCGTATTCTGATCCCACGCATGCTTGGTCGTCTGTTGCTCCGTCGCTCACCACCACTGCTTCTGCAGATCCAATGGATGTCGATCCCACCGAGCCTGGTCCATCTACTTCCTCGAGTACCGGCAAGCGATGTCGCCAGTGCGATGGCACCGATCACGAACGCTGCAACACCAGCAAATGTCCCAAATACCGGCCCCTCAAGAGTTCTGTCGTCCCACTCGTGGATGGAAGGTCATCCGCCCCTCAGTTCAGCTGCTTCAAGCAGACGATGGATGGCTGTTGTCTCAATCCCGCTCTCCGCGACAAGATCCAGGCCACCGTCGAGGCCATGACCCAGATCCAGTTCGAGGCATCCAGGCTGCTCAACCTACATATCCTCCGGTGCATCGAGCAGGATATTCCCGTCCCCGTCATCTCCAAGTCCACCCCTGCTTTCGTTCGCCAATGCTTCACGATCGTCCAGGCTGGTGCTCTCTTGACAGCCAGGGACATTGAGAAGTACGAGCAGAAGCTGATCGATTCCTTCGGCATCTACCAGTCCACTCGGCACGCAGACATGCCTCCGGCCCCTCGTCTGCCTGATGGTGCCCGCAGTCAGCTTCTCACACTGGCTGTCAATGCCTATGCCACCAACTGCACCACCCACCTCAACCTGGCCTACTGGCGACTCCTTCGCCGCTTCTGCGCTGCCGTCTTCCCAGCCAACAAGCATAAGCACGAAGCCATCGAGGCCTGTCTCGAGCTCTTCGAGAAACCGGACTCGACTCCACCCAAGGCCGATCTCGAGTTCCTCTATCCAGACTTTGGCCACATCCTGGACGAGTTTCGGTACAGCAACGACCAGGACCGCTTCCGGGCCCTCCATCGCCTCTCACACCATGTGGGGATCCTTGCCCGGGACAAGATGGTCGACAATGTCCACAAGTGGATCGACTGTGACATGCCCGCCCTCCGAGTCACCGAGCTGCAGCGCCAGGCCAAGCTGGACAAGCTTACTGCCCAAGGCATTCTCTCCGACGACAAGAGGTTCACCACGGCCAAGTCTGAGCTCGGCACCACCAAGTCCAAGATCAACAAGCTGGCATCCAGGATCAACTGGGCACTGAAGCAGCTCGCTCTTGACACTCCTCCGGCCGTGTGCACGATGGTCCTTCTGTGCACCACCAAGGCCAAGTATGTCAAGATCGACACCGTCGCACTCTGGGAGCTCCTGGGTCCAAAGAAGCGCATTGGCCTCACCTGGGACATGCTCAAGGAAGAAGGTGATGACGGTGTCAACAACCAGGATCGTCTCTGGCGCAGTTGCTTCAAGCTGCGTAGTTCCCTCTTCCAAGAGCGGGACGTGAACAAGAAGCTGTTCAACTACGAGATCAGCACCGATGGCATTGGATGCACCATCGGTCTCGTCAAGTTTGTGCGTCGAACCGATCGCACCGAGACCATCGAGCCTCCTCCGACTGCCGAGCAGCGTATCCAGACCCACATCGGCGACCCAGACCCCGATCGCACCACTTGGATTGGCATCGATCCTGGAGTCGGCTCCATCTTCACGGCGGTCATCCAAGCACCGGGCCACCAAGACGAGGTGGTCTCATTCTCGAATGGCCACTACCAGCACATGTGTGGCCATACGTCCAACACCAAGTGGCACAACACCATGAAGTATCGACTCAGCATCGAGACCTGGATGTCGACCACCCCCTCGCCCAAGGTGCAGTCCTCGGAGGCCTTCAAGGTCCATCTCGCCCATGTCCTGCAACCGGAGCTGCGAGTGCAGCTCGACTTCCACCTTGGCAAGAAGGCTCGTCACCATCGCTTCACGGGCCACAAGAGACGCCAAGTGGCCGTCGACAGGATGTGCAAGGCCGTCCTGAAGCACGCCCCGATACGGACCGATGTGGTGATCGCCTTTGGCAATGCGTCATGGCGACAGGGCAAGGGCTATGCATCCAGCCCTCGGAGGCAGCGGTTTGCTCGGTACTTTGAGCAGTTCGAGCACCACCGACGCCGTCCCAATCACCCTCACGGAAGTGTCAAGGTGGCCTCGACGAACGAGTTCAACACCTCGCAAGTGTGCTCCAAGTGCCTGGAGCCAGTTCGGTTGGAAGGACTCGATGCGCCCAGTGTTGCGAATTCCCACTTTGTCAGGAGCTGCAAGAATCCCAGCTGCCGGACAGTGTGGAATCGCGACGTCAATGCGGCGCGCAACATGATCACAGTATGCAGGTCGATTGTGGAGATCGGAGAGCGACCGGCGGTCTTCACTCGGAGGCTGCCAAAGTGATCTGTTTTATTTCTTGTGGCTTTGCTTGACGCAAGCACAGCACATACTACTGTTCATGGAAACGGCTATATTGTCCCGTTTTTTTTCTGAATAAAGTGTATGGGAAATGGTCGCTGGCAGCATCTCGTCCTATCGGCCGGATAGAAGCATATCCCAGTATTTCGCCACGGGCAGCTTGCCGATCGATACCGACGTCTGCTCTGCGAGAACCTGCCTTCGCAGACCCACCACAGGCTGCAGTCAATCACCAAGACAATCGGCCTTGGCTGATTGGTCTTGGAGCGCATTCTCGCAGCGATACAGCAGCTCATCTGCGTGGCCAGATATTTTGGGGCCACTGATGATGTGAAAGGCTTCAGGCACATCGCCGCAGAACCACAACCAGCAAGCGGCCTCTGTTCATCGCATCTACAGCCCGCTCGCTTCCAAGCAAGGAACCCCGATACATTCCCGAGCCCAGGCTTGGACGTCGCCAGCGATGCCAAACGAAAGGAGCTATGCCCACATCCACGAGTCTCTGAAGCACTGCAACAACCTCGCGGGGTTTCTCAAGAAGCGGCAACAAATCGAGTTTGCCTATGCCAGCGAGCTGTTCGAGCTGTGTCAGAGCTTCAACCGATCCTTTTTTGAGTCTAGCTCCCGGCCTCCAACGGTTGTGCGGCCGCCTTCGATCCTGCACGCCGATCCAAAGAACAGCTCGGATCTACTGGATGCCATGGCGCCGGACACTACGCTGCTGCGACAGTAGGCGTTCGTTCACTGCCGATTTGCTGCCGACACCGACGTTGTTGCGTGGTGTGCAGAGTGATGAGCGAGCCCAACGCTTCTTCAGAATGGCTGCTATCGTCGCACATCTTTGGCCATGTCCTTGCGAATGTCGACTCACAACAATGCCTCGTCATCCAGATCGGTGTGGAAGGCTGTGGTTGAGGCCATGGAGCATATGACCCGAATGTCGGAAAGCCATGTCGGTACCCCAGTGCATTCACCAATGATGATGCTATCCGGCTGTTGCTCTGTCCTGCCTGGTTTCGAGCATGGGCACGATAGTCCCTTGCTCTTGTTCATGGCTTCTGACGCCATCGACAACTGCCTGTCACTTTCGGCATGTCTCTTCGTTCGTACCGGCGCTCCGCTACAGAAAGCGCTCGGAATCAGCATCCAGCAGAACCTCATCGACCCCTTCCAAATCAAGATAAAGGATATGGAAGAACAGATCCGAGTTGTGAGTACGGCCTTGCGATTCTTCTGAAGACGCTAAACAGAGAGTGGTCGTGTGAGCAGGTCCGCCCCAGAGGGCAGTTCGCGCATTGCTCGCCGCTCATGAACTGCATGCTCAGCATCAAGAAGAGTCCGTCAAGCTCACAAAGAGACTGCAGGACGTTTTCAGTATTGTTCAGAAGGTGGGTTTCGGCTCAGTGCTCTATATCCGTGCCTTGGGCGGCAGGGAGAGAGGGACGATGGCCTGCACTTTGATCTGAACCCCTGCCTGATGGTCCCAGGCTCAACACGACTATGACGAGCTCAAGTGCCTCGCTGATGAAGCGAGAGACAATCTCTCCAAGGCCCAGCTCAATTCAAGCACCAAGAAGAAGGACCTCGAAAAGGTGCAAGTCGGAACGCGATAAACTGTGGCCAGTTCCCCAGCCCTTTGGCCAATCGCTAACACAGCCGCCCACTCCCCAGCTCTCGCTAAAGTATCGCCAGGCGGAAGAAAAGGCGTCCCAGGCACTAGAGAACTTCAACAAGTGTCAGGCTGCCTGCAATTCTGCGCAAGAGGACCACTACAATCGACTGCTGCCGTCCTTGAATGGCGAAATCCGTAAAGGGGAAGAGGATCGCATGACGGCGATTCGCAAGCTCCTTCTTGACCTCAACTTCCTCGATAAGATTCAGTCCGATGCCTGCATGACGACCATCGAGGGACTGAGTGACCGGCTGTCCACAGTCGATGTCGACAAGGATGTTAAGCAGTTTGTCGAGTCCTGTGTAGGTGACTCGGGATCGGCTATGAAAGAGCAGCATATTCGAGTGGCCTGGAGCTAAAGCTGGCTCCTACTACCCCCGCCACAACAGCTGGCCGATGGGAAGGACTCACTCAACATGGGCGTGCGGAACTTGGTCAATCCTCTCAAGGCCGGGCGCGTGTTTGTCAAGAAAGGTAATGATGCATCGAGGCGGCTCGGATTCGGGCTGATCTTGCAGCTCGACACCCGATCGAGCAGAGCTACGGCCTCTATGTTCTCCAACATAGCTGCATCCGGGAGCTATTGGCGCTCTCGGATATCATCCGGACTGCGCCTTTCGATGCTGACAGATTCGGGCTTCTCCAGGCGATCATACCCCCGGCTGGGTTCCTAGCTACCTTGTGCTTCTGGAGAAAGAGAAAAGGCTATACTGCTTTGATCGAGTGGATGTAAGGAGGATTCGTCACCAAAGACGACAGCAGCAGCATTGGCGATGTGCGGGGCGCCTGTGCTCTCCGGAATGCAAACTACACTCCGTCCTCTGCACTCCACTGTTGCCACTCTGGAGCCGTCTCAGATAATCATCTTACAAGCTATGTATAGTCAAAGAGTGCTGGCCATACACCGCACCTCATTCGTGCACATCACATACATGATGCAACGATAACTCATCATCTGCGTGTGCATTCCATCCACAGTCCGAACGACCCCGCGAAATCGTTTCCACTTCGAAGCTGAAGATTTATTCTGTCGATGACAGCTACTTTGGTCGGGCCAATTGCTTTCAAATCATCATCGACGATATTTCTCCGAGCGCATTATCGGACAAATCGGAATCCGCGCCCGGATCATCACCGGCCGCAACTGTGGCCAGACAAACGTACAACATCATCAGCGAGTCCCAAAACGACAAGCTAGAGTGGATAACGCACCTGCGTCGGCTCTCATACTGCTGCCCTCGATGCGCACAGGTTTATGATCAAACCGATCCCGATATCGATCCAAAGGGGGGCTATGCTATGCATTCGGCGGATGGCACAACCACCCCGGTGGCGTCGCACAGTCGTCAAGCCTCAATGAGCGAAGGATCCGGCGATCCGCAGTCGGCCCCGGTAGCGACCGCCAAGGCGCTCACGGGCTATGCAAGAAGCCTTCAGCTGTGGATCACTGAGGCGAAGGACATGGGAGGAGCGCAAAAGTACGCCCCGTATTGTGTGGTTCTTTTGAACGACATAAAGCAAGCTCGGACGACCACAAAACATGGCGACAGTCCGTTCTGGGGAGAAGACTTTCGGTTCAGGTGAGAAGGACGACCGAATCGCAGCGGTCAGAGCCTCGCATTGCATCCATTTTTCAAACAAACGGCGGCGACAACGTTTTCTATTCGCTGTTTCGCTCTTGCTTGTCCTGTGCGGTACTGTTGACAGCTCATAAAGCGCGAGGTAACCCGATCTATCGATCCAACCAAATGTCTGCTGTACAGCGATATACCTCCGTGTCGAACACGTCTCCGGCTCCTGTTCTTTTCAAGCAGTACGAACCGAAGCCAGAAGGATACTGAAATCGGTAACAGCGCTGCTTCCCGAGTATGCCCGATGCTGACTCTGGACTAACTCCTCGAATGCTGCGTCTCCCAGGCTACATCAGTATCAATCTCTCCAACCTCAAGTCCGGCAAGCAGGTCGAAAGCTGGTACCCACTAAAAGCCTTTTCCCGCCAAGCCACCGAGGGCGATGGTACGCCTCCTGCTGCAGCGTCACCCGGAATGGTGCGCGTGGCATACTTCCTGACGGTAGGTCACCATCGCGAACATCGAGATTGACCGGCAACAACTTGGTGCTGACAAAGGTTTCTACTCTCAGAATGAGAAAACACTACCGATGAATGCATACGAAGAGTTCCTCCAGATTGCAATGGAGCCCAAGCTGACGTGCATCAAGCACCTTAGCAAGCTTCTGGGCAAGGACAAGGAGGACTTTGCCAAGACAGTAAGTGTCCCTGTTGGCGTCGGAGGATACTTGTGGGATGAATCGGTGTTGGAGGAGATTCGCAGAATGAGCCGTGTCGACCGCACCAACGCAACTCGCGGTATCTATGCTTGATCGCCAGCTCGTGAGCATTCTTGTGGCGTACAATCGAGACATTGAAGGAATTCAAGAGCTCATGAGCGAGGAGATTATGGCGACAGGTAATTCGAGATCTACAAGGGCTCGTTCGCTCCAGCAGCACATGCCGTATCGCCCGTTCACCAACTTGTGGATCCTTGCTGTCCTGCGCTGGATTGATCATAGTCGTTGTGAGACACCCATACCCTCGTAGTGTCGGTGCACTTGTCGGCTAACACTTTCACGCGCTGCCCTTTCACCACAGCCAACTCGAACATCATCTTTCGCGGTAATTCTGTGGCCATCAAGTCACTGGATCAGTACATGAAAATGATCGGATCTGAATATTTGGAAGGAACGTTGGGCTCGCTCATCCGTGGTGTATATAACAGCAAGGACAACTGCGAGGTATGCATGTCTGACACTCGCGGCTGGCTGGTGCAAGGGCCGCAGCTTCGATCAGTCGTAGCCTCGACCAGTCGCAGCTAATCAGCTCTCACAGGTCGACCCAACCAAACTGGGCCAGCTTCGGTCCAAGAATGTCGAAGAAGTTATTCGGAAAAACTCCAAGAGACTCCTAAACCATGTCAACATCTTCTGGGTTACGATTGCCCGGTCGGCAGAGAAATGCCCGCCGTAAGGACCGCCCGACCATATGCAATTTGGCTGCACTGCCCTTCCATACCGGTCCGGCGCTGTGTCGGTTCAGTGGTCTGTGGATGCCTTGCTTACGGACTTTCCGTGTCGCATAGAGAGCTGCTCTCAATCTTTGCCCGCATCAAAGACGTCGTCTCCAAAAAGTTCCCCGAAGACCCCAATGCCATATACTCCGCAGTCAGGTGGGTATGAAAGCGTGCACGCCCATTCACCGTCACGGCTGAGCCGTCGCATGCTGATAGGGAATGCTATATCGTGGATCTATCTTAGCGGATTCATTTTCTTGAGATTTTTCTGCCCAACGATTTTGTCGGTAAGGACCGCGTCCAGCTTCGCGTGTGCAGTGTTGAAGGGGACAGCATATCCCCGGCGTTGCATTTGCCTCGTTTCGACCACCGATCTGACAGAACGTATCCACAAGCCCAAGCTTTTTGGCATCATGAGCGAACATCCCGATCCGATCACATCAAGAACTTTAACCCTGATTGCCAAGATCATTCAAAACCTCGCAAATCTCTCTGAATTTGAGGGCAAAGAGCCACATATGGGATGTGTGAGTTGACTTGAGAGATCGCCATGCCTTCAGGTCCTGATATGTCGGATCTGTGTTGCACGATACTCACGAGCTCTGTCCTTGATCGACTCGGCACGCACCTGTCACCGGCAGTTCAATCCATTCATCGTCGAGCACATCCAATCCATGAAGGCGTTCATCAACACACTTTCGGTAAGCCACACGACTAGCGCTGCAAGAATCGAGCTGCAAACCGTCGCGAACCAGCCCCGGCATTGGATATTGTGTCGATAGCGAGCTCCATGATGATTCCTGAACAAAGCTGCTGTCTCTCAGCGCGGGCCTGTTGATATCCAGCCCAGTACAAAGCCACGCATCAATCTGCGGCGCGAGACATTTTTGCTCTATCAGTACTTCAGCACGTACTCGAGCGAAATTAAAAAGATCGAGGAGCCCTTGATCGACAAGCTGCTTCCCATTGTCGAGCAGCTGGACAAGATCCAGAACCTGGCGCAGGCCGAGGAAGTCGGCAATTCCAATGCAGAAACCGACGACGAGGATCTTGTGATGGCCCCTCACCACAGCGCTCCATCGGAGGGTGCCCCGGCCCCACTTTCGGGGCACCTGATGGAGGAATCCGTCTCAAGCAAGAGCCCGGCCCAATGGGGCAAAAAGGTCCTGCGCAGCATGAGCAGCACCAACAACTCCCAGAAAGAGCATCTACTTGCGGATGAGGTTGGGTCGTATCAGCGCCCGAGCGCACTCGGAAACGAGAGTGCCAGCGCAGCACAAGGCGAGGTGCTGTCCAGCAGTCTCCTGTCGTCAAGCGACCTCATGGGTGTTCCAAAACGCACGGACACGACCGAAAAGCATGCAAGAACCTCCAAGGCGCTCCTCAATCGAGACAAAAGTCGGTCCATCCCCGTCAACTCGCCGCCGACCAGCGGCGAGTCGTACCTGCCTCACAATCCCTCGAAGCTTGGCTCGTTTGATTCTCTGAACCACGAGCCCGACTCTCCCAGCAAATCAGAAGAGTCCAAGACCAAGCGGTTCTTCAAGGCCCTCATGGGAAAGAAATCCAAGGACAAGCACGATGCCGATGCGGGCGGTGGATACCAGCGTAAGCTCTCCGAGGATTCGACAGGAGGCTCGACAGGAGGCTCGATGGGAGGCTCGATGGCAGGCTCGTCTTCGATTATCAAGCTTGCCGAAGACGACATTCCTGAAAGCTCGATCCAGGGCTCGGTCCAAAGTCTCAACATCGACAAGCGAGCGTCGATGGACTCGCTGGAAGAGGAGCTCAAGCAGCAGAAACGAGGCAGCCGGTTCCACTTTGGCAGCGGCAATCTGCGACAGCTGGGAAGAGCAAAGTCATCGTCGGACACGCCTCAGTCCAAGCTTCCGAGTCGGCGCCGCGACTCTGACATCATTTCGAGCGACAATCCCGACGAAAACAGCGGAAGCTTCCTGCAGATCGGGCACCACGAGCCGCTCAAGTCGGACGATGGCTCGGTTGGCAAGCACCGGTCCCGGCAAAGGAGGTTCAAGGGCCCGCTGCAGGCAGTCCACGGCGAAAGCATGATTCAGGGCGGAACGACGCCCGATCCCATGTCGTTCCTGGGCGGTCTCAACGACTAGAGTCGGATTGAATACAGCCAACAGAGCAAATAGATTGACCAGTGATGATGACCAGCCTATGGCGCCGGTCTGGACATCTAAACCGAGCGACCATATATTCAAGAGCGCACTCCCCCGAACTGGCGAGCTGATTTTGCAGTGCCATCGACTACCTCATATATTTTTGTCTTTGGATTCTACAGAGTAATTAGTGCGCGGACAGTTCCATTAAATGTTTCATTATTGTATCACCGGGATGCAGTCCAGACGGCGCTCGAGGGCTCAAGCGTGCACGAGATCGACATGGAATCTAGTTCGACTGCCCGACGACGAGTTGGCTAGTTAGGAAGAGCAGCGTGAGAAAGATGCGGCATACGCTTGTCGTGTCGTGTGGATACGCAGAGCAGCGATGTCGCCGATGTGGCCATTACGCTTCCACCTTACCGCGGATGCCTCTTGGACGGAGTGCCGCTGGCACTGTGCGGCAGGTGTCGGCGCTCTCGATGCGCATGGTGGTTATCGAAATCGATTGCGCCCGCACTGCGCAGTGTGAAGCTCATGGATTTGAATATTTCGATGGGAGTTGGCGCCGCTAGAATGGATAACAAGTCAGTCAATCGAGGAAAGGTGACATGTCTCCGATTTAGTCAGCGCTGGCGAAACAGGGTTGGGGGTATTTGGTAGCTCGGATTCGAACGGTCGGTATCGGTCGAATGCTCGGATAACATACCATGGACAGCAACCATCCACACAAGCAAGCACACAGCCACAAGGGTATGGAGGCCTCTCATTATTGATGGGACTAGAGTTAAAGTTGACGGTGTCTCGAGAGGGGAGCGAGGGATTAGAGCTGACGAAAGTGGCTCCGAGGGAAAACGGGAGCAGAAATAGGCTCGCGGAAGGATGCTGCAACTCTCTGAAACAATCGCTTGGCAGCACGCTTCGATCCAGAATACAGATGACCCCGGCCGAATCGTGGACGTTTCTGTCTTGGACCAATCGCCAGAGAGAGAACAATGGTGGTCCTGCCGGCAGCATCTGGACCATTCATGCCGACCCTGCGCCCAGCAGCGACAGTAATCCTCGAATGCAGCCCATAATGCCATCTCCATCTGCCCGCTGTTGTGCGCTCGAGCGTTTCGTGTCGTCTCAAGTGGTGGTTCAGCCATGAACGGTGTATTATGCAGAGCATCGTCTCTCAAATCAACTGAAAGTCTCCCTGCTGATATCCCAAACTCCTAGCCCCGTGCCCCGAGCCCGGAGCCCCGAGCCCCGAGTGGCCCACAAAACGACGATCTAGTTACTGTCTTTGAAGACAGTATCCACGCCGCTTTCGTTGAGAATCGCAATGTCGTCTGGGCTCAGAGGTGTAATGTTGCTGCTGTCGCCGCTGAGAGGAGGCGGAATGGGAACGGGCACTGCCGCGCAGAGAGCTGGGAGGAAAGAGCGCCGGGCGATCAGCCATGCCACCGAGTGTGTCCTGAATGTCTCAGTAGATATGCTCGAATATGCATCTGCGCACAGTTGCTCCCGCCACATCAGATCGAGGCGATAGCGCTTCGCTGCTTACTCGCAAGCAGGGACAAGACAACAAGAGACAAGAGGGCGGGCTTCATGGCTTGTGCTGGCAGTGTTTGGTGCAAGGTATATGGCGGGAACTTGGGTCTTGGAAAGTGTGTGAATGAGAGGACCGGGGTACTATTTGCGATGGACTGTGGGAAGCAGAGGTCAATATATGGGGTTCGCCGGTGAGCGCTCGAACAATGCAGGAGACTTGTGCGAACCATCCGTCAGTCTGTCCCATGCTGTTTCTCGAGCCATTCACCTATCCACCCATTCAAAGAATGGCTATGGTACCGATGGGAGCAATGGTATGAATGGAGTGAATGACATCCGTGACAATGCCACCTGAGTGTATCCAATCGACAACGCTCACACACAGCTCAATCATTTTCCACAATGGCCATCAATGCACTCTGAGGACTGCAGTTGCCAGTGCTGCTCATCCAGTTCAGCCCGATTGGGGGGTTGCGATAAAGGTGCTCTTGACACATGAACAAATGAGACAGCCATATGTCAGCGTTGTATTCGATGGCATGTGTCGTATTCGATGGCATGTGTCCAACTCGGCCATATGCAATAACACAGATCACCTCCCGGTGAAGACTTCTGGTCGCTCTCCACAATCGACCTGTACACAGTACAGTCGGTCCAGAAAAACGAGACAGTTCCTTCCTGGCTTCAGATGTCTGACTGACTGTAGGTCCAGTGAGCAAGCCGTGAGATTGTTTCCCGTCCTGGTTGGCAATCTCTCTGTGTAGTGCATCCACTCCACGCTCTGGACAGTTCCATACTAACTCGATATCAAGATGCTCGGCCTTCTCGAGTCGCTTGGTTTCCCGACAATGTGAGCATACCTGGGATGTGTTGAACTCGTTCACCGAGCACACATGGATCTTGGAGACGGATTGGTCTGGTGGTCGTCTCTGGTGGTGGTGGAATTGCTCGAAGTACTTGGCGAACCTGAGTCTCCTGGGACTGGATGCATATCCCTTCCCCTGTTTCCAGGATGCATTCCCAAAGGCAATCACCACTTCGGTCTCCTTGGCCATACTTGCTTGGCCATGAATACGATGAGTGGGTGGGTGTATTCAGGTTCCAGAAAAAGCACAGTCATAGCTCAAAACGGGGCTGTCCCATTTCATTTTGGAAACGCTGTAATCACGTTGCGCTCTGTATTGACATCGCAATTCCGCACCGTGCAGCTGCTGGGAACGCTGTAGATCAGCCATTGCGGGTTCGGCCAGAGACATGGACGTGCTCAAGTCTCCGTCGATAGTCCTCTTTCGCGAGCGATGTGATGTGGTCGTAAGAATTGTATTGAATGTGCGTGTCAGGGCAGTTCAGCGATGGCATGCAAAACAATGAATACGTCAGACGGCGGAAAGGGACCGTGACAGCGCTTGAGGCTGACGGCCTTGGGCGTCGACGGGTACGAGTCAGGACGAACGCAGGTCGTCGGTGGCTGTGGCGAGTTGCAAACGACCTTGATCGAATTGCACATGAAGCGCAAAGGGAATATTTTTTTTTCTTCTCTTTGTCAGAGAACAGGGAGTTGCCTTTTTTTGGTTGCTTTTCTTTTCACTTCTTCAGAGCATGGGACATTGACTTTTTTTTCTCTCCTCCTTCCTGCGAAATCAAATATATATCAAAAAGACGGACAGAGGGGGCGAACTCAAACTTCAGCGCGCTCTTCGTTCCTTTGCTGATCACTTGTCGCCAGCAGCGAGCTCGGCGGCAGCAGCAGCAGGGTGCTCAGCAGGCTCGGAGCCCGAAACCGAGGTGGAACGGGGTGCCGAGATGGTGACGGGTGAGAACGGAAGAGGAACAAACACCGGCTTGGGCGAGGTCGGGGTGAGCGGCTTGGAAGCGGTGGTGGTAGCGGTCGTCTTGGAGGCGTGGTAGGCCGCCAGTTTTTTCTCGCGATAGCTCTTGGGCTCGGCAATGTTGACGACCAGAGACTTGGCGCCGACTTTCTTGCCGTTCAGCTCGCGCAGAGCCCTTGTGGCCTGCTCCTCGGCTTCGAAAGAGACAAAGCCAAAGCCCTTGGACTGGCCCGAGGACTCGTCCTTCATGACACGCGCCGAGACGATACGGCCGTACTTGCGGAAGAGATTGAAGAGCTCCAGGTTGTCGACTTGCTCGTCGAGGTTCTTGATGTACAGATTCTTGCCATCAAGGGAGGAGTCGTTGCTGGCGGCATCGTTCGAGGCGTTGCTGCTGGTTTCCCAGGCGTGCGGAGTGGTGTTGGTGGTGGTGCTGTTGCCGGAGGACTGCTTCTGCGTAGGAACAAAGGCAGGGGCGTGCGGGTCGACGGAGTGCTGGGCGTTGAGGCTGCCTGGCTGGTGCCAGCCGGTCTGAGAGGGCGAGCCCCAAGAGGGAGTGGGGGAGTTCCACTGGCCATTTGCAGCGGTGCCGCTCACGGGAGGCGGAGGACTGCTCCAGCCAGCAGCGACGGTGGGAGTAGGAGGCGGGCTGTTCCATCCCACGGGAGCGCTGGTGGGCGACATGGGAGTGTTCCAGCTCATGGTGGGGGAGGCGGGCCCGCGGCTGGACTGCCAGCTGTCGCGCCGGCTGGCCTGGTCGCCGGGAGGAGAGGCATCGGGCTTCCACGAAAGACGGTTGTTGCTGGAGGACGTGGAGTTCTGGCGGGTGGGGTATTGGTACGGCGAGTTCTTTGGGAACTGCCAAGAAAGCGAGCTGGTCGAGGGCGCGGCCGTGGTTAGTGTCTCTGGACCGAGGTATCAAGGCATGTGCCCAATACAAAAGCTCAAGGTGTCCGGCCGGAGGGGACATGCAGCCGCTGTAAGCTCTCGGGGGGTGCAAAACCTACATGGGACAGCCGCGGAAGGTGGAGCCGTTCAGCTCTCTCAGGCACTGGTCGGCGTGGTCCTGGTTCTCAAACTGCACGAGCGCATAGGACTCGGTGCCGGAGCGATCCAGCATGACCTTGCAGACCATGATGCGGCCGAATTCGCGAACGACGTCGAACAGATCCAGCGATGTGGTGCCCAAAGGAATGTGCTTGAACACGATCGTCTTGGATCCAGATGTGGTGCTAAAGTTCATGTTGGGGTCCTTGAAGAGGCATGAGACCTTGGAGCCCAGGAACATGGACTGGTTGACCGTGGCGTAAAACTTTTCGGCTGCAGACGCAACGTGAACAGCGCGGCGGAGAGATGAGTCCGCAGAGGAGCGTAGCACCAGATGGCTATGGTGAGTATTGAGAAGCTGCGGCAGGAGCGGGCGTGGTCGCAGCGACAATGGCGGTAGTGCGAGAGACTCCAGGACAGAGACAGGCGGGACTTGCCTTCGATCAGGTGGCGGAAGATGAGCTTGTGTCGGCCGAGAGGAGCAGACGTCACAGGGTCGCGCTCCATGAGGACCTTGCTGCAAACCGATACCACATTCCGAGCAAAAGAGCGGGCAGCGAACGGTCAGCAAGGCAGAGCGGGGGGGGTGGAGGGGTCGAAATGAAGCCGAAATGCAGCCGAAATGCAGCCGAAATGAAGCCGAAATGCAGCCCGAGGAGCAACCCGAAATTAAGGGAGACAAATGCAGTTTCCGGCTGGTCTGTGCGAGATGGGCGGGCAGCACCGGCCGAGGATGGAGGATGCAGCCTTACGTTTCGAGCCTCATGTCGTTGAGGACCCTCACCAAATCCTGTCGACAGAAACACAGATAAAGTCAGCCGAGATTCGCGGAGCAGGGAGGACAGGAGGCGAGTCTGTCTCCCGGCCACAAGAGCGTCGCTGGAGCATGGGCCAGGGCGATGCAGCCTACCATCTCAGTGATAGTGAACGGAAGTCCACTGCACAGACACAAGGGAGATATGGGCCGGAGCAGAGAAAGGTCAGCGGCAGCGACATGGCGATCGCGGATGCAGGTCGATGCAGGTCGATGCAGGTCGATGCAGTATGGTCTCAGGACAGAAGCCTTCCCCCCCCCGCAAGGACGGGGGTATGCGGCAGAAGCCCACCTGAGGAAGATGGCTGGGTAGCCGTCAAGAAGAGATTCGATGGACATGGCTATTCGAGATTTGTGATAGATTTTGAAGTGGCGATATGAGATGCAATGGCCAGATTAAAAAAATAGGTGGCTGAATGGACGAAAGGGAGTCGGCGCAGCGGTGGGAGCCGGGGGGATTAGGGCAGCAGAAGGAAGGGGGGGAGGAAGAGCAAACAGAGATGGCCAGGGGGAAAGCAGATGAGGTCCTAGTCGCTGGTGGGGTCTTTCACAAATGCAGGAACAGCGGGGTCAGTCTCGGTCGACGGCAAGCTCGCAGGAGGGGCTTGATCGTTGGAGTCCTTGACGACCAAAGACCCGCTGGCCGAGGCTTTTTCTCGGCCTCGCTGGCGCAGAGACGCCGGGCGAGAAGCTTGGTGCTGTCGTGTGCCCCGGTCGTCGCTGCGGTGCTTTCGATTGTTACTGCCGTGCTTCTGGCCTGTGGCCGCCAGGGACAACCAACGAGAGCGCCGAAAGCGATCGCGGCCTTCCTGATTTGGGGCCGCTGTGCGCGTCGGTGGCGGCCGGCAGAGGCACGGCCCTGGGTCGTTGTCGTTGTGGCAGGCGCAGTCGGTGACGCCGGGCGGATCGATGGTGAGGGGCAGTGGGATCCGAAGATGGTGGGCGAGCGGGGAGGGACATGGCTCATGAGCGGCAGCAGCACGGGCAATCTGCGCGGCGCTGGCGATAGACTTTGGTCTATTACGACATGGTGCATTGTCCGCATGTGAGGGCACTGCAAACATCGAGCGCATCAACCTGAACCACCAACACCAACCATCAACCACCAATCACCAAATACCAAATATCAAATACTAATCATCAAACACATCCTCTGCTGGTCGCTATGACGTTAGCGGGCCCGGCGGCGGCACGGTCGATGTGGCGCTGACATCTCCAGCGCCATCAGCAACGGGTGTTTGCTGGGGCAGTTCGGCAGCTGTTCCATCGCAGAGTTCCAGGTTCTCGCGCACATAGAAGCACATGTATCTGCAGGCACACCGGATGCGGTCAATAGATCCGTCGGCGTCGAGAGTCAGGGCAGCCGAACGCTGTGCCAAACCCGAGCCAGCGGTGGCGGTCCGAAGCGACGTCGGTGCCGATAGCATCACACAACACCCGCATCCAACACGCATCAACACACACAAGGTGGAAAACTCACATTTGGTTCTCCAGCGCAGCTTGAGGGTCCGTCAGCGTGATGCTGTGGTCGTCGATGTTGAACCACTATGAGCCCCGGCGAGCGGGTTGCCGAGCAATACAGCGAGTCAGCAGCAGCCGCGGTCGCAGGTTCCAATCGCTCATGTACATCCAGCCATGCAAAGGATATCCCAGCGCCAGACCAGTCCGCCCACTCATTAAATACCTCGCCGCGGTACTTGACGCATGCGGTGTAGTGTCCAGTCTCAAGCTTGCCCTGATGATTGACGATCGCAAAGAGCGAGTAGCGGTGGGCAGGAACCGTATCGCTGAGGGAAGAAGCCCGGCCGGCATCGTGGTAAGGATGGCAACTCGTACACGCTGTCGTTGGCCGCATCGGCTCGGCCATGGACACGCAGGTCCGCCAGCGCACCGCACCAAGGCCGGCTGTGGACTTACACTTGGTAGTCAAACTGCGAGGGCCCCTTCAGCACTGTTTTTTTGATCGGCGTGGTTGTATCCTTCTTGACCGTGGCCTTCTTCATGCGTAGCTTGACCGATCGGGATGTATACGGCGTCATGTCGAGGTCGGTCGGAACCCTGACAAACGTCTCGATCTTGGAAGACGAAACGGCCGTGTGCTCGAAGCGCTAAGGACAACAGTTGCGTGCATTTGAGAGCCATCCACAGACAAGGCGGGTCAGCACAACACAGCTATCAGCGCATGGTGATCTGCAGCTCGCTTGTCGATGGGCCGGCGGCTCGCTCACTGACCTTGAGCTGGATACCCAGGACAGGAGGGAGCTTTTTGATCGACAGCTGCTTGGTGGCTTCCTGTGGGGTATTGTCGCAGTTGGCGCAGGTATACTCCTGGGACCCCAGCCGTTCGGGATGTGTGAACCTGGCCAGACCGACAAGAGTCAGCGAGGACACAGGGGTGCGCTCGTGTCAGCGATATGGCCCCCGAAACATGCCCCTTGGCTTGCGGCGACGAGCTTTGTTGCTCCAGAGGCGCCGGCCCACCTGTCGAGGCAGTCCACCAATGTGCAGCCGTCATCGTGTCTGATGCGGGCAGACTCCTCCGATGTGGGCGTGACTGTGTCGTCGAGCTTTTTCTTGATCTTCTTGGCCGACTTTGCGGTGTTTTTCAGGTCCAGCGACAGATCCAGCATCGGGTCGTTCACCGTGGTCACATTGTAGCACTTGAGGCAGGTCACGTCCGACTGGAGCAGGCCCGAGAACACCTGGTGCACCACGCACTGGCAGTTCGGAGTTTCCTCGGTGCCTGGCGCAGAGTTTCATTTTTTCGAGACGATGATCAGCCGCATGCCATCAACGTGGGCCGTGATCGCAAAAACCGCACTCTTGCATTCGAAAGAGCCCCGAACGAGAGCGAGGCTGTCGCTCCACAATCCCTACCGACACAGCCGCTGTGGATGGCGCTCAGAATCGATATGAAGAATTCGTGCGCATCCTGCTGGGAATAGCGCGCAAGGTGCTTCTGCGACATCCACATCTGGTACAAAATCGCTGTTGGGCCATACGGCGTTGACACGTTCGTGGTATAGGACTATCTTCCCCCCCCCAGATGCAGAGGTGAGAGAATGCAACGCTGAGTCTCATCGGCCGGACACCGTTATATCCTCCATATGGCCAGGGGATCGAGAGGAGCACAGACACGATCGCCGCACGAGTTACTTGTCGACAGCGACTCGACATTCTGCACCCGCAAAGTCCTGCGCACTTACGTTGCTGAAGAGCTTGTCGATCTCGCAGGCCATGCAGGACTGGTTCGGGCACCTCGCGGCATCATGCTTGTCGGCCAAGAAGTGGCCCCGTAGAAGTGGATTGTGGATAAAGGTTTGCAGCACAGCGTTCATGAAGCAGGTCGAGCCCATGTTTCGGAGACCGCGCAAGCCTGGAGCGAGGGTTGGACCGAGCAGCATCAGCAACCGAGCCAGCGATCGTACCAGCGATCGTACCGGCGATTGTACCAGCAACCGAGCCAGCGATCGCATCAAAACCCATGTCGGGAACTCATGCCGAAACCCGCTCCAACCCGTCGAGCAGCTGGGCTTCAATGACGCCTTACCGCCGCAACGTTGCAGATCCGCATGGGTCTTGATGAACTCGGTTTCTTCAGACGTGGCCGTCCATTCCACAGGACGGACCCTCCGAACGGAGGGCTCTGAAGATGAAATCAGAAACGGAGGCGCAGAATGAAGTGTATAATGGCAGTGTTAGCGAGGGCGAGCAATTGGTGAGGCTGCGGGGCTGGATACCGTTTGGCAGCCGGCCTAGCCAGATGCATTACCTTTGACCCTGGAAATGAATGCGTCTGTCCGAGTTCGCTCGGACTGGACGATGGACTCGAGCTCGAGGTCATAGACATAGTCGTGGCAAGCGGCGCAGTAGACGGTATAGTGCGAGAGATCCAGTGCTGTGTCCAAACGAGGGAGATGAGAGCAGGATCGGCGTGCAGGCCGCCGACTGGAAAGGCGACCACCACCACCATCCTCGAGCCCACAGAGATCCACCAAGACTCTGTGCCCCTTCTCCACAACTGACCAAAGTTGTGGTTTGCTTCCGAGAAGTGCTTCTTCATGTGTCCGTCTTTCCAGCAGCCGATATACACGCATTCGATGCAGGAGTGCAGCCGCCCAAGGGTTTCATCGCAGACAACGCACTGGGGCGAAGGAAGCTGTGAAAGGAGCCGACGAATGCAGATCGTTAGTCGTCCCGGCTTGCTCATCAAAACGCTGCCCGCGATGCTGGCTGCATCAGTACAGACGACGCCTCTCGGCGTGCTCATCGAAGCAATCACCTATTCCAGCGGGCCCGATGCAGGCTGGCAGTGCTTTTCGGGCAGTGTCAGCTCGCTCGGCGACGATGAATGTAGCGGATGGCTTTGCGCTCGCTCGTGCAGCAGCACCCCCAGTCAGCGCATGGGCCCGTATCGCCTCACAGAACCCACCTTCTCCATGGCCGTCATTTCCTTCTCTAGGACACCCCGCTTGCGCTTCTTGCCCGTGCCACCGCCGTTGGCGATCATGGCCGCCTCTTCCTCGACGAGAGCCTTGCGGGCCTTCTTGGTCATGTGCAGATGGAATCGGGCTTGATGGCACATCGAGTATCGCACGCATGTCCGAAACGAGTCAAAGAACTCTTCAGAGTTGGATCGCAGCTTGGCCTTCTGCAGATGAACACATCCATGGGCGCTGGCGTCGGTGCTCCTTCGGAAGACCGAGACCGGAAAGAAGGGCTTGCCATGGGATGCATCCGCGGATCCTTTTTTCTGCGGCGAGGAGGTGGGATGGCCGGCTTTGACCATACTTGCGGGCGGTTGGGGTCCTTGCTGGGCTCGGGCGGGTGGTTAGATGGGTGGACAGACTCCGGACGCAGCCGGATCGGGCCGTGGACGGTCGAAAGGAGGGGAGAGGCCGGGAAGGTTGATGGAGGACCAAGATGGATCGTCGGGCCAGCGACACCGCCGGGGCCAAGTTGCACGACGCATGTTCGCGCCGGGCACATCTCAACAGTCTCCGGGTCTGCCTCTCATCCGGCTGTGCCTCTTCCTCATCCACGATTGCCGTCATTGCCTGGCCCGCCGCCGGTATCTGCTGCGTCGCTGATAGCCATATATCGCCGGACACGGAGCAGTCCACCAGCTAGTGTAAATCGAACGCCGGACGCCGGATCAGTCGCCGATCGCAACGAAATGGACAAAACGGCCCGGGGCAAGGCCCAGCATCTCCGTGAGCTGCACCGTCGGCCACTTCCGGTCCAGATCGCCCCGCATGGTCTCGGGCTGCGGTTGCTGCTACCCTCATGGCTGTACTTATTCCGTCAGCCAGCTCGCCCAAAAGCCATCTCGACCGTCAGCGGATCCATGGTGTGGAGCCCAGAAGACTATCTTCTTCTCTGGCAGTGCGGCTTCTTTGGAAAGGGCACGCTTTCTCGCAGCGAGCTCACCTGGGAAATGCGCCAGACTCGAGGAGGCGGAGGCGAAGGTATCGCCGGACTGAAGCAGAAGACCAGCGACCCATCAGGGTCGGCGCAAGATCCCGGCATCCTGTCTCTGGGCCAGGCTCTGGATCTCGAGAGCAACCAGGACGACCCCGCTGCCCTGCCACCCTCGCTGAAGGGCCTAGAGTCGATGCAGCTCACGGCCGAAGAGTCCTTCTTTCTGGCATTCGCCTTGGGTTCACTCGAGGTCACCCACTCGGTTTCAAAGGTAAGATAGCGCCGGCGGCACTGACCCTTGACCACCACGAACGAAGCTGTGAATCTCTGTCATGGAGGCCTGATGTCTCACCCTCAATGCTATTGCCTCGGCCTGTGGGTCGCGACGGGCATGGCTCCACTCTGTGATCTTTTTCTTCTTCTTTTCTTTTCTGGCTTAGAAACAACTGACGATCCTGGATCTATGGAGCAAGTTTCATGCCGACGCAGTTGTGCAGCGGTCCCGCCATCCTCCGACGGAGGGCGAGATATGGTGCCCAGACAATCCGTTTGTGGTCGCATACGCTGCATACCACTTTTACCGAGCGCTCAAGTGGGTGGTTCGCTCGGGAATCAAATTCGGAACAGACTTTGGTGCGTAATCATGGAATTGGACCCTGGTCGCATAGCCAAACGGACCAAACGGACCAAACGGACCAAACGGACCAAACGGACCAAACGGACCAAAGCAGCCGCATGCCCATCGCTCTAACTGTTGCAAACTTGCGGTCCCACTCAGTGCTCTACCAGAAAGGACCGGCATTTCGTCACTCCGAGTAAGTCGAATCGCAGGGAAAGGCGAGCCAGAGGATGGGTTGGATCGATATACCACTCGCCGTCTCACACCAGTGCGTCTCCACTCCCCACCATAGCTATGCCGTCACCGTGATCTCGACGAAGCCATCGGCCCAGCGGCAGCATAGCCCTGAGCCCGAAATCGAATCGTCCGGACGCCCATCCAGCACCTGGCAGCAGTTCCTGGCATCATCACGGGTGTGCGCACAGGCCAATAAGGTATGTACTCCATCTATCGATGGCCGACCCATAGCCACACACACAACCCAAGATCCTAACATTTCGGCCGCATCATCAGCGCATGCTGCTCTGCTACGTTCAGGTTCCCGACACTTTGTCGGTCGAGACCCATCGAGACGACCCTGCCGCGGCTCTGCGGCAGTACAGCATCTTTGATGTGGTTGTTTCCCGATGGGTTCCACAGCGGACACGGGAAGCAGCGTAACGACACAAATGTCCCTGCGTGTGATCGAGCCAGAAGAGCCAGACGATGCCCAAGTCCATGTCAGGAGGTAGACGGCTCAGCTGAGCTGCGACATTACTCGTCTGCAGCCTGCTCAGACTGAACCGGGACGCAGCAGCTTATTGGGCTGAGTGATGCTGATCGATCACTCAAGCGACATTGATCGGTGCTAGTACTGCCGTGATGGACTCGGCCGATGACTATACCGCGAGACAGATCCTCAAGGAAATGGCTTACACTATATTCAGAAAAAAACGGGACAATATAGCCGTTTCCATGAACAGTAGTATGTGCTGTGCTCGCGTCAAGCAAAGCCACAAGAAATAAAACAGATCACTTTGGCAGCCTCCGAGTGAAGACCGCCGGTCGCTCTCCGATCTCCACAATCGACTTGCATACTGTGATCATGTTGCGCGCCGCATTGACGTCGCGATTCCACACTGTCCGGCAGCTGGGATTCTTGCAGCTCCTGACAAAGTGGGAATTCGCAACACTGGGCGCATCGAGTCCTTCCAACCGAACTGGCTCCAGGCACTTGGAGCACACTTGCGAGGTGGTGTTGAACTCGTTCGTCGAGGCCACCTTGACGCTTCCATGATGGTGATTGGGACGGCGTCGGTGGTGCTCGAATTGCTCAAAGTACCGAGCAAACCGCTGCCTCCGAGGGCTGGATGCATAGCCCTTGCCCTGTCGCCATGACGCATTGCCAAAGGCGATCACCACATCGGTCCGTATCGGGGCGTGCTTCAGGACGGCCTTGCACATCCTGTCGACGGCCACTTGGCGTCTCTTGTGGCCCGTGAATCGATGGTGACGGGCCTTCTTGCCAAGGTGGAAGTCGAGCTGCACTCGCAGCTCCGGTTGCAGGACATGGGCGAGATGGATCTTGAAAGCCTCCGAGGACGACACCTTGGGCGAGGGGGTGGTCGACATCCAGGTCTCGATGCTGAGTCGATACTTCATGGTGTTGTGCCACTTGGTGTTGGACGTATGGCCACACATGTGCTGGTAGTGGCCATTCGAGAATGAGACCACCTCGTCTTGGTGGCCCGGTGCTTGGATGACCGCCGTGAAGATGGAGCCGACTCCAGGATCGATGCCAATCCAAGTGGTGCGGTTGGGGTCTGGGTTGCCGATGTGGGCCTGGATACGCTGCTCGGCAGTCGGAGGAGGCTCGATGGTCTCGGTGTGATCGGTTCGAGGCAGAAACTTGACGAGGCCGATGGTGCATCCAATGCCATCGGTACTGATCTCGTAGTTGAACAGCTTCTTGTCCCTGACCCGCTCTTGGAAGAGGGAACTACGCAGCTTGAAGCAACTGCGCCAGAGACGATCCTGGTTGTTGACACCGTCCTCACCTTCTTCCTTGAGCATGTCCCGGGTGAGGCCGAGACGATGTTCGGAGTCAAGGAGATCCCAGAGAGTGGCCGTGTCGATCTTGACATACTTGGCCTTCGCAGTGCATAGAGGAACCATCGTGCACACGGCCGGAGGAGTGTCGACGGCGAGCTGCTTGAGTGCCCAGTTGATCCTGGCGGCCAGCTTGTTGATCTTGGCCTTGGTGGTGCCGAGCTCAGACTTGGCCGTGGTGAACCTCTTGTCGTCGGAGGGAATGCCTTGGGTAGTGAGGCTGTCCAGCTTGGCCTGGCGCTGCAGCTCGGTGACTCGGAGGGCGGGCATGTCACAGTCGATCCACTTGTGGACATTGTCGACCATCTTGTCCCGGGCGATGATCCCCACATGGTGTGAGAGGCGATGGAGGGCCCGGAAGCGGTCCTGGTCGCTGCTGTACCGAAACTCGTCCAGGACGTGGCCAAAGTCTGGATAGAGGAACTCGATATCGGCCTTGGGTGGAGTCTGCCCTGGTTTCTCGAAGAGCTCAAGACAGACCTCGATGGCGTCGTGCTTGTGTTTGTTGTCTGGGAAGACGGCAGCACAGAAGCGACGAAGGAGTCGCCAGTAGGCCAGGTCGAGGTGGGTGGTGCAGTTGGTGGCATAGGCATTGACAGCCAGTGTGAGAAGCTGACTGTGAGCACCATCAGGTAGACGAGGGGCCGGAGGCAGGTCTGCGTGCCGAGTGGTCTGGTAGTCGCGAAAGGAAGCGACCAGATGCTCGTTGTATTTCTTGGTCTCCCTGGCCGTCGAGAGGGCACCGTCCTGGACGATCTTAAAGCACTGGCGGATGAAAGCAGGGGTGGCCCTGGAGATGACGGGGACGGGAATATCCTGCTCGATGCACCGGAGGATGTGCAGGTTGAGCAGCCTGGATGCCTCGAACTGGATCTGGGTCATGGCTGCGACGGTGGCCTGGATCTTGTCGCGGAGAGCGGGATTGAGACAACAGCCATCCATCGTCTGCTTGAAGCAGCTGAACTGAGGGGCGGATGACCTTCCATCCACGAGTGGGACGACAGAACTCTTGAGGGGCCGGTATTTGGGACATTTGCTGGTGTTGCAACGTTCGTGATCGGTACCGTCGCACTGGCGACATCGCTTGACAGGACCAGATGAGGGACCAGGCTCGGTGGGATCGACATCCATTGGATCTGCAGAAGCAGTGGTGGTGAGCGACGGAGCAACAGACGACCAAGCATGCGTGGGATCAGAGTACGAACCAGAGACAGGCTCCGACTGTGACTTGGCTTTCTTGGGCCTGGGTGGCCGAGGCTGGCCATCACCGGCACCCTTACGCTTCGGAGGCATGGGGACAGAGGATGCTGGATGTCTGCCAGTGGTACTGGTCAGAGCAGAGACTTTTTTTATCGTACAATAGCGCGATGATCAGATCAAGGCGAGATGAGGGAAGAAAGCAGCAGGACGAAGGTGTGGCATTTATACCCGAGAGCAGGAACCCGTCTGCGCGGGCTGGTTGGGGAAGTGACCCTGTTCAAAAATCGCCGAGAGGTTCAAGCCAGGGATTTGAGCGTGAAAATGGCGGTGTTGACAGGCTGTTTCAGACCCAGAAGCACCTCGCACACTCAATCAGCCGTGGGAAGACATCTGGAAGCACCCTCCGAACGGCAGACTCAAACAGGGTCACCACCCCGATCTTGAACCCCTCGGACGCATTCAGCGCTGCTGCCTTCCTGTACTGATGCTTCACAATCCCAAAGAAGTTCTCGATGGGATTGAAGTCGGGCGAGGCAGGTGGGGTGAAGATCACTGACCATCCTCGGCGCTCGATGCAGTCCAGGACAGCCATTGTCTTGTGCATGCTGACATTGTCCATCACAATCACAGAGTCGTCTGGGAAGCTCGCTCGCTCAAGAACTCGACCATCGAGTGTGTCTTGAATGATGTGGGGATGTACATGCGATGCAGCACACCAGAGTGGTTGATGGCAAATGCAGCCGAGACAGACTTGTGTTTCATGTGATTGCACTGGCGAAGCGGAGCACCCTTCGGTGAGTATCCGTAGAGAGGAAAAATGGATCTCCTGATCCCCGTCTAATCGACAAAAACGAATCGTCGTGGGTCGATGGAGCGGACCTGGTCCCTGAACTGTGCCACTCGCTCATCCAGTCGCTTGAACTTGTAGAGGTGTGTTGCCCTCTTGTGAGAGAGACCTGCTCGCTGGATGGCAGTGTGGCAGAGTGAGAGCGACACTTTCCTCTGGAGGATGGACTCGAGCTTGCATCGCAACACAGGACCAGTCTGGAACGGGTCCTGTTCAATCAGGGTGCGAATGACTGGACATGCCTGCTCGAAGAAAGTGGATCTGCGAGCTGGGACCCGGGATGGGTCATCCAGCTTGCATCCTCGGTGCCATCGATGGATGGTGCTCTTGGATACACTGAATATGGAGGCGACCTTACGCAGGCTATGGATGAGGGCGTAGCATCGCAATGCGGCGGTGCGAAAGTCGGATGTGTGGCGAATGGTCATGGCCAGCGCGCGATAGCATTGGGTAACAAAATATTCGATGAATGGTCAAAATCCCGGGTGTCCCGTTTTTTATTGGATCGCCTGTAATTCACTTGGTCACTCTCGGCCGAGTGGGTGATATGATCGAACTACGGCACGTTTTCAGAAAGAGACGATGCTGCACTGGCGCGGACATCTCAAGGCGATCAAAGTTTGGGCCTGATTGGCGATGATGGGCGGGCGCTTGCTTTGCCAAGCGAGGCCCCACAGCCAGTCGGATTCCCTCCCTCTGCTCAGAAATGCATGCTTCGACTCTTCCGTTTGTATTCTGCCATTATTCGCGCCCCAGCGTTGTTGTGAATCAGCCATGGCGACCAAAGACATGAACTCGGTGCTCAAGGAGATGGCCGATGCGCGCGACGTTGCTGCAACGATCACCAAAGCCGCCCAGCAAATGTCCGAGTTCCTGGGCCGCTTCGGTGGGGGATTACTCTGACGAGCGCACTTCTGGTCGCATTCGAGAGGGCGTGATGATGAGTGTGTGCGGCGAAGGCTCGTTCGCTCATATCTCTTGGCCTTGCGCGGCAGAGAATCGCTGTCGATTCGGACTCGCAAAACTCGAGGAGCAGCTCATGGTTCTCGAAAAGCGGCTGGTGCTGCTGGAGACAAGGGTATGGGGTCGCCTCTTCCTCCAGTTCCCACGAGCATCCGGCCATCCTCGGCTGCTTGCTCGCATCCCGGTCAACGTGCTCTTGCAGCTTGGAACGGCCCCAGCCTCCGGATCGCTAACGACTGGGTTTGCACACAGGCTATCAGCGTGCAGAAGAGCACCTTTGATGCCTCCGCGGGTCTTTCGCCCACCGAAACGACGCTGCCCCGAGATATACCGTCCACGATGGAGCCACCACCACATGCGATTGCTGATGCAGGTACGATGCATCGCTCCTGCAATGGCCACCGCCGTACGAAGAGGGATGAGCCGCCGAGGGGCCGATTTGGTTCTGCTCCATAACTCTATATCCTCGTCACATAGCCTCGGTATCTGCCGGTCCGCCTCCACCTCCGCCAGCACCCCCATGCAAGGTGTAGCGGGCCAGCAGCGCGATCTGGAATGATCGATGGCGCTCATCAAGGGCAGCTCATTGAATAATCGCCGGAGGGCATGCGGGAGTGTGTTGGGTTGGGCAGCACGATCTTGAAATACAAACGGTCCATCTTGGAACAGGACACCATTCAATCCACAGAAGCCGCAGCCATCCGCATGATGTTGATCGACCACCTCTCCTCTGTCGCCCTGGAGAAAGCAGCGCTGTCGGATCGACAGCGACAATGCCATCTTGGTCGTGCTCTTGCAGTTTCCCGCCCAACGCATTCCCCTCTGCCTCCCGTCGATGACATTTCTGGCCCGCGCGGACAGACACGGGCCACCAAGCGTGCAGCAGCCAAAGCGACGCCTGCTCCCAAGTGTGATTGTCGGCCCCGGGAGTTTGATCCGCGCGGGGTTTGTGGGCTGTCTGCCGTTGCCGAAGTACTTGGTGGGGTTCCGGAGTGCTTTGTGCGGGTTCGGGAGCACTTCGGAGGCGCGCGGGAGTGCCGCCAGCCTCCATAAAACGCTCAGCTTCCCTTCCGTCCTGCTTTCCCCCCCCCCGTCGCTTCTTTGCCCAGAGAACCGCTTTTCTGCTCTTCGCATCGTATCGCCCTTCTTCTTCCGCCTCCAGCCGTGATGCTCGTCTCCAGAGGCCTCTGGGCCGTGTTCGGCTTGCTCCAGGTCGCCTCGACCGCCCGCGCCGCCTCTGTTCCGCAGGTGCCGCTCGTCCTCGAAACTGATGAATCCAGCGTCCCGATGAAAAAGTTCCCCAATGCCCGCGCCTTCCTCCGCTTTGTCAACCACACCCTCTCCGAGCTCGAGTACCCTACCAACCAGGCGTCGTGGGAGTATGAGACCGACATCACCGACGAGCACGGCCAGCGCGCCGTCGAGGCCCAGATGGTTTTCAACCAGGTGAGGCGGTTGCTGATCACCGCGGGCTCTTCGTGAGCGAGCCCACAGCCATCCCGCCGTGTTGGCTGCCAGCATCACGTCCCGCACAGCCAGCCAGCGGCATCGCTTTGATCATAGTCGTCTCCCGCTTACCAAACGCTAACAAGCGACTGCTTCCGCGTCCCGCTATCTCCGTCCTCGATCGTGTTTCCAGGCCCTCCAGAACATCCTGAACCAGATCGGAGACTATCATGGCTCAAACGACGACGAGAAGCGCCAGCTCGAGCTCCTCTCGCTGATGGTCGGCAACCCCAAGGATCCCGAGGACCAGCGTGTCTTGTCGGCAATCGAAGCCGACATGGTGAGCATATATAGCACTGCCAACGTCGACGGTCTCAGCCTGGATCCCGACCTGGTCAAGATCATGGCCTATTCGCGCGACTACGACGAGCTCAAGCACGCATACCTTGGCTGGAGAAACGCCACCGGTCCTCGCATGAAAGGCCTCTACACGGCCTTTATCGACCTGCTGAACAAGGGCGCTCGCCAGGGCGGCTTTGAAGACACTGGCGAGCTCTGGTGAGTGCCTGTCCCCGTCGCTTGCGGTATGGCGATCGATCAATACCTGTAGAATTACGAACAAGTGGCTCATCTTTGGGTGTGGTTTGACATCAAAGGCGCTCGCAGTACGATATGAAGCCCAAGAAATTTGAGGTTGGTAACGCCGAGATGCGCTGCTGTGGTGTCGCCGGGCAGCACCATGGGGGCATGCAGTCGCATCGCCATGCTGCTGCATCCCGGCATCTCCAGGCATCGCCAGGCACGGCTGTATTGCACGGCTGTCTGGCTACTCCTTTGCTGGCTCTGGCTCTGGCTCTGCGACTCCACGCTGACGGCGCGTATCCCACCAAACAGAAAATGATCGACAAAGTCTGGAAGCAGGTCCTGCCCCTGTATCGCGAGCTACACTGCTATACGCGAGCCAAACTCGTCGAAAAGTATGGGGCTGACCGATTTGGAAACGACGGGCTGATTCCGGCCCATCTTCTCGGTGAGCGCCGCATGCATTCTGTCGGTCCCTTGCTCTGCTGTTGTCCGAGAATGCTCCTCCGCTGACGCTGTCTCTGGCTGCAGGCAACATGTGGTCCCAGGACTGGAGTACCATCTTCGACATTTTGGTGCCCTTCCCAGACACCAAGCCAATTGGTTTGTTCCAGTCAGATGGCCAGTGCGGTGAGACGGGTGCGGAAAGCGCTCTGTTCTAACCTCCGACACGGCAATGCAGATGTGACCAAGGCTCTGATCGAACAGAACTACTCAGCCGAGGCCATGCATCGACTCTCCGAGAGCTTTTACCACTCTCTTGGCTACGATAGTAGGTATCCGCTACTGGATCATGCGAACGTTTCTCCAGGCGTATGCGTGTCGCCAAATCTTGACATTCTCGACTGTTTATCGTTGCGCCGGCAGAGCTCCCTCAGTCCTTCTGGGAAAAATCGATGCTCACCAAGCCTTCCGACCGCGAGGTTGTGGTAGGTACCAGTATCCGCCAGCATTGTCGGCGCGCCTGCAGCGTCCCTTTTCTCTCTCTCTCTCTCTCTCTCGTCTAACGTCTCTTCATTTCTCGATGGCACATGCAGTGTCACGCCAGGTAGCACTCTGCCATCTCTCGCACTGGGAGGGGCGATTGGGCCAGAGCTTGCAGCTAACACGACCTTCTTCAGTGCCTGGGACTTTGGAAACAACGATCTCCGCATCAAGATGTGCACCAATGTCAACCAGGAGGACCTTTTCACGGTGCACCATGAACAGGGCCATCTGTACTACGACCACTACTATCGACATCTCCCGTACTTGTACCGATCTGGAGCTGCCGACTTTTTCCACGAGGTTGGCGTCGCTCTGTGCTGCTCGTTTGCGATATTCAAGGCTGATCTATGGTTGCTGTTGTCTCGGGGTTGCTGTAGTCTCGGGTCGGCGGGTCTCACCCTTGTCGCAAACTTGCTAGACAACAGTAGAGGCACTCTCCTCTGTCGGGACCACTAAATCACTTCTACTTTATCTATCATCCCCCCACAACGACAGGCTATTGGAGACACCGCCGTTCTGTCTGTCGTTGTCCCCAAGCATCTGAAGGAGATTGGTCTGATCGAGGGCGAGATCGAGGATAGCTGGCAGCAGACCATCAACTATCAGATGCTCGTGGCCCTCAGCAAGGTCGCTGTGCTTCCATGGGCCTTCCTGGTCGACAAGTGGCGATGGCAGGTACGCGTATAGAGGTGACCTGGTCAGCAGCTTCTCCAAGCGATGCCTTGTTAACCCACATGCCGCGCATTCAGGTTATGAGCGGACAGGTCCCTCCCCACAAGTATCAGCAAGAATGGTGTGTATCTGCAGTGTCGATTGGTCCGGAGGTGCGTTTGGTCGAGACACTGACCAAAGTCACCGGTACTCTAGGGACTCGCTTCTCGAGAAATACCAGGGAATCAAGCGACCCGAGCCCGCCGATGTCGACTCCTTCGACCCTGGCGCAAAGTACCACATCCCGGTAAGCGACTCCCGCGTCTCCACGCAAGTGCAGAGCCAGGCAGTGGCGGGTGCGGGTCTTTGGGGCCAGAGCATATCCCTAGAACCCCAGCTCACATCCTCTGTCCTCGCCACAATGCAGGCCAACACCCCGTACATGCGATACTTTGGAGCCGCGGTGATTCAGTTCCAGTTCCATCACGGCCTCTGCAAGGCTGCGGGACACAAGGGCCCGCTCCACGAGTGCAGCATCTACAAGAACAAGGATGTTGGAAAGAAGTTCCGACACATGCTCGAGATTGGCAGCAGCCAGCCGTGGACCAAGGCTGTTGAGGCCGGCTCCGCGGGCCTCTACGACACCCTCGACGGCTCCGCGCTCATCAAGTACTTTGAGCCCCTGCTGGAGTACCTCAAGAAGGCCAACAAGAAGAATGTGTGCATCTGGAAGTAGTCGATGGGTCGTGTGCGGCAAGCCAGCCTTGCGATGGCGGCGAGAGCGTTTGCTACAGTCGGTCCAGAAAGAAACGGGACAGCCACTTTCTGGCATCAGAGGCAAAGGTCTGCTGATCCGCAGGCCCCAGTGGGCAAGCCGTGAGATTGTTTCCCGTCCTGGTTGGCAATCTCTCGGTTTCGTTGGTTCGGAAAGCGTAGTCTTGAATACACTCGGTCGATCTCTTGTGGCGACTAGTATTGATGTGTCGATGTGTGAATGTGGTGCATTTACTCGATGTGTGAGTGCGGTGCATTCACCACCCTCTGGACTGCTCCATGGTGTATCGATATCAAGATACTTGGCCTTCCCGAGTCGCTTGGCTTCCCGGCACTGTGAACACACCTGGAGATCGAGTCGCTTGAATCGCCGTCGCCTGGGTGGCGTCCTTGATTCAAAACACAGAGTAGTCATGGCCAGCGCGCGATGGTATTGAGCAACAACATATTTGATCAGTGGTCAAAATCAAGGGTGTCCCGTTATTTATTGGATCGACCGTAGATGATCCGGAGCACCTATTTTGTTGATTGTTTGCTGTGGGAATACATGCATCCGTCATTCGCAACGGTCATCGACCGCTCGCTTGGGCACACGTGAGTTGTCCGGACGTGGTCAGACCCAGGCGGCCATTGTCGTCCGTCCAGGTGCTTCGAGGCCGGCTGGCCTGCATCCATCGATCGTAGTCTGCAGCGACCCGCCGAGAGAGAATGTCGGCCACAAATCCCTCCACATCCCAGCGGAGCAGTGTCTCGTTGCGCTCGAGCATGAAACGGCCGAGCCCACTCGAGCACGAGTCTCCAGAGTCGTCGCCGCGCAGACAGGCTTCGGTCTCCTTCGTTGACGATGCCGCTCACCAGCGACAGCCTTCAGAGTCGAGCTTTGACGACAGAGAGCTCGACGGCTCGGTGACCTCGACCTCCACCACGACCCACTCGGCTCTGCCACCACCCAGGCAGCTGTCGTTCTCAGAGTCGCTTGCTGTGCTTGGTGGCGACTACATCCTGGCGGGCATCAAGGATGCATTGCTGTTTCCATCCGCGCTTATTGTGATATACAGGTATGTGTCCGGCTGCCGCCATGAACAGTTGAGAGGGCATCTGGACCAGGAGTGCCGATCGTCTCCTACTGCATTCTGTTTCGCCCGCCCGCCCCTCGCCTCCTCATTCTGACGGCCCACGGACTCTATCGCCTGGTAGCTCGAGAACGATCCAAGTTGCGATTGTCAAGTGCCTGGTTCTGAACGGAATCCTGCTCTTGGGATCGATAGCCCTCTTCCATCTCTTTGTTTCGCCCGTCATCAAGGCCCTGCTGGACTCGCCCGGCAGCATATCTAGCCCAGCCTCGGCAGCCGATGCACTTCCGGCAAGCGAGCGCTTTGGTGCTGTTTTGATGACGATATACCATGTATGGGGCTCTGATTGCCAGCACGGCCTTTGGAAAGCGGCCTCGGATACCAACAGCAGGACGTCATTGGGAGCCGGAGGCATGGCCTGTGCAAAGTTGCTGAGCGGAGCACATATGGATGCTGCTTGCTGTTCGAGTCTCCTCCTTCTGACGGCTGCTGACGCCTCCCATGGCACCAGATCTTCTTGCTATACCCTATCTACCTCGTAAGCTTTGTCCTCAGCACCTTTTGGTATCAAGAAATAGCAAACCGTTCGTTCCGGCTCCAGGTCGGCACGCCCCGCCCGATGGCCAAGACGTACGAAAGGTAGGGCATTTGGCTCGACGGCGTCGACTCTAGGTCCCATATATACGCATCTCTATGGCATCGGCCATCGACTCGTTTGCATGTGCATGTGCATGTGCATGTGCATGTGCATGTGCATGAACGGTGTACCATGGATAGTATCGCATGAGCGGTGTACCATGGATAATATCGCATGAACGATATCGCCGCGCTGTGGCTAATCCGACCTGCGAAACATGCAGTCTTCTGAAGATGGTCGCCGGCGAGGTCTATCACGCGATCCTCATCCTGATTGTCAGCATCCAGACCTCGCTTGTCTACAACCTGATCCCTGTGCTGGGCCCTTCCTTGAGCTTTGTATGCTCGGCATGGATGTTCAGCTTTTTCTCGTTCGAGTACAAGTGGATCTATCAAGGCTGGCCGCTGGAGAAGCGCATCGACTATCTCGAGAAGCGCTGGGCTTACTTTCTGGGATTCGGTCAGTGTTTTGCTGGCGGCGGCGTCTCTCCGTCGATATGCTCGTCGTGCGGCCTCTCGGGCATGTTGGATTGACGAGCGTGTCGTATTTAACTGTGCCCTTCTCCATGCGCTGCTCCAACATTGACTGCCCCAACATTGACTGCCCCAACATGGACTGCTCTACGAACCGATGAACCAGGCCTCCCCGGTGCGGCCGCGACGTTTTTCTTTCCGACGATGACCAGCCAGGGTGTCTTTGCAATCATATTTCCACTGGTGAGCACAGATTTTGCCACTTGTGCATGAAACGGACCCTCTGAGCCGTGCGGGGCTGGATGACGACGCTCGACACACAGCTCCCCAACTCGCAGCCAACTCACCCATATCTGCCGCCAACGCGCATCTTCGCATGGTGCTCAAGTACATCATTATGGCCAACACGGCAACGCCGCTGCCTCCAAGCCGGTCGAATGTGGCCCTCCACTGGCTCCTGCCGAAGCGGGCTCCGTTCTTCCGGCTCGCAACGCATCTGAACCAGCTCTGGATCAACCGGCTGAAGAAAGGTCGATGAACACCAGGCGACGGCCGAAATGCGAGAGACATGGCGACAGACCAGCCGCACTGAGTGGCGGCCCAGTGGTAGACCGCTCCCGAGCCAGATCTCTCAATACATTGCGCATGCCCTTGCGCCAAATGTTCATCCCATGTCCTTGCTGCCAGTCGCCGTTGCCCATCCAGCCACCACGTCGGCCGCCTGTGATCCCGCCAGGCATGTGATTCTGGTGCCAACAAGGCGCCCAGGCAAGATGGTATGGAACATGCATCGCCACATTCCAAATCAGCCCGCAGCGGCCGTTTTTTCTGTTCCTGGGTGTCTTGGGCCTTGGGCACCCACTTCGTCCATCCCGTCTCCGTTCCAGCAATCTCGCCAACGCAGCCTGCGGCTGCACCGATTTGTCTCTCGCTCGACCAGCTCGCTTCTCTCGATACCGCTGCCGACGATGATCTCTGAGGGCGATTCAGCATCGGCTTCCGTTGGCTCCACGCTGGTGCGCATCCGTTCGTCCATCCATCCATCCATCCGCCTCATCCTCTCCGTTTATGCATCCGCCTGTTTCGTCGGCTGCTGTCGACCATCACCCGTCGTTTGTGCTGCTTCAGCTCTAGCTCCCTTTCGCCGTTCGTCCGCTTTAGATAACTGACATATGCCCCCTGGTTGGTGGCGCCGCGCGGTGGCATAGGTTCTGGTGACGGTGAACGGCCATAAAGCATTCCACAGCGATTTCGACAACTTTGTCGATGCTATCAAGTCTCAGTTCTTTGGACTCGAGTTTGGCAACTCGTCGGCCAGAGACAAAGTCTTTGTGCTGCAGAGCAAAGCCAACGAGAGCTTCGCCACGATGGACGGCCTGCCCAAGTTGGCCCACCGGCTCGCCAGCGAAATCCATCAATGGGTTCGCGATTCGGTCCTGCCCAAGATCGACGTCCCCACGGACCTCTACTTCTCGCTGGTGGGCCATTCACTCGGAGGGCTTATCATTCGCGTAGCCCTGCCGCATCTCTTTGGCCTCTCCACCTCGAGCTCCGTCGACACGCTTTCGCTCATCGACCTGGTCCAGGCCAACCCAAACGTGTGCTCCTTCAATCCGACCTCGTACATGAGCATATGTACCCCGCATCTCGGCTCGCGGAGAACTGACGGAAACGGCGCCTGGAATTACATTTTCCACTCTGGCATCGAGCTTACGTGCAACTTGTTGATGGGCCGCACGGGGAAGGAGCTTCTGCTGCTCGACAATCCAAGCGAACGAACCTCCAGCATGAGTCTCCAGCAATGGGCAAGTATCGGTGTTGTCTGTTTGCACTGCGGCGAGCTATACGCCAAGGTGTGCCGACCGGGCTCGATTCGCAGTCGTGAGGCGGCAGTCTAACGCCAGTACGATTCCTCAGCTTCCTCAACTTCCTCAGCTTTCAAGCTCGGCCATCTTTACTGCCGATGGGCTCGATTCAGAGGGGACCAAACAGCCCATTATTCGACGGCTTACGGCCCTGGTTTCTCCCTCGGGAGTATCACCGGTAAGCGGACTGTGCCGATGGGATCTGTGCGGGCTAGTCCGTGGCGACCACGGTCTGTTGTCATGCTGCTCTACTTTTGACACAGTCGCTCATGTCCACAGGGACATGCGGCTCATCAGACACTCACACCTATCCCTGTTTGCTTGCACATAGCCCTCAACCGTGTCTCAGAACGAAAGTGGTGCCTCCGCCGAGGATTCGCGGGCAAGGGACGAGGCCAGTTACAAAGGAATTCTGAAGGGATTTCCAACCATTCCGGTAGGCGTGTATTGTACACTTTGCTGAACCAGCTGGATCGCTGCGGATGCGCATTTCGAGTCCATCGACGGGATCTATGAGGCCTGTCATTGGTCTTGCAGTTGGTACATGCATGTCACTCGCCACTAAAGCAGCCGCATTCCATTCAGTTCGACTGGACCGTTATCCCCAAGCGAGCCACGAGCCCTGGGTCTCCAGACGAAGACGGCCGAGTCCAGTCTCCGATATTCGAAAAGCTCAATTCGATGCTCTATGGGATGGCCTCGGTGAGTAGACCCCACATCAAATCGCGCTTACCTGGCCGTGCGATGGAGGGCCATGCCGAATCTGTGGGGCAGCCCAGCATCCAGGTCAAGCCACCACTGCTAACCCGACCTCCAGACTTCTCAGGGCGCAAGAAGCGTCGACGAAACTGCCGAGGAGCCGCCGGCGCTACCCTCCCCCTCCCCCATGTTGCACAAGCTGACTTCGTTCATGTCCAGTTCAAACCCGGTAGGCAGACATTCCTCGATCTCGGTCCATTCAATTTGCAACGCCTGCGCCGTTCCATGACGCTCTGGCTTGAAAAGTGCTCAGCGCTCACTGTGCCTCCATAAAACCACACTCAGGCCCTTGCAACAGACAGCGGCACTCGAACACCTCCGCTGCAGCGTCTCCGGAAGCGAATGTCGCTGTTTGTAAGTATCGGATCAACGTCGCCTGACGCACGGGGCTCTCTGAATTGTTCTTTGATGGGACTGATGGGCGGCCAAAGTCCGCAACTCGCATCCAACCACTCGCGCCACATCTCCATCGGTGACTAGTTCCACGAGGCCGTTCCCGCACCAGACGAAAAATCAGTCGAGGAGCCAGAGAGTTTGCCGATTCTTCTTCGAATGACGGAGCCGTCGAGCATCTACGCCAAGAGCCTGTGCCTGTTCAATTACTGCACCGTCGTATCGTGTCTCCGCGACGATCTCGCCGTGGGCTACTGCAGCGCAGCAATCACCGACACACATCCCCACTCTGAAGTGTTGAATCTCAATCGTGAGCTCAATCAGGTCGAGGTCGTGAGTTTCTCGGGATTCCGGCCTGCGCATCCAGCCTCCGAGCCTTCGGCTGGCGCGCCCGGCGACATCCGTTCAGACTCGACCCCCAAGCCTCAAGCGGCCCTGTCGGAGACGCAGTCGTCTGTGGAGCCGATAGCCGCCCACCATGTCCCAGTCGGCGATTTTGAGGGCGACGAGGCGTGGCCGCTGTACGAGCGCCATCTGTTCAAGCACGACGGCCACACTGCCAACATCTCCAAGAGCGTGCAAGTTGAAGGGACGGTCGTTGAGCTGCCGAACCCGGTCTTTGCGTCGCACTACAAAGAGATTGCTGATGAGCCTGGAGTCGACACACGGTCCCCAGGAGATCCCAGCGGCTCGCCCAACACCCGATCTCGCACAGGCCACGTCTGGGCAGACGATTCGGTCGGCGTCTCGCGGTTCATGCCCAAAATGCTGCATGACTTGAACGAGATCCGGCCATGGCGACGGATCAACATCGACCTCAAAGTCGAGAGTTCGCTCGATGTCGTCCACGTTCACGCCATGGTTGTTGGCAAGAGCTTCCCCTGGCAGTCGATCAAGGCCAAGCAGTCGACGCTGGAGTCAGCCTGGTATCTCGCTCGCATCATTCTGCTTGACTTCAAGATCAACAAGACCCAGAAGACCAAGGGGCTCGCTGGACAGCGCAACCACGCCGACTGCTCAAGTGTGTATGTCGACGATGGCAGCAGCTGGGCAAGCTTGCGGGACGAGACTGCCGCTGAGGAAGGGACGGCGGAGAGCCTCCATGAACCCGACGACACAGCTCCAGATGCTTCGGTCGAGCACAACGATATCTGCGCCTGTGCCGCTCCAGCCAGCGCCATGCAGGGCTAGCGGCAGTCGATGTGCGAGCTCTGACAAGCTCCAGCTTTGTTTCAATATCACTTCGATGTGCGGGTCATTGCCATCCGTAGCTGCTGTCAGCAGCAGCCATCGTCCGCCGTGCTTTCTCACGCCAGTACCAAGGTGTTTCAGAGTGTCCAGAGCAATCTCGGATGTCCCGTTTGAGCCAGGGCTGTCGTTGTTCTCTGGGTCTCGAGCACACCGATGACCAAGTGTGCTCGCAGCGCATGGAGACTGAGCGAATCGGTCGACCTGACTACCTTGATATCGAGAATCTACAGAGCTGTCCTGGTGCGAAGGACATTCAGGGACACTGCTTCGTTCAGGACATGCACTCCGTTCGCTCGCCACCCGCTCGGCCACCGCCGCTTGTCCCGTTTTGGCTGGCCGCGGTTTCGCCAATCACCGCCCGCCATGCCACAGACGCCGTTGAGCAACCCGCTCGCCAGGCGGTCGCTGCCCCCGGCCCTCGACTCTTTTGCGATCTTGCCTGCGATTCCCCCTCTCCCTATCTGCCGATACGATACCAGAATGAAGTTCAGCCTGACCCCCGTCCTCGTCGCCGTCTCGGCCCTGCTCGCCGCCGTTGCCAACGGCGAGGTCATCGCCCTGACCCCCAAGACCTTTGACACGGTTCGTGGCCTTGTGCTGATGCTACCCTGGATTGCTTCTGGCATTGCTGTTGGCCTGGCTTTGGCGGCCATCCTCTGGGATCGGATCATCTGCGAGATCCATGCGATCTGCGGGATCTGTCCGGTGGATGGACTGCTTCGCGTAATTGGGCCAGCGATGCCTGCCCACGCTCTCCTGCTCTGCGATCACCCTCCCCTTTGGCCCTCCCCTTTGGCCCTCCCCTTTGGCCCTAACCTCACTGTCTCTCTCGGGATGTTGCTGCGATGCTCTGTTCTTCAATCCCCGCGAATAGGTCATCGACGGCTCCAAGCCTGCCCTCGTCGAGTTCTATGCCCCTTGGTAAGTGTCGTCGGCTGGTCTGCAGATGCTCTCGGCACCAAGGTTGATGCTGCTGGCAATCGAATCTGACGACTGTGCTTCTCCTGCCTCATACGGGCCATGGTTAGGTGTGGCCATTGCAAGGTTCGGATCGCTGGCTGCCGCAAATTCAACGGCGTTGCTTGGCGAAACGCGAGGATGATCGGTTTGGATCAACGGATGTGCTCCGACGCTAACTGGTGTGCTGCCCTTACCATGCATCCCTGACAATATGCGGCTTCATAGCAACTCGCTCCCGTAAGTCTCGACCTTGGCCGCGACCATGTAGCCGTACATCGCAATACTGCCTGCTCCAATCTTTGTTTTCTATTGCACTCGTTGGGCTCGTTACTTTCGCTCCTTTCGGCTGACATCCCGGATATCAACTGTCCAGATCTACGACGAGCTCGGCGATCTCTACGAAAAGTACAAGGACCAGGTCGTCATCGCCAAGGTCGATGCCGATGCTCACCGCGATCTCGGTTCCCGCTTCGACATCAAGGGTTTCCCCACCTTGAAGTGGTATGTTCGTGTCTGTGAGCGAGCCGGCTACGTTGCTGGATTACTCCCCCCCCCCGAATGTGATCATGCGGATCTGCGCCAGGTTAATGGTCTGGGCGAGTTGCTCATTCAATGTCTGCTCTGTACCGTAGGTTCCCCAAGGGCTCCACTACCCCCGAGAACTACGAGGGCAGTCGCGACGTCGAGAGTTTCATCAAGTTCATTGGTGACAAGACCGGTGAGTGCTTCGTCCAAGCAAAATGTGATTGCGCCAGGCCACGACACAGGACAGCGAGGGCTGCAACCCTGCTCGCATGAGTGCGCTGTGGGAAACGTGCGGGAATGTCTCCTAAATTATTCGGCTGCCAGGTGTTGCCCCCAAGATCAAGACCCCCGAGACCTTTGTCAAGGCCCTGACTGCCTCTAGCTTTGATGAGGTTGTCCTGAAGGATGACAAGACCCACGTCCTCGTTGAGTTCTTTGCTCCCTGGTAAGATCTTGCTCCTGGCCTGGCTGCCCCGAGCGTACCGGATCAGGACAATCCACGACAATTGTTGACCACTCATCATCCCTCAAATCTCCAGGTGCGGCCACTGCAAGAACCTGGCCCCCATCTACGAGAAGCTGGCCAAGACCTTTGCCCCTCAAACCAACGTGAGTCCCAGAAATGTGCATCCAGCAGCTCGCCAAGAGGCGGGTATGTGGTGTTTGTAATTGCTCTGCTGCCACAGGACTCACGACCGTGCTGCCATGTCCCCCTGGCAACCAGGTTATCATTGCCAGCGTCGATGCCACCAAGGAGCCCGCCCTTGCCCAAAAGTACAACATCGCTGGCTTCCCTACCATCAAGTTCTTCTCTGCTGCTGACAACGAGCCCGTTGACTACAACGGTGGCCGCACGGAGGAGGACTTTGTTCAGTTCCTGAACGAGAACACCGGTAGCCAGCGTGTTGCCGGTGGCGGCCTCCTCTCCACTGCTGGTCGCATCTCGGCCCTTGATTCCCTTGCCCGCAAGTTCATCTCTGCCGCCAAGAGCGAGCGCGATACTCTCATCAAGGAGGCCCAGGCCGAGGCCAAGGAGCTGAAGGACAAGTTTGCCAACTACTACAGCAAGGTCATGGAGAAGATCCAGAAGGCCGGCAGTGGCTACATCCAGACCGAGACTGCTCGCCTCAACAAGATCTTGGCCTCGGGCTCCACCACTCCCGAGAAGCGCGACGACTTTACCATCCGCAAGAACATTCTCGCTGCCTTTGAGGAGAAGGAGACCAGCGATGCTAGAGAGGAGCTCTAAAGCTCATTCGCCCCATGTGGTAGATGCCAAGCCCAGTGAATGCGCGGGTGATTTTGCCCCGCGGGAACTTTCAACGTTCTTTGGAAAAGCCAGCACGATGGCACTGGGAGGATCTGCGTGGCAGAGAAATGTCCAGGTGATTCCGGCACTTTGCTGTCTTTGGCTTTTGCTGAGCAAAGGTACGACTGAATACAGTCTTTTCAACGGGATATCGCGGCTGAAGGAGAGAGCTGCGATTCATGAGCAGGGTCTGTCAAGGGAGGTCTTATTGGGCTATCACACCGCCGTCGTTGACATCGTCGTTGCCGTCGAGTGCGTCGCGGCTGGAATGTCAGTGCCTGGTGGTGGCAGAACTCTTCAGCGACAGGGACTGGATGGTCATGAAGAGCGGGTGTATATTTCATTCAGGGAGCAATAACAACAGGGCCTCCCGCATCATTTGGCAAGTGCTGCAAGGTGAATGAGAAGAGTCATGCAGGAGAGGGAAAGCACAAACACTCCAGGCTGGAAGCGCGCGCTGCCGCTGGACTTTCCAGAAGGGCTCGGGGTGCCAGAAGGATTGCCTGTGCTGTTCGCGGCATCGAGCGAGCCTTGATCAAAGTTGATGGGGCGAGCTTGGTCCTGATAGGCACACGAGGCGTCGTTGCAGAGACACTTGCCCGCAACCGGGTCCCACCAGAGTGTGTCGCAGTTGGTCGGGAGGGGATAGCGGCTGCTGCTCGACGAAGGAAGTGGGTTCGGGATGTCGGGAACGACGCTGGGACAGCCATAGCAGGTCTGTGGGAGAAGTGTTGTGTCATTTGCTGGTGTTGGCAAACGAACCACCCATGCCAGAGCGACACAGTGACTCGGATCAATCCAAAGCAAGACCAACGGTCGGGAATGCACCAAGTGCAGCAGCAGAGACAGCACCGAGTGCATCAGCAGAGTGTACCGAGTGCAGAAGCAGAGACAGCGCCGAGTGCAGCAGCAGAGAATGCACCAAGTGCAGCAGCAGACGCTCATCCAGCACCGCTCAGAGTCCCCAGAGCCACTCGGGACACTCACATGCATTGTGCCGGTGAGGAAGTTGCATGTCTCGGCAAGCGACGCCGGTCCGAGTCCGTTGCAGATGTTGGTCGGCGCCGTGTTCTTGCACTGCATGTATGGCTGCGAGCCGAGCTGGCTGGCCGGGACCGGGTTCTTCATGTACTCGACCATCTGGGATCCGGTGATCATCCACACATCGGGTTTGCTCATTGCATAGTCGAGGAACTTTGCGACCGTGGCCTGTTTGTTGAGGCCGTTGGGCGAGGTCGAGGCGCCGGTGAGCCAGACAGGGTGTGTGTAAACGCCAAAGGGGGCCCGGTTCCCGTTGTAGTGGCTGTCGAAGGTCGAGGCGTACTCGGAATAGACAGTGTCGAGCGAGATGGGGTTGGTGATGGTGGGATCGTTGTAAGGATCCATGAGATGGATACCGCTGGCACCTGGGGAGAGATCGGACACGCCAGAGAATCAAGTCAGTCATGGCAGCGAGGGACAACGACCCACCGGCCGCCGATGCAGGTGCAGGTGCAGTCGCAGTCGCAGTCGCAGTCGCAGTTGCAGTCGCAGTCGCAGTTACAAGCGGGAGCAGTTGCAGGCGGGAGCATCGAGTGTTACCTCCGGTCTCGTACAGTGGAACCTCCCACATTCCTTGAGCTTTCAAGTTTGGATCACCACAAACGTTGACCTGGTCGGTACATCCCGTGGCCTCTCCATAGTCGAGAGTGTAAGGCCAGTAGAGAGTGTTTCCGCCGGCACTCATCGAGGAGTCATAGAGGAATCCCATCTTCTTCATCATGTTGAGGGCATCGGTACTGTAGTTTCGGAACGGAAAACGAACACCTTTGATCTTGCCAAGAGGAATGCCGGCGTATCGGTTGAGGAAAGCGCGGTTTCCTTCGTATTCGATGTATTCATAGACACCGGCCTTCTGAGGGCCGGGATAGGCGCCGTGGGACATGGTGTGGTCGGCGATCTCGTGGCCGCGGGCATAGAGCTGGGTCGCCAGGAAGGGATCGGTGTAGTAGGTTTGGGTGTAGAATGTGATTTGAACGGGGCAACCGTTTGGGTTCTTGCGGGTCCCGGTGAGGGCCGAGACGACGCCAAAGGTGTCTGTTGGTCGGGAGCCGCAGCCAGAAACGTCAGATCCGGCTCAACGGATTGGGAGACATCCGGTCGAGGCGATGCCGACCCCACAGCCGGCTCTCTGCAATACCATCGTACTCACCGGAGTTGAGTCCATCATCAAAAGTCAGCATCAGGAACTGGGGAGCCTGTTGTGGGGCGATGCCGCCAGGAGGTGTGGGGCTGGCACAGGTGCAGTTGGGCAGCTTGCAGACGGTTGGGTCGCAGCTGTAACCCTGGACACAGGCAACGCCCGCGAGAACCGAGAGCAACAGGCTGGAGTAGGTCGAAAGGATCATGAGGAAGGCAGAGGCTGACAGCGATGTGGGTGGTGCAGATGGTCGCCGTCGCTTGGAGCGTGGGGCTTGGAGCTTGGCGATATACCGCAGCGGACGAGCGAGTGCGGAAAGGACGAAGCGAAACGGCTGCCTTTTGAAGCCCGAGATTGGCGGAACGGACAGAAACCTTTGCGCGTGCACAAAGCGCGCTTGTGTACGCGGCGCTGTGCTGTGCTGTATGATGCTGCGCTCTGTGTTGCATACTGCGCTGGATCTTCCTTGCTGGGCTGCGCGGTGGTGGGGAATCCCAGCCCGGCGATGTCAATGTCGGTGCCAGCTGGCTGATCGACATCGATCAGCGCTTGTCTGGTTGTGATGAGCTCGGCCGAGGAGTTATCGTGAGATGGATGCTGAGAGAAACGAGCGAGCCCACTTGGCCGAGTGTATGATTACGATCAAAGTACAGCGTGTTTGTCCGAAAGGGGCGGCGGGACTGATTGTGTTTTCAATGTGCTTGCCCATCCTCCGACCCAGCCACATGTTGCATCCGCGAGAAATACAGGTTCCCAAAGAGACCGAGGTCGATTGTGGAGACCGGAGAGCGACCCACGGTCTTCACTCGGAGGCTGCCGAGACGATCTGATTTATTTCTTATGGCTCCGTTGAACGCAGACCATCATAAACTACACTTACATATAGGTCTCCCTGAATACAGCGTATACCTCCGTCCTGATTAGGCCAACGCCAGCCAGGCCCCCCACGATACGCTGGCCAAGAGTGTCATGTAGATGCGGGGAGCGGTGCTCTCTCCGGCGCTGGTGCTTTTGCCGGATGCTCCTGTCGGACTCGTCTTGGCTCCGCTTCCAGTCGGTGTCGAACCGCTGCTCTGGCCATTGTTGCTGGAGGAAGGGTTCAGCCAGGTCTGATCAAAGTTGATGGCCCTGCCGGTGTCGCTGTAAGCACAGGACGAGGATGTGCAGAGACACTTTCCCGCAACGGGGTCCCACCAAAGCGGATCGCAGTTGGTTGGGAGCGGCTGTCGCGAGCTGGCGGGGGCCGGAAGCGGGTTCGGAATATCGGGCACGGCGCTTGGGCAGCCATAGCAGGTCTGGATGTGTAGCGGTATGCACAGCCAGACAGTACAGTTAGCACATACAGGTGGGCACGGACAAGTCCACCCAAGCGGTCCATTCAACAAATAGAAAGTGCACCTGCCACTTACATGGATCGTGCCCGTGATGAAGTTGCATGTCTCGGCAAGCGACGCCGGCCCGAGTCCGTTGCAGATGTTGGTCGGGGCAGTATTGTTGCACTGCATGTACGGCTGCGAGCCGAGTTGGCTGGCTGGGACAGGGTTCTTCATGTACTCAATAAGCTGCGATCCGGTTACCATCCACACGTCGCCCTTGGCCATGGCATAGTCAAGGAATTGAGAGACAGTGGCCTGCTTGTTGAGGCCGTTGGGCGAAGTAGTTTCGTTTGTCAGCCAGACAGGGTGGGTGTAGACACCAAAGGGCACCTTGATGGCGTAGTGGGTCTCAAACGTCGAGACGTACTCGGAATAGACGGTGTCGAGCGAGATGGGGTTGGTGATACTTGGGTCGTTGTAGGGATCCATGAGATGGATGCCGCTGGCACCTTCACAGTCGAGGAGCGGGACCCGTCAGTATGCGGACATTGGCCACGAACGGCACTTCAACCAGTTACTCTCGACGTCGAGACTGCTGCCCCTCGCTTACACGGTGCACGGCTCTCATCGCTCCATTATCGTTATGGCTTTTGATGCGATCTATGGGCCAGCAGAGCATGCATGCTGCCTACCTCCGGTTTCGTACAGGGGAATCTCCCACAGACCCTTGGCATTGAGACTCGTGCTTCCGCAAACGTTGATCTGGTCAGTGCAGCCGGTAGCCTGTCCATAGTCATATGTATACGGCCAAAACATGCCGCTGCTGCCAGCCGAGGCGGACGACTCCCACTGAACGCCCATCTTGGAGATCATATTGAGGGCGTTGGCGCTGAAGTTAAGGAATGGAAAGCGAAGGCCCTTGATCTGGTCGAGCGGGATTCCGGCGTAGCGATTGAGATATGCCCGATTGCCCTCGTACTCGATGTAGTCATAGACACCCCACTGTTGAGGTGCTGGCGGCGGAGGGTATGCTCCGTGAGACATGCTGTGCAGGGCGATTTCGTGGCCCTGGGCGTGCAGCTGCGTCACAAGAATAGGATCGGTGTAGTAGGTTTGGGTGAAGAACGTTGCATGGACGGGGCAGCCATTGGGATTCTTCCGGTTGTTGGTCAGCGCCGTGACAACACCATAGGTGTCTGATGGTCGAGGGGGAGGCTGCTGTGAGTTCGATGCGTCGATTGCCAACACAGACTTGCGCCGGCAGAGATGAGGATGCAAAGAGGGCTCATCCCTCCTCGCCCAGGTGTGAAGGAGAGCCACTCCGATATCCACTCGCATCCCCATTCCGATCCCCACCCCCTCCATATCCGCCCTCGTATACAGGGTGCAGCGTCAGACCCTGATCAAGTCGTACCGGTTTGAACGGCGTCATCAAAGGTGAGCATGAGAAACTGCGGCGCATTCTGGACAGAGATGCCTCCGGGTGGGCTGGAGCTACCGCAAGCACAGCTCGGAAGTTTGCACACGGTGGGGTCGCATTGGTAGGATGACGATTGGCCATGGCTGGGACCGACAGAAAACGCAAGGCCCAGCAACAGGCTAGCGCAGCGAATATGCATTCGACGCATTGGTCAAGAGCAAGTAATAGCCAGCGGCACGAGAGGAGCTGAGGGCAAAGAGGTTGGCATCGAACGGTGGTCTGAGGGAGGTGCGACAATATATACTTGGTGGATGGGCAAATGGTTGTCATGGATTTCCAGCGGTCTTGTTCGCTGGAAGGACGGTAGAAGTGTCAACACTGCTGAGTTTGTGATGCCAACAGAGAAGCAACTGCCGAGTTGGCCGTCGCTCCCGAGCAAGCTTTAGGATTGTTTGTTGGCAAAGCCGAAATCATCGGCCGTGCAGTTGTTCGTGCACACACCGACAGTTCATCGAGGAAGTCCTTCTTCGAAAGCAGTCGAGGACACAGTTTTCGATCGTATACGCAAGTCGGTCGAAGACAGTGTGGGGAGGGGGAGGTGTTTGACTCCCCCGAATGTGCTGTTGTCTGGGCGACGGCAGCCAACTCTGTGGCCTGCAAGAGGCACACACAGAGCTGCGTGTCAGGCGATTTTGGAGATGGTCTATCGGAATGTTTACAGGCAATCCAATAAAAAACGGGACACCCGGGTTTTTGACCATTCATCGAATATTTTGTTACCCAATGTTATCGCGCGCTGGCCATGACCATTCGCCACACATCCGACTTTCGCACCGCCGCATTGCGATGCTACGCCCTCATCCATAGCCTGCGTAAGGTCGCCTCCATATTCAGTGTATCCAAGAGCACCATTCACCGATATTGAGCTTCCCAGAGCCACAAACAGGCGGCACCGAGCAGCGAACGGACGTGATCATGATTGTCTAATCTCATCCAAACACAAAGCTATGAAGGTGGAGTCTCACGTCTCTTGGGTATCAAAAATTGGGCTGGATATATCTGATCGGACATAGGCATGTGGCCAAAATAGAAAGCTTGGCAGAGATACAGTTGCTTGGCCCGTATTGCGTCAGGGCTGACAATCGCCAACCAAACAAAGAATCACTCATCGCGAGCAGAATATGCCGATCAGAGGCAGGGGTTGAAGTCTATCGCCACCAGCTCTCATTGGCGACTCGCTGGCTTATTCTTTGCGAGCTCGAGGCTATGCTTGTCCAAGAAGGCGAGGTAGTCTTTGTAGACCAAGTTCCAGAAATGATGGTCGACCGAGACCATCCAGTCCTCCTGCAGAGACAGCCACGGTCAGCGGAGGACGTAAACGCTCGTGAGGCTGCTCGTTCCACGGCTGCATGATGGGATCGACATTGAGCAGAGATGAAGGCAACCTACCTTGGTGTGGAAATGGTTGCATTCACACGAGTCAAAGTAAACCCCGACTGAAGGGACATTGACAGGACAGTGCGCGAATCCGCTGTGCTCGTAGCCTGAAAGTCAGTATGGCAAGAAGTTTAGAAATGGATGAGTTGCAAGCATGTCAAACATTTGGCTGTGGGCATTTATATGCAATCTGGTGTCATTGCGTAATCAATCGGCAAGACGGGCCACGGGGCTCGTGCACCACATCGGCACTGTGCAGGCCGGGACACTCACCAATATCGTAAAAATAGTGAACTTCGGTCGGATCCATGAATAAGCCGACCGCCAACGAATGAACGGGGGCGTCGCCCCAGCGCTCGAAGAAGAACCCGCCTCGCTTGTCGAGATAGTCAAAGTAGTCGAGATAATCGCTGGATCTGAAAAAGTCCAAGTCGCCGATCTCAAAGTTGGACCAGAAGTGCGCCAGATTGTATTCGGACTTGGAATCGATCTTGTCCTTGGGCTTCTCAAAGGCTTTGAGGTGAGGCGGGAAGGCCATTTTGCGGTTGTACATGTAGTCCAGTGTCGCGTTCCAGAGGGTGGGTATGGTTGTCTCGGTCTCTTCTGCCATAATGTTGAAGCCGTAGCGCTTCTTGTGAGTGCGCATCAGCTCAAATGGATCGTAATTGAGTTTGCAGTAAAAGCTCACGTCGGGCTCGATCTGAAAGGGCGAGCGAGTGGTTACCAAGTGTTGTCCGGAACTCTGGCATTTGCAAAAGCTAAACCATGGATGCTATAAACGGGTTCTGCGAAACTGGGAAAGGATGGTGATGCCTCGCTGGAGGGAAGACAAGCTGAATTGATGGTCCGTCGCGTCACTTGCATCTCAGCCTTTCCTATCCAGCGGGATCTCGGGAGTGTCTCAAGGTATGCAGATCGCGTGTCCAGGCCGCTGTTATGTGGGGCCATACCCTCCAGTAATATTTGAAGTCCTTGAGGGCCTCCTGCTGGGCAAAGAACCCAGAGTAGAAGCGACACATGTGGTGATAGCTCTCTTTCCCACCATTGACGTCCTTCTTGGACTGCTCCTTGATGGACGCCTCCACTTCCTTTCGGCTGAAGGCACGCGGAATGGACCAATGGGCCTCGGTGATGACCTCAAACCGGACTGATGCATTCGTCGCACCGAGGATGGCGTCCTTGAACTCTTGGTTGAATGGCTCGTGATTAAAGAAGATATACGGGTACCGGTGGCGAGCGTTGAAAGTGGGCTCGAAGGTTCGCAGAGTTTTCAAGATGCCATCTTTGTCGGAGTTGCGGGCAAGGGCGATGATGCATGCGTTTTCCCGACCGATGCGGCCAGGGCCCAGCGAGAGCGGCGAGGCGACTTTGAGGCCGTTCGTGGCGACCATCCGATTGTGGGGCTGTTCTTGACCCACCAAATAGACAAGGCCAACACAGATCATGGCGATGCTGAACAGACTCAGCGTGAGAAGCATGCTCCGCAAAGCCAGTATCATTGTCGAGGACTTGGAGCAATCGGTTTGGGGGAATCGGGACGTTCAGGTGGATGAGTCGAGCAGAGTCGACGGGCTGTATCTGGTGGCGAGAGAACAGAGCGCGAGGCGCTGGGCATGAGACCAATACAAGTACAAAGAGGGTAAGCAGATATGTCAGCCGGGTCGACAATAGCCTGGCCATCGGTGCATGGCATTGTGTGGCTAGACGCTGCGCGACCCGCTGATTCAGTGGCTTGATTCGGCCAGCGTTGCAATGTTCCCGGAGGCAAGCGGGCGATGCCCACCACCTTCGCGCTTGCAGCCGACGCCGCCACTTCCATGAAACCACCAAGCGCCAAATACTCCCCCACCACCGACACAGCCACCCCCCGGACAAGCGCGCGGGCGTGGTGGGGACGTGCGCAGCAGTCACCGCCACTGTTCTGTGTCCGCCACCGTCCGCTGCTGTCCGCTGTTGTCCGCTGTATCGTACATGTGCGGCCCCGCCGGCGTTCCATTCTCTCCTCGCGTGGCTGCCGCCACCCGTGTTGTTTGGGATCAACAAAGGCGCCATTATTTTCTCCACCTTCCTTTTCTTCGCTTTCGGCCTGGCCATCGCTTCGTTGACTTCATCCATCCCCCCAACACCATCCCGCACCGAATCCATATCCGCCATGCGCTCTGTTCTCCCTGCGTTGCTCTGGCTCTCGGCCGCGGCTGCCCCCATGGCCTTGGCCCAGCCTGCGTACAGCTGCGATCCAACCGTCTGCAAGCTGCCCAACTGCACCTGTGCCAGCCCCACACCTCCTGGCGGCATCGCCCCGCAGCAGGCTCCCCAGTTCCTGATGCTGACCTTTGATGATGCCTTGACCCAAGGTAGATACAGATCCAGAAACGATCCTGAGATCGCTGCTGTGCTGCCGGCGAGCTCATGATTCAGGGCGGGCTCATGATTCGGGGGGACCGTGAGCGTTTACTCACTCGTGTTCTGGCACAGACACCTATGATGTGGTCACGGCCTTGGCTGGAAGCCGCAAGAACCCAAACGGCTGTCCAGCCCAGATCACATTCTACACCCAAACCTACTACACCGACCCCCTCTTGGTAACCCAGCTCTATGCCCGCGGCCACGAGATCGCCGACCACACCATGTCCCACGGCGCCTATCCCGGCCCTCAGAAGGCCGGTGTCTATGAATACATCGAATACGAAGGAAACCGCGCTTTCCTCAACCGATACGCCGGCATTCCTCTTGGCAAGATCAAAGGTGTTCGTTTCCCATTCCTGAACTACAGTACCGATGCCCTCAACATGATGAAGAAGATGGGATTCCTCTATGACTCCTCGATGAGTGCCGGCGGAAACACTCTCTACTGACCTTACACTCTCGACTATGGAGAGGCCACGGGATGTACCGACCAGGTCAACGTTTGTGGTGATCCAAACTTGAAAGCTCAAGGAATGTGGGAGGTTCCACTGTACGAGACCGGAGGTAACACTCGATGCTCCCGCCTGCAACTGCTCCCGCTTGTAACTGCGACTGCGACTGCAACTGCGACTGCGACTGCGACTGCGACTGCACCTGCACCTGCATCGGCGGCCGGTGGGTCGTTGTCCCTCGCTGCCATGACTGACTTGATTCTCTGGCGTGTCCGATCTCTCCCCAGGTGCCAGCGGTATCCATCTCATGGATCCTTACAACGATCCCACCATCACCAACCCCATCTCGCTCGACACTGTCTATTCCGAGTACGCCTCGACCTTCGACAGCCACTACAACGGGAACCGGGCCCCCTTTGGCGTTTACACACACCCTGTCTGGCTCACCGGCGCCTCGACCTCGCCCAACGGCCTCAACAAACAGGCCACGGTCGCAAAGTTCCTCGACTATGCAATGAGCAAACCCGATGTGTGGATGATCACCGGATCCCAGATGGTCGAGTACATGAAGAACCCGGTCCCGGCCAGCCAGCTCGGCTCGCAGCCATACATGCAGTGCAAGAACACGGCGCCGACCAACATCTGCAACGGACTCGGACCGGCGTCGCTTGCCGAGACATGCAACTTCCTCACCGGCACAATGCATGTGAGTGTCCCGAGTGGCTCTGGGGACTCTGAGCGGTGCTGGATGAGCGTCTGCTGCTGCACTTGGTGCATTCTCTGCTGCTGCACTCGGCGCTGTCTCTGCTTCTGCACTCGGTACACTCTGCTGATGCACTCGGTGCTGTCTCTGCTGCTGCACTTGGTGCATTCCCGACCGTTGGTCTTGCTTTGGATTGATCCGAGTCACTGTGTCGCTCTGGCATGGGTGGTTCGTTTGCCAACACCAGCAAATGACACAACACTTCTCCCACAGACCTGCTATGGCTGTCCCAGCGTCGTTCCCGACATCCCGAACCCACTTCCTTCGTCGAGCAGCAGCCGCTATCCCCTCCCGACCAACTGCGACACACTCTGGTGGGACCCGGTTGCGGGCAAGTGTCTCTGCAACGACGCCTCGTGTGCCTATCAGGACCAAGCTCGCCCCATCAACTTTGATCAAGGCTCGCTCGATGCCGCGAACAGCACAGGCAATACCCCTTCTCCGACTGGATCCGGCAAAAGCCATGCCTTCGCCACCAGTCCGTCGTCGGTTGTCTTGTCTGTCCTTGCATTTGGTGCTCTCGCTATGATGATCTAGAGACCACGGATATGTTCCCAAGGCCATGTCACTAGCCCGTGTCTGTTGCCTCTAGAGACGGCTTGGGGCTTCGAGCACCACACCGGTGCCATGCTCCTCAAGCGATCCGGAGAGCAGAGCGCCTGTGATGCTTTCTTGGCTTTGTTGGTGCATGCATCTTTTAATTTAAGCCTCTTCTTTATGGACCCATTGTCTTGATGGTCTCTGGCACAATATGCCGTATTATTAAACCTGCTCTATTCACTCGGTGCGATCGGATAGAGAATATATCGTTTATTTATCAATTTCGTGCTCAAAACGAAGGGCACTGTGTCTCTGAGACTCCTTCACATCCACCGTTACCTGTTGATCGTGTTCGGAGGCTCACTCTCGACAGTTCATATGAACCCGACCCTCTGGACAGCTCCATGGGCTCGACGGATCTCACCCTGCTTCCATAACACGCTCTTTGGTCGGGGCGGAATAGGTGTGTATTCAAGGTCCAGAAAGTAACAACCCTGACTCGAGACAGCTTCTCGTTTCGCTTCGGATGTACTGGAGCTTCGGGATGCTTCGACGGCGACCCAACCTTGTGGAGATCGACACCCCTGACCCACAGGCTTTGTCGAGGAAGCCACCCACATACAAGCCCATCATCGGTCGAGGTAAATCAAAGATTCAGTTGTAAGCATTCTACAGACGCACGTTTTCCATTCCATTGACGAGCTGGTCAATGCGGATACGGGCGGCGCCTTCACTCCGTCCAGACGTATTCCGGCCGAACGACGCCTCCGCAGCGACGCCAGAGGACGGATCGGTTTGCATGGCTTCGCCGAGACCCGGGCGGTGGGCGGTACTTGTGAGGGGAAAGGCAGGAGCGACGGAGATGAATGACGCCGGCTGCGGCTGGTGGCTGAATGATGGGTAGGTCGCAGACACCGGGCTTGGCTGCTGGAAGACGTTGCTGACCACGGGTGCGGTGGGTGAGGCGGGGGAGACTGTCGGTGAGGTTGCAAGAAGGCTCGATTGGATGGAGACAGGGACGGTCTGGGTTCAAATTGGTGAAGGTTGAGGCGGGAGGTTACATCGGCAACGGGGTCTGAAGGCGATGCTCACGAGAGAGGGGAGAGTGGCGGTCTTCCGGGAACAAGTGGATAGACCTCGCAGATGACTGGCTCCCTTGGACAGCGATTCCCTCTCGTGTGTCCGTTCGGTGCGGTGATGAGCATACCACGAAGCCGCCGCCTCCGTAGGAGCCATAATCGACCCAGGTTACAGTGAACTCTTCTTGCATGATTTTGGCACGGGCTGACGCTGGGAGCTTGGGTGCGGGAAGTTGGCCAAAGACAGACGGGAGGGTATCGATGGTCCCACGAGCGAGCGTGGGAGAAGACGGGGACGGTAGCGAGTTTGGCCTGGGATGCGATGCAGCAGAGGAGGGCGGAGGTCGCAGAGATATCCGGACGATGTTGTTGGGGGCGGACCTGTTTCGGCGTGGATGGGCAGGCGTGAAGGGGCTTGTGCGCGTGTTGTTTTCGCACAGCCCCTTGCATAGCATCGCACAAACCGCCCCTCCTGGACCGATACGGACGGCAAGCTGTCCCATGTTGCGTCCGAGGCGAGTTCGGCGAAGGCAGGAGCGAGCCCCACGATGATGAAAGTGTGCCTTGAAGCGTGCCTCGAAGTGCGCTCTGGAGCGGACCGCAATCACGGCCGTGCCTGGGAAGGAGCCGGATCCAAGGCGATTGCACCGGCCTGGGTGTTCAAACATTCTCGACTCTGCTTCTCTCCACACCCCAACACACCCTGATACAACCGTAAGATTCACCCGTCCACCCTCGGGCCTATCGAGTTTCACTCTACTGCCCGGGTAACACCGGACGGGTGGTTTTCCCCGATTCTACGGATCTTCTTCATTTGATCTCCATCTCAAAGTTGGCACGGACAGGCGTGATGAGGTGCCATGCCAGCGCAAGCGAGACACTGCCCATGGAAGCTAGCCCTATGATGGTCGCAAAGACGATGCGCGGATAGAATGTTCCGTCGGTCTGAAGAGTTGCCAGAATCGACGGAAAGTGTGTGTTGGGGGGGGGGATGCGATCGGGATGAACGAGCTGCAGGTTATTCGTGTGAAATACATCGACCAGAGGCGCAGATACAGGCCATCGCCAGCAATGCCGATAGAGTGGGGGCGACGCATCTGCGAAATGCACAGCGCATCCCTCATGGACACTTGCGCTGCACTTACGATGCTCTGTGTCGGCGGTATGCTGCCGGGCTGGACCTTGGGAATCGAATTGAGGATCAGGATCAAGAACAGCAGAAACAGGACGCATCCAAATTGGATGGCGCTGTGTCGCGACCGAGAGACGGCGATCGTGAGTTATCATTTAGCAAACGTGTAAGCGCAATGACCATGCCGAAGCGACGAAAGGCCGAGAGAACAAGAAGGAATCGAGTGGGATGGAGAAGGATATCCGAGAAGGCACGATAAGGTCAGAACCCGGAACTCGCTCGCACCTGGAATACTCGCTGTGGCTGAAGGCGAAGCACACGCAAAAGAGGATGCCCGCAACAACCAGGCACAGACACAGGGCCCATCCGAGTCCGGCGATCCGCAGCGAGTTGGGCGTCACGATCGAGGCGGTCGCGGCAATAGTTGCAGTTGCGTTCGACATGGGGAGCTTTCTGCCAATGCCCTGTGAAGCCAGAAGGAATCGTTTGTGGTGCGGGAGGGGGGTGAGCGAGAGAATAGCGGCCTTCTGTTACGCGATTTGGTGGCGAGATGAGCCGCGATGGCCAGAAGCAAGGTGTCAGGGATGGGGATGGTGGTGGTGATGGAGGCGATCTGCGGCGCGCATGCGCTAACGAACATGGTCATGATTTTTACTGGCGCCATGGCGTGCAATCCGCTGGTGGGCGATGAACCAGGAGGGAACCGAAGCCACACCGCCCATGCCAGCACCCCCACCCACAGCTCTTTGCAGATCAAACGGTTCCTGAACAACGCAGTGATATTGGAAATACGAAACTGACAAGACAGAAAGGAGAAATCAGGCAGGGATGACTGGACAACAGGACAACAGGACAACAGGACAACAGGACAACAGGACAACAGGACAACGTCAAAAATACGCGTCGCATTGACAGCTGCGAAACAGCGAGCCTGAGGCGCAGCAGCGGTGATGGTGATGGCGATGGCGATGCCGAAGCAAGCGACTCCTCAGTCAAATCGAGGCTGTTCCAATCGAAAGAGCAAAATAGTAATAATAAATGGTGCAAGTGGCATAACAGACATAAGGAAAGGCAATTGAAACTAGAGCCGACACTGACAAGGGAGGTTGCATGGGAGAGAAGCGACAATGACTCTGCGAAATGGCTATGGGATTTCACGGCCCCATGCCGAGTCCAACACAGGACATCCGACAGAGCCGGAGCAATGGGGCTTTGGGGGGGGGGAGCAACGAACCGTACGCACTCACTGGGGATGGCTCCTGCTCATGCCCAGGACAGAGGCAAGGGCCCTCCACATGGCGGCATTTCGGGCATTCAGCGACGCCGTGCGGATGCCGCTGCCGATGCTCGTGACCGAGAGCGACGACGACGAGGCTGCGGCCTTGAGTCTCCTCCAGGTGGTTTCGCCCTCGATCGGGCTACTGTTGTTGTCGTCGGTGCCGCTCTGGCGGTCAGTGCTGCGGTCGCCTGGGCGGCTCAGCGGGTCTGGCTGGAAGGACGGATTCAGGCGGGCAACGGCCTCTTCGATTGTCTGCACAGGAACGGCCACCGATCCCGGACCGGAGGGTTGGTTGACGAAGCCGGATGGGCTCGCATCCGCGGTCACCTGTTTGTCGAGGAGATTTCGAGGCAATTTGCGGCGCAGGAGGATGGTCGAGCCCGAGCACCGGAGGGAATGGCGTGATCGAACAGGAGGGAGGAGGAAGAAGCGGGTTTGGAGATGTGAGGGCCACAACAAGCAGAGTGCCACGACAAGCAGAGGACGACATGGGTGGATGATTTATTCCACGCAGGCCTCGGGCAGCAGCGAGATGGAAAATGGCGCAAATCACCCCAAGAACAACACGCCGCCTGCCCTTCTACAACTGGACACGGGTAACTCCAAGGCACACCAAGAACCCAAACGGACGAGCCCACAACTCAAAACGGCTCAAACGAGTCAGCCCGACACTTCTCCTCTCTCAAAGGACGGTGGCAAGAAAGTATATATACAACAGGCCCAGCGTCGTGTCTCGGATACACAGTCGAACCAAGCGAAAAGACCCGAGCAAAGTCACCACCTCCCCTTTCCTGCGCTGGCTCCAACAGCATCGCAATTCTATACAAAGTATGGCTGCCCAAGAGCCGATTCGCTTTGGTTGTGAGCATGGCAGGGAAGAGGAAGGGGACATCGCCCGGGAAAGAAAAAGCAAAAGCAAGGGGGGGTTCTATCGGCTCTGGATCGGGGGAGGGAGGAGCGACGACGTTGGTCGTCTACTGAGTCTTTTGGGTACCCACTTGGATCGCAACGGAGCCGTCCACAAAGGTGCGCGAGCTCGAGCTGGTCTGGTCCGAGCCGCTGTCTTGCTCCATGAGGTAGGTGATGTCGTCCCAGGGGTGGCGGTACAGACCCTGCTTCAGGCGCTTCTGGTCGAGGTAGTGGCCAATGAAGCCAATGCTGCGGCCGAGCACAAAGAGACCGTTGAGGGTGCCAATGTTGACGTACTCGTCGGCTTCATCGCGGCTGAAGGCGCCGCAGCTTCTCAGAAGATCCACAAAGGCAACACCAACGGCGCCGTCGACGTTGAGGATCAGGTTCTCCTTCTTGGCTGTGGTGATGTTCTCGACCTCGATGGCGTACTTGAGGATCTCGCAGCTGGGGAAGTTGTTGAAGACAAAGTCCTTGACGATGGACACACGCAGATCAGGGTTGGTGCGCGACTTAATCTTGTGTCCAATGCCGAGAATGAGCTGGTGCTTCTTGCGCATCGAGTCGACGTATTCCTGAGGCGAGAGGCCCTTGTCGTAGGCGGCCGAGAAGCTCTGGGCAGCGCCATCGAGGGCGCCGCCAAAGCGCTCACCAATGGTCAGCAGACCCGAGACCAGGGAGGAGATCAGATCCTTGCCGGCACGAGCGGTCACAATGGTGTTGTGCGCTGTGGCGAGTTTGTGGCGGGAGTGCAGACGAGGTCAGGAATCAGTCGCATCAAAGACAATGGGCCATGATAATTGATCTCCAATGGCTGCAGGGCAACAACACAGCGGCAGGGCAGCGACACAGCGACAAGGCAGCGACGCAGCGACAACACAGCGACAATCAGACCAAAGCAGAGTGAGTGACAGCGCCAATGGCAAAGGGACCAGGAAGAAGCTCACCTCCAGAGACAGCCGGTCCGTGGTCGGCGGTCAGCATCAGAACCATCTCGATGAAGCGCGAGGCGTAAGGGGGCAGGCGGCGCTTGAACCACAGGAGCGACAGGACGCCGCCCACACCAATGTCCTCCTTGAAGACGGCCGAGATCGACATGCCAGCATACAGGAGCTCCTGTCCACGGTCGTCGCAGATGGTGGAGATGAAGGAGGCGGGCTTGCGGATCAGGCCGAGCTCCTGGGCCCAGGCATAGTCGATGGGGATCTTTGGGGGCTCGGGCTCGGGGACAACCTTGACGACGGCAGAGCTGACCAGCTGGGAGAAGGTCTCGCTGAGCACGCGGGGCAGATCCTCAAAGGTGTTGGGGACGATAACGCCACTGGAGCGCAGGGAAGAGTTCTTGCTCTCGGCCGTCTCGAGGTCCGAGTTGGCAAAGGAGCCGGCGTGGCCAAACTGCACATCGGTGGTGAACATCTTGGCGCAGGTGCCGATGCACCAGGCGACGACGGGCTTCTTGATCTGGCCAGACTTGACGGCCTCGGCAATGCGGTACTCCTCAACACCACCGACCTCGCCGAGCAGAACCATCATCTTGGCGTTGGGGTCCTTCTCGAAGCGCATCATGTGGTCGATGAAGGTCGAGCCAGGATAGCGGTCACCACCAATGGCCACGCCCTCGTAAACGCCGTTGGTGGCGCGCGAAATGATGTTGTTGAGCTCGTTGGACATGCCGCCGGACTTGGAGACGTACGCGACCGAGCCAGGACGGTAGAGCTTGGACGAAACAATGTTGTCCATCATGCCGCCGGTGTTGCCGATCTTGAAGCAGCCGGGGGTGATGCCGCCAACGGTGGCCGGACCGATGATCAAGACATTTCGCTGCTTGGCCTCCCACAGCAGCTGACGACTGCGCTTCTCGGGGACGCCCTCGGCGATGATGGCAATGGTGCGGATCTGAGGGAACTGCAGGAGCTCGCGGGTGCTGTCGTAGACACTGCGGAAGGAAGCAAAGTTGACGACAACGGTGGCCTCGGGGAACTTGCTGACAGCCTCCTCGATCGAGGTGTAGACAGGAATGAGGGTCTCCTTGGTGCCCCAGTAGAACTTTTGGACGTGGTGGCCACCGAAGGGGTAGATCATGCAGCAGACGGACGGACGCTCGCGCTTGCACATAAAGTCAAAGTCAAGCATGCCCTGGACGGCCTTGGGCTGCATGCCATAGATGAGAGCGCGGGTGTTCTTGGTGAAGGGCTGCCAGAAGCCCTGGGGCAGCTTGCTGAGATCGATTTCGGCGGTCTGGGCGGCACCAAAGCCGTTGTCGACGATGCCGCTGCTCATCAGGGAGAGGCCGTTGCCGAGCTTGACGGCTGCGTTGATTTTGCAAACGATAGCAAAGATAGCGAGGCAGTGAGGGGTCAGGGTCAGCACAAAGTAGGCGGGCGACTGGAAAGAGCACACCGCAGCAGCCCAAAGCAATGCAGATAGACTTGGTTCGGAAGATGCAGGGCAAGACACTCACCTCCCGACTCGTCGAGGATGCCCATCTCCTTGGCCTTGGCTTCGCCGAGAAGCTCGAGGGGCACAATGCCGGTGACAAACATCTCGGGACCGTAGACGCGGACAGGGACACCGATGGACTCGCCGCACAGGCGCATGGCCTGCAGACCCTCCTGGTAGTTGGGGCCGGCACGGCGCACCGAAATGCGGACCTTGTGCTGCTGGAGCTTGTGCTTGTACTCCTCGAGGGCACGGATCAGACCCTTGAAAGTGGTCGAGACGTTGGTGAAGTTGGCAATGCCACCGCCGATGAACAGAATCTGGTTGAATCGAGAGGGCAAAGCGCCCGAGGATGTTAGACGAGACAGAACAGGGACAAATGGAACAGAGATCAAAGGTCTGGGGGCCACTGCAGCGGCACCACTTTTAGCCTAGCTATACAAAACAGCGGCGCAGGGGCTGGGTGTAGCAGTGTGCCAGCCATGCAGGGTCACCGTTTACAGCACAGCATAGCACAGCACAGCACAACAACCTACCTTGCCATCGGGGTTGGGAGTACCACGGGTCATAAGATCCAGGATGGTCTTGGCGTACTCGTAGGTCTGCGACTCGGAGGGAGCGCCCGAGTACTCGCCGTAGTTGGCCAGCTCGTGGGCGTAGCCCAGAGCAGCAATGGCGTCCGAGTAGACAACCGAGGCGCCGCCACCGGCAACCATGGTCCAGATGCGGCCCTTGGGGTTCAGGACGGTCAGCTTGAGGGAAGCGCCGGTCTTGGCATCGAGTTCGGCAATGTAGGCTTCCTCCTTGCTCAGCTCACGACCAAAGGGAGCAGGGAATTCGATGGTGGGAACACGTCCAGCATCGGCGAGGTAACCGGCCTGGAGACCAGTGGACCACTTCTTGCCGCATTCGTACTCGGCGGTCTGGTCGAGCTTGGCAGCCAGATCAAGGTAGAAGACAGAGCTGGAGTTGGGGCCGCTCTCGACGACAACCAGGGGGTTGATTTCGAGATAGGTGAACTGCAGGTCGGTATAGACGGCATAGAGGCGGGTCACAAAGTCGACGAGGGTGGCCTTCTTGGATTTCGAGGCAACATCTGCATGGGGAAATAGCGGCGGCGGTACATGAGCAATGGCGGCGCGGAGGGCTGCGGGTGATATGGAGGGCATCCGAGCACCCATTCTCGTGGGGGGGGGAGAGTTGGGAGCGCTAACGAATGGGGGGTGAGCGAATTTGCAGGAAATCATACCTATCAGCAGAGTGGACTCGATTTCCTGAGCAGACGGGAAGGCGGTGTTGACACCGACGAGCAGGCGCTTGGCCTTGGCGTCGACATCGCCGACGTCGACACCACCCTCGTGGGTGAAGAAGATCATATCGCCCTCGCGGATGGACTGGATGCAGATGTAGTATTCCGAGTCCTGGGAGTGAGGCACAAAGGGCTCGACCAGGAAGGTGTGCAGATAGCCCTTGGTGCGCTCGAGCTGGAGACAGAGCACAGGCAAGCGAGGGTGGAAGCGGAAGCGCATGTGAATTAGGCATGGCAGCTGTAGCAATGCAATCAGGGGGGGAAGAAGCATGGCTCACCTGGAAGATCTTGCCGGCACGGACACGAATCCACTCCTTGGCGGCGGCCCAGTCGAGGTTGATGCCGAGCAGGCCGTTCTTTCCGCGGCGCTTGATGAGCTGATCGGGCTTGCAGACGAGCTTGGTGGTCAGGAGCCACGGGTTCTGGGCCTCGACGGCGTTGAAGACCTGGTCGATCGAGGCGCTGAACTGCTTTTCGGCGATGGCGGCGTTCTCTGATGAAGAGAGAATGGAAATGTCGAAGGCAATGTGGGCCAGGCGAGCAGGAGCCAGGAAGGACGGCGGGGCAACGTCGGTGGTGACGGTGCTATCCTTGGCGATGCCGAGCTTGGGCAGCCAGTGGGCGAGCAGCAGCTTTCCGTCGAATTCTCGAATGGCCTTGGCAGACATGGTGGATGCTAATGCTGATGCTGATGCTGATGCTGATCAAAGGGAAAGAGGAGATGGGCGATGGGGAGCAAAAGTCGCGACGGGTGGTATAACAAGTCTGCGATCCAGCGGGCAGATAGGCGGACGGCGGCGGAAGTGGAAAAGAAAAGGGCGCAGAGGATGGAGGCGTGGGATTGCAGCGGAGGCAACGGTGGGGCGACCAGCGAGCACGGCGGGAGCGAGAGGGAGACAGAGACAGATCAGTCGGTGATAACGGTGCAGACAACCCCGGCGAATGCCGATAACACCCTGGCGGCCAGCGACGGGGTGCATGAGGCGGAGCAGACGCGCAACCAAAACACCAGGGAGCATGCTGCCAGGCCAGGGCACGTTTTCAGGCCAGGCCCAAAATGGAAGGCCTGAAGACGAGCCGAGGCAGGCCAGCAATCCACCGTGGCGGGCTGTGGGCAGCGAGATGCAGCAGAATGCGGCGAGGCGCATGGAGTTGCATGGAGTTGCATGGGATGGGATACATGTGGCCGCAGGGCGATTGCAGCAAAGGCACCGGCGTATACAGCACGATGCAATGTGTGCTGGGAGAGAAGCTCGTGACGAGACGAAAGCATCGCATAGATGATGGAAAGCGCTGGAGCTGTGCTGCTGCTGGCTCGCTCGCTGACGCATGATCGCTGGCTGGGCATTTACCTACAGATCCGGGGCTTGTGGGGAGGGGCAAGAAGAAGCAACTTTGCAACGACCAGGATGAGACGGATCGGTGCACAAAGCGATGCTGGCAGCCGAGCCGAGGGGTGGTCGCCGGGGCTTTTATAGCCGCCTGCTGGAGTCATGACCAGCTCCGACCGGGTTGGCCAGCAAGCACTCCGCGAGCAACAGGCGGGGGGCCGAGCCCCAACGGGCGGCTGGGGTTTGGGGAGGGCGTGTGTGTGTGCAGAGGCAATTTCTGATTGGGCGCGCACGCTCCGCCGACAAGGCCGCCGCCGCCAGCGAATGGGCGCGGGTGTCTGGGCATGTCTGCCGTGTCAGCGGAGGGGCGGCGTGGGCAGCGCGGGGCACTGTGGGCGCTGTGGGCAGTGTGCAACTGGCGGGTCGGGAATGTAAGAGACATTGGCCTCATCGACAACAGCACCAAGCGGCCAGCGCGATAATATTACCGCATTGCCTCCATCATCCGAGACAGCATTAACGCTGCATCCAAAACAGCCATGACATTCGCCGAGACCGCCGCCTCTGTGTCGCGGTGGCTCGCCCCGCCTTTTCCCATTGGTGCGCGTCGCACGGCCACGCTCCCTTTTTCGGATAGGCCCGGCTGCTGACCATCGCAAACCATCACACCGCCGACACCTCCATCGCCCTATGCAGACGGCATATGAATGGCATATGAACGACATATGAGTGGCATATGAGCGGCAGGCTCCCGGGGCGGATGAACATCTGCGCGTGTGCACGTCGCAGCCGCTGTCGACGGGAAGGCGCCGGCCTGCTTGCGATCGAGTTTGCATGCGTGGGATGTATCTGGCAAGACATGCATCGTCGCTGCGTCGTATCGACGGAGGGCAGTCGGTCTGATATCCCCACACTCCTTTGCGACGATAGCAGATCAAGGAAAAAAAAAAGTGCAGACGAGCTGGTGGGTGGGTGAATGGATGGGCAGAGTCGTCAAGTTGACTCAGCGGGCCGCGAAAGCGCATCATCGAACCCAGGGCAAGGGCACCCAAAGCGATTGCATCGACTGCGTATGGTGGGTGTGGTGGGTGTAGGTGGGCGTAGGTGGGCGTAGGTGGGCGTAGGTGGGCTGATAGGAAACGAATGTTCATCGCCCCGAGCGGTGGACGGATTTGATCAAAATGCCCAAGCGATGGACTGGGTTGGACTCGTGTTCATGCAATCCGCCATCTGCGATCATGGGCAAATGTCCTCCATGATCGCTGCCGGCCCATTGCCCTCCCATCGCCCATCCCTGCGACATCAACGCACCGCGGACGAGCGCTCTTTGTTGTTGCTCCTGCCCACTCCCGGCTGCAGGCAGGATGGACTTGCTGGCCGCCGGCCTTGCGATCTCTCGCACCAACCAGCTGTCGTCCTGGCCTCGTTGTCGCCCTGCCCTTCCCGGCCGTGTCTTTTTTGGGGAGGAGGAGCCGGCGGTCGCCCTCCCCCCGGCCTGCCGCGGGTGCTGCCAGCGACGATGTGTGGGCTCCAAGCCGGCTTCAAGCCGGCTCCGAGAGTCGGACCCGCTCATCTTTTGGGGGCGGCGGGCTATTATGGGTTGCGGCTGTCCTTGGACGTCGCTGCTGGCGCTGCTTGGACCCTGTCGGCCAGCGCCGTCGGGTCTTGGGTCTTGCGAGAAGATCCCTCCAGCCCCACAACCAACCAACCAACCAACCAACCAACCAACCAACCAACCAGCCAGCCAGCCATTCGGGCTCTGGATGCTGTTGCTGTGGGCTCCCAGCCGCCGTCCACCATCATCTGCCGCCGCCAGGGACGGACGCTCAGATACGACCAAACCCGCTTGGTCGTTCTCGGCCGAGTGCATGATCTGATCTAACCATTGTGCCCTGCTGTCTCATCAGCACGTTGCATCGGTTCTCTGGCCCTGGCGCTTGGCTGTTCCCATCCGTCGCTTCAGGTGCCCCGGCCGCAACACTCTCAGCAGCGACGGCTGCAGCCCGACAAAACCTGGCTGTCGGCCATCACATGAAAATGGCTCGCCCACTCTCGTTCCCACCCCCTTCCACACTCCACAGCACCGCCCACCCCTGCACACCGCCATCAGAAAAGCACGCCCCCGCCGTCCGTAACGTCATCCATGGGCCAGCTCGGGTGTGCGGGTGGGTGAAGCGGAGACACGATCAATCACATCCCAACCCTTGGCTCACTGTCACATCCCGGCTTGCATAGAGTTTGTTCTGCTCCATAGTCCACACAGCCTCCGCGGCGGCAACAGCAGCGGCGATCGAATGATTCCGTCAGGGATATTGGGCCCCTCCCTCCAGTCAGGACGGTTCGCTGTGCTTTGTGACGCTCTATTATCCGCCATGACCGGATCGCTACTGCTTGCTTCAGTTACATGGTTGATAGCCATAGTCTCGCCAAACCGACGATTGCCGTTCCAACAGGCCCCGGGACTTCAAGACGATGGTGATCTATCGAGTGGGCAGATCGTATCCAGTGAGTTGCATCGAGTGAGTTGTATCGACAGCTCTCTTCAGTACCCATGCTGTTTTCTGGCGCAACCAACGACAGGCTCTGCGGCATTGCCCGTCTGCCCGGCAGTTCATTATTTGGGCAGGCTTGTGAGATATCCGCATCTGAGACACTTCATCCGTCCAGACTTGAGCACCGTAAAGCTGTCGCCACCACAGCTGCTGCACACCAGCCCGCCTTCGTCGTCGGCCTCAGCCTCGGTGGGTCCGCTGCTCAGCGCTGGGCTGGACTCGGCCTGTAGCGACTTTGCCTTGGGCCGACCGTCATTCGTTGGATGTGCTCCGAGGGTGGCCAACAAAGCCGACGGCGCCGAGGCATCGATCGGCACCGATTCAGCCCGCTGCTCGGCGCTGCTCGAGACCGATCCGCTCGAGCCTTCTTTGATCGCCACCGGTATCTCACGCTGTGTCTGGCTCGATCGCGGCGATGCCAGTCTCTCCGTCAGGGACTTGATCGACATCACAATCGAGTGAGAGTGGGACCGCTGCCGCGTGACGATCGGTTCAAACCCGGAGGACGATCGCTGGTGCGTGGGAATCTCGATCTCGGACGGCCCGCGTTGGATACTTCGGGGCGCCGTTCGGTCGGGAAATGCATCCGTGCCACTCCGAGCATGGTGCAGGCCATCGCTGTCTGACGGGGCCGCCAATCGTCTTGCTGTGGATGTCGCTGACTCTGCCGCCGTCGTGAGCGACCCTGCTCTGCTTGTTGTCGATGCGTCCCGCGTGGCCGATGCCAGAGATGTCACCGAGGTTGCTCCATGCGCCAAGGCTAGGGCTGCCGATGTCGATGCTCCGGCTGAGACTCTTCGCTCGCGCTGCGCTAGGTGAGTTGGACTGCCTCGGCCCGAGGCCGCGCCTTCTTGCAGCGACGATGGCGGGGGCTCTGGAATCTGCGACGACAGGCTGGCTCGACCCGAAGGCCCTGTTGTACTTTGCCGCCCCGACCCGAGGGATGTCCGTGGACGCAACCCACTGTCCCGACTCAGCGTTGCTGTTGTCGAGCCCATACCTGAAAGCGGGGGCCGGGAAACCAGGTCGCCCGAGGAAATGCTGCTGATCGACTGGGCTGAAGTCAGCGTCCGCGGTAGAAACGAAACATCCGTGGGATTCTGGACCATGTGGACCGATGATGATTTGGCGAGGCCGGTGCTGGACGTCGGCAGCGTCAGCAGGACGCTCTGGGCCTTGTTCGGCGCGTTGCTCGGGCTCGGGCCTGGATATCGATCCGGCTGTGCGGCGCTGTGGATGTGGAGATCGCCAGCAAGGTCCGAGCTGATCCCGGTGCTCTTGGTTGGAATCGTCGGTGTCCGGGCCAGGCCGCGCAGGATCGAGCTGCCTGTGCTTGTGCCGCTGGATTTCCCCATGCTGACGCTGGCCGTGGGCGAAAACATGGGGCCGAGTGAGTTTTCACTCTCGTAGACCCGCATGAGTCCGCTCGCATCGACCGAAACGAGAATCTGAGAGTAGACTTGGTCCATGGGAGCGTCGGCCTCGGCCGGAAGCAGGCCGCGCCGGAGCCGAGACTGCTCCAGATATACACGGGTGCCGCTCGGGGCGAACGCTGTGCACAACACAGGCTCCTCCAGCCCCGAGAGTTTCAGGATGTACTTTGTTTGGTTGTCGAGATGCCAGCCCATGAGTCCGCCAAAGAGGGCGCTGCCGCTGCTGCTCGAGGCCGTAGTGCTGTGTAGGGGCGAGTGCAGGTGGACGGTCTGGAGGGCCGAGTTTTCGTCCAGACAGGTGTTCCAGATGTAGATGGCCTTTTCGTCCGAGCCCGAGACAATGTACCGGCCGTTCCACGAGCAGCTTGCTCGACTGGACGCCGAGCGATGCTCTGAGCCCTTGAACTTTTGAAAGAGCGATTTGTCGCGCAGATTGTAGATGCGCACGCGCGAATCGCTCGAGGTAACCAGGATCTTCTCGTCTTCGAGGACGATCTGCGGGTCGGGCTCCTGGTTCAGGGCCGCGACGAGTTTGGTGCCCTGGTACTTGGCCATGATCTTTTGCTCAAGCGTTCGGTTGGGAATCCGCTCGATGCCAATGATGCGCTTCCCGCCCCGGACGCTCCGGCTGCGGCTCAGGGCCTTGACCTCGATTTGCGTGTGGTACTTGAGTCCGTTGAACTCGAAAAAGACCAGGTCGCCCTGGTCGCTTCCGCAGATGACGAGGTCGCCTGCCAGATTGAAGCACAGGGCCGTGACGCTGCTGTCCAGGAAGATCATTTCGTTCCAGAACTTGACCTTCTTTTCCACCAAGGACCACACCCGGATCTTGCGGTCGGCGCACGAGCTGACAAAGTACCGGTCGTCGATCGGATGGAAGCGGACGGCCGACACCGCATCCGGATGCTCAAAGATGCACAGCGGCGAGGGTTCTTGCGGATGCCACAGACGCACTTGTCCGTCGCTCGAGGCCGAGATCAAAAAGTTGTTTCGGGACCAGGCCAAATCGAGAATATCGCTGCCGTGGCCCGCAAAGATGCGCACAGGTGTCGGCTTGAAGACCGGCGGAGGCACATCGGCCGAAGCCCCGGCCCCAGCCCCGGCTGCTGCCTTGCCAGCGACTGCAGGTCCATCGTGTTCGACCATCTGCAGCCCCCGGGGAGCCACGTCGGAGTGACTTCGGGCAAAGACTGGCCTGTTGGGCCTCGCCTTTGTTTCCGGACGACTTGCTGGATGGGGGACCGGGCTGGCACTTTGGTCTCGACCGCAGACCTCCCAGATCCAAATGATGCCGAGCTTGCCCGCCGCCGCCAGCAAGAGCCCATTATCCGAGAACCGCATCACCGAGATTTCGTGTCCTGGGGTTGTGGACGAAGCAGCGCCATCGGATCCCGGGTGGGAGTGGCTCAGGATTCCACTCCAGCCGCTGGCTCCTGCCTGCTGCACGGACTCGGTCGCCGGTTCCTTGGTGGTCTTGCTTTCCACTGGTGCAACCCCCGGTAGGAGCTCGGCCGAGGCTTCTTTGGCGATGCACCGGATCTCCTGCACCAGCACCAGTCCGCCGCCGACCTCCTTGCCGAGCAGGTTAGGCAAGGGCCGGTTGGCCGGATACGAGAACTTTTTGTCGCCGCCCTTGACAAAGGTTGCCGCGAGCCCATGCGACACTGCCGTCGAGGAGGACGTTGAGCTGAAAACAGATGAGACCTCGGCGCTGGTCTTGGAGGCGATCGCGGTTGTCCATGAATTGAGTGTGGATTTCGAGGGCTGGGGGAGCAGCGCAGAGCCTGGAGCCTGGGCGCCGGAGACAGCCGCGGCAGCGAGGGCTGCTGGCTTGGCCGTGCCGGCATGCCTCTGCCGATCCTGGTCCGGCGTAGATCCAGGTCCAGATTCAGGTCCTGATTCGAGTCCTGATTCCGGTCTCGGCCCGGGTCCAAGTCCAGATGCAGTATCCAGGACGGTTGACGACGGCGGCGCGCTCAGAGGCTTCGTGGGATCGGCCTCCCCTCTGGATGCAGCGTCCCGGGGAGCACATGCCGGCTGGGACGCCTGCCGAGCCTCGGGAAGAATGCCCTCGGACTGCGTCGGGCTATGCCTGGAGTGGCTTTTCTTGGCGTGCTTCTCGGCCGTTTTGTCCAGGAGCTTCTTGGTCTTGTACTTGACCTTGGCAAAGAAGCCCTTCTTGTCGGGCGAGTGGCTTGAGGGTGCGATATCCTGGGAAGACGCCGACGGACCAATTGGCGGCCCGGTCGACGGCGACTCTGCAGACGACGATGCCGGCGGGCGGTGGGGACAAAATGCAGAAGACGACACCATGGATGAGAAAGCCTGCCAGTCAACCAGCCCCCATCGGCGCTGGTGCCGGAACCACCCGCTATGGCTGCGTTCGCTACACATGGGATGTGCAGCTTGCTGGGAGGGAGGGCGAGTGCAGCAGAAAGGAGCCGCAAGAGACGGAAAGGCAAAAGAATACCTTTCGCCGGAGAGGTGTCCGAGTCGTGGTCGAGCCGGGCTGATTTCGCGGGGCTGGAAACAGCCGAAATCACATCAAAGTCTTCATCCGCGCTCGTCGTCGGGACTTGGGATTCCGACGATCTGGAGGAGTGCGGCGGACGAATGGGAAAGCGGCGGTTACGATGAGGGGGTTATGGAGGATGTCGAACGTTGCCGAGCAAATCGAGAAAATCGGGCAAATCGGGCAAATCGAGCAGATCCATCAAGTCGAGCAGATCCTGCCGGCCCAGGACAGAGGCGGTCGGCGTCAGGGCTCGCCGCTGTCGATCGCTCCGGCACGTCCCATTAGCACTGAGAGCAGCGATGCGTCGATGGCCGGATCGCATCCGAGTAGTTGATCCTGCTTTTCTTCCACGCCCAGAAGCAAAGGGCAACGGAGAAGAGAGCAAACGAGAGCACCCAGGAGATATCGGCCTCCAACAAACTCGGCTCGCGTGCGCACCTATCGTTCAGAAACCGGAGCCGATTCAGTGAGTTCTTGATGGCATAGTTTGGGTCTTCGTCGAACTCCGAGTCGGTCATATCCGAATATTCATCCGAAGGCAGTGGCCGGTGGTCAAAGCGGCCGGGCCAGCCCCGCTGGTCGTGGCCATCCGCGGGCCGATCTTGCAGAAGGAATGCCGCCGGCAACGACGATGGCGGATCCAATGATGATGGCAGCGAATGCGGCCGCGACGCTGGGGTCGCGAAGATGAGGCCCTCGGGATCGGTGATGTGGATGGTGGTGTTGGTGTGGGCATGGACGGGCGGCGGGATTCGAATGGGGCTGGAAGCCAGCGAGTCCACAGGCCGGCGATGGGATTCGGGAGTCGACGACTGCGGGTGATGGCCTGGAGGCTCTGGATGGCTCGACGCAGACATGACCAGGGACCGGCTGCCTGAGACGACGGACGACGGCTCACAGTCGGCCGCGCTGACGACAAAAAGTGGGCAGCGAGCCTGCCCAAGGGTCTGGAGATGCACGGGAGAGCGCGAGCCGAAAGCAGGGACGAGGGCGACGATGCCAAGGACAGTGACGCTGGGAGGCTGAGCCGCTGCTGCGATCAGGACAAGCAGCCCAGCGACAGCACCCCGCCTGGGGACGAGGGACATGCGTCCAACGAAGCTCTCTCGGGTCGGTGCCGCAGGACCCCGAGGCTTGGTTTGATATTGAGATGAGTGCCTCGCTCGCCCTTCCCCTGCTGTTCCGCTCCATTCCGCGATGCCCACAGGCCAGGACAAAGTCGTGCCAAAGATTATGCAAGTGTCCTGTTGTAGCTGGAATTTTTTTGATATATGTACGGCAAGGAATGGCCAGACGGCCAATGCTCCTTGCCAAGGCAAGAAAGGTGTCATTTGGCTGACAGCATTACGAGGGCATTTCCGAAGAGGCTTCAAATCCAAAGGTGGGGGGACAGGTACGTTCTCGAAAGCATGATCCCTCCCATTTAGTGGCCCTTGGCGACCTTCTTGGGCTCATCCTCCTTCAGAGCGACCATTCGCGGGACCTGCAGGGCCAAGAACACAGCATCTCGTCAGCAACATTCTCGTCGGTCGTGCCTGGCAGATTGGATGAGGCGCGCAAAGAACACAGCTGCCGACACAACGGTATGGTTGTCCCACTCTTACTCCGGAACACAAACACGTACCTGGTTGAAGTGATGGTAGTCGGGAGGGCTGGGGATACACCACTCGAGTGAAACAGTAGCGGGAGTGCGGGCAATCTTCTCGCTGCCGAAAGTGCGCTTCTCGAAGAAGGGAGGGGACAGGAGCTCGGCCCAGTAGTCGGCCTTCAGACCATCTATCGGGGAGTCCTCGGAGAGAAGGGAGGGAGACAGAGCACGGAGCTTATCGGAGACCTTCTCGGAGGGGTCAAAAGCACCGCCTGTGCATTGGAGATGGCACTCGGATTAGCAACTTGAACTGCAAAGGCGGCCGATTGTCACTCATTCGCTATTCAAGATAAACAGCGCACAGGCATCGCCAGTCTGCAGTCGGTCCGACAGCACGATGACACGTACGGATCTCGGCACCAAGAACTTCCAGACCAAACTCCTCGGATCTGGCCTTCAGGGCAGCAACGATCTTCTCGGCAAGGTTGGCGCTGTCGGCGGCAGAGATCTGGCGGTCGGCACCGACGGTGAGCTTGGGGATCTCGGCCTCCAGGGTACGGACAACGAGCTTGGCGGCGGCGCGCTCAGAGTCGAGCTTGTTGCTCTCAGGGTCGACGTACAGAGCAGACTGCGGTGCAAGTTTTGTAGTTAGGATCGAGAACACGGGTCTGCCCATCGAGTGCCACTGCTTGCCCGTGCGCGTCGCATCGGTGGCTCGTTGTTGCCCAACATTACCTTGGAGAAGTCGGTGACCTGGATGTGGAAAACACTGTAGACGTTGACAGCATGGCCATCTGCAGGAACAGCCAAGGGCGAGTCAGCATTTGCGAGGGGTCCCTTATTGCGATGACAGTCTGGTTGGCAATCGACCCGGCTGGCTTCCCATGGACAGGTGTGAACGAATGGGCAACGGCAGAGCAATGATGCGTACCCTTGGAGACGACACCGTCAGAAAGGACACCCATGGCGACGGGATCACTGTTCTTGACGGCCTGGACCTTGCTGACGAAGGGCAGGAGGAAGCTCATGCCCTCCTTGACAGCCTTGCCATTGGAGAGAACCCAGACCTCTCCGGGGGGAACGTGGGTCAAGCCCTGTTGGGAGCAAAGGTGTCAGCGACGCAGGAGCGGGATGCGGTCAATTCCAGCCGCGCGCGGAAGGGTAGGCTCGCTGGCATCAGTCGCACGCGAAAGTGCGGGGTTTCTTGTGCACACTCACAGCAATCGAGGAGCCATAGCCACGGAAAGCATCGCTGGTGGTCCAGAAGTCCCAGTTCTTCTCGGTAGCGTTGAGCTCGCGAACTTGCTCGGTGGGGACACCGTTGGCGAAAGGGGTGATGGGGTTGTGGGTGTAGGGGACAGTGAGGGTGTGGGAGGAGCGGACCTGGATGGGGCGGGAACCGAATGAGTGTCGGGGCTGGGCTGGAGAGATCCAACAGCCAGAACTCCGTGCGAGAGAAATCCCCAACGGGCGATTGCAAAAGAAAGCCATGCGCGCTTACAGGAGTGGAGGCAGCCCGGCGCAGAGCGACACGGTTAAACAAAACTTTGGAAGCCATTGCTACACTGCTGTTGGATTGGATTGAGAATCGAGCGAGTCGGGTCAGTCGGGGTTGGGGTTCAATGCGGACGCATGCCTGCAGATACCGAGGATGCGGCTGCCACATATGCGACAGCGAGAAGCCTGCTCTATGGGTCGCCATCCAGGCGCCGTCTTGCTCGACTGCCACAGACAACGGCGCTGATGCCAACGCCGTTGACAAGCAGCCACCGGCAGAGAGCACCGGCCATGCCGCCGCGGCGCGAGCTGGCGATGGAACCCCGACGAGGATATGATCTATACTTTCGACACGACCAGCGGCAGCGCAGAAGCGACGAGACAGCAAGCGAGCAGGGGGAGGTGCTATGAGGGCAATGAGGTCTGCGACGGAAGAGAGCCCTACCGCTTTGGACTGGGAAGGACCGGATGGCGAGGTGGGGAGAAAAGAGGAAGGCCGTAGGACGCCGGGCGATTGGCGATTTGACTTTTTCTCAATTTTTGTCTTTTTTCCTCGGGCCGACGACGAGCCCGCGACGAGGGCGAGAGCGACCCGCGCAGCACACGCGCGCACACAGACTGTCGCGGCGAGAAGCAGCGAGAGCGGCGGCGAGAGCAGCGTGTGTCACTCGTGTGCGACTCGGCCGGCGATGACTCAGTCTGCCGCCATGCCGCCCAGCGCCGCGGCCTGGCAGGGCCGAAAACGCAAACGAGCCAGGGCAGCGAGGGCATCCCGCTCGCGCAGACGTTGCAGCAGCAAGCAGGACCGCCGCGACGGCCAGCGTCGGCGAGCAGCCCACCCAGGGCATCCGGCCGGCGCTGCCCGTCCTGGCGCTGCCCTGCGGGATCTTGTCGGCCCAGCCAGCGGGTCTTGGAGCCTTGCCCGCCCTGCAAGCGAGCGAGGATTCATTAGCGCATGCGCAGTTAATACTTTCGCAAAAATACCGCACATCGGCAACAAGCGGACCTGTCGAGCTGTCATTGCTCATGGCCGGCATGACCACCACGGACAGGCGAGCGGCAACAAAGCGGGCTGCAGGGCATGAACCGACTTGCAGCAACCACGCGGCCCCTCGGCATGAGCCATGGAGCCGGCTGGGGGGCGACTTGCGAGCCGGACAACCTCGCTGCAGCTCGGCCCCAGCGGCTAGAACGGATCCACAAACCTCTTGGGAGGCCAGGTGAAGCATGATCAGCACGGCGCACTGGCTCGAGCCCGGTCTTGTGCTCGGCCTTGCGATCAGCTTGCACATGGCTGAGGCGACATCTGCGTCAAGTCTCGCATACATGCGGCGGCGGCGGCAAGGCCATGGTCGCTCTGTTCTGCTTCGGCGACAGCAGCCCCGACCGGGTGGCCAGGGTCCGTTGGAGTGGCAGTGGCAGTGGCAGATTGGCTTGCAGACGCAGCCGAAGCGCAATGAGAGGCATAGAGTGCTCCGAATGATCTTGATGAAAGGAAACTTCCAGCCACCAGGGCGGAAAGCCCAAGGCTGCCCTTTCTTTCCGCTGCTCGCACGGCCCTGGCCTCTGCTTGCCATTGTGACACCATCCGGGATCAGAAGCCGCCCCAATCAAGACAGCGGCGAGTGGCGTGGGAACAACCGATCGACACAGCAGGTGTGCACTTGTATCAGGGCTCCTCATCCGCAAGCCCATCCTGAGGCATCCACAAGCACCACCTCTCCTCCCCAGGCGTATCCCAGAGCCGCCCGACCACCCCTATCCTTCTTCCCTTCTGTTCCCACAAGCGGCCGCGTCTCTTGCCTCTGGACTGAGCACGCACTGCTTCTCACGGACAACCTGTATTTTGCGGCTGTCTCTCCCACCGTCCTCGGAGATATCGAGCATCGCTCAACCCACAGCGCGCCTCCTTCCGTCGGTGCAACTGGCTCGCAGCTGCTGTCCGCCACAACCTCATCGCAACCACAGCCTCGCCAGCACCACAACCCGAGAATGAATAATATCTATTACGAAGTGCAGGATCCGCAGACGGGACAGATCTTCTTTGCAAACACCACTTCGGGCCAGTGCCTTCCCGAGCGACCCGCGGATGGCATCGTGTCAGTCGACAGCCCGTTTCACTTGCTTTGTTTGAGCCCTTGGCCTCCATCAGCTCGCTCGCGCTTGGTCCATTGTCGTTGCTGTGGGGCCGTCGGCTAACCACGTTTGCGATTCCAATCCTCTAGGAAGATGCGCGATCCGGACCTCGAGGAATGGTGGGAACTCTTTGACGAAAACTACAAGCTGGTGAGTCCCGCTCGCTTCTCAGGCTCAAGCACCCCCCCCCCGTGGTTTGATGCGAATCCGTCGGTCAGAGCCGAGCCAGAGTCGCGCTGTATTCGATCTTCTCACGCCCGCAAACACTCGCCTCCCCGCCCTTCTCCAGCCATATTACTACAACCCAAAATCGGCTAAAACAGAGTGGATCAGGCCAGTGACTGGATTCATTCTCCCGCTTCGGTCAATTCAGGTTCGAGGATTGACCCCGAACGTGATTTTGTTCCCTTGATGTTCCTGTGCTATGAGAGCGGAAACAGTCCCTTGAATGCCATTCCCGACATCTCTGACCCCGCGCGGCATATCATTCAAACAGCAAACCAAGGCTGGAAAGCGCATGACGATGATGATCCAGAATATGAATAAGGAGCCGGTACGAAACCCGTTCTCTTCGCGCGTCGTTCGGGCCGCTTATTGCATCCGACCCCGACTTTATATCCGCTAGGATATCCCCAACGACAGCTCGAGCACACGCCAGATCACGACCTCAGCGACTTACAGTCTTAATCGGGCTGATGTATTTGACATGCAGGAATATGGATACGATGCCCCAGGCAGCTCGCGAGCCCATGAGACTGAGTCATCCCTCATGAGTTCCAACCGAGCATCGCGTACTGGCCGAACCGCCGCCGAGGTCGCCGCATTCGCCCCAACGGATGCTGATGGCTCAGAGCCTCCTAGTGCAAGCCCGGCAGTCCACGGCAGCTCCATGGAGAGTGTGGAGAGTCCTTTGGTTTCGACTCAGCCTCGCGAATCGAACGCAAACAGCATCCTTCCCGAGTCTTCCATCACGACAGACCCTCTCCAAGCCGTTTCGAACCGGACGAGCAAAGTCGCCATGTACACGATCTCGTCCGCCGGCACCGACACAACTCATGCCACAGCGATCACAAGCAACTTGTCGCTCGAATCAAATCGACTGCAGACATCCGGGGGTGCTTCTCAAGACGGTCCACATACCAGAGTCGAGAGTTCCTCTATCCCGATACCACCAGCACCCCCGGCAATCGTTCAGACCTTTGCCTCAACAGTAGGGGATGCTTCTGTGACCCACACGATGATATCGCTCAAGTCTGACCAGTCCATGGTCTCATCGCAGATGCCGAGCAAAGCATCCCTGACGATGGAACCCAGCAAACAGTCGATCCACACTGACGCTGTCACCATCGCCAAGACGAAGGGCATCAGCAACCCAATCAACAATCCGGGTGGGTAGTCGAAAGCGATGCAGTGCTCCCATCCGCAAGCGGACATGTTTGTTGCAAATCCACACGGCGAGCTGGGCACTGACAACAGATCGATTCGCCTCGGATGTTTGGCGCAGAGGCGGCAATCGCTATGAATCCATTCAACAAGGAGAATGATGAGTGCAGGTATACATGCGCCAGACACCATAGGTCGAGCTGGCCGGACCGGGACAGCCGGATGGGAGCATGGCAAGCTGGGCCCGGCCCGGCATGTCACGGTACCATCTGATTCGTAGTGTGCTTGTGCCGTTACAGAGGTCTGCCATCCGATCTCAAGGTCGCAATTGGCCAGTTTCGCATCGACGGATTTGCCGAAAAGTACTTTTCACAGCACCGCGCTGGGTTGTTCCGGCGGAAAGTTCCCCTGGAGAAAATGCTGGTCTACTCCAAGGTGAGAGGGACTTGCATGTCGCATGTGGCATCATCCACGTTGATTGCATTTCGAGTTCGGGCCGCCTTCGGTGGCATCTCGACCTGGCCCTGTCGCATGATCAGTATCGCTCGTCACTGCGCCCGACCCCTGCCAAGCTGCTATCGCCGGTGAGATTGATGCATTTGCAACAATACACTAGACCTTGAAGGCCCCTTTGATGGTGCTGAACAAAAAACTCCACAAAGACGCACTCAAGTGTTTCAAGCTGCTCAGCAAAATCATCGACAAGAATGCCGGCCCATGCAAAGAGGAGATCCAGGCCCTCACCGAGAAGGGAATTCTCCACGGCGAGCTGCGAGACGAGATCTACGTCCAGATCATAAAGGTACGTCGCTCGCTCTGGCTCCACCGGCAACCATACTTGGGTGTCCATCGAATTTGAGCACCACAAACTTGGAGTTGTCTATCGATGCAGTCAGTCGCACACTCACTCACCCCTCAGTGTCTGCCCCCGTCTGCAGCAACTCAAAGACAACCCCAGCGGTGAAAGCGTCGTGAAAGCATGGAAGCTCCTCTGTGTCGTGACCATCGCCTTCCCGCCGTCCAAAAACTTTGAGGAGTATTTGAAAAGCTACGTCCAAGAAAACTTCAGCCAAACCGGGTCCAACGCCGATCAGCTCACGATCCTGGTCCAGCATTGCCACAAAAAGCTCTTGCGCATATGCAAGACCGGCCCGCGAGGCAAAACGCTCACCATTGCCGAAATTGAGCGCGCACAGGCACGGTGATCATGATAGCAGTGCTGAGTTGGTACTGCCGTTGCATTTTGAGGCTTGTGCCAACCGCTTTACGAGCACAGCACCCTCATCCGAGCCTTTGTCGTGTCATTTCCAGGAGGCGCCGTTCCAAAGCGCATTGTTTGGTGAAACGCTCGAGGAAATCATGCGCGAGCAAGCAAAGACGCATCCCGAACTGGACCTGCCCAAGATCCTCTCCTTCCTGGCAACTGCAATACTGGACATGAACGGCTGTGGAACCGAGGGCATCTTCAGAGTGCCTGGTGATGCTGACGCCGTGACTGGTCAGTGAAGGCCAACAGGCCGCCTCGTTCAATAGTGCACCGGACGCTACTCCCTCTGTGTCACTCCATTCTGACACCGAGACTCTCTATCTCGACGTGATCAGATCTAAAATGCCGTGTCGAAAAAAACGCATATGACCTCAGCGGTATCACAGGTATCTTGACGCTTGACGCGCAGCCAGTGTATGGTGACTTCCGGCCAACAACCTCCGGCCAACGAGCCCTGACCGCCAACTGTACCTCGCCGCAGATCCCAACGTTCCGAGTTCGCTTCTGAAGCTGTGGCTGCGTGATCTCGCCGAGCCCCTGATCCCTTCGGAATTTTAATATCCTTTTATTAAAACGGGTGCCGCTCAAAGTGGCGGACACTAACAGCACCGACTGATTTGAATCCTTGAATGCGACATGGACCGCTGTCTGCTCGTGTGGCTGCGTCCCGGGTATGATTTTATCTTTGACTCTCGCGAGCCCGCCAATCTCTCTCGGTGCTGCTCTGTGTGCTTCTTGCGAGCACTAGTGACTGCATAACAGTCGGCATGGAAGAACATCGGGAAGGCGTCGTCAAGGACGCCATTGGCATCTTGCATCGATTGCCAGGTATGCGCTCGAAGCAGATATCCGATTACCGCCGCGCTTTCCTCGTTGTGTATACCATTGATGATTCCGGTGCAATCGCATCGGCCACGGCATTCCGAAAGCTGCGCATAACGAGCGTCTCGGCGTTCTAAATTCGATGTTGTTCAACTGCAGACATCAACAGAAAGGTGTGCGAATACATGATCAAGTTCCTGAGGGTAAGACCACCAAGCTGTGCTGGGTGCGGGAGTGGTGCTTTGATACAGGCTAACGGGTCGGCCGCGGACCGCTGACTCTTCTGAATCTCTGGACGGGCAGGTATTTGCGGACCCAGTGCATCACTCGGTGACAAAGATGAATGTGCACAACCTGGCCATGGTATTTGCACCCAATTTCTTGAGGTGTCCAAGGTACGGCAGACTCGCGCTGTCGTTTTGGCTCCTACTGGCCCGTGGCATGGCTCGATTTGACGGATCTAGTAATGCCGAACCAAGCGGCAAGACCAGCAGCATCGAGCCAAGCAATGGCCCCAGCACATACTAACTCTCTATCCCGTCCCGGTCGATAGCGACAACCCCACGACTATCTTTGAGAACACCAAGTAGGCACTCCAGCTGGTGGTTTGACCATCTCACCTGAAGACCGCAGTGCCATCGCCATTTGCTGACTATAAACCTCTGTTGTGCAGATATGAACAAGCCTTCTTGAGGATGCTCATCACTGCCAAAGGCGACATCTAGCCTCCATGATGCACACGCACTCCCTTCCGATCATGGCAGCAAAGGCGGTCGCCGCTCGGTGGAGTCTGCGCCTGTCCCTCTTTGGTCAAACAAATATCCTCAAGTCCCGCAACCCAACCAATCCATCAGCACTTGCTCAAGGCTCAAGGCTCAAGAGCGGATAGCCATGACCAGCACGCACTGTATTCACCCAGCAATCGCAATAAAAAGCTGTCACAATCCCGACTGTCCTCCATTTTTGAATGCAGACAAGATCTAGAAGCACGGGTCACCAACAGCAAAGACAATTCGTGACGGATTGGGGCAGCGAGTGCCCGCCGAGCACATCGACTGGCTGGTGCTCCAAAGGTTGCGACCGTTTGAAGATAGCATGCAGGAGTAGTAGCCGTTGCCGGTGCTGTCGCATAGGAACTGGTTTTGCTGACATCCGGGCCCGCCAGGAACAGGTCCGCTCTGCGGGATCCCCGTGCTGTACGGAATGCAGGGCGACGAGCCGGCCGAGCCAGGGTAGCAAAACGAGCGCGAGCCGCACTGCTGTTGAGCACCCCAGATAGCATTCCCGAGGGCGTCTTGGGTGCATGAAACGTACGTGCTGGAGCTGAGACACTGAATCTGGGGAATCTGACATTGGCTTTGTGAGGGAGAGGGAGAGGGCGATGGAGAGGGCGAGGGCGAAGGTGAGGGCGACGGAGCACCGGCACCTTGGCCACTTCCGCCCGGCTTCTGACATGGCGTTGCGCTTGATGCTGATGAGCCCGGAGCGCACATCGTTCCCGAAGGGCACTGCTGGGCAGCGCCGATGGAAAGCGCTCCGTTCGCATCGACCAGGCACTGGTAGTAGACCGCGGACCCGGAGCACATGAAATCGCCAGGCACGCAGGTCAGGGTCGACAGGAAGCACGAGTTGTCGTTCGAGAACATGTTGGTGATGGAGCCAGGGGTGCAGCTGTTTTGTCCAGGGCATTGAATCGAGCTGCTCCAGCCGCCCATGCCGGTGTCAGTTCCGAGGCAGAACCGGAAGTGAGAGCCATCTGGATCGCAGGCGACGGTGCCAGCATAGCACGAGTTCGGGCTGGAGCCTTGGGAGCCAGGAGTAGTTGCGCCAACGATGGAGAAGTCTGGGACAGAGCGGATACATTAACATAGCCATCAGGGCATCTCAGTCCACACCACCACAGCTGAAAACGAGGCGAGCTAATAAACCCATCTACCGAGTCTAAGCCTCCACCGGACCGCAAACACCACGGCCAGAGACAGAACGGCAGCTCAGGCCGGTCCTCTGAGAGAAACTCGCTTCCCACCTTGATTCGCATCGATATAACAGTCAAATCCGAATGCGGTTACGCTGAAACGCAGATGGAAGTTTGAGCCGGGGCTCACGGTAGATGGGAGCGACGAGGGCACGACAAACGTCACCCATCCATCTTGGCTGAGCTCGCTTTGGCTGAACGTCGCCGGCTGGAACGCATCATGCTCGACCGGAATCTCGACCGAACCAGCAAGCGACACCAGCGACGCGTTGTGGATCATCGAGACCAGCGAGGCCGGGCTCCATGAGTACGTCACCGTTTGCCGGGTGCCAGCCGGGAGCAGGACGGGGCTGCCGGTGGCCGAAACGGCAATGCGAAAATGGGTGCTGACGTCCGCTGAGCATTTCTGGAGACTTGAAGCTGCAAGGGTCGTGGCTGACATCGATGCTGCTGCAAACAAGAGCGGCGGGCGCATGGTTGCCAAACGGATACAAAGCAAGAGCAAGAGTACTGGAGTTTTCTGACTGGCTGGGCAGATGCAGGCCATGAACTGTGGGGTAGAGCTGCGTTAAATAGCCCATCTCGACTGCAGAGGCGAAGCGGGGGGGGTGGACTAAACAAACGCAAAAGGCGGGCTAGCTGGAGCCGGCGGCGGGACCGGGACACCCGCAGATTGTTGGGGACAACCGCCATGAATTTGGCGGGCTGTTGTCCAGCCAGCGCTTCCCTCCTCCCCTCCGAAGCCAAGACCGCTCATGGTCCGTCACCCATCATGCATCGACGCGGGCAACTTGCACGGCCACAGCCGCCTCAGAAGGCTGGGAACTTGGCCCGCCAGCAACGCAGTGGGAAGCGAATCGTGGAATGTGATGAGCCCAGTGGTATCCGAGGGCCCAGTAATATTCAAGGAAAGGCAGGGAGCTGGGCGGCAGCGGCGACAGAAGGCAGACTATACGAGCCCGAATCCTTTTGCATTTTCTATCGCGGTGATGAGCCGGTTCTCAAGTTTTTCGGCCGACGAGTATTCGGGAAGCAGCAGGCGGCCAAAGCACGTCAGGGCCGTTGGCAGTCTAACCGGTGGAAATCGCAGTGGCAGTGGCAGTGGCAACGGATTAGTATTCACGAATGAGCGTCGTTCAGGAGGATCCCGTTTTAGTTCAAGCACCTTCTGGTCCGTGGCGACAACAGGCCTTACCTCTCGCTGTCGGGACCGTTTCGTTGGATCACAAAAGTCAGTTGTCCAAGTCCCTTCAGCGGCACTCGATCCGAGGCTGTCACAAAGTTGAGCAGCATCTTCTTGCGCTCGATTGACATGTTGTGGACAATCGACCAGAACCATCTGACATCGCAGTACAGAGCAACATCTCGGTCAGAGCTAATCAAGCCCCAGGCACCGCACGATTCGGCGCCGATCCTATCATCCGTCCCAACAGAGCTGCTCAAGCAGCGCTACTACTTACTTGATCACCTGGTGGTCGGGGCCATATCCATCATCGTATTCGGCTCCCTTCTCAAGCTCGCCAAACTCGAGCTCGCCAGTTTCGATACCGCATACTAGCAGCTCCAGCTCTTCGCTTCGACACATCAATAGCGCATCACCGCCGACAACCCGATCCAAGCCGCGCTTGAAGCTCTGGAACGGCCGCTTGACGCTTTCAAACAGATAGTGCTGGATGTACAACTCGACGTATTGGAAACGGTTCTCGTTCGTCACAAGGATGTTATCGCCGCCTGCAACCAGGGGAAACGACTTGACCTGTCCGTAGACCTCGTATGAGATCTCAAAGGTACGCATGAAAATGTCGCCGACATCGCCGTCATCCCAGTCGAGGAGCTGCTGCAGGCCACGGCCCAGGGACGGGAACGAGCTCTTCATATCCTCCAGCGTGATTGGCTCGTTAAGGATCTTCTTGTACAGCACCGACGGGAAGGACACGTTCAGGATCACACCGTTATAGATAGCCAGGCCGATGATGGTGCCGACAAGCTCAAACTGTTGCTCGGGCTCAAGCGAAGCCCGATTGAACCAACAGAACCGCGTCTCTTCGTCGTAGACGAACATGCCGTAACTGGGGTCGAGCAGCTGGCTGACCAGGACCTGGAAAAACTCCTTCTGAACACCGCCTTGATCCATGCCCTCCTCGCCGCCTCCGACAAACTTGACCTTGAGGGGCTTCTTGAGATCATTGCGCTTCTTTTGAACCTGAGAAGGTGTCCGCTTCGTGTTACGCCACATCTTGGGGGGCCCGAGTGCAGTGGCGACTCTCAATCGCAGCCGTGGCAGCAACAAAGGCGCGGCTGAAGCCCTGCAGTGTGCATAAGAAGACGGCCAGCGCATGCTTACCTGATCCAGCACATCCTTGACTAGTTTTTCGCGTCGCACCTCCAGAATCAGATACGGATTGGTGATGTGCTTGAAGCCAAGCTCCAGGTTCGCCACTGCACTGCTGCCCTCTGAGTTTCCGCCGTGGCTGCCACTAGGACCCTCGCTGGCGGCGACACCCTCCTGGAGGAACTTGGTGGCATGGAGCACAAAGGCCTGGTTGGCAAATGCATCCTCAAACTCGCGGCTCATCTGCACCATGGCATCGATATGTAGGATCCGGGTCTTTGATACGGGGTCAAAGAGAAACGGAAAGTTGAACCAGCTAAACTCGCGCACCGGATTGGCAGAGGAGCTTGAAGTGTTGGTGCCCTCGCCCTGCTTCATCTGCGACATGAGCAAGCCGCTGGTCAAGGCCGACTGCGGCCGGTTCTTGAGAGTGGTCTGATGTGAGCTCGCCGAGGGCCGCGCCGGTCCCTCCGTTGGCTTGTAATCGGCTTTCATGGCACTGACAGACGGCTTGGGCTTCTGATCGAGTGTTCTGCGCCAGATTCGATATTCCTCCTTGAAGTTGAGTCGCTGTCCGATCGGTTCGTTATAGAAGGCTGATATCGAAATGATGGGCTCGATACAACCGTGAGCCACTCTCTTGAGAGCGCCGTCACGCCGCAGCCACACCTTGGCCTCGTTCGCGTGGTAGAGAAGGCTCAGGACTTTTACGGCGCAGACCAGGCCTTCGTCGGGTACGCCGCTGCTTGAGCTGCTCCGACTGACGGGGTAAAAATGGTTGGTCAGGTAGGTCTGGAAGATCTTGACCAGGCGAAAGAACCCAACGGCATCGTATTCGCACAGCCATTCGATCAGATGGCTCCTAGCCTTGCTCCGAAGGCCACCGATAATCAGAGCGAGCTTGCGCAAGAGGGATTCGTGATAGTATGGGTCGTCGAGAAGTGGGTTCTGGCGAAAGAGCCGCGAAAATTTAGACAGACATCCGGGCTTCATTCATGGCTGTACCTGCAAATAGGATCCACCTGGACACTGTTTACGAACCTGGGCCATGTTGGCAGCGCATACGTACCTCAAGAAGAATCAGGAGCTGCCGCAGAAACAGTGGCGGGACTGTCGAAAGCCGCTTCACATTCATATGCAGTTTTGCAAGCAGGATCTCGATGCTGTCGACGAATGTACGTAGGAATATCTCCTTCGGCAGAGACAGAATCAGCTGATACGAGAGACGGATCGAGTCGACATCGAGTCCGGAGGGATTCTTGTCCTTTCTGGTATCACTGGAGTCGTATAGGAAACTCTTGTTCAGTGCCTCGCTGCTGGAAAAGACCGTTCGGAGGGTGTTGAGAAGGAAACGTGGGTCGGCAGTGTTTCCGAGCATTTTGGCGGCTTTCGGCTCTGATTCGCCATCGTTGAGCGAGGGCGAGCCAGCATCATGCTGGGTCTGGAGATCCTCATCGTTCAAGAAAACAGGCTCATGCTCGGCCGAGGCGTAAACAACCTCGGGCACGGGGATGACTGCTGGCGCTTGCGTGGCACTGTTTGTGTGAGCCGATGTGCCAATCGATGGATTGTACGTGGCTACAGCCGACTTGAGGAGATCGTAGGTCAAGTACCTCAGACTCAGCTGGACTTCATCGTCACTGTTATATTCGTCGCCGGAATACTGGTCACCGTTTGGGCTCCAGCGACCTTTGCCCTTGGTGCTGCGCTGGGACATCGTCTGAGATGGAATTGCGTGTGCTGACGAAGTTCGACTGCGGCCACCTTCGCTTTCATCGTCCGAGAACGACGTCACCGATTGGGACGGCGACATGGAGCGACTTGGATAGCCCGAGTCGAAGTGAGTGAATGGGTTTCGGAAGGCAAAACTCACTGGGGGAGAGGTCGGCAGATGTCAGTCAGCAACGTGATCTGTTTGGACTGGCACAGACATCAGGTTTGGCCGATGGATTCGCAGCCCGACGGAGGCAATGAAAATACGCCAGGCCCACAACCAAAGGCATAAACATCCAGTAGAGAGACATTATCGATGGAGCTGACGACAGCACGACAGCATAGTTAGTGCCGTCATATTTAAATACGTCGAGCATACCTGATTGGGAGAGAATGTTGGGAAGGTCCATCAGAGATTTGGATTTGAAGGACGAAAAGCTGCCGCCGCCCTCTGAGGCTCTGCTCGCAGGATTCTTGGGAATCTCAATGGTGGGACTCAGAATGGGCGGCTGGGCGTCGTCCGAGTCGGCTAGGAGATGGCTTTCGGGAGCGGTGACGGCTGTTGGAGAAGTGATGCCGTCTTCGGAGTAAGATCGGTGCAGCCTGAGGGAGTCATCCCCGCGCTGGCCAGTGGCAGGGCCAACAGTGGCATCGCTCTGGAAGAGGGAGGCGAAGGGCGAAGACGACAGAAGCGAATAGAGAAAGGGCCGAGACGGAGCAGGGATGCTGGTGGAGGTGCTGAAGGTGGAGAAACAATGTCGCAGTCAGCAACCGAGTTGGGTGCATATGGAGCCAAGAGCCAAGAGCCAAGAGCCAAGAGCCAAGAGCCAAGAGCCAAGAGCCAAGAGCCAAGAGCAGCAAAGCAGCGGAGCGACTATTACACCTAAATACTCAACAAAAGATGACTGCAATGATCGGAGTACCTTTGTGCAGATGCGGCCGAGGATGTGCCAATGTGAAGGGCCTGCGGAGCCTGATCCCGCAAAGTGGATTGCCTTGGGGTTTGGCTGGGCGAATGGTTGCTGGATGCCAAGATAGACTCGGGCAAAGTGACCGAAAGAGGAAGATCGGGCGGTATTCGGGGACAAAAGAACTGACGGGGCCTGGAAGCGAGCTGGACAGACATGATAGACGCAGCATCGAGGCTGAGGCGAGGCCCAAGCTTGCACGATGCACACAGCTTGTGATTGCAATTTGAGAAACCGCATCCAGTTGTCAGCTGGTAGTAGTATCGTTTGACAAGCTTCTCGAACATTATACGGGCTGTATTGGACGGAGACTGGGGATCCTGATAGGACCGCTTCGGAGCGGCACCTTGGAGCGATTTGGAGAGATGGGGATCGGCAAGAGCGGCAAGGAAGGAGGCGCTCTTGGGTAAGGGACTCCCGGTCGGGGTGAGCTCGTCCGGCAACGATGGGTGCTCCATGGCTACGAATAGATCCGAAACAGCTGGGTGGTTGATACGGGCCGGTGGCGGCAGGCCCAAGCGACAGTTGAAGGAGCGACGACGGAGTTGCAGCAGATGACGACAGAGGTGTGCGGTACTGGGTGTCCGGTTCTGAGGGCTTGTTTGTCTGGCCTGTTTTGGCAAGGGCTGGGAGAGCGCCTTCCAGCAGAAACGAGCAGTCCCGTGACTTTTCTTCAGCCGTCGCGTGATTGGCTGATTGGGACCGGGGATGGAAAACCATGAAAACGAACCACGGCGCATGAAAGGCCAGAGGGCGGAAGGAGCCAGCGGGAGTGTAATCTTGAGTGCCGAGGAGAGATGAATATACGGATGGGATATTGTAACACTGACGACGGTGAAGAGCGCAGCGACTGGGGACAATGACGAGAGCAGGAGCAGTGCTGTTACAGAATGCGAATTGGGAATTGCGAATTGCGAATAGGGAATTGGGAAGCGAATCTATTTCGAAAGACAGCACCGATACCGCACCAAGCATGTCAAGCCACCATGAGTGGCAATCGCGAACGACAACAGCACCAACAACGATGCCAGCAACAACGACAACAGCAACATATGAGAGTTGCCAAGCAGACAGGACAGGCCAGCACACGCCATCATCCAAGAACAACCACCCAAGAACAACCACCCAAGAACAACCACCCAAGAACAACTGCTCAAGGACAATCACTCAGGGACAATCACTCAGGGACAACCATCCAAAGACAACCACTGCGAGCACAGCCAATCCACCTCCGAGACATGCACCGTGCCGGTCTTTCAGTGGCGGTATGTGAACGGCCGCCGCTCGTAGCCCTGGGTGTACGACGTCTCCGAGGCTGTCTTGAGGAGCCAGAGCATCTTCTTGTCCGAGTTGATGCGATCAAAGTAGCCAATCACCTTCATCAGCACCGAGTAGTTTGTGAGTGTCGACTTGATCACCTTGATCCGGGTCTGGAACGACGACAGGATCGCGGCCGGAGGCAGACCCAGGTTGCGGTCCATTCCGCTCTCAAACTCGGGAACCATAAACAGCCGAGACATCTCCAGCACAAAGACAAACAGCCGATTCGACACCAGCGTTGACTCGAAAACCCGGCGCAGGCGTTCGCGGACATGCATCGAGTTGTCAAAGTCGAGGAGGCTGGCGTTTTCGCGGCGGACCCACATCATCTGGCGTGCGAATCGCTCCATCTCCAGGGCCGCCTTCATCTTTGGCTGCGAGTATGACAGACGAGGGTCGCTGCCGTCCCGCTCGGCAAGCATCAGCTTGATGAAGAACTCGCCGAGGTCGCCGCACGCCTTCTTGGTGCGGTTCGAGGGAACCTCAAGAAAGTCCTTGACTTCTCTGTTGATGATAGCCTGGAGACCGGGGTACTCCTTGAGGAACCGCACCAGCAGCCGCAGCAGGTTGGCGTAGGCCACGATTGCCACCTCGGACTCGTGGACATTTCCCTTCATGATGGCCACAACTTGCTGGTTCATCAGTGCCGGAATGACCTTGACGATCCACTGAGGACGGAAGACAAAGCGTGCCGGCAGCGTCTGTTGTCCCTGAGCCATCGAGGCAATCGTTTGCTTGATAACCGCCACGTTCTTTTGGAAGTGATCCTCACTGAGATACATGGGCATCCAGTGCGTATACGTCTTTCCTGTTGAGCTGCGGATCGTCACCGGTGGCGAGTCCGTGTTGTCTTGGTCGGCATTCTTGGGCCGGGAAGCGGAGCATATCGAGCAGCCACATCCCCACCACGAGGCTGCAGCCACCCGTGCAGCTTCCTGTGCCGTCTTGAGGGCCTGGCGATACGCTGTATACGAGACCGGCTCGGGATACAGCTCGCTGTGCGGCCGCTTGAATCGGTCGATCGACAGGTTGATAGGATAGCCGAGGCACATCTCCTCTTCGTCGACAAAATTGAGCTTCGAGACCGAGCACATCAGCTCGTTGCGGGCGCGTTCGGTGATCTTCTCGTCTCTGGTGAGCTCGCGCTGTCGGCGACCCTGGAGGGCCTCGGGATCAAACACGGCGAGAGGCGGATGCGGAGCCGCTGTCTTGTGAGGACAGGATGAGCATTCGAATGCCTGGTCCATGTTGCGGAGCTTCTGAACGTCCCTGGCCGAGAGAACCACGCCATCGGGATCGGCGAGGAAGACCTGGGTATTGATCATGAGCCCGACAAAGTCGCACGACGGCGTCCAGCCACAGCCAACACCAGCAGACTGGCTCATGTAGCTGAAATTGCCGAACCAGTCGGCGCAAATGCCAATTCCGTCGTACACATGGTGATGGTGGGTGGTGTTGAATCTGTAGGATTTGGTCATGGCTCCCATCGGAGGAGCGTATGGGTAGTCGTTCGGGATCGAGAGTTCCCAGTGGACACAGATTCCTTCATAGGGACCATCGAGGAGGCGGGTGTTGACGTGGAAGACCCGGGAGCTGATCTGGTGGATCGAGACGCCTGGAACAGGGTTACGCTGGAACTCGAGATAGTGACGGAAGGCGATTTTTGCAGCCGAGCTGGCGGGGACAGCCGAGACGATGAACGATTCTTCAGAGTTGGTCATGGCCAAAGTGTGTGCAGCAAGCTGGTGCGCGTGCAGTAGGCCAGTGCGTGTGTTGAGAAGAGAAGAGAGCAGAAGACAAGAGCCCAAGACACGATCGATACAACGGGAGGTGGTCGATACAGCAGTTCCTGGATGAGAACGAGACCAGATGTGTCGATAGTATCAAGACGGGTCTTGGTCCGGTGGACCGTTGCGGGTGCGACTGGTTGGCGCCGGGACAGTTGATCCTTCCAAGAGCCTGTCTTGGAAGTGATGGATCGCTGTGAGGGCCGGCCGAGGAGCGGCAGCAATCCGGGTTTAAATAGACATGCCACTGGCGATGGGGCAAGAGGCCAAGGTGTCCGCGGGCCTGTGGCGAAGAAATGAGCCCAACAATCTGCAAGTGAGCTCAAAGGTGGTGGCAGAAGCATCGGCGACAGTTTGGGGCCTGTGGCAAAGCCATCAAAGACCGCAACAGACGAGAAAATAGGAGGGTGGCGCGGGTGGTCAAGCCGGGCGGAGTTTCGACGGATCACGGGCGACCTGGACCAGGGGATGACCAAGGATGCACGCACGTGAGATGTGTAAAGCGCTGCGGCGGTGTTGGGCATGTCTGTTGGGCATGTCTGTTGGCATGTCTGTTGGCATGTCTGTTGGGAAGCAGCAGCACGCCGAGTGTGTGGATGTGGATGTGGATGTGGATGTGGATGTGGATGTGGATGTGGATGTGGGTGGTGTGAGTGGCATCTGGTGATGTTGGTGGTGCCAGGCAGAACAGTCGATAAAGCCAGACAGTGGTCAATGCCACCAGCCAAAGTGGCATTTCACCATCGCAATCAGTCCGTTGCCAGGTGTTGATGGATTGGGTGGCTGATGATTGTCCCCAGTAATCTATGCCGATAGCACCGCCTCTGCTCTGGTCTGGTCTGCTCTGCTCATATCTGGTCACTCTTGATCGTGGCCGCATCCGGCCGCTCTTGACTGAATCCTCGCTGGGATGCCTGGTCGTTTCTCAGACCCCTTGATTGTCTTTCTGCTTCACCCGATCGCAGCGATCCTGTCCGTGGTGCTGCTCTGTGCGCCATCGCTCATCAACTCTTGCCGGCTCCCGTTCCACCCTGCTTGCATCGCCGTGGCCATATCGCCGTGGCCATATCGCCGTGTTCATATCGCCGTGTTCATATCCCGCTTCACAACATGCACAAGCACCCCCCTCCTCTGCACCGCACCACAAGCACAGAGGCACACGGTGTATTCTCGATCCACATTGCGCACCCATCGACGACCAACGGAACTCTCAGTGTGCTTGATCTGGCCTCTTTCTTGCCCTGGTTTGCCAATCCCACGCGCCGTCGATCATCTTCACGTGTCTTTGCGCCGTTTCTGTTTGTCGGTCGCTCGTCCGTTCCTCCCCTCTCTCGCCTCCATCATCCACTGTCCTTGGCACCTCAAGCACCTCATATCGTTCAATAACCCCTCACTCCATACCCATAACTCTCCGCCATGAGCTTTGCTCAGCTTCCAAACATAAAATTTGCGCCTCTTAACGTCCCGTTTCCCAGGCGACGCCAGACCGCCGCCGTGGCCATGTGGATGTTCCTCGTTCCCCTCTTCGTCGTCATCTTCCTGGCTGTACTTTTCACCCCTCGGCTGACGCTCTTGGCCCTTGGATATCTTGTCTTCATATTTATCGATAAGTCGCATGAAACGGGTGGGCGAGCTGTCGCAGCCTTCCGCAAGTTCATCTACTGGACGTGGGTCAAGGACTTCTTCCCCATCAACCTCGAGAAAACCACTGATCTTGATCCCGCCAAGAACTATATCTTTGGCTATCACCCGCATGGTATCTGAAGAGCTCTCTGACATTGCTTGCGAGACGGCTGTTTGATATCCCTCAGCATTCCGTAGCCCTGATCACGGCCTCTCGCCCTCTGACGCCCCTGCTTTATCGTTCCCGTGCGCAAGGCATCATCGGGCTTGGCGCCTGGATCAACTTTGCCACCGAGGCCTCCCAGTTTTCTGAAAAGTTCCCTGGCATCAACTTGCGGCTCTTGACTCTCGAGACCAACTTTTTAATCCCCCTCTGGCGCGAGGTGCTGCTGTGTAAGTTGACGCTCCCTTGTGTGGGCCGCCCCCTCTGCATTCAAATTGCAACTGCCACACAGCCACATATCCCTCATCCCGCTGCTCTTCCAGCTCTCGGCATCTGCTCCGTCAGCCGAAAGTCCTGCGAGAACGTACTCAAGAAGGGCCCCGGAAACAGCATCATGATCGTCGTCGGCGGTGCTGCCGAAGCGTTGCATGCCTTCCCTGGAACCAACGAACTCGTAATCAAGAGTCGCTATGGCTTCGTCAAGCTTGCGCTGCGAAACGGTGCCTCACTCGTCCCTGTGTATTCCTTCGGGGAAAATGGGAGGTCTATCTCTCAGCCGCAGTGCGGCTTGGTGAGCTTCGCGATTTTGCATGCGATGGATGGCTCCAGCTCATAGCGACCCTCACACACCCTTCGACACATTAGATATCTGGGATCAGGTTCCCAACCCAAAAGGATCTGTCGTCCACACAGTCCAGACTTCGTTCAGGAAATACTTTTCTTTTTCTTCTCCTCTGTTCCATGGCCGCGGCTTCATCAACTACGATTATGGACTGTTGCCCTACCGACGACACGTCGTGTCCGTTGGTAAGCTTGACGGAGGGCTGTGTGGGCACCACCGCTGCAGGCAGCTCCAAACTTTGGATATAATGTGTGCGGCACTGTATTCACCATGCATTTATTTGAATTTTGCCAATTATTCAGTTGGTACCCCCATCGACTGTCCCAAAACCGAGTCACCGTCGGATGAGCTTGTCCAAGAATACCACCAGAAGTATCTGGAGGGCCTCCAGGCTATCTTTGACAAGTACAAGGACCAGTACGCCAAGGACCGCAAGGGCGATCTGACCTTTATCTAGTGCCCGTCTGACGTTGATGGAAACCCGGACTGCCCTTAGCCGCCAACTTTGTTAGAGATGGATATCCTGCGATTCGAGATGTCCATAGGCATGCCCGAAACACATATACACACAGCTGGAATAGAATGTATTTTCGCTTGGATCAAAAATATTTTGTTTGAATAAAATCAGAATCGTTTTGAAACAGGAACAATTTGAGCCCCTCTGAAAGTCAAGGGGCATGTGGTGCTGAGTAGAGTCAATGAGCTCGTCAACGAACTTCATCTGCAAGGATTACCAGCAGAGGAGGCATTGCATGTCGTTCCCGGAGCGCACTGCTGCACCTGAGTGCCCCAAGATAGCTGGCCATTGCTGTTCATTGTGCAAGCAATGAAACTGTTGAGACCAGTGCACAGGAACTGATTGGCCGCGCAAGCACCTGGAGTGGTCGAACCTTGGCTTGTACAGGGGTTGCCAGTGAGTGCGGCTGAAGCAGAACAGATGGTTCCAGCAGCACACGATTGAGATTGGCTCCAAGTGACAACACCGTTGACAACGGAGCAAGTTGAGAAGGTGCTTGATCCAGTGCACTGATACGGACTGGCCGCACAAGCGCTTGGGGTGGTCGAACCTTGGCTGATACAGGGGTTGCCGGTGAGTGCGGCCGAGGCAGAACAGATGGTTCCAGCAGCACACGATTGAGATTGGCTCCAAGTGACAACACCGTTGACAACGGAGCAGGTTGAGAAGGTGCTTGATCCAGTGCACTGATACGGACTGGCCGCACAAGTGCTTGGGGTGGTCGAACCTTGGCTGATACAGGGGTTGCCGGTGAGTGCGGCCGAGGCAGAACAGATGGTTCCAGCAGCACACGATTGAGACTGACTCCAAGTGACAACACCGTTGACAACGGAGCAGGTTGAGAAGGTGCTTGATCCAGTGCACTGATACGGACTGGCCGCACAAGTGCTTGGGGTGGTCGAACCTTGGCTGATACAGGGGTTGCCGGTGAGTGCGGCCGAGGCAGAACAGATGGTTCCAGCAGCACACGATTGAGATTGGCTCCAAGTGACAACACCGTTGACAACGGAGCAAGTTGAGAAGGTGCTTGATCCAGTACATTGATACGGACTGGCCGCACAAGCACCTGGAGTGGTCGAGCCTTGGCTGATACAGGGGTTGCCGGTGAGTGCGGCTGAAGCAGAACAGATGGTTCCAGTCGGGCATTGTTGGCTCTGAGTGTTCCAGGTGAAGAGACCGTTGCTGTTCATCACGCAGGACACAAAGTCACCAGAATCCGTGCACTGGTACTGATTCACGGTGCAAGCACCTGGGATGGTCGAACCTTGGCTGATACAGGGGTTGCCGGTGAGTGCGGCCGAGGCAGAACAGATGGTTCCAGCAGCACACGATTGAGACTGACTCCAAGTGACAACACCGTTGACAACGGAGCAGGTTGAGAAGGTGCTTGATCCAGTGCACTGATACGGACTGGCCGCACAAGTGCTTGGGGTGGTCGAACCTTGGCTGATACAGGGGTTGCCGGTGAGTGCGGCCGAGGCAGAACAGATGGTTCCAGCAGCACACGATTGAGATTGGCTCCAAGTGACAACACCGTTGACAACGGAGCAGGTTGAGAAGGTGCTTGATCCAGTGCACTGATACGGACTGGCCGCACAAGTGCTTGGGGTGGTCGAACCTTGGCTGATACAGGGGTTGCCGGTGAGTGCGGCTGAAGCAGAACAGATGGTTCCAGTCGGGCATTGTTGGCTCTGAGTGTTCCAGGTGAAGAGACCGTTGCTGTTCATCACGCAGGACACAAAGTCACCAGAATCCGTGCACTGGTACTGATTCACGGTGCAAGCACCTGGGATGGTCGAGCCTTGGCTGATACAGGGGTTTGTAGTCGCAGCTCCAGCTACGGAGCAGAATGTTCCAGTCGGGCATTGTTGGCTCTGAGTACTCCATGCAGGGGAGCCAGAGTCCTCGACACAGACTACAAAGGCATTGAAGCCCGAACACTGGAATGTGTTCAAAGTACAGATCTGGGCCCTCGACACTGAGAGGAGCAGAGTCAGGACAGTAAATGCGATCAATTTGGACATGGCGATGTCTCTCGCGGGTGGTTCAGGTGGGCTGTTTTGGTGGCCGATGCAGGAGCTGTGGCCGGTGCTGTGGGTTGCCGAGCGGATGCACTCGTCAGGGCCGCGTACTTATCCTCCCAGACACACCCGCCATCCCCGTGCCTCCGTGCCTCCGTCCGCGGCAGCTGGAGCGAACCCTGCTTGTTTGTTAGTCTGCGACCCCCCCCCAAGCCAGTCCCTGGGCTGCCCGTTACCCCACATGACGCGTTTGGAGCCGCAGCCCAGGGCCCACCCATGCGATCCACACGTGACCGTTATCGGGCCTGACTTGTTGTGTGCTGGCTGCCTCTTCCCGCGACCCGCTTTCGCTTCCATCTTGCCCAACCCCCGTCGTGGACCCTCAACGTCCCCGCCATGACCCCAATGATCTATCGCCACCTCGGCAACTCAGGCCTCAAAGTCTCTGTTCTCTCGATCGGTGGCTGGCTGACCTTTGGCGGCCACACCGAGAAAGGTGACAACAACGCCACCCCCCAGAACCCGCTGCCCAGCCTTCACGGGTCGCAGCAGTTTGCCCACCTCATCCCGACAGCGACAGCATCCATGACTCCACGCTGACGCCGGTTTGCTCGTCGACACAGAGACCGCACTTGAGTGCCTCAAGGCTGCATACGACAACGGCATAAACTTCTTTGACAATGCTGAGGAATACTCAGGTGGACCCTCGGACGCTTCCCCGCTGCCCGCGGCTTCATTTGGAGCGCCACCGCCAGCAACGCTGTCGCAAAGCCCTTACCAGCGGTCATGCTGCGTTCACTCTGATGGAAATCCTCCGCCCTCCAATAGATGGAAACTCGGAGCTGCTCTACGGCGAAGCCTTTCGCCGCTTTGGCTGGGACAGAACGACCTTTGTTGTGAGCACCAAGGTCCGTAATACTGTAACAGGCATCGACACTCAGCTCGGGTCTTGTTCGTTCTCCAGAATGATCCTGGATACCCGCCATTCAGAGTGCTTTGTCTCGTGTATAGATATTCTGGGGCGGAAAGGGCGTCAACCAGCGCGGACTCTCCCGTAAGCACATCGTCGAAGGCACAAATGCTTCCCTGAAGCGTCTTGGATTGGTATGGATTGATATGTGAATGCAGACAAGGCAATGTACCAGCGGGTGTCGCCCGGGCCTCGCCAGCAGCGCCGGCTTTGATCAAGCATGTCCTACGGTGCCTGTGTTCCGGATCCATCCTCGCACACGAGCTGCTGCTGAGTCTCCGAATGCCCTCAAATGAATGTTAGGACTATGTCGATTTGATCTATGCGCATCGCCCTGACGACTGCACTCCCATGGAAGAAGTTGGTATGCAAGCTTCTCAAGTGATATACTTTCGTCCCTCCTCGATGCTGACGAACTCTGGATGCGATCGGTTCTTGCGGGTACGCTTCAGTACGCGCCTTCAACTGGGTCATCTCACAGGGCAAAGCCTTCTATTGGGGCACCTCGGAGTGGTCTGCCGAAGAGATCGCCGACGCTCATCGAGTGGCCGAAAAGCTTGGCTTGATCGGACCCCTGGTAAGTACGCTATCCTCCCAACTTGTATGGTGCTTTCGCTCGTCAAGAAGACTGTTCAACAAGCTGACCGCAACGTGTTTGGTCCTCATATGCAGATGGAGCAGCCCGAGTACAACATGTTCAAGCGGCATCGGGTACGGAGTCCGCTGGCTGCGTCCACGATGGAGCTTGGTCTTGCTTTCGACCGCTTGACCGCTTGACTGCTTGATCGATGGGATGCAATCCGACGCTATCGAATCCCTCGCTGCTGGTGCTAGTTTATGATTGTTCAAGGATAGACCACCGCTCACACAACCTCTTGCGAACGTGGTTGCCAAGGTCGAAGTCGAGTACCAGAATCTCTACCAAAAATATGGACTGGGTATGTGTCGCGGCCCAAGTTCAAGGTCGAGTGCCCTTCCTGGCATGAGCAGTGGCGCGGGTTCGGCTCCATCAGACTCACACTCCTGCTTGCCGTCCCCAGGCTTGACGGTCTACTCCCCCTTGGCTTGCGGTGTCCTCACCGGCAAGTACAACGACCTCATCCTTCCACAAGGATCTCGCTTGACGCTCGACGACGAAGTCAAAGAGGAGCGCTGGTTGTCGCAGGAAGGCCAAGCTAATATTCTCAAGGCCCGCAAACTCCAGGTACGGGGGAGCCTCACGTTCCCCGCACACGCCATCACCGCGCTAAAGCTCATATCCATGATACCATAGGAGATTGCCTTGAGACTCGGGGTACAGGTCTCCCACCTGGCCCTCGCCTGGTGCATCAGCAACGCCAATGTTTCTACAGCCATCTTCGGTAAGCAAGCCTCTTCATCCACAATCAGGAACGGCTACGCACAACGGATCAAAGCCGATTGCATTCGTCTACACACTCAACTGCTCTAAACACAGGTGCCAGCAAGGTTTCTCAGGTGCATGACAACCTCAAGGCCCTCGAGGCCCTGCCTTTGCTCACCGCCGAAGTTGTGGCTGAGATCGAGGATGTCCTGGGCAATAAGCCCAAAAGCCTCACAAGCTTCCGCTAAGCACCGCTGTGCGCCACTGCGCTCATTCGGAGTGAGCGCACGCCTTGATCAATGGATTCACGTTGATTGGAGTCATTCCATCAGGTACTGCGGGGCTGGCTATGTTACCAAACTTCAAATAAAGCCGAGGTATTCAGAAAGTCCCCAAAGAAGATTTGCATATTCAGCAGCTCTGATCAGCTCACTGGTAGAGTGCCTCAGGCAAAGCACCCGGATTCTGTCATTTTGGCAGCAATCTCGGTTGTGATGGAGCGACGCCCATCAACGAGCTCCCAGAAGGATATATTGCAAGCAGGCAGGCGAGGTTCTGTGCCATCGCGTAATACCACAGATATTCGAGGGTATTGAAGATGGTGGCGCCCTTGAGCATCAGATATTAACCCGCACAGTTTAGGGTCCACAGAGTTGCTGAGACTCTAGCGACCATCCTTCCACATTCTGTAACTGTTGTATCCAATCTGAGACAGAGTAAGCGGGGTAGAAAACGGAAACATTAGAATTCCTGCCATATGACATTTCGCCACTCATGCAGAACATCGGTCCAGGGTTGCTCAGATCTATCGAAGATTATCGAATAAACGTTATCTCTCCTCCAGCACACAGCAGGCTGTGGCTGCACGCATCAGGACCCGGTGTCCCAGAGCATGCAGAGACAGCCAGCTTCGGCGCTAGCTTCAGTGCAAGGATGAGTGGTCATCGTCGCTCAGGACTCGGTGAATAGCCTGTGGGTGCCCATTTCAACCTGCACGCCATAACCCACCAGCGCTATCATGGACACCCGTGGATGCTCCATCGGTTTGTGGAAGATCAGAGTCTCCAAGACAAAGCATGGCACAGCTATTCCGATTCTGTCAGTCGAAAATCATTCGGATGGGAAGAATGGGCCACCGAACAGGCTTCAGTTGCTGTTGCTGGATCTGGTGATGGTGATTCAAGTAGGCCTCGAGGCTGTCGATGGCCTGGTTCTGTTCCAGGCGGCCATACAGCGTTGTTTGGCCTTGAGATCGCTTTAGCCTCTGTTCTTCGGCCTTAACGAGATCTGTAGCAGAATACGATGGAGTACCGTACCAGGAGCAGTGAGTGCCGAGACTACGAGTCGCAGACGTCCGTGAGCATTAACAACATGCCTTCCAGACATGGAATGTGCAAAATGGAACCACCCGTTCATTCATCCCAGGGTCAGCACACCGACCTCTCTGTTCCTTTTGGGCCTGGGCCTCTTGTTCAAGCCGCTTCTCTTTCTCCCCTGGATCGTGGAGGTTGGGCGGGTGAGTCGTAACTCGATCAAAGTTTGCACTGCTTCGTCAAGCCGAGGAGATCCAGAGGACAAAGAGTCTCTCAGGAGCATCATGCAAAGCAGCCCAAGACAACCAACGTCACCACCAAGGCCGAGGAGCCAGTACGGCGAGGATCGGGACTTACGTTCAAGACGAAACCGCTCCGAGTGTCGGAACATTTCGATGACCTCGGGTGTGAGAGTCAGCTCGACATCGTCGGCCTGGCCTGCGTCTGGACTGTCGACCGTTTTTTGTTCGGTTGCCATACAGCCCGGATCTTCCTCATACAGATATGCGGGGTCATGCGGGGGACGGCAGTCTGGCGTCTCGGTCTCGCCCGGTCCAGGGCCCAAATAGCCGCCTTGGTCTGATCCCCCCTTGAGGTAGCTGCATGCCCAGTAGAGACGGCATGGATGGCATAAGGCGCCCCACTCCTTGGTAAGACCGTATAGATCAGACCCGATAGCATCGGAGAGAGGGCCGTCGCTTCGACACCAAGACCAGGGTGGTGCGCATCCAAAGTGCTGGAGGTGAAAGCGATAGAGAAAGCTCTGAAGAGCAAGCTTGTCGTCCAAGCCCGTCACGGACGAGCCTGTCGTCGGAGCGGGCGGGATCAGTGTCGAGAGCAGCTTCAGAATATCGGCCTGCATCTCGGCGCTCTCGGGTGTACTGGCTTGCATCGGGTCGAGGGTACAGGGATATCGAGGTGGAGCCGGCCTGGAGATGGATCCGCCGCGATGATCCGCTCAGGCTGCAAGAAACGGCGCCAGGTAGGCTGTGCTCCGGCGACGGCGGGGCCTCATCCAGGGCATCGGGCCGTGGAGGGGAGGGAATCTGCGGACAACCGAGATCTCGGCGTGCCATGCCGGCCAGGACACGGGCTGTGGTTGGTCTGGCGGACGCAAGAAAAAAAAAAAATCACGGGTCGTCTTGGCGGAAATCCAGCCGAAGCTGGCCAACCCAGGCGTCCTTGCATCCATCCTGCATCCATCCTGCACCACCCAGGCATCCCGCATACCACATCGGTCCGCTCGCCCGCACCCAGCATGCCAAGGACCCGGACGACCTTTTCGAATGCATTGCAGGATGACTCGGACTCGGAGGACCTGCTTGCCAAGGCTGCAGTGGCTCTGAAACAGCGGCAACTTGACTCGCAAGAAGGGTAGGGCGGATCTCGAGTTGGTGGCTGCTCACGATGGGCGCCAGCCACGGCTCTGAGCCTTGTTGCATGTTAAATGATGTGTTCTTGAGTGTATAAAAGCTCTCCCAAGGAGTTTCCTCGATGGAGCACACTGAGTAGCAGCTCCTTTGCACAATGACCGGCATTGAGAGTCTGGATCGCATCGGCGGCGAGCAGGCCCTGCGGTACTGTCGCTAATCCGCCTTTGCATAACTGCATAGAAACCCCACCAAGCCCGATTCAAAAGCGCTCTCTGCTCTAAGGTTTGGGCCGCTTGCTGATCGTTGTCGGCCGCACAGTCGATCATCGTCTGCTGAGCTCCAATGTCTAGACCAATAATCTCACTGGATGCCTGTGCCGCTATATTATGCCGCAGAACCATCAAGCTGGACGCCGGCATGTCCAGTCTCAGAGAAAAGTACCTGGTTGATGAAAAGCGACGGCCTGCCAAACTGAATCCCAATGCAGTTGTCGTGACTGAAGAAAGTGAGGCCAGCAAACACAAGCCCCAGTATGCTTCGACTCTGGAGAAGGTCCAGCCAGTCGATCGTCTGGTAATCCAGTCTCAGTCGCCGTCGGTGCTTCCAGTGCTGGACCTAGACACAAAGACAAAGAAGAAACAAGCCCAGAAGGAGAAGGAGGAAACCATGGGGCCGGGCTGGTTCGGCATGAAGAACACCGAGCTGACACCCGAGGTCAAGCGGGATCTGCTGCTCATCAAGTCGAGGAACGTCCTTGATCCCAAGAAGCATTTCAAAAGAGACACCAGAAAGGGTCTGCCGAAGCACTTCCAGGTTGGTGCAATTTCGTGTCTGTGGGACTGATGTCTCAAAGGGAGCGCCGGAGGAGAGCTCGAGGAAGTATTGCGTGCTCATCGTCCGTTGGTCACAGGTCGGAACGGTGATTGCTGGAGCAGCCGATTTCTACTCTGGACGTCTCGCACGCAAGGAGCGACACGAATCTATCACTGGCGAGATTATGGCCGATCTTGACAAGAAAAAGTACTTCAAACGAAAGTTCCTGGAGATCCAAGAGAAGAAGCAGGAAGGCACTCGCAAGGCCTACAAGAAGAAGGTTCAGAAAAACGTGCCGGTGTGGAGACGAAAGTAACCCTGCCCTGATAATGACCAGTTCGGGTGCACCCTCCAATGGCTCCGCCGTCGTCGCGATCTGGATTGACAACTTATTTTGGGATCGCTGCCATCCGAACCACGGCCGATATGTCATGCATCAGTGAAAGAACACGCAGGAGCGCAGAGGTCCAAGCAAATGGTTTTATTCCCGCCAATTTGGCGAGATCGGGGCGCTCGGTAACCCAGCGACTCATGGTTCACAGAGCACGAGTTGCTGGCAATATTCGGCGAGAGGGTCGGTGGGATGCCAGCAAAATGCCGCTGTTCGTTCACAATCCCTGTTCGTTCTTGGAAACGGTCCTACGGATTGAGTGGGAAGCATGATGAGTCAAATCCAACCCTGTTGGCTCCATGCAGAAACCTCAGCCAGGCGATATGCTGTCCAGCGTGCAGCGGGTGGAGCCAAGATGCTGACAGCCGACATCGAGAGCGCTACTTCCATCAAAGCAGGCGCAGAGGAACGCACCCATCCTTGTTGCCAAAGTAGGCGGCCTTGGCCATTGCGCAGAACAGGCCAGTTTCGACGATTCCCGGGATGGAGATGAGCTGCTGGTTCAGCTCCCGAGGAGATCGGATGAGGCCAAAATCTGCGTCGACGACAAAATTGCCGTTGTCGGTGACAACGGGGCCAGCCTTCTTGACGCCCATACGCAAGGTGGGCTTGCCACCGAGATTGCGGATGCGCTGCCAACCGCCAGAACCAGGAGTGTTGATAGTCGGCTCATTCAATCAACCACCGAATACACAATCATGGTAACGCCGATACGACCAAGGGATATTTCTGCCGCTGCGGAAGTCTTTCGAATGTCGGACAGATACATACCTCCATGACGGGCACGTAGGCAAACGGCACCACCTCGAGAGGGACTCCCGATTTCCACTGATAAAAAGAAAGGAGGGGGTCGGGGAAGTTATTCGGCTGCTCGTAGCATCACAGCTGGGCTGGCCGACAGAAAGATGGACAGACCTGCTCGCCCAAAACCTGGCTGTTTTTGCGGTAGTCGGCGACGATGATCAGCTTATTGGCACACATTGCCACGAGCTTCTCCTGGAGATGACAAGCGCCGCCGCCCTTGATGCAATCGAGGCTCGAATCGACCTCGTCAGCACCATCAAAGGCGACATCGATGACAGGGAACTGGTTCAGATCGCCAAGAGGCAGGCCGTGCTGCAGAATCAGGTCGCGGGCCTGGAAAGAGGTTGGGATGCAAGCCTTGAAGGGCGACTTTTGGTGGTGATGGAGCAGACGAGTAACGCAGTGGACGACAGTCGACCCAGAGCCTAGATATTGATTAGTTGGGCGAGAGGAGACGGCGAGTTGGCCACGGAACCAGGAGACGAGCCATCGTTGAAATGGCCGAGCAGGCGGTTAACAACAACGGTATGATGAGAGCATCATGATCGAGCGGAAACTGGACAGTTAGGGTGATTATGACACTCACCGACTCCTATAACCTTGGCAGATTCGTCGATGTGGAGGTCAACGGCGGTGAAGGAAGCAAGCCGCTTGGCTGTAAGGGTAGGAGATAAGAGATAAGCACAGAAAACAGCAAGTCACAACGCTAGCGATTCTGAAGGATGCAAGCCTCTCCATGGGACGCATCTATACCCTCTTCAACGAGCTGGGCTTCGGTAGTAGCCATGATGTCAGCGATTCGTGGCGAAGCGGCGAGAACAATGGCAGGATGAAGGATGAAAAAAACTGGAGCCGACGCGGTTTGGCTGAGCTTGGAAGCAGATTTTCACCTGTCGTCCAGGGAATGATTGGAGGGGAAGCGACAAGGCGGCCAACCAACAGGCCCGCCGACAAGACAAACAGGTTCGATCGAGCGGTGGGCGGAGGAGGACGGAGTGAAAGCAGATGCCTTTGGTCGTCGATGGGTGCGCAATGTGGATCGAGAATACACCGTGTGCCTCTGTGCTTGTGGTGCGGTGCAGAGGAGGGGGGTGCTTGTGCATGTTGTGAAGCGGGATATGAACACGGCGATATGAACACGGCGATATGGCCACGGCGATATGGCCACGGCGATGCAAGCAGGGTGGAACGGGAGCCGGCAAGAGTTGATGAGCGATGGCGCACAGAGCAGCACCACGGACAGGATCGCTGCGATCGGGTGAAGCAGAAAGACAATCAAGGGGTCTGAGAAACGACCAGGCATCCCAGCGAGGATTCAGTCAAGAGCGGCCGGATGCGGCCACGATCAAGAGTGACCAGATATGAGCAGAGCAGACCAGACCAGAGCAGAGGCGGTGCTATCGGCATAGATTACTGGGGACAATCATCAGCCACCCAATCCATCAACACCTGGCAACGGACTGATTGCGATGGTGAAATGCCACTTTGGCTGGTGGCATTGACCACTGTCTGGCTTTATCGACTGTTCTGCCTGGCACCACCAACATCACCAGATGCCACTCACACCACCCACATCCACATCCACATCCACATCCACATCCACATCCACATCCACATCCACACACTCGGCGTGCTGCTGCTTCCCAACAGACATGCCAACAGACATGCCAACAGACATGCCCAACAGACATGCCCAACACCGCCGCAGCGCTTTACACATCTCACGTGCGTGCATCCTTGGTCATCCCCTGGTCCAGGTCGCCCGTGATCCGTCGAAACTCCGCCCGGCTTGACCACCCGCGCCACCCTCCTATTTTCTCGTCTGTTGCGGTCTTTGATGGCTTTGCCACAGGCCCCAAACTGTCGCCGATGCTTCTGCCACCACCTTTGAGCTCACTTGCAGATTGTTGGGCTCATTTCTTCGCCACAGGCCCGCGGACACCTTGGCCTCTTGCCCCATCGCCAGTGGCATGTCTATTTAAACCCGGATTGCTGCCGCTCCTCGGCCGGCCCTCACAGCGATCCATCACTTCCAAGACAGGCTCTTGGAAGGATCAACTGTCCCGGCGCCAACCAGTCGCACCCGCAACGGTCCACCGGACCAAGACCCGTCTTGATACTATCGACACATCTGGTCTCGTTCTCATCCAGGAACTGCTGTATCGACCACCTCCCGTTGTATCGATCGTGTCTTGGGCTCTTGTCTTCTGCTCTCTTCTCTTCTCAACACACGCACTGGCCTACTGCACGCGCACCAGCTTGCTGCACACACTTTGGCCATGACCAACTCTGAAGAATCGTTCATCGTCTCGGCTGTCCCCGCCAGCTCGGCTGCAAAAATCGCCTTCCGTCACTATCTCGAGTTCCAGCGTAACCCTGTTCCAGGCGTCTCGATCCACCAGATCAGCTCCCGGGTCTTCCACGTCAACACCCGCCTCCTCGATGGTCCCTATGAAGGAATCTGTGTCCACTGGGAACTCTCGATCCCGAACGACTACCCATACGCTCCTCCGATGGGAGCCATGACCAAATCCTACAGATTCAACACCACCCACCATCACCATGTGTACGACGGAATTGGCATTTGCGCCGACTGGTTCGGCAATTTCAGCTACATGAGCCAGTCTGCTGGTGTTGGCTGTGGCTGGACGCCGTCGTGCGACTTTGTCGGGCTCATGATCAATACCCAGGTCTTCCTCGCCGATCCCGATGGCGTGGTTCTCTCGGCCAGGGACGTTCAGAAGCTCCGCAACATGGACCAGGCATTCGAATGCTCATCCTGTCCTCACAAGACAGCGGCTCCGCATCCGCCTCTCGCCGTGTTTGATCCCGAGGCCCTCCAGGGTCGCCGACAGCGCGAGCTCACCAGAGACGAGAAGATCACCGAACGCGCCCGCAACGAGCTGATGTGCTCGGTCTCGAAGCTCAATTTTGTCGACGAAGAGGAGATGTGCCTCGGCTATCCTATCAACCTGTCGATCGACCGATTCAAGCGGCCGCACAGCGAGCTGTATCCCGAGCCGGTCTCGTATACAGCGTATCGCCAGGCCCTCAAGACGGCACAGGAAGCTGCACGGGTGGCTGCAGCCTCGTGGTGGGGATGTGGCTGCTCGATATGCTCCGCTTCCCGGCCCAAGAATGCCGACCAAGACAACACGGACTCGCCACCGGTGACGATCCGCAGCTCAACAGGAAAGACGTATACGCACTGGATGCCCATGTATCTCAGTGAGGATCACTTCCAAAAGAACGTGGCGGTTATCAAGCAAACGATTGCCTCGATGGCTCAGGGACAACAGACGCTGCCGGCACGCTTTGTCTTCCGTCCTCAGTGGATCGTCAAGGTCATTCCGGCACTGATGAACCAGCAAGTTGTGGCCATCATGAAGGGAAATGTCCACGAGTCCGAGGTGGCAATCGTGGCCTACGCCAACCTGCTGCGGCTGCTGGTGCGGTTCCTCAAGGAGTACCCCGGTCTCCAGGCTATCATCAACAGAGAAGTCAAGGACTTTCTTGAGGTTCCCTCGAACCGCACCAAGAAGGCGTGCGGCGACCTCGGCGAGTTCTTCATCAAGCTGATGCTTGCCGAGCGGGACGGCAGCGACCCTCGTCTGTCATACTCGCAGCCAAAGATGAAGGCGGCCCTGGAGATGGAGCGATTCGCACGCCAGATGATGTGGGTCCGCCGCGAAAACGCCAGCCTCCTCGACTTTGACAACTCGATGCATGTCCGCGAACGCCTGCGCCGGGTTTTCGAGTCAACGCTGGTGTCGAATCGGCTGTTTGTCTTTGTGCTGGAGATGTCTCGGCTGTTTATGGTTCCCGAGTTTGAGAGCGGAATGGACCGCAACCTGGGTCTGCCTCCGGCCGCGATCCTGTCGTCGTTCCAGACCCGGATCAAGGTGATCAAGTCGACACTCACAAACTACTCGGTGCTGATGAAGGTGATTGGCTACTTTGATCGCATCAACTCGGACAAGAAGATGCTCTGGCTCCTCAAGACAGCCTCGGAGACGTCGTACACCCAGGGCTACGAGCGGCGGCCGTTCACATACCGCCACTGAAAGACCGGCACGGTGCATGTCTCGGAGGTGGATTGGCTGTGCTCGCAGTGGTTGTCTTTGGATGGTTGTCCCTGAGTGATTGTCCCTGAGTGATTGTCCTTGAGCAGTTGTTCTTGGGTGGTTGTTCTTGGGTGGTTGTTCTTGGGTGGTTGTTCTTGGATGATGGCGTGTGCTGGCCTGTCCTGTCTGCTTGGCAACTCTCATATGTTGCTGTTGTCGTTGTTGCTGGCATCGTTGTTGGTGCTGTTGTCGTTCGCGATTGCCACTCATGGTGGCTTGACATGCTTGGTGCGGTATCGGTGCTGTCTTTCGAAATAGATTCGCTTCCCAATTCCCTATTCGCAATTCGCAATTCCCAATTCGCATTCTGTAACAGCACTGCTCCTGCTCTCGTCATTGTCCCCAGTCGCTGCGCTCTTCACCGTCGTCAATCCCAGTCAATGTCGCCTTGCCCACACATCAACACAAACACGACCCCATTCAATGAGACCATTGTCCATCCCTCTGTTTCTTTCTGCTGCCTCGTCGGAGTCAGGCTCAGCCGGTTGTTTTGATCCCAATCTCGCTCCGTTCTCACCCTCGTGTCCAATAGCACTGTTCCCACACTCGTCCCCTTCTGCACTGTTCCCACCCCCTCCCCTCGCATCCCAAACCCACCCGTGATGTTCGCGAACTGAAATCCCCCCCCTCCTGTGTTGTTTTGATATCTGTGTTGTCATTCTCTATTCGTGGATACAGAAGTAATATTTCGATGGTCTGCTTTCATGGTGTTCTCTCTTTGCTCCTTCCGCAATTACTTCTTGCCGGTTTTTGGTGCTGATTTTTCTTTCGATGTGAACAGAAGAAATGGGGTTGTGGTGAAAGCAAGCAAGCAAGCAACAATAAAAGCAACATACAGAAAGAGTTGGAACTGGCGCACTCTTCAAGCTCAGTCACGAAGGACAATGAAACAAAAAGATTGTGTGGGGGAGAGAAGGAGTATGGATTTGTGGGAAACCCAAGACCAACAGATGGATGAACCATCATCGGAATTGGGGAGAGGAGGGAGGCGTAATCAGGGTTATCCTGAGGGCATGAATATCTTGGGCTCATATACTTGAATTATGCAGAGAGAGAAGGGTCCCTCAGGGCTCCGTTTTGTGGTAAGAACTAGGAACTAGGATGACTTGTGAATCGGAAATGTGGTTGTGAGGATCTTGGAATCGATCGCTCGGATAGTGAAAGTGGCCAGGGCGGCTGACGGATGGAAAGGCCCGCTTACTGCAGGACGTTGAGATCCTGCTGCTTGACCAGGGCGCTGTAGACTCCGTTGAGAGCCAAGAGCTCAAAGTGGGTGCCCTGCTCAACAACGACTCCCTCCTTCAACACGACGATCAGATCGGCGTCCTGGATGGTCGAGAGACGATGGGCAATGGTGACAGTGGTGCGGCCGCCCTGCTTGATGGCGTTATCGATGGCCTGCTGCACGTGCTTCTCAGACTCGGAGTCCTGGTGATAGTCAATTCGTATTCTCGGTCAGTACAGATCCAGGAGACGCGAGCGAGAGTGACCATCCCCACCCCATCAAGTGGTCGCAATCGAGGTGCAGGCAAAACAGCACAAGTACTCACCAAAGCAGAAGTGGCTTCGTCGAGGAGGAGGAGTCTGGGGTTGCGAATGAGGGCGCGGGCAATGGCGACACGCTGCTTCTGGCCACCGGAGAGCTGGGAGCCCTTGTCACCGACACGGGTGTCTGTCGAAGAAGGGGCAAAGAGGCCATGTTCTGTCAGTCACACGAAACATCAGGCGGCCAAAGGGTCCTTCGTGTCGCGGCAATGATCGACACCAGGATTGTTCGACAGTCCTGCTCTTCGCAACTTGGACGACTGTTTTGTGCAGACGCCACTTACCAAGTCTCTCGGGCATATCCTTGAGGAAGGCAGTCATGTTGGCCATCTGGGCAACCTCCTCAACCTCCTCATCCGTGACATCGGTGCGCTCGGTGCCAGCGAGGATGTTCTCCTTGATACTCATGTCAAAGAGGACGGGCTCCTGGCCGACGAGGGCCATGTGCTTGCGCAGGTTCTTGACCTGGTAATCCTTGATGGGCTTGCCATCGAGCAAGGCACTGCCGTTGTTGATGTCGTACCAGCGCTGCAGGATACCGATCGTGGTCGACTTGCCGCATCCAGAGGGGCCGACGAGGGCAATGGTGATGTTGTTCTTGGCCTTGAGCGAGAACTGGCCGTCAAAGATGGGCTGGGTGGGGCGGGCAGGATAGGCAAACGAGATGTCCTTGAACTCGATCGTGCCGTCGACGTTGTCGGCAACGATACCATCGGCATCGGGGTCGATGGTGGTGGCGCGGTCGATGAGCTCAAAGGTCTGGATTCAAGTCAGGGTGGCTTTGTGTTAGCACAAAACCTCGCGAAGCGCATTGCTCAAGGAGAAGCCATCGACATCTCCTATTGCACTGGCAGCCAGACGTTCCAGGCGCGACTTACGTTGATGGCAGCAAGCTTGGCGGCAGTGTAGGTCGTAACAAAGTTGGAGGCGCGACCAAGACCCTGGGCAGTGAACATGACGGCCTGGATCGAGCAGATGAATGGCACAGTTAGAGACTGTTTGAGTGCATTTCCAGCAACACAATCACATAGATCGAGGCACAGCAGAGTTGACGACGGACAACTTACCATCAGGACGGTGAAGACGGGCTTGAAGCTGATGGTTCCAGCAAGAGCCAGACGGATACCAGCATAGAAACCGAGGGCGTTGGCGAACTGGACAGCAGCCTGGCTGGAGCCGTTACCGAGGGAAGCAATCCGGGCCTTTTGGATGGCGAGCTTGTGGGGGTGCTCAAGGTTGGCGCGGTACTTGTCTTCGAAGAAGTGCTGGCGGTTGAGGGCCGAGACGGTGCGAATCTCCTTGAAAGCCTCGCCGGCAATCTCGCCGGATTCTTCGTACGACTTCTTGCTGGCATCCTCAAATCCACGACGGATACGAGCTTCGAAGAAGGAGCCGGCAGCGACGAATGGAGCAACGGCCAGGATGATCTGTTTGGTGGGGAAAGGGGAAAGCATGGTGGTCAGTCGTTGGCTGAGGGGTGTATCCTAACTCTTTCGACGTGAACGCAGACTGTCTCGATGCAATTTGGCACCGCTGCCAGGGGGTTTGCGTGCCGACGAGCCGATGGTGCAACTTACCAGAGTGAGCTGCCACGAGTTGATGAAGGCAATCAGGAGACCGGCACAGGCCGTGACAAAGAGCTGGAACAGATCACCCCAGACCTTGGTGACGAGCTCGCCGACCTTGAGCGCATCGATGGCCAGACGGGAGGTCAGGGCACCAAGGCCGTGGCCCTCCTCGTCGTAGAATCCAACCTCCTGGCGCATCATGGCGTTGAAAGTCATCAGACGGATACGGCGGCCCATGGCACCACCGGCGTGCTCAAAACCAATGAACTGCAGACTGAAGGAGAAGAAGCCGAGGACACCGATGATGGCGAAGAGGAACGAGTAGAGATTGGCACCCTGGAACGGTCCGGGGTCGATCTCGCTGGGATCCAGAAGGATGATGCTGACTCTCGAGAAGATGAGGGCAAAGACGGGGAAGACCTACAGAACAGGAGGGCGGGAGAGATCAGTCCATGTGCACTTACAGTCGCTGTTGTCGAGAATAGCCAACAGCACGGTTTCCTAGTGATTCGATCACGACACATTGACAGCCAGCAACAGCCAGCAACAGCCACCCACGTCGCCCCTCATATGCACGGCGTGGCCAACTTACCACACCAGCACCAACGGCACCGAGACAGCCGAGGGCAATGTAGCCCCACTCGGGTCTCATGAGCATCAGCACACGCCAGAGCGGAGCGGACTGCTTCTTGAGTTCCTTCTTCTTGTCCTTGAGCTGCTGCTTTTCGTCGAGAGCAGCCTTGCGGTGGGCATTTTCGTCATCGAGGTAGAGGCGAGTCTCCACAGGCTTGCCGGTGTCGTCGGTGACGACCTCGGACACGTCGGGCTTCTTGATGTTGAATTCCTCCTCTTCCTCCTCCAGAGTCTCGGAGGAGCCGTTGCTGCTGCTGTTACGCTTCTTGTTGCGGCCAAGGGAGCGGTCGTTGATGCCGAGAGTGTCCTCGACCTCCATCTTGATCTTTTGCTTGTCAACGAGACCGGTGTAGACACCGCCGAGCTTGTAGAGCTCAGCGTGGTTGCCGACCTCAACGATCTTGCCGCGCTGCAGAACGACAATGACGTCGGCGTTGCGGATGGTCGAGAGACGATGGGCGATGATGACGGTGGTGCGGTCCTTGGAGGCGTTGTCGAGGGCCTGCTGCACAAGGCGCTCCGAGTGGGTGTCGAGGGCAGAGGTGGCTTCGTCGAGGAGGAGGATGCGGGGGTTCTTGATCAGGGCACGGGCGATGGCGATGCGTTGCTTCTGGCCGCCCGAAAGCATGCCGCCGTGCTCGCCGACAGAGGTATCGTAGCCCTGGGGAAGCTTGCTGATGAAGTTGTGGCAGTTGGCCATCTTGCAGGCCTTGATCAGGTCAGCCTCGGTAACGTCACCGGTGGCACCCATGATGATGTTCTGCTTGATGGAGGTGTTGAAGAGGACGGGCTCCTGGCTGACGATACCAATCTGGCTGCGGAGCCAGTTGACGTTGAGGTCCTTGACGTCGTTGCCATCCAGGAAAACTTGGCCCGCTGCAGAAAGAATAGGGTGTGAGTGAGCACAGGGCAGGTAATGCGTCAGAGCAGTGAAAGCAACGGAGAGAGGCAGCAACAGCAACAGAGAGGGGAGTAGCAGGGAGAGCACGCGCCCGCTGCTACCAACGTACCGTTGGGATCATAGAAGCGCTGGATGAGCTGGACAATGGTCGACTTGCCCGAGCCAGAGGGGCCGACAAAGGCAACGGTCTTGCCGGAGGGAATCTTGAGGGAGAGGTCAAAGAGGATCTGGGTGTCGAGGCGGGCGGGATAGGTAAAATCGACGCTCTTGAACTCAATGTCGCCCGTGATGGCTGCGGGCTTGAGGCCCTCCTGAGAGAGCGAGTCGATGGTGGGGACACGATCGATAACGGAGTAGATCTTGTAGGCGGCGCCGCGAGCGTTGGAGACGGCAGCCAGGTTGGTGGGCAGGATGATCAGGGACATGGCGCCCATGATCATGGCAAAGAAGACGACGAGGACATCCTGGCCGGCAAGCTCGCCCTGGAGAACGAGGCGCGAGCCGTACCAGAAGGCCAGGCCGTATGTACAGAACATGACGAGCATGAAGGAGCCAAAGCCGAGACCGATGGCCTGGCCCTTCTTGATGTCGCTGACTTCGGCCTTGGCGAGCTCCTTGTCGTACTTTTCGGTGAAGCGCTGCTGGAGCGAGAACGAGTAGACGGTGCGGATGCCGGAGATGACCTGCTCGGCGACGGCGCCGGCGTCGGCGTAGGCATTCTGGCCCTTGCCGGTGAACTTGCTGATGATGCGGATCATGACGGTGCCGACGATGCCGAGGAGCGGGAGCGCAGCCAGCAGCACGACGGCCAACTTGGGGCCCTTCACAAAGGCGATGATGAAGCCGGCAAGGAACTGGGTGATGGCCTGGATGCACATGCCGGCCTTCTCGGAGATACCGTCCTGGATGAGCTGGGTGTCCTGGGCGAGGCGGGTGGTGAGGGAGCCCTCCTCGGCGAGATCGAACCATCCGAGGTCCTGGCGCAGAACCGAGCGGACAAAGAGCTCACGGATGCGGCGGGTCTGGTTTTCACCGGAAATGACCCAGAAGAACTGGGTAAAGTAGCCCGAGAAGAGCATGGCAATACCAAAGTAGACAAAGATCAGGATGTTGTTGTACATGGGCTGGGGGTCGAAGTTGCTCATCAGCTGGGCCGGGGTAACGATTTGGCCGCTGGGCAGGATGTAGTTGCCGTTGGGGTCAGTGGGGAGCTGGGGGCCGTTCAGGAAGCCCGAGGAGCTTCCGAGGAAGTTGCCGAGGACGAGGATGGAGCAGGGCATCAGAGCGCCGATACCCATGCTGGTGAGGATACCCAGACTGGGATGGAGAGAAAGAACAGAATCGAATGGTTAGCGACATGCATAGGCAACGAGCGCCTGATGGGCAGGGAGGGAGGCATGGGAGGGAGGCATGGCAGGGAGGCATGGGAAGCGTCCATGATGCATCTGGAGGGGGCGCAACCAGCACCAGGGCGCGCCACCAGAGCAGAAGCCATTCGTGCCAGAGGGAAGCGGACAGTTACATCCATCGATGCAGCCATTCCGCACATCCGACCAGACACAGCCATTCTCTGGGAGGGAGGCGGACAGACCCTGAGGGTCTGTTGGGAGAGCTGGACACACTCGCTGTCGTGCTGCATTCCGTCCAGGACTCGGTGGAGCGACCCCAAGGAACGAGCAGTTACATGATGAGGAGGCGATCCTTGCTGTCGGCAAAGCGGAAGAGCTTCAGGAAGGGCACAACGGGCACTTTTTCCTTCTGCTGGCGGGCCTTCATCTTGGCGAAGAATCCGCCCTTGGGCTGCGCGGTGGCAGCAGCCGGCTCCGCTGGAGCGTCGGGGGTGATGATGGTGGTGGCTTTGGGGTCTTCGGATGTGCTCATGGTGGAGCAGAGGGCGATCTCCCAGGAAGGAGCGAAGGGGGGAGGGCGATGGACAGATGGAACCTGGGATGGGGCTCGAACAGGCGCGGCTGGACAGGTCTTTTTATCGCGGGCCCGAGGCAAGGCGTCTTGGCAGGCCGGCACCGGCATTCGCGTGGACCTCGCTCGGGCAAGTCAGAGCCACGGCGCAGGCCGGAAGGATCACCTCGCCCGGCCACCCAGGCAAGGGCGCGCCTGCCGCAGCGCACCAAAGCGGAACGATGCAACAAGGCAGCCACGGGGCACAGCGCGTCTGTGTCGCGTACACTGCTGTCTGTGTCGCGACTGCCGGCGCCGGTGTTACGCTCACGCGTCTGCGCGGCTGCTGTGTTGTCTGTGGTGGTGTGGGCCGGCGCTGTCCAGGGGACATTGGTGCCAGCGCAAGAGAGGGCTTCGCAGACAGCAAATCAAGACGAGCGAGGTGGATGCGCAAGAGATGCGGCGACCCAGACCACACTGGCGCATGGTGCCCACCGGATGCAGCAGAACCGCCGATCTGCGGAGCCAGAGCAGCACACAAGAGCAAGCAGCACGCCAGCAAGGGCGCCCACGGACAGAACCCACCAGCAAAGCCACGCCGCAGCCCGACGGCGATCGCGCACGGGTCGCGAGAACCCTGCGGCTGTGGGCACACGACAGCCAGATCCCTCTCGGGCTCGGCACGGCTCTTGCGCAGCCGAGAACCATCGCTCGCGCTGCCAACAAGGCGTCGGCGTCGGCGTGGCTCTCCGCCCGCCAATCACTTCAGGGCAGCCTCCACGGTACACGCCGGTACTGCGGACTGCTGCGTCGGATTCTCCCACGAAGCTTTGGATCCAGCCATGATCCCCGCCGTGAGACGCTGTGGCCAAATGCCATCCGCCATGCTGCTGGCTTGGCGGGCCAGCATCCCCTTGTCTCTGGGCTGGGCTGGTCATGGTCTTGGTCTTGGCTTCTATCGGCTCGGGGAGTCTGCCAAGGAGTCCGTGGCTGGATCTCGGTGCGGCCACGTCCCGCTCTGCGTCCGGCCAAGCCCGATGACGCATGTTCCACGGGTGATCATGGCATCCGGCGGGCCCGGCATCCCAACTCCAGGGTGCGGCAAAACGGCTCACCGGCTGCCGAGAGCCCGCACAATGTTGGGGTGTCTCTGGGGAGGATGGGTGTCGTTTCCACACGCCCATGCGGTGGCTGTGCTGTCGCTGGTGACGGCTACACAGCGGCTCCATATGCCCGCCTGTCCTGGGCCGTCCATCGCACCGAGCCAAACCGGACCAGACATGGGACAAAGAAAATAACAAACATGCATTTCAGTCGTACGGTACATAGGATTACAATTTTGCAGCGGTCTTTGCAGCGCTTCTGCCATCTCGTCAGCACGGCGAGCCCGAGCCCGAGCCCGAGCCTATTTCTCCTCTCCCCGCGTTCATTCTCGCTTCTCTAGCTTCTCGATTCGCTCTAGCAGGCTTCGCATGGTCGCTTCGACGCTCAGCTGCTCAAACAGCGTGCCCTTGGTCGTGGCTGCGCTGGCGCCCTGCACCGAGGCACTGGGAAGTCCCTTGAAGCCGCCGTGCTGGGCACCGTTTGACGGGACGTGGCCGTTGGAGGCTGCAGCACCGGGCTGGATTCCCAGGACATTCTCCTCCAGGGCCATGATTCGCCGATTTAGATCCGTCAGCGCCGCGCCAAACTTCTCGCCGTATTGCAGCTGCATCTCGCGGAAGTGGCTGCGGACCAGGCCCTCGATCATCTGTCCCGAGCTCTGCAGCGTCTGCAGCAGCGCCGTCGATTTGCGGATCTGGCGCGAGAGCGTCATGGTTAGATGCGAGGCTTCCTCCATCTGGTCGTACATGACGTCAAAGTAGCTGAGGAAGGCGGCCTTGTTGGAGAGCGACTTGGACGAGGGCTCTCCCGAAGCTGTCGTGGGATGCGCCGAGGACGGCTCGCCCTGGGCTTGGTTGTGGTCCGAGGAGCGGGAGTTGTTGGCGTTCTGCGATCGCGATTCGCCATAGCCACCGGAGGGGTTGTTGGGGTGATAACCGTGTGACGTGAACGACGGAATCGGGTATGCGGTGCTGGGCGAGGGCAGAGGCGGGAAGCCAGACTTGAGCGAGTTGCCTGGGAAAGGTGACAGCGGCAGTGGAAGCTCGCGCGAAGGAAACTCGGTGTTGCGCGGCGAGGAAAGCTGGTTGCTGCTGGGGTTGCTGCTGCTGGATCGGTTGGGTCCAAAACGAGACATGGTTGGCGGCAGCATGCTCATGGGAACAGCTTGGCCAGAGCCGCCATAAGGCTGTTTGGGAGTGGTGAATGGTCGCTGCGAGCCTTCCGAGGCCTTTGCATCTGCAGCCAAAGTATCGAGGGATGAGATGGCACAGGAAATCAGACTCATTGGGAAGACAGTGCACGAGTTGTAGCAAGAGAGAGAGAGAAAGCGGGACAGAGAGAGAAAGCGGGACAGAGCAGGCAGCGCCATTGCACTGAATGTTACCTTCGCTGGGTCCTTGGGCATTGCCTTTCGGTGGCTTGTTCTCGGGCGACTCATGGCGGTAGCCCGAGCCCGAATGATGTGGGTAGCCATAGTGGCCACGGGCACCGGCCTGCGACTTTGCTTGGCTCGCAGGATCGTCGCTCCAAGGCCGAGAGCCAATAAGGGGGGCGCTGCCGAAGGGCTTCTCGGTTGTCAGCGAGCTGGTATTGATCGAAAGACGCTTCTTCTTGTTGAACCGGGCTGAGGTGTCCTCGGAGATGCCGTTCAGATGAGGCTTGTCAGCGGACTCTGGCGAAGACGCCGGTGTGTTGTCGTGGTGGAAGCTTCGCTTACGAGCACTGCTCGCGAAAGTGAGGGTGGTGGATATAAACACAATGCAGATGGATCAGAACCAAGATCAGAGTAAGGCCACTCAGATCACCTGCGTGGATGCCGAATGGAAGGCGCCACAGATCCTGCGCATCACTGCGATCGCAGCGACACTGGCATATTGAATTGTGCCGATGCAATCTCGATGTGCCGATGCAGCTTCGATGTGCTGCCCATGGTCATGTGGGCATAGTCATGCAGCACCAGCCATGGGCGCATATTGGCGACAAGTAGCTGGAGCATTACCTGGAAGGCTGCGGAGAGCGAGGTCGGGATCTGGGCGGCGAGCCGAGCTGGGGTGTAGATACACCGTCGGTGGGAGCGTCCGCAGGGATGTTGGAGCTGGAATGGAAGTTCTGTAAAGCGGGTGCGGAGACCGGTACGATGAAGAAGAGTCGTGGAACTGATGAGCTGGAGAGTCACCCCACCATCGAGAGCCAGGGATTGTATAGGGCCGGATTGTGCCCTGGCGATACAGGAGCTGCTTTCCTGGTCGAGTATTGGGCATGCGAGGGCACCGCTGGGGGCCCCAGTCGCACTCGGCCAGTGGCAGCGATGTAGCAGTAAGGACACTTACGGCGCCTTCGACGGGGAGGATCTTCATGAACACGGTCTCTTCTTGGAAGGGCATCGACGAGCGCTGGAGGCCGTCGAGACGATCCAGGAACTCGTTCGCAGAGCCGCACTTGAGTTCCTCGATCGACTCGAATGAAGACACAAACTCGGAGAGCAGGCGATGGTTGATCATGCGGGCAACCTCCTTGACGGTGGGCCAGCTCAGATAGCAGTGGCCGTCGGCGTTGTTGACGAAACAGTAGTCGGTGTAGGGCTTCCATGTGACGGGGATGGCGTTGATGATATCCTGGGGGTCGAAGGAAAGGACACTGTCGAGGTAGTGGATGTCGACGAAGAGCGACGAAGAGGTGGCGGGCAGCGACGGTGGAGAATCGGGGTGCAGAGGCGTGGGCAGCGAGTAGACATAGAAGCTCCGGGGCGAGCGATCGGGCGAGCGGCTCGGGGGAGTGATCGAGCCCAGACAGAAGGCACGAGCGGTGACGGTCTGCATGACAACGGGGAGCGTAGAATGGGGGGGGGTGGAGGGGAAGGTCACTGGACTCGGGACTAGATAGACAGGACGGAGAAGGCGCAGACGAGGCCGACCAGGACAGACGACGACAAGACCAACAGACCGGCCGAGCGAGCGAAGGCAAGGAAAGGGGCGGTTGAGGCAGGTCGGCAAACGGATGGGAAGCCCAAGAAGCGAGCGAGCCGGAGGAAAGAGCGGCCGAGGGCGGCCTTGTGAAGCCGCGACGCAAGGGGAGCCACGAGCGAACGCCATTCGGGCAGCGGCGAGCGCCGTCCGCAAGCCGGCGAGGGGTGCTGGGTGTTGCTGGGTGTTTGCTGGGGTGTGAGTGCTCAAGCGAGTCCGGGCGAGTGCTGGGCGAGTGAGTGCAGATGGGAAGAGCAGTAATGTTTGGCGGTAACATTCGCAGCAGCAGTTATCGCATCAAATTCGATCGTCACAATTGCCGTGGTAATAATGTCAGGCGACGGACCAGGAAACATGGGGTGACAGGAATGGTGTCGGCTGTGTCAGCGAGATCCGGACATGGCGGCCGAGAACATGCCGAGAACATGCCGAGAACATGCCGAGAGCGTCCCGAGAGCAGCCGTGGGAATCGCTGCCGTCACGCTGCGTGGCTGGCTGCCATGCATGCAGTCTCTGTGGCCGAGACGCGCAGCGCGACACGGCCGCCCAAGCGGCTGTGCCCCGGCCTTGATGGAGCGCGTCTGTGCGACACTGTGCCGGGTCCCCTTTGTCCGATGTGCGACCGCTGTCCGGAAGGTGCGCGGTCCCCTTGTGACACAGGCGGCAGCCCCCACACGGGGACACGGCTGGCCGCAGGGTGGCCTGGGATGTTGATGCTGTCGCAAGCCAAGCCAAGCCACGCCAAGCCACGCCAAGCCACGCCGGCCGCGAGGACGAGTGTCGCAAGTGCATCCAGTCGAGCCGGGCATGGAAAGTGCTCCCGGGCGAGCCAAACGGCTTGAGCAGCTCGAGTGATTCCCGTGTTGGTCTCTGGTAGGCGCCGGCCAGAGCTCGGTTGCAGCCAAGAACGGTGGCTGGCTCTCCTGCCGCAAGCGTTACTTCCTTCGGTCCAGCCGCACAAGCAGCACCGGCGGAAATGCGATGGATCAGAGAGGGTGTCTCGTGTCTTCGTCCGCGCTCCCACCCAAGTCTCGCCTGCTCCGAGTCGACTGGCAGCTCATCCATTCCTGACCCGTCGATCCGCCTGGATCGCACAATTCGTCATCCACCCTCCACCGACACTGGTATTTCCGCTGATGCAGCCGAACCGGGAGTGCGCGCGTGGGCTGGGGACAGACAAGAGGCCCAAGTCGCGTCCGAGCAAGCTGTCCATGTGCTCGTCCACCCGTGTATCTGCCCACAGACCGAGTGCTCAGGACGCTCAGGCACCGACTCTTGTTGTCATGCACCAGCCTGTATCCGGCTTCATCACCCGCTTCACCAAATGCCAAGGACGTTCGTGGTCCCTTGAGAGCGCGGATTGAGGGTCGCATGCGCTCCACACCTGCATCGTGTCAAGGAGTATCGACCCGCACGCGGTAAATCCCTCCAAACTCTGGTCCAAGGGCGGCCCCTCGAAATAGCGCGGGTATATCTGCGTGGCCGTCCCTCGCCCGTCGCTGCTCCAGCCGCGACCCGCTGCCTGCATCTCGGACACGATGCTTGCTTTCCAGCGCCAGGCAGCTGCCCTTGGCCTGCTGCTACTTGCGTTGGTCCCGCATGTGCACTCGCGGCCTGCTGTCCCTGCGCTCGGCAAGCGAGCATATCCGTCCTGCGACGCCACGCCCCCATTCGACCCGCAATGGGGCGTGGTCCTGCCGGCCTCCCCCGATCCTACCGATGATGTGACAGTGTTCACTTCTGGATCCAAGAATGTCTGGGGCGTCACGTAAGTCCTGAGGGCTGTGCTGCTGGGTAACAGCGCCGACCAGGATGGCGTGAGAGCGGGCATACCCAGCACAGCCAACTACCACAATCTGTCGCTGACCTGTTCTTGACCTGCTCTTGCCCTGCTTTGACCCGCCCTCCGTCGACACAGCTACGACGACGGACCCGGAGACTTTACCCACAACGTCCTTGACAACTTGGACAAGAAGGGCATCAAGGTCACATTTTTCCTCATCGGGTGTCGCATCGTCGGCAGGGAAGACGTCCTCCGCCGTGCCTACAAGAGCGGCCACCAGATTGGGTATGAGGCCTGTGACTGCGGCTCGATCGTGCTTAAATATGCTGCAATGTGCTGGAATATGCTGCTGCAATGTGCTTGAATGTACTGCTGCATGATGTTCAAATCGATCGGGATTATCGTGTCTCGATCGAAATCGCGCTGACAGCACGTTCGACTCTATACTGACCTGTCGTTCTCCCTTGTCAATGCACTCCCTGGCCCGTTGCTGCCCACATTCGCTGCTGCCCACATTCGCTGCTGCCCACATTCGCTTCTGTCCAGAATTCGTAAGTGCCCAACCGATACTTCAAGAAACCGACACTTCAAGCAACCGACGCCGCTAGCGGTCGGGCTATCGCGCGGCCACACATCGATACTAACCCTTCGTCACTCTCGCAGACACATACACCCATCCGTACCTGACCAGCTTGAGCAACCAGGACATTGGTAAACCCCTTCCGCTTGTCCTCACCGATACTCTCTCGAGCGAAGCCCGCGTCCTTGCCTCCTCCCATCGGACCTTGAATGTATCCATGTCCGGTACTGCTCGCTACAACTAACAACGTCCTTGGCGCCTCAGTTTCCGAAGTCATGTGGACTGCCAAGATCATCTATGACATCATCGGCGTCGTGCCGCTGTACATGCGCCCGCCGTACGGAAACATCGACGACCGTGTCCGTGGCATTCTCAAGAGCCTCGGCCTTCGCGTGGTTCTCTGGAATCGAGGTGGGGGGCAATACCACTCGGCTTGGAGTGCAGCTGGTGATCATGGAGAAACGTACCCCGACTCACGTCCTTTCGCTCGACATATCTCTCAGACACCAACGACTGGCAGCTGGACTTTCCAAACACGGGCCAAACCCAGGCGCACATCATCAGCGATGTCACCAGCTGGGCCTCCAACCCTCCCAGCGAGGGCATCGTCTCGCTCGAGCACGACTTTTGGCAGGACACTGCTGCCGTCAGCGTCTCTGTGTTGGACATCATCCTCAAGCAGGGCTTCAAAGTTGTCCCCATCGCCAGCCTGGACCATCGCCCAGCGTACACATCAACCTTGATGCCGCCCACTGTGCCCGACAGCAGCTTTATCGCCGGGTGCTATGTGGATGGGCCCAAGCGCGCCCTCGGTTACTTTGCCGGGGTAAGTACGAGTTCTGGCGAGAGCGGTGCTGGTACAGTCACCAACACAGCCGTGACCTTGAGAATGGGGCCAGACAGCATGCTGCCGTCTCAACGCCCCTCGAAAGCTGCACCACTGATATCACCCGCAACTCCAGTCCTCCGCCACCATGACCAGGGCCGTTTGCGCGGGTCTGTGCTCCGCGCAAAAAGCAAAGTAAGCGCTCGCCCCGAGCGTGTTTCGAGTATGCCGAGCATAGAGAAACAGGGATTCGCCAAGACATGTTGGCTTGCCTGCATTATACAGGTACATGTCCTGACCACGCTGCCGGGCTGACACACTGTCTTCGATCCCTTCCCAAACCAGATACTACGGCCTGGAAAACTCGAACGAATGCTACTGTGGTGGCAGTGTCGTCCTCAACGGTGCCAGTGGCAATGGCGTCGGCCGTGTCGGCACCAAGCTTCCCGACAGCCAATGCAGCTCCAAGTGCGCCGGTGATTCGACTCAGACCTGTGGTGGCGCTTGGACCATCTGGGTCAACACAGTTGCTGGAGCTCCAGCCCCACCACCACCACCACCTCCTCCTCCTCCTCCTCCACCACCTCCGCCGCCGCCCTCCGCGCCTCAGTTGCCAGGCTGCTTTGTGGACGGATCGCAGCGAGCGCTCTCAACATACACCGGGGTGAGTCCCAGCGGCTTTGTTTCGCCTTCCCGCTCTGCTTTTTGTGGATGCTAACGTTTTGGAATCCGCTCTTAATTTGTCAATTCAGTCTTCGCCGTCTATGACCAGGGCTGCGTGCTCGAACACTTGCAAGCAACAGAACTTCAAGTAGGTGCCAGTGCCAGTGCCAGTGCCGCAATCAAAAATCCACGCTTGCTCCTGTTTGTGCGGTCGTGACGCTACCATGCTCCATCTCACGATCCCGGTGGCGCATTTGGGAGACTAAATCCATTCATTGGGGACAGGTACTACGGTGTCGAATACTCAAGCGAATGTTATTGTGGCAATGCCATTCTCACTGCCGGCGCCGGCGGAAACGGTGTCGGCCAAGTCGGGGCAAAGCTCCCCGACAGCCAATGTAGCTCCAAGTGCGCTGGTGACTCGACCCAGACCTGCGGCGGTGTTTGGACCATCTGGATCGATGCTGTCTCTGGAAACCCTCCCACACCACCTTCACCTCCTCCTCCTCCCCCGCCACCCACTTCCCAGTCGCCGAACTGCTATATCGATGGGAGCACGCGAGTTTTGTCAGCATCCTTCACGGTAAGCAGAGCTGTAGCAAAACAGTCGTGAGACCCTCGGACGCACATCGATTGCAGCTGACCCTTGTGCGGTTTATGCAGCAATCCGGATCCAACAGCCCTCAGACCTGTGCACAAACGTGCGCCGCCGGCGGATACAAGTGAGTACCTTGGCGCCTTGTTCCGACTGCCGCCACACCCGGCCATACTTGAACTCTTGAGCACACGCCAGATCCATCTATGCTGCAATCCTCTGACAGTCGTGATCGCGACGCTGTGTCGTTTGACTTGCTCATAGATACTATGGCGTGGAATATGGAAGCGAATGCTACTGCGACAACAAGATTGCCAGCGGCACTGCCGGTGGTGACGGAGGTACTGCCGGTACCATTGCGCCGGCCAGCCAGTGCAATATGCCCTGTGCCGGCGACGCCAAGCAAAACTGCGGTGCCGCTTGGCGCATCTGGGTCGGCCAGACAGCTGCAGGACCTGTCGCTGCATCATTTGCAGCCGCTCCTGCGCAAGAGCCTGGCTGCTATGCCAGTCCCGAATCGAGCCCGATTCTCAATGAAAAGTCTATGGTAAGCCTATGCGATTGTAGACCTGTTCCTTAATGTGCACACAGATGGTGCCAGCTGCTTCAATACCGCTTCATCATGTCGCCGCTGCTAAACCATACCACTTTTGCTGTAGAACAAAATCTCTATGAATCGGGAGGCCTGCGCCCAGTTTTGTTCCCAAGACAACTACACGTAAGTATATTGAGGAAATTCGTCCGTCCTTGCTCTCTCGCTCTCACTTTCTATCGAATGCCCTTTGGCTCGTCTGCAAAACGAAGTAAAGGGCAGTAGAGCTGCTCTCAGCAGAACTGGCAAACGACACCGCGCTTATCGCAACATGCGTCATGATTAGATACTACGCTCTTCAGAACGGCAGTCAATGCCGTTGCGGCAACAGTCTCGAGGGACCGAGTGTCGATCCCGGCAACTGCAGCATGCGCTGCTCTGGCGACATCAGCAAGACCTGCGGCGGTGCCCAGTTTGCCTGGGTGAATCGTGTTTCGATCTAGATACACTGCCACAGCCACTATCGATATCGTCCTTGACAACGGGAAAACTACGTTTGAAGCCTCGATGCCATTTTCTTAAAATGAAATATACATCATTAATGATCAACTACTATCTATCTCCTCCCTTTCTCTCCCCAACCACATCCCCAATTTGTTCTCCCTTCTATCGAACACCTGTATGCGCCGCGCTCCTCGGCTCTCCTCTGCCTCGGTGACTTTGCCTGCACTTCTGGCAATACAACATGCTTGCATCATCACCGCAGATAAAATGAGCTTCATCCTTTCCATCTTACCTTTTGTTCGAGTTGACGTGTGGTCCGATGGTTGCTTGTGACGACAGTTCAAACCGACATGGTCTCCTCCCCTTGTGAACAAGATCTTCCAAGCTACGACCACATCGCAATCCATGCGCTGGGTTGCAAGTCCTTGATGGCGGCCAAGCGAATACAGCCCGTTGATCCAGCACAGGACTGTTCGTTCGGTGGATAGAGTATATTAGGTCCAAAAAGGGAGGGGGATCAAAAACGGGCTCAGCGAGTGAGGGAAAGAAAGAATATGGGATGGATGTGGGAGACAGCATGTTCGCTCGGTGGCATTGGTGGCATTGGTGGCATTGGTGGCATTGGTGGCATGGAGTGCTGAAGATACGGGCTATAGCGAGACTGCCGTGTCGCGTTCATGCATGCATCCCATCGTATTTGTCCAAGAGAGGGCGAGGAGGTAGCAGCACTCAGACGTTGCTGCTTAGAAGCCGAAAATGCCTCGGAGGGAGAATCCGAGTTTGCCCTTGAAAGCGCAAGCAGAAAAGAACAGTGACGGCAATGAGCCAACCTGACGACAATCGGCCTGGCCAGCTCACACCCAAGGCCACTGCGCGACGAGCCTCTCTAGCATTCTCCTCCTCGAAGCTGCGACGGCTCGGTACCGAATGGCCGATCCAGCCGAATACTGCTGCCTCTGTTTCAGCGCACACGCACCCAGCCGTCCAGGATGGCCCACCTTTTGTCCAGCAGTACTGGACTGGCCAGGGATAGCGGTGGCGGACTCGAAGCGGCCAGAGTGCTCGATCGAGGACCGCAGCGAGCCCCCGTCGAGCGAGGCAGTGGGCAGCATGTCCACGGATTGTGCCGACATGGACGCAGGGGTCTGCAGCACCGAGTGGGTGGGCGAGCTCGCTGGGCTCGGTGACGAGGTTTCGCTGGCCCGATGGTGGGTGCAGTTCGGCGGGTGATGCGACTGGCGGGTCGAGGCGACTGAGACTCGGAGAACGTCCATGGCGAACAGCGGATGCAGATGGCGACGTGCAGATGGCGACGACGAAGATGGCAATGACGCCGATGGCGGCGATGGAGGGCAGGGATGACGGGGCTGGTGCACGATGAGTTTTTCTGCCGCCGCTTGTGGGCGGCGACGGCGACGATTGGCCCGCGACGGCGCCATCGGATTGGCTGGCACGGACCAATCACAGCGCTCCATCTGCACTCGATCCAGCACCATCTGCACTCGATCCATTCGATCCATTCGATCCACTCGAGAATCATCGTGACTTGGCGTGACTTGGCTTGGCTGTTCTGTTTCGTTCTGGAATGGACTGCACTGGAATGGACAGGTCGCTGCTGCTTGGAGCATGCTGGCTCGGTGTGTATCGGCAGAGACACCGCTCGCTCGATATGCTCAGACCGCAGACCACAGACTACAGCGGCAGCCCGTCGTGCCATGCTCGACAGCACCAGAGTCCATCGACGGCGTCGCAGAGGCAAGCGGGGCACTCCCTTGGTCTCATACCGCACGCGCCCAAACGGACGGGATTGGCATTCGTGGGCGGCAGACTTGGGCTCCGCGACCATGTTGCGGGCCGCACTGGCCTTTGCTGCAGCGATGTGTGTCGACCAGACCGGCCTATTGGTGCGACCGGGCTGTCAACGCACGAATGCGGTGCAGACCACTCCCCGAGCGATTTCCCAACTCTGTCGCCTTGCGTGCTCGGGCTTGCTTTTGCCACTTCCATTCCAGGACGAGCGTCGCCGCTATCGCGCATCACGCTGGCCGTCCGCAGCCAGCACGACCGATGCCGGCTGGTCTTCCATGGCTGCTCTCCCAAGCACCTCGTCTGCCTGTTCCAGAATGTCAGTGTGGGCGTTCCCCGCGTTCCGTCTCGGTGCAGTGCGACCTCGGTGGCTGCTGGCGCCGTTGCTGCAAGGCCCGCTGGCGGCATCGTTTGACTTTTCCCGCACCTGGTGTTCCTCTGATACCCCCCGCGCCACCGCCTCGTCCCCCAGTCATATGTCGACCCGCCTTGACCGGCGCGTATCCTTCGCCCACTATTGGCCAGAAATCGTCGTCCGCGACGCGTCCTCCCAGAGTCTGTGTCGCCAAAACCTTTCATCGCCATGCACTCCTCATGCCCGGCTTGCCTCCATCGCCACCAGCGCCATCGCCATCGCCCTATTTATTCCCCCCCTGCGTCCCCGGCCATCTTCGCCTGCATCAATGCTCCCGCCCACCTCTGCCTCCTCAGCCCGGCCTGGCTCTCAGTCTCGCTCTGCCAAACCATCCGCGCCATGTCTCTCGTGTATCGCCCAACCGATCTCCCTCTCAGGGAAAACCGCTGCAATCTGAAGCTCAAAGAGGTTGGTGTCGACCCAGCGGTCCGCTGAGTGGCAACCTCGCGAGACATGTCTGCAGCGAGGAGCCCAGGAGTGGGTCGGACCCGGGGCTGCATCGGAGAGGTTCTCCATCCGCTCCGTCCCAGCTTTGCGTCTGCACCCAGACAGCTCCTGACTCTGGCTCCTTCTGCACCCGTCCTGCAGCAACACAAGGCCCTCTTCCACACACCATACAGCTGCTGCCTGAGTAGTCTGCTGGATGAATTCGACCTGTTTATGAAGCACCCGCCCGCGAGCCTCGCTGCCGTCCGGGAGACAGAAGCAACCTCCTCGGCCGTAAGCCGCAAGGACAAGGCCAAATCTGCCGACTGGACCATCTGGGTCTCCCGCCCGGTCCTGGACAGGTTCCATCGTCTCAAGAAGCTCTCGGGCGCCACCAGCCATGCCGATTTTGTCGACATGCTCCTGAATATGCATGCAAAGAGCCCGTCCCAGGTCAGCACACCCCCTCAGTCGCCTGTCCATCACCGCCCCCGACCGATTCGGGTCAAGACCGCCCACTCCAAGACTCTGAGCAAGACGGAGCCGACCATCGAACCACAAACGTATGTATCTGCTCTTCTTGACCTAGCTATCACCCTGGCTGTGCTTAATTCAGTTGTTCCTCGCTCCGCACTTGCCACAGCTAACAGTCGATCCTCATCTTTCCTCACAGTCCCAGCATGGATGGGTCCAAGGAGTTTCGCGAGCTGATTACCCAGTTGGCTGAAGACATCGACTCTGGACTGGCTGCTCCCGATGACATCCTCCAAGTGACCCCGCCGGAGCCAGTCCCCCTCTACGTATATCCTGCGAACAACGTGCCCACACCTCTCCCCACGATGCAAAACATCATTCGCCCCCATGTCCCTACTTTCGTGGTGGATCCCCCGACAATGTCCACGGAACCCGCGATGTCTATCTTCGACTTGGACAAGACGTACTACGATAGGTTCCCGCAGCAGTTCGACAACAACTTTCTGTATCCATTCGACAATGACCGCTCGTACCTGTCGCCGCAACAGCCCATGCAAGTGTTGCCAACCCCAAGCAGATCTCCCGTCGATGTTCTTCCGTTTCTCGAGTCGAATAGCAACGAGAAATACTTGACCTTGCCCAGCCATCAAGTCCTTATTAATACTCCCACTCTTCCTATGAATGAAGAGTTCCTCCAGTCCCTCGAAGTTAACAGGCCGATCGATGGCTACATGGACGACAACCAACTCATCGAGCCATATGTCCTTGAGCCGACTCTGGTGCCGCCCTTCCCTGCTTTTGTCGCTGTCGGGAATGATACGATCCTGCTCGGTACTCCCTTCCCCTCCCTTCAAGCGCCTGAGGATATGGATTTCTTGGCGATCGACGAGTACCCCAAGACTCACAGCCAGCTCGACTACAGCTTCACCGAAATACTCACCATCCCCTCAAGTACCGTCCCAATGCCAAACAATCCGTTGAGCCACCCTCTCCAGGACCACTTCGATACCACCGAGTTTCCCGACTCTGCCCTCGTTGCCGACGATGCGTCGTTCCTTCCAGATCCCTTTGGTGCCAATTTCGAGCCTTTGTCACCGATAAACTATCAGGAATTGAGCGATTTCGAACAGAGCGACGCTGCCTTTTCGTCGCCGCTCTTCCATTCCCCATACTCAAATAGTCCCATCTAATTCCCTGACACCGCCTTCTCCCTCTGTATATATACACCCAACTAATTCTATCAACACGCTGTGATTCTACGATCGCCCAACAACCTAACTTGCGCACCGTTCGTTTCGTCTCGCCATCGGTCCGTCCGTGTGGGGTGTTGTCCTCTGTGTGTACATTGGGTTATTGCGCTGGCAGTGGCAAGGAGTATCAGATAGCTTGTTCCGCTGACCCGGCGGCTGTCTGCCACTTGGGGAGTTGAGTTACTCATCCAGATGCGCTTCCGTTGGAGATCTCGAGGCTCTGGCATCATGAGGAACCAGAAAGTCGCTGACAGTGTCGTCAATCAATCGGCCCTTCGGACAGGCAGTAAAGCCCCCGCCATTGCTTGCTTGGTGTGAGTGTTCCTGGCATAACCCATTCTTGCATCGGGCCGATCCTGCCCAGCGCTCGAGCTGGTTTGCTGTCCTGCCGGCTCAAACCCCCGCTCGGTCATGTCCAGGCCACAGCGCGCCGAACTCGCTTTCGTCATCCAAACGGACTTGCTTGGTCGAGCCAACCGCACCGATTCCGTCCTTGGGCCGATGAACAGCACCAGCCCGGACTCGGTCGCCGCACCCACAGACAAGGCTGGATACTGCAGCCTCTGCCGGGCAAACTTTCTCAACGGCAAGCGCCATTTCTTCACCCAGACCCATGCTGCGAATGTCCAGCGGCTCTTGTCTCGACAGAAGGAGGTGCAGTGTCATTCCCAGCCAGCCCGCTGTCTCGCTGCCGAATCCCCTGGCCTCGCACCCGGGATGTCCATATCATCAACTATTCAACTAAGCAGCCCATCACTCGTGTGCGTTTGCTCCTATTCCGCGATCACTCTCATCCTCGGGAGCAGTTCAGTCATAGCACTCATTCACGGTCTCATGGCACGAGCGCTGCGCACGTCCACGTGGCTCGGCGACGTGGCGAATGTGATTGGCGCCTGGTTGCGATCGATCCGGCTCGATCCTGGGCTCTCGTCTCGTCTCTCGTCTCTCGCCTCTCGCGTCCTCTCGTCTCTTTGGCGGCCAACCAGCGCCGAAAGCCAGTCTTGCCTCTCATCCAGCACCCGAGTCCTGTCGCCCTCCTCCCCAGTGTGCCGGCTGCCGAGCAGATCCACAGCACCACGATGAAGCACATTCTCCTGGCAGTCTTTGTCCTCCTGGCCTCTATCGCTGCCGTCCAGGCCACCACTCTCACCTACCGAGTCCAGCCCCACGAGCGGGCATGCTTCTACACCCTCAGCAGCTACCAGGGCGAGAAGATTGCGTTTTATTTTGCGGTAGGGAGGGATGGGAACTCCGTGTGATGCAAAAAATTGGGATGAGTCGGAGAGCCGGTCCTTGGGTACGGAACCCCATCGTCAGGTTTGCGCTCACCGCATGCTCTGTGTGCCCTGGCTAACCAATATCGTGTACATTTTTCGCGAATGCACCCCTGTCTCTGTCGGCCGGCTCATGTTGCGCACCGTCTGGGGTCGATTTGCCATTGCCGCGGATCCCACTTTGGTCGATCTGCATCGGTAACGCTCGTTGTCGATCACACCCGTCGTCCACATTCGACACGGCAATCGATGGTGTCTCCGCGGATGCTGTCCGCCTCACCACCTGTCGCTTTCTTGGACTTCCGGACCGGTGATCTTGAAACACACCAAATCAAAATGCGGACGGCCCCGCAACTGCACCTCGTAACCACCTGCATCCACCATGCATCGTCCGATCCTGATCACCCGATCCAACGGCCATTCGTCGTGGCCATCGCCAGGTCCAATCCGGCGGCCAGTTCGACATTGATTTTGAAGTGACGGATCCTCGCAACGAGGTCATCATCTCCGCAAACCGCGAACGCCAGGTGGATTACGTCTTTTCGGCCAAGCACGTTGGCGAATACAGCTTCTGCTTCAGCAATGTCATGTCCACCTTTGCCGAGAAGGTCATCGACTTTGACATCACTGCCGAGCACGAGAACTCACAGGACGCCCAGCGCGAGCTCCAGAAGATCACCGTTACCGGCCACTCCGACAAGACCAAGGACAAGCCCGTCGAGACCAACCAGAACCCGACTGCTTTTGACGAGACCCTCAATGCCATCGGCGGCAAGAGCTCGCAAATCATGCGACTCCAAAAGTACTTCAGGACCCGAGAAAACCGCAACTTTGCCACCGTCCAGAGCACCGAGAACCGCATCTTTTGGTTTGCCGTCGGCGAGAGCGCCGCCATCATTGCTGTGGCGGTCATTCAGGTGTTCCTGATCCAGACCTTCTTCAGCAAGCCCACCCGTGGACGAATCTGACGTGTGCTACTGCCATCTGTTCCGCGATGCAGGCCGATAAGATCTCATCAAGCGTCACCGATAGCGCGCATAGTTAGCGGGGGAGCTGCACTGTCTGCAGACCGGAGCAATATACTTTGTTGTAGCACCAACGTCGACCGCAGAGTGGATCGATGATCCGAATGGTTGTCCATGTCGGTCCTCTCGGGAGCCAGACCCATCGAGTGAAAGGACCATGGCGGTTGTTGCTGTTGCGAAGGTGCAGTGCGGAGGAGTTTCAGATCGACAACTCCATCCGCCAGGCCCGGCTGGGAGCGACACAAACACTGTGCTGTTTTCAGATGAGGGCTTGTATCCAAGGTGTATTCTCGGATCATCAATTGTGCACGTAATCACACAGCATCCCTTCCAAAAATATACATCGCAGAGCACCACGCTGCAAACGCACGGGCAGGCGCTTAGTTCTTGGCAACAAACTCAACACCCTTGGCAATGTTCTTCTTGAGCTCGGGGATGGCATCAGCGTAGAGCTTCTGCTCAAAGGCCGAGAGCTCACCAAGAGGGTGGACCTTGGCAACACCCTCAGGCTGCAAGGAGTAAGCGTTGTGGCCGAGTTAGTGAGTGGTAGCGCGCTTTCACATGCCGGTTCGCCATGCCGATCAACGGATCAGCAGGCCCAACAGGCTGGATGGACCAGGCCACAGCTTTAGACACGACGGGGACGAGGTATACTCACGCCGAGCTCGACGTTGGAGGAGAACCACTCAACACCGTCCTTCTTGGCGACCTCAGAGAAGACATAAGAGGGCTCGACGACGTTCTTCTTGCCGCTGAGAGCCTCAAGGAGAGAGACAGTGAAGCGGGCGCCAGCCTGGGCCATGGAGAGGGTGGCAGAGCCTGGTAGGTGATAGCATGGGATGAGCAAGGGTGTCAGTCGAGGCCTCAGCCAGAGTGGAACGGCAGGAGGCGGGTGCTTACCAGTTCCGTCCTTGGCCTTGACGACCTCATCACCACCGTACTGGATGCGATGGGTGAGCTTCTCGAGCTCCTCCTGGGTGAACTTGTGGCCGGTCTAGGGATGGTCATGCAGCCGCAGGTGAGAACACAGCCTATCCAAAGTTCTTCGCAGGGTCTCGCCATGACGCGGTCTCTCCGAGGAGCACGAGGCAATCCATACCTGGGAAAGGAGAGGGATGATGGTGACGCCAGAGTGGCCGCCGACAACGGTGACCTTGGTGTCAACAGGGTTGGTGCCCTTAACCTCAGAGACGAAGCGGGAGGCACGGACAACATCGAGGGTGGTGACACCAAAGAGACGCTTGGGGTCAAAGACGCCGTGCTTCTTCAGGACCTCAGCAACGATGGGGACGGTGGAGTTGACAGGGTTGGCAATGACGAGGATGTGTGCCTTGGGGGCGTGCCTGCAAGGGTCCATGGGGTTAGCAGTGAAACCGAGCAGGTTGGTCGTGCGCTCAAATGCTGGTCGGTCGGTCGTGATGCCACACAGCGGGGTCATCGGGGGGCTGTCGCAGGTCGCACGTACTGGGCAGCAGCCTCGGCAAGGGTCTTGACAATGCCGGCGTTGGTGTTGAACAGATCATCACGGGTCATGCCGGGCTTGCGGGGAACACCGGCGGGGATGACAATGACGTCCGAGTTGGCAATGGCAGCGCCGAGCTCGGCAGGGCCCTTGTGGCCGGTGACCTTGGAGTTGGTGTTGATGTGCGAGAGATCGGCGGCGACACCGGGGGTGTTGACGATGTCGTAGAGAGACAGGTGGGTAACGAGGGGGTTGAGCTTGAGGAGGAGGGAGAGGGGCTGGCCAATACCGCCGGCAGCGCCGAGAACGGCAACCTTCTTGTTCTGCAGGATTGTCAATATGACAGAGGGGGGCGTCATGTTAGTGCATGCGACACGGCATACCGGAGGACGGCACAGGGATACTCACGGCAACAGCAGATGAGGCGAAGCCGCGCTTGAAGACAGTGGAGGCGAACATGGCGATGGGCAGTGCGGTGTGGAGATCTTTGGATGAGATTCTGACAAGTCGGCGCTTGCGGCGAGCGGCAGCGGCTTTATTCGGGCGAAAAATGCAAAACGATCTGCGGATCAAGCAGGCAGCGCGTGCCTGTGCGTGCTGGCATGTGGTTTCCACGTGGCCGAGATAGCGGGCTGGTGTTTGGGCGCTGACGATGCATCGCAGGCCCACTGGCGATGTTCTGGGATGCCATGCGATATTCCGGATGCTCTGGTGGCTCGGCATTGCGAATCGATACCGTTCATGGACAACCGCTGTCTCTGCGAATGGCTCGCAATTCATCGAGCGGCTCCGTTTCGCCAGCGGGTTCTGCCACAAATACTTTTTTGACTGATCCATTTGCTCAATGTTGGCCCGGCTGGCCGCTCGTGAGGTGCCTCGCCATTCAGACCCGACGACAATACACATATACCAGTCGATGATGCATTCGTGACAGCCCCTGCCTCTCGCACGCATCGTCGCATATCCTGCCGCGCCGTCGGTATCAGATACCGCCGATTCGGATTGCGCCACGCGCGGTCCAGAAGGCGAAACAGTGCTTCGCCGCCGGCTCGAGCCACCCCGCCAGCCACGTCTTGGCTGGGGCGGCAATGAATTTCATTCCGACCCCCTCGTCGAAACGCCCCCAGCAAAGCGCTCCACCTTCGGACGACGCTTCTGCCCTGCTCTGCACGCTCATCGCTCGCTGCTCATCCTCCCTGGCTGCCCGCACCAACCCAACCCAACCCAACCCAGCGCACCGAACCCCAGCCCATCCGATCTCTCCGCACCCCCCCATCTCACCGTCCGCCCCCAGCGATCCCCGCCATGTCTTTGGTATGTGTGCAATGCCCGAGTCCGGAGCAATTTGAGACTGCTTCTGGGCGGTGGGTGCTCGTCTTCGCATCGCCACCCCTTTCGTGGGCGCTGCTCCAGCCGTGGCTTGCGACTAATGCTCGGGCTGCCACTCGCTTCTGCATTGGTGTTCGGAAGTCAAAGGCACCCGTTGATCTCGAAACGACATGGGCAAAGATCAAGAACGGCCTCAATCAGATCTTTGAGCGGCTAGAGATCTCCTCGGTCGAGTACATGACCATCTATACGTACGTGTGTCCTGTTCCCGGTGCGCCTGTCGTGTTCATCAAAGAACGAGTGCGGCTCTCTCTTCTCACCGCTCTGCACATGTCCTTTGTCTTCTCTGTCGAAACATCCGTCTCGATCACCACCTCGACCTCGACTGGCTTGGATATCCCCCTGTTTTTGTTGGACCATGAATCTCTCCACTTTGCCCATATCGTCTCGCTTGGACCGACGGCTCAACAGTCAGATCTACAACTACTGCACTTCCCATCGCAACAACTTTGATGTCGATGGTCTTTCGAGCCGAGGTACGCATCGCTAGCGACCGCTTCGTCCCTGGCCGTGTGGATACCGCTCGGAAGCGGCGCAGCCGAGGGGCCGATGGCTCCGCTCTATCGCACCCGGGCCTGCCTGCCGGCCTTCACCTTGTGTCCAGATACCCGTCATCCAATGCCGCCTTTGCTCTGCCAACGCATGCGCTGACGCTGTGCTCCTTTCGGCTGCATCAGGCGCCAACCTCATGGGTGCCGACCTGTACATGTATCTCCGAGATGACCTCAAGAGCCGCATGGATGTCCTTCTGAAGGAAGCTGAACAATACAGCGGCGAGGAGCTCCTGGTGTTCTACAACAAACGATGGAAGGACTACACGATGGGAGCCACGACCGTCCACCACATTTTCCGATACCTGAACCGCAACTGGGTCAAGCGGGAAATGGAGGAGGGCCAGAAGGCCGTTTACGAAGTGTACACTGTGAGTGCATGATCCAGCACCGTCGATTACCCCGGGAGGGAGGGAGAGGAGGAGAGGTCGACGTCTACCCTACTCTGTCTCGTCTTCCCTTCAGCCGCACTCCATCTCCTTTCGCTTGCCTGTCTCCGTCGCCGTAGCCAATAATGCATGATGCTCGCCTCATGTCCACGTTGCGGGTGCACAATGAGGGCGGCTCCTCGTCGCTTTACTGTGAACATACGGTGATTTGTTTGTCGCTACGTTTTGACTCGATTGGTCTCCGATGCACGCCAGCTATCTCTCGTCTCTTGGCTTGAGCATCTGTTCAATCACATCAACACCAAGCTCACCGATGCCCTGCTCAAGCTCATTGAGAAACAGAGAAACGGAGAGACGGTGGATACCATGCTGATCAAGGGTGTCATTGACAGTTTTGGTAAGGCGCAAGATCCCGCTGCCGAGTGCTTGGAATGCACGTTTGCTCGGCGATCGCGCCCAGAAACCAAAGTCGGATACGGGAGTTTGGAGGGACAGTCCGCAATGCCCCAGTAGAGGCAGAGACTCTGGTCATGCGGCAGCACTCTCTGAAAATCATGCAGCATGAGTCGTCTAACCGAATCGCACCACAGTCTCCCTGGGCTTGGACCACCGCGACTCGTCAAAGTCCACCTTGGATATCTACAAGGCCCGTTTCCAGGACCAGTTCATTGCCGCCACCGAGGCATATTACAAGGCCGAAAGCGACCAGTTCATTGCCCACAACTCGGTCCCAGACTATATGAAGAAGGTGAGGCACCATCGTCCCGACTCTTTCTGGTTGCAGCGTCCAAGCCGGCGCCTGGGCCACATTGTGCATCGGGCGCCGATGGTCCTTCCTGTCGATTTGCGTGGCTCTGGATCTCACCCAATGCATTCCCAACATCTACGCTGGCTCAGGTCGAGACCCGACTGACTGAAGAAGAGGAGCGTGTGCAAATGTACCTCCACATCTCGACCCACCGCCCGCTGATCTCGACCTGCGAGACGGTCTTGATCAAGAACCATACGTCCGCAATGCAGGATGAGTTCCAGGAGCTGCTGGACCAGGACAAGGTCGAGGATCTCACGCGCATGTTCAACCTCGTCAGCCGCGTGCCCGAGGGACTTGATAAGCTTCGCCCCGTCTTTGAGGTCCATGTTCGGAAGCAGGGCATCAACGCCATCGAGAAGGTTGCTGAGGCAGCCGCCAACGCCGCTGCCGAGCCCGAGAAGGAGGACGGAGAGGATGACGAGGAGAAACCTGCCAAGAAGCCTGTTGCCAAGAAGGTGGTCGGCAGCGGAGACAAGTTCGAGAACGTGGACCCCAAGGTCTACGTCGAAGCCCTGCTTTCCGTCCACAAAAAGTACAACGATCTCTCCAGCGAGGCCTTCCGCAACGAAGCGGGATTCGTGGCCTCGCTCGATAAGGCCTGCCGCGAGTTTGTCAACCGCAACAAGGTCTGCGCCGCCAGCTCAAGCAAGTCGCCGGAGCTGCTGGCTCGATTCTGCGACTCGCTGCTTCGCAAGAGCAGTCGTGTGGCCGAAGAGGGTGAAGTCGAAGAGATTCTCAATAGCATCGTAAGTAGTCGCTCCCCGCGTTCAGGGACAGAAATGACGTGGCGCGAGAGAGCCAGGGCCAAGGATAGGAATGGGAGACACGATACGATGGCAAAGGCGCTCTATCGCAGTGGCGGTTTGCATGGCAATGCCGACTCCAGTGAGCACACACGTTTGTTGGGTCGGTCTCGGATGGGTGGGCTGGATCGGTCTAGCTAACGATACGGCCTTGGGTGGGCGGCCACAACCCCTGTAGATGATTGTGTTCAAGTACGTCGAGGACAAGGATGTGTTCCAAAAGTTCTATTCCAAGATGCTGGCCAAGCGTCTCGTCAACCAGACGTCGGCCAGTGACGACGCCGAAACCTCGATGATCAGCAAGCTCAAGGAAGCGTGTGGCTTTGAGTACACCAGCAAGCTGCAGAGAATGTTCCAGGATATCGGTGTGAGCAAGACGCTTGAGAATTCGTTCAGGTGAGCCTCTGAGTTTGCCTGATCGACGTGTGTGTGCTAGTTGGCGTGCCTATTGATTATATTGATTGACGCGGAGGTGACTGCGTCTTGACTGAGTGAGTGGTTTGTCCTTTCGTCGAGTGAAGCAGTCTGATAGACGACGCTGTCAGTGAAATGGGTGGTTGACTTTGACTTTTGCGGAGCCTAACTGGTCTGTTGCTTCTTCCGACACTACTCTGCTTCGTGTCGCCCAGGGAACACATGGATACTAACCGCGGTTCCGAGGACCTCCTGGACTTTGGCATTCTGGTCCTAGGCACGGCCAGCTGGCCGTTGCAGCCGCCTGCCACGCAGTTCAATATCCCGGACGACGTGAGTATTTGGGGCATCCATCGATGGCTAGCAGCATGCAACAGCCATATCTCTGCACACAATCATCTCGTGGCATTCGCAACCGGGCCGGACAGTACGTGTCCGGCGGCCTTTATTCTGGCCTATGGTCAGGCGCCTGAGCCCACAACTCGTGTTTGATGGTGTGCCCAGGGCTCGGGCCGATCCCAAGCTTGCAGCGACGAGGTACCGGTGGCAGTCGTCGTTCTTCTGTTTGGCTTACCAGCTTTGCGGTGCTCCTTGGATCATCCAGCTCCTCAAAACATACGAACGCTTCCAGCTGTTCTACCAGAACAAGTATTCCGGCCGTAAGCTGAACTGGCTCTTCCAGCTCAGCAAGGGCGAGGTCAAGACCAACTACCTCAAGGGCAGCAAGACAGGCTACACCTTCCAAGTGTCGACATACCAGATGGGCGTCCTGCTGCTATACAACAAGGCGACCAGCTACGGCTACGAGGAGATCCTGGGTAGCACGGGTCTCTCGGCCGAAGCGCTTCTGGGACAGTTGGGTATCCTGGTGAAGGCCAAGGTGCTCACGATGACCGGCGAGGGAACCAAGGTCGGTGATGCCAACACCCGGTACGAGCTGAACATGGACTTTAAGAGCAAAAAGATCAAGGTCAACCTCAATGTCGCTGTCAAGTCGGAGCAGAAGACAGAGTCGGAAGAAACCCACAAGACGGTTGAAGAAGACCGCAAACTCCTTATCCAGGTAAGTTTGCCGGGGGGGGGTCAAAATGAGCTGGGAGGGTGCGTGCTGTCAACAGCGCCTGGGGAGGGAGCCTCGTGGGCCCATCCACCCGGTGTGGGGTGGGAGCGTTTGTGGGCGAGGTCATGCAACGACAGATGAATGGCTTGCTGGATTGGACGACCCATCACCAAGCAAGAGCGGCTGCAACCGCCCCGCCGGGGAGAAAGCAGTCGTGCAGCCAGCATGACGCCATTTGCCCCGGAGCTATGCGGTGCTGACACACCTCCGTTCCTGCTGTCCAGGCTGCGATCGTCCGCATCATGAAGACCCGCAAGGTATTGAAGCACGTTGCGCTGATGCAGGAGGTGCTGACCCAGCTCCAGACCCGCTTCAAGCCCAAGGTGACAGACATCAAGAAGTGTATCGACATGCTGCTGGAGAAGGAGTATATTGAGCGCGCAGAGGGCCAAAAAGACATGTACAGGTACGAGGAGTGGCTGTGCGAGGGACATGTGTGGGTGCTGCTGCGTTTGCACGATGGCAGACGATGGCGATGCGGGTCGTGATGGCAACGAGCGCGTTCACCAGAGGACAGGGAGGGGGGGGTCGAATGGAAGCGACCGAACGGAGGCATATCGGGGGACACAAGAGGGGGGACCGCAGGAGCAGTCGGAGCAGTCGGAACAACCAGAGTGGCATTGCCCGCCTCGCAAAACAGTTGATTAACGACACCGCCTCTGCGACCGTCTCGGCCGCGACTCGTCCTGCGAACGAACAGCTATGTGGCATAAGTGCGCCTGCGGGCACTGGCCGCTCGAGACAAGTCCGGCCCTGCGAGAGCCACGGCCGCCCACCAGCACCGACGAGATGTGCAGCAGGACGCGATGAGCTTTGGTCGCCAGCCCGTGAGATTTTGGAGGGCGATGGTGGGTGCGCTGCGATGCACTGTCGTTGTGCTGGATGTGCGGAGCTGAAACAGCCCAGCGCGAGAAGCAAACACGCATTTCATGCAACAGACCAAGCATCGCGCAGCAGCAGCAGCAGCAAGGGGGGAGGGCCGGCAGGTGGCCGTGGGGACATGGCTGCGCAGGGCGGCTGTGCGACCTGCGCGGCTGTGGAAGGCAAAGACGCGGGGAGCCACGCGCACACATTCCTGGCGAGCGCGTGTCGCCTTGTCATGCTGGCGTGTTTGTGCTACGTGGTACGCGAGCGTGTCGCAGTCGAAATTGGGTGTCGCTGGAGCTGTGGGTGTCACTCTGACAGAGGCCCTTTGTTGCGCACAGAAGCTGTGGGGAGTGGTGACGGTGTGCGTGCAGGTTCCTGGGCTGCAGCGATGCATCCGCCAACCTCTGCATTTTATATGCGAGCCTTATTTCACTCCACATCGGCTTTGAATTTCGCATCCGCTCTGAATATCACATCCACCTCATTCTCAATTGACATCGCATCCATATTGGATTCCCGTCTGCACCACACCACACCACTGCATCCGTGCCCGTGCCAGGTTCCACCGCTGCTCCCTGCGTCCCATTCCCGCCTTGCCTCGCGAGCGCTCGTTGCCGTCGTCGCGCTCGGCCGCTGCGCCATGTACAAGGTCTTGTCCTGCGCACGACCAATCGCTGTCGCTGCTCCTCCACCGGCCTCCTTGCTGGGCTGCCCTGCCAACCACCCCCGCCTTTTCTCGTCTGGGCTTCGTCTTCTGCTCTGCCATCCTTCCTCCAGACCAAGCCGTGCTGATTCCTGCGGGTGCTCTCCCTCCAATCCGAGGCACCAGCAGTCGCCGACGGCCCTTTTCCTCCTCGCGCGAACGGGCTCGCTAACTGGGACAACAGGCGCTACCCCCTGTCTCCCTCCCCTCCCTCTGCCCCTCCCACTCCTGGGATATCCTTTGGCCCAGGACATCCAGCCAACGCCATGTGGATCCAAGCCAAGCTCTCGACCGTCCTCGTGCTGGCCGTAGCCCCGGCCTTGGTGCAGTCGTTTGGTCTCCAGATTCTGGCGCCCTCCGCCGGGTCTGAGATCAGAGTCACCGGCAAGAGCCCCTCGGTCACGCTCCAATACGGTGGCGACGGACCCTTCGCAGCCGGCCAGTGGGTCGACATGCTCTGCCAGGTAACGGCGCATCGATCACTTCCGCGCGGCGTGCTCACTCGCTTACTGGGCTGTCTGGTTCTGTCCTGATCTTGTCTGGTCTTGCCTGGTCTGTCCTGATCTTGCCTGGTCTGTCCGGACTGGGACTGGCCTGGGAGCGCACTGGGCATGGCTGTGGGCGGGTTTCCCTCGTTTTGCACCTCGACTGACGCTCTCGCATCCAAAACAACACCGGATATGTGCTTGCCATTCTGGAATCATCGGCACATGTCCTTTCCCTTACTTCATCAACGACCGGCTTGGATGGACCTCTTCGACCTCTTCAATCTCTTCGACCTCTTCGACCTCTATGATCAATGTCAATGCACCTCATCCGCCTGGCGATGGCGTGCAAATCCAACGCAACCTTGAAAACCACCACGACACCGATATTGACGCCGCTGCTCCTGCGTGGATGCAAATGTTGGAACACTGCGCCGGTGACGACCTTTCACTTGTTCGTCGAATCTCAACCATTCATGCCTGCCGCCTCTGAACACAGAGCATTGAGCTGCCCTCGGTCATCGACAGCTGCGAGGGCCTGACGGTCTCACGCTCGACCCAACAGACCGCCTCCTTCGACATTCCGTTGGGCCGCTTCCCCAACGGCCACATCCAACTCATCTTCTGCCCTCCTGGCTCAGCCAGCGCCTTCACCGCCGGATCCCCTTCGTCTTGTTTCGTGGCTCCCCAGCAGTTTGCCTACTACGAACCCAACAATCCTGCTACTCTTCCCGCCAACAATATCGTCCATATTGTGACTACTTCTGCTGCCCCTGCTCCATCTCCTCCATCTCCTCCATCTCCTCCTCCTCCTCCACCTCCACCACCACCACCCCCTCCTCCTCCTCCTCCTCCTCCTCCTGCAACCTCTGCTGGCCCTCAGTCTACCGCCACAGCAGACCACGTTTCCAGCTCAGTCCCCGCCCCTGTCCCCCTCCAACCTACCCCCATTGTCCGCACGGCTGTCGGCCCGATCCAAACCAGCATCGCGCCCACAGGCGGAGGTATGTTGAATCACCGTTCTTGATGCAGTATGCCATCTTACTGCCTGACAAGAGTCTGCTATCCATCGTTGCCGTGACACCGTCGCCCGGATACCATTGTCGAGATATCAGCGCTGCGACGTGATCGCTATTCCTTTCGTTGCCAAGTCATGAGACTCTGGCCGTGCTCTTGGCATCAAGAGTTGCTGCCACGCCTTGTGGTCGCCGCCTCGCTGGTCGCTCCATCGTCGCTGCTCTAACATGGCTGCACTGTCGGTCTTCTCTCGGATTATAGCAGTCGTTCAGCCTCCGCCCCCGGCACCCCTCTCCCCCGAACCAGGCTCAGTCTCTAATGTCCCCGGTACCATGACCAACGGCCTCCCAGCTGCCACGGTTGCCGGTATCATCGCTGGCTGCGTGGGACTTGTCAGTGTCCTGCTCGTCGCGGGATTCGTTCTCAAGCGCCAGCGCGACGTTGCGGCTGCCGACCAAAAGTTGCCCATGCGCATCATCATCCCGCCGTCGCCCGCATTCTCGTTCAATCCCTCGGAGGTCTCTGTGCCGTCAACCCCCAGACTCATGGATGCCTCCACAGTCCCGCCCTCGCTGCCGAGACTCGCAACCTTCACTCCGGAGATGGACCATAGCGTCATTATCAACGAAGCCGGGCTGACGCTCCATTCTCAGAGCACCGACAGCACTATCCCTCGACCGCCGCTGGTTCCGATCGAGGTGCCCATGATTGTCTATCCCGAGGAATTTGCCATCGAGGATGCCGATCGCCCCGTCATCGTTGGGACGTTCGAGGTCCATCCTATCGAGAACCCGCATTTCCATGTGGTCGCCGAGCAGGACATCCTGAACTGCCCCGGATCCCACCACTCGACCCAGTTTGAGATCCTGAGCGATAGTGCCTCCGTCTTGGACTCGGAGATTGATGCCTAGAAAGCGCCGGACTGGGGCACGCTGCTTTGGTCGATTTGGGGCGTGACATGCGAGGGGAAGGTCTTCGTCTTCAAATCCACCCGCTGGACTGACAGGCATCGGTAGTAGACCCGAAATCCAAGTAATGGCTATTGCGATTTACACGCTATGTAATCCCTCTTCCAATCTATCTTTCTCTCTCTATCTCTCTATCTCTCTATCTCTCTCACACTCTGTCTTTGCCGCTCCTGTCTTCCACTCCCAAAGCCCTCTCTTCTTCGCGTCCATTTCTCTGACCCCGATCGTCTCCATCCATCCGAGGAACTGTGACATCGACCTCGCCAAACTCCCTGGCTCTTACCTCCTCCCCTTCCGACCTTGCCAAAAATTGCTTCTATAACTCTTTCATTCCATGCAAATGTGTCTATCCAGGCGGCGCGCTGCGACAGACATCATCATCATGGATCTGGAGCCTCTCTCTTGGCCTACGGCTCGGTTGTTTGGCCTTGCCTCCCCCTCCCGTCCAAGAGTAATGTGCATTTCTTTCTCTATACTTTTCTCAACTCCCCTAGCGACTGTATCATCTGCTGGCTGGTTTGCGTCGTTGCGGATGCGCTCTTGCTTTCGCTTGTTCTTTCGATACTATGATACACGATATTCAGAAGAAAAAACGAGACTACCCTCTCCATTGTGTCCGCGCCGAATTTGATGGCCTCCGCCGAACGGGCCATCTGAAATCAAAGGGATCGGAACCTGGAGAAAGGGACATGGACGGGCTGTGGCGCATGCCACTCGGCCACGTGACCAACCGCAGCCGCGCCCGTGACCCATATCCGTTTCTGTCGTCCCAGTCCCAGCTTTTCCTGCGTTCTTGGTCATCGCATCCACATCCAGATTGCCAGGTACGTGCAAAAGAAAGGAAAACCAGCAGAAGGAGAGCAATCCCATGGCGGCTGTGGATGCTGCAGACACATCAAGCAGCACCGTCAGTCGATATTGCAGACAGGGAGATGCAGCCGCTTCTGTGCCGGCGGATTGCAGGACACACGGCGACTTCATCTCTGACGCTTGTCTGATGCAACGATCGCCATCGGTCGACACGGCTGCAATCGACTCTCGCGATCGCAACGATATCCGATATCTCCCTCTACCACTGTCGGAGGCAGCCATGCATCTCTGCACCACCATCCGAGACAAGATCGCCCGCCAGCTCGTCGTCGAGCACGAAGTCACTCGACAGGCCCTCCGGACCCTCGTCCGCAACCCGTCACTCGATCTGGATCTGCGCATGAGAGCACAGCTGGCCCTGAACTCGTTCCCGCGCTACACCCGGCCGTCGGTGGTCAGCAATCGCTGCACCGAGAGTGGAAAGGGTCGTGTAAGTTCATTGGGACGGACTGGCGAGCAGGATCAGGATCAGGATCAGGATCGTTGAGAGGGGCGAATATGGCGACTGGCCAAAGGGCGGGGATGCAGGTCCACCCCCCAACTTTGATGCCTGCCCTGGATCTGCGGATCTGCCCGCTGTCTGCCCTTGAATCCGAGTCGCTTCTACTCTTCGAACGACTCTCGGGATCTCCACGAGCCAGCAATGCATGCATCTCGAGCTGGGCACACTCACTCAAGATACCTCACACCAATTATCACCGATCCTCCTTGCGCAAGAGACTCGTGCGCCATTCACTTCCTCGGAACTCACCAAGAACTACCACTTTGTCTCTGTAGGGTATCATCACCGACCACAAGCTCTCGAGAATCGTGTTCAGAGACCGAGCTCTGGCTGGAGAGCTGCCCGGCGTCAAGAAGTCTGTCTTCTGATCGTCCTCCGACCCGCCCCCAACAAACGTCTTCTGGGTCCGCAAATCTGCTGCCGGGAGCATCTTCGTTCTGCCAGACGGCTCCGCTCTCCCACTTTCCCCTCTCCCACTCTCCCACATTTCGCACATTTCACACTCCTGCATCACCATCTTGGCCTTGATGTCAGCGAATCGATTCACGTATGTCACTCGTCACCCAGTTCATTTGCGCTCTGAACCAAGGAAAGGCAGCGCCGTCGCCCAATGTTGAGCTCGAGCCACTTGTGGCATCTCTCCCCACTCTCTCCTCATTGCTTCAATGGGCTGTATGTTAGGCTTACTGGTAACAGTGACGATAAACTCACGAGTCGATATTCAAGAGGCGAGACATTCGGTACAGGCGAATGATAAGTGTTTAGGGAAGCAGGGACAGCAGAGAAAGGGGGGGGGCGAGTTGAACAAAGGATAAAGGACGGCGGGAGAGCTCAAACCACTCTCGTTTCACTTCAAAATGACACGACGAGGTACGTTGGCGGGCCCGACAAGTCCAGCTGCACAAAGCGGTGCAATCTGGAATCTCAACCGGGCCTGGGATGACCGTTTTCGGATGACGACGGCGACAAGACCGACCGGCTACATTTGCATCGACACGGTTGCACTGCGGGTCGGAGCCTTCATGGTCTTTTTCTTGCCGAGCGGGGCAGCAGGTGCTCCCGATGCCGTGGGGAGCAGCGACGTTGACGACGACGATCCAATTGTCGGGTAAATGGGCGACTCGGAATGCGACGGAGAGACCTTGGCGGCGGATGGCAGCGGTGGTGTGGCCGTCGCGGCCCGCGGCATCGATGGCGCTGTTGCAGGGTGGCCTGCGCTGACAGCAGGGGTGGTCAGAACAACGGGCACAAACGGAATGTTCGGAGGCGGGACGGGAAAGGTGGGCAGGACGTCGGAATAGGACTCTGCTGCACGGCTCAGGTGGGGATAGTCTTGATCCCGAGAGGAGCCCTCGAAGGGCCGAGCTGCATAGTCCATGGTCGGGGCAACAGAATCGACAGGGCGAGCAGAGACCTCTGTCAAGAGTTGCGGATATTCCTCGCGAGGCTCTCGAACACGCTCGAGAGTCGCCGTCTGCATCTTTGGCGTCGAGAGCACCCGGATGGCGGTGGCCTTGCGCTCGACCGACCGCGATCGAGACGACTGTCGCTCCATTGTCGGGACAACGTGCGAAACAGGCACCACTGTGGCGATGGCCATGCGTGGCCGCTCCGACTCTGGAATTCTGCCCGACAGCGATGGCGAGTCTGAGCCGGTGTTGCTTCTGGAGCGACTCATGGATGGGATCTGGGCGGGTGGTATCAAGAGCGACGATGCTGGCTCGTGGACATTGCGGTTCTCCAGACGGCGCAGTGCCGCTTCGTACGGATCCATGCTGAAGAAGACTTCGGCAGGGGTGGGCTTGGGCGTTTGGCGGACGGATCCGGTGCGAGTGGCCGACATGGATTGGTAGTGGTTGATGGTAGATATGGCGTTCGACGGGTAGCTTTGCAGAGCCTCGTCCTGCTCGGCGGTGGTCTTGGTCTCCCAGATCAAGGGATTGTCGACCGAGGCTGCAGGAACCGTGCGCGGCGATCGCTTGCGCTCGAGCGAGTGGTACGGGCTGGGGCTCCTGGGCGTTCGCGTCGGAGTCGGCTGGGCCATCTCGGCCTCGGTTTTGGGCTCACGAATGATGGGATTATCACTCGATGGGGGTGGCGGCACTCGGTTTGAACGCTTCCGATCCAGAGATCGATCGATCGATCGGAACGGCTTGCGGACGGCAGCTTCGTCCACCGCAGCCGTCGAGGGATACGGATCCCAGTCTTCCTCGGGCTCGATGGTCCTGGGCTTGCGATCAAGAGATCGATCGGGCGAGCGCAGGATATTTCTTGGCGGAATACCATGTACAGGCGCTTGGGGGTGCATGGTCGAATCATGGCCATGTGGATCCCTTGGACCGCGAACTGCGTCGCCCTCCACGAACGGCGAGCGGTTGGATCGCTTGCGCTCGATAGAGGGAGAGATGTTGCGGCCTCGTCGCGAGTCCAAAGTCCCATCCACAAAGGCTTCGCCACCAGCGGCAACAGCGCGCTGCATCGACCGCTGGCGCTCGATAGCAGGACGGTCTTCGTAGCCAGCGGGTGGAGACCGGCCCCGCAATGGCGGTGTCTTGAGCTCGCGAATCAGCGGATTATCTTCTGTCAGAACCACGGCAGCCCGGGCAGTGCGCTTACGCCCGAGACTGTTGAAGGGCGAGCCACTCTTGTGTTCCGAGCGACCGATTGCGGTAGACGAGCCATCGGCAGCGTGCGAGACCGATGGGCTGCCTGCCGCCGCTTCTGGGGACATGTGGTCCACGTAGCGCTTGGGCTTCATCATCTCGCTGACAATGACATTGAGCGAGTCGAAAAAGGCACGGTCTTGATCCGAGTAGGAGTCGCGGTCACTGCTCAGGCGGTTATGGGTGTCGGAGCTACCTGCGGAGATACTTTGTTCTTGCTGGGTCGAAGTGGAGCGGCCGACATTACTGGAGGACGATTCGGACGAAAGCGTGAGCGGAGCCAGGTCAACATCTTCCTTGAAGACAATGATGTCTTCGGCGCTCAGACCCATAGCCGGCAGTTCAATCGTGGGTTGCGGGGCACTGGCCATTGATGCACGTTCATCGGTGCTTGGTTCGGGGCCGTCGGCGACAGGGCGGAGCGAGAGCGACGGAGACTCGGCCTGGTACGAGGCTATGGCATCCAGGGTATCCGTGAGATGGCTGTCGAGGACAGAGTCGGTAAGAGATTCTCGGTTGGACTCGCCAATGGTCTTGAGTGCTGCCAACGGCTTGAGCAGCGAGACATTGCTCTGTGGTTGACGAAGGCGTAGGGAGACACACGGGTGGGTTTCGTTGAATCGGGCAATGTGCGGCCGAACACAAATGCCAGTATGGCAGACCGGACCACGGCAGACCGGACCACGGCAGAGTGCATATGGCTCCCTGAGGAGGAGCCAGCGAACAGATAACCGACGCCCCTCCGCTGACACTTTTGAATCACAGACACAGGCCAAGCAAATGCTGACGGAGAGGAGTGCCGCTTACCTGGTGCTTGCGGGCCACTGGGCTTGTCTGTGAGGCTTCCTTGACATTGATGGCTTCGAAGGACTGAACCATCTGAGCAACATAGGACATCCTGGGTCGGCTGGCAGAGGGCCTCGCAGTCCGGACCCCCAGTAAATCCGATTCTACTGCAACAGCAGCCTCGGGACCCCGCTCGTCCTTGTCAGAAGATTGCAACGGCTGTGATGGCGAGACCGCTCCGACGGAAGGAGCGGGGATTGTGACGGCCGAGCCAACGCTTGCTGCAGACACTGCAAGAGCCGATGACTCAATAGGCGCTGCAGCTAATTGAGCAAGCGGGACGTCGTCCAGATCGTCCCAGCCCTCATGCAGAACCTCGATCTTGAAGCTGCTGTTGGTCAGGCGTTTGGCGAAACCCCGCTTGTGGAACAGCTTGGAAAGCCGAGTGGACGGGGGCCGAGATCCTGCCTCATCCGACTTGCGCTTCTGGCCCGAGCGTCTCTTCTTGGACCGAGAGAATCCGAATGGATTGCTGTTCAGGATACGTGGCGATGCCTTTGGAGACTTTGGCTTGATACCCGCGGCCGAATCGAGTGCGGCTGCGTAGTCAGGCTCAGCCGCGGGTTCGGCTGGAGCCTGGTCGATCGAAATCTCAGAGACGACGGTGGCGAAGGTAACGGTCGGGGTTCGTTTCATTGGCGGGGCCGCAGAGTCGGCAGACTTGTTGAGGTCGGTAAAGGGCGAAAGTCGGGCGGCAGTGGCTTCGGAGGCAACGACGACCGATGGAAGAGCTGTGGCAGGAGCAAGCGCTTCAGCCGCTACAGTGGCCAAGGAATCGCCGACAGAGTCGACATCTTGCCAGCCATCGTCGTCATCCAGCGGCCGGGCAACCCTATGACGGGGACGGTCGTGCCGAGGAGGCGCTCGTTGTGGAGCGATTTGCTTCACAGTGCCCCAGAAAGCACGCTGGCCCTTGCTCAGAAGCTTGGCCATGATGTGAGTGTTGTCGATTTTCTGGGCCGGGAGTGTTTCGTAGTGATAGCTCTGTCGGTTTGCTGTTTCGACCGAATCCAGCGACTTGCGGTCGTCGTGACTGAAGACCGAGCTGAAGGAGTCGATTCGAAGGAGGCCAGGGCTGCGATAGGTCAGGGTTTTGCGGCGAGGATCTGACGAACTGTCGGAAGCCTGAAGGGAGGAGACAAGATCGGGCCTGGACGAATTGCCGGCCTGGTGGTCTGGGAGAGGGAGGGGAAGGCCGTGTGGATGTGGAGGGGCGTCGGGATGATGCGGATCGCCAAGGTAGTGGCGAGCATCAAGCCGGATGAAGGATACACGCGAGTAGCGATGGAGCTGCGGCTTGTGGATGGACAGCACCCTGCGGTTGTCGTCTGTTCGGGTGCGATAGATGGACACCCGCTTCCTTCGGATCTCAAAGTCGGTAACAGCGGGCTCAAACACCGGGTCCTCGAGCTGCTGCTGGCGGTCGGGGTCAACGTCGAGCCATTCATCCGAGGCCGGGTCGGACGATCCAGCCGAGGGAGTCGGTGGCGCGGGCGACGCAGTGCTGGCTTTGGGCGAGACCTCGGTGCGGGCTGGGTTGCGGGGGCTGCGCGGAGGAGATGCCTCGGCAAACACAGGAGAGTCGTCGAGCGGCCTGGGCACTCGGGTGATTTGGACCTGGTTCAGGGCATGCGACTTGCGAACGACAGCGTAGCTCGGAACCGGCGAGGCCTTGGTAACGGTGTAGGAGCGTCGCTTGAACTGCGTCGGGGGAAGAGCGTCCTGTGAACCGCCGTATCGCCGCGGAAGGGTGCTTGACTTGAATTGCAGGGCGACCTGCGAATCAGTGCGCGGCGGGATGTATGGGCTGCTTTCCTGCGGATCGGCGTGGCGGTGGTCGTCCTGGAAGTTGAGCGGGTTGGTCCTGCGGGTGGAGGGCTCGCCATAGAAGGCTTCAGGCGAGTTGGAGATGATGATGGGGTGGGATATGACATTGGCGGGTCGCGGCGAGCCGTCGTATGGACGGGAGGGGCCAGACGACTTGGACCTATGAGGCCGAGGCAGAGAGAGCTGCCTGAAGAAGGTGCTGAGCTTGTTGGGACCCTTGGAGTTGTCCATGGCGACAGGATGGACAGAGGGACAGATGGTCCAGAGGGCAGCGCGCGGGACGGATAGGATGGGATGGATGAGATGGATGAGATGGATGAGATGGATGAGATGGCGGGCCGGAGGAAGGAATCGAGGATGAGCTGGCTGGCTGGCCGGCTGGCTTGCCGGGAGTTCGACAGAACAGGAGGGCCGCGCCGCGCCGCCATTGGTTGGCTGCGCTCCGCCACCGCGCTGCTTGTGCGCGTCGCGGCAGCACACGGCCGGTTCGCCGCATCCACACAGACTGCAGCATCCCTCCCCGCAGTGCCGCAGTGTGGCTGTACATGTGCTGTGCAGGCCGCGCGCTGATTGGTGCGCTGCCCTCTTCTGTTGTCTGTGCTTGTCGGCTGGTCGGCCGCGTTACAGTGTGTATTTTTGGGCTGCTGCCAAGGCGCCGTCGCGATTGTGTGCGGTGTGTGACGCTGTGGCGCATCGCTATGTGTGCCGCCACCGCGCCACACCACCGCCCCACGTTTCCTGCCCTTCACTGGCTCGACATGCGCTGTCCGTCTTGTGCCTTTGGCCCCTTTCGTGCCTCCATGTTGATCGGCGATTTGTTTGTATTCGAGCGACCATGAAACAGCCCGCTGACCAAAGGTTTCGCACCCACGGACAATGAGGCTCGCTGCTTGGCCCTGCGCCCGCGTCAGTACCGCTTCCCCAGGCGGGTCTCGGCCTTTGCCGCTGAGAGCCGCTGGGTGCGCTCGCCGATGAATCTGCCGAGCGCATTTCTGGAGATTGCACAGCGACTGCTGTATCGCTGTGCCTCGCCAGTGTCAGCGTCGGATGCAGCGCCGATGGTCTCCTGGTCGACCCGCCAGACATAGAGCATCCCGCCAAAGGCCGAGACGATCAGCATGCGCCCGTCGGGCGACAGCCTCATATCCGAGATGCTGGTGACGAGTTCATGCTGCCCAAGCGGGCCAACTTCAGTCCCAAACGGCTCCGAGAGGCGGTAGAGCCGGGCGCCTGTGTGCAGGTCCCACACCGATATCTCGCTCTTGCGCAGGCTTGCCGTGAACAGGAATCGGTCGTGCATCGCAATCTTGGGATTGTAGAGCCCCAGCCGGATGTATCCGCGGTCGGGCGTGTGGAACTTCGTCAGGTCCCGGAACGACTCGTCAATGATGCTGACGAGCGGGTTCTCGTTTTGTGCGAGCCGCTTGACGTCGAAGATGATGTAGACGCCCTGCACTCCATAGTTGCATGCCACCAGGGAGCCTTGCGCCGAGATTGATTCGACCGTCCAGACATGGTACTCTTGGATCCGCCCGACCGTGATTCCCCGGGCAGCAGCCATCTCCTGGACGTCCGAGTACGAGCACCGAATGACGTACAATAGTTTGCGCGTCGAAATGCCATAGATACCGAGAAACTGATTGTCGAGGGCGCCGCCTCCGACAAAGAGGTAGTCTGGAGTGATGGCGAGCTGAGTGATGTGCGTGAAATCATGCGCTGCTTCGAGTGGCTTCAGGTCGGGCAGTGTCCAGAATCGCATCAGCCCGCTTATGAACCCACATACCAGGGTTCGCGAAGCTTCGTCACAGACGATTCGGACAATGGGCTCGTCGTCGATCGGGGCGCACTCGAGAGTGGTGCTGGTTGGCAGGCATTGGTTAGGGTCGTTGTCGTGACCGCTCCATCGGCACTCGCATGTGCTCTGATCTTGAACAGCGGACCGTTGGTGTTGGTACTCGCTATCACGATCGTGGTGCTGGCGAGGAATTGGGTTGGTGGGGCTCGTATCGAGGTTCCTATTGGAGCAAGGGCGCTGGCCATCGCCGTGTGAGCCTTTGGGTGGCTGGAGAAGGCTTGCAGGGAATCCAAATTCGCCCGGGCTTTGCTGAAGTCGCTGTTCAGCGGACCAGTCTCCATGCTTTTGTTGCGGAGTGATGTGACCATCGACAGCAAGACGCTGCACCCGAAGGTGTGGAGAGTAGTCCGCGCTGAAGATGAGGTTCTGATAGAGACATAGATGATGGACGCGATATCCGGGAAGCGATGCAATCACTCTCATGTCGTCCAGGCGCCGTACGATGAGCTGGTCTGTCAGCCTCCTGGTAAAGATCGTGTGGGTGTCCTTTGCAAAGTGAGACGAGTCGCCTGTGAGTTTGGGCTTGAGCTTCCACACGGAGCAAGCGGCTTCTGCGCCGAGCAACTTCCGGCCGTCTGTCGCGGTAGTAGCATGCAATCACTTTCCAGGAAGCCTCATTCAACTCGTACCCTGGGGGCACAATCAGCAGCACCTACATCAGAACCATAGACCATCAGGTTGCCCGAGACCGACACCACCGTCGAGGCAAAGAACAGATCCAGTGGCTCCTCGAAAAACTCAAACTTGTACTGCTTGCTCATCCACCGGAGGTTGTATCGATGCCGCTCCTTCCAAAACCAGTGGCGGAACCGAGTCTCCGCCGACAGTGATGCGGGCGTCTGCCACAACTCGCAGCAGATTTGCTTCCAGAGGAAGGAAGGGCCGTGGTCAATCAGACGATACCAAAGCCGGGACACCAGCCGAACTCGAACCAGCGTCTCCGCCGAGAGCCGGGCAAATATCATCAAGAGTACTTCGTCTGGCATGGCCTGGAGCCCCACTGGCGGTCCAGCATCGGGGCTGTCTGGCTGTGGATATCGAATATTCACCGCCGATGAGCAGGCAGTATGGTCTATCAGCATGAGCGGCTGTCGGGCGGAAGGACCGACTGAGTGTTGTCCTGAGAAAAGCAATTCCCTTGCCCCGTCAACCACCCAGCCTGCGGGCCGACGCATGATGCGAGTACCGAGTCTACACATCGCAATACCTGCTTGGCGGGTTGGGCGGCTGAATCCATTGGCAGGCCAACCGGATTATGATCTGGGTGTGCATCTACAGAAGGACAGAGTGGCCGAGAGCCAGGACTGCCGTCAGACTCATGTTTCGCTGTTACCGATTGCACATTCAGAGCGGAAGGCTTTCGAGATGATCCGCACCAATTGGCATTCGGATGCTTTGACGAGCCGATATCGGAAAGAATGACGTAGTTGGAAAGCAAGCCCTCAGGACAGTCGTGGGCTGCTTATCCGTAACTTGGGCAGAGATGCAGCACAGCCCAGGACAGTGCGTTGGCCGGATGATGTGCAAAATACAGGGGCGTCGGCAAAGGTATATTCAGTTAAATTCGCGACGGGATGAGCAGACATGCAACGGGATGGAGCGCACGGACGGCCAGGACATGCTCCCGAACCCAGGAGCCTTGGCAGCGCTCTCATCACTCCCTTGTCCGATCCAGGAACATGACCCCCGGACAGGTGGCGTTTGCCACCGGCCCTGGATGCCCCCGCGGGCGGGACAGCGCTTTTGGCGGATTGGCCGCTGGAGTGCCAGTAGAGGGGGATCCGTGGTCTGCTTTCCTCCCCCCCCCGCCTCGGTTTGCTCGACGGCCGCAACGGCGCAATCTCAGCCTCGATCTCGACCTTGAATGTGCCGGCTATGTTTGGTCGCTCTCAACCCCCTACCAAGAGCCCACCGACCGGCCTGTTCCAGGTGAGGAGACGGACGTTCCGGTAGCCGTATCGGTGACAATCGTTCTGATCAGGCGCCCATTCCGCTTCCCTCCTCCCTCCGCCAGGGACTCGTCAAGATCGTCCTCAATGTTCCGCTCTCGTGGGGCGGCAGGCCCGTAAAAGCAAGATCATCGTATTTCCGGATGCTGACGAGCACCCGAGTCAGCAACGCCCTCATATTTAACGGTTTCGGACCTCATATGCCCTTGGCTCTTTTTCTTGTCGTCAATTCCATTTGCCTCGCCGGACTGATCATTGCCGAAAAGAGCGAACATATCCCGATGTACGCCGCAGTGCTTACCGGCCTGGCGGTGGTCATGGCCCTGGTGTTTAGCTGCTTGCCGCGCTCCAGCCACAAGGCATCCTCGGCCGGTGGCAGTAGCTGGTCGATCTCGTCCTCCCAGAAGCGCTAGTTGCCCAAAAATGCATTCGGCAATCGAATCGGATGTCTGCGGTCGACATCCGGTATCAGCACACAGCTCCCAAATCGAACAGGTGGCGGGGGCATCCGCACTGCCTCCTCCCCCCGTTGTGGCATCAATCGTCACTTCCTCTTTCTGGATCTTGAGCAATCGCCCGTCAACCTACTGGAAGCAGGGCGGGGACATGTCTCCCACTCTCCTGTCGCCTGGGCCGCCTCAACTCTTCCAGTGGCTCCGCCGTGTGGGTACAATTTTGACCACCCACTTTGCCTGCTCATGGAAACCCACTCATGCTACCCACTGCAAGTATAAATCTGTCTTTGTCCATATCAATATATGCAGGGCCGTTGCAATCAGCCTTGCCGAGGCGGACCGGTTGGCAACGCCGAACATCAACTTCCTTGTTATGCCCTTCCACGTCAATCAGGGATGCCTTGTCTCCTTGTTGGAGAGCCCCTTGTGACGGTCTTGTTTGGCATGGCATGAGCGACACATGAACAAGACTGCTCGCTCGAGCACCAGGCAGCACGGGATGTTCAATCGCAGAAAGACATCCATGTGCATCTTGTCTGTGTTTCCGACACAGTATCTGTTGTGCAGTCCTCAGCATCGCTCAAACTGCATCGGCAGGGACATGAGGGTCGGGGAGAGCAGGTTCAAGCTTGGATATCGCGGATGGCCGCACAAACAGCCCATGGCCGGACTGGGTGGAAAAGTATCTCTTCCCGCCAACACTTCCGTCGTTCTTGCCGTCTGGCGTGAGCAACATGGGAGCCGAGCTATGATCAGTGTGACTTTATCAACATCTACCAGGATATCAACTCTCAGCACAGGGTACCATACGATCGATCTGTCAAGTGCTCCCCCATGCGCCGACATACCTGATGAGTCCAGTTCCAGTCCGACCCACTGGCCTGTTGCGAACTCTGTGGCTCCCACGAACCGGATCGTCCCTGTCACCGAAGCGGCTTGTTCCTTTGACAACGACAGCTGGACACGCTGAAGTACGCTCCACTCTGACACAGGATGACTTGCTGTCATGGACTCTGTCGTCGCTGAAAGTGTTGTGGCTGATGCGGCTGATGCGGTTGATGTGATCGATGGGGCTGCAGCACTTGATCCCCGTCTTGGGACAGTTCGATCCGCTCGGGCTGCCGGTGATGCAGATGTGCTACTCAATGGATATGATCCGGGCCTGCTCCTTGCTGAGACGGGAGCGGCCGGCCTCGGAGGATTGGAGCGCACTTGCTTCGATAGACTGCGCGCAGCCGGCTTTGCCGACGTTGGAGGGGCCAGGGTTGTTTTGGTCCTGCTTTGCGGCAGGCCTCTCTGCTGTTCATTGCGGGGCGTTTTTGGTGTCTTGGACGAAGATGGCAAGTGCCCCCTTGGGCTCTGCTGGTTCGGGCCGTCGGTCAACTCGAGCTTGATGAGCGGGTGGAGTTTGGTTCGGGTTGCTGCTGAGGATCGGACAAAGCCTGAAGTAGGTCGAGCGAGCATGGAGAAAAGCTCGTCGCTGCTAACGCCGACCGCTTCGGGCGAGATTCGATTGAGTCTACTCAGTGTCGGCTAGCTGGCGGCCGCCGTTCGGGTTGGTGCACCTGCAATCACTTGCCTACCCACACACGGCGCATGCTCGATGTGCCCTTGATACATACCTCTTGCCACGTCGTCCAGGATCTGTTCGTTCAGACCTTGGAGAAGCGACGGCTCCGAAAGCACCATCCACTGTCGAGCCAATATGCCCGTGCATGTGCCCTTGATCTCGGCTACAAGCGCAAGCTCATCTCTGGCTTGATCGTCGACGGTATCGGGGTCGTCGGCAGCCGGCACCACCGACAGAGCGAGCAGGCACTCCTTGGCGCTGCTGTCTCGCACCAGCGTCTTGACGGTCCTCAAAAGCTCGATCCGTGTGTCTCGGGCACTAATGCCAGGGTCGTTGAGGAAACGGATATAGCCCATGCGGATGGACTCTCCGGGATGAGCTTGGATCGTCTTGATGATCTGCGTTCTAACCCGCTCGACCATGCGCTGTGCAATGGAGACCCAGCCGGCAGAACCTGAGCAGTCCAGAGTGTCGGCCGCTCGCTTGCAGTCCAGGATGTATTCGCTCAGCGTCTCGACATTGATCCGGGCGGCCACGGCCGTTTCGAGGTCCATCCCAAAGTCGTCGGGGAGCTCGGCGACCAGCTTCTGGGTATACAGTCTGGCCCAGTTCTTGACGGCCATGAGGCGACAACCTTGCAGGACCGGCTCGAGACCTCGATCGGTGGCAAACCGGGCCATCTTGGGTACCAGCGCCAGGCATGGGCTGCAAGTGCAGGCGAATCCGCCCGTCATCATTGATAGCCAGGCCGAGCAAACGTCCATGAGCCCAGCGAGACCCAGGTATTCGGTCGCTGCATAGATGGCAAAAATGTCGGCGAGCTGCTCGGGCGGATACGCTGTCGCCGATCCATAGACATGGTCGACAACAAACCGAACGGCCTGCCATCCAAAAACATCAGAGGGGAGCCGGGCCGTTGCCGAATTCTGCTCGCGAAATCCAGATGTCAACAGGGCACGCATGTACGGAATCCGGGCAATCAACAGGAACCGGTGGACAGCGACGGTGGTATCGCATAGCTCGGGTGTGCTTGAGACGGCAGATGCCCCCGTCGTCTTGGGATCGCTGGGCATTGACGGTGGCTCCAGGATGATTTGAAAGTCGCAACCGACGCCGGAAGCTTGCAAATGAGCAAGGCTCTTGGCTGGATGCTCGCTCGCAAGCCTGCTGAGCAGGAGATCGAACTGATCTTCGCGGGCCGATGCGCATGGGTCGTCCTGGTCGGCAGACTGGAGCAGAGCCTTGAGACTGTCGACAGCCGGAGGAGGCAATCCCGAGTAAAGAGCCCTTTGCAAGCGCACGAGCTTGGGCCGGTCGTGGGATGAGACGATTCTGTATGGCGGCTGCAGCGAGAAGTCGCATTCCGGCAAGGGTCCGTCTGGGCCGACGAAATCATAGGAACGAGCAAGCGCCGAGTGGATCCAAACGGAGCTGCCGTCCGAGCCTACCACCTTGCAGTCGGCGGCATATTCCCGAGGCGAGCGCTCGATGGTGGCCAGGACCGTCGCCAGGCTGTTCGCAGGGAGCTCGAATATCGCCTGGGCGACCGAGACATCCAAGGCGATGTGTTTGCGCCTGGATTGCGGTTGTTGCAGGCGAGGGGCTCCACGGAGCATCGTCGGCACAATGACGGTCTGATTGCGGGCAGAGCGAGCGCTTGGTCTCCTCTGGGCAGCGGGTGCATGTGGACTGGGCATTTGGGCACTGGACCGCATCCTGGTTTCTGGACATCACGACGAACGGGACAAACGAGTCGCTTGAATGCACATGCCTTGCTCTGCTTCCTCTGCGTGCATGGACCATTGGTCTAAATTGGTATGAGTATCTATTCTCATCCACAAAACAGCACCAGGATATCCTGTTTCGATTTGCGAACGATACGTAACCCAACAACAACAGCAACAACAAAAACAACAACCATCGAAGCGACCGTCAACACCAGGCCACCGAGACCAACCTCGGAACACTTCTGGACAAGCATTCAGACAAGCATTCAGGCCAAAAATAAAGGCACTATAATCTAGGAACGTGAGAAAAGGGTAAAGTAAAGAAGAAGAAGAAGGAAGGAAGGGGAAGGGAAGAGGAGAAGGCGTCTAAAGTAGCAAAAAGAGCGATTAGGGGAGGGGAGTGGGAATGAGCGACGGGAAGCGGACGACACGGTGCAGGGCGAGACAGGGAACGAGGACGCGAGAATCTGTGTATGGGAGAGGGGAAACCAAGAACGGGAAATGACGGCGGTCTCGCAAGCTCTGAGATGCCAGGAAACTGCCGGGGAAGGGAAACAGAGAAGCCAGCTCGGGTGAAGGAAAATGGTGATGATGGCGATGGCGGGAAGGTGGAGGAGTCATCTGAGGCAGGGTGAATCGAGCGCAGAGGCACCACTGGGACGATGGAGGGAGACTGGATGAGGGAGAGGGCACGATAGCAACACACGGCTCACGCCGATGAGAACGGAGTGAACTGGATGTGCTTGAAGTAGGCCGTTAGGAACGTAGAGGCGCACATGAGGGAGTCGTCGGCCCACTTCCGGTAGATGGGGCTGCTGGTGCTGAGGTTGTAAGCCGTGTCGAGCAGCAGGCGGCCGCCGTAGACGACCTCGGACTCTTGGTAGCCCGAATAGTGGATGTGTGCGTCGCTCTGGAACACACAGGCGAGGGTCAGATAGCTATAGAGTGGTGGTCGTCGCCGTCAAAGTTCAGACGAGCAAAAGGCAGCCGCATTCGCGAACCGAACCGAGCTCGAGATCCGCTCCCGAGACCCATAGTGACACGCGGAGCGGAGATGGGCAAGGAAAGCAGTCCATCAAGGACACATGCTCGTTGTGCGTACATACCCATTCGCCGTTCTTGAGCACCTTCATGGCCACGTACATGGCACTGGCAGCCAGGAGCGAGGCCGGGCACTCCAGAAACTTCTCGTTGGTAAGACTGCACTCCATGAGGTACTTTGCGACGGTCCGGATCTTGGTGTCGAGCCCGTCTGCCACCGAAATGCGGCGGAGGAAAGTGAACGGACCCGGGTGGCCAACGTCGTATCCGAGCCGGCTCAGGATGTATCTCTCGGCCTTGATGATCTCCTCGCGGCCGTAGGTGTTGTCGGTCAGGAAAACGAGCTCTTGGATCTTGGGCACGCGGATCTCCTCGACCTTGGACGCAATCAGAAGCGACACCACGGCGACCAGCTGGAACTTGTGGAGGTGTACCGAGTTGGAGGACAGGTATCGATCCATGATGTTGATGGTCAGGAAGAGCGTCTCGGGGAGGAGCCGCAGATACGTGTGTACGTCCACGATCCACTCGACCAGCTGGGATCGCATGAGGGCGGTGATCTGGGGCTGTCTGGTGAGATAGTCGCCTGAGGGCATCGTTTGTTGCTGGAAGTGCGGCAGTGCGAGACGGGGGCGGGCGGCATAAAGCGAGGCAGGGTGCCATGGATTGAGAATGATCATGACGCGTGAGATGGGCGATATCGCATGCAATAGGGTGGAGCGAATTGCGCGACTCTGTACCGAGCATTGTCAAGCACGATGGGAATCAACGACAGACCCCTATCCTCCATGTTCCAGCCACGTCGGACCGCCGATGGCATACTGACCTCAATGAGCCGCAGGTGGTCGATGATCTCCTTCTCGTACTCGAGCAAAATGACCGGGTCGCGGTCGTGCAGGATAAAAAGGTTGTTCAGGCGCGACTCGGAGCTCGAGGTGGGTTTCTTTTGCGGACGGATGGGCTCCTTATCGACTTGCATCGGTGAGCTTTGCAGGTCAGGCAAGCCGCCGATCGACGAGACGTCCGAGGTGCGCCCAATGTCGGGCACGGCAGGCGCGGAGCTACTGGAGATACGGCGCCGGGCGGGTGAGTGGTGCTGAACTGGTTGTGCATCTGGCTGCGAGCTGCTTAGGGACCGCCGCAGCGACGACGAAGACGACTGAGACTGAGACCGTGGAAGGGACGAGCGCTTCTGGGCCGAGGTGAATGTCGAAGTTGGGTGCACCGGGACGGGTATCGACGACGGTACCAGGGCAGCGGCGGTGGCGCTGGACGCAGCTGGGACTGCAGAGACGCCTGTTGGCCTGGATGGGCGGGAGACGGCACCGGGCTTGGGGCCGAGCTTGACCCGGCCGTTGTTGATGAGGGCATGCCGCTGTTGCAGGGACGACGATGCTGTGCGTTGCTGGATAGACGAGGCCGATGCTGGTGGCCGCCGCATCCGCGACTCGGCGGACGCTGACGATGCAGAGTGGGGGATGTCCTACATTCCAAAGGACATGGCATGGCATGGCATGGCATGGCGGAGGGGAGGGGCATCGATGCGAAAGTGTCGGTGAGCCCATCCAATAGACTGCAATTCAGCCGAGGGCGGCCAAGGACGAGTGCTTTCCACCGCCGTCGGTCTGCTCAGTGGGCCTGTCTGCGCTGAGGTGAAGTACTCGGAAAGCAGTGACATCCGCGCCTGAGCCCGAGCCCGAGCCCAGCTGCAGAGCCATCGCCCCCATTGCCTCTTGCGTTTCTGCGCGTCCCCTTATATCCAGGAGATCACCCGAGGCTGCTCGGGTCTCTGGGCCAGGGTAAAGGATCCAAAACACGCCGCTGCCCCGTCTGCACACAGCCGCCAACGACATCGCCAAGGATGAGGCTTCGTGGGCTCCCCAACCTCCCTCCCCAGCTCCTTTCTCTTGGTCGGCGGCATTGCTGGTGCCTTCCCGCCGCGCAGCCTCCTACCTTCCTATTGGCGGTCCCGGCCGTGGGGCCGAGGGCTGAGCGCTTGGTCGGGCGTGGATCTTCGGGCTCCGAGAGCATGCGCCGCAGTTTTGGTGCGGGCTTTGCCGGCTCGACACTGGACTTGAGGGCCATGTCGGCCGCGCTGGAGGGGCCGGACGAGGTTCTGAGGGCATTGGTGTGCGACTGGAGCCGCGTCGACAGCGAACCGGCGCCATAGGTCGTCGTCGCTGTGGGCTTGGACAGCATCTGCGAAGTGGGGTGATGGTGGTGGCTCGGATGCACATCCATATTTTCGGATGAGGGCTTGCGCTTGACGTGGGCTGCTCCTGGCAGCGCCGACGCCGACGCCAGCGGCCGTCTGGATAGAGGACGGGCAATCTGGGAGAGCAGTTGGCGAGTCGAGCGACAAACACGCCGCGGACACACGCGGGGAGGAAGGGGTGAATCGACAAGAGTGTCAGTGCCTTGGGGTCGCTGGTATCCGATGGATGCGAGAGAAAGGCAAAAAGCGGTGGAGGAGGATCTCAAGAGCCGGCCGATGCAGTCAACACGGCCTCGCAGGTACGCAGTGTCTGGGACGGCAAGCACGCATGTCGAGCGGATGAATTACCACTCGCGGGTCCATGATGGCGATGGCGGGATCGACAGGACGTTAAAGATGGCAGACGGATGGAGAGAAAAAAACAGCGGCCGCACAATGGAAATGGAAATGCAAGTGGGGGTGGACATGGGCGCCTCAGGCGGGCGAAAGCGCGAGAGTCGCTTCTCGCCGAGGACATCGACATTGGGGCAACGCTCTCGGCGAGAAGGCTGGTCTGGCGCGCAGCAACATGACCAGCTGGGTCCAACTGGCGGGAAACGAGACCGCTGGTCGGATTGCATGAAGGCATGCAGGCATGCAGGACAAGAGGTGGTATTTGGCAATCGACAAGGCCATGTGTGGCGAGACTATCACAACGAGGTGGTCGCCGGGGGGCGGCTGCGACAATAACCAGAGGGTGGGTGTGTGGATGGCGTTGCGAGCCAGCCAGCGTCCCAAGCCAAGCCAGCTGGGCCAGCATGGCCATAACGCCGGCATCACGGCCTTCATCCGAGGGACTGGTAGCGGGGCTGGTTGGGCCACAGCCCGAATCCGGTTCGAGCACGCTGGAGCCACGACGGCTGGGCAGCAGGCTCGGCGGCCAGTTCGTCAAGGTCGTCGAGATCGTCGTAGAAGGTGGGCAGGACGATCTTGCCGGGGAGCTGGACGTAGGACTCCAGGGAGCACAGAGGCGACATGATCCACAGAGACTCGATCCAAGTGATAACCCAGAACGGGAAGTGCAGAGGATTCAGATATCCCAGCGAATCTGGACGGGCAATCCGCGTGCCGTTGGAGTCGACCAGGACGCAGACGACGGAGCATCGATTCGGATATGGGGATTCGGGCAGGAATGTCGCGAGGACGAGATCGCCGATGATATTTCCGATGAGATCGCCGATGCGATTGCCGATGCGATTGCCGATGAGGTAGGGGGAAGCAGCGCCAAACGGTCAGGAGGCGGTTCTGTTTCAGGAATATTTCGGCAATGCTTTGGCAATGTTCCATCATCAAGTCAACACGCACGAGCGGCTGGGACTGAATCGCAGGTCAGACATAAAAGTCTTCTGCCCACCACTGCACACATTCGCGGACCGATGGGGGAGGAGGAGGATTTCGGCTCAGCCCACTTGCTTACATATGATTCCAACGAGGATTCCAGAGAGATTGCCAAAGAAGGCAGACTGCGGGAAGATGATCTGGGTGGCGATGAGGAGGAACCAGGGATAGATGGCACCAGGGACGGGAACACCAAACCATCTGCGGCATTGGGGGGGGGAACGTGAGCAATGTTAGCCTCCAGCGACCCTGGCCCGGCTGAACGTTATCAAGGGGGAAGAGACACGCCTATACCCACCTCCGAGTCTGAAAGACGCCCGACTTGCGGTTGGCCTCGAGAGAGATATAGATCATCACCAGGCTCGACAGTCCCGAGAAGCATGCCTCGGACCACTTGGGCACAATGAGCATGAAGGGCACCATCAACAACGTATAGCACACGCCATTGACGGCCGCCATGACGACGGATAGATGCACAAACTGAACGGTGCCGACCTGCCGCTCAAACAGGCTTCCAAGCGGGATGAACCCAACAAGGTTCATCAGCAGCGGCAGGATTCCGGAGTGGAAGAAGCTGTAGGTGAACAGCCTGTAGGAGTTGATGAGCTGTGTGGCATCGATGGCGAGGAGATCCGGCCGGAGGTTCGAAGTGGGAGGAGAGCCAGGACAAGCAATACCCCCGAAAGACCCAGCCATTGACAGCGAGGAAACATTGGCGTTAGAACAACACATAAGACAAGACACTTGCAGCGCAAAGCCGAGCCAGGCGCAGGTCAAAACCCGGCAAGAGCGATGGAGACTCGGGAGAATGGGTCGAATCGCAGGCCACGCCGTCGATCCAGCAGGAGAATAAAAATCAAGGAAACCTACACCGTCTGTGAAGGACTCTGAGTGCAGCAGCCACTTTTGCGGGCTGAGACACACTAGCTCGAACAGCGGCGGGTCGAGCGGCAGGACCATGGCCAGGACATGCAGGATGCAGACGACGAGGGCGAGGACGGAGGTGGCCAGCGGCAGCGAAAAGTACCATCGGCGGATGAATGCGACGACGGCGTCTCGATATGAGGTCATGGCGGCGGCGTGCAAGCTCGAGCGGGGATAGGTGTGATAGATGTGGATAGATGTGGATGGATTCGGTGTGGATGATGGTGTGGATGGATGTGGTTGTGGAGGCGGGCCGCTGTGGCGCAGGCGCTCGGATTTCTGTGGATGGCGGGCTTTCTGTGGATGCTCCAATTTCCACCAAAGCAAAATGCCTTGCACCATGAGTCGATTGCCGTTGCAGCAACGACATACATGTCTGGCGACACTGACAAACGCACCCTGGGGCGGCATCGGCAAGCACCCCCGATACGACGACAGCAGCGGATTCTGCCGGCGGATTCTGCTAGCAGATGCTGCCAGCGAACCGCTCGCACCAACGATCCTGGATGAGCGCCGTATCATACTACTATTGCTTCAGGCCGGCGCTGCATACCGCCTCAGTCGGGCTCCGTCGTCCTGGGATGCTTTCTGCTTCTGCTGGTGCCGCTGCTGCCGCCTATCGGTGCAGTGGCGGATGGCTTGGCTTTCTCTGCCAGCACACGCATGCAGACAGACAGGTGCCGCCCGCCTCCTGCTCTCCCGCTCCTCCACGAAATAGAGTTTTGGTTTCTCCCGTGTGGGGCGGTGTCGAAAGAGTCCAGATCCATGCAGCACCCGCTTCCGAGAATCCGAAGCCTACGGTTCGGGGGAGGCGGGAAATCCATTCCAGGATCGTTCTGCAAAGCTTGGAGCTGTCTGTTTTGCAGTCTTTCCTGTCGGTCCGCGTTCTCTGTCTCGATCGAGAAGACCAAAACCTTAGCTGGACGGCCTCGGGGGCTGCGTGCAGAAGCCGGTCCGAGACGTTTGTTGTCACTGGCTGGCTGCCGACAAGAGCGTCGGGGGAGCTGGGGCAGGAGTGGTTCTGGATCAGAGAGTAGTTTGCGGTTGGATCTGAAGGGGAGATCTGAGGCTGAGGCTGAGGTGCCAGGAGCAAGGAAGGCCATGAAAGCCGGTGCTCGATCCGAAGGCGCTGGGGAACCTGTGCAGGCCGCGGAGAACAACATGCAGCCGGGCCATGAAGGCGAGGGACGCTTCGAGTTTTGTCTTGTCTTGGGCCGCACGCGCTGGGTGTCTTGGAAGGCCGACAGCCAGATCGCAGCCCCGTGCCTGGCGAATGTTTGGGTGCGTGCATTTGAGGCCACAAGGCGGCAGGCAGCCTTTCCAGCGCACGCGGCCTCCACCGGGCTCTGCGGCTCCACGGGGCCATACTCTGAGCCAGAGCCAGGGGGGATGAGGAGAGCAAGAGAAGGGGGTGCTCGACTGTTCGCTTGCCTGCTTGCTTGTGGGAGAACGGGGCCGAGGCGTGTGCGAATGCACATCGGCCATGGCGGATGCAGACGGGGACAGCCCGATGGCAGAGAGCTGCTCCTGTGGCCCAGCAAAAGGAAGATGTCATCCGCGAGGACATGCACGAGCTGGTGGGTGCATTAGTGGGTGGCACGACCCGGGCGACCGCGGATATGGCAGCATGGGTTGAATCGCATGGGTTGTGTTGCCAGGCCATGTCGAATGCAACAGGATGCTGGTGCAATCGCCGATGTGTCTGCTCTGCTCTGTTCTGCTCCGTTTGTTGCAATCGAGGTCGGCTCTGGCGAAGAGCACGCTGTCGGAGAGGAGTTTGGTGGGAGACTGTCGGTGGCCTGCCGTGGCCCTGCTGTGGCCCTGCTGTGGCCAACCCACCCATGCGCGCTGGTGGTGGTGGAGGAGGAGGAGCCGGCGCACATTTTTGCGCGAACTCGACTGGCAAGCCCGGCAGCAAGCTTGGTTCCCGCCGGCTTGGACAACCCAGTGCAACCGCTGCTATCTCTCGCTCTCGCTCTCACTCTCTCCGTATCTCTTGTGGATGGCCGCCTGGGCAAAAGACCGAGTCAGGCCGACGAGCCCGGTGGGACACCCGGCCGCTGGTGCCCGGCACCAGATCGGGTGCAAGAAACGTGCGAGGGGCTCGCCGCGGGCCTGGCCACAATCTGTGGCAGATCCTGAGCATCGTGGCGACCTCAAGCCGGGCAAAAAAACGAGGTCAGACTCAGCGAGCGGCGAGCGGCCAAGCGGTCCATCCGCGGGACCTCGTTGTTGGAGCCGAGCCGCAGATCGCGAGGTCTCGCGGATGAGCCGCAGGACGATTCGCAGACCAGTCGCCGTCGCAGGGGGGCCGACCAGCGTGCCAGGCGGGCATGTGGGGGCCAGAGAACGGGCGCTGGTTGGCCAGCAGCTGGGGTTGCACGGCTGGTTCTGGATCGCGCCTGGGCCCGAGGGAACGCGGCGCGTGCAAGCAGAGTGGGCCGAGTCGATGCTCCGATGGACGCACGTGCGGGCCGATGCCGCAACGGCGCTGTACAGCACGGCGACACAGCGGACGCGACGGTGGTGTCGCTGCAGTGGGTGCTGTTGCTGCTGTGGGTGCCCTGGGTGGTGGTGGTGTAGACGCAAGTTGGGGTGGGTTGGGTGTCGCTGCTGCTGCTGCTGCTGCTGCTGCTGCTGATGCTCCTGCGCTTGCTGATGCTCCTGCTGATGCCGCTGCCGAAATGCATCGGCTTCGGCCCGGGACGCATATCGGCCAACATGCTCTTTTGGCGACGCAACCAACATTCGTGCTGTTTCTGCTATTCCTGCTGACGGATTCCAACAGCACGCAGCATGCTGTGATTCCAACAGCACGCAGAGACTCAAGCAGCATGCTCTTGTTCTGGATGCAAGCACATTCTCGCTCTGTCGCCCTTGTCTGCCACCCACCCAATCGACGCGTCGGCACCGACCGCCACCCGCGCCCCGGCCACCGCGATGATTCGCCGGCAGATGCACGTGCAAGCGCGCAACGCGCTCTCTTCGTCACACATCGTCGCGCATTGTCGCACGCCGTCACACACTGTCATCCCAGCTCGCCACAGTCTCTGTGAGCCCACCCGCGCCTGCCCACAAGCCCGCCGGGGCACGAAGGAAAAAAACATGCCGCCCTTGCCGCCCGCCCCTCGCCCGCCTGCCGCCCGCCCCGCCCGCCTCTCGCCCCCCCGGCGCGTGCTTTCCCGCCCCAGCGAATCACCGCTGTCCATTCCTTCGCCCAGCCAGTCGCGCTTGTTGGTCTCCGCCCATGTTCTCCTTCTCGTCGTGTCCCGTCGGTCCATGCGCGGGCCTGGCGTTCCGTCGCCAACGTTCCCTCTCGCCCACGAGGCGGCCTTCGGCGGCCTTCCGAACCTAGCATATAAGCCGCTCCCGCTCCCGCCTCCCCTTCCCGCTTCTTCACCACCTCACACCAGCTTCCCGCACACTGTCCGGAAATGTCTGCCGTCGAAGCCGTCAAGCAAAAGCGTGCCAAGGCCTACGCCCATCTCGATGAGGCCAAGCTCGGCTGGTTCCACTTGAGAGCCGTCCTCGTCTCTGGTGCCGGTTTCTTCACCGACCAGTATGACAACTTCATCATCAGCTTGGCCCTGCCCATGATCTACCAGGTCTACTACCCCTCGGACCCCTCCATGCTCAAGGCCTCCAACTTCACCAAGCAGTACCCCGACTACGACGCCTGGATGAAGGCCGCCACCCCCTGGGGTAACTTTGTCGGCCAGGTCGGCTTCGGTTACCTCGGTGACAAGCTCGGCCGCAAGAACATGTACGGTATCGAGCTGATCGTCATCATCGTCTCGACCATCGGTTCCGCCTTCTCTGCCAGCTCTGTCCGTGGTGCCAACATCCTTCAGGTCCTTGCCGTCTGGCGTTTCTTCCTCGGTATCGGTATCGGTGGTGACTACCCTCTCTCTGCCATCATCACCTCCGAGTTCGCCAACGTCAAGTGGCGTGGTATGCTCATGGCCGCCGTCTTCTCCATGCAAGGTGTTGGTATCCTCGTCGGTGCCCTCGTCACCCTCGCCACCCTCGCCGCCCTCCAGTCCTACATTGTTGCCGACCCCGCCTACCTCGACCTTGTCTGGCGTATCATGATCGGTTTCGGTGTCATCCCCGCCATGTCTGCCATCTACTTCCGTCTCACCATCCCCGAGACTCCCCGTTACACCGTTGATGTCATTGGTGCCGTCGACCAGGCCGCCGCCGATGTCGAGAAGGTCCTCGCCCTCAACTCCACCGCCGATGTCTCCTCCAACTGGAAGGGTGAGGAGGTCGCCGAGACCCGCGCCAACGTCAAGAAGGGTGGCTTCTGGGCCCACTTTGGCCAGTGGAAGCACGGCAAGGTCCTCATCGGTACCTCCGTCGCCTGGTTCTGTCTCGATGTCGCCTGGTACGGTCTTACCCTCAACCAGGGCACTGTCCTTACCCTCATCAACTGGAACGGCTCCAACTCGCTCGCCCCCTACGACAACTACTTCCAGAAGACCATTGGCCAGATCATCATTGTCTCCATGGGTACCCTCCCCGGTTTCATTGTCGTTGTTGCCCTGATCGAGAAGCTCGGCCGCAAGCCCATCCAGCTCCTTGGCTTCGGTGTCATTGCCGTCTGCCTGTTCATCATCGCCGGTGCCTGGAACACCATCAAGACCAACACCGTCTTCTTCACCATCGTCTACACCATTGCCCAGTTCTTCTTCCAGTTTGGCCCCAACACCACCACCTTCGTTGTTCCCGGTGAGGTCTTCCCCACCCGCTTCCGTTCCACTGCCCACGGTATCTCTGCCGGTCTCGGCAAGCTCGGTGCCATCGTCGGTACCCAGGCCATCAGTGGTCTCTGGAACAGCAGCCCCACCGCTGTCATCTACATCTTTGCTGGTGTTATGGTTGTTGGTGGTGCCTCCACCTTCCTGATCCCCGAGACCAAGGGCAAGACTCTTGAGGAGCTCTCTGGTGACGACGAGGTCTTCCACACTGATGCTTAAACGACCACCCCCCCCATCTCCTGGATACTTCTGTCTTCACCGTTTGTCCGGCCCTCGCCCTCTCCTCGCTTGTCCCAGAGTCCTTTTTTCCTGAAATTCTAGAGTTTTTCCTTTCCTCCTTCCTGCCAATCGACATGTCCAAAATCCACCACACACGCTCACAACTCCACGCTCCAGCTCGGCTTGATCTGTTCAGTTCTCTCTTTTTTTTGTTGAATTCACAACCCGACCACATCTCTTGTCTCTCTCCACAAAGTGTTTATAGAGTGCAATCCGCAAGTTTTGTACTATAGTTTGATGCCGAATGAATGAATAAACCACTCTGGGCTCTGAACTTTCTCTCGCTTCCCTGACAATATCGGTGCTTGCTTTTGCTTGCTTGCTCGGGGATGGGATGGTCATTCCTTGCACTTGCTTTGCGATGCTGGCTGGCTGGCTGTCTTTCAGTCACGGCGGATGATACCATTCGACCTGGCGGCTTTTCCACCAGGCCGACTCGGCAATCCTCCACCACCCCTCAGAACCAGCACGCGCCTCCGTGGGTATTCGTCGCTGCAGCGCTCTGACCCCCCCCCGCCGTCCCATAGTGTTTTCTTGGAGGCGATGACCTTCCACATGGCCTCCGCCTCCCGCCGTGGCCTGCGATGAGCACATCCCCCTCCCATGTGGCAGTCGAGCGGGGGGATGGGGAGGACGGGGTGACTCGGATCGCGCAAGAGTGTCCGGCCACGCCATGCCATCGCGCCAACGGGTCCTGTTTGTCCGGGAGTGCCGACATCAGGACAAGCACTCCTCATCCACAGGGCACTCCTTTGCAGGGGATCGAGATCGATGAATATGAAATATGAAATATTCCCGCTGGCTTGCCGGCGTATTTTCTTTCGTTCAACACAAGATGCGGATTGAACAGCGGCCAACTACAAACAGCGCAGGCGCAAGAAAGGTAGAGCAGAATCAAATGGGGGGGGGCGGGACGAGATCAAAGCAGTCAAACATGGTGGCTAGTTGCACGGAGAGTCAAGGCAGAGGCGTGAGAGGAACAAGAGGGTCGAAGGGATCGGGAAGGGCAGGAGCGATGCGGAAATGGGAGGTAGTGGTAGTAGCGATAGAGAGGAAAGGGAGGAGGAAGGAGAAGAAAGCGCCCAAAGAGAGATATAACATCATCCGAATGAGGGGCCGCAGGTACAAAAGAGGGGTGGCCCGGGGATATGCACTGGATACAAACGACATCATGGATGGGTGAGATGCGATGGGGGGCGGAAGGAGCCAGCGGCAGAGGACAAGACTTGGGAGACATGAGGAGGCAACCAGCCGCGATACACCCGCTCGCAGTCCGCCCTTCTCATCTCTACTCGTCATCAAGATACAAATCCCTCACAGGAGGCGGCCTCTTCTTCAGCGGGTCGGGGCGGAATGCCCCCGTAACGACCTCGCCACGGGGCGTGGGCATGCCCTCTTTCCATCGCAGCCACGTCATTTTCGGGCCGTTGACGGCTCCTTCGTTCAGTCTGAATCCAAAGACCTTCGGAACGTAGTAGGCATAGTCCGGGTACGTGACCTTGTCCTTTGGCGAGTGCTCGTCGTCGTCGTCATCATCATCATCATCGTCGTCGTCATCGTCGTCGTCTTTGTAAAAGTCGTCCACTTCCGAGTCGCCATCGTGGTGGTGGCGATCGTCGGCGCTTTCGGAGCCATCGGAATGATCTGAATCGGATTGGAACGGAGACTCGATCGTCAGCTGTTCGATCGGAGGGTCATGCAGCCGCTTGTGGGGCGAATAGAGCGGTGGTATCAGCTCCGGGAACGTGAGAAACAACATATGAGGGAAGGTCGTTCCGAAGAATGCGCCGTCAAAGTTTTGATGCGTGGGCTAGGAGCGGCCCAGGGAGTCGACGGTATGGGGTCGAGTCAAAGGAATCGTGTAGGGTGGCATGGCACGGAAACGGGGTGGAGCCGTCACATTTTTGAAGCGTCGGCCATGATGGCGTCCGTGCAGTATCATCAATCGCAATACCAGCCAAGGAAACCCCGATCGGCCAAGAAGCGAGTGCAAGCGGTGAGTGAGTGACGATGCGAGTCATTGCGTGTAAGACAGAAGCTCGAATGTTGCCTCGTCCAACCCACCAACCCACCAACACACCGACACACCGACACACCGACACACCGACACCCACAGATACAATTCACCGCGCGCTCTGGACCGAGCCATCACACCGAGCCGTCTTACCTGTGACGGGAAATACAAGTCCCCACACCGTGGGCAAAACATCTTGACGGTATCGACCCCGAGCTGGTCCGACGTGCCGCAAGGCACAAGTCCCGAGCCGCCACAGAGCACCCGCGGACAGACCCCAAAGAGCCGGGCCTGGAACTTTTCGCCCATCTGCTGCAGGCCCTGTTTCGTGAGGATGTAGCGCTGGTGAATCAGACCGTAGAGGGTGTAGGCCGAGTTCTTTGCCAGCTTTTCTTCATGCGCCGACAACGGCGTCTCTTGTTCCAGGTCCAGGATGATATCCATCGCCTCGCGGTAGTGTGGTACGAGCCACTGCAGACCCGTCAGATTGAAGTCGTCGTAGGCGAACTCTTCCGCCACTTCGACAAAGATCTCGTGGCCTTGCAGAGCCAAAGCCAAAGCCAAAGCCAAAGCCAGAATCGAGGCCATGATTAGAGCAGAACATGATAGTAGAGCGTTCGCAGAATAGATCCTTCGCAGATCCGGCCATCCGATCGTCCGAGCAGGCACGTGGAACTGGAGGACGACGGCATAGCCAGCAAGCCACGGCGAGGATCCCGACAAAGGGCATACAGCAATCCAACTCGATGGAGCCTCGATTGAACCACCAAAGAGCGAGGCATCGCCCAGACTACTAGCGACTAGGGGGGGGGATAAAAAGCGCCGCGGCAGGAGGCCTACCTTGAAGCGAGCAATACCAGTGGATCCAGCTAATGAACGAGGACCCGTCGCTCGAAGCATCGTAGATTGACTCGGATTGATCTGGGAGCAGTTTCCACAGTTTCCACAGTTTTCGCAGGTCCAGGTTAGGTCGTTGGCGAGGCAGGGGTTGGACGCCCAATATCGTAGGCATCACAGAGGCAGATCGTAGTGATGGCCGACCGGGAGCCGCAGAGACAATCCGGAAAGCGTTAGTCACTCTGTTCGACGCACCATTTCGGAGGAGCCTGCATCCGCAGCAGCTCCGGCTTGGAGCAAACCCAGCAAGAAGATCGATCCCGCCAGCAATTTGTCGCAGCAGAGCCCATCGCCCCCATATTCCGTAGATCGTATCAGCTTCGATCTCGATCTGCTCCGGTACGCTTCGGTGTGCTCCGGCTGTGGCTCATTGCCTTGTCCAAAATGCCTTCTGCCGCTTGCTTCTTGCCCTCCGCATCCCAGATTCTGCGTCCTGCGTCCTGTTTGTTCATCTCCCCTCCCCTCGACCGAAAGCCCCATCGTTACCATCATCGCTGTGAGCATCGCCCTCACCGTGGTGGTTGGCAACTTCATGGCTAGCATGGGCGTGTCCTTGGTTGGCGTGCCCAGAGGCGGTTTGGCGAGCGTATGAGTAAGCCTGGTTGAATTGTCCGCTCGGCAAGCTGCCCGTCACGACCGTTGGAAGTGAGTAGGCCGGCTGGCCGCGGAATTGCTTGGCGAGCTGGCTGGGATCGGCCATGGCTGAAGCGGTCGTTTGGTGGTGGAGTTGGGCGGTTGGCTAAAAGAAGACTCTCCCGACGCAACGGTGGAGAGAAGGGGCGATGAAGCAAGGCCCCGATTGGATGGACTGGACGGCGATGGGACAAACGTTGGTAGTATCGGCCATGTTCGAGCGGAGTCGGGAACGAACGAATAGAGCCACCGTCAAGCCGATGAATGGCCGGCGAGATAGAGCAGGCCGATCCGTATCAGTATCCCCGAATGGTTTGGGCCAGAGCGTATGGGGTTTGCAGAAAGAGGAGGAGGGAAAAGATTAGGATGCTGAAGGGATCAACAAAAGGCACCTCCTGAACTGGCAGCAGAAGCAGAGCGCTAGGGATGCAGACGCAGATGCACACAGAGAGCGAGCTGCGGCGAGTGTGCCTCCAGTGCCTGGTGTTGGACGAGAGGAAGACGGCGAGCGATCGAGTGACGGATGACGAGCGCCAAGGCCACCACAACTGACCAGAAAAGCGGTTGGGCAAACGGGCGCGACGGCCGAACAGGCGGGGACTTGTGAGCAGGAGGGAGTCTCGGAGGTTGGCGAAGTTCCTGAGCTGGTTCCGGCGACAGCGCCGACGGGTGGCCGCTACAGAGGGAGGCGACCGGCGGGGGGCAGGCTTCGGGTTGGCAGCGGCGGGAGGAAATCTACGGCGCAGACAAGATGCAAGAGAGGAGGAGGAGGCCTGCGACGACGCAACGGGGCACGGCTTTTGAGACCGGGCGTGTTGCTGGCTGGCCAGCGCAGTTTCGGGGTCTGCGGTTTGAGCGATCACCGGGCCGCCTGTGCAGGATACTTGCTGATGCTGCGTGGGGGCCTCGCCATGCAGCCGGCCACCGACAGCGGACAGGGTCTGCATCGACAGATACTGCATGTCGATGGACAGTGCATGTCGATGGGGAATGCATGTCGATGGAGAATGCATATGTCGGTAGTGCTGTGTGGGAACGATGCTGCCGGCAACGAGCTGCATTCCCCCGACACATCCCACACCCCACTCTGTCGGCACATGTCTCGGCACTAATGTGCTTATTCTCCGACCGAATAGCTGAATGCAGTGGGCATTTGCTGTGCTGGTATCTCCAGCATCACAAGTGTATTGCGGCGCTCGGAGGCCCGGCCGCCTGTTTGCCCGATCGGAATAGCATCCCGGCGGCTCGTCCAGCCAAAGGATGAGGGGAGGACACGCAGCAGTCTATCGGATGCAGGTGAATATGGATTTGGCAGAAATATCAAAAGTGCGCATGGCCACGGCCGGCCGAGGAGATGAATGGGCAAGGGCTCTCGGGTTCACGTTCACGGCCGTAAGTATGCGCATTCCCGAGTCGGCGGACTGCAATGCCAGTCGGCACGACAAGCATCGCCCGGCGACCCCCGGACGCCAATACTGGCCACGGCGGCGGCATTACTTTCGCTTGGTAATCTTGCCCGACTTGCGGCCTGCCTTGCTGATGGCCTTGGCCTTCATCTTGCGCTTGAACTGGTTCTTGTTCATGAACAGTCGCTCCTTCTCCAGCTTGCTCGTCTGGCCGAGCGACTTTGCCTGGCCATCGGTCTGCATGCTCTCGGATGACTCTTGTTCTCGGTTCGATCGCCGGCCTACCCGCTCGTCCTGCTCTGGCTCTGCGGCCTCGGTCTCCATGGTGGTGTTGGCATCGATGTGGGCAGGCGACTTGAGTGCCGCCTCGGCCTGCTTTTGAGCCAGCCGCTTCAGTCTCTCGGACTCGACGGGAGCAAACACCTGCAGTACCACGCAGAGCCGGGTTAGCGTCCGCTCCAGCAACAGCGACGGGGTGGTAATAGCCAACTGGGTCGCGATGATGCCCAAGTTGCCAGTGGATTGCCAGTGCATTGCCAGTGCATTGCCAGTGCATTGCCAGTGAATTGCCAGTGCATTCGACGCTTACGGCAGTTCGCTTGATGGCGCGGAACTTGCGCTTGATTTTCGAGTGGGTGGACTTGGCCATGGCTGCGCCGTTGATCAGATGAGTCGGGCTGGGGTCGCTCGGGGCTGTGGATTGATGCGGAACGATGCAGTGTCGGGCAAGCAGGACCCGGCAGTCGCTCTGGGGTTATTGGAATCGGAGGTGTCCCAGACCAGAAACCCGCTGGGCAACAACAAAAAAAAAGTGATTGCGCCACAGCACCGACAGCCTCGCGATCGGCACGACCACTCCAGCTCAGACGCAAGAATCACCCCGACGATCTCGATGCGAATGCTGCTTCTGAGGACGAGTCTGGCCCGCAAGCGGCTCGCCAGCCAGGCCATCGGCCGCTCCTGTGAGCGATTCTCTGCACGAGTGGGTCGGTGTGTGCTGGACGCTCATGGCCTTCACTTGGCACACCACAATCATATCCGCTCTGCACCCACACCCACACACCCACACACCAACCCGCATACCGCTGCCCGCACTCGTCCGTCGTAAGTAGCCATGGCCACCACCGTTACCATCGAGGCGCCAGAGTGTGTGTCGGCAGCGCGGCTCGGCTTTCCCATTGTCCGGGAGGCCGAGATTGACGATGCCACCGACGCGAATTGCTATAACATGGATCCGTTCTTCAACTGCAACGGAGATGGCTCTCCAGGGCGAATCGAAGGCAGACGCAGTGTCTGCATTCCATGTACTGCTTTGTGCATTGCACTCTCGGCTGTGCTCGCATCGGAGCGAAGAACGCAGCAGCAGTCATCTCGTGAACTTGCGGCATGCTCGGCTGGCCTGTCCGCAGGACGTGTGCAGCCCAGGATGCTGCGCCAAGTATCAGAGTGTGCTACAGCCGTCGCTCCTGCGAGGCAGGCGGAAGACGGCTGCGATCAGGAACAAAGTCGGCGAGCACATCCAGATCGGAGAGACAACAATTTTTTTCATCCAAAGAAACCGACTGGATCGAGCCGATTGGCCAAGCCACAACCTTGCTGCGCACCACGCCGACACTGCCACACATATGCACTGCCACACACTTCCAACAGCATGACATCGATGTCGCTGCCGGTCTCACAGCTCATCGCCAAACAGATCCTCTTCAGGGTAATCGCCAACTTGGACCTTGTTGGGTCTGAGGAAGGCACCGTACTTGTCGGGGCAGGAAAAGTACTGCACACCCTTGACGCTAATGGCGCAAGCGAGCGGGAGAATCCACAGTTTGCGGGAAAGACAGGGATCAACGAGGTTGTCAAGATCGGTGGGATCGCAGCGGCTGGTTCAGTTCGACCAGCCAAAAGGTTCCCCATAGAGTGTCCGAGCGAGCAGCTCAGTCACCCCGACCACTGAAGCGTAACTCGACAAGATGCACTGGAGTGACCCTGCTCCTACTCACGTTCCGTTGTGCTTTCCCAAAGGCTCGTCGTACTGAATGCCGACCCAGTACCCGGGCTTGAATTGGGTCTTGCCTGAGTGCAGCCATAACAGGGAAGTGGATTCAGCACAACGTGCGGCCCCGTCCAATGTGCGAGATGGGGTGGGATCAAATCGTCGGCTGGAGAGTCCAGAGAGATTGGGGCAGTACTCACCGACGAATTGGACAGACCCACGCTTTGTCAGCCCTTCCTCGGTAACGACCTCGCAGCGGTCGCCAACAGAGATTCCAGCGGCCTCGTGTTCGAACTCGTTCTCAGCATCGGCTTCATCGGGCTGAGAGGCCGTCTCGGCGTATTGTCGCAGCTTGTTGCGCTTGAGGTAGTCGCGGAGAGTGTCTGGGTGCAGGACCATCAATTGTCAAGTCGCAAGCATTGCAAGCATTGCAAGCATTGCAAGCATTGCAAACATTGCAAGGCTGGCGAGGCTGGCAAGACTGGCTCGAATCGCATGGCCAGCATGTCACGGATTGCCTGTTGTCGGTCCAGTTCACACGGCGAGCTGCGCGACCTTTCAGCATCTACGCTGGGAGGGAGGAGATTGCAGGATGTCTCTGCACACACCCATGCCTTCGTCTTACCCGATCGCTTGTTGTATTCGTCCTCGGTCAGCTCGAACTTTTTCACCGCAGAGAGATCGGTGTACTCGCCGCGGACGCGGTGGGGATTCAGGTCTGTGATCTGCCACCGAGGGCAAACGAAACGCAGCCAGAGAGTGCGTTAGCTCCCAAGGCTCTTCAGAACCCGATACGGAGCACTGGCCCAGAGGGGGACAACGGCATCTTGGGCAAGCTACCAGCAATGGCCAAATGCACACACCTGCAGACGGGCATAGTCCACGACTGGGAAGAAGCCCAGCATCTTGGAATCGTCGTCGAGCACACCCATAAACTCGTCGCTCTTGGAGTACAGCGAGACCTTCATGGTGGAGGCAGGCACTCCTGTGATGGGCTCCAGCCGTTCCTGGAGCGCCGGGGAGGACAGCGTTAGGGCATGAACGCATGCAATCCTGTCGAGACCCTGGGCCTTCATATGTGCCCTTGGGGCCGACCTCCAGACATCCGATTCCACTTCGATGGCATTGCATCGCTCGATACAGTGTCGTCTCTGCCGACTCCCCCCCCCAAATGGCTGATCCAGCAGCCCAATGTGCCTCGAGCCGGCAGCATGTAGAGACCTTTAGGCTGGCGATGGTGATGGATTTGCTGAAGCGGCGCTCAGAAGTCGCTGCTTCCGACGAGATGAACAGGGTGACGACCGCGGGACCCAGGCCCGAGATCGACATGTTTCCGGCAAGATCGGTGCTGATGGTGGCCATGACGGCAGGTGTGCTGAGGCAGGTGTGCTGAGGCAGGTGGGATTGGAGCAGACTTGATCGGCGGCGGCTGGGATGATCAAGACAACGGGGCGGGGAGCGAGGAGCAAGCCGGGCGGCGCTGATCTGGGGCTGCGGCGACGGCCCATGAGCCCGCCAACCCAATCGACGGCCGCCTCCTTCCCATCCAGGCCGCCGCCTCCTTCCCATCCAGGCCGCATCCAGCATCTATGTCGCATCCAGCATCTATGTCGCAGCAGCCTCTGGCATCCTGAGCCGCATTGCCAAGAACGAGTCTTTGCTCTCGGTCGGCAGATTCGGGGGCGAAGCACCACAGCCCAAAGCCAGCACCCCTCGCCTCCTCGCGTTCGTTCGCTCCTTCGCTCGCTCGTTTGCTAGCTTGCTCCATCGCATCAGCATCGACGACATCTGCCACCAGCAGCACTCTGGCATCGCCCATCTCGCCCCTGAACATTTTCCTCGGCTGCGTTCCGCATGTCAGCCAAACGCCCCCTTGAAGAACATCCTTCGGACAGCAGCTCGTCCTCTGACAAGATGGCCAGACTTGGCGATCCTGGTCCGCACTCAGACGCTGCGACCGATCGGCAGGACAGCGCCATATCGACCTCTACCGGCCGTATCTGTGCTGCCCTCGCCAGCCATGACATCCTCACGATCCTTGTCTGCAACGAATCCTTCCTGACAGCCCTCGATGCGACGACCCTGGTCAAGCTCCCGGAGCTGGCTCCTCAATACAAGGACATCCTCTCGCTTCTTTCCAAGGATGGATGGGTCCGCTTTATCTGCTCCAAAGCCGCCGCCGCGCCTGACTGCGGCATGCATGCCGTGCTCCAGAATCTCGGCGAATCTATTGATCCCATGGACGTCCTCCGAGGGATCGTCTACTTTCTCACTCGTGTGAAAGGATACCCCCGCAGCTTCGAGGCATACCAGAATGAACTGCCGCTGTGGTGGGCAGCAGCATCCTCGTCTTCGCTGTGCGATGTACTCGTTGACGGGCTCAGGCTCAAATGCCCCTACAACAAGGATCTTAGCGACGAACAGCTCTGCGGCAACAGCTCCGCCCACCCAGTGTGGCAGTTCCGGGCGCTTGACAGCTCCCGCATACTCTACTACCATGTCTCCACCCCGTGCTCAGGCGACTACGATTGCGAGGGAGGTTGCGATGTGCTATGCGTCGCCCGATTCGCTCATCATCCATTCCATACTGCCGAGCAGGTATCCAACCTCCTTCCGCACGAGAAGTACGCCCTCTACACGCGGCCGCTGGGCTATCTTTCTCTCTTCAACTGCTCATTTATGACGATATCCGGCTGGCCTGATTGGCTCGACCATGTGTCGCATCTCTCCTTCGACTGCGACTCGAATTTCTTCGACACAATCACAAGCCTGGATGGGTTCCCGTTGATGTCGCAGCTAGAAAACCTGACTGTGTCAAGGAACGTCCCCACCCTCAAAGGCCTCCCAAGCGAGCTGAACTCGTTGAGCGAGCTGGATTTGTCCCAGTGCCGGAGCCTTGCCAATCTCGAAGGACTTGGCAGCGTCCGCGACCTCACCAAGCTGACGCTACCCGAATCCATCCTCACTCTGGAAGGGCTGCCTCCATATCTGTCGAACCTTTCCCAGTTGGATTTGACCCGCTGCGAAAATCTGGTTCACCTCAAGGGATTTACAGAACCGCGCTACTTGCAGGTCCTGCAGCTTCCCAAGGGCCTTCGCAGCCTCGAGGGAATGCCACCGTGCATCAAACCCCTGCAAGACCTCGACCTCTCTGCATGCGTTGCCCTCCGTACTTTGGATGGTCTGTCGCAGCTGCCGTATATCCGAAAACTGCTCCTCCCTCCACTCCTCGAAAGCCTTGATATCGTCTACCGGTACATTGATCGCTTATCGACGCTGGATATGCGCCCTTGCAAACTGATTACGTCGCTCGGGCAGTGTCCGTCCATGAAGAGCATGTACACGTTGCACCTCCCTCCCTCTATCGAGTCCCTGGAGGGGCTGCCCACCCAACTCGGGTCCCTCAGCAACCTCGATATGTGGACATGCGACCGCTTGAACTCTCTCAAGGGACTGCCACCAACTCCGAGGCTGTCGCGTCTCAAGCTGCCCCGGCCAAACGGCACTGCAAGAAGTCTATCGGACTGGATTGCCTGGCTGCGAGAGTCGCCTCAGTGGCAACATCATGTCGACCCGGATGGTCACTTGGTTTCGGTCCTACCAAAGGTGAATGAGTTGTGGACACCGCTCTCCTTGGGGGCAATCGAAGCTCTCTCGGAAACCTTCCTGTCGGTCCGGCGTCTCCACTTGGCCCTGGATGAGTCTACAAGCCGCCTGGCGCTTCTGCCGCCGATGCCTTTGGCGAGCTGTGTTTTTCTCCATGGTCCAATGCGCAATCTCATGCAGCTGGCAAGGGGCGCCAGGGCCCTCAACATGATCGAACTTCGCTGCTGGTATCGTGGAACATTCGTCGGTTTCGAGCACGAGCTGCTCCAGCTGCCGTGGCCCATTCTCTATCTCTGCAAAGAACTGATGAACAACGGTCGAGTTCCGGTCGTTGCGGTCGCCTCCATGGCCGATCCGGGCCAGAGCAGCCAGCTCGATGAGCCGCAGCAATTCCCAGCCGACGATCAAATCCTGGACCTTGCTGATGACACAGAACCGATCAACATCCTCATGCCCCCAAACATTGATTCGCTTGAGGGCATGCCTCCCATGATCGACTTCATCCGGTGCTTGAACCTTCAAAACGCTCAAGTCAAGTCGCTCCAAGGCATGCCAGCCATGGAATCGCTTGAGACGCTACAGCTTGAAGTGGGCGCCACGGATTTGCAAGGAATGCCTCCAGTGCTGCCGTCTCTCACGACATTCAACATACGCAACTGTGAGCAACTGACCGCACTCAGAGGGATGTCTGCGATGCGCAAGCTGACTCGGCTGTCGCTGCCCAAGTCGATCTCCACCTTGGACGGAATACCCAGGGACATGGAGAGCCTCGAGGAGATCGATATGAGCGTCTGTGGCAAGTTGAAGACACTCGAGGGCCTCCCAATCCTACCCCGGCTCAAGAAGCTGGTCTTGCCGTCCAGCCTCAAAATTCTGGGCATTCCAGATGCCCACATCCGCTCCATCACCGAGCTGGATGCGTCCAGATGTCCGAAGCTTGAGGTTCCCACCTTGGCCCATGAGGATGTCCCCAATCCTGCCATCGACAATGCCGTTACTGTTTGATGAGCACCGGGACTTGGCTCGACAGTTAAAATGCGATTCTCGCAGCCATGGCTACCACCGCCCATCGACGCAACCGCCACTTTCCTCCCTCATAAGAGTGAGGTCAAGACTACTGTTGTAAAGCACTTTGTATATGTAGGCGTCGTGGTCTCACAAGAGAAAGCAAAGGAAAGAGAAAATAGAGAAAAACCATGCAGTAGTATGTATGACCCAGAGACTCGAGAGATGCAAAAGCACACAGGGCAATCTTCACAGGAGGGCGAAGGCGGGTGTGTGGGGGGGGGGAGAGAAGGAATCAACCTCGTGCACCCACCCTCGAGACCAGAATAGCGGCGGAACAGGGCGTTTGCGTCCCTGGAGCCAAACTCGGGCTAGAATTCAGTGAACATGAAAGAAGAAAAGTTGGAGTGGATGTGTGTTTTTCTTTTGAGGGGGGGGGAGAAAGCTAGTTTCTTGGGGACGAGATGAAGATGGGTTGAAATGGGTGGGCGAAGGGATAGGAGCGACATGAACACGGCAGCGTGACTGGGCTGTGGGTCGCAGAAAGAGAGCAGCGGGGCCCCCGGCTTGCATCTTGGAATACAATGCGCGTCGGCCTTCATATTATACATCGGAAGGAGGATCCTCGGACCGCTCTAGCTTTTCTTCTTCCATAATAATGTCGGGATCTGAAGGCCAAATCATCCGCTTCATGCTGTGAGGCGAGGGAAGAGGGAAAGACAACGTATCACCACCACCGGTGTCAGCAAAGCGGCAACAGTAACCGAGCGGTTGCCGTGGCTTGCAAGCATCCATACAGCCGGACGACCCGACAGGAGAGCAAACCTGGATGCCACCCGAAGCACGGCCGATACCCCTTTTGATGCGCCACTCGCACTGATACTTACTAGATGCAGATCAAATCCGGAAGAACACAGCACACGGGCATGAGCAGACATGTGAGCCAGTAGGCCGGCAGGACGTGCTGGATCTCAGAGGTGCCGTACTCGACCATGTTGAAGACAAAGTCGATAATAAACATCACCGCCACGTTGCTGAGGAGCGAGAACGCAATCGTAGACAGGGTCAACCACGTCCATCGTTTCGTCTGTAGCGAATGCTTCAGAAGCACCGTCAGCAGTACGGGTGTTCCAAAGAGGTAGCATTGGATCCAGTAGCCGGTGCTGTGCCCATTCGGCGCCAGCGTGCCGTCGTAGTTGATCATGTAGACTGAGCCAAAGATAGCTGGAGCCAAGATCCGGAGCAAAAGAGCGTCAGGACGTTACATGCAACAGCCAGACCGACAGCCAGACCGACAGCCAGACCGACGGCCAGACCAACTCATCGCCGCTGGTGAGGCAGCGCAGCAGTGCCGCCCCAGATCCAAGCCTGGAAGAAAAGCTTACCAAAGGCGTGCCAGGCCATACTGGTGCCGACTGTGGCGAACCACGTCCAGTTCCAGTACAAGCCCGCTCTGAGCTGCGTATACAGCTCGGGGTACTTGAGGATGCCCTTTTCGGAGACATCCTTTTCGTAGAGCGACAGGACCAGCGGCGGGAAGAACGTGAAGACAATGTTGAAGAGGGTGAAGAATACCTCCTCATACGCCGTCTGGTTCAGCAGCAGTAGTAGCGTTGGCCAGATATGGGGCACAGACGTCGGAGCAGCGACGGAGAGCAAAAGTATGTGTGAGGTTCATATACACGGTCGGCAACGGGAGCGATTGACTATGCCATGGATGAATGCGGCGCGGCGCGGCACGGGGGCAGATGCATAGACAGAGCGACCTTTCGCTGGAGCGATGGCCAAGAACAGTTGCCGATTCGACACAGATTCCACATAGATGCCACACAGATTCGACACAGGTTCCACACGGATGCGCGAATGACTGTTCGACAACTCACCATCGCCGACCAGCTGCTTTCAAAGCCGTACCACCACTGCACCGTGATGAAGGCCAGGTTCTTGTAGAAGCTGTAAAAGATCAGGGCCGCGAAGCGCATATACGAATATCGGCCATGAACCGCCATCAATCGCTTCAGGAACCGGAACTCGCCAATGGCATAGTCGGCCGCTCGTACGGCCTGGGTTCCTTCTCGACCCATGATGCCGACACCAACGTTGGCGCACTGGATCATCGAGACGTCGTTCGCGCCGTCGCCGATCGAGAGCGTGACCTTCTTGAGCTGAGACCGAACCAATTTGACCACAAGGGCCTTCTGAAGCGGCGTCACCCGACAGCAGATAACACTGTCGCACCGCACGCCAATGCTGAGGAAGAGACTCGGTAGGCTCGCGCCGCTGTTGAATATGTGTGTCAGGGATTCACCGCTCACGACCAAGCTAAACTTGTCGTTCTAGGAAAAACAAAGGAGCCGGTTAGCCCACATCGCAAGGATCTAGCTGGGTCTTGGCTACAAAGTATGGCATCGACACCATCGGCAGCGTCGTCGTGAAAGGCCACCCCTACCGGTGACTGGTTGATGGACTGCATCATTTCCTCCATCGCTGACTTGCATGTCTTCTCATTTGCTGCGTTGAGTTTCAGGATATGGGCATCACGATCCAGCAGCGAGCTGGAGTGGCCAATGTTGATTGCTGTCTCCTGTTTGTCGCCGGTCAACAGCCAAATCTTGATGCCAGCCTTCATTCGGATTTCCAGTCGGAGGAAGAGAGGAGCGGACAATGAAAGCAAACAGTTAGACATTCGAGGCGCGGTCTATATCCGTTGGCGAATGGTCCCCCGGTTCGGGCCGGATGGCCAAAGCCTTCAAACCAAGCTCAATCGCGCAGCATTATCAAAGGTCGAGAGGGGAGGAGAAAGGCCACGGGTATTACCTTCAGCAAGTACGCGATGGTCTCGGGAACTTCGTCCTGGAGCTTGTCCTCAATGGCGGTACATCCCAAGAACTGCATGTCGGTCTCGATGCTCTCGCACACGGCTGCGATTTTCTGCTCGCGGGCCGTCAGCGACTGCTCGGCCTCATCGTATTTGATCTTGAAGGTGGCGTACTCCTGCTCAGATAGCTCCTTCCATGCGACCATGAGTGTCCGCAGTCCAGACTCGGAAAAGAGCTGGAGTGCCCGCTCGGCCTGTGCGATCCGCGCCGGCGGGTTGACCGATTGATCCGGCGACAGACGCGCGAGGATGATGTTGTCTGCGCCTTTGGTATATAGCCGGATGGCTCCGTCGGGCATGCGGGTGATGATGGACATGCGCTTGCGGTCGCTCGAGAACTCGAGGATCTGCAGAATCGGATACTCTTCCCGGACACCACAAAAGGTGATGCTGGTGTCGGACTTTGACCGCTTTGTCATGATGACTTCGTTTTGGTTGATGGCCTGCAGCAAGGCAGTTTCGTCTGGAGACTGCGATTCGTACATCAGCTCGCCAGTGAATTCGTTGACAGACGGGATGGCAGTGTGGCATAGAACCATTGTGTGGCAGAACTTGATCAGGGTGTCTTTGTGTGCGGGTGAGATGCTGGGGTCCTGTGAAAGTGTGCACAGTTGACCAGGCCAAGCACAGGTGTGGTCGAGTGGGTGAATGAGGCGATCGGAGAGCGCCAACCGCCGCCGTCGGCATTGGGAGAGTCGACAGTCCAGCGTGTTCGGGTGGGAGTAGTTCCAGTCGAGAGACCGGGTGGGTTTGTTGGGGTCAGCGCATGCATAAAACCGACCATGCCGTTGAATGGGTGGCAAGTGTCGCGACGAGCCCATTGGACAGTCAGATCGCCACGATTGACGCGGCGATCAGGTCCGGGTCAAGTTCAGAAAGGCAAATGTGACCCACATAACCAAGAGGAAAGTTGGTGTTCACAGTCAGTTTGCGGCTATCGAGTCTATATCACAAGATGGCGTGCACTCGACAGGTCGCTATAGCGGATACGGCTCTAACTTCCAGTGTCGACACTATCCCATCAGCGTCGACCTTATACCGTCATCGCCAACGGACCGCTTACCCTCAGAGCGCGCCCAAGCTGGCCTGGTGACTCCATCTCATCGTACACCGAGCCGTTAACAAGCCATTTGGAGAGCTTCATGCGGTTCTGTGTCAATGTCCCGGTCTTGTCCGAGAATATGTACTCGATAGCGCCCAGATCCTCATTCAAGTTGGAGTTGTTGACTTTCATGCTGCACTTTTCGGTCGTGCCGTCAATCTTCTCTTTGTCGTACTTCATGTTGTCGTCCCACATGATGAACTGTGCCTGGGCAAGCCGAGCCAGCTCGATCGTGACAAAGAGGGATATCGGAATGACGTAGGTGTATATCGAGAAGAAGCCAACGGTGACTCCGAAAACGTGAGTGCTGATGGATGTCTCCACAGGGCCGAGATACCACTCAATGGCATAGTCGTTGGGCTGGGTCTGCATGAACGCCGTCTCTTCTTGGAGGATGGAGATGTAGCCGGAATACTCGAGCATCACACTAGAGACAAGCAGCACTGCATTGTAGGCGAACGCAACGAGCACCAGATAGTTTAGCTTGCGCTCCATAGTGGAGGTCTTGCCACCGGTCTGCTTCAGGTTCTTCATGATCTTGGTGTCGTTTCCCGTATAGACAACGACAGCGTAGACCCAGTCGGTGTTGCGGATAACAGCACCGCGCAGCACCGCATTGGCAGCAGATAGCGAAGTCACAGAGGGCGTTTGGGTTTCTGCATCAGGAAGGATGATCCGGCCCTCGAATGTTGTGAGATGCTCGTTGGGGTGCTCGCATTCTATCCGTCCCCTGAAACTAACAAAAGACTGTTTCGGGGACCGAGAAACAGTGCGAATTAGCCGCTGCTGCGTGTGCAGGATGGCCGCTGTGGCAAGCAGGGACAGACAAGACGAGCTCCCCGCGAACGCAGTCTCACCAACCGCAGACAGACGGGTGCGAGCAACGAAGCAAATGGTCACCTGAGGGGTATTCCAGTGATTCAGTTTGGTCGGAGCGGATTTTCGCTTCAGATTTGTCTCACTGTGGACGGCAGCGGCGAGTGCAACAAAAGCGGAGCGGGGGTGTTAGGTGAGTAGGGTCCGGCAAGGTCCGGCAGGGTCCCGAAGGATCCGGCAAGGTCCGAGATCAAGTCCGAGAGCGCGCATTGCCCTGGGCGGAAGCGCTGCGAAGCGGGCCGCGTTGGAGTGTGCAGGTCGATGGTCACAGGCCAGGGATTCTTGCGGGGTCGCTTACCCGTCGAGCTCGGCCGTCTCGATGAAGCAGGTTCCGTCCTCGAAGCTCGTGCTGACGAGGATGCAGTCAACAGGAACCTTGGAGCCTTTCTCCATGAATATAACGTCGCCGCGCTGAACATTCATGCTTGATATGCTCAGCTTTTGTCCATCTCGGATGACGAAGACTTGCTGGTTGTTGGCCTCCTTATCGGCCTTGTATCTCGACTGTTGCGGCGGGCCGCCAAGCGACGCGGAAGCGAGGGAACCGCAAGATCAGAAGAGGGGGATATGGGCAACAGGCGGCGCCGCGATATGATCAGCAACGGATCCACAACAGATCCGCAGCATCGGGATTGTGGTGGGCATGTGACGCTTACATAGTCTTCGATGGCCTCCTTGGCAGCGGTAAAGCCCAGCACAAAGATGAGCGGCGAGATTTGCGTGATCGGCGACAGACTCGATACTTTGGAGATGACCGAGAGTGCACCGAGCAGAAAGTAGATGTTGTAGAATCGATGAAACTGCAAAGAGCCAAGTCCGACGTTGGCGTTGGCGATCGGCATCGGCATCGGCAATCGGCGCGGCAGAAGGGATCAAGAGCGCATTAGACACTGGCGACAGGGCATCCAAAGCCATTCATCACGAGCTCGAGCTCGAGCCAGAGTTGAGAGATGCGCCATCGATTTGAAACGCGAGGCGGATATATGGTGCACAGATGGTACAAGCACACTCTCGACTGGGTCAGGGAGGTGAACTGGCAATCTAATCGAAGCGCTTGAGAAGATGCAGGAAAAGAGCCGGCAACGAGGGATGGAGCGCCAATGCTAGAATGGCGGTGGATGCATGCAACCCCAGCAACACCCAGCAACCTCCAGCAACACCCAGCAACCTCCAACCAAGACGGCAGCGATCGGTATACCTGGTAGTAGAGCGTGAGCGGCAGGAACGACAGCAGGGTGTATTTGGTTGTGCGGATGTAGTTGGAGGCCTTTGACCACGAGCCAGGCACCGAGGGCAGCTGGACCACATACGGATTGTCGTCGAGCGTGCTATTTGCTATTTCGTGTACCGACGGGCTGCCTGGCAGGAACAGCTTCGACATGAGCGACCGCCGCGGGGTGGTGGTTCCGGGAGTTATTACGCCGTCGGCCGTCGAAACGCGCCTCGAAACATGGGTGATGGAGGGAGACCGATGTCTGCTTTGGCTGTCGACGACGACGCCGTCCTTTTCCGCCTCCATGGTCTGGATGTCTATCTGCAGGTCGGGAAAGGGCGTGTGCGGAAGGACGGGGCTGGCAGGGAACTGGTCCAGAGGAAAGGTGGTGGGTGTTGAGGGAGGAATGGCTGGGGAAGTAGCAGAGAGGGAAAGCGGAGGGCGATTGGGAGGCCGAGGACGTGCTCCAGGAAGAAATCAAGGCCGGCGAGGGGACGGAAGCGTGGGGATAAAAACGTGCAAGCGACCAGGGCGAGCGTGCAGGCAGCCAGACGAGCGAGCGAGCGAGCAAGCAAGCAAGCGGGCGCCGGCGGTGCTGGCTTTTGCAAGGGAACGTTGAGACAGCCGGAGGATTCGCGAGCCGAGCAAGAGTCCGGCGACGACCCGCGGGGACGATTTCGTGTTATTTGAGCGAGCGTGCAAAGGATCAGCAGCGGCCCAGGCGCCTTGGCGGCTCGGGGATGCGCGAACGGGGGTCGGTGCCTTCCACGCCAAGAGAGTGGCCAAGAGAGCGACCAAGAGAGTGACTGCGAGCCGGCGAAAGGGATCTTGGCGGTCCCGAAAGCAGCAACACGATGGGGAGGAGGAGCAGCAGGTCCAATGGGAGGCCTGTCCCGAGGCAGTCGACAAAGGGTCCTGGCCACGCCCGAGTCGAGTAAAGTCGCCCTTATTGAACCGCGACACTCCAACGGGCAGCTGGACTGTGTGGCTTGTGTGGCTTGTGTGCCCTGGGCGATGTTGATCGGCCGCCTGGCTGGACGACGTCGGCGGCGCTCGCACTGTTGTGATGGACTGGCCGGTGAGATCTTGTTGGGACAGACGTCCAGGGAAACGATATGACCAGCTTGGCTGCTCTTGGCCGGGTGCTCAGTATGATCTGATACAACATTGGTATGGTATGGCATGATATTCAGCACGGTGTATTGCAGAAACCAACGACCAGAAGCACGAGCCGAACAGCGCCCATGTCTGTTCTGTGTCTGTGTCTGTGGCGTGTGTGCTTGAGTTGAGCAGAGTTGAGGGGATTACAAACTGAGTTGAGCATTACAAACTGAGCTGAGCATTACGAACTGAACGGCGGCTGTGTCTTGGCTGATCCCAGTGCAGCGAGCTCGATCAGACCCGGTGCCGCCAAGACCCTCCGACGGCGCTGGATAGGTCCATATGTATGGCCTGGCTGGCTGGCCTTGGATCGGGATTGCAGAGCTGCGTCTGCGTTGTCGAGCTGCGTCTGCGTTGTCGAGCTGCGTCTGCGCTGTCGAGCCCAACCAGCCGGGAGATTTCCAGACACGCTGCCGCTGGCTCAATCGGCGAGATCGTGCTGCTGAATCGCGCTGCCGAATCGGGCACCCGAAGCCACGGGGCCTGCCACCCTTGAGTTGGCTGCGCGTCAAACAGCGCCACGCAGTCAGTGTCTGCGCAGCACCCAGAACCCGTTCTGTGCCAGCTTGCACAAGACCGCGTCGTGGCGCGCCCTGTCCTTGCCATTGTTCTCCAGCTCCCCGAAGGTTCTTCCTGGCCCGCAGGCCCCGTGCGCCTTGTCGCTCTCTTCGGACGAGCACAGCCACCGGCCTGTTTTCCCGGCTCTGGTGTCCTGCCCTGGCAAGGGTCGGCAATCGGGGGTGATTCCCACGCTACTTCCTCGTCCTCGGTGTCGAGCAAGCCGCTCGATGACGATCTGCTCGGACTACTGGAATGTACCCCCAGACCAGCGCTGCCTAGATTGGTGGCCTCTCTCTCTCTTTCTCTCTGCCCAGCCCGGCACTTGAGCGTGCGCAACCCTGGCGAACATCCACAACTTTTCCCGATCTGTCGTGTCCTGAATCTGCCCCATCACTCGGCTGCGGCCATGCGCGAGAAGAAAGCCAAAGCCCCTGCGGTGGCTCCGTCAAAGCCCACCCCGGCCGTCACCAAGCCGGCCCCCGCGGCTGCAAAGAAACCGGTCGCTGAAAAGAAGGATGCTGCAAAGAAGCCAAAGGGCAAACCCGGATCAAAAAAGGATACTACTGCTGCTGCCAGTCCTGCTCCAAATGCCTTGCCCTCGGTCGCCGCCCTTCAGGAGACCGAGGCCAAGAGGAAGGACGCCGCTCGCAAGATCCTCACGTTCATGCAGCGGGTACATGCACGTAAGCTGGAGCAGAAGCGGGTCGAGTACGAGAAACAAGTCAGGGAAATGGAAAAGAAGGCCTATGCCGAACAGGTGGCCTTTGAGCGCCGGATGCTGGAAAAGGAACGCCAGCGCGAGGAAGAGCTGGTCCGCGCCCGCAAAGAAAAGATTAAACGTGAGCATGATCTGATGGAAGGCGCCTTTGACGGCCAAACCGACCTGCTCAAGAAGCTGCTTGAGGAAGGAAAGATCTTTTATGACTTTTGCGACAAGAGCGGAAATACCCCCATCAGCGAGGCCGCTGCAGGCGGGCAATGCGACTGCATCAGGCTTCTCTATGACTATGGCGCCGACATCAACCGCCAGTGCCAGTTCAAGCGGACACCGCTGTATCGCGCCATCTTTGGTGGGCACATCGACGCCGTCAGGCTTATCCTTGACCTCGGCGGCGACCCCCGAATTCCAGACGAAGAGGGCCAAGCGTGTCTCAAGATGCCGTGTCTTCCCGAGATCGGCAAGATTGTCCAGGAATGGGACCTTTCCAAGACCGATGCCCTTCTTCAAAAACTCGAAGGTGTCAAGCAGCTCAAGCAGAAAGAATTGATCGAGAAGCGCGCAACTCAAATGTCCCAATTGAACCAGGCGCTGGAGGACGCTCAAAAGGCACATGCCATGGCCCAACAAGAGCTGTCCTATGTATACTGCCAGCTCAATATCCGCATCAACGAGCACGATCTGCTCATGAGCGAAGGCAAGGATCTCTCCATCATCAAAACCGCCATCCACGAATACGAAGACAAGCTTGACCATGCCCGGGCTGCTGCCAAAAAGGCCGGAGATGCCCTTAGTGCATGCAAAGAAAAGATCGAGCTGCAGCAACAAACCGATGCCGAGCAGACCGGAGCCCCGCCGGGCCAAGCTGCCCCCGAAAAGGGTATCAAATGCAACATCAAGCAGCTCGAAGGGTTGCTGCTGAAGCCCGATCCGAGAGGCGAGGTCCTGAAGAGCAACGGACAATGGCCCCTGGTCGTTGATCCCTCGGGACGGTCCGCCGTATTTCTTAGATATGCAGACAGGTCGGTGTGGGCCCTCGCCTCTGTCGGACTCACTCGGCATCCTGAAGAGGATGTGTGCCCAAGAGCTAACGAGGACGGCGCGACGTTCTCAGCAATATCTTGCAGGTATTGAATCCACAGCACATGGATGCCGAAAAGATCCGGTAAGCACCGATTCTACGGGCGATATTATCGACATCGAATGCGAGTGTCTGGCGTCACCCAGCACCATAACGCTGCATCCGATAGTTCATAGCATTGTGCAGCACGGGATGGTGTTTGCTTGTGCCCAATGGCGTCGGATAATATCGTGCGAATGAGGATGGCTCACCCAAACCCATCACCACTGGCCAAACGCGGCACCCCATCGATGCTGATTCTGGGTGCGAACGTCCTGGGTCCCACGAAACCTTGCCAGCATCGCAGTCATTGGATCCATTCGATACGGCAAGCCTCTGGTGATCGACATTTGCGAGGTAGTGTTATCGGCTCGACAGACCTTTCGCATCGGAAAAGTTGCTCCGATCTCATGCTGGTCTCTGGTTCTCGACTGACTTTTGGCGCGGGTGTGCCCCAAGGTCGATGTCTCCAAGTCCATCCCAGAGTACTTCAACCGGGTTGAGAAGGATCTGTACGCCTCCATTGTGTCCCGCAGCATCCTGCAGAACGAAAAGTACCTCAGTTTGTGTCGCAAGGGAGACGGGGTGAGTCGTCGAAAATGGTCTGACACTCTCCTTTCCATCCAATCAAGTAGTCCTGCTGCCTGGTTGTCTGTCGCTTTATCTTGGTTGTGTGTTTCCCATCCATTATCCCGCTTGGTTGTGCGCTTCCCATCCAGTATCCCCTTGGGTTATTCGATCCGCTTCCGTTCCCCCAACGATATCTCGAAGACTACCTCCCTCTGCATTTCGTTGCCATGGAAGTTCTCGGATCAGTGTCAGTGCTGCGGGGGCTGATAATGGGGGCTCGTCCCCTGAATTGAATCCACTAATGCCATCGTCTCTGCCTGATGCACCAGGATCAGTACAAGCGCGAGTGCTTCCATCAGCGATACGTCGAGAACTTCAAGTTCATCATCCTGACCACCAACCGGTTCCCCTCGGAGGTATGTTGTGGGACTTTTGGCGAGCGGTCGAGCAGACATCATATCCACGAACTCTGAGGTTCTGGAGACTCTTCTGTGGACATACGATCCGCACCACCGCTGATCCCTAGTGCTGAACTGCAATGCTAGGACCTCGTCCAGGCCTTTTTCCCGGTTCGGGTGGTGTGTTGAGTGTCTGTCGTCGGGCTGGGCAGACCACGCTGATGTCGCAACCTGGAAATCCGTCGTTGATTCACCGGCTGTGCCGATCCATTCGGCGGAGTGGGATATCTACAGCCGATTCAGAAGAATGCGTGTACCGACATCAAGATACTCGGCCTTCTCGAATCACTTGGCTTCCCGGCACTGTGAGCACACCTGGAGATCGAGTCGCTTGAATCGCTGTCGCCTGGGTGGTGCCATTCGCTTGCAGGGAGCCATCTGTGCGAGAAAGCGTCCTTGATTTACATGCAGAACTCCGTCACTGAATAGTCATACCCGGCGCGATAACGTATTTGTCCAACGACCAAAACCTGCTTTTTATTGGATTGGCTGTAGCGATCCGCCACTCTGCTGCAATCAGCAGCTCCATTTCCTCCTTCTGGGCTGAGTGGCTCGCTCCCTCAATCAAACCAGCATCGCTTCTCCCAACCATTCCCCAATTCCGATGTTGCTGCGTTCGAGGGCAGTCCCGGCCCAGCTCGCCCTGCGAGTCCTTGCGCATCGCCTGCTCTCCACATCGACGTCGTCCGGCTCCCTCCAATGGAACTTACCGCCCACAGTCGGTCGCAGATTGCGGACGCACGGCTATGCCGTTGTCGACGACGCCCTCCCCAGCCAGGATTTGCTGACGTTTCGAGATGAACTCGTCAACGCCGCCATCGACAACACTGCTCTACTGACGGCCAACTCGACCATCCTGGTGAAGAAGGACGGATCCTCGACCCTGATCCCCAAGCACGGCATCGGCGAGTTCGATCTGTCCAATGCTGCCGTTGCCCACAAGCTGCCGCAACTGGCCCGGTTCTCGGACTCGGGCGATCTGATCCGGGTGCTGCAGCCCCTGCTGTTCCCCGACAACGAGCGACGCCTGGCACGGCAGACCGTCAAGGCCCAGATCAACTTTGGACGAGGAGCATGCTTTCCGCTCCATTTCGACACCGACGCCTCGATCGACCATCGCGCCGTGACGGCAATCATGTACCTCAACGAGGACTACCAGAGCCCCGACGGTGGCTCGATCCGAGTGTATCCCTTTCCTGGTGCAGTTGTCGATATCGAGCCAAGGCTGGGCCGGCTTGTGTTGTTCTCGTCGGCATGGTGCCTGCATCGGGTGCTCCCGTCGACAGCCAACTCCAGGCTGTGCTTCACCACCTGGATCACCACAGACGAGCCCAGCCCATATCCAAAAGATCCCCCGTCCGAGCCCACCGATCCCGATGGCGACGAAGCGTGGGAGTATCTCATGTATCCGACACACCGCAATCACATCCTCAAGCTCGTCTACGCCGATGAATGGGCTCGGTCCATTGTCGAAAGCCATCCGGCCGGGCACCTGCACGATCTGCTGCTCGAGCAACACTTTCGAGATGCCGAGATCATCGCCAGGGCGTATGGACGGTATTTGCCGCTACTGGACCGATATCTCGCCAGTGGATCGCTCGCTCCACGGGTTTATGGATCCGAGCCCCGGGATGAGGCCGATGTCGATCCCGAGCGCAAGGTGGCGTGGTTCTGAAGCGCCGATGCTGACCGGATGCGATCGAGTGCGTGCAATAGATTGATCCCATTCCCAAGCACGCTGCTCGAGCCGACCCCAATTGCGCTTTGCAAAGAACTTGGCCGTCGTCGCTGCTGGCATGGTCATCTGCATGGACAGGCGCCCTCGACCAGCCCTCAGGACCCGGCCCAGTGTCGCCACGCCCCCGTGGTCATGCGGATCGCTTGTCTGCCTGCCCGGCCTGTCCAGGCCCTTGGCGGCGCTCTATTTCTTGGCCAGAGGCCATCCGGCTTCTCTCCCATCCATCTTGCCTGCTGTCCATCGCACCCATCGCATCGCATCCCACCCTCCGTAATTGCCTATCCAATGTCCCGAATCACTCTCACCGAAGGTGTCGTCGGCGGCTTCGTCGCCCCCACCCCGCGCCGGCTCGTCATCATCGACCTCGATGAAAGCGGCGGCGTCCAGATCCAACATCACATCAAGACCGGCGGCAGCGGGCCCAATGCCGAATACAAGGTCCTCCAAAGCCCTCCCGAGATCTCGGTGTAAGTCCGAACTATCGTCACCGTCTTCACCACCGTCGTCACCACCGTCGTGGTCCCGCTCTCGCACTCGCTTGATGCCTTGCTTGAATGGTCTCCAGACACATTCGGCTTGCTCGTCCGTCTGTACTGATTGCTGCCTTGCCTCTTCCACTTCCAGCCTGGAGGTGACTAGCCTCACCAACAGCATTGTCCAGAACTTCAGAGCTCTCCCTCGCGAAGAGCCCGTCGGCGGCGAAGATATTTACCATTTGTACGTGTTGATTGCTGTGGTGCTTCTGGGTGCTGAGTGCAGTGGATACTTGCTCGATGCTGTACCGATCCTCATCTCTGGCGTATATGCCAACAGGGATACCCAAATTGCGATCGAAACCCCTGACTTTTCGTGGTGCAATGGTAAGCAGCAATCCGATAGCACAATGACCGGGCCTCGGCTGCGTGCAGATGGCAGTCCAGTCGCTGTGGATCTGTTGTTTGAGCAACACCTGCAGCCGCTCACATCGGCCTTTGCCAGTTGCTGACCCGTTCACTCAATGCCACCCATGCTCCGTCCTCCGTCTATCTGTCCAAACTCTAGTGGCCAACCAGGGCTGCAACATCGTTCCCTCCAGCGTCAAGCCCACGGACTCTCAGAAGCAGCAATTCAAGGCTGCGGCTGCCAGTCTCATCAGCCTGGCCGAAAAGTACGCCACTGTCACTGCCGATATCTGAGCCGCCGATATGCCTGCTTTCCTGAAACGATCGATAGTCCGCAATCGCTCCGAAGGTCCGAATCCAAAACAAAAAAAAAGAAAAAAGTTGTGTTCGATGGGCTCCAGCTGCGTGGGTGGATTGTACTGGAAGAAAGTTGATTATTAAAGTCAATCCAGAAAAAAAAAGAGGGACTCCTTGGTTTTTGGTCATTGACCGAACAATTTGCAGCCAAATACCATCGCACCCTGGAAATGACTATTCTGTGATGCGGCGATACGTCCTCATCCAGTGTGTCTAACAGCACCATTCACCGCTGACACTCCGAGACCAGTGTGCATGTCGACTGTGGATACCGGAGAGCGACCGGCGGTCTTCACTCAGAGGCTGCCAGGTGATTTGATTTATTCTTATGGCTTCGCTTGACGCAAGCCATCACATACTACATGTTCATGGAATGGGTAGCGTCCCGTTTCTTTTGAAAAAGCAAGTCGCTGCTTGCCCAGGGGATTCAACAGCACACGCAGTCGAATACGATATGTCAACCGGCGCCGCGTAGTGCCATTGTGTGTCCCATGTATCTGGGCTGCGAGCCGGACGAGGGAGGAGGAGGAGGGCTGCTGGATCGACGGCTCATCGCCGGTCTGGTCTGGTCTGGTCTGGTCTGGTCTGGTCGAGTTCAGAGCGTCCGACCGCGACCACAGGCGCTATGTGGCTCCTGGCAAAGCCAAAAGGGAAAGCGTGCCCGCTCTCCAGCCTGGCCTGGCCCTGACCTCCGTCTCTGCGGCCCTCTGCTTGCCCGACCTCCTTTTCTTCCACAGGCCATACCATGGAGCCCTCGATCGCCCCACCTGAAGAGAGCATCTCGCAGTGGTAATAGCCGTCGTTACCACCTCCTGCTGTAAACAGCCTCGGCTCGTAAAGGCTCGATGAGCCGGCAGCATCGTTCCGATGGTCTTGCAGGATCATTGCCTTTGCTTCGGCAACCACCCTCCCTGCTCGTCGACGACACTTGCCTCCTCTGCTCCCGTCCGTTGGATCGCTGTTGCCTTGGAAACAATCAGGCCCCTGCCATCAGCCGGCGGTCTGGATGGGCCTATGGTTCGTGGCTCGCGCTTGCCCACTTTGGATAACTGACCGTGGACACTCTGCCGCCGGCCTTCAATCTCCCTCCCCTATCGTCGCCACAGCAAAATATGCCTGGGGACAATCAGCGAAGCCTACATGACAAAATGCGGACACAGCTTCTGGTTAGTCGGGGGGTGCGGCTTTAGTGACTCACCCAACCCCGCGATGTCGGTGAGGGATGGGCGATCGATGGGCGATCGACGAGCGACTTGATCCGTCGCCGGCAAGACGAAGATGAAGTCGGGGCGATCGGTATCGCTCAGGTCGGATGCGTCCCGACTCCCCCGCCTCCGGGCAATCGAGCCATCGAGTCATCGAGTCATCGAGTCATTCGGCTCCTCCGGCTCGGTAGTTGTTGCCTTTGGTGCTTTTTCTTGTGTGGCTGCTCTGGGCCTTCCCTGGCGATACCAATGTCCAGCTCGATTGCTCTCTGGCTGCCTTGCGTCCTCGGCTCGCCACTGGCTCGCCATCCGCTCGTCGGTCTGTCCGCATGGTCTCTGCCAGCGGCTCTCGTTCCCCCCCGTCCTCCGCGGAGCCCTTGATCATCCAGACTCATTTCGTCCCTGTCTCGACAACCTCAGTCATCGCTGCATCCGGTCGCAACTCGATTACCGTCTCGAATGTCCCATCTGCAAACAGCCGGTCGGCGTCGAAGAGATATATCCCAACTTTTCATGTAAGTCGGCGGCGAGGTGATGTTGCCGGCACTGCGCCAAGCCGGAGCCCCTCATCCATGCAGCAGCGCCTCGAGCCCACAGTGCCCGGCAGTCAGGATCGGCCTGTGTGCACTATGAATCGAATATCAGCTTCCTTACCAGATCTCCCGTGTCGGCCATGGCACCTGGGATCGTTTCTGATGCCGCATTCTCGCTCTGGCTGGGCTGGGTGTGCATGCCACCTCGCCCCATCCTGCCTGTACCGTGCCTTGCCTCCGTACGAAACGACTATCGCTGGATTGCATCGGGCCCACATCGATCCAGTAAACAAGCTCATCACGGAATCGCAAGCCCCATCAACGACCGCCTCTCCGTCAAAGTTGATTGATCCCTCGGCGCTTTCGCTACAGGGTATGTGCGTTATCGACGCTGTGGATGGGGCAGAGCCATGTAGTGGCAAAGGACAGCAACCCGGTGCCCCAACGAGCCAGCACCACACTCATCCCAATCTATGCGGCGTTCTACAGGAATCACCGACCTGATGACTAGCTTGGTCGACCGCCGGGCAAAGATCGTCCAGAACAGCAAAGAAGTCGCCCTGGCTCTTACTCGAGACTTTCTGAAGCGAACGATTGTTGTCAAAGAGCAGGTTAGAGCGGCTACCGCAGACTTGCAACCCCTGGCCATGGGCACAGCCTCGAAGTCTTGGCTCTGTGCAGTCGCCGGCATTGCGGATCTGTGCTGCGCTGGAAGGATCGATGGCTACTGACTGCGGCGGCGATCGTGGTGCGTCATACAGGAGCTCAAGAGGCTGCAGCAGCAAATTGGCTGTCTCACCGACGACCTGTCGTATGTCGAGTCCCAGTCAAGCGAGCTGAGCAAGCGCCTGCATGGTGCTGCGCCTACAACAGCAACGGCCCAGCCAGCAACTCCAGCGCGAGTCCCGACGAACGTCCCCGAGAGCGACGCTGCTGCGACATCGTCGTCGACACGGCCGTCCGACGCACATGAACGAACAAAGAAGCGTAAAATAGAGGAGACGGAGGAGCCGCCTTCCAAGGAAATCGACAAGCAAACCGCAGTCAGTCTGCCAGCAAGCATCGAGCGGATGGCAGAGAAGCAGGGCATGAAGGTGCAGTACCACTTTGAGGATCTGCAAGAATACTACTTTGGCCATCGGAACGAGCCCCCGCCAGGCTCCCAGCCGGCTGCGACCGACCTGACAACTCGAGTGGATCGGTTTGTGGACTCGTTTGCCAACACCCTCAACAGCTTCTCGCGAGTCTCTCGATTCCGGCTGTTGTATCTCCTGAACTACGCCGACTCGAGCATCACCACGACATCGATTGTGTCGTCGATCGAGTTTGATAAAGATGACGAATTCTTTGCGACGGCCGGGGTTACCAAGAAGCTCAAGATATACGACTATGAAGACGTCATCAAGACCTATACGTACCAGCGCCGGGACAACTTTATTACCCGACCGTACTCAGTTTCTGCTCCGTACCTTGATTTGGATGTGATGGATGGACTGCCGCGGCACCGAGAGGTGGCCATCCCGACCGAGCCAACGTACATCAGCCGACGGGATGACATTGAGTATATCCCAAAATACCCGATACGAGATATTGGCTGCAAGTCCAAGATCAGGTGAGGGCTCCCTGGGCAAGCAGGGGTGTGCATTGGACGTGGTTGGCTGTGGGGAAGGGTGGAGCCGCGACGACGTAGGCCCGCCCGCGCTGGCTCACACTTACCGTGCTGCTTGTTCGCTGGTCCGCTGGTCTGCTGGTCTGCTGGTCCGCCCTATGAAGCTGCCTTTCGTGGAACTCGTATTTCAAGTCGTCGCTAGCAGCATCCGACTATGATGGTGTCATTACCATCTGGGATACCGCCACAGGCCAGTCGGTCCACTCCCTTGACGAACACGAGAAGCGCGCTTGGACGGTCGACTTTAGCTCCATGGATCCGCTGCGGATCGCCAGTGGCGGAGACGACACTCGAGGTAAGTCTACAGTCTGCGGTCGAGTGTCGTGTCTGAGCGATATAAAGTTCCCCCCTGGATGCAGTTGAATCAGGCCTGCGAGATGTCGCGCAGGCAACTAATCGCGCTACTATCGAATCTTTCATGCCAGTGAAAATCTGGTCCATGAATGAGCGCTCCTCAGTCTTGACGCTCGAGGCCAAGGCCAATGTTTGCTCAGTCAAGTTCAACCCCGGAGCTTCACATGAAATCGCCTTTGGCTCAGCGGGTAGGGTTGCAACTGGGCTTGCACTGGTGCCGTCAGGAGAGTGCGTGCGTCGATACTGGGACAGACATGGCTCGATGGGTGTAGCAGTAGAGTGGAGCCTGTCAGCATCAGATTCGGCGATGGGACGACACATCTTGGTTGCCTCGTCCTGACGCTGTCGCCTGCATCGGTGCTGCCCGAAACGTCCTGTGCAGATCATCACGTCCACTACTATGATCTGCGCAAGTCCGATCGAGCCCTCCACATCTTCCGGGGGCATCGCAAGGCTGTGTCCTATGTCAAGTACTTGAACAAAAACGAATTGGTATCAGCCTCGACGGATTGCACGCTACGGATGTGGAATATTCGAGACTCTGTCAACTCGGGCGCATCCAAGTGCATCCGGACGTTCTCGGGCCATCTCAACGAAAAGAACTTTGTCGGTCTCAGTATCAACTCAACGGGCGAGTTTATCTCGTGTGGCAGCGAGGCAAACTGCGTCTACACCTACTTCCACTCGCTGCCGAAGCCTGTGATTGTGCACAAATTCGGAAACTCGATCGATTCTATATCCGTAAGTGACCCATCAACCCCGTGTTTGTGCACTCGATGAATGGACTGGACTGGAGTGGACTGGATTGGGCTGGAGTGGCTGCTCTGACGCACCAGTTGTTGAGCATCGATGTGGATATCCGTCCCGCAGCCGCCTTGCAGCATTGGCATCATGAGTTTTGGATAACTGCGATTCTGACCTGCCCGTTCTTCCTGGGCTCGATCGCTCCCTGGGCTTGTCCGATTGGGGGGTGATGGGATTCCGTTCCGCACCCAAACATGCTGGGCCAGCCACAGGGCGAGGAGGTGCCTGAGGAAGACCCCAACCAGTTTGTCAGCTCCGTCTGCTGGAAACGAAACTCGCCCGATATTCTGCTGTCGGCCAACTCTCGCGGAATCATCAAGGTCATGGAGATGACGTGAAACCACCACCCTGCTCCTCAACAGCCAAAAATCGTCGCCTTGACAACCCCACACATGCCATTTCACAATTCCCTTGCCCCACCCGCGGCCAGCTGTGTGTCCCCCTCCCCGTTGCTGAGTGCGCTCTGCTTCCACCATCATGTTCCTCCAGCCCATCGAAATACGATTTGTAACCAGGACGGCTGGTCAGTGCGGCCGGCTCGAGCCGGCTCGAGTGTCCATTTGCGTGTGTGTGTGTGCGGCTGCTCTCGCCCGCGTCTCGCCCTCGTCTCGCCCTCGTCCTGGAAACGATCAGTGCAGCAAGCGACCGACCGACGACGAAGGCAGCACCGACTTGCCTCTGCGCATCCATCTATCCAGCCAGCCTGCCTGCCTGCCTGCCTGCCAGCAAGCCGGCCAGCCAGCCCACTGCCGCAGACCGACATGAGCCCACGCGAAGATACAAACCCCTCGTCTCCAGCCGAGGACGATCCCATGGAGGACGTATCACCCACCCACGACGACGGCGGCGACGATCCAGTCCACCCGCCATCCAGTCGCCGAGCCACCCGTTCGCACCGTCGCAGTGACGGTGACGCCGATGGTGACGATGCCTACGGGGGCGACAATGGAGACGAGCACACCGGAAAGAACGGGCCCAACGGCGCCAGCCATCCCGACGGGAAGCAAGGCGATATCGAAGGCGACGAGGATGGCGACGGCGTCGATGCCGACAATGCCATGACCGGGGACGTGAACGGGGCAGATCCATCCTCCAAAGATGCCGATCCGTCTGGTAAGACGCCCTACTCTCCGTCCTCTCTATTCTGCCGCGATCTGTGCTTGATCAGGTCGGATCAGATCGGATCAGAAAGGCGCTCGTCAGATCAATGCGACTGCATTCGGAGCCAAAGGGGAGGCGAGATCTGGGTGCGATCCAGGGCTTTCGCTTTGGTTTGGCTCTGTTTTAAGCCGTAGTTTAGGCTCTGGTCTGGACCTATGCCTTTGATCTACGAGGCCGATCCATCAGATCGATCTCGCCGGTCCGGCGGGAGGTGGAAGCGGTCGTTCGACGATCTGCCTGGCTCCGCTCTGTACATGTCTCGTGTTTGAAGCTGTCCAGGGGCTGCTCTGAGCGAGGCCAGCATGTTCCCCCCCCCCGGATGTTTGATTCTCTGGATCCAATCGTGCATCGCTCGGGTTGCCCCCGATCGCCCCGAATGATGAACTCAACTCTCGCCCTCCAAAGCTCGGCTAACCCGCTTCGCCAACTACTCTGCCTCCTTTTCCATCTATCCATCTGTCCATCTATCCATCTGTCCATCCATCCCAACCGTAGCCAACGGCAGCTTCAAAGTCAGACTGGTGGATCCAAGCGAGGCAGCAACTTCAGCCCCCAAGGCAGCCCTGGTCCCGCAGCTCCACGAAATCATCATCCCCAGCTACGCCGCCTGGTTCTCGCTCTCGAGGATCGACGACATTGAGCGAAAGGCCCTGCCCGAGTTCTTCAACGGCCGGAATAAGAGCAAAACCCCGATGATCTACAAGGACTATCGCGACTTTATGGTCAACGCCTCTCGTCTAAACCCGACCGAGTACCTGACCGTCACAGCCTGCCGCCGCAACTTGGCCGGCGATGTCTGTGCCATCATCCGGGTGCATGCCTTCCTGGAGCAGTGGGGCTTGATCAACTACCAGGTAGGTCGATCCGATCGGCGATATCATCCAGCCAGCTCGTCAGACTCTTGTACGGCTGTACTGATCATGCCCTTCCGAACCGACACATCTCCATGCACATGCCGACTTGTTGGTCGGCTCTAGGCCGATCCTGAATCTCGCCCCGTCAACCTGGCGCCGAGCTTCACCGGACATTTCCGAGTGACGGCCGAAACGCCGCGCGGCCTGCAGCCGTTTGCTCCATATGCACCGATATCCAAGGCCGTGCCGGAGGGCGCCAACAAGCCCAAGGCCGCGGCCGAGGAAAGCCTGCGAACAGCCGGACTGGCCAAAAACTCGTTCGAGTCGATTCCGGCAAAGCGAAAGTCCGAGACCGGCGATGAGTCGGCCACGCCCGGCGCCGGTGCTGGCAGCGCAGGCGAAGCCAAGCGATCCAAGCATTCATGCACAACGTGCGGCTCGGACTGCACTCGGGTCAGGTACCACAACACCAAGACGCCGTCGCTGGACGTGTGCTCGAGCTGCTATCTGGAGGGCCGGTTCACATCCACGGCTGTCTCGAGCGAGTTTGTCAAGCTCGAGGATCGACGCAGCGACGGCGAGCCGTTGGATGAATGGACGGATCAGGAAGTGCTTTTGCTGCTGGAAGGTCTTGAGCTCTACGACGAAGACTGGAACAAGATTGCCGAGCACGTCGGCACCAAGACCCGCAGCCAGTGTGTCCTCAAGTTCATCGGGCTGCCCATCGAGGATCCTTACAACAATGTCAAAATGAGCGAGCTGGGTCCGCTGCAGTACCAGCGCGTCCCCGTCGGGCCGGCCGACAACCCGGTTCTGTCCCTGACAGCCTTCCTGGCCAGCACTGTCAACCCCCAGGTTGTGGCTGCGGCTGCACAGCGGTCGCTCAAGGAGCTGAAGCAAATCAAAGCCTCGGTCGAAAGCCAAGCGGAGGTCAAGCCTGCCCCGGCCGATGAGATGGAGACCGACGGCGATGGCGGCAAGGCCCCGACACAGACCCAGTCTGAGACGCCAGCTCCCGCAGCACCAGTTCCGTCGGAGGCACCCACAGCCAGCGCCAGTGTCACCGCTACCGCTTCCGCTGCAAGCGGCAAGGAGAACCTTGAAAAGGCAGCCACGGTGGCTCTCAGCGCTGCCGCCGTCAAGGCCAAGATGCTCTCGGAACAGCAGGAGCGGGAAGCCACGCGCTCGATCATCCAGCTCATCGAACTCCAAGCCAAGAAGATGGAGCAGAAGCTCAAGCACTTTGAAGAGCTCGAGGCGATCCTCGAGCAGGAGCGTCGCGAGATCGAGAAGGAGCGACATCAGCTCTTCATCGACCGCCTGGCTCTCAAGCGAGCCCAGCTACAGCACGAAGCCCAAGTCCAGGCACACGCACGATCAGCCAGCCACCACCACCAAAGCAGCGCGGGGGTTGCGACTGCAGGACATGCTTCTGTCAGCGCAGGTGCTGTCGCCGGCTCAGGCGCAAATGTCGAAGCTGACCACGATGCCAGCGCGCCGGCCAAGGATGCTGGAGCGGCGGCAAATGGACCCGAGACCTTTGTTCCCGAGTATGTGGCTGGCTCGGCAACGTCTGCAGATGCAATCGACCAGCAGCCGATCGAGGTCCCCAGTCCGTCCAAGAGTACCCTCATTAGTCTTTGAGGCAAGGTAATGGACATTCACACGTGAAGTGGGCAGACGGCTTGAAACCCATGTCAAGCGAACAGCTTGCCAACCAGAACCACTGGCGCAGGCCGGGCTTGTCGGAGGAGAGGCGCAGAGGGAGGGCAAGGGAGAAAGCCCCTCAGCCACTCAATACAGATTCGCAATTCTGCAGAACATTGAGCGCAAGGGTGTGGGGCGACATCTGTCGTTCATGGCGGCTGCTCCATGAGCAAGGCGAGATGTTTGTTGGATGTTCCTGGGGGCTGTCTGGGCTCGCGTAGCTTGGCTTGTAGAGATATTGGAGTCTCGGGTTGACTGTATGGGACGAATACCCAAGAACTTGGTCACTCTTGGCCGAGTGCTTTGTCTGGATGAGACGATGCGCCCATTGTTTTTCAACTTGCATTATGATCGAATTCAGTACGCTCTGCAATCCGAGCAATCGCAGGACGGAACACAAAGCGACCGCCCTGCCCAACCGCCAAACGGCCTGAGTGTCTTCCCCGATCGCCCTCCCTTGTCCGTCCTCCGTCCCGCGGCCTCCAAACTGATCCCAATCTCCTCCCCATGGCCGAGAAGCAGTGGTACATCCCCGAGGATGCCATCACCGACCGGTCGGCCAACCCCTTGGCAGTCGGTGGCTTTGGCGAGGTTTTCACTGCCTCATACTATGGCGCCCCTGTCGCCGTCAAGCAGCTCTATCGAGGCTACAACCAGAATGAACTCGCCGACTTTGGTCGTGAGATTGGCATCTGGCACAGACTCAGTCACCCTCATGTCCTTCCACTCCTCGGTGCTTGCGATACCGCAACCAAGCCCTTCATGGTCTCGCCGTTCATGCCCAACGGCACTCTCCATCGCCACATCTCGACAGCAACCCCTCCACGCCCCCTTGGCGAGAAGATCCGGCTCCTCTACGAAATCGCCTCTGGCATGGCATATCTCCACGGCAACATTGTCCACGGCGACCTCAAGTCTCTCAATGTGCTGCTCGATCGATCTTTCAGTGCCGTTGTGAATGACTTTGGCTTGTCCAAGACGAAACACACATCGGCCACCGCCAACCGAACCCGCCGCGACCAGCCGACGGGCGGCACTCTCGAGTATATGGCACCGGAAATGCTCGATGACGATAATCCAGTTGGATCGTCAAAGGCCACCGATGTCTATGCCTTTGGCATCACCATATACGAGGTCCTCAACGACTGCAGGCCCATCTGGGTCACCGCCGATGGCCAGCCGATGAGGGAGAGGGTTATTGAGTCTCAAGTTCTTCGAAATCACCGGCCCAAGCAGCTCGAAGGAATCCCTGACGATATTCGTGCCCTCATCGAGCGCTGCTGGCACCAGGACCCCGCCGAGCGACCCAAGTTTTCCGAGACCCTTGCCATTCTCCATCGTTCCGATCGTTATCTACAGCAAGTCGAGGGGCAATTTGCTACTGTGCTCGTTGATGCCCGGCATTCTGATTCATCCCAGCACAACCGAGAGATACACGTCTCCAGATCGACTCTGTCCCATCCGTTAACATCGGATCACCGTCCATCGGCCACACGAGAGCTCGATCCTGCCCCTGTCAAGGACCAAACCATTGCGCTCTCGTTGTTGAACCTTGACGGCGAAGATAACTTTGATTCGGACGAAGAAATCGATGACGAATACGAGCTCTGGTTTGCGATTGCGGGTGGTGGCGATCGAGAACAGTATCGAAATGCCTTCACCCGTGTCTATACCTCGTCCCGCCACCAGCCGCAAATCACGGTTCTAATCTCGGCGATAGCTACGTCCCAGCCTCCCCTGACCATCCGTCTGATCGCTGAGCTCTTTGGGGTTGACATTCGAGTCGTCCGCCGGTGCATCAGGGAGCTCGGGCCCGTCCTCAATGTCGGCAACCTGGGCAACGACATGGAGGGCAACTCGGCGGATATGGCCCAGAAACACAAGCCAATAGCTGCCTATTTGATAGGGGAAGAGTCCGTCAATGAACCGTACCATGTTTCCGCAAAGTTTCACATGGCATTCGCCTCACAGTGCCTGCTGTCGATCCTCTCGCACGAGCCAGTGATCAACATCTGCGACATTTACGACTTTCATGACAAGATATCCGACCTCAAGGACCGAGTCAAGGCCAAGATCACACCATCGCTTCGATACAGCGTCGCGCATTGGATCACACACTTTGTGTGGTGCTTGATGGACGGCGCGCAAGACCGTCATGCCTGGAGACAGTATCGCTCCTCCGGCTTGGCAGATTCCCTGACCCGCTTCTTATCGAGTCATATATTTTTCTGGCTCGAAGTTGGTTCGCTCATCGGCACCATCCCGGAGCTGTCCAAGCAGGCTGGCTTGCTTGAGGATGCAGTCGTGAAGTCACCGGGCCAAATGTTTGATGATGCCACGAAAGAACTGGTCAGGGATATCCATCGATTCATCCGAGAGTTTGCCGATCCAATTAGCAAGAGCGCACCGCAAGTGTATAACACAGGATATGCATTCACACCAAAGGAAACGGCGATATACAAGGCGTTTTCGACCCGACTGGAGGACAAGATCCCGTTCCTGGTCACGTTTGGCTTCAGGAAGACCTGGGACTGTCCGGATACATCAATCGAGGGACATGTCGGTGCGGTGACCTCTGTCGCTGTTTCACCCGATGGAACCTGGTTTGCCTCGAGAGGTAGCGACGGCACCATCAAGCTGTGGGATATCGCCAAAGGGAAGGCGAGGAAAACATTGACGGGACACTCAAATGTGACCGCGATAACCATTTCGGCCGATGGCAGAACGATCGTGGCCATCCAGGCTGACTGTGCCATCAAGCATCTGGACGCCAACACCGGAGAATTCAAGGATATCTTTGCGTATCACAGCAAGGAAGTCTATCGATCAGCGACTGCGCCAGACGGCACGTTTGTTGCAATTGTCAATAACGATGATGGCAATAGGATCAAGATTTGGGACACGGTCACCTGCAGCTTGAGGCAAACGCTGGAGGGGCACACGAGATGGGTGAGCTCCTTGGCGATCTCGCCCGACGGCAAATGGGTTGTCTCTGGCTCTCGTGACAATACCGTCAAGGTCTGGGACGCCGCCACGGGGCAGCTGAAATCAAGTCTCGAGGGGCACTTGGGGTGGGTCAACTCGGTCGCCATCTCACCTGACGGCACTTCGATCCTGTCGCGAGACGATACCCACAAGCACATTGTCTGGGCCGGTCAAGGCGGTAAATTTGCTCACACCTCCAAAGGCCCATCTGACTTTGTTGCAGCACCCGGTTCCAGTCTCTCTCCCGAGTGGAGCGTAATCGATTGGCGCAATTCATACCAGTGGGCTCGTCATTGCCATCAACTCATCAAGCTGCCCCAGTACCTTGGTCGTTGCGACTTGGGCTCTCGATTTGCAGTCTTGTGGACGTCCGAGTCCCCGTACCGCCCAATGGTGGTCCTGGTAAGCCCGCATCGCTTTCTCACCACTCTCGCATCAACTTTGACTGACCTTCCGTACGTACCATCCTCAGCCTATCTACCTCAACACCCCCGAGACCCAAATCGCCTTTGCCACTTACCTCAGCAACTCACCTGTTCCCGAGAGCCAAGCGCGTGCTGCCGACTTCATGGCAAGTCCCGAGGTTATGAACTTCAACGAGGAAAGTGCCATACTTGCCCAAGAACAGGCCATGCTCATCAAGGAAGCAAGAAGGACTGAGGATGCAGCCAGAAGGGCAGAAGCAGCTCGCAAGACAGAGGCAGCAAGGATAGCCGAGGAAGCAAGGAAGGCCGAAGAGGCTGCCAAATCAAAAGGGTGGCTCGGGTTCTTTGGCTGAGCCAAAGCATCACCTCCGTCGTCAAATTTCAGGAGACACCTTGGAAATCAGGAATGATCTGACCCACTTGCACACTCGAAACAGGATCTCGATGTCCATATGGTCGAGTGCAAACTGGGAGTTGCCGCTATAGCACACAATGGTCAAAGTGTCCGAGTAGAGTGGGTCCCTGACCCATACAGGAAGCCGACGTGGTGTCCCTCATTCGATGGCGTCCAGAGAAGCCCTCCTTTGCACAGAAGGCAATCAATTGGCAGTGATATGGTGGTAAAGAATACGAGCGCCAGAATCCCAGTCAAGTATCGATTTGCACCCGACAAAAGGCCCACTCCAGTTTGCTGCGTGAGGAGAATGCCCCACGGTAAAGATTCAGGGATCCAGGAGCAGTACCACCACACAACCACAGCGAATGTCGAGAGTGTGCTGGATAGGCGATGTGGGGGGAGGCGGCGGCGATCGGATGGATAAATAGATGAGAAGTCGGTATCGATCCGCAAACACAGGATTCCACACATCAAGGTCACACATGCGGCTATTGCGAGCTTTCACGAGAGAGTTTATGTATATATAGCGTAGCACTGAAGTAGAGGGAGGAGGGAGGAGGAGGAGGAAGGAGGAGAAGGATCCAAAGCGAGGCGCACTGCCTAAAGATGCAAAATTCAGACTCCGCAAGTGTCATGAGGACATGGCCAATAGATTAGGTGAGCTTCTCTGCTCCCAAAACGAGACGACAAACGAAACACGGGCAGGCAAGACAACTTGACAGCAGGACAGCATGACACGGTAACTTGGCAGCACGACGGCTTTGACAACACGGCGGCAGGGCATGGAGGGGAGGACGGGAAGGCGAAACAGGAAGGCGAGGCTGTGCCAGCAGATATACAAGCAGGAGGGATGGCTGGACACACACAAATTCACCACATGGTATTTGCTCCCGTCAAATCTCGCATCCTCCCTCGCTCCGGGGTGGCCCCTCGGCCGACCTTCCTGCTTCCTTTCTTGCGCCTGCTTGTGTGCCCGCTTGCGAGCGACACATCAGATACGACCCATCGGCACGGCAATCGGCATGAGCGACTCGATCTGGATCTTGGTCTGCATGGCTTGCTTCTTTTTCTTGTTGTTGGCGTTGGTCGCAAAGATGTTGTTCTCGAGCCGGGGCAGGGGTGCGGCCGGCGGCAGCGCAGGGGTCGGGAAACTGCCGGACGGCGTGATGGGAGTCGCGGGAGTCGCAAAATCGTCATGCAGCGGGCTCGCAAAGGGCAGCCGGACAGAGCCCGCGGCACCGGTGCCGGCGGAGGAGGACGTGTAGACCGAGAGGCGGGACACTTGGGTATTAGAGATGGAGGTGGCGATGCTGCTCGGCGACGAGCCCTCGGTGGCGGCGGCGGCAGCCGCGCGCTTCTGCGAAGGAGGGACGGGGATGTAAAACTCTTGATACTGGCTGCTGGCCGACGACAGAGACTTTGAGCGAGTCGCAGGCGGGAACTGAGACGAGCTGACAGAGTTGGATCGCGCCAGGGCCGCACCGACGCCGGCACCGGCACCAGCACCGGCGGGCATTGCAGAGGGCCGTGTGTACGAGGACGAGAACTGCGGCGGCGAGATTGGGGCCGAGTCGGCAGCCGAGGTCGCGTAGACGCTTGGCGACGGGCTTGGGATAGCTCTGGCGTAGGCCGACTGGATCGGGACGGCGGCACTTGGTGGATACGACGGACCCGCCGGGATCGACGCGAAGCTGCTGGGAGTGCCGCGGCCAGCAGAGGCATCAGCCAGGGAGTACGGGACGGGATTGGTGGCATAGGCGGTGCTGGAAAAGCTGCTGACCGAGGCGTTGGCTTGTTGGTAGAGCGACGCCGAGGGCTGCGGGGTCACCGTTTGTGGGGTGGGTGGGCCATAGTACTGGGCAAGAGCCGCGCCAGCACTTCGGGAGCGCTCCAGAGGGAGGGCAGAGGTCGGGGTGATGCCGGCCGAGTAAGGCGCTACCGAGTAGGGTGCAGCCGAATAGGGTGCAGCCGAGACCGAGGAGGGCACAACGATGGACAGGGCCGGCGGGATCGCAGCGACAGAGACTGGTGCCGGGACCGAGTCGGCCGCTCGCGGGGCCACCTCGGAAAAGTCCGGGGACGGATAGGTCTGCGCTAGCGACCGCAGAATCTCGAGCCAGATCACATATTCGTCGCGCTCGGTGAACTGCAACGTCCAAAGACGCTCAGCACGCTCGGACGCTGTGGCTGGTCGCTGGCCGTCGTGGCCCATGCGGGGAGCTTCGGTCTGGACGTTGAGACACATGGAGCTGTCGCCCATACACGGGTAGACCGAAGTGTTGTTGTTGATCTGGATAAAGCTGATGGCCGTCTCGGAGGCCTGGTGCGAGCGGAAGACGTAGACCCGGTAGTTGTGGATGACAAAGAACCGGCGCTTCCAGACGCTGGAGCCGGACGACTGGGTCCGGGCATTCGAGAGCTTGCCCATGTAGGCCGAGCGAATGGCGGCAGGCATCAGCGACGCCAATGTCGGACCGACGTAGGTGAGGCCTGAGCGGCTTGCAGACGACGAATTGGCATTGACGGAGCTGATGCGAGTAGGTGTCTCTGGCCGGGGCGGCGAGGGCTCTGAGGGTGCCGCAGGAGACATGCCCTGCTGGCTGCTGGTTTCGAGGATGTCGAGCTCGGCGAGCATCGAGTTGATGGCCATGCCCTGCGGGGTTACTCGACCGCTGGGAGGGGTGGCGGGCCGTTGCGATGCCGCTGCAGACGACAAAATCAGGATCAGAATGAGAAGCACCCGGTGCCAGCGAACGATACGAGCGCGCGATCTGGGCCTGGACCAGACGCTGGTGGCCATCGGTGGCGAGCGGGTCCAGCCCACACCATATGGACCACCAGGGTCTTGTCTTGCTCCTTTGCAGTGGCTTGCAGCCGCACTAGCAGCCACAGCAAGCGAAGCACGCCAACGCAGCATCTCCCATGTATGCGCAAGAGAAAAAAAGGCGACAAGCCAAAGCCACCTTCCCCGCACGAGACCCGAACCCAGATCCGGGCCCATATCCGGACCCATATCCGGACCCAACCCAAGCGAGCCATTTGCATGTGCCCTCACCTCGGCTGGCTTTTGACGGGACGCGCTTGACATTGGCCGAGATCCGGCTGCTGGTGCTGTTGGATCGGGCCAGGACCGGGGCGGACTGCTGCGACTGTTGGTAAGGGGCAGGATACTGCGTAGGCTGCTGCTGATACGGATTGGATAACGCCGAGGTGCCGAGGTCGCCGGTGTTTTGCGGGTATCCCTGGTACTGGCCCTGCAACGGCGCCAGCTTGGACGGGTTGCTGAGGATTTCATTGACATAGACCGAGTGCGAGTCGGTGTTGGGCGACATGTAATCGTCCAGCGGGAAGAGCGAGTCGCTTGACCGATTGGAGGACACGGAGTTGGTTCGCTGGACGGCCGGCGGGCGTTGAGTGGAGGCATCCATCGCTGGGGCTGTGAAGTTGCTGGGAGGAGACTTGGTGAACGGAGCAAGACCGCGAGGGCGGGAGTCAAGACCACAGGAACAGACAGGAACTGGCGACGGCGGCGGCGACGGGGAGGGGGCGGGAGCGAAGCCACAAATAAATAGAAGCAGAGCCGGGAAAGGGAGAGTGATCCCCTCGAGTCGAAGCCGGCCAAGGACAATGAAGGGGATGCGAAAAAGGGCAAAGCGGCCCAGTCCAGAGAGCAGGCCGTTAATGGGCGTGGGTTCGTGCGTTCTGGGCAGGTGCAACCGAGGCGACGAGCGGACGGGCGAGCGGCAGGAGAGCGCCTTCTGCGATGGCGGAAGCGGCGCTGAGGGCGAGCGAGGCGAAGGGGGGAGTAGCCAGGAGCAGGAGGAGCACCACTCGAGGCCGATCGGATTCCAGATGTTGGACGAGCGAGAATCCAGCGGCCGATTTGGACTGTCGAGCGGGTGCGCATGGACAGCCGGCCTGTGGTTTCAGCAGAAGCGGCCGAGCAAGTTTTGTCGGTGCCGCTCCTGTGCTGCGACGAAGGGGACAAGGCGGGTGTACCATGAGCGAGCTGAAGGCCAAGTGTTTGGCGAACTGCGAACTGCGGGAGAAGTGTTGGCGAACTGTGGGCAAACTGTGGGCGACTGAATCGCATTGCGGCTGTCGCTTGCACCTTGGCGATAGTGGCTCGCGGATGTGTTCCTGCAGCCCAGCCGATCAAGGCAATCGACATGTCCTCCACCATCGCGCCAGCTTTGGAAACTCAATTGGGACTGCGCCGAGCGCCGAGGGGGGTGGGCGACTGGTCGGGCCGCGCACAGTCCTTGGCTGAGCGCGTTGCTGCGCGCCCTTGGGCTGGGGTCATGTGTGCTGGCTGGGCGCCTTGGATCGTCCAGCTGCCCAGGGCGGCCGTGTGTCCGAGACTGTGCCAGGCGCCTTGCTGTGTTTGAGATGGCTGGTTGTGCTGAAGCTGCATGCAGATGCAGATCCAGATGCAGATCCAGATCCAGATCCAGATCCAGATCCAGATGCAGATGCAGATGTGAAACGCCCATCCACCACCGCACCAGACGCAGCACCAGAGGCAGCGCCAGAGACAGGCTCTGCAGACATCGGTCGCTGTCGCAGACGCAAATCGCCTAAACCAACAAAGGGCCTCCCCCTGCCACGCACAGCGTCATGTGGTGCAGGGCCGCCGCCGGAATACCAACCAGCGATCGGCCACGGGGCAGCGTTAAGGGGAGAGGGCGGTCTGTACTCGGCCTGCTGAACCGGTGCGGTGGTGGCGGGGGAGGGACAGACAAGCAAGGGGGGACCGCCTTGGCCAGGCCGCGGCAGCCCTGGCGGTCGTCATGGGAGCGGCCCCAGGCCATGCGCTTGCTGGGCTGTGGAGTGTATGGACGAGGCCATGTGCAGAGAAGACTTGGGAAGTCAAATGTGGGGAACGGTCCTATCGCGAGCGATGGAGATGGAGATGATGCTGGGCAAGACATGGCCGAGGCATAGTCAAGGCATAGTCAAGGCACGGCGAAGCACGGCCGAGGCATGGCCAAGTAACCAGCGAGGCATGGCCGAGACATGCGAGTACCATCAAGACGCAGCGGCCCGCCGGTCAAGCCAAAGGTCAAAGGTCATCCGGGCGCACACCCGCTGTGCACATGGCAAACGAGAAAGGTCCCCGACACATGGGATCGGCTGCGGTCTTGCCTGGCTCGCCAGCGTCGCCCGCCTGTCCCCTTGGCCAGCAAGGGAGATGATCATGACGGCGGGCCTCGGAACAAAAAGGGTCCTGGGCGAATCACACAATCAGGCGATATCTAACGACGAGACGAGGATCAAGAGATGTGCCTGCGAGATAGGGCGTCCGCGCTGCATTGGCCGCGCTCGCATGGAACTGCACCAAGCAAAATCGTCATGGCCGGACCCGATCCGCACGGCCATGGCCTCTGTGTTTGGCCGGGACTGTTCTGGCGGGCTTGCCTGCATCGCTGTCCGTGGGAGCCTGGACATTTCATTTGGTGGCAGAGACAGCTCGAGGCCAAGGACAGTGCCATCGGCGCGAAACAGGCGAGAGCGGGCGCGGCCTCGATGTTGGTGTGGTGTGGTGTTGGTGTTGGTGTGGTATCGATGTTGATGTTGATGGAAAGCGAGTCGGAAGTGTTCAGCAGCACAAAGCACCACACAAGCAGCACCAGCAGGACATGCAGCACATGCAGCGCAACTCGACAACTCGGCCCGGCTCGAGACAAGATCGCCACGGATCCCCAGGACATCGTTTTGGCGCCGGCTCGCTCGGCTCCACTGCGGTCGCGACGCACCAACCGCCTGTGCATCCCTTTTTTCTGCCGGGCTGCTGCGTGGACATGTCTCTTGCTCTCGTGGGAGGGGGTCGGGCTTGCCCTGCTGGCGATGCCCGATGATGCCCGACGATGCTCGGCGATGCTTGGAAATGCTCGGCCTTGGCAGACATGGATGGGCCAGGCTCGGGACCACACCAATCGGCGCGGACGAGCGGCGGGTCTGCTGAGTGGTGGGAGAGCGCCATGCAACGGCACTGCGGCCCGGGGACTGCCTGGCTGGCCAGAGACCATGGCAGGACGACAGGGCAGCCGGGCCGATACCCCCCAGGGCAGAGCATCTCGTCGCCCCGAGACGGCATTCAGCACCGATGTGATATCTGGCGCTTGCCACCGCACCGGCGTGATATATCTGGCGCTTGCCGTTGCCCAAGATGCCCTCGCGGCTGCTTGTGGGTCCGAGTCCCACCTCGGCTCGTCTGTCCAGCCACACAGCTGATCCTGCCAGCCAGCCACCGAGGCACTTGCAGCGCAGTGGCAACACCAAGCCGTACCTGAGATTGGTACGACCGTGCAAACGGGAAAGGCGGCTGCTGCGCTTTCGATGAGGGCGAGCCCATGGCCAGCGACAGGAGGTGGCAACACAGGCGCGAGGCGGAATGGACATGCCCTGCCCCCTCCTGTTCGAGGGGACGGGCGAGTGATACCCTCCGCGCATATGCCCTGCACGAACGGGTGGCCATGGAGATTCGCATGAGGCGGATCGAGGCGGATCGAGGCCGGTCGAGGCCGGTCGAGTTGCATGCGCATCTGTCTGCGGGTCTGCTGGTCTGGCCATATGCCGACGATCGCACCAGCGACGGCCTGCATGCCCACCACGAATGCCGCCTGACAATCGCGCGTGGCACCTCGCTGTTGCATGTGGTTGCGTTCCAGCCGCCTGTTCTCCCTGGCCGCCTGCACCGCCGGCTCATCAGCACGAAAGGCCCCACCAACACAATCACCAGGTCGTCTGGGCAGTGTCTTTCTCGTTTGCCCGCCTCATATGGGTTGTGTGCAGCCCCACACGGGCCTTGCGTCTTGCGACAACGCCGATACCGCTCGGCAGTCTCCAGAGCATGTCGATCCACCCCCAGGCCCACTGTCGCCGTTGGCGGTGTTGTTGCGAACGAGGGCAGGCCGTGGACGACGAAGCCAACGGCGACCAGCACGGACCACGCAGACAACGACATGCTGGACATGCATGACATGCAACACGCAGGACATGGATGGTATGCCTTGGCACATTCGCCAATGGCTCCGGCAACTCGCCAGCGCCGCCAAAGACGGACTGAACTAGTCGCGGCTGAGCCAGTGACACCAACGGCACCAAAAGCGCCGTCGACCGCCGCGATTGGTGTGCTGGCGACCCTGCAATCGCCGCTGTGCTACGGCCCCGGCACTGCTCCGCTGCTTGGCCGTCGCTTGTTCTGGCGGTGACGGCTCTGTGGGCTGCGTGCGGGCTGCGTGCCGGCTGTGGCTGTGAGCGGCCGCGGGGACTGCATTAGCGTGGGCGGCCCACGCGGGACGCCCACGCGACGGCGCACCACTCGCCGCCTTCCCCTCCCTGGCCGCAGATGCAGTGGCAGTCCAAGCTGCACATTCAACTGGTGCAGCCCCGTCCGGTCCCGTCCACTCCAGTTCAGTCTCGTCCACTCCAGTCTTCTCTTGTCCAGCCAGCCGACAACATCACTTCCAACAACAGCGGCTCCAACAGATTCAACGGCCGATCCAGCCGCAGATCCATCGAGTGCCCACCCCACCCAAAAGAAAGAAAGGCATTTGCGGGTGGTGCACCGCTCGCCGCTATGTCTTCCCGTCGCCCACCCGCGCTTCCCCTGCCGACCACCCAAATAAATTCTCCTGCTCCTCCTGGGGGTCGGGAGGAAAGCAAGTTGCCGTCTACCCGCCTGTCTGTCCACACGGTCTTCTGTCTTGGTCCTGGCCCTCTTCCTCACCGATTGTCTCCCAGCCAACCCAAGCACCCGGCTCCGTTGACAGCTGCAGCCCCGTTCTGTCCTGCTCTGTCATATCTATATCCATATCTATCCATATCCATATCTATACCTATATCTATACCTATATCCAACCTATATCCAGCCCGCCATGAGTCTGCCGGGAAACAAAGCCATGCTCGACGATGATTTCGGCCAGCTTTACTCGCTCATCGGCAATCCAAAGCCCAAGGTGCCCTTGGATCTGGACCTCCTCCAGATCACAAAGACCCCGACCGCCGAATCCATCCGCTCTGTGCACACCGATCTTTCGACTTCCACCAGCTGCTCGACCGAAGCCACTTCGCCGACGCACACCATCCCGCCGACGCACCCCACCATCTCGATCGTCATCCCTACAAGCACCACGTCCTCGGGTCCGTCCACCCCCTTCACCTTTGTCATGCGAACTCTCCCTTTAAAGACCCCGGTCGAAGCCGAAACGCCCAACCCCTTTAGTGGCCCCATACCTTCAACACCCGTCGCTCCCGTCAATAGCGCAGGAGCCTCACCCGCCATCGCCTCGACAACTTTCGAGACCAAAACCGCCTTGCTGCCATCGTCCGCCAGCGTTCGTAGCAGCATGCGTCCGGTGGATGGCTTTATGGAGCCCTCGGCGTCGCTCGGGTCGACAGTGCGGTCGCCTCCAGCGCAGGCCTCCTTGCCTATTGCCCCTCCGCGCAAGTCCCTCGATATCCCGCCTCCGCGCAAGTCCTTTGATGTCTCGGGCTCGTATCAGCCTGACGGCTTTGGCTCGCGCACCATCTACCGACGCCATCCGACCCCCAGCATCGTCAGCATTGACCACGGCCCCGCCTCGGCGCCAATCTTGGCTCCGCAAACGTCCCAGCCGTCACCGTATACCCGAGTTGGTGTTTCGCTTGATCTGCCACGGAACGCTCCCGAGAACACGGAGGCCGCCGCCGCCAACGTCAAGCACGATCCCACGCGAGTTCCTCTCAAGAATGTCTTGGGAACCATGAGCGTCCGGCTCCTCCAAGGCCGTTGATTGCCCGCTGCGCTTCCTCGCTGGCACCGGCACTGGCACAGGTACTGGCATTGCGTCGGCTCTGTGCCCCTGCGCCTCCTGCCTCCTGCCTCTTTCCACCTATTCCGCCCGCTACCGGTCGCAGTGCACACCTTGCGCTGCCCAAAAACCTATTTATTCGACTCGGCCATCAGAAGCAAAGCAAAGTAAACCCAATCCCAAGCATGCCATCCCCTCGCTTCGGATGACTGTGGGCGGCTCTGCAACCTCGTCGAGGCTCTCCGCAACACTGCTGCCTATCTTATCCTATCCTCCGCTCTGATGTCGCCGTCTTCTGTTGTCGCAACGCCGCGGGCCTCATTGTCCTCTTGCTCTCTCGCTCCCTCTCCCTTCCGACTTTGGTTGTGGCTCGGCCCACCCTCCTCCGGATAGATCCCGCCTCTTGGAATACTCCGTTTTGGCTCTAGTTTTCGTCCATGCTTTCCCTCTCTCTTCCCCCCCCCTCTCCTTTCATGTACATATCTATCTCTGATTGAATGGATCTGCGGATCCCTATTTTTTTCTTGCCTTCTTTCTATTTTTTTTGTTGATTCCCCGCTTACAGGCGTTCCAATAAAAACGGGACACCACGGATTTTGGTCGTTGGTGAATGTTATCACTCAATACATCGCGCGCTGGCCATGACCATTCAGTGATGTGTTTCTGGATCTGAATCAAGGGCACTATCTCGTTCAGATGGATCCCTGCAAGCGAATGGCACCACCCAGGCGATTCAAGCCACTCGATCTCCGGGTGTGCTCACAGTTCCGGGAAGCCAAGCGACTCGAGAAGGTCGAGCATCTTGATATTGATACACCATGGAGCAGTCCAGAGGGCGAGGGAATACACCACACAAAGAGATTGCCAGCCAGGACGGGAAACAATCGCATGACTTGCCCACTGGAGCCTATGGAAGTTCAGTAGGCAGCGGGCCTCTGATGCCAGAAAGTGACTGCCCCGTTTCTTTCCGGATTGACAGTATCGTGCCCACACCAGACCAGACCAGACCAGACCAGACCAGGCCAGGCCAGACCGGGAGACTTCATCGAAGAAACATCAGTGTCACTCTGCCTTGGTGCGGGCCGATCGAGGCAGATGCAGCACATCGCGGACAACATGCATGAATTCCTCGGGGCGGCTCACGGAGAATCCCTTGCCGACGGTGCCGGTGTCGGTGCGGATGACAATCTGCCGCTCGGGAACGCTGCCCATCATTCGGCCCGAGTCCAGCGACAGGGCCCACCAAACGTCCGTCAGGGCCATGCCTGTGGGGATGGCCGATGGAAACCGCCAAGATCGATGCAATAAAGGAGAGTGCGAGCAGATCCACCGAGATGAGGCTGTCAGCATATCATATCCGCCAGCACCGCAGAAAGCAGGCAGGGTCCGCCTTTGCCATTCCGCGGACAGTTTGTTCCTCGGAACAACGCCGTACGATTTAACTTTCCGTCTGGCACGGCAATATCCTTGAGAGTCGACGTCAAACTCACCCCAGGTTTTGAAGCAAAAGTTGCCATAGCCGAGCTCGGCGGCATTGTCGAGCGAAGTGATGCTGGACAGCTTGACGACCTGTAAAATGAGCGAGCCGGTGAGGACTTTCTTTAGCCATCCACACCAGACCATCCATATCAGACCATCCGCACCAGGCCATCCGCACCAGACTATCCAGCCTGTCACAATTCGATGCACCCTACCTTCGCGATGCCCAGGGGAAAGTAGTACACAAAGATCTTGATGTGCTCCCTTGTTACGACGCAGTAGCTATCCGAATACAAGATTTCCTTCAAGTCCTTGTCCTTGGAGTCCGCGGCAGTTCGGTGCCCAGACTCGTCGGAGGTCGACGGACGGGCTGCTGCTGTCGGATCGACCGACTGGAGGACGTCGGTGTGGTCCTTGCACTGTTTGTAGTCTGGGAGGGCCTCGAATTCCTTGGGGTTGCTGGACATGAGGTGCAGAGACGAAGGAATGGGACGGAGGCTGTCTTGGAATGAGGGTGTTGGTGGGTTTGTTCGGTTTAGCTTGCCTTGGCTTGGGTTGGCTGGTGTCGGTGGACCCGTTCGCAAACGGACGGTTGTTATGCGGTGGTTCTTGGATGCAGGCTCCGAGAGCAAGACGGCTGAATCGGTGACGAATGCAGCGAGATGCAGTGAGATGCAGTGAGGTGGGATGAGGTGGAATGCGATGGGATGGGCAGATGGCGGGGCACCGGACCCTCGCTTTGGGGAGTCCCAAACGGGGCACTTGCGGATTGGCCGGTATTCCGAGATTCGGGCTTGCTTCGGGGAGCTCACCAGGTCTGCTTACAAGAACATTCTGGCCGGGGCCTGAATCAGCTCGGCCGATCGAACTCTTGCCGAAATCCGCCAAGAAAACCAGCCATCTCAGTTCGGGGATGCGGGAAAGGAAGGGCAAAAGCGCAAGTGCGGCTGTTGTTGAGGTCAACCAGGGACCACAATGAACAAGCACTTGAACGGTGTTTGCCTGCCCTCCTCCATATATCCGGCCACGATGCATTGCGATCAGCCCCGCTTTCGACCGCCTGATCGAATGTGCCGACGGATGTTGTCCGGAACCCACCTCTCCTCTCGCCGTCACGAGCGGCGACAACGTGCAGGGGGGACACACCAATGAGACAACACAATATTCTGGGCTGCAGCGACTGTATTCACATAGATGTCGCAGCACCGGGAGCACGAGCGATATGATGGAGCATGACGAGGACCAAAGCGCGGATACAAGACAGAAGAAGCGGGTCGAGGCAATCAAAGACCTCGACTCCGAACACAAAGAGAAGGAAGGTATCTGTCATTTCCCTCAGGCAACCACAACAGGCGACTTCTTCTGGAAGACCTTGTTGGTGGGAAGGGCTGCCTTCCACTTGCCAAAGAGAGCCTTGACGCCGACGCTCTTCTTGGCGCAACGGACAACATAGTCGTCGGTCAGATAGCGGCACTGCACCGAGTTGAGGGCGCCGCGACGAGCCTTGCGGACAGCCTCGACGGCCTCGATGCGGTCCATGCCGGCCTCGATCAAGGCAATGCAGACCATGACGGGGGCACGGCCGAGGCCGGCGATGCAGTGGACGGCAACGGAGTGATTGGGCTCGCCGAGGGTGTCGTCGCCAAGGGCGCCAAACTGGGCAGTGCAGAGGCCCAGGAACGAGCCGATGATTTCATCCGAGGGGATGCCACCATCGGGGACAAACAGATCGTGGACGGCGATGCCATGCGCGGCGACAGCCTCGTCGCTGTACGTCGATTCGCAGAGTCGCACAACGGCCTTGACGTTGCGAGCCTGGAGCTCCTGGAAAACGGCAGACACGAGCCGGGATAAGCATCGGGAGCATCGGGAGCATCGGAAGCATCGAGAGCAAGACAGTTCCTGTCTGGCGGGGCGCACTCCTCGCTGATGCGGCAGCAGGAGCAACAGAACCACCTCCAGACCAAACTCTCACGAGGGTAGAAGCAGTTCCAAGGCTCACCGTGATATAGGCATCGCAGTTGCGGCTGGTGGGGCAGTCCATGATGATGAAGCTCAGGTTCTTGTACTTGACAACCGAGAAGATTCCGACAGAGCGGGTCATTTTCGCCGTTTGATGAGACGAGATGGGCCAAGGGAAAGGAGGGGTTGTGTGTCGTTGGGCCGGACGGAGGCGTGCCTTGCGGGAAGGAGGGAGAGGCGAGAGCTTCGAAGACGAAGAGATTCAATATCGAGTGTTGCTTGCGAGGAAGGCCGATTCACCCAGGGTCAAGATCCGTTCCAAAGGACAGAAGAACAGTGGCCATCTAACGGAGCGCGGGTGTTGGGGATGCGGGCTGAGGTCGAGCCTGGAGAGGGTCGAGGGCAGAGGCAGAAGATGCGATGGAGACGAAGCAGCCCAGCGACGACCAACGCCCGAATTTATAGACGGATCGAGAACGAAGAAGAAAAAAAATCGGAAGGCGATGCAGACGCCAGAGTGGTTTCGCCTTGCCGACTCGTGCGACAGAGAAGTGGTTCGCCCCCCAATCGGGAAGGATTGAGGCGGCTCGGGGCCCCAAGCCACGCCTAAAAATGGAAGCTTTTTTTTTCTCTCTCTTCACGGGGGCGGTCATGGGTGCCGCCACGCGCGCCAACAGCGGCCGCACGAACCAGTTCTGGCAAGGCGGGTTGGGCACGCGGCTGCCCCGCCGCAGGTCATGGGGCCCGCAGAGTGGTTCTGGAATGCGCCAGGGCCACCAGCGGGATACCCTGGCTGCGGCTGTGCTCTGGGTACCCCGATGCACATCCACGCCGCTGCACGACGATGCTGCTGGCGAGGCAGCTCCTCTCCATTGACACCGCGCATATAGGATGAGTCCGCAGTCTCGCGGCGCAGCGTTGCCGGTATCCAGAGTGCCGTCGGTTGCTGGTGTTCTGACACATTTGTGTATTGAGAGACAAGAAACGGCCATCCGGCTCGCATCTTCACTGGGATGCACGATCTCGGGCCGCTTTCTCTGCAAGTTCAGCGGCCATATGGAATTGTCAGCAACCCCGTGCAAAGGAAGGTCCCCCGAGGCAGATCCATCCGAGGCAGATCCATCCGAGGCAGATCCACCCGAGGCTGCGGTGACGGGTCACTCACCCTGGAATGCCTTGAGCAACGCTTCAACAGCTGCAGCAGAGAGCACCCGGCAGGGTCAGATACAGGCAAACCGGCTGCGCGAGTCATACATGCGCTCTCCACAAGCGTGCTCGGACCGCATCTAGTCACTCGCACACTTTGCTTACTGAAGATGGGTTTGCTGTCATCGATGCCTGTGAGACCCAGCAGGGGGTTGGGTCGGCCGGTCGTAGCAGACAGACAGTCAGCAAGTCGGTCACCGCATCGTCAAGCTTTGGCAGTTCCAAGATTCGGGTCGATACCTCCCTGCACAGAAGCATGGCCAGCGACTGCTACCAACATCCGTACGCCGCGACTATTCAGAAACACCCACCAAACTCGCGCAGCATCGGACCGAGCTGTCCAGACTGAATCGCCTTGGTCAAAGATCGGAGCGAGTGGCGGAACTGCGGGCTTTGGAGCGTCTCCTGACCGTTCCATGAATTCGATACCAAGAGTTAGCTTTGCCGTGTTGGCAAGGACGTCATGGTCCGAGTTCCGAATAGACCAGCACTCGGTTGAGCAGCAATCATGCAATGCAAACTAGCGTTGACCATGGCATGCGGCCTTGTCGTTGCAGCCAACAGCGCTTCGTGCATAGACAGAGACTCACCCGAATTCCCGTCGCAGATGCGTCACTCGCCGGAAGGTTCTTGCTCAATCCTGAGTGGGAGCAATCAGAAGTTACAATGGATCGAGGACCGCAATACTCGGTTGGTCTCATGGCATATGTCCCTGTTTCGCAACTTGCGCCGTCGGATCATCTTACTCTCACAAACCGCTGCGTCGTTGAGCAGAGGAGAGACGTTGTCGGCTGTCAGGACAGCAGCGAGATTGATGTCTGCAGGCGGCCGTACAGGTGGAATCGGTTGGTCGAATCAATTGGCCAGATCAGTTTGTCGAATCAGTTGGTCGAGCCTGGATGCAAGCGGTGCACTCCAAGCCGGCCGAGCCCGGTGCCGATCAGTTGCGTTGACTCACCTTTGATCTCTGCTTGGCCTTATAACCCCATCGGCACCATCGTTGCATTGCATTTCGACAGATCGACGGTGTTTTAGTGGGCGTCGAGCGCTTCAGATGCGATCCAGGTCGAATCCTTGCCATGCCGATACTGCTGGCTGGGCTTTGGGTCGGCTCGGCCCCACCCCGCATGAATCGCACCCAGTTCTCTCGCCGTGCTGTCGCAATCGATCCTGGCAATGTACCTGGCCCACTGGGGATCCCAGCTAGGATGCTTCTGAGCTGCTCGAGTGTTAGACTGCCCAGCGGCTGGCTCATTCCGTGTGGTTGCAACGGCACCGGGTGCGAGCTGGATTGCTGGGGCCCTGCTTCCTGCTCGATGTCTTGCATAGAGTCGTCGTGCTCGTCGCCAACATCGTCTCCATCCTCATCATCCAAGGCGGGAGGATTGTTGATGAGGGTGTTGAACTGGATATGCAATTGTTGGGTTAGCCGAGCATCCCGACGAGCATCCTGACGAGCATCCTGACAAGCATCCTGACGAGCGCTGTATATCTCGGCATAAACGGGCTGATCAAATCGACGGCCAGCACACGATCCCGCTTGCCTGCTCGATGGTCTCGGCGTCCTTGGCTTCGTCCGGATCTGGGATCGAGATGGAAGAGACACCGATCGATAAGCGGCATCAGCAGAGTACAGATCCATCCTTCCGAACATCTGCCTCCACAAGACGGCAACCGCGGCTGCGGCCGTTATGGGTGACGAACCTTGGATCCAGAAAAAGTGCCGTTCGGACGACGACACAAACTTGAGGACATATGTGCGCGCCATGCCGATTTTTTGAAGACTGGCATCGTTCGGGAAGACGATCCAGTCGTCCTGGACCGCATTTAAGGTCCGGTCCTGCGATCGGCGGGGGAGGGGCGATCGTGGATGGCGATCATATCCAGTGTTGGCGAAAGTATCAGCAGATGAGTTGGGGCACCACGATGAGTAGCTTGGCATGCGAGGACAGTCGCTCATGGGTTGTCTCCTTCCAGACAAGAGATATACCTTCCAGTAAAGGTGGGTGAGTCCGTCCTCATCGGAAACGCTCAGGATGAGCACTCTGGTGTAAATCCGGATCCGAGCGAATCCAGGCAAGCAGAGCAGCCAGATCGCAGCCATCGGGACAGAGAGAGGGAGTCGTAGGATGAGCATGCTATGCCCGGCCGAATATCGAGCGATGGTGGCAGCAGCCATTCGATGGAGCATGGGGAGGGGGCCGACCAGCGATGTCTCTGACGAGTAGATACCCTTTTCTGTTGTCTGGCTTGATCAGATTGGAGGATGCGACCCGCTCGCATTTGCCTGCCAGAATCTCGACGAGGCCGATGGGCTGAGGCTGACTCATGGTAAGCAAGAGCAACGATATCGAATAGGCAGATGATCCGGGGGGTAAAGGCGGCCGGACAGCACAGGCAGATCCGCGATGTGCGGAGAGGTGGGAGCTGGCAGAACGGGGGCACGACCCTGGGTCTTGGGCAAGAGACAGCGTTCCCATACATGGCGAGGACCACCGACAATCTCAGACGGAACGCTCACACAGCAAAAGTATCGACTCACGGCAGCCCCGAGTTGCCTTCGTTCACCGCAACGATTGCTCTGCTCCTGGCTCCGCTATATAGGCCTCACACAGACGTCCGGGCTATAGCAACAATCCCATATCGTGGCTTTCCAGCCTCGCCTCTTTGCGATCGCCCTCGTTTGGCCGATCCGCTTCGAGATCGCACTCAGCACTCGCTGCACTGCATATGTATTTGAATATATCCAGTCGATGGAATAGGGGCAGATTGGAAACGGATATTCCTTGGCGGCGGTCATCAAAGAAAGTTGCCGAGGCGCTTCAGCTCATTTCCGGCCTCCAGTCACTCTAATTCCATCGACTTGCCATACCAGAAGTTGGCTTTTTGAATGTCCTTCGTTACCCCGTTGCCCCTTTTATAACAGCCGCCAAGCTCGTTCCGTCCCTCTCGATTACCCTGCTCGGCCGATTTGCGGAACCACTCGACAGCCTTGCCAAAGTCCTTGGCAGTCCCGCGCCCGGCGTAGTAGAACTTGCCAACCATCAGCTGTGCGTACGAGTTGCCTTGCTCGGCTGCCTTGCTGAGCCAACGGAAGGCCTCGACATTATCCTTTGATTCCCCTCGGCGATAGTAGTAGCAGCACCCATACCAAAACTGACTTTCGGCGTGTCCTTCGTTGGCCAGTTGACGAAACATAGCTGCCGCCCGCCATGCTGAGCTGATCATGCATCCAAACCCGGAGTTCAGACACAGGGCTGTGAGATGCTTGCAGAGCCAGTCCCGTTCTGACCCGAGCTGGCACAGCTTGAAGAACTTGCATGCAGCGGACGAGTTGGATTGGTATCCAGATACTCCCGTCAGGCAGGAGTGCTCGCCGAAATCGAAGTCGTCCGACCGGTTCTCGCGAATAATCTTGATACCCTTTCGCTTGTCCTGTTGAGTCGCGCGGCCAAGGTAGAACATCCAACCAAGCATGTGCGTGGCGATGGACTTGGGGGCCGGATCGGTGGACTTGTCGCTAATATCCTGCCAGTGGTTGAAGGCCTCGACATCGCTTTGTTCGACATCTTGGCCGATGAATGAGATCCAGCCGCGAAGGAATGTAACTCGAGGCTGAGTCTCTTTCTTTCCCTGGCTGGCAGCTTTGTTGTATCACATAACGGCAGTGGTGAGGTCTTGCTTGACGCTCTCGCCGTTCTCGTAACATTGGGCGAGATGCAGGCTGGCCTGTGCGATCCCGCGGTTGGCACATTCCTGGTACAGCTCGATGGCTTTGGGGTAGTCTTGGTCGACTCCACGGCCAGTGAAACGACAGTCGGCCAGGCACAGGTGAGCCATCAGATGACCGGCCTCTACGGCTTTCTCCAGAAGGCTCACGATGCGACGGCTTATTATCTCCAGCGGCCAGTCCTGGAAATCGTCGTCGTAGATGCCATATTCTTCGGTGGCCCAAGGAGGGCTGTGCTGGTTGGAGGCATGATTGTTGGCTGCATTGTTGGGCTCTTGGTGGTTACCGCCACCGCCACCGTCGTCATCGTCGTCGTCATCGTCATCGAAAAGCTCTTCCTCTTCGCTGAAATCCTCATCGCTGTCGTAGAACGGGTGGTGATTGTAATCGTCCTCCTCAGATTTGTCGCCCGATCTAGCTTCCCATATCGCTCGTTTGTCCACATCCGCCAGCAGGAGCTGGGCCAGGAAGAGCGAGGCGACGGCGTCTCCTTGGTTGGCCAGGACGACAAGCCAAGAGTCGTTGGTGATACTTTGGTCTCTAAAGTGGCGCGAGATGGCAATCATGTCGCCTGAAAGGATATAGTCGGGCAGCGGCTTGTCTGGGCGATACATGTCGTACGTTTTGGACCAGCGACGGAGTTGAGTCAGCCTGGAGTTCAAGATCGGGCCGGCGCGCCTACAGATCCTGAACAGCGCCCCGAGCTCCTTCAGCGTGAGCGACAGGGTGGAGTCGTTGGAGAAGACGATCGCAAGGATATCTGGGCCATAGTGGTGGTCGAAGGTGAGTCCCTGGGCCGTGGTTTGCATGATGGCAGATGGCCAGTGGGAGGATGGGCGACGGAAGGACAAAAGAAAACTGAGCCGGCACTCTGGATCACGGGACCCGATGATTTGGGATGATCCACCAACCCGTTCTGCCTCACCCTCGCTTCCCTCCATCCCAATACTCCCTCTGTTCTTTGCAGTTTCGGACCAGCACAAGACACCGGAATCCGCCGTCTTGTCTCTGCCGTCTCGCAGCCGCCACGATGGCCCTGGTCGACGCATTGTCGCCGTCCAGCGACAACCTGTTCGAGTGCAGCGCCCACGGCAAATGCCATGACTTTTTCCTCTCTTACCGAGTCCGCCCCGATTCAAAGGCGGTCGAGGACCTCAAAGAGCTGCTGTCATCTGTGGCGCTGCGCCGCTACGGCCGGCCTCTATCCATCTTCCAATACACCGATTGCTTGAATACCGCCAAGGACTGCAAGGACGGCTTCCTTCGGGCCCTCCCCGGCAGCTCGGTTGTGATCCTGTTCCTGAGCAAAGACTCGCTGATGACCATGCAGGCCCGAGAAAAGGACGGCCAGGAAGACAATGTCCGACTCGAGGTCACCCTGGCTCTCGAGCTGTTCGAGGCCGGAAAGCCCATCACCGTGATGCCGCTGTGCCTGGATCTGAAGGATGGATCCGGTTACCGACCGTTTGCCCCGTATGAAGACCCGGAGCTGACGCAGCCGTCATGTCCCGAGACCCACAGCCTCGTCAAGCGCCTCAAAGCCATCCAGATGTATGGCTACCGGCCAAAGGAGCCCCACAAGCGGCTCTATCGGCTGCTCAACCTCCTCCACCCGATCGCCGTCGACGAGCTCACCAACAAGCACACCTACTCCAAGTACTTTTGCGACCCCAAGTTTGAGATCGAAATAGACAAGCTCGATGGCCTCCTGAAGCAAATCACCCTGACGGGCCGGGCCATCATCTCGGGCATGGGTGGCATGGGCAAGTCGGTGCTCGCCCGCCAGTTCCTGCGCTTCATGATGGGCAAGCTCAAGGTCAAGAACCAGACCGAGCTCAGCGACTACATGATGGATACCATCGGGGTCAAGCCACAGTACAGCAGAGTGCACTGGATAAACTGCTCGGGCGAGTTCTCTGCCCTCTACGACCTCAGCGCCATCTTTCCGGGAGTCGATCGGCAGGAGATCAAGGAGCATGCTGCATGGATGTTCGCCAACGAGAGGGACTACCTCCTCGTCCTCGACAACGTCGACGACATCCGCATCGTCAACTCGGTGTTCAGCCACTCGCGATCGCTGGGCTTTGGTGGCGACGTCTTGGTTACGACTCGCCTGCCGCTCTTTCCCAAGGGCCCGTTCCTCGATGCGCTCAAGGCCAAGCTACCGACGTTCAAGCAGGAGCCGCTGAAGCTGGAGCGGTGGTCCGTCGAGAAGACCAAGCGGTACATTCTCTCGGCGAGTCCCTCGCTCCAGAGGAAAATCCAGTCGCTCGAGTCGGTGAAGGCACTCACGCGGATGCTCAGTGTCGTCGACGGCCATCCGCTGGTGGCCCAGTCCTTTGTCTCTCACTTTGAAAACAACAGCACCCCGATCGATGAGTTTGAGAACTGCATCGACGAAGTACTGCAGGAGAGCGTCGGTGACGACGAGACGCGCTCGTCGCTCAAGGTCATTGTGGACCAGTCGATGGAGAGCATGCAGAAGGACGGCGACGAAAGACGAGAGGCTTGCCGCATATTTGGAGCGATCGCTCTGCTCAAGGAGAATGGCATTCACTATCGTCTCATCAAGGGGATCGCACAGAAGCTGGGGTCATTGATCCAGAGTAAGTGCAACGCAATGCTTGATGGGAGATTGTTGGAGTATGGAATGAGGGACGAGCGAAGGGTCGGTGCTGGTGCTGGTGCTGGTGCTGGTGCTGGTGCTGGTGCTGGTGCTGGTGCTGGTGCTGGTGCTGGTGCTGGTGCTGGTGCTGGTGCTGGTGCTGGTGAATATCGGGCAATGTCCGATCTGGAAATCCATCGAGCCGGGCACTCCTTATGGACCGATGGCTGACTATGCCTCACCTACTTGCCCAGCTGGACAGCTCCTCAAACGAGTGACCCACACCGGGCTACTTCACGTGTACTCGAACGACACCTACCACACACACTTGCTGGTGTCGAAGTTGGCGTGGGAATACGTGCTCAGGGAACCCGAGCTCAAGGCCGCCGATATCAACACCGCCACTGGCGAGGCACTTTTGGAGCTTGGCTCAGTGCCCACGGATGCCAAAGTACTCGAAAACATTCCGCATCTGGAGCAGTATGCGGCCAAGATACGCACCAGTGTCAGCCACACCGACATCCATGTCAAGATTGTCCGGCTCATCGAAGCAATCGAGGGCGAGAAGCGAGCCTGTCTGGGTGCGGCGGCACCCGCTGCCCAGCCCGAGACAGCGATGGTGCATCCTGTGGCTGAGGTGGGTTTGGCCGCTGGCCCTGCCAACCAAGACACACAGGAGCAACTCAATGAGGTGGTGAGGCTCTGCGCCTTGGCTCAGGCAGAAAAGTCTGCCGGCAAGCATAGGCGCGCGATCGAGCACTTCAAGCTGGCACTTGCGATCTACAGGACGTCCCTGAGCGACCAGAGGGACCCAAGGATCCTGGCGATCTACGAGCAGCTGGACATTGGCGCTCCTCCGCCGTGAGCGACGTTGCTTGCCAGCGACACCGACTGGGACCTCTCGGGCCGCATTCTGTTTCTTCATGCATCACCATCCACTTGCATATACATGTTCGCTGGACACGCTTGCTGGACAAGCACGCGGGATGCTGGGTCACGTTGACCACGGCGGCTCTTTGCTCGCGGCCAACCACGGCGCCAAGCCACGTCCGGCTGTGCGGCCGAGGGCCGGACATGTCCTCGGCGAGGGCGAGGGCGGCTCTCGCTGGAACTCTCGCCGGTGCTCAAAGGGAACGGGGCGCACCCGCCAACAAACAGAGGTGCCTCGCTGTGCATCTCGCTGTGCATCTCGCTGTGCATTTGGCTGTCTCTCGCTGTCTCTCGCTGTCTCTCGCTGTGCGTCTCGCCGCCTTGTCGCTGCTCGCCTCTCGGTCAACGTGACCCGCCAACAAGCCGCCCACAAAGCCCGTCTCGCCGTCTCTCTCGCCCGCTTATCTGCCCCTTCTCGCTGGCCTCTCGCTGGCCTCTCGCCCCGTCTCGCCGCCTCCTCGCCGCCTTTTGCCCTTGGGCTCGCCTCCATCCGTCCGCCTTCGTCTTTCATCCCCCGTCCTTCGCCTTGGCCTTCGCTTTGCCTTCCATCCAAACCCTCCGCCAAGATACTCATCCCACTCGCCGGCGCCTGCCTGACTTTGGTCGCTCTCTCTCTCCGATCCTCACTCCTCCCCACAGCATCCCCGCCCAGTCGCTCAAACCGCTCCTTCTTCATCGACCACCTTCCATCATAGCCCCTCCGTCCCCCTCCCCCCCGCCTCCGATACCAAACCCCTTTGGCGTCATGTCGCTCACAAAGTCCCAGCATCCCTACTCGCTCCCGTCCGTCTCGTCCCCATCGGGGTCTCAGTTCCATCAACGGCATCCTCCGTCGGCTCATAAATCCGCCTCCTCAAAGCCCCAGGCCTCGCAGAGCGGCGACGAGTCCCCGGCCTCGTTGTCTGTTCCAAAGGCCTCCGTGGCCTCGCCTCATCAGCAGCGCCGCAACAGAGTCCACAGCAGCCCGAGCCAGCTCCCTCCTCCGGCCCTGTCGGCTTCTTCCGACTCGGTGTCCAAGCCAGCAGCCTCCCAGGATGCCTCGCCGGCCAAGACCCCGAGAAAGTCAAAGTCGTCCTCGCCCAAGGGCCAGAGCTTTATCCAGGCGTCCGTCAACCCCAGCCACGTCGTAAAGCACCAGCCCCTCTCGGCCTCGGCCGACCTGCTGCAGCCGCCTGCTTTTGGTCGCAAGTCCAACTCCAAGCACAACCCCTCCCAACTCGCCTCCGCGGACTCGCCTGCCAAGCCGTCTGCCAAAACCTCTGCCGCCTCATCCGCTGTGACGAACGCTGTCAACCCAAGCCCCCAACCCAAATCCTCAAAGTCCAAGCCCGCCAGCGACTCGGTCTCCTCTCCCGAGAAGAAAAAGTCAAAGCCCCGCAGCAACCCTTCCCCTCAGCCCGAGGAGAAGGCCTACGCCAAGAAGCCCTCCTCTCCTGGTCATCACAGGTGACCCATCGTTCTGCCACTCGCTCGTCTCGTCTCGGTCGCCTGCCGACCCAACCCAACCCAACCCAACCCGACCTCGGGCTGGTTTCTCTGATCTGCCATGCACCCCCCCCCACGTTACTCTCTATTGCTGTGTGTCTGTCTGTGTCTTGCTCTGGCGCGCCGCTGCGTGATGGTGTTCTCGCTCCTTGCCGTGGGTGCTAAAGTCCCAGTCGCCTGTCTCCTATCCCAGGAATCACGACTCGCGAGCCTCCCACTCGGACAGCGACCAGCAGTCCCTTTCGGACGACTCGTCCAGCAGCGGCAACGGCAGCAGCGGCAACATCAAGTATGCTGGCGCCAACTTTCAGAACTCGCCTGCTGCTCACAACTTGCCCATCCCAAAGTTTGGCTCGCGCAAGTCCGAGTCTGGCTCCAGCCCAACCCCCAGCGACCGGCTCACCGGCCTCGCCGGCAGCCCGCGCAGCTTCACCGAAGGCACCAACACGTTCGTCGCCAGCGACCATGCCCAAGTCTATGCTCAGTCAGAGCGCCTTCACTCCCGCTCGTTTGAGAGCATGTCCTACTACGAACAACACCTGGGCACCCCGATTCCCTACAACAAGCACCACCACGCTCGAACCGAGCCCGTGGACATGTTCAACATGGACGATGACCATGACTCGCACCGGATATCCAACGAGGAGCTCCGCCAAAAATCCATCAACCTCCTAGCCCTTCTGACCCAGAGCTCCGCGCCAGCCCATCCGCACTCCATGGTCGACCAAGTGCCTGCTCTTGCTCCTGCTCCTGCTCCTGCTCTGCTGCGGCCCGGCTACGACGCCTACATGGGCGTCCCTACGATATCGCCTTCGTTCTGTGGCCCTCAATATGTCCACGCGTCTGCCGCAAACGAGCACCATTTGGCTCAGATCAGTCGCAACCTCAAGGACATGCTCCGCATCAGCAGCTAAATCCGGTGCTTTAGACAAGATGCCACTACATTTTTCTCGATTTATCACTCCCGCCCCCTTTTTTTTTGCCTTTATATTGCTCCCTTTTCCTCCTTTCCCTTTTACTCCATCGCAGTTGCTTTCGTTTAATGTATCTCTCTCTCCTCTTTCTTTTGATTTTGATTGCATCTTCAGAGGCGTGTGAGGAACGCTTTTCTCCCCTCAGCGCACTCGGTGGGCCTCGTGTCCACCTTGGATCTGCATCCGTCCTTCCGAGGCTCCGGACGCCGACCCTTCTTCTTCTTCCTTATTGCCGCATGCTACTGATATCTTCTCTATTTATGCCTTCTCGTTCTCCTCATCGGCTGTCCTTCTTCCCCGCCGATCCGCTTTTGCCGTCATCGCGGCGCTTTCCCTTCTCACCAATCCCATCCTCCCTCACCATCGACTCTCCAACATCCTCTCCACCTCCAATCTCCGCCTCGATCGTAACTCTCGTCCACACCATTGCTCAAACGCACACTCTCCCTTATCGAGCCTCCTTGGCTCCTCAACGCACATCACCACACAATACCGTCTCTCCCTATCCTCTCTGTCGCCTGTTTGTGCAGGCGATGTCCTTCGCTATACAGATGTTTGCCCCACCCCCTCTCATCCGCCCCTCTCTCGACCACATCAACGTTTGTTTCGCTTTGTTCGAAAGCCTCTGACGCTTTTGCTTCATACCCTCCCTTGCGTGTGTATAATTTACTGTCAATTTTGGGGACCCTGCACCTAAACAGCTGCGACTTGGAGTTGCGCCTACACTATTTATTATTTATTTTCGCATCCTTGTGGACCGACCTTTCCGATACCGTTTCGGCATTCAAGATACAAGAACTTTGTGGAAATTGTCAACTCCTCCTCCCACACCTAAGGTGTTTGGGCCGCCACTGTCGTCGCTCAGACGACGCAGCTACTCGCTGCACTTTGACCGAGTCAACTCCCGGACGCAAGACGGACCGAGTGTTCGCCTCACCTCAAGATTCAAGATAAATTGTACCGCTCGCCCAACCCTCCCCACTCCTCTCTCACAAACTGGAAGGGCCCTTGTGGCTCCCCGAACGACAGCAAACGACCCCATCCTCCGACCATCCGGCCTATCATGACCATGTCCACTTCGACGTGGCTTTGTGGCCCTGCCTTGCGACTTGACTAGTACAGGCTTGTTGCAATCCATTTTCCTCCGCTCTCTACTTCCCCCACCCCCAGCAAACGTCTTATTTGGCCTTTTCAGGACGTCTTCGTAGTCGTCCTGTCATACTTTTGATCCTGCATCGTTACAAATGCCCCATGCCGAATCCGGCTCTGATTCACGCTATCGGCCTCTTGGTGGCCGACGTAGCGCCAGCATCCAGCTACACATCATCCATCCAACTTCCATTCCTGTCACCAGGCACTGCGACAGTGCTCTCTCTCTGCTGACAGCTACGGCCCATGGACTATTTCAAGACCAATCGGATCCCAAGCCTTGCATTCGTCACCGATTGATATGCTCACTCCGAGCCCGCCAGAGGATGACGATCCAGCAATGCATTTCGATTTTGGAATCAAGTTGATTGTCTTACTCTCGCCCTTTCGCCTCGGACTTGCTCCTCACGACGGGCTCCGCGGCCCTCTACCCCTCCGACCAACCAGGGGCAGGGGCCTCTCCCAGGAAGCTCTGCCCTCGATTGCTATTCTCTCTGCCGGCGTTCTGAGTCCTCCTCCGGCCTCGCCTATTGCAGGGCGACTTGCGCCCATTCAGCGTTGTTGCCTTTGCTGCTGGTGGACCTCAGCGACCCAGGACCTCAGCTCTTTCTGATTGCACTGCACTGCACGACATGCTGCCGATGTTGATTGGTATATTTTCCTTGCGTTGATTGATCTTTGTTGAATCTTGTGTCTGTCGTTGGTTTCTCTGCCCAGCATGTCCTTTCAACCAAACCGCGCCGATCCAACCAGACACACCTGGTTGCTTTGAGCATTTCCCTTTTTCTTCTTCATTTAAACATATAACCAACATAATCCACAAAAAAATATATCACTTCTTTCAACTTTACCTTTACATTTCGTTCAGAAAAAAACGAGACACCGCCAGACGAGCAGGGTATTGAGTTAGCAGTCATTTGGCTGTTGATCGAACAGCTGCATGTGCCGCTCTCACGGGACTGACTTGGAATCGAAGTTGTCGGGGCTCAACCATTGCGATTCAATGCTCGCACTGGTGAGACGGCCCGAAACACTCTCTTGGACACACTGGTGGTCATCGAACATGGCCCTCGCTGTTTTCTAGGCGCTGATATTTTCGCACAGGGGGCTGGGTGGTACACTGTCAAGAGTCAAAGCCAGAAAGCAAACAGTTGCGGCGAAAGGCTGCCCAAATGGCAAAGCGGAGGGAACGAGCCGAAGGTGGTAAGGCGGAGTGAGAGTGAGAGTGAGAGTGAGAGAGGACGAGGGCCTTTGTCGTCCAGAATACACGCATTTCTCGCGGACCAGAAATGCTTGGGAGAGTGAGAGGAGGGAGAGCGAAGTAGAAGCAAAGGAATGAGGAGCAGGCAAACTGCCATGCTCGACGAACGATCAATTCTCGTTTCCTTCAGACGACGCTGTACTTGCGACTCGATCCCGGCGCACCCTTGCCCAGGTAATAGCCGGCCTCTTCATAGGTCCGTGCGCTCAGAATGTGCGGGGCCACAAAGGACGATCCACCTTTCTTACGCCCGGCGCCCTCTCGACCAGCAGTGGTATCGTCATCGAGCTCGAGCTCGAGCTCAAGGTCGTCATTCTCTGCGTCGCCGTCTTCAGAGTCGGAAACGTCCAAATCCTCCGTCATCCGCGCCTTGTACGCACTTCGACGGCGGGCCTCGCCTTCCTCGTCGTTGTCTTCGGTCTCTGAAAGAATGACCCCGGCACCGCCGTTGCCATCGTCAATCATCTTGCCGTCGGCTCCGAGGATATAGCTCTTCTTGCCGTTATGGCTCTTGCTGAGCGATCGCGGGATCGAAATCGGGAAGGATGTGCTCAAAACCGAGACGGGCTCGGTGCCGGCTTCTTCTGTTGCAAGCGTTCATTGGCAAAAGCAAGAATGAATCCATTCCGCCCATAAACACATACGCCAGCACAGCAAAGTGGCAGCCGTCATCGCCAGTTTCGTTTCGTTTCGTTTCGTTTCGCAGAACGTGTGTTGCGGTGCATGGGTCAGATATTGTCGCGAGATTGCTGTTAGCGGCAGAGAATTTGATGTCTTCGAGCAACACAGCCCCCCGTCTTCCACAGGCAAATCGGCGCTTAGGTCGCCGGCCCCTGGCGCACTGAGCTCGTCATAGAACCTACCTCTTGCAGTAGCCAGCGGTCGCTCCTCCTCGTCGTCGTAGGGCTCGTTCGCTTGGAACTTGACCAAGATCGGCGGCCGAGGTGCTTCGTCAAACGAGAACATTTCACTCGCTGGTGACCAGAGGGTAGCAGGAGCACAAAGAGTCCATGAATATCACAAGCCCACGTACAGCAACAGACATGAGAATTGCAGGTAAAGTGGACGGCATTGGGATCAGCAAGAAGACGACGCGATGGTTCGCCGATCGGTGCCGTCTTGGGTGTAGTGTCTCGGCACCGTCACAGACATCTCGCACGCTCTGCCAGCTATCAGGCCATGCACGTACCATCGTCGCTCGAAAAGCTAGGGCCAACACCTGGTCCGGGCGATACCATGTGGATCCTCTGAGCAGCTTGGACCCCAAGCCCGGCGGTGGCAGGGGCATCTGGGACGACAAACTTGACCTTTTGCGGGGGGGTCGAGGCCACGGCTGGCTCCTCGCCGGATGCCTTGGCGATTTTGGTGGCCAGGGCACTTGGCGGGTTGGCCGCGAGCTTTTCCAGGCGTTTCTCCCGCGCCACAAACGACGAGCTGACCTGTCTGCTGGTATCGAGCGGATCGGTTGTGCCAGAGGGAGCCGCAAAGCTGACGTGCTGTTGCTGTTGCTGCTGTTGCTGCTGACTGGCGACCGACTGGCTGAGCAGCGACACTGACTTGTGCGATCCCGCCAAGTTCCTGCCTGAAGCATCCAGTGCCAGGTTCGAGTGGGACGAGACCGCCGAGGAACCGAGCGCCGCTCCAGTGTTGTCCATGGCGTGCCATAGGTGATCCGAGGCCGTCGATGGCGCTGGAGGACGCAGGCCCAGCTTGAGGTTGTTGGCCCCGGTTACGTGTGCCTTATAGATCTTGGACCAGATGATCTGTCGCTGTTCCTCGGCCCGCTGCTGGTCGCGTTGGAACTCAAGGCGTTGCTCGGCCTGGAAGTTGGCGATTCGAGACTCCATCTCCCCTCGTCGGATGGCAAAGTACGACTGCAAGGTCCGCTGCAGGTCATTGTGGATCACGACAAGACCCTGGTCCAAGCCTGCATCGATGGAGTCCCGACAATTCGTCATCCAAGGGAGCAGGGCAGAGTAAAGGTACGGAGATCGTGCATGCGAAATCATATCGGTTAGCAACTATGCATATGACTCAGACCGACGCCTATCTGCAACCGATGCCCATCGGCGACCGACAGAGCAACCCGCCATCACGCAGGGCCACAGCCGACAGCGGCAGCGGGCAGCCCTCGGAGGTACGTCTTACTTGGCGTGTGGCAGGGCACTTGATCGGATTCGGGAACAGGGCCGGTCAGCACTCTGTAGGCTATGCTGTAGTTCGAGTTGAGCACTCGGGTGGTGACTTCGTCTCCGATCTGAATACATGGAAAGCGCCAATAGAGAGTAAGACCAGCCGACCGGAAAGAGGATACAGGGACTGCGGACGAAGCAGAGCGATGATCACGAGCAAACACAGCTTGGGTCTGGGCATGAGGTCGGCGAGACTTTCTGTGCTGGCCACAGTTGGCTCGCAGGCCAAGAATAAGCCATGGCTCATACTGGCTCACGTTGGTTCACACTCCCGCCTCGCGCTCGCTCACGCATTAGCAACTTACAATGACTTGTTTGGTGATCAGAATGTGGCCGTTGCTCGCCAGGAGGTTGCTCGTATCGAGCGACGAAATGAGCGACAGTGGTATGGCCCCAAAGCCAGTCGCGGTGGCGGGGCTGGCAGTCGAGTCGATATCGACGGGCAGGATGTTGGTGGGCTTCGGGGCGACCGAGTTGTGATAGTATGCGACCATGGTCGAGCAGTTGAGGCACTCGACGCCATGCCATTCGCCGATGATATGTCGCTTGATCAGAGCCTCGTATTCCTGGATGGAATTAGAGCAGATCGGTGGCGGGAAGAGCCAATGTGAGCGTCCCGGTAACAAGCGTAGGGATATGCAAAGACGGACTGCCGACACAGGCGTCGCCTCGGATATGCTGCAGATAACGCTCGCTTGCTTGCCCTGTCTGGCCCATGATGCTATGTCGGATGCAGATCCAAACCGCCAGGCGGAGGAGATGATCAACTGAGACGTACCACGGCAACAGGAGAAGGTGACAGCAGCGCCGGGATGGCATTAGCGATAAAGTCAGGGATGCCGTTGGCCGCGAGGGTGGGGTGTGCCTGAGCGACGGACCAGGTGGCCGTCGGCCGTGCGAGGGGATCGCCGACAAGTCGGCCTTTGATGTTGAGGCAGGGACAGGCAAAGTGAATCGAATCCATGGCTTGATCAATCGACAGACCTGCGATAGGACAGAGCATCAGAGACGCAGATGATCAGTTGAGGCGGTGCTGCTGATCAGCCGGGGTGCGGGTCCGAGGCGGCTGGGCTGGCGGCGGGATCGAGGAGCCGCGGCGGCGCTGAAGAGCCCAAGGCGCTTTCTCGGTGGTTGCCCTGACGAAGCGAATGCCGCGACAGGGGCAATGGACTCTTCGACATGCGGCGGTGCGGCAGCGAGCGAGCGCAACTGGAGGCTGCTGGCCGGAGTACAGCCAATGGCAACACATTCCATTGGGCAGGGTATCGATTGGAAGGCCCTGATGGAGCACCAACAGGGAACCAAGACCGCAGCACCGAGGACGTACCAAGGGGGGGGGAGGTTCGAAGTGAGACTCGGAGGTCAAGAGAGGCTCCGGCAGACGGCGGTAGCGATGGGAAAGGGGGGGGGATGGGCGGTGTGGTGAATGCGGGAGTCGCCGACGGACGGGGGCAAGATCGGTGGAGAGGGCAGAGAACAGCCGAGCGAGGACGACTTGTTTGTTTGACGGGCAGCGTCCCACAAGGGGATGATGCACATGATGGTCTGGACATGCCGGGCTCGGCCGCGGACAGAGCAATAACTCGGCTGCGGGCTCGGATAGCGATAGTGTTGCTGCAAAAACATTACCACATCACATCACAGGACATCACATCACAGCACATCACAGCACATCACATCACATCACATCACATCACATCACATCACATCACATCACATCACATCACCACATCCATCGCCTCTTCCTCGCCGTGCCGCTGTCCCGATCAGCCCCGTTTCGTTCGTTTCGGTGTGGGTGTGGGTGCAGCCGTAATTGCGCTGGTGCTGCGGGTCTGTCGGCGAGGTGTCGATGCGACTCCTCCGTCGCTGGTTGAGCCCGCCGTTGAGCCTTCGCTGGGCTGAGGATTGACGCCGGGCGGAAGCGCTGACGGTGAATCTGGTGCTGCGGCTTCCAGGGCTATCTGCGACTTGGGCTTGCGTCCCCGTCGGGCCTTGACAACCACAGGAGGTTCTGGCGAGTGGAGAGGCAGAATCAGGCGTCGTCGCTATTGGCATGTTCGGTACCGTGGGCCTCATGAAACTCACAGGCTCGTCTCGTTGCCTTCGTCCGATCCCGATCCCGAGCAGAGCGCTCTTAAACTGCCACAGAGGCCTGCGTCGTCGAGACTCGCCATAGCAGCCGGGCTGTCTCAATGCAGCTTCTGGCATCAAACTCAAAGTAGACCGCACGCTTCGCCTACCTTCCAGCTCTGGTGTCTTGATTCGCACCGGCGACATGGGTCGGTTCTTGAGCCGTTGGGCGGCCAGTCTCGGCGACAGCGGCGACTGCATCCCGCCTCGGAAGCCGCGACCGGGGTCTGTCGCCGATACTTCGATCGAGGACGATGGCCGAACTGACGAGCTGCTTTGACTTGAGGCCAGGTCACCGGCATCCGACTCGGGCGTGCTGGCCTTGCGGTGTTCGGCAATCAGCCCCTCAAAGTCCTCAAAGGGAAGCTGGAACTCCTGCTCGACCAGGAACGGATAGATGCTTCTGGAGATGCTCAGCTCGGCGCTGCCAAACGTCCCGGAGGTGTCTTCAGCCGCATCGGTCTCGTCGGTGAGTCGATCCAGCTCCTTGAGGTTGTAGAGGCTCTCGAGGCGATCCCACACATCGCCTCGAGACACTCTTATAGGCATATTTCGCTCACAGTGCAGCATAATGCTGATCATCCGGAATCGTCGGTGGACACCTGTTTGCAAGCGGGATGATAAAGGAATTGACAAAGCGCTCAAAACAGACGAATATCGAGGTCTAATCCCGATACCCATGCGTGCCCGACGAATCTGCCCTGCTGTATGCGGTCCAGGCCACGGAGCGTGCCTCAGCATCAGCATCAGCATCAGCATCAGCATCAGCATCAGCATCAGCATCAGCATCAGCATCAGCATCAGCATCAGCATCAGCATCAGCATCAGCATCAGCATCAGCATCAGCATCAGCATCAGCATCAGCATCAGCATCAGCATCAGCATCAGCATCAGCATCAGCATCAGCATCAGCATCAGCATCAGCATCAGCATCAGCATCAACCGTCATCGCAAAGAGTATTACCAACGGGTTGATATTTGAATATCGCTTGAAAGAGTACCAGCTCCATTTCGGGCGTCCATTTGATCCCGGTCTGCTCCGTCGTGGGTGACGCTGATGAGAGGTCCGTCAGCTCGTCGTCGTCGTCGTCGATCGATCTGGAGTCGTCGTCAACATGGACTGTCGGCAGACTGTGGCGAGAAGGCTTGGACGGTGGATGCGTCGGAGAAGCGGGCGAGTGATTTGTCGATTCTGACGAGGACCCGACCGAGGAGATCGAGGTTGAATCGGACGAGCTGTGTTCGTCGGCCATGGGTGCGTCGCCTTCGGGTGGTGTCTGTATCAGAGTTTGTTGGTGGGTGCGTCGCTGGTTTGGGCAGTTGAATGGCTGGCAGATTAAGCCGGACGGACAAACTGCAGTAATCACTCGCAACAGGCGAGCTGGTGCCGTGCAGATCGAGTCTTGGTCAGAGATATGCGATCGGAAGGGAGCGTTGGTGCTGGCCAGATGCGCCGTTTTCTGGGGTCGCGTGGCTTCGAGCAGGCGATCCATTTCTCTCGCCCGCTGACTGCAACCATCGGCAACCATCGGCAACCATCGGCAATCATCGGCAACCATCGACTGCCATCGACTGCCATCGGCTATAAATCACCCGCCGCTTGGAGCCACTGCCCGCTGACCTCATCGGTACCAAGCTGCATCCATGCTGACGAAGCGACTCTCGATGGCCTGCTTGCGGATGCCGTCTGCTGCCCAGAGGCTGCATTCGACATTCCATCGCGGCTCTGTCGTCGATCTGGCAGCATCCACTTTCCATCCTCCAAAGTCCAGCAACCCATCACCGGCAACTGCTCGCTCGCCTCTGTTGATTCTGCACGGCCTCTTTGGCTCCAAGCAAAACTGGAGGTTCGGCCATCGCTCGCTGTCGGCGCTGTTGTCATTGTGTTTCAGCACATACAAGTCGCCAGCAGCTCCCGTTCCATCCGAACCAGCTTTGAGCCTCGACCTTTGCGTCCCTGGCTGACTGCCTCTATATCTTTTGGCACTGGCACTTCATCCCTCGATCCGACTCGCCCGCTGCCTCAGATCGATTGCCAAGGGACTTGCTGGAAGGCTCAGCACCGACGTAATCGCACTCGACCTTCGCAACCACGGCGAATCGCCCCATGCCGATGCCCACGACTACGAGCTCATGGCGGCGGATGTTGCGCATTTCATCCAGAGCAAGGGCCTTGGGCAAGTTCATCTCATGGGCCACTCCATGTAAGTTGACAATGCCGTGGGTCGCTTGCTGTCCGAGGCAAACCGCCGCTGTGTCGATTTCAAGCAGCACTCCCACAGCTCTGTCCAGGAATCGCTGAGCCGGATCGGACCGGCCTGGCGCGGTCGTTGATGTCGTTGACTAACTGAGTCATGTACTGCTTGGGTCGATCTACAGGGGAGGAAAAGTCGCCATGCATCTCGCCCTCACGGGCGGCACCGACATCGAGAAGCTCATTGTCGTTGACATGTCTCCGGTCGCCAAAAACCTCACCAAGGTCTTTGGCAATTACGTCGATGCCATGCTGAAGATCGAGGCCGCCAAGGTGCAGACGGCTGCCGAGGCTGATGCCATCCTCAAGACCACCGTCCCGGTATGCATACATGCCCGTCACCCACAGCGACACCGCTTCGGGTGACTGCATCGATGCAGCACCCCGCACATTGACGCTCGTATCGAGGCCCCTCGAGCACCGGAGGCATTGGGGATCACGGCTCTTACACAACCACCGTCCGCGTTCGGTCTTGATCAGGAACTTCCTATCCGGCAATTTATCCTGACGAACCTGAAGGAGCAGCCCGGCCTACCCTATCTCAAGTTTCGTGTGAACCTGGCCACCATCCACGACTCGCTCGAGAAGCTCTGGGCCTTCCCATACGAGAACACCAACCGCACCTTTGACCATCCGACGCTGTTCCTGGGGGGTAAGCGGGACCGATATGTCTCGCCTCAGTCGCATCCAGCCATCCAAAAATTCTTTCCCAAGGCGACGATCACGTACATGGACACGGGCCACTGGTGAGAATGCCGCTCTCGATCGGGTCAACAGGCTCGCATCTGCATATCAACCGCACGCGGCCTGGATCGGTGCCGTGCCTGATGACACACGGAGTCTAACGCCTCGTGGCGGTTTGTCTTGGATCGTCGTCAGGATCCATGCAGAGAAGCCCGAGGAGTTTATGCAGCATGTCACCAACTTCCTCAAGCCCTGACGACGCTGTCGGAATCCCCGTTCCGGCGCCGCTCCTCTTCAAAGACCAAGTCGCTCTCTGCTGCCGATAGCCGCGCAGTCCTCCGCATAGATGTTGCTCTGCTCTTCCGCAGAGTGGTGGGCGTTCAATATCACTCCATGTCCATTCACGCAAGCAAGTAAATGCATGCAAATGCCGGCAATGTCCTTCCAGCACCGAGCCCATGAGCGAGAACGGGGATGTCCTCGGTCGGCCGCGGCCAAGCTGTCGAGCCCGATTCACAGTGTGCGCTTGGTCACGTGCCGTCCCTCCCGGAAAACGAGAGCGCCAGCGAGACGCAGCCGCCCTCGGTTTTGTTGCGCCTGACATTTTTGGTTGGATGAAAGGCAGAGCAGCCAGAATTGACGACGGGCAATCTGTCCTCTGCCCGACGCCGGCTGCATCTGGTCCTGCTCCGCCGCCGTGCTGCACTATCCGCCAGACTGTTGTCAGGTATGGGGGCTGCAGTCCAAGACCTTGGGGCACTGTGCTGTCCGGACTGCTCGAGCCATATTGGTCATCGGGATGCCGTCGCCAGCAAATCGTCAAGACAACGAACCGTGTTCATCGCCTGCCGGCTCCAGACCTCCAGCTCTCATGCCTTTGGCGGCCAGAGAGCATACGCACAGCAAGTATATGAAATGGCTATGGGTCGCTGACGACCCCCCCCGTTTGCTCGAATCGCTCTCCAAACTCTGCTTCCTCAGAACCATCTCGTCCCGAGCGACGTCCGACCCCCGCTTCGGCTCTGTTCGCCCGACTTCCGCCTCCTCAACGGCCGCTCGCGATCAATCAGAAGCAATCCACATCGAGCCCGATGCATGAAGAACAGAGCTCGCTGAAGCCCAATACCAGTCGGCCATCGAATGTCTACAAGTAATGATAGATCTCCCTTCCCTTCGTTCCTGCCATGATCGGCCTGTGTGGTGACGGTGCTCGTTGTCGCTGTCAAGAGTGCATGTCGAATCGCTCCTCTCGACTGAGGCTCGCACATCTTTCCACTTGCTCTACTGTAGACGGCCACAACGATCGCTTGCGACCCCGTCGCTGATAGTGACACCGTCAAATCAATCGTCCAGACCTGTAAGTGCTTCATGCAACGTGAATATTGCCGAGTCCGATGGGTCATATGTCGCCAGTTGTCCTTGGACGCTGAAGACCGGCATATTCGGGACACCCGGGCACTGCAACATTGGTGCGGCTACGTTCGAGCTCTACGCCTGATATGGTCGAGACGTTGGTTTATGCCATGAGCGCAAAGCCCCGCTCTGTTGCCGAAGCCGCCTCGAGCACGGGCATGCTGCCGATGGTTCCATCCAGCGATTGAATGTCGGCCCGATCGTCTATTGACCAGCGTATTGAAAGACCGATGATTTGTCTAATGAAGCCTGGTGACTAATCGAATTATCATTCAGCACCAAGGTGGTGCCTCGCCATACAAAATCGGTTCCAATATATCTCGTTCAAGGTTGGGGCGGACCGCTGGTATGTGGAAGATCCTCGGCAGTTGGAGAATGAAGCACTGCAGACGGAGTGCTATGGATGAAATCATGTAGATGATCATTTCGGATGGGGCACTTTGATCTGGCATTGTCTGTTAGCGGATTTGTGAGGGGAGACAATGCATCCATGGATCATTGGGTCCATATCTCGCCTGGATCCCACAGCGGGCTGCTCCCTATATCCGCTTGGCCATGCAACATTAACCGTCGCATACATTCCCATTCGCTGCTCCTGTGGTCCTATGTGATGCACTACTTTGCCATGGTTTCGACTCTTGATCGATCAAGTCCCAACCAATCGCAGTCCCCATGACAGCGTGACCAGCATGGCCGATGCTCGCGCTTCTAAATCGACACCTCAAGCACCATTGGTAAGTCTTGATTCGGCGTCGGAGTCATCCAGCCTGCTTTCAGAAGGTTGAAGTCGTTGATGCTTGTGTGGCTAATGGAGTCCCGGAATGCTTTTACTCTCCCAAGCCAAAGCGTCAGGAACTTTTGGACCATTTCATGCCTAATCCGCCGGCCACAGCTGACACTGGCACCTCCGAGCTGCCTGCTCGCACTCCAGCTCGACCAAAACCAGAACATGTGGCTATCGTAAGGTCGTCCATGAAGCAAGGGGAGCACTCACTGCCCGTTCCTCACTCGGATCGCACGCCGCTAAAACAACGCGGGAGTCATATTGCCGAAATCAGTGACTTGGACGTGCCGACGGCCCCGCACCCCAGAAAGACAGACACCTCGCGATCAGCCAGCCCCACGAGGCACTCATCTCTACCGTCAGTCTCCCACTATTTTCAAAAGTCCTCGAGTACGGATGACCAAACTGACCTGGAGCCCTCGAATCATGTGCCCAACTTACTCTCGGTCATGCGACCCCGCTCCATCCACCGCATCCGCATCAACCAGATGAAGCCTGCAGAGCCACCAACTGTTGCGCCCATAACCGCTCAGACACCTGCGGCCGACCGAGACATGATCATGAATGCCGTGTCCCTCGAGTGCATTGAAAAGTCCACTGCGGAAGCCAAGGATTTCGGCGCCAGCAAGCTGTTCATCGGGCACCAAACAGTGACCATCCGTGAATACGCAAAGCAGCACATTTTATGCACAGTTAAAGGTGCCAGCATCAATGTACGATATTGCCGGTGACCATGATATCGCCCCGACAGTGGATGCAGGTCACTTGCTGACTAGACGCGATGCCACTGGGCCTTCTGAGACGGCACAGTCACTGATCTCGGCGGCATGCAGACGGGGAATATGCGCTGTGGTAGTCGGCGATGCTGCCGTACAATGCGCAGGATGGTATCCTACTGCGGTCGGTGCGTCTACGGTGCTTAAACTGTCAACGATGTTCTCTATATCGCAGGTCTATATGGGTGGCAAAGAGATAGCAATTCTCTTTGAAGAGAAGCGCGAGGACCGACTCTGGGTAGCCCGACTGGAATCCACGACTAAGGCGCTCGCATTACTAAATCGATTTGACGAGATATATGGATCCAAGTGCATTAAAATCAGGTACGTCCGTGGCCGGCACAATATCCAAGGTTTCGGAATGATGATCTCCCTTTCCGGCCACTCTTCCTATTGCGCGCTCTACCATGCTACCGCCCGGATCTGATGCTAGATGTCGCTCCCTGTAGCCGCGAGCAGCTAGTAAATGACTATGCCCTGGGCCTCAGCTATCGTGCGACACGAGGGCTTGGTTCGGCAATACCCACGACGCCCAAAGTAGCAGGGCACCAGCCAAGCCGACTGGAGGGCGGGGTGTCTGCGAGCCCAGGACGGACAATTGATGATGTCGCCGCGTCGCCTCGAGCCAAACCTTACATTGGGGGCGTCGGGTCGATTGGCCGATCGCTGTCTCTGAGGACCCGCCGGCAAGCCAGCACAGCCAACGTCAACGACCAGGACGCACTTGTCATGGCCAAAACCAACCCCAAGGAGGAATCTGAGTGGCGAAAATACCTCGCTGGAAATCCAGAGTACGTTCAGAATACCGCATGCCAGCAGGCAAATGTGAGGGGTCAACGTCATGATTGGACTGGATGCAACTCATGGCCGATCCGCTCTATGTCCTTCAGTGCTATTACATGCACGCAATCGATTGCTGGCTAATCCGAACGATGCAGTTTCTATCTCATCTATCCCCCCGGCGAGGTCGGGGCTATACCCGTCACCAATAGCGATGCAATCCGACTCGATGAGGGCGAACTGTTCAACGATACGCTGATCGCGGCATACTTCAAGTAAGTAACATGCGCATCGGCCCATTTCCAACGTCTTCAGTGTGTGTACACTGCCCGCGATGGTGCACACTGCATATACATGTGTCATCTCTTCACGCTCTCTAACTGGCCCTGTCCTGATCTCTCCGATTTACCTGGCTGGCGCACAGATACCTGTATAATAGCTGGAGCCCGATTCAGCGAGAGAGTGTGCATCTTTTCAACTCGCATTTCTACGACTACATCTCGGCACCGAAATCCAAGAGCCAGAGCGAAGAGGAAGCGTGAGTGGATGGATTCTGTTGTGGCTCTCGCCCGCTCCGAATATTGGCGGTCGAGAGCGAGCGTTGCCATGAGGAAGGCGCCTTCGCTTGCGCCATCAGCCAGTCTCACGCCCCCGTTACGTCCGTGAACCACAATCGCAGGCGACTACGCGGCTACGAAAAGGTCAAGAAGTGGACAAAAAACGTCAACATCTTTGAAAAGACATATGTGTTTGTCCCGGTCAACGAAAAGTACGTATATGTCGCGCCGTCGAGCCGATCTTGGACCCTGAGGGGGTACTATGGCAGGCTGGATGCTGGCGAAGCACTCATCATGGCCACCACCACCACCACCACCACCACCCGCGCGTGCCGATCGCTAATCGATTCTATTTTCGGTGTCAGCTTCCATTGGTATCTGGTCCTGATCTACAATCCGGGTGCCTTCGTCCGAGCCGTCGAGCGCGAACGCAATGCGCTAGCGAGTGATGTTGATGAAGTGGTCGATGAAGGCATGATACCAGGCTTGCCTCCGATTGCAGACCATACATTCGACAACGAGCACGACAAGGCATATAGGTCCCTCAAGCGGAAGCGGCCGACCAACGAACACGGCCAAACCGGGCCGCCGCCGCCCTTGTCGCACTCCAGGGCAAAGACAACGCCAGACTCGCTGGCATCGATTGAAGTTGTGGAACCGGATCTGCCGATCCAGATCCCTGACTCGTACGAGCCCGATGATGAACTTAGCGCCAGCCCGGCAACTGACACGGATAGGGCCGACGTTAGTCGTTTCCGCGACGATGATGAGGCCGATGGGTCGATGCAGCTGGCTGACAACGACATGCCGAGTCTGCTGCTGCAGTCTCACAGTGTCCGGCTCGATGACGATATGGAAATGATGGATGAAGATCCTTTGCCAGAAGCAGTCGACAGCCCAGCACCTGCTGTGATCGCCGCTCAATCCGATGATGATGGATACACGTCGACACGTCCGACGACGCCCATTCCCGGGGCTCGAAATCTCGATCAGCAAAGGCTGAGGATCCTTGCTGACAAAGCAAAGTACATCAACGACCAGGAGAAAGTCCGGGACATGGGCATGGCGGACTGCCGTATCTTTGTGTTTGATTCACTCAATGGCACTCGCCGGTCGGTCAAGAACATCATATCGTGGTACCTTATCCATGAAGCCAAGGAGAAGCTCAAGCTGGATATCTCGGAACAAGTGCGGCAAAGCGGGCGACTCTTCTATACAAATGTCAAGGTTTGTCGAGATGGGTGCACTTGGGTAGCTGCTGTCGAGGGTAGTCCGGCGGACCGCAAAGGCATTCGCTGACGCACCCGTCTGCTTCTCCAGTGCCCCAAGCAAGACAACTACTGCGACTGCGGCGTGTTTCTACTCCATTACGTCGAGGTTTTCATGAGCAATCCTGAACACCACCTCACAGGAATGTTTGTAAGTACGGCACTCTGTCAGGGGTGGATTGCCAGCCGCCTCTGCGTACGACGTACGAGGGCGGCCGACCGGCCAACTGATCGATATGTTGGCCCGAGATGCTCATGTGCGTGCCTATAATGTTCATCGCAACCACATATTGGCAGAACAACCTGGACATTGGCGAAAAATCGGGCGATCCTATGTTTCCGCTCTCAGACATCCCGTCCAAGCGACTGATGATGATCGAGCTCATGAAAATGTGGCACGAGCAGTATACCAGCTACCTGAACCGCCAAAAGCGATCCGAAACAAAGTACGATTCCGGCGACGATAGCTCCTCGGATCTGGAGGAGGTGGTGCCGATCTCCAACTCTCCATCCAAGCGATATGAAGCAGTCGAGCCGCCGCCGGCACAGGACGACAGCCCCGAACGAGAGACTAGTCCCGACGGCAGCGCACCGTATCAGCACGACGACAACGATACACGTTATCAGCACGACGACAGCGACGACATTAATGCCGAGGACGGTGTCGCTGACGACTCCCAGCTCATCAGCAGTAATTACGATTATGATGCTGAACATAACGCTGGCCATGAAGATGCCATCGGCTTTCTGGACCAGGAGGAGCTACATGACTCCCACGGCACACCGAAGGCATATGACGTGCAAACCACCATGGATGAGGGTGTGGACGATAACAACGAAGCAACGGATGCACCGGAAAGCCCCATCGGCGAACTGAGCGAGCTGAGCAAGCACCTGCGCGACGCTGCTGAGCGGCTCGCTGATGATGCTTTCGGGCTCCCCGACGTTGAAGCTGAAGAGGTGCTCGATGATGACGATGATGTCGCCGACGAAGAGCTCGAAAGCCACATCGTTGAGGAGGAGCTCGAAAGCCACATCATTGACCAAGGGTTTGAAAGCCACAGTGTCGACGGGTTTGAAAGCCACATCATTGACGAAGAGCTCGAAAGTCACATCATCGGCGAAGGGTTTGAAGGTCACGCCGTTGCTGAAGAGCTCGAAAGCCACATCATTGACGAAGGATTTGAAGGTCACATCATCGACGAAGGGTTTGAAGGTCACGCCGTTGACGACGAATCCGATGACCACGCCGAGGAGACTGATGGAGGCGTGGAAGAGCCCGAGAGCAGTGCCGCCAATGATGCCGAGATAGTTGCGGAAACCGCCAGCAGCCACTCCGAGCTGTCCGATAGGGAGACGTATTTTGAGATCCTCAAGCCCGAAGCGTCCAATCGGATTACGCTGGATCCGGCGCTGTTCCCGAGCACACCACTTCGGCGCTCGAATCGCCACTTTCGGAGCAGCAGCGGACTATAGACTCGAGGGTGGGCAGGCGTGCTTCAATGAGGCGCCAAGCTCTGCATCGGAATACATCAAACTCATTTTGAAACGAGGGCGTTTGGTTTCCACAACACCGTTCCTCGTCGACGGTGGCTGGGTTGTATCTGCCCGAGCGCTCTCTGGCCACCGATCGCCAACGAGCAGCACCTTCCATCTGAACGGCCACAGCGAAGGCACTGGGGGGTGGACATATCATTGGAGGGCGAATTGGTGGGGCCCTCGCCATAGCCTGCTCCCTGCCACCTTGATGACGGAAAGCGAGACTGGGCTCTGCCAGCAACCAAGTCTCTCGAGTCGGAAGACGCAGCTTCCCCCTCGCCGCATATCGATGAGCACTCAACCCTCTCGTCCATTTTGTGCCAGCGCGATCGACCAGAGAAGCCCTTCACGAGTCAGATACCGTCGTAGTCAGAATTTAGGCATGTTTGCATTCATGATGAATAATTCATAACACTCCAGTCATCATTGTGAGGGTTCTCTGTCGCTTGCTGGCACAGCCCTCTCTCGCTCCCCGTTGCCGGTAACGGACAATAAAACAGAAATATGCTCCTGGGACACCAACTCGAGATGGCCGAGCAGAAGCGAAACGATGGTGCGCAAGCAGAGCCGCCTGCGGACAGAAGGACAGACCCGGCCAGCGCCGACGCATACAGAATCCAGCATATGCACCTGCAAGCAGGGCTACCCTCAACTATCTGGCGCAGATCGGGAACAGAGCTCCCGTCGTCTGGCGCGTTCATCATCCTCGGGTAATATGTGGTATTAAGTATGTTGTCAGTCTGTAGGTATATCCTAAGACATTGGCGAAAGAGCGGCTGCCGCCCGCGCCACTGTTTTATAGTGCAGCGAGACCCAAGCCACACGCCACGTGAATGTGGCTTGGCCGATCAACCACGTGATTCATTTGGTGTGATCAAGCGATCCCGGTTTTACACCGCGAGACCGACGGCGAGGCGAGAGCGAGGTGAGAGCGAGATTGGCGTCTGGGCAACAGCCGATAGGTGTGCTGGCGCGGCCGCATGCCTGTTCGGATCGCACTCCGGGACTGCGATGTGGCCGCTTCAGTGTTTGGATGGATTTCATGGCAATGTGCAGTTCCTTGGGAATCGAGTGCTTGGGAATCGATCTCCCGAGGCTCTGCGAGAAGCAGCCGAGAGCACAGGCATCTCTCTCGATTTTGTGACCGCATGAACCCGCGTCATGTCGGCATGTTGATCCCCAACCATCCAAGCAGCCATCCAAGCAGCCATCCAAGCAGCCATCCAAGCAGCCAAGGCGAATGGCGATCGTATCCAGGACGGCAAAAGCGACGCTCGAGCCGCTGCTCAAGTACCTCAGCAACATATACTCGGCCCAGCAACTCGATGAGCTCCTCGAGGCATACAGTGTGACCCGGAGATCCAGCTTCCGACTCAACACTCTCAAGCTGTCGTCGCCCGATGAGCAACGACAGTGCATCGCGGAGCTGGCTCGGTCGCTGCAAGCGTCCAAGAAGACCAAGGGCGCTCGGCTTACTCCAACACCGTTCAGCCCCCTGGCCTTTGCTGTGTCGGATCCATCGGTCAACATTCGGCACTTCCGTCCGTCCCCATACTACAAAAATGGCCAGATCTTTTTCCAGTCGCTGTCGTCGATGCTACCGCCGTTGGCCCTCGGGGTCGAGCCCGGGATGTCGGTCCTGGATATGTGCGCTGCTCCAGGTGCGTGTCGCCAGATCACCATGGATCTTGTCGATTCTGTGGCGACAGCTTGGCCCTGCTCACCACCAACCCCAGCGAGTCTAACAGCACAAAATCCCTGAAACCTTCCTCCTGGATATCTTCTGGCTGCTCGGGCAGGCGGGAAAACGCTGCAGCTCGCCGAGCTGGTGGGAAAGCGTGGCAGCGTCGTCGCCAACGATATCAACGTCATCCGTGCCTCGATACTTGCAAAAAACGTGGATACTGTTCTGCCAACCAGCCTCCGGCGGCTCGTCAAGGTGAGAGACACATTGGTGGTGTCGCTTGGAGCCACAGTCCAAACACAACCGGCCATCAAACATGCCGACCAGCCGAACTTGATGTGATATCGCGGCCGGATGCCGAGTACAGCCACAAGCTCACTCTTGCGTCTAATTGCAGATTCGGATTGTTGATGCGACAAGAATGCGGCTCTCATCGGCGCCGGAGATCGACCTTTCTGCACAAACCAACGACGAGCTTCCTGACTCTGACATGGCCCCCGTAAGCTACCCGACGGTTGAAGAAATAGAAGAGCTGGCTCGGCAGCATCAGAAGATGGCGCAGGAGGACTCGAACACTCGCAACCGCATATTCGACCGGCCATTCGATGCCATCCTCCTCGATGCTCCATGCACTGGCGAAGGAGTCATCCATCTCAGTCACCCAAGTTCATACAAAAGCTGGAGTCGGCAATGGGTTCTGCAACACTCGCGGTTGCAGCGCCAGCTTTTGAAGTCGGCGCATGCCCTGCTGAAGCCCGGAGGATCGCTCGTCTATTCGACATGCACTCTCGGCACGGAGGAGAACGAAGCCGTCGTCGACTGGTTCCTTAAACGATACTCGGATATGGCCATTGTCCCTCTGGGAGGAGCCATGTCTCAATTTGCTCCGTCACCAGCCAAGGGCATGCCCAAGAAGGGCGTTAATCTCTGGAACGACGGCGATGACGACGACAACCCGCCGCAGCCGTTGCCGACCGGCTTTGGGCCTGGGATCGTGCGGGTGCCTGGCGGACGATTCCATCCTTCTCTGCGCATGGCCCTGAGGGTGTTTCCATCGGAGGACTATGAGGGATTCTTTGTCTGTCGCCTCCAAAAAGCACAATAACTTGGCATGCAATCGTTGGCACCCGCACATAGACATCACAACTCATTTCATGATGGGGGGGGGCTTCATGTTCGCCGCCTCGCACAGCTCTGTCTGGCTGGATGTTCTTGGCAGGCCGCACAGAATCAGAAGCCGCTGTAACAGCGTATCGCCACGTCCAGTTTCAGCGGCCCTCGCTGATCGTCGTCCTGGTTCATATATTCAGCAGTGCAGCACTGACTACCCGGCAATCACACCAAGGATGTTCACAACGAGCTGGCCACGGTGGTCCAGCGATGGGCATGGCACGGCTGTTCTCCGGATTCGTGCACATGCTTTTCAGTTCCAAGAGAGGGCTACACATCATGTACAATCACCCATCAACAGCCATCCTGTTCAGCTCCGGCCTCTCGTGTCGCTTTGCATGGCTTGGCCTTGCTTCAGGATGATGGCAGTCAGGGCCTCAGACATGGAGACGTTGGGGTTGTTGGCTTGTCGCATTCCCCGGAGACACGCATTTCGGATCATTTTGGGCCATAGCTCGTTGAAGAGCTGGAGTTTGGTGTTGCAGTCCAGGCTTTCTTTGACAAGCGACTGGACGACTAACTCGGCCAGCATATGTCCCAGGGTCGTTTGGTTGTGCAGTCAAGTGTTGGCACAGCTGTCAGCACTTGCACTGTCGCCATCGCCGGCCGCTCACGACAGGATACATGTCGATCCGCCCACAGCAATCGCCCAAGTGTCCCTCTGCCTCCCTCTCCCGACGTACATGAGTGCACGAAATTTCGGTGCCGGCTCGATTTCGTCGATACCGCCTTGCCTATAGACATCACCTCTTTGGTCTCGGCCCGCTCCTCTGGCGGGGATGCAGTGCCGAGTCGCCACGTCTGGCTGATGTCGTCCAAGCATTCCGCCTGATAAACCGGCAGCTGATAGTCTGGGACCTTCGAGATAATGAAATTGGGTACCTTTTCGACGACTCGGCGCAGCGGCCCTATTGATACAGAGGGTTCTTTCTTGTTTCAGTAGCGGTCGCAAGACAGAGCATCGCTGTGCATTCGAAAGACCGAGCCATCGCCCCGCTCCACAGCACAACCCGCATTTGTGAGCCGACCGGACTCAGCGCTGGCCGGTATCTTGCCATACACAATAGGACGATGCCTGCCCCTTGCAATACACTTGCAAACAAGACCGAAGCGTACCGAACTTGGCCTGTGCTTCCTCCCAGTCGGATTCGGTCACTTCGACGCCGCAGAGCCGCTTGAGCGGCAAGTGCGAAAGCCGAAACAGCGTGTAGGGCCGGAACAGCGGCAAAGTCGAGACGATGTTCTGGTCTCGAACAATGTCAAGCTCTTTGATGCCGCGCAAGACGCATAGATGGTTGATCTGTCCATGAGCGATAGTCAGGTCTGAGGTGAGCCCTTGCCTGGACTGCACCCAATTCGATCGATCAATCGTGTCACAATCCAAGATCGGCGGTGGGTTGCTCGACGAGACCCTGCCCCACAGCAGAGGAAGGTCACGTCTCATCATCAAGAATCCGGCTCTCCAAGGGGGCCAAGTTCGTCTACCTGCTTGAGTCGATTCAGCATATTGTCTGAAAACGTGAGCGACTCCAGATTTGGGAACCGCCTCAGCTTCGGCAAGACTTGCACGATTTTCGAAAAGTTCACGAACGAAAAGTGGATGGAGACAACAGAACCGTAGTCGAGGCGGTCGAGTATGGCCAGCGCATCGCCGTATCTGATGCATCCGAGTTGGTTTGGCCAGATGGAGAGAACCGCTCTTGTGAGCTGAATGCTCTTGCTCCAATCAGATGTTCATATTGCCTCGGCCACTGGGAGCAAGATATGGCAGACAGCATAGTACATACGTCGAGAGCTGCCCATTCTGGAGCTCGACAAAGGCGTTCTGCCCATCGAACAGCTTCACTGCCGGGGAGTTTCGAAAATGGGCCAAGGTCCTGACAATGAGTTGCATGGTCGCCGAAAACCCTCATAGCCCAACGACGACAGCACTCGCCCAAGTCCATCTACATCCAGCCATCCATGCAAATATCTCAACTCCCGCACAAAGCCGTAGCTCATCAGAAACCGATGCACTTGGGTACCTTCTTCTGCCGCACTTCGGCGAACCTTCCCGGCGCTGGGTGCACGCACCAGCGGCTTCGCCGACGAGATGCTTGCAGTGTCCCCAACTGCGGACGCTGCCGACACATTTGGTTGATCAGGTTTGGTGCCACTGGAGTCCTCGGCCTTTGAGCTGATGTTTGCCAGCTCGGCTTCCCATTTCCGTTTGATGTCGGCAATCACACGTTTTCTGGATCCAAAGAATTGACAGGCACACCGCTCCGTCTCAGATTCAGAGCAACATGGGCATTGGCACACCCTGGAGCGCTGATTCGTCCACCAGCCACGAAAAATAGCCCCGCCATCGCGGCTGTCGGCCAGTTGTGTAGTGCACGAGCCTGCAGCACGGAGGACTCGTTACCTCTCTTCAAGCTGAAACGTAAGCCTGTCGCTCTCGCGCTTGCGGTCTGCTTCCCGTTTTGAGATCTTTGCAGCCGCACGCCGTTCATCGTCTCCAATTCGCTTGCCGTCCATGAGTTTCAGGGTCTTCATTTTATGGATAATGAAGGGCTTTGAGTACTGGTCTTCGATTATTGGATTTGAATCGATACACAGCTCTGCGGCAAATGAGCAGGCAGAGCTGAGCGCGCGATTGCAGTCCGAGCGATCGAGAACGCACATCAGCGACTCTCGACTGCAGTGGCTGATGTCCATCATATGAAGCAGCCGCTCGTGGGCTCAGCGCGGGCTGTTACCTATCAGATGCGGAATGCGATAAATGTCCTGAATGCTGTCGAGCGACGATATGGTGTTTATGGAGAGGATCAAGCGCCGCAGATTCTGCAGGCTCGCAACATCTTTGACAAGAGCAATCTGTGTAAAGACGAGCAGCCACGAAAGAAATGGCGGTCCTGAGCGTCAATAGATGATCGCCATGTTGCTCAAGCTCCTGTCGCCAAAACAGCCACACCATATATGCCGGCAGACTGTACTCACCTGATTTCGTCGCAGATTGAGCTCGGCCACCGAGCTGAGCCCAATGAAATTGGATGCCTCGAGGATGCGGTTGTCCTCCAGGTTTAGAACACGAAGCTCGGAAAGGTGGCTGATGTTTTCTGATGAGTCGATTCACGGTGGATCAGACTCGGCAGCAGCTCGACGGGTTCGCACGGCCTTCAGGTTGGATCACCTGTCGATTGCTCATGCCCACTGCTCATGCCCACGAGGTCCATATCAGCAGAGAGCGTCGCGACGCATCTCCTTGGTCCATACTGACCTATGACCGATATCTGGTTGCTGTGGAGATCCAGGACGTCCAAGCCGTTGAGGTTTTCCAATCCCTCGATTCGACGGATGCGGTTCCTACCAAGCATGAGCACCCGCAGGTTTTGAAGATGCGACAGGCCTGATATGCGCTGCATGCAAACGACGAGTGAGACTTGTGTCTCGTACCCACCAACCCCATTCTTCGCCGCCGTGATTGTCCTGATGGGCGATGCGGCCAGCGACGGCGCCCAAAAGTGATCCAACTGCCGCAGAAGCTGCAATGGGACATGTTTGGAGCCGTCCCTGTGCTTTATCCTCGAGCTCAACCCACCTCGATGTGATTGTTGTAAAAGTCGAGAAAGACAAGGTTTCTCAGATTGGTCAGATTCTCGATCTTTGATATGAAGTTGCTCTGGTAGTTGAGAAGCCTCAGCCGCTCTTCTCCGGAGAGCAAGAGACAGGACTAAGGGGTGGGGGCGTTCGCCACAGCAACCACGCAATGGAATTAGAGTCATCGCGATTGTACAAGCTGACATTCGGGTCTATGTAGAGCTTTGTGCCAAGTACGATGTTCACCAAGATGCCGATCAAGATATCGGCTGTGCTGGCAGCGATCGCCAGGATCGAGCGTGGAGTTGGGGGGGGGCTTCGGGAATCTAGTCCGGCTGTATCATTCAGTGGGGTCACCTACGTAGAGGTTCTTGCGGTTCAGATTGAGCCGTTCTGGGTTCAGATCCTTCTCTTCGTCGGTCCGGGCAACCTTGATGGCACAGCAATGTTTACACGAGGAGTATCAGCGCCAGGGTCTCCAGAACGGTCCGGCACAATCGACCCACTCGGATTGCATTGCCTTTCGACACCGCACCTCGGGGGTAGGCTTTGTGTTTGATTTGTTGGCAAGGTTTGCCATGCCCTCGGCAATGTCGTCGTTGAGCCTCTTCATCCAGGTGCTCACAGCAGGCGGCATGATCGAGCTCGCTGCGGATGCCAGCGGCCCGCTCAGAGCAGAGGAAGTGGAGGGTGCCATACTTCCACTGCCCTGTCCTGCCTGTTGGGCCTGCAGCAGAAGCTGTTGCTGTGATTGTCCGAGGCCGGCTATGCTCGAGGATCTGGGTGCATAGATCGGCGTCTTGTATGCAGAGATGGTCATGCACGCGGCCTTGGGGGTGCTGGATGCGGTTTGTAGGCTGTGACTGGGAGGTGCGGTACTTGCTGGTTGCGATGAAGCAGGCTGGGCTGTTGGGTGGTTCGAGGCCGAGACGGCGGATCCCTGCGAGCCTGGATGCTGTTGCGACTGCTGGGACTGGTGGGCGTGAGAACCGGTAAAGGCCTTGGCGACCAGAGCACCTTGGACCAGCGGCCCACGGGCCTCATACTCCCTCTGCGTGACAAATGTCCCGCCATGCAGTCCTGGTTGCGCTGCCGGATCGGCACTCTTGGCGGCTGTTGGAGTTAGTGACTGGACAGAGACGACATGGGGAAGTCATAATCACAGCCATCAGTCTCAGAGAAGGGGAGGCGTCGATGTCGCCAAGAACTAGCGTCTAGTCAGGAATACTCAAGGCGCTCTGATCCACTTGGGCAAATACCTCAATGTGCAACGAGGGCGAAGACGACCACGCCATCTTGGTTTCTTCTGTCATTGTAGTAACGCACAAATGATAGTGAGTATCGCGGCATTGAACTGAGAGAGTGCCCGAGGGTTGGTGCGGCTGCATGCTTACGGGAGGACTTTTCGACGATCCGCTCGCGATTTGCGATCGTGTGGGTCTTGGATCGATAAAGCTTTTGCATCTGGGTTGATTTGCGGCAAGAATTTCCACAGGACCGAAAAGCAACCGGATGGAAATTATCAGGAAACAGCGGCGGAGGCACAGACTGCGTCGCCGAGAATAGGACGTTTGACGGCGTGGAGGCCGACATGGGATGTCTGTCTCGCTTGATGAGCAACAGAGTCCGAACCCGGTTCAATCGAGAGCGTACCAGCTTTTCGTTGCTCTGGGCCGTGTTGATGACGGCTGAAGTGCCGCTGTATGTGACAGTAACCTCGGCCAGCCGGCTGGGGAACAAAACACGTCGATCGCCGATTAAACGATCTGCCATGGTGCATCTGCATCTGCATCATGCGGTCCCTCGGCGGATGCGACAGTCTCTCGCGACAGCATTGAATCTAGCGAACCTGGACATCCCGCTGGTGGAGGAGGGTCGCGACGACGACGACGAGGATCTGAGGCGGCTTGCATTCGTCGTCGAGGAAGGTCGGCTCGAGGGACCGGTGCTGGTCTTCTTTGGCCGATTTGCCGAGTTTGCCGATGATGTCCGCAGCATGTCCAGGGGGTGGTGGGAAGGAAACGATATTGCAACCCGATTACAGCGGCGTTGGAGCGGGTGGATGGGCACTGCAGCAAACTTAATTTGATTAGCGCGGCTTGCGTGGGTGGTGTGGGTTGTGTGGGTGGTGTGGGTGGTGTGGGTTGTGTGGGTTGTGTGAATCAGACGGCTTTGATCAACAGCCGGCGAGCGGCGACCTGATTGGAATCATGTGTTGTGGGCGAGAGGGCATGTGGGGCCCTGATTCGCAAAGGTAATGCCAGTCACTACCAGAGAGATTCGGCTCTGGCGCCTGTCCATGCATCGCTCTGTTGGGCGGACGAGTGAAAGGGAACGCTCCAGCTATGATGTGACTGCGTCTTTACAGGCAATCCAATAAAAAACGGGACACCCGGGATTTTGACCATTCATCGAATATTTTGTTACCCAATGTTATCGCGCGCTGGCCATGACCATTCGCCGCTGGCACTCCGAGACCAGTGTGCAGGTCGATTGTGGAGACCGGAGAGCGACCGGCGGTCTTCACTCGGAGGCTGCCAAAGTGATATGTTTTATTTATTGTGGCTTTGCTTGACGCAAGCACAGCACATACTACATGTTCATGGAAACGGCTATATTGTCCCGTTTTTTTCTGAATAAAGTGTATTGGTGGGTTGTGTCTTTATTGATGGGTTTCGTCGGCGCTGCTCTTTGCTGGCTACATGATCATGCACTTGGAGTCGCCCTGCGAGTCCTGTCTCTTTGGCCTTTGCTCTGGGTGAAGGCGGCCCTGGTTTGTCTGTTCCTGCTGGTTGCTGGCATAACCAGGGTACTGCTCATAATGCTGGTCGCCAGGTTGCATATGCATGGACGCTTGGATCTGCTGGTTGCGGAGCCTAATGGCTTCGGCTTGGACACGCTCTTCTTCTTGGAGCCGCAGAGCGAGTGCCAGGCTATTGGAGAGCAGGATGAAGCACAGCGAACGAGTATCAGCCAACTAGGACTATTTTAAACCGACCGGTCCAGCGCAGTCCGAGTGCACAGAGCTGCGGAAGGAGGATGTTTGCATCGAGACGGCGACATACTCAGAATCATGGGTTGTCGTCGCCGGGCCATGCTCCCAGTTTGACTCTCCGTAGTCGAACAAGCGCTCCTGGTCGATCGAGGACTGGCTGATCTCTTGGTACGGGCGGAATTGGTCGTCCAAAAAGATGGAGTCGCCATCGACACTTGCGAGCGATTCCCAGACGACGCCTTCGGTGCGCAAGAAGCCCTGGTCCGTGACGAGCGTGAAGAGCTGGGATCGATCGTCCTTGTAGAGAGTGTAAAAATGGTTGTTGCGGAACAACACCGAGATGGAATTTGACGGGAGTGTCTCCTGCAGCAGCCTCAGTCCGTGAGGGGTGAGCTGCGATGCGCTCATTTCGAGGAACTGTTGGCAGACGAAACCTGTTTGATTGATGATCGGGCACCGGAGTAAGAACTCGGAAGTGACGGTGCCGGCATGAAGCACATGCGAGGAGGGTCTGGTGATACTCGGCAAGGAGCTATCAAGCTCCGCCATACGATCGTCATTCAAACACATTCACGGGCGCGGCTCGAATATGGCTATCCATCGGCTTTCACAAACTCGAACACTCTGCTGACCTTTATGAGCAATCTCCTGGAGCTTGGGATCTTGGGCCAGCAGCGGGTTGGTGGAAGCAATATCGGCCTCGATGACTTTCTCGACAACCTTGTTGTAGCAGCCCAGCTCGCGAACAACAATGTCGTAAAAGGTGCTGTCGCTCGAAGAGATTGTCCAGCCATGGCAGAGCGACACACCAAAGATGTCAAATAGCAGCAACGCCGGAGTCAGCTCGAACGAATATGGCGAGTCGAACTTGACGTTGACGTCGAGGCCGCGCTGGAGCAAGGGGATGGTGTTCATGACATCCTGCAGGTTGTGGGAGAAGTTGGCCAGGTCCTCGGGTAGATTCGAGAGACGGAGGTTCTGCTCGTTCTGGAGGAATCGAGGAAGCCGCAGACATTAGCTCCCGGTTTGGCCAAGCACCGAGATCCGTTGAGCGAGCTCGCCAAGAGCAAGGTCGCCAAGAGCAAGCACAAGACCGGTACTTACCGCCGCCATCCTTGTCAGCATATAGTCGCCAATGAGATCGACGAGGTGCTGGTAGGTGATTGACGGGAGGTCCGGGTGGATTTTGATGGCGCCCCGCAGCAAAAGCACATTTGCTATCGATGGCAGGACGCAAATACGCGATGCATAGACGGAAAGAATGGATCGGGAATGAGCGTTGCCATCCGTGGACACGGCAAAGAGTCGGCATAACCAAGGCGGGCACCAGCACAGGGAACATGAATGACAGTAATGATTTGCACGCAGAGTAAGATACCGACACAATGCCAACAAAGGACAGGGGCCGTTTCGGTTCTGCGTGATGATTCGCAGCGGCTTGGGATTGCCGGTGAGGACGGAGAACCAGCGGATGGGCTTGAGATGGTACTCGGTCTCGGCCGAGTCGTCAGGGGGCTGCATGCCGGGCTCGGGTGCGGGCGGCTTGGGCAGCTCTTTGGCGTTCAGATTGCCCTCGAAGACAGGACCAGGCGGGGGTTGCGAGTGAGAGGGAGCAGGCTCGGGCGTACCCAGTGGGATAGTAGCTGAGTTGTTGGGCCGAGAGTGTGCAGCGTCGTCGATAGGGCCGGATTCGGCATTGTTGGCCAGCGGTTGTCCGGGATTGCCGGGTGAGGAGAGTGCAGCATCGTCGCAGAAGGGATGGCTTGGCGATGTGGGCGTGCGGGGCAGAGGAACGCTTGCAGCAAGGGCAGTCGAATCTTCGGGCAGAGCCTGCATGGCGACGGATTGATCAAGCCGAGCAGATGCAAGCGAAGCAGCGGGGGAGGGAAGGCAGCGCGGCGGGCGGCAAGAAAATGGAGCGGGGACATGAATCTTGGCGGTGCGCAGACAGAGTTTGGGTTGGATTTGGGCAGCCAAGGGCGGCCCCGGGCGGGCAGCGATGATTGCGGTGGCGATGGATGCGATGGGATGGATGCGATGGCGATGGTGATTGCAGATTGAAGATCGGCAACATACTTTGCACATGAACAGACGGGGCAGAGTTCCGTCTGCATCAAACGTGCAGTTTGAGAAAGCCAGGGTTGAGCAACGCCATATTCGATAAAGCTTGTTCGATAAAGGCGATCGCCCTCCGAATGAACGCCATGGCCAGCACACGGTGTTTTTGGGGCAACTACATATTGGGATCTTTGGCCAATAGCCGGTTTATTATAACCCATTCGCATTATGGAGAGCAGCTGGCTGCGATACAACAGTGGTCGTTGGGGAGGCAACGAACCAGGGCCGACAGACAAGGGCTGTGGCGGTGTCTGCCGGGCGGGATGCTGGCTGGACCCAGTCGAACCAGTCGAACCAGTCGAGCCAGTCGAGCCAGTCGAGCCAGTCGAGCCAGTCGAGCCGGCCAGCTGGATCCGCCTCGGAAGAACGTGACCCGTCCACGGAAAAATGGCGGGGATTCTGCACCAGCGCGTGTCACCGTGTGTCACCGTGTGCAACAAACCCACGGCTGCTTGTCGCCTTGGGCAGCCAATGGGCGCTGCGACGCCGCTGCGCACGGTGCAGCCGCAGTGCGCAGCCACAGCCGCAGTGTGCGCAGCCGGCCGGCGCACATTATCGATCATTCCAAATTCCCATGGCCCGCCTTCCTTTTCGTGCCCTGTCTCGGCCGATTTCCCGCCCTGCTCGCTCTTCTTCTTCCAGCCACCGATCTGGCCTCATCTGCATTTCCCTCTCGACTCTGCCCTCCCGGCCCCAGCTCTGTGCCGACCATGAGCTCAGACAAGCCTGATCAGCCACCCCTCCCGTTGGCGAACCCGCCCAGCGACATCCCAGGCAACGCTGGCAAACCTCCTCGTCCTATCAAGGACAAGTTTGCCGGCCGGCCGCTGCCAAGCAACGAGCGTCCGCTGCCCGAGGATGTCGAGGGTTGGTTCTCCAAGGCGTTTTCGCTGTGGATGGACCCTCTCTTCTACCTCGGGTGGATGAGACCCATCCAGTTCTCTGACCTCTGGCACGTCCCGCCCGAGATTCAGAGCGCGGCCATCGCCAGCGAATTGCAAGTCTGTTGGCTTCGCCAGCTATCGCCGCCTGAACCCGCACAGTCGGGCAAGGATATCGGCCTTGAAGGCCACTCCCAGTCTCAATCTCTGTCCCAATTGCCCTCGAACACGTCCCTTCCGCTCATCGACGAGCCTGGCAAGGCAAAGGACCAGGAGCCGTCGCATGAGGCTCCTCCTGGCCCTTCTGCTCCTTCTGCTCCTCCCGCTCCCCCGGGCCACCTGCTCAGGGCTGCGCTATGGTCGTTTCTGTTCCGTCCTATGTTGCCGCTGGGCGCCCTCAAATTCTTTGGCGACCTGTGCTCGACGCTGTCGCCGCTGTTCATGCGCCTGCTCCTGGGCACCGTCGGTGGGTATCAGGCCAGCAGCTCGTTCCAAACAAGCACGCTGCTGATCCTTGAAGGGTAAGTGCTGCCGCAAATGCCATGCTGCTCAACCGAGACACCGCCGCGACGAATACCCAGCTGACTTGCTGTCCTCACGGTTGCTTAGGGTTGCCTACTCTGTCGGGCTCTTTGCTCTCCAGGTGAGTCGTCGTCGGGACCGGCCCCTGCTGTTTGGTTTTGCTGGCGGCCAACATGATACTTTCTTGTGGTCCTGCGGTCGGTGCTCATCGCGCTGGCGATCTCTGCTTTGATGTTGTCATCTAGTTCATGTCCGTGGTGCTCCTGAACAACTTTACCCTGCGGACAACCAAACTCGCTCGTATCGCCCGCTCGTCGCTGTCGGCTCTGATATACCGCAAGGTGCTCAAGCTGTCGACGCTGGCGAGACGAGAGTTTACGGGCGGCAAAGCCATCTCCATGACGGCCTCGGACTGCACCAGAATCGAGTCCTTTATCGGCTACGTTCACTACGTGTGGGCAACCCCCCTGCAGATCGTCATCATCTGCGTCTTCCTGGTCCTTTCGCTAGGGTAAGCTCGCTGCTCAACCATCGTACCGGACATGCCTGTGCGCTGCAATTCGCCGAGCCACGGCGTTTCTGCAATTGTCATCCGGGCTCGTTGATACATGCGATAGCGTTATATCAACATGGCCTTGCTTGCTGACCCATCGCACCATCGCCAGCCCCGCTGCGCTAGCAGGAGTGGGCGTCCTGGCCATTATGATCCCTGTGCAGACGATCCTGCGTCGAAGACTCGGGTTCCTGCGCCGAGCTGCCGCACCGATCGCGGACGAGCGAGTCAAGTTCATCCAGGAGATCCTCAACAGCATCAGGACAGTCAAGTTCTTTGCCTGGGAGCATCTGATTGTCGGCAAGATCAGGCTCATCCGCAATAGAGAAATCGCCCTCATTTGGAAGCGTGGGTGAGGGCTTGGTCTTGCTCGGCTCCTCGCCGGCCGCGCCGTCGGATTCCCTCGTCCTGATCTCGTCTGTCGCTCATCCTAAAACTAATCTGACCCTCCAATCGATGCATACAGTGTCATCCAGTCCTTCAGCTCGGCCCTGGTGTCAGGCATCCCTGTTCTGGCCGCCACCCTCTCGATTTCTATCTATGCCGCCCTGACGCCGCTCACAGCCGCCAGTGCCAGCGTTGTCTTTGCCTCGTTGTCCTGGTTCGCAAGCTTGCGTTTCCCGCTCCTGCTGCTGCCGACGCTGCAGACCGTCTACTCGGACTTTGATGTCGGTGTCACTCGAATTCAGGAGCTCTTCCTTGCCACCGAGACGGACGAGTCCATACTCGAGAGCGCCAGCACGGACTCCAAAGCTGCCTTCGAAATCTCCAACGGCAGCTTTTGTTGGGAGATCCCCGAGCCTCGCGCTGCACCAGAGAAACCAAAGAAAGGCTTCTTTGGCCGCACTCAAGCCCAAGCTGCTGCCTCTCTTGCCAACCGACCCGCCCTGCAGCAAGCCTTGGATGTCTCGTTCAAGCTCGAGGACATCAACATCAAGATCAAGCCCGGCACACTTGTCGCCATCGTCGGTGGAATCGGAGCCGGCAAGTCGTCCTTGATCAGTGCTATCGTTGGCGAAATGAAGCAAACCAGCGGACAGATGGGATGGCATGGAACCCTGGGCTACTGCCCGCAGCAGCCATGGATCCAAAATGCCACCCTGGAGGACAACATCACTTTTGGCAAGCCCTATGACGAGGCCAAGTTTGCACGCACCATCGACAGCTGCTGTCTGCAGCACGACATTGGTATTCTTCCGGATGGAGTTCACACCCAGATTGGAGAGCGTGGCATCAATCTATCCGGCGGCCAGAAACAACGGTAAGGACGGTGAATGCCCTGTCGCCCTGACTGCCGCCCATCCTGTTGCCTTGATCAACGGGCGCCTCGCTCCTGTTACTGACTCGCCTGCTTCTGGCGCCTGACCATAGCGTGAGCATTGCCCGATGCCTCTACTACGACAGCGACATTGTCTTGTTGGACGATCCCCTCAGTGCAGTGGACGGTAGGTTTTGCATGTATCCTCTCCGAGGCCTGGCGTCAATACAGCAAGTTCGTTGGTTTCTCGTTGCCTTTCGCCAGACTCGTCCGCTTGCTACAGCCGCACCTTGAGTCTCACATCCCGTCGCTGCTCTCCTCAGCCCATGTCGGCAAGGATATTTTCGAAAAGTGCATCCTGGGCGAGCTCAAAGACAAGACCCGCATCCTGGTTACCCACCAGCTCCATGTGCTGCCCCAAGTTGACCACGTTGTTGTGATGGCGCATGGCAGGATCATCGAGCAAGGCACGTACCCAGAGCTACTGCAGCTCGATGGCGAGCTCTCCCGAATCATGAAGATCTACGGCACTGGCAGCGAGACACATGCCTCGTCCGATGCCAGCAACGCAGCCACCCCTGCCGGGCCGGGCCGCCGAAAGGGCAAAGCCAAGGACTCCACCTCACCCGCCGCGGATACCACACCAGCACTCAAGCGTCGAGGTCGCGATCTGTTCCGCGAGGAAGACCGGCCTACCGGGGGCGTCGACAAGAAGATCTGGCTGGCGTATACCAAGGTCGCCGGCGGCAAATCCATCTTTGTGGTTTTGCTTGCCTTGATGATCCTTGCACAGACCGCCAGGGTCGGCACCGACTACTGGCTCGTTCCCTGGAGCACCAATCGCTTCCCATCCCTCGGGCTCGCCGGATACATTGGCATCTACTGGCTCCTGGGCTTCCTCCAGACCTTCTTTGTCTTCCTGATCTGCTTGTACTTTTCATACAAGGGCATTAGCGTCTCCAGGACGATCCACCTGCTGGCCTTTGATAGGATTCTGCATGCGCCGTCGTCGTTTTTTGACACAACACCTGTCGGACGCATCATCAATGTAAGTCGTCGTCGGTTGAGAACGTTGCCAATTGGCTGGGGTGGAGGAAGCGGTCAAGTGGCCAAGCAACCGAGCAGGGCATTGCTGCTGCATTGATTACGTCCGCTTATCGCAGCAAGCCTCTCCGGCGTCTCGTTGGAGGTCACGGCCGATGGCTGGAACGGGTCGTTTACTTATCATCGTATCTTCGACTTGCTGGCTTTGAACAGCGATTCTCCAGCGACCAAGATGCCATCGACAACTCGATCATCCAGAGCCTCCGGATGTCTTTCACCATGGGCTCGAACGCCGTGGGCATGTTCATCACCATCGTCATGGCTGCTCCCTGGTTCCTGGCAGCCCTTGGCCCGCTCATGGTGGTCTACTACTATATCCAGAATGTGTATCGCCGCACCTCCCGTGAGCTGAAGCGTCTCGACTCCCTTGCACGATCGCCCATCTACGCCTATCTGGGAGAGTCGGCCCAGGGCACGACCACCATCCGAGCCTTTGGCCGCCAGAGCGAGTTTGTGAACCACTACGATGCACTCATCGACAAGAACAACTCACCCGGGTTCCTGACTCTGTCGGCGCAGCGATGGCTTGGCATCCGCCTGGATATGATCGGCGCCTTCCTCGTCTTCTTCGCCGCCATATTGGGACTGGCGTGTCTGGGCTTCATGCCAGTTGTGCTCTACGGACTGGCACTGTCATATGCGCTCCAAGTCACAAGCGCCTTGAATCAGTGCGTGCGGCAGTTTTCCGATGTAAGTCCAGCACTCCGTCGCCTTTCCGGGGGCACTGTGTCTAATCTTGCGCGGTATCTTGACCAAGTGACATTTATGCGCCTGCGGATGCGGATGCTGCCTATGTTGCTGATGCTCGATCTCTGGGCGTCTTTGCTCGTCCCGATCCTCCCTCTGGCTCGGTTTCTTTCTTGCTTCAGACGGAGATCTCCATGAATGCAGTCGAGCGTGTCTATCACTACGCATACGAAACTCCTGTCGAAGAGCCGGCCGGAACGGCGACCCAGATGCCGCCAGAGTCCTGGCCAAGCGAAGGCAAGATCGACATCACCAATCTAAAGCTTCGGTATCAACCGCACCTGCCCCTGGTCCTCAACGGAGTGTCGCTCTCGATCCATGGTCGTGAAAAAATCGGCATCGTGGGTCGTACCGGCAGCGGCAAGTCGTCCCTGATCAACTCGCTGTTCCGGATCACCCCATGTGAAGAGGGCTCGCGCATTCTCATCGATGGCGTGGACATTCACACCATTCCGCTGAGCAGCCTCCGCAGCGGTGTGACCATCATCCCTCAGGACCCTGTTCTCTTCAGCGGCACTATTCGTAGCAACCTCGACCCCTTTGATCAGTACGAGGACCACGAGCTCTGGGATGTCCTGGAAAAGTGCCATCTCAAGGACAAAATCACCAGAATCCAGCAAGAGCTGGAGGACACCTCTGCAAAGGACCAGGGCCGAGCCGCCCAGCAGCCGGCCCTCTTTGGCCTCGAAATCTATGTTCAAGAACGAGGCGAAAATTGGTCTGTGGGACAGCGACAGCTGATGTGTCTTGCCCGAGCCATGCTGCGAAAGCCCCGGATCCTGGTCATGGACGAAGGTGAGTCGGTCTGCTGATTTTCCTGCGATAGGCATGCGCATCATTTCTGACTCTCAATTCTGTCCACCCCCTCATCGTCTCCTCGATGCCATGGCCTCGGGGTACGGACGTCGCCGATCCAGCCACGGCCAATGTCGACTATGAGACCGACCAGATCATCCAGTCCTGTTTGCGCACCGAGTTCGCCAACTCCACTCTGATCACGATCGCCCACAGGCTCAACACTGTGATAGACTACGACCGCGTCGTCGTGATGAAGGACGGCTTGCTCGTCGAGGTCGGCTCCCCGGCCGAACTGCTTGACTCCGAGAACAAGCACTTTACTCTCTTCAAGGACATGGTGAAGGAGACCGGCGCCAGCCACTCAGAGTTTTTGGCCAAGCGTGCCCGTCCCACCGAGAACTAAAGCGCTGACTGATCTCAACGAGCAGACCTCATCAAGCACCGCGATCGCTGCCGTCATCGCCATCACCGAAGCCCCCAAGCTCGGCAATCATTTTGCTACCCGGCCGCTGTAGCTTCTTTTATTTCTTTTTGTCATTCTTTGTCCTCTTGAAACGATCCAGGCTCTATGATTCAGGCCGGCGTGTGGTCCGGATATTCGGTCTGAATATATATCAGTCGTCGCTATCTGCCTCAATTGTCCAGTCTCCGAGGAGCGGCTCTGCAGGGGCTGCCTCGCGAACCTCGCTCGACACCACGCCGCAAGTGCATATCCCCAGAAACTGGCTGTAGTTGGCTTGGATCCAGGCCAGACACTTGGTGGCAGCCTGCTTTTTGGCTGCCCGACGGCTTTTATCTGTGGCGGTTGCCATCGGGACATTATGGAGGCTGACGGTGCAATCGATATGAAGGGCGCTGCGGAGCACAAAACTGGGGAGAATCGAGGGTGTTACTCGGAGACAAAATGGGCCGCCACGAAGTGCTCAAAGTAGATCATGAGGATGTTCCATATGGCGACGCCAACGACGACAACGACATCAACATCGACAACGACAACAGCGACAGCAGCGACGATGCCCAGAGGTCAAACAAACCTAAACTCCAGTCCCCGTTGGCACCCAAGTTGCTCCTCGATGCACCAGTACAGCTTCTGCGTGGGATGCAAGCATCCGACCTCGATCATGTTCGAAGGGCCGAGCGACCGTGCGGCCGAGTCCCACCACGGGCAAATCAGGGTCCGTCTCACAATGCCCCAAACCAAGTCGATGTCAAAGCCCGAGTCGACAAAGACGGCACCGAGCATGGCTTCGTACAGATCACCAAAGACTTTGGGTGCCTTGGGCAACGCCTTCCAGAAGCCTGGGTTGCTGGGATAGTGTTCGAGCTGGGCCTTGAACAGCCCGTCAAACTCGACGAGCGAGTCCCAGAGACCCGCGCTTGCGTTGGAGATGACGTTGTGCAGATCCAGTGCGATGGCGACGCACGAAAGGAACTGGTTGCTGATGAACTCGGATCGCATGTCGGTCAGATGGTGCGGTGTCAAAGGCGGATCGCGGGCGTACAGAAACCGAGTTACTGTAAAGTTGAGCACGGCATCACCTGTGGATGTGTTGGCGGACACAGGCCGACAAAATCGACCGAATCGACAGAGCCAGAGCATGTCAGACAGGCAGGGCACTCAAATGGCGCATTTTGCTCTGCAAGCGTGCGAACCTCTGCCTGGCACACGAGGCCGTGGTATGGGTGGCCAGTAGTCGACCATAAGCAGGGCCCAGTTTCGGACTATGGCAGCTCTCCAGTGCACCGGTGCATGGCTGTTCGTCCTTACCGATAAATTCGAGCCGCTCATACGAGGCAGCAGCGCTGCTCCGTCCGGCCGAGAAGCTCAACGGATTCCGCGCAGCCTGCCACATGTTCGAGCCCGAGTGTGTAAGCGCCTCGGACAAAAGGCGTAAATCCGTGAAGCGGTAGTGGATCATGTCTTCGATTTTCGAGAGCGCTTGCCGCCGATCCTCGGTCACGACAATGTGCTTTTTCTTCTTCTTCGTCAGGACCTCCTCGCGGATCTGTGCCCATTGCAGCACATACTCGGCAAAGCTTGGCCGGAACATCGAGCCGTAGAGCGAGCTGAGCAGCCGGACAGCCGCCCTCCAGTCGTACACAACCTGCGATCCGATCAGAGCCTCGACAACGTCTGCCAGCATCTTGGTCGACATCGCGACGACCTCACGGGACATGGGTGGCTTCCAGTCCTGCCGCTCCATCCTGTCGATGAGGTAGTAGTTTGCCACGCCCAGCTCGCGGCCGATGATGGCCAGCTTTTCGTTGCGCTCCATCTGGATCTTAAGAAGGTGCAGCGAGCTCTCGTCGCACGGCGTCGTTGAGAAAAAGTGCACGGCAAGGTACACTTTGAGGAAGCTGTCGCCAAGGGTCTCCAACCGCTCGTAACTCCACGGCCGATGCGCTTGCGTGCCCGTCAGAGCCGTCTGAACGCGGCTGACAGTCGCCATCGGCAGCTGCAGGACCGAGCAGATCTCCAGGGTGTTGAGTTGGTGGTATAGCTCGAGCATCAGCATCGGCAGCTTCAGGGCGTAGACGAGGTGCTGCTTCTTGATCGGCAGGATCGCGCAGAACTGGGGGATCAGAAAGGAGATGGGCGAGAGCGGCTGTGGGCGGTTATCTCGGTAGATCCTATCGAGCCGAAGCACTCTGACCAGAGGCTGGTTGGGATCGATTTCGTCCTTGGCGTGGAAGCGCTCGAGGTAGTGTTTTGCCGTGCTCATGGTGGGGTCGGCAAGCGATGTCGGCTTGAAAGGCGACAGATCGTGCTCGATCTTTTGGATGAGATAGATGCGATTCTTGTGCCGATCGTAGTAGCGGTCGACGAGGACACACTCGCTGAGCAGTGGGTCGTTGTTCTCTATCGCCGTGCGCACGCTGAACGAGGCAGGATCAAAGTCGAACGAGCGCTCGAGTTCCAGCCAGTCGATGTCGACCTCGCCCGAGACTGGGTTGTGGACAGCCGGAGCGAATAGGAAGGCAAAGTCGTCGTCCTCTTGGATGGCGTCCTTTGTCTTTCGCAAGGCATGGTAGAGCAGCCGGAAATGGAACCGCTGGATGATGCGGGTGTCTTCGGGCCTGACGGTGATGGGGCGATCTGCCGGCGAGATGCGCACGATATGCGGGCAGCCGTTGACGAGGAGGCTGAGGTCGATGGTCTGCGGGATCTGTCCGCGAGTCACAAAGACCAAAGGGCAGTGCTCAAATCGAGAGTCGGTTGCGAGCTCGGCGATTGATGCAATCCAGATTTGCTCGACACCAGACCAGGGCCGTGATGCTCCCAGACAGGACGGGATTTTGGCAGGATAGATGTCCTGGTCTGAAGCCGCTATCGGCGTGGTAAGTCCAGAGGCGGCAGCAGGAGCGACATACGTGCTGGAAATCATGGCAGCTTTCAAGGCCGTCCAGGGCAGTCCGGAATACAGACAGGGCAGATATCGACGGAAGCACAGCGCAGATGGAATGCAGAGTCGGCGGCGACGAAGCACGGATGCTGCGCGCGTCAAAGGCCCTCCATGATCGGCCAGGGGCCAGGGCCAAGCAAGACAATCCGCCAAGAGGGCAGCAGCGGATTCCACTTTGTCCCGGGCCATCGTCCACGACACGAATGCTGTTTATAAATGGCTGGTATATTCGGGCTGATCTAGAAGGCAGGCACTGCCATTCAACAGACGGGTGATGCAGCATCAGTTTGCCACAGGCGACACCATCGCACTGTATGCTCTGCGGGTGATGCTTTCCGACGCCGGCAAGAGTCGCTGCGGTGACAGCCAGACCCGGGTGCGAGGTGCATCGGCTGTGCTGCTGCCTTGCATGCGAAGCAGCTCCGATATTCGCCCCAGGAATGCCCATCTGAGGCACGATCGACAAAAGACATAGTATCGCTCAAGATACTGCAGTCCCGCGCTGACAAGCTTCTCTGCATCATCGACCAGAGCGACGACCCTAGGGTGCGAGAGCCCAAGACCAAGCTGCTCCGAAGCAGCTGCATGGATGGATCGGCATTGCTCGCGCAGGAAATCCAAAGGCAGACGAAGAGTTGACGTTGCGGTGCGATCCGGAGCAGCGCCGCAATGCACGCAAGCTTCCTGGCATTGAGTCTCGGGTTGGGATGGACTGCCGATCATCTGACAGGAAGATGCCACGGGCCGACACCCAAGTGAATTGCCGTTGGGGTTGGGTGATGGGGAGGGTGTTGCCGGGTTGCATGGTTGCTGCTCTTGGGTTGGTATTGATGTCGGGCCACCAACGTCATCGAAAGGGTAGCTGCTGTCCATCTCGTCGGCAGAATCAGTGTCTTCGATGGTGTCCATGTCGCCGTTGCTGTCGATATCTTCGTCGCTCTCCAGATCTCCGATACGATCGATCGCATCATCGACATCATCGGCATCCTCGGCATCCTCGGCATGATCAGCATCATTGATATCGTCGTCATCATCGACACCGTCGCCATCGTCAACATCATCGGCATTGTCGAGACTCGCTTCCTCTTGCTCGGCTCGCCAGGCATCCATTTCAGTAAGGACGCAGAGCGGCCCTGCCCGGGAGAGCACGGCCGAGACCTCGACCCATCGGTAGGGTCTCCGTCGTCTTAATGCGTGTGGGTGGTATTGCTGGGCAGAGGTGCTCGTGCTCGATGGATACGGCACCGGAATATGATCAGAATGCGAGAAGCAGCTTGAGCTGCAATCGTCCTCATGGGCGGCATCGGCCCTAACCAGCACTGTTCCATCAACCAAGCTGCAGTTGACTGTGAGACCGTCGGGTGCAGTTCCGCAGTGCGAGCTCGGGCATTTGCTGTTCCTGGCAGCTCGCTCTTGTGCAGAGCCAGTGCTCTCGTCGGCTGGGAGGATGCTTCTTGAGCCGGGACCATTGGGACTAGGAGTGCACGAGCCGTCCGAGAAGCTGCCCGAGTGCATCGATCTGCTCTCGAGACACTCGCACAGGAGGAACTCTGAGCCGTATCCCGAGTCGACCGGGCCGTGGGAACCCAACAGCCAGCGCATCGTAAAGCGGCAGTATCCGCCCTTGAACATGGTATCGAGTCCGCGGCAGAATTTGTGGACATCCCGCCGATGGACAAACTTCATGGCCGACTGGTTGACGATTTCATCGAGTCCGTACCCCAGGAACGACGACGGCAGAATGTGGTCGATGGTGCCAAAGGGCGTCAAGCGCAGGATACACTTTTGCAGATCTGCGTCCTGGCACATTGGCGGGGGAAGGCAGCCGAGCGGTTCGTCATATTGCTGGGCGAGCGAGCCAGGTAAGCCAGATACACCAGGTAAACCGGGCGAGCCATAGCCAGAGCTGGGCGCCGATCCGATTTCGAGGATGGTCTTCATTTGCCGGATGTCGCAGAGGAACCAGTACGTCAGTGGGTCGGATGGGCGGCGGTGGCAGCAAACGTCCATCCATATGAACTGGCCGGACCTCGTCCGCAGCTCCGTTGAGTGGACCGGCTGCCACAGGGCAGAATTTCTGCAGCCACAGAGTCGCAGGGTGATTGCCCGGCAGCACGAGGACGAATTGGATGCAGCGGCGCTTCTTGGTTGGGTCTCCGAGGAGCCCAGCGGCTTGCGGTGCAAGAGCGAGGCTTCTTTGGACGGGCAGGTGATTGACAAACTGCAACGGCGACCGATGCCGTGATCCAGGCAGCGATTCGGGGCTATTGTCTGCGAGAGAGCCTGGGGCGAAGGGACGTCTTGCGGCGAACAGGTCGAGGGAAGCACGCAGCCCAGATCAACCCCGGCGAGTTCGGCTGCAGAGTAGTCCGCCAGCCTCAGTAGCGGACGGCTGGCAAACACAATCTTCTGGTCGCAATCGGTAACGAGTAGGTGCGGAGATCTCAGGACGCACTGCAGGTCAAGCGAGCGACAGAGTCAGCGTTGTTCTGGTGCCGAATCTTGGCTATCGGCAGAGCGTCGCAGGCGGGAGAGAGGGTGGATGCAGGTCTCACCACGGCATTGCTGCGTCCGTTGCTGCATTTCATCGGCATTACGACGGACAAGCGGGCTGGGTGAGGATGAAAGTGGGTTGTGGGCAGAGTATTTGATCAACGATCAGATAGGATCGGATCGGGCGAGAATGGCGAGGGCAAGGCTGAATTCTGGGTCGTGGGGCTTGGTTCGGTTGTTACAAAGCTGCAATCAGCTCGGAAGCAGAATGATGCAACTGCCAGGAAGGTGGAGGACGGGCAACCGAGGCCGGACAAACGCAGATTCGGACGCCGCAAGGACCTCATTCCTGATGGCAGCTGGCAGAGCTGGCCGACGTCGGGCGGGGTCCAGCAAGCCATGCGTTTAAACAGACTCGACGACGCAGCAGTGCTTCTGTGCAGTAATGGAGCCCCGGTGCAGTCGCATGGCAAAAGGCCCGCGCTCTCATGGCCCCGAACGATGCCGGGGGCAGGGACTGCATGTGAAAGGCCGGGCATGATCGGACCAGAATCGGCGGGGGTCTTCTGCAAGCCGCCATGCTCCACACCGATTCGAGTCGTCGGCGCATTGGCATTCAAAAATCGATGCCACGCCAGTTACGGTTGGCTCGGCTATCCTTTGCTGTGGTCGTTCAAGCGTTCAGGGTGTTCAAATTTGTATTTTCCGATCGAGCTATTGGTATTAAACTCACAAAAGGAGCGCGGCTTCGAAGCTGAAGCAAATGGAGTGGAATGGAATGAAATGAAGACAGGAAGAAATCCCAAACAAATAGTTGAAGTAAAAGTGGGACAGCCAAGGGCATAGCGGTGAGTTGGCTGTTCGGCCAGGATAATTCTTGCTCTGCAGGTTAGATGGCCGACAGCACGCCTCGACAACGACCGCCTGGGGAGGGTCTAGGTCTAGAGGAGCACGTCTCCGGAGGCATGATTAGGCGAGTTGTGAGGAGGGGACGGGGAGAGGAAAGTGGGTTGCTGTTGCGGTGGCTGCGTGGGCAGTGACTATGCGGTTGTGAGCGCATTCGGAGCTCTATCGAAAGATCAGTTCGCCGATGCCAGATCCGCTTGCCACGCTGATCGAACCTGTGCAGCTCTGGGGGGCTTGTGGAGCCAGTGCAAGCAGGCTCCACAACGATTGTGTCGAGGCAGGCCTCGGTTCCGACTCGCACGAAGGCGAATGGCCGAGGTAGTGCTGCTCGGCCCATACCTCCTTGCCATATCCAACAACATGAACTTTAGGACCGGTGACTTGGTACCGTCCGTCAAAGTTGGATGTCTGTGCGGAGATGGTGCAGTTACAGGAACGGGGATCAGTGGCTCGATCGTGGCAATGTTGCCATGGATTCGTGTCGGTGTGCAGTGCTCGGCGAAGGGCGAAGGGCAACGGGGCAGGTGATGGTGCGTGGAGAGACGCAAAGGAGCGCTGTGCATGTGGGAGTCTACGGGCGAGTGTTGTGTCGGTGGATGATATGCAGAACGTACCGAGGCAACAACCGCATCTGACTTGGCGGCGGCATCAATCTTGGGATGAGGCAGATTGTCGTTGTAGAGGCTCATGTGCAAAGCGCTCTCGCTCTTTACGGTGACATCCTCAACATGGTACAGCGTGGCATTGATGCCGACATCGCTCGGGGAGCGAGAGAGCAGAGTCGCACGCTTGGTGGAGATCCCCTGGATGGATAGTGTCAATGCGTTAATCGCAGTCATAAGCAACCAAATGCGGTCGAAAAGCCACGGCCAGGTGCGGACATGAAGGGAGTGATAGCCATTCAACCTGTCCACGAATGGCAAAGCGAGACTGCTTCTGAAGCTCGTGCGCACCTGGACTGCAACTTTGGAGCCGTCCAGATACAGGCTCTGGAAGCGGGCGACGAATGCTTGTGGGTTTGCGATAGACCTGTCGACGATGGTCATACGAGGCGCAGTGACGGACAGAACAAATTGCTCGGGCTGGTAGATCCGCGAGGGCAGGATAATCTGCATGGCAAATTTCAGGCAGTCGCTGCCGATCGAGCGGCCGGGTCCCAGCTGCGGACAGGGGAGGCAGCAGGCGAGGGGCAGGAGTCAGCGATGGCAGTGAGGATGAATGTATCGACAGCAACGGCATGGGTGAGTTTGCCCATTGATCACTTGGCGATGCAACAGAGCAAAGATACCAGCATGTGCCGTCATATCCCAAGGCACAAACCGCAACACTCACCATGATATCGATGTACAGCGAGCCCATCGAGTCGAGGTTGTACCACACGTTGACGGCGCCTATCAGATCGGCGATGCCGACATGATAGTGTCCGGTGATGGCGACATCCGTCTCGCCAATGATCCTATTGTGGTCATAGTCCTGGGCATGCAGGGTCCCGTGCCGCCCTGTTTTTCGCTTGGTGCCGAGCGTGAACGACCGGATGGCGCGATTCTTGAGCTCTTGCGGGCGCTCGTTCGTCATTTCGATGTATCCAGGCAGGTTGGTGTTGATGTAGATCCGCGGGTACCGCCACGTCGGGATCAGGATTGAGTTAATGTCAGGCTGTCGCACCTGAATATCAAAGGGCGTGCAGGTGCTGATGTTGCCCTCAAAGTGGTTGATGGGAATGTCTGCCCCTGGATCCTGCAAAATGAAAGGCAACACAACCTGTGCCAGCCAAAGGGCAGGCGAGTGGACAGGGTGGAGTGTCAAGGGGAAGGTCAATGCCGAGGACCAGAAACGCAGCAGGACGAGGGGCCAAAGCTTGACCAGCTGCCAGCAGTTGTTGAAGCATCTCGCCACAGCTCGTTAGGTGTGTGTGGGGTATACATACCATGCCAAAGGTCGTCAACAGGAAGAGGAGGCACAGGAATATGGCTGTGAGCTGTCCGCAAAGGTCGTCATCGTCGCCTGCGGGTGGATAAGCCAAGTGCCCAAACGGAGTGGGCAGAATGTCAGCCGGGACACCAATGAGCCGGACATTCCGCGCTCTGGGCAAGTTCTCCGGCAACACAGAGAGGCAGCATAGTATGGGGAGGCAAGCGGTCGCTTGGCTTTCGGGGGGGGCAATCGCTTGAGGATGACTTGGTCTGTAATCCGGAGCTGCGAATCGACTGCCCAGTCCAGTCCAGTCCAGTCCAGTCCAGTCCAGTCCAGTCCAGTCCAGTCCAGTCCAGTCCAGTCCAGTCCAGTCCGGTTGGGCACTGGGATTTGTTGGTCAGGCCAATATCTGACATTTGCCATCCGGTCTGGCTCGAGAGAACCAGCCATTCCTGAGCCCCCGCACACATCGATCAAGCCTCGAGGACGTACTAGCTCTACGTACCGTCGTCGTCGTCGACTACATCGTGGTAGTTGGGCAAGGGTTCGTCATGCCGCACCTCGTCGTCGTAGTATGGCGGAGGCGGGATGTCGGGCATGTTTTCGAAGGAGATGCTGATGTCGGCCCCGGGCGATGCAGGCGGAGGCGATATCCAGCTGCCCGAGTCTGGGGACGGAGGTGGCTCTAGCGTCGTATTGATGGCATAGCGAGGGCTGCCTTGGCTCCGGGCCAGAAGCGGGGTCGATTCGGATGCAGGCTCTTCGGGCTCGGGCTCGTGCTCGGGCTCGGATGGAGGATTGTCCGGCAGAGTCTGCAGGGTCATGACTGGGGTTGGAAGGGGCCAAGGGCAACTACGGGCAGGGGTGCGGTGGATGGAGTTGAGCTCGAAGCTGTGGATGCAACAAGAGAGGTGGAAGGAGAGGAGAGGCTGTTGGAGGGGTTGTGGTCGCTATTGCGGTCGGATCTGAAGGAACAGGAGTCGCCGAGCGGGCTGAGGGGAAGGAGAGCTGGAGTGGAGCCAAGCGTCGGAGATGAGCAAGCCGCAGATGGGGCAGTCGAGAGGACACCGTTGGAGCAAGGAGATTGCGTCGATGGAGCAGTATGTTAGTGACAGAGACTGCAGTCGGCGAACAGGGACGAGGCCTGATCAACATGGACGATCAGACGGCCGAACCAAGGCGGGGCCGATATCGCCGTCGATGGATCGCAGGTCGAGGGAGCCACAGACAGCAACCGATGAGTCGGGCAAGGAGCAGCGACGGCGACGACGGCTATGCGGGATCGGATACCTCGGACCCAGAGACGAAGATGCAGCACCCGGGGCCACAGTGCGAAGAGGCGGGGTGCGGATGGGTTGATGGGTGCGGGTCGATGGATCCAGCTCGGTGGCCGATGCGGATGGATCGGCGGCTGACACGGACGGTTGACACAGATGGTTGAAACAGATGGATCGTTGCGGGAGGATTTGGCAGCAGGTCCAGCAAGCTTGGCAACAGCGGGGCCAGGGGCGGTCCAGGGCTTCTGGTGACGACGGCAAAGCCGAGCAAGCCAAGACCAACCCTCCGGGGCTGCAGGCAACCGCCCTCTGCTCGGAGGCGGGGGGAGGGTGATTGCGGAAGACATCCACCGGCCAAATCGAATTCCATGGATCCTGGCCCGGCAATCACACTCCGTTGCGGGGGGAGGGAGCGATTGGGCTGCGTCGATTCGGCCGTTGTCGGCGACTCTGGTGGCATGATGCCGATAATGCAGTTGATGCAGTTGATGCAGTTGATGATGCAGTTGATGATGCAGTTGATGATACAGTTGATGATACAGTTGATGCGGTCAGGATACGGACAACTCATGTCGCTCCCCTTGGAATCCTGAACACGCCCATCCAGCAGGATCTTCTCTGACGGCCTCTGCCTCCAGACTCGCCTCGGGCTCGCCTCGGACATTCCTCAACCTCATCCCGGGCATCGCATCCCCGACATCTCGCCCCTTGGATACCCGCACCTCTTGAGACACACGATCGGCAACGCAAACGACAGCCGCCCACGGCCGGGTAACAATATCGGCTTTCCTGTTCCGTTTCCGAATGTAAGCCACAGAACATGTTTTTTTCCTATCCCTCATGCATCAAGCGGCGGCAACACTCTTTGCCCAGGTCTGCATGTCCACGCTGGAATGCTCGGCACGGACGACAAATGGGTCTCTCAGCAGATCCGAAGGCGTCGGTCGCTGTGCTGGATCCTTGATCAGGCTGGGTGGTGTAGGGGAGCGCAAAGGCATAAAAATGGATGAGAATCCACCATGTCAGCGGGAGAGGCCAGGATAGCACGGGTCCGAACGAGAGAGCAGTGCAACCAAGGAGCTGACGAGCCAAAACAAACGGAACAGAGAGATGATCTGCCATGGATACGTACCATCGCGCAACCACAGCATCGAACTCTGGGGTGAACTGGCCAGGGGGTGGCGTGGGCGAGGGCTCGTGAAGGATAAACTCGAGGAGCTCAAAGACAGTCATGGGCTTGCCTTCCGGAGGGAATGGGAACTTGCCCATCGCCAGCTCCAGCAAGGTAATGCCCAGACTCCACACGTCGGAGCGGACAGAGTATCTTCCGCCCTGGATTCGCTCGGGCTAAGGACAGGCAAGAGTACGACATCCTTCGTTAGCAAGGCAGTGATGCACAACGGACGAGATATTTGCACAGCGCCCTATGGCCATGGCCGCAGCTGAATGGCCACGCATCCCAGGGAGAGCATTCACACAGATAAACCGTTTGTCCTCATGCACGACAGGATCGGGATTGCTCCAGAGCGCTGCAGAGCAAGGGCCGGCCATAGAGAGGAATGGGGAATGGATGCAGGGACTCACCGCCATGTATGCACTTGTTCCGACAAACGTATTGGCCACCGAGTTGACGAGCTGGCCACTCACGCCAAAGTCAGCAATCTTGACTTCGCCCTTGCTATTCATTAGGATGTTACTTGGCTTCAAATCTGTCGCAGTGCGCCGCCGGTAGAGTTAGCACATCCGAGCGACGGTCCGACCGAGTTGGCTTGATCAACGGAGGCCAGATGCATCGGGGGGGGGAGCAAGCGCATCCGGAGATCACAGAACACAACGCAGGGGTTGCGGGACGGAAGCAAGCACAGGTGTGGGTTTGGTCCACGACGGCAAGGGGAGGCTCACACGAACTACCCCTGTCGAATGCACACGACAACGACACAATGCCCACACAGGAAGAGTGGACCATACGCCGAGCCCCAAATGCAGGCGGGTGGCAGCCATCGTCAACCTTCCCAGCAGAACGAGAAGCGATACACCACCTCGATGGATGATGCGGTGTCCATCATACAGATACACAAGACCCTTGATAACAGAGTAGGTGATCTTGCCCATGACGTCTTCCGGGACGGGCCCGACTTTTTTGTAGATGTGATCGAACGACCCCAGGTCCATATACTCCATGCAGATGGCAACGTCGGACTCGTCCAGGTAGGCGCCATAGAACGACACGATGTACTCGGATTTGCACTTTTTGAGGATCTGCAGTTCGCGGAAGATGGACTTCCGGAGTTGCGGGTTTCCGTCGACAAAGATTACCTAAATCCATCAACCAGCAGCCACGCGAGCGATCGAGGACCACGAGATATCAGAGAAACCACATCGTCAGGGGGGGGGAGAGTGGCGGCTCCAAAACCACAAGGCCAGGATCATCACTGGCGAGACAGGACCCGGCCAAGGACCCACCTTTCTGGCCATCAGAAGCCCACTGGTTTTGTGAAGAACCTTGTTGACCGAGCCGCCGTTGCCGGCGCCGAGCTCACATATAAACTCAACATCTTCCTTTCGGATCTCCGAGGTGCTGTCTTCGGCAATCGACTTTGAGAGATCCGAGAGCTTTGGGGCGTTCGAGGCTGAGGGCGACGAATCATTGTCCTGGGAACGATCGGTGGTGGGAACAAACGAGAGCTTGGGGGTACTGAGCTTTGGCCGGCGCTTGCCTGGGGTGGATGGTGTCGACGTCGAGGGCGACGAGCGAGCCGAGGGTGCGTTGCTGGAAATCGAGGCAACCGCAGGAATTGGGGCAGAGGCAGGAGCAGTGGCAGGAGCAGGCGTGGGCGTGGGCGGCAAGGGCGTTGCCGGGACTGGGGTTGCAGGCAACGGCGTGGCAACGGGAACCGGCAACGGCGTGGCAACGGGAACCGGCAGCGGTGTGGCAACGGGAACTGGCAGCGCCGGCAAAGGCGTTGCGACCGGCAGCGACGGGTTGGCGAGCGGGGGGGTGGGTGGTGTTTCCATCATTGAGGGGGCGCTATGCAAACAGAAACCGGAGAAGCAACGCAGCCGAGCAGTAGATATCCGCAATGGAAGCGACAGCCTGATCTGAGAGCGTGGAGACCGGGGTGGCCGGCAATGCGCGAAGAGAGCAGGCAACGTTCGATATTGGGAGTTGGACAGTGTTGGCGATATCAGCAATGAAGAATGTAGATGACGGCGCAGGAATGAGGAACAGGGGGTGGTTAGCGAGGAAGGGTAACCGACAAAAAAAACCCTGGTTATCGGCGGGTTGATGCTCGAGCCAAGGGCCAGTGGAGATGCAGCCGAACAGGGCGAAAGTGTCGCCGAAGGGAGAAGACTGCAGCCGAAACAGCCCTTGGATCACAACCGAGTGCAGGCGACAAAGACGCAGCCCGAATCAAAACCAGCCGCCGATACCATACGGAACCAGAGCCGCCGATGCCAATACGGAACCAGAGCCGCCGGGGCCGAGCAAGCACCGAGGTCGCTGCATCCTCGACGCATCTGCTGCGGTCGACAGCGAGACGGATGCACTCGGCCGTCCCGCGGCCGGCTTTGCGCAGGACGAGTGCACCGGGCAAGGCAAGCGGGAGCCATTTTGGCCAGTGCGAGTCTGCGACAGTGCCGTTGGTACTGCAGGACATGGATGCGTTCCAGGCCTGGTATACCTTCTCCGACCGCTCGGCGAGCGTACGGTGATGCATCGGTCAGAAGACTCGTCCCCGTCACCCCCTGGCGGACGACGGTTGAGCTTTGGCGATGCCTGTCGATGAGACATGCCAGGGTATGCCGACAAGCGGTGGAAATAACACCAAAGAAGCGCTGATGCCGCACAGACAGACACAGCCAGACAACATGCGCTCGCTCGCAGCCGCACCGACGGTGTACCTTTGTGTGCTTCGATAGAGTGATATTTGGGCAGAGCAGACGAAGATCGCTTTCGGGTCGGCGGCCAACGGCGCCCCGAAAAAAAGGATCGGGGGGTCACGTGTGGCGATGATGTGGACGGGGTTGTGGATGGTGGTGCGGGTGGCATACGGCGTGTGCCGAATGGCCAGGATATCCGGTGCTGGGGATGGCAGGACGGCCACCGATGGCGACGAAGGAGAGGAAGTCCAGGCACGGCGACAGCATCGGAGGTGTAGTCGGGAGGATGCACGGCGGGAGCGATGTCGTCGAGTCCCAGAAAGCACATCCAAAATCCAAGGGTGTCGTGAAGGGCCTTGGACGACCCTTGTTCCGAGTGGCCTTCACGGCCAGAGCCAATGCAAGTCTCCATGCAGACTGATTACATCCGATGTGGTCCCATGCAGGCTCTGTGAAAGCCATGTGCATGCATAATGGATGGTTAGGCAAGGTCTGCGGCTATAAATCAACCCGGCCATCGGGTAGTCCGTCCATCTCCACAGCCAGCCGAGCTTGTACTCCACCCTATCTCAACCACCACCCCCCGGCCGCTGCGAACCATGGTCAGCTACGTCAAAATTGCTCTCAACACCATCCGAGTCCTGTCCATCATCACTTGCCTGTTCGTGCTGACCACCTCGGTGATCGTCAACGTTCAGCACTGGCTCATGATCGGCAAGGTATGCGCTCTCGAGACACCGGCACCGGAACGAGTGTTAATGTGCCGTCGGTCTCGAATCGGCCTTGTGCATCGATCGGCAGGCATAGCTCACTCGTCTGACTGACGCTATCTCGAATGTCGGGTGATCTTCCGCTCGTCTCCATCCAGGCCGGCACACTGTTCCAGTTCATCGACAGAGCGTTTGTCTCCCTCGTCGTGTTCGTCCTGGTCCTGGTCGAGGTCGAGTGGCCTCGATGGATCTTCAGACTCTGCCCCCTCTACAACGATAGCCACAGCTGGGTGCCACTGGGCATGACGCTCATCTGGTAAGCACCGTCTGCTTCAGACCGTATCTGCTCGCACGAAAGATATGCTGTTGTCGGCAGTGCTGGTTTCAGCGTGGGAATCGTGATCATGAGCCCGGTCCACGAACCTCTGACTGACCAGCATCCGCCGGAACAACTCGACTAACGCACCCGCCGACGTCCGGCTGGTCCTCTCGGCAGCATCGGGACGTTTATCCTCGGATATGATTCGCTGATCATCGACAGCGACACCCCAGACCAGGCGCTCTATTTCTGTGTCTTGGTTCCTGGTTGGCTCGCATTCCTGCTGGGATGCATCTACCTCTTGCTGGTACAGTTTGCTTTGGCATGCTCGGTCATTTATGTGTATCGATGAGACACTGTGCCTCTCTCGAACCAATGCCATCTCTCGCATGTGGCTGCAGGGTTCACGGAGCTAACTGCCGTTCCATAACCAGGGTATTGGCGGCCCCTCTCTGAGGGCCAAGCGCAGTATCAAAGGTCGGTTCTGCTTTGGCGACTCCCGCTGCTGAATGACATGGGGGCGGCTGTCTCCCCTGGTATGCTGTATCCCGGAAGAATTCAGTCGCAATGCCAACGACAGCAATACAGACACTGCTCAACCGATACATGTGGTCAGGAACAAGGGCATTGCAAACGGACATGAGACGGCCAGTGTATTGGAGCAGCAACAGCGATCCCACGTATCGGGACTCTGGATGCCTCAGTGGAGACGAAGCCCTCGCTGAGTGTGGTGTCAACGCCGCTTGACCACAGGCCCATCGCATCGTCGGAGTCGCATGGCGCTTCATAAACGCCGGGCTCTCAATTGCAAAGTTTCCGCAATGCGGCAGGTATACGGCTTTCCTAGGGAGCTATGCTGGCAGCCATCAACGGATCAGCTTAACCATGCCCAGAAATACAGGTCCTGACTTTGCTGTCCGGAGCTTGAGCATGGGTTCTCAGGACCACCAAGATCGCGGACGATCTGTTGGGTGGATTAGTCTCGGCGGTCGCATTGCTTGGGCACCAACAGAGGGTTGGGAAGCGCCTGAGATCTATAGCTTTCGCGGCTTCTTGTTGGCGACGTTGAGGTGGCTCGATCCAGATCCGGCTACGGTGCTTTGTGTCGATACGGGCGCACTCTTGTTTTTGAGGCCAGCCTTGGACCCATCCAGGTCATCTTGCACCACCTGCAAAGTGAATGGGTTGGTGAATAGCTGCGATGAGAGCATGCAAGGGGCCGCAGGGCAGGATGCGAGTATGTGCCCCCCCCCCCAGCAAACGGACTCGTTCCAGCAACGCAACCGGCCGCGCGGCATACCTTTCGAAGCGGATACTCAAACAGCCGCTTTCCGTTGGGGCTGCAGGCAAAGGCGCTGAAAACGAGAAAGGCGGTTTGGAAGTCATGAGATGGCCCTCCAAGCTCGCGACCCAAACAACTGGGCTGCCAGTGCGCACATGCATCCATATCATCGCATCTCGCATAGCGAAATGCTGGGTGGGGCTTACTGCTTCGACGGCCTCGGGTCATTCGAGAAATATGGATGCACCAGTGCCTCGTCGGCTGTGATTCGCTTGTTTGGATCGTACTCGAGCATGGCTTGCAGAAGATTCATTCCCTCCTCGCACTTGGACGACGCATAGGTCGAATAGAACTTGCGCAGATCGTTGCTTTGGTTGTGCGGGCCACCGGGTCCATCCTGGGGCCGTTGTAGCAACCCCTTGAGGTTGACGTATTCAGGCATGTGCTCAATCCCAGGCCACCGCTCCTCTGCGAAAGACAATATTTGGATATGAATATCCAAGTGAGCTGCTTGTGCATCCCATGCCTCCTAGCCGTGCAAGGGGCACATTGTGTCCTTCAAGCAAAGCACCTCCAGCGCTCTCATCGCCGGCGGCCGCACTGCGTCAATCAATCTCGACTTGCTTACTTGTAGGCGTTCCAAGCACGGTGATGATCTGCATCATCTGATCCTTTTGGAATGGAATGACCTTTTTGCTGTCCATCTTGGCCTCTTCGCCCTTGAAAATGGGCCGCAGCATGAGCAGCTCCGCAAATATGCAACCGACTGCCCAGATATCTATCACAAAGCACGAAGGAGCGTTTGAGCATACGTGGGCATTGAAGGTGTTCATGAAGGTGGCAGGTCACGGCGGGCAAGCATGCGACCAGTCCCTTCCAAGACTCGGCACATAGGCGTCGAGATAGGGACAAGCCGGGCCGCTCCAGTCGATGCAGACCCAATACACCGAGCCACGGCACTGCGCCTGTTACCTACCAACGGCTTTGGTATAATGCCTGGCTCCCAAAAGTAGCTCCGGGGCACGGTACCTGCGGATAGGCTTGTCAGACACCGATAGATGGCCCAGTCCGTAGCATATCCGTATCTTGGATCGATACGGCTCGTTGCTGCGGGGCCGAGTTCGCATACCAGATAGTCACTACGACCTTGTCGCCATTGAATAGCGGCTGCAGAGGCTTCTGGAACAAACGAGCCAAGCCCAGATCCGCTGTTGTTGGTGAGGTGTTGAGATGGGTCGTCGAGTGAGCCGTGGATCCAAGCATATCCTCGCCGCGATAGCCCGTGATGGAGCACTTCCTCCACTCGGGTCGCCTATGTCCCTGTCCCTGTCCCTGTCCCTGTCCTTACCTATTTTTACAACGCCATCGGAAGTGACGAGGATATTGGCAGGCTTCAAATCCTGGATTGTGTAGCGAGGGATGTCGAGGCTGAGCAAAGTCGTTTCAGCGGTGGTCGCCGCGGTGTATGCGAGAACGCAGGACGCATCCACCGCAACAGTTATGCAGTCATCAGGCGCACCAATGCGCTGTAATCGCCAAGTACTGAGATCAAGCCCCGCAGTCGCAACTGTGCTCCAAAATCGGCGGGGCTGTCGATCAGATCCGATGCCGGGTCGCAGAGGCATGCCGACAATTGACGTACTCGATGCAGCACCCAGTTGGCGTGTAAATACGAGAGGCCGTTGAGCAGCTGCCACAGGAACGATTTGATGGTGAAGTTTGGGATGGGCTTCCGTTCTTGGTGGCTATGGAAGTGCAGGATTTGCTGTTGCATTTGATTCGGTCGCCACACAGCAACAGGTCAGCACGGCACCCCAGTTCCGGGCGAATGTCAAAGAATCAAATGTTTAGATGAGAGGGATGTTGGAGCAGGAGGATACGGAGGTGCTGCAGCGTTGTGTGTTGTCCGGGGGAAGGGAGGGAGTGGATGGTTGTGGAATGGAGAGGCTGTAGCTGCTTGTCAGGCCCTGCGGGTATGAGCCGCACAGCCAACCGCTCAGCCGGCCGTCTCAAAGATGAACAAGGTCATGGCAGAGGCGAAAAAGGAGGGGGTGTCGGTGGATATGCACTGGGACTGCTCACCAACAGATCATGCTCGGCATACTCCAAGACCATCGAGATGGAGCGGTCGATCGGGTCCAGGAGCACTTGCTCGAGAGCGACGATGTTTTCGTGCGCGAGCTCGCGACAGAGCGAAATTTCCCGACAGGCCGACTGCGAGATGCCGAGCAGGCTCTGATCGCCCTCTTTCTCGGGCTTGAACTTTTTGATGGCATAGAGTACTTTGTTGTCTGGGTTCTGGGAGGTTGCCTTATAGACTCGGCCGTACGTCCCCGAGCTGATGAAGCCAATGATGTTGTAGCTCGTGAAGATGGAGCGCCGGCTCTGGTCCTTTTTCCGCTTGAAGAGCTCGAGCTGGCTTTCGCACGATTGGGCCATGGTGCCGAGGGCGAAGGGCAGCGCCGGCAGGGATCGCTCTGGGCTCTTGGATCGTCTTGCCTTGCGGGGCAGGAGAGACGATGCGATTGTTGGCCACAAGTGCCCGGCTGGTTCGTCCGGCTTTGATCACGGGCGATGTCCACGTGACGGCGCAATGTGGCTGGCAGGCAGTGCACCAGCATGAGCGGTTCAGGCTTGCTGCGATGGGCTGGGAGCAACCGGATGATGAGCGGCGAGTGACGAGGCTGGCAGTCGAGGGTTGAAGATGGCGTGGAAATAAGGATCAAAAATGGCGGGTTGCTGATCGCGGGCGGTGCATGCACGGAGCTGCAGTCTGGCTGTTACGAATTCCCACACCGCTCTGATCGATACTTTGGGCGAACAAAGTAGGTGGATTGCACTCTGGAATCGCACTCGAGCATCGCGGCATCAGCACGATCGAGCCAGCAGAGATCGACGACAGGTATTCATACAGTCGGTCCAGAAAGAAACGGGACAGTCACTTTCTGGCATCGGCGACAAGTCTGCTGAATTTCAACAGGTTCCAGTGAGCAAGCGATTGTTTCCCGTCGTGGTTGGCGATCTCTTTGTGTGGTGTATTCACTCGACTCTCTGGACTGCTCCATGGTGTATTTATATCAAGATCTTCGGTCTTCTCGAGTCGCTTGGCTTCCCGGAACTGTGAGCACACCCGGAAATCGAGCCGCTTGAATCGCCTGGGTGGTGCCGTTCTCTTGCGGGGAGCTATCTGAGTGAGAAAGCGTCCTTGATTCAGATCCAGAAACGCATCACTGAACGGTCATGGCCACCGCGCGATGTGTTGAGTGATATCAGTCACCAACGGCCAAAGCTTGCTTTTTATTGGATTGGCTGTAGTTGCGCTTCTTGGGGGAACACTTGCTGCTGCCGGCTGGCGGCAACAACGGCAGTGATGATGGATCGTGCAAATGCCTCGATGAGTGTCGTCAAGCGATGCGACGGCCTCCGATGCAAACAGCGGAGGGTGCTGATCTGCGTTTAACGGAATGAAATCGCCTCAAGTGCGATATGCGAGCTGCGGCCTTCATTTGTGTTGCCTCTGGTATGCATCGGCCACTTTGCTCTGGAACGAGCGCAGCCAGCGCTGGAATTCCTCGTTCGTGGCAGCGCTCTAAGTACCCAGGCGAGCATCAGCATGGTCGCATGACGATGCAGTATGGAATATGATCGTTATCGGCTGCGCATGGGTGTGCTATGACTTACATCAAATCGCTGACCTCCTTCTCGAGCAGAGGTCTGTGCGTTGGATGGCACAAATGTGAGATCATCAGCCTCAACAATTCAGCACCAGCGATCCAGCACAGCACGAACTAGCCGCCATGATAACTGCCCCACGCACCTCGGCCTGTTGACTTGCGTCGTTCAATGTCTCGGCGGATGTGATTGAAGCAGCGGCGGCTATGAGTACGAGCCAGCTGGAGAGATGCATGTTGTATCTTGGTGCTGTCTATTGAGGGGAAAAAGGAGTGATGCGGGCTCGGAGCTGGCGAGCGGTAAGTGTCTGCCGGGGTGCCGCTGCCGGCAAGAGAAAATGTAGATGGCGATCGGACAGGGGAGCCGTCCTTCCTTCCGAGATCATTGTGATGTCCAGTCACACCCTTGTTTGTTGTTGGCTTCCACAGCCAGCCGGCAACGGACCTGCACCGGCTCCGAGTCGACAGCTCCATTTTCTAGAAGGACGGTGTTGTGATGGGACAAAGCGACTCACTTGGGTGGATGATTGGGAGGCGCTCAAACAAAGTCATGGAGATGCGGGCGGCATTGTTGGCCGAGCGATACCATTCCTGCCATTCGCGGATCGGTAAGTGATCCCACAGCCCAGTTGGCTATCAGCGTGAATGTTGGTCGTCTTGGACAAAGACAATGGACCGTGGGACTCGCAGTAGACAAAGCCAGGTGTCTATTACAGTGAAACGAGACACCCTGGATTTTAGACCATTGACCGAATAATTTGTATCTCAATACCATCGCGCGCTGGCCATGACCGGGAAGCGACCGGTGGTCTCCACTCGGGGGCTGCCAAAGTGATCTGTTTCTTATCGCATTGCTTGACGCAAGCCATCTCATACTACATGCACTATGAAAAAAATTGTTGTTAATAAAATGAGCGAGAACGAAAAAGCGCGCTCTCGGAGCCACCTCGGTCGGCGAGAAGAGCAGTCTCTGGCGAGAGACCCCCGAGGGAAGGCGAGAAGCCTCTCGCCGTCACACACACACACATTGCACACACACACACACTCTGCACACACACACACATTGCACAAGGGAGTCAAACACCTCCCATCGACCATCCCAAGAGGGATGGCAACCCCGAAGTGGACTGCCCAGAATATGGGCGACCCGGCATCCACTGTCGAAATGCACAACAGTGCAAGATACTTACAGTCTATCCAGAAAGAAACGGGACACTTCCCCTTTCTGGCTTCTGAAGCCCGCTGACTGACTTGTAGGCCCAGCGGGTAGGCCATGGCATTGCACTCCTGTCTTCGTTGGCAATCTCTTTGTTTTGGTTGGTTTCGGGAGCATGGTCTTGAATACACCCGGCCGATCTCCTGTGGCGATGATCGACTGGCATACCGAGATCATGTTCCTGGCTGCATTGATGTCTCGACCCCACAGCGTATGGCAGCTTGCACAGCTCCGTACATAATGTGGTTTCTCGATATCAAGATACTCGGGTGACTCAAGTCGCTTGAATTCCCGGCAATGTGAGTACACCTGGGACGTGTTGAACTCGTTCACCGAGCACACATGGATCTTGGAGACGGATCGGTCTGGTGGGCCTCTCTGGTGGTGGTGGAACTGCTCGAAATACTTGGCAAACCTGAGTCTCCTGGGACTGGAAGTATATCCCTTCCCCTGTTTCCAGGATGCATTCCCAAAGGCAATCACCACTTCGGTCTCCTTTGGTGCCTGGTCGATGACTTGCTTGCACATCTCGTGGACGGTGCGCTGTCGCTTGCCGTAGAGATCGAGTCGCTTGAATCGCCGTCGCCGGGTCAGGCTGAAGTGCAGCTGTTTCTCCAGCATGTCTCCATCGAACACATGGCGAATGTATCGCAGGAAGGAAGCCACCCCAGGGATCTTGGGACTTGGTGTGGTGCTCATCCATTCCTGCAGACCAAGGGCCTTGTGGGTGCTCTGGATCCACTTCATCACCTGGGTGGTGACTTTAGCTTGGGAGCCATCAGTGCGAGAAAATAGCGACGATGGCTGGTTCTGCCCTTGGGGAAGAAAGAATCTCCTCAAAACCAGCGCATTTTGGGCTGGCAGAGATGTTGTTCACAGTGGCGTCCTCGATTCAGATCCAGAAACGCATCGCTCGCTCAATCAGTCGTGGGAAAACATCTTGTCAAGGTGAGTCTTGCCCGATAGCCAAACGATCATGTCATCTCGCTGACACACAGCCACGCTTGACTAGGTTTCCAACCAGAGAGATTCAGACGGTGGTGGTTCTTGTCCGCAATCGGAGTGGAGCTTCCAACAATGATACAATTGGTCATTCCTCCACACCAATTGCCCACCACCACCGTCAATCGGCTCAAGGTGATACCAAATGCCGTCAACCGACCATGGCCGGATTCCAACTTTTGCTGCATCTTGGTCTACAGCGTGTATTCATATTCGAGATGAGCAGCCGCGAGGGGGACGGAAAAAATTGATAGTGATGGTCATGGAAGTGGTGTGGTATCCCGGTTTTCCGAATAGTATAGATCATGCCAACATAGATAGCGAAGGCAGGGTGCTTCAGGAGAGCGGCGTCTCGCTGGTCTTGCTCTGGCTGGACCGCCGGTGCCAACCTTTGTGCTCGGGCCAAATGATGCTCTCATCCCAGGCCATATTGACGCCAAAGTAGTCATCTTCTTCGCCCTCATCCAGATTCTCGCTTGTGCAGTCGCTGAACTCGTCGGTCCTGCCGTCTCGATCCAGTCCAAACTCGCTTGCATCATCGTAATCATCTTCATCTTGTTCATCAGGGATGTGGCTCTTGCCATCGAGCCCATCCCACTCCGGGTGTGCTGCCAAAATGTGCCGCTGGAGGTCGTAGTAGCGTGAAAACTTGAGTAGGCAGTCCTGGGCATAGCAAGCAATCGTCCTTCTGGGGTGCTTGACCATGTGGTGGCCCGTCAGTTCTTCCCGAAACGAGCCGGGCCCGGTGTAGTCCGAACGGCGTTTCTTTGGTGTGAGTTGGCCCTGTGAGATTGAGATGGATGGCATGAGGGAAATGCAAGCGCCAGCTGCTGGAACACAGCCCAAGCACTGAGTGATGGACATCTTGGGCAACTCAGAGGCGACAACATACACTCGCACTCTCAAGAGCATGTCGCTTCTGATGCCGAGCCAGGGTCTCTCTGCGGCTGAAGAGACGGCCACATCCATCGACGGGACACTTGAACTCCTTGAGCCGTTCGTGTGCAGCCTTGACATGGGTGTCGCGGCTCTTTTCCTGGGGTTCATGGTGCGTTGATGCACATCACATGGAGTGTCAGTGGTGCCGGAGGATAATCGTAGGTCGACCTCGCAAGAAACACTCTTGCTTTGGTGTCGTGCCAGCGCTTGTCTATCGCTCGTTCCCGGATGCAGCCTTCCCGTCCATATGGCTGATACCAATCGGGCGGCGGCATCAACGGCCGCTTGCCTTTGGTCTCCCCACAGCGCCACAGAGATTGGCCTTGGCCTTGACCTTGGCTGCACTCCCTTGCACATGCACTTACCGTGACGTATTCACGATCGCAGTCCGCCCATGTACATTTGAACTTTTCTCTCGTTCGCTCGTGGACAAGCATATGAGCGGCCAAGACTTTTCTCTGCGCAAAGGCTCGATTGCAGATTGGGCAGACTACCGGATGGTCGTCTCGAAGATGGGCTTGCAGATCCACATACCGCCTGAACTCGCTCTCGCAGTCATCGATTCCACAGCGGTATCGCAGCCTGTCTGGATCGAGTGTTTCGCAGGGGCGTTAGATCCATCGCCATTGAAAGGCCGTCTCCTCCTCACCAGTGGGCTGTGCATTAGCCTTGAGATGGCCGCGGACAAGTGCAGTTCTAAATCGACCTACCTGAGTGAGTGTGCATATGTGATTTGAGCTGCGAGGAAGTCTTGAAGCTTTTGGTGCAGTCCTTGTGCTCGCATATGAACGGATTCTGCCCTGTGTGAACTGTCATGTGCTTTCGGAGCTGATGGTGCTTCGAGAATGCCTCCGAGCAGCCTTCGAAGGAGCACTGCAGATCGGAGCCAGAGGAGGAGAGGCTGGGCATTGAGCATTTGGGTATGCGGCGCAGGTTGGCAAGTGCAGAGACAGGATGTCTCCAGGCGATGCAGTTGATCGAAACCATCCAGCTCGCCGGGCGGGACCCATGCAGCCGTGGCGACACATTGCATCGGGGCACCTCGGGCCGTAAAGCCGATGGCTGCCAGGATGAGGAGCCGACAGCTCCAGTCCGGAGACTTACTTCGTATGGCTTGGGCTTTTCATGGGTCTGGTAGTGCCGCTTGAGATGGCAGTTGGTCGGAAACGACCTTGTGCAGTCTTGATAAGTGCATTTGAAGGGACGCCGCTCCTCCTGGTTGTCGAGATGCGACAGAGCATGGACGGCAAGATGCTCGGACCGGCCATAGCGCTTGTCGCATCCCGGATGCTGGCACGCATAGGGTCGCTGGAGAACATGCAGCAGTACGAGGGTCAGGTTGGCAGGCACCCCCCGATGAGCAGCGAAGCTGGATTCTGAACTCAGCTAAGCTTGGGTTGCTCGATGGCGCTCGCCAGCACAAGGATACCACATGGAGATAACATCTGCTGCTAGCCCGACAGCGAATCCCTTCCGTTCAATGGGTCGGCGGCAGTGCTCCGTACCTCGCCCGTATGGGACCGGTGATGTCGCTCCAGCTTGGCGGCATTTTTGAAGATCTTTGGACACTGGTCGCATTGATGCATGGCTGTCTCGGTGGGTCTCTGGGTCGATCGGCGGGTCTCTGGGTCGATCGGCGGGTCTCTGGGTCGATCGGTGGTGGCTCACTGGCAAGCTGGCCTTGCACCGGCAAGCATGCTCGCTGGGTTGGCCCCGGGCAGACCTGCGATGCTGGAGAAAGGGACAGCGAGACCGGACTGGAGAAGGCGAGCCAAGGAAAAAATCAGGCCTGTTCTGGATGATGCGCAGCATCTCAAGCCCGACTGTTCTTTGCCCCGATCGCCTCGCCCACCACGATCCTCACGATCAAGTCCTCCCCCCTGCGACGACAGTGGCTGCAGCAATGGCCGAGCCGCTTGGACAGACCAGCACTGCGAACGGCCTTGAGCAGACAGAAGGTGCGCTCGGAGGCCCGCTTGAGACGCTCTCGAGCGTGCTCTACCAGATTGACCAAGAGATTGTCTCGCTCTCAGACGAATCCGACCAACAGTGAGTTTTGCCTATGCCTGGCCAGCTATATCGTCCCATCAAAATGCCGTTCTCCGGCAGACGTTCTTCTCTAGTCGGTGTCGCATTGAATGCCGCTTGCCAGACCGTCTGGCTCACCGACAGGCTGTCTCGTTTCCTCCCAATCCCCTCACACCGTCGAATCCAGGTTCTTCTATTCCACCCTTGTGCGGCTCCGGGAAGAGCTTCAACAAAAGTCCAAGCAGCTAACCGAGAGCGAGATTGAATACGAGTCGAATCAGAAAGCCCTTGAGCGACTGCGGGCCAACGTGAGCCGGTTCCAGGCCCGAGCAGAGGAGCTCGAGCGCTCGTCGGCATTGCAATGAAAGTCATCGCTGGAAAGGGCACGTCTTGGCTGATCGAGCGCTCCAATGGCTGCATGGCTCTGTATTGGGCTGTGGCCGGAAGCACGCTTCGATGCCACATCTAGATGGGTGCCCAAGTTGAAGCCCTGTTTCTTTATCCAACAACTGCAAGACCAAAACGTATCGCCAACTAGCATGCAGCCATCGAAGCGGGAGTGGCCTGCATCTCGGAATCGACAACGTGTGTCAGATGTCCTCTCATCTCGCCAAAGGCTGGCTGGCTGAGATTTGGATATCATCCTCATCCTCATCTTCATCTTCATCAGCCATCGCCTCTCAGTCGCGGCTTGCGAGGACAAGCAATGCGCTCCAGCATTCGCAACAGCAAAACAACTGGCTGTGCAATCTACCGCTTTATCGCAATGACTCTGCAATAAAAAAACTACAAGGGATGCCTCCTAAACGGACGACTTGATGATCTTTTGGATATTGGAGTCGAACAGCTCGGCACGAATGGGCATGTCGGGGTTGTAGAACGGGTTCTTCATGGCATAGCTCGAGTAGCAGTCGTAGATGCGCCGCATCACGACGTCGACGTTGGCCTGGATCAGATCGGTGGCGACCAGGAACTTGGTCCCTGGTGTTGAATTGGCCCCAGCAGCGGTTAGAACGTCATGAACCGCTCACTCACACACACTCTCGCTCACTGGCACAACGGTCTGGGGAGGTCGAGGCGGGGCAGCTGGCAGTAGGAGTTGGACATGTGCCCCGCAGGCGACGGGACGACTTACCCGTTAGTGTCTGGAAGCAGTGAAATCGAAATGAATCGGCCTCCAGAACCTCGATTCCAGACCCCTCTGAATTGACGGGCGACAATCTTGAGGTGATTGCGTGGACGCTGGCAGAGAGGGTTTGGACGGTGGGGTGAGCGGGCAGTTGGAGGCTGTCCCTGCGATATGGCCAGCGACGGTGGGAGCACGTTACCCATGAAAAGTGCCTGCCAGGACCAGATATTCGTTGGGGGTGATGGTGGCGAGGCCGTCGCTAAAATCTTTTTGGTAGATCAGCCCTCCGGCCTTGCTGATGATGTACAGCGAGTGGATCATGGCGATGTGAGGATGCTGTTGAACAGAGTGCGCGGGGCCAGACCGAACAGGCGACTGCCGGAATGCATCTCTCCCTGGTCTCGCTCTCGCCCCGCTCGCGCCTCGCCGGTCCCTCGCTGCTCTCGCCACTCCTCCCGGTATGCCAGGGTGCTATCCAGCCAGGCCGCAGTCCTGTGCCAATCGAGAGAACGATCCTTCGCTCCTGATCTGCCAAACGATGAACCCACATGGAGGCCGTCCCGGTCTCCCGGCAGGTGTCCTGCCAGGTGCCCAGCCAGGATCGATGGGACAGCTGGCCCAGGACAGCCGGGAAGCGCAGCTGTCGGCCCTCCTGATGGCTCTCGACAATACCAGCGCGACCCGGTCCCAGCAGCTGTCCGCCATGAGCATCTTCCCGGGTCCTCTGCCGATCGGAGCAGCAACGGTGATGCCAGAGACTCAGCCTGCGACAGCGCCCGGCATCTCGCAGGGTGAGCTGCTCAAGCTCCTGGCGCGAGCCCAGGCATCGTCGTCGTCATCACCCTTGGCGAGCTTGACCCAGGCATCTCCAACGGCCGCTGTTCCGTCGATTGCAGCGGAGCAATGCGGATATGTCAATCCAACCTATGTGCCCTCAGCTTTTGGAGCTAAACCTCCGGCGCATGCGATACATCCGGTGTCGGCAACGATATACCCAGCCGTTCCCACTCCTGTTGCTGTATCTGCCCAGCCTCAGTCTCAGCCTCAGCCGCCAGAGGAATCGCCAGCCAGGGGCGAGCGCATCACCCCGGCTGTGGTCATCAAAGTCGCTCGAATGTGCGAGGACGCGGCGTTTGTCGACTCGATCAAACGGCTCAAGGACGAGCAGGTGGGCCAGGTGCTCGGTTGGGGTGATGGGGTTACTTGTGTGCTGAGGTCTGTGGTGCCGATAGCAATCGAGGCGATGCGTGTGCTCTCAAATGACATGGGAAGGCAGCTCCACGAGCATCGGCACCATGGACCACGATACTGCGTCTCGACTGCATATCTGAGCTATAGACTGACATTGCACTGGATGCAAACGGCCGACGACCTGCTCCAGCTTCAACTGGAGCGGGACCTTCTGAGACAGAGAAAGGCGCTCATAGCCAAGCACGAAGACAAGGAATGGGCGAGGCAAGTATTTCTACACGGGACGGGTGTCTCTGTGCCATCTCTCCTCGTCTCATCAACGGTGCTTGCAAAGTCCGGGGTGGCGATTTCTCACGCCGTGCCTTTGGTCTGTGTGGTCGTCAACAGCGAGATTATTGGAACAGCAACGTCAGCAAGCACACACGAGATCCGACAGAGGCTCGAAAAGGAACTGAGAATCTTTGATCGGCTCATGATGGGCCAGCTGGAGCAAATCCAACAGATACAGCAGTCGGCGATAGCCAAGGTGAATCCTTGGGTGCAAATGGTGTTCGGCATCGACGTACCTGAATGATGAGTCCCGCTCCAGCAGATACTGATTGCATGCACTTTGCTGTCCCAGCTCGGGGTTCCTTTGTTTTGGGAGACCAGCGATCCTGTCGAGATGCTCACCCAGAAAAAGATCCTGGGATACATCCTCGACATGACCGACGACGAGACGCACTCGGCCCCGCGTGCTGGGCGATAATGTCCTTCTGTACACTACAATTGCAGCGACGCAGCTGTCACATCAGTTGCGCCAAACGGTCGGCTCATATTGTCGGCTGGGCCCCGAATCTCAGCGTTCTCACCGAGCGACACAACGACACAACGACAGGATGTGCCCGGAGCAACTAGCGGGCGTACGATTTGGTCCATACGGCGTTTATTGGCTTGCGCGAGGAACTGCTCAGTGGTGATTGCAAAAGGCCAGGGAAGTAAACAATAAGGGGGTAGGAGAACAACGCAATAAAAAGGGGAAAATGTACAGGGGTCTAGTGGTGGAACAGGCGCCACTGGGTGTGGGCAACGGCAATGCCAAAGTCATCGGCGGTCTTGATGACAATATCGTCCTGGACCGAGCCGCTGGGGGCAGCAACAAACTTGACACCGCTCTGGGCGACGCGCTGGATGTTGTCGGGGAAGGGGAAGAAGGCGTCGCTGGAGACGACCAGGCCGTTCATCTGCTTCTTCCAGTCCTTCTTCTCGTCGGCAGTGAAGGGGGCGGGCACGACCTCGAAGAGCGACTCCCATTGCTGGCGATCGTCGATCTGGTCGGTGACATAAAGGTCGATGGCGTTGGCCTTGTCGGCTCTCTTGACCTCCTTCTTGAACTGGAAGCCGAGCACCTTGGGGTGGTGGCGGTACCACCAGTTGTCGGCCTTCTCGCCAGCAAGACGAGTGCAGTGGATGCGGGACTGCTGGCCAGCACCCAGGCCCACGACCTGACCGTCCTTGGCGTAGCAGACCGAGTTGGACTGGGTGTACTTGAGGGCAATGGTGGCGACGATGAGGTCGCGAACAGCAGACTCGGAGAGGGCCGAGACGCTCTTGGTGACAACGTTCTTGAAGACCTCGGCAGTGATCTGCAGGTTGTTGCGCTTCTGCTGCAGGGTCAGGCCGTAGACCTGGCGGCTCTCGATCTCCTCGGGCTCGTAGCTGGGGTCGATCTGGAGCAGGGTGTACTTGCCACCCTTCTTCTTCTTGAGGATCTCAAAGGCCTCGGGGGTGTATCCGGGAGCAATAACACCATCCGAGACTTCGCGGGAGATGATCTTGGCGGTGGCGACATCGCAGACGTCGGAGAGGGCAATCCAGTCGCCAAACGACGACATGCGGTCGGCACCACGAGCGCGGGCATAGGCCGACGACAGAGGGGTGTGCTCAATGTCCTCGACAAAGTAGACCTTCTTCTCAATATCCGAGAGGGGAAGGCCGACGGCAGCACCGGCGGGGGAGACGTGCTTGAAGGAGGCGGCGGCAGGGAGACCGAGGGCCTGCTTGAGCTCCTTGACAAGGGGCCAGGCGTTCAGGGCATCCAGGAGGTTGATGTAGCCGGGGGAGCCAGCAAGAACTGCAGGACAGAGCATAGGGTGAGGCGAAGCCAATGGATGTGAGGTTGGATGCAGGCGGTGCTCACAAGTGAGGGGGAGGTGTCGGGGCTTCCCATCGATGCTGCCGCATTCCAGCCAAGATGCCCAGAGATGTATCCAGCCGATGACTGGATTGCCAACCTACCGGTGAAGGGGAGGGGGCCATGGGTGTTGAAGACCTGGGCGGGCTTCTGGTGGGGGTTGGCGCCGTAGCGGAGGACAAGCTGCTGCTTGCCGTTTCCAGCATACTGCTCACGGAAGTAGCCGCTGATGGCGGTGTCGTAGTCGGCAGTGTGAGTGAAGGCCTTGAGGGCAGAGCTCTGGCGGGTGGCTTCGCTGACGGTAGCGACGCCGGAGGCGGCGAAGGAGGCCTGGATCTCGGCAATGACGGCGGGGTAGTCGGTGGGGTCGCTGATGACGGTGACGCGAGCATGGTTCTTGGCAGCAGCACGGAGAAGGGTCACGCCGCCTGGAGTCCGATGCAAAGTCGCAGCAAAACGGAGGTGTTAGAGGGCACGATGCGGCTTGGAGATGGTGCTGTCGATGCGCTGCATGCTGGGCTGGCTGAGCACCGGGTGAATCGGTACATGGGTCCTTGCTCACCAATGTCGACCTCCTCGACGGCCTCGGGGATGGTGACGCCGGCCTTGGCGACGGTCTTCTGGAAGGGATAGAGGTTGCAGACGACAAAGTCGATCTTGTCGTAGCCGCGGTTCTGCATGTCGGCGTTGTCCTGGGGGATGTCGCGGGCGAGGATGCCGCCGTGGACGGCGGGGTGCAGGGTCTTGACACGGCCACCGAGCATCTCGGGGGCCTTGGTGATGTCGGCGACGTCGCTGTGGCCGAGAGATGCGGCAGTCAGTTTAGTGGCTGGGGAGCAACGGGGGAGGACCGTGCAGTGCGCCAGGTCAGCCAGATCGACCAGATCGGCCAGATCAGCCAGATCGACCAGCGTTCCATGAGCGAAGCAAACGGCCTCGTAGGAGTCCGAGGCTGGGCAAGGCGGGCTGGGGCACATACTCGACGGGGAGACCAGCATCACGGATAGCCTTGGCCGTGCCGCCCGAGGCAACGAGGCGGACGTTGACGGCGTGGAAGGCCTTGGCCAGGTCCAGGAGACCGGTCTTGTCAGAAACGGAGAGGAGCGCTGGCCGGCGAAGCGCGAGCAGATGATGTGGCAGATAAGTTGGCTGCTGCACATTTGCACATCCGCATATCGGTGTATCTCCGCATCTGCGGCGATTGGCATGGGTAGACGCAGCGTTGGGTGGCTCGGCCGAGAGGCTCTCTCGGAATGGCCGATGGCAGCTTACCGATCTTTTGGACCATTGCGATGGAGTGCAGCGGGAGAGAGCTTGGCGGGAGCAAGATCGTCGGTGACGTCAAAGCCGTTTGATCTTGCGCGGGAGAAAAAAGAAAACGCCGCCGGCTCGACTGCGGCTGGATCCGGCTGGATCGGCTCGCGCCAGGGCTGCACGCCAAACCCAAGGCCAAGGCGGGGAAGGAGCAGGCCAGCGAGCATCGTTGCCTCGCCAAGACCGCCATCATCCGCCAATGTCGCAGCCGTTCCAGGACATCGCCGAGGTGGAGCCCGTAAGTACGAGCCACGAGCTGTGCGTGGATAAGTGTCCGCGGTGTTGATCATGATGGTTCGGGGTAATCCGATGGAGGGCAATGCATCCCTCCTCTCGCTCGCCAGCAACGCACATGCACCGGATCGGGCTGAACGAGCGTCTGTTTCTGCCCTCCGCCTGCAGCTCAACACTCCTGAAGCGCAGCTGGAGTTCCAGAGTACGTCGGCGTTGTCGATGAAGTGGACTGCACCTCTGCTGTCCATGTCGCAGCAGTGTGATTGGCACTCTGTTGTTTGCGCTCTGTCCTGGCCATGGCTCGCCATGGCTCTCCTCCGACCACCCAGGAATATCTTGGCTGTCCAGGGATATCTCGACCATCCAGGAATACCCCGGCTGTCTATGAATATCTCCACTGAATATGCCATCCAGCCGCGTCGACTGCTTCAGCTGATAGCGTCAGTCTTTGATCACGCCCTTCATGGTCGCATCTTGGCTGATCCTCTTGACCCTCTATTTCCGTCTTTTCCTCCTGCTGGCCCGCCAGACTTTGTTCTGTCTTCGGCAGAGCAAGTTCTCACAAACAGCCGTGCGCCTCTGGCTGCCCCACGGCCAACCAGCAGCGTGCCCTTCAATGTCGGCGGCTCGAGTAAGTGCTCTCGGCTGCTCGAAACCCCGCCAATCGAACCAGACTCATCTAGGGTCCGGTCGCTCGCCTCTGTATCTAATCCAGACCTGCGTTTGTTTCCTGGCCCAGACTTTGGGTTTTCGAATGTGCCCTCGACTCCGGATGTCGGCGCCATCAAGCCTGCTTTCTGGACCCTCGATTACTACAAGCAGTATTTTGACGTCGATACCAACGAGGCAAGTGATGAAGATGCCTGGCGGCGTGCCTGAGCATATAGCCAGCCCTCGGATGCCACCGGCACAAGGCGGCTCCTGACGCTTCATCCAACACATAGGTCGTGAGCCGCATTACCGCTTCGCTGCTACCAAAGGATGACTTTGTCGCGCTCGTCGGCGGCAAGCCCGATCTATATGGTGAGCCCTCAGGCGCCTTGTGCAGCCACCGCAGATGCACCACGAGTATCGCATATCTCGTCATCGATATCTCGTCATCGGAATCAATCCGCGCGGTAGCACCGATCCGCTGCACCGCCATGCAGTCGACGTACCTGGCATCGGGACGTCCCAATTGCGGCCACCTCGTGCATCGGCTCATTCGTTCATTCTGCCGCTATCCTCTACGCTATCGTCTACGCCGTGTCGCTCCCGAACAGGCCCATTCTGGATCTCGACGACTGTCATCTTCACCCTCTTTGTGACTTCGACTATTGCCGGAAGCATCTCGGCCATCATCAACGATCAGCCGTTCAATTACGACATGGCGCTCCTTTCGTTCGCCGTCGGTGCCGTCTACTTTTACGCTGCCGTGATGCCGCTGGTGATCTGGGCTGTGGCCCGGTACTTTGCCTCGCCCTCGTCCGTCTTTGAGATCATCGATGTGTATGGCTATGGTTTGACCATCTGGGTTCCGGCCTCGGTAGGTTACGGCGCTCATCCTTGGATCTGTTTGTGCCGCAACACATGGCCCGTTTGTCGAGAATCCATGTGTCCATTGGAGAAGGATATGCTCATTGTAGCCGATGTGTTCGTGGTGGACGAGTGCTGTTGATGTAAACCAAGTTATCTGCCGTGGCTCGGCGTTACTGCGAGCGACGCAAATGGGCGTGACCGGGTCAATTCAGCGCAGACTACTGACATCGGCCCCTCGATCTCCAGCTCATTTGCGTCATCCCGTCAAATCTCATTCAATGGATCCTTGTCCTGGCTGCATTCGCATCCTCGAGTAAGCAGCTGGCCATGACCGAGAGCAGATTACAACAGACACCGACCTTCCGCCTCTGTGTGATATCGGCAACTTTGAATAATGTATCGGCTATGACTGCCTACCTCGGCCTCGGTCAGGGCTGTTGGCGCGTGTACTCATCCAAATCGACTTTTGTTTCGCGGCGCAGCATACTTCATCGTCCGAAGCTTGCACCCCGTTGCGGCTGCTACACAGCCTGCATACGCCAAGTCGGTCGTCGTCGGCATCATCTTGGGCTGCCAGATCATTTTTGCGCTCATTTTCAAGCTTGGCTTCTTCTCGTATGCTGGAAAGTCCACCGTCACCACGCCGTCGGCACCCTCTGCTCGCATCTGAGACCAGAGAGAGCAGCGCCCTCTACTCTGTCGGTGGAGTCTTCTGGTGGGACAGTCGCCTGGCAACTCTGCACTGCCAACTCGAGACCGCAGCCGAGTGCGGCATCAGCGAGTGCACGGTTCCACCGAACCCAATACATTGTTTGCTTTGATCTGCTGTCCCGGGGTGCATAGGCGAGGGAATCCGCTCGTTAGCCTTGCCGCAACCGACCGATGCGCTCGCTCATGGGCCAGATTCTCACGCGAGGCCGACAAGCGAGTTGATATTGGGATTGTGTGGCCGTGTGTGTGTGTGGCAGGGCAGCCATGGTGTGGCCACGTGCTGGCCAGGTGCCAAGCCACGCGGCCGACAATTATAGGGACTTGCAAGGCCAGCATTCCACCGTCCTTCCTCCCTCGAAATCCGGTCATATCTTTTGTAGGTCGCCGACACAATGGTAATAGAATGCGTCCAGCGCCTGCCGATTCGTGCATCCATGCATCCATCCATGCATCCATGCATCCATCCATCCATCTATCTATGCATCCATCCATCCGCCGCTCTGGCGCATCGCGCATCCGTCCAAGCGAGAATATAGCCGAAATGCGACAGCCACACGTCTATCAAGCTCTGTCGCAGTTTGCGCGCTGCCGCTCGACGCCTTTTTTTGCCTCTGGGATCATCGGGACCAACTCGACTCGAGCAGCGCGGAACAAATGGATCTGGGCAGCTCTCTCGACCGCACGAGCGACAGGAGACTCGTCGGATGCGGCCCTATGCCGTCAAAGTTCTTCACCAGCCGGATGCGATCGATGCAACAGCCGGACATTCCCACTACCATTGCGATGATAGCAGCACCAGCCGGGATCAAAGCATATCGTCAGGCTCGGTCGTCGTCTGTCCGACAGGCCGTTGTTTTGGATGAATCCTGCCGGCTCTAGCTACGGACCATGTTGATCAACGAGCTTTTTGGGCAGAACATGCGAGACCAAATACGGACCGCAGCAGATGGACACGGCGCCCTCCCTTTCTCTCACCCCAGCACACTGAGTGCGTGTACGGCGACTGATCATCTCTGCATCGCCATCCGTCCAACCAGGTCAACATCCCCAAGACCCGAAACACCTTCTGCAAGGGCAGCAAGTGCAAAAAGCACACCGCCCACAAGGTCACCCAGTACAAGACTGGCAAGGCCTCCCTGTTCGCCCAGGGTAAGCGGATACGCGGGGGCCATGGCCGTGTGGGTGCCAGTCATGTCGGCAGGGCCAAGGGCCGGGCGAGTCGTATGCTGATTCTTGACTGTGTCTCTGCAGGTAAGCGCCGTTACGACCGTAAGCAGTCCGGTTTTGGTGGTCAGACCAAGCCCGTCTTCCACAAGAAGGCCAAGACTACCAAGAAGATCGTTCTTCGTCTTGAGTGCACTGTCTGCAAGGTATGTCGATCGATCGATCTGGACGCACGGCGCATTGTGCTGCGGCCCCTCCCGATGGCCTTTCGAGTCGACTCGCGAGATCCTGCTGATTGACTCGATTCACTACTGCCCTTCGTTCCACAGTACAAGCAGCAGCTCGCCATCAAGCGCTGCAAGCACTTCGAGCTCGGCGGTGACAAGAAGGTGGGTTGCCCTGGCGACGATGGCTGCCTTGGATGCATGGCTGATTGGTGTGCTCGAATGCACTCGCAGTGCTGCTCACACATCTGTATCTCTCCCGCCGCACACAGACCAAGGGTGCTGCCCTCGCTTTCTAAACGACGATTGCTATTGTATATTCTTGTGGACGGGATTGTTTGACAACAATCTTGACATTGTGATGATATATAATACACTATCAATTGGGCAACACATCAGTCTGCCGTCTCAGGGGAGGCTTCTGCGCATGTGGGACCATTGCAGTAGATGGCGGATGGCGAATGGTGGTGGATGGTGGGTCGCGAATGGCGGGTAGTGGTGGATGGTGGGTCGACAACTGTCTGCTACTCGGCTGTCTCATAACTGCGGACTTGAATGCCTGTATTATAGATTCATGTGGCTTGCGAGCTGCAGTCCCGCCCCCACCCAAGCGATGCAGCAACTTTGGATCGTTCCCGTGCGATCCCAACCAAGGGAGCATGATGACGCTGCAGGGACAGGCGTCTGCAACAGTCCAGTCAACGAGTGGGACGGTCAGAGACGCTATATTTATTCAGCTTTGGGTTGCTTCTTTTGCTTCTTTGGCCGTTCCTTCTTTTTCAGGGCATCCATGTTGGCCCGGATGATGTGTGTGTAGGACTCGAGGAACTTGTCGGTGTCGCTTGGATGGACCTGAGTGAGGCCAGAGCGAGGCCAGAGCGAAACCAGAATCACGCAGCATGAGATGGGGGGAAGGCTATCGATCGACCTGCCCACTCGTCGGCACGGAACGATGCCTGCTCTTGCTCGAGCCAAGCACGGCAACGTACAATTGTGCTTATTTTGGCCTTGCCAATGACGGCCCGGACTATGCTCGGATACTCGACTGAGGAGTCGGCCTCAGCAACATCCTTGGCGCTCTGGCCAGCCTGCTCCTTCTTCTTGTCATAGGTATCTGTGGTCCGAGGCGAGAGATCAGGGAGCCGATGAGTGCGTGGCTGCCACATGGACCGTCTGCGACACGCATCCGATGCTCGCTCATTCCACCATCGCTTTCCAATCGTTCGATCGTTCGATCGTTCAATCGTTCAGCCGAGCCTGGAGCGAGGCATGCTCTCTTCCAGGTGTCGAGGCAAGTCGCTCATTGCTCAACGTACATCGCTTCATGGTCAAGAAAACCGTCCCAGACGACTTTGTCCTGCCAAAGTGTGTGTTGAGCTGGGCCAGAAACTGTGCAGAACGTGCGGACAGATAATCGAGATACATGAGTGACGCTTCTACGATCCGAGTTGGCGACATCACGGGTGTCTTTCTGGCAAAGACCAGTTGCGGTGGTGCCAGCGCTGCGATGGAGCCTTCGGTGAAGCCGGTGCTGAAGGTTTCTCTTACAGAGTGGTTCTCGAGGTGCTGCTTTGCTCCCATCGTGGATGCGATGCTCGACTGGATTGGAGTCTGGGAGAGGCGATCTGGATTGACCAAGAGCAAGATCGGAGACGAGCGCGGCCGCCGATCCAGGAGACCAGCGAGACCGAGACGGCCAGAGAGAAGGGAGCGAGAGACGTGCGAGAGGCGGTCCGAGAAGCAGCCGAGAGCATGCTGCTGTGGCGCCAGCAGCAGCACAGAATAGGGGCCAGCGAGGGCCCGCACCCGTGACCGGCGCAACAGGCGTTAGGGTTCTGGATCCGATCCGTTTGGCGAGATCTCGTTTTGCAGGACAAGCAGCCGCCGTTCTTTGCTTCAAGCTCTGTTCATCTGGACGATTGCTCCTGCTTTCGTCTCCACTCGTCACCGCCGCTGCCGCCGCGACCCAACCCAACCTAACCCGACCAGACCCGATCCGACCGTCTGCATCCTCTGTCATCATGAAGTTGGTCAGGTGCGTCCATACCCGGGCTTCCAAACATGGCGGCATGCGTCGTCCGGCCACCTCAGCCTCGACCGATCGCAGACCAGGCGATCGCATTCCACTTGGTCGGGCACAGCAGTCGAGCGTCGTCTCTAACCCTCTCTCTGCTTGATCTTGCTGCGCATGCGCTTGCATATTTCGATTGCGATGGTGGTGGATCGCTTGGATCTGCTCTGATCGATCGGATCTGCGGCGTTGTCTGTGGGGCTGTGGCTACAACGGACCGTTTTCCACTGGCGACCGATCGATGACCCTTGGCGGACGACGGACCCTTGTCCTTGATAACGGCAACCACAACAACGGCAACGACAATGGCCATGAAACAACCCAACGGCGATGGCAACAAAACAACAATGCACATCGCCGCCATCGCCGGTGGGGTGTGATCCCGCGCCTGACCTTGATCGTGCTTTCGATACACGGATACACCGACCACGGTTGCGTTCGACCATATCGAAACGGGATCACGGCATGGGATTGCTCTTTGCGGACGAACCAATACGGGAATTCGATCTCGCAAATGCCAGATTCCTCCAAAAGCTCAACAACGAGACCGTCACAATCGAGCTGAAAAATGGCACGAGCGTCCACGGCACCATCGCCGGTGTAGACATGCAGATGAACACGCACCTGAAGACCGTCAAGATGACGGTTCGAAACAAGGACCCCGTCAACCTCGAGTCGCTGTCGATCCGTGGATCAAACGTTCGATACTTTATCCTGCCGGACTCGCTGCCCCTGGACACGCTCCTCGTTGACGACGCACCCAAGTCGAAAGGCAAGAAGAAGGAGGGTAAGTGCCGATCGGCGACAGGGGAGGAGACGCAGCTGTGTGCTCTGTGTCGCTGGACATGGAGCGGGCTTTGTCATAGGATGTGCATCCGGTATCTGGTTCCACGGTGCGAGGCAAGGGTGTCTCGTTGGCCGGTTGCAGAGCAGTGGGCGCATATCGGCGCTCGTTCATTTCGTGGACACTCTCTCACATGCGGTTTTCCTATTGTCTGGCTATCCATTCGGTGAATCCCGCAACTCGCTCTGCTTCCTGTCGAACGGCTCTCCAGCGGCACCTTCCCGAGGACGTGGCCGTGGACGAGGCCGTGGCAGAGGTCGTGGACGTCGCTAGATTCCCGCCATCGCCGGTTCCTGATCCCATGGAGCACCTCCGGCTTTCCCCTCGCCTCCTGCTCTCATCCCCTCCGCCCCCGGACATTTTGTCACCCAATTCGTCCTGGAGACACGCTTCCTTCCGCCTCCGATCAAACCCTCGCACATCCCAAATAAACAGCCAACTTCCAGACCCAGTGCGTCTGCTGTCCGCGGGAAGGCAAGATGCCAGTGGGGCCCAGTGGAGCCCGGTGGCACCCGGTGGGTAGCAGCGGTAGACGAGCTGTGTTTTTTGGATGTTCGACAAGTCGAGTCTATTGGCTAGATGGGTGTGGAGCTGATGGTAGTAACGGATGATGAAAAGGGCGGGCTGGGGCGATGAAGCAAGGGGGATCTTGACGGGGAGTGTGTGGCAGTGATGGGAGCTTCGGACGGTGACATCGACGGGTAGAGCCCGACTCGGGCGACAGAATCAAATCAAGGTAGATCAAGGCGAATCAAGGCAAATCAAGGCAAGCCGAGGCGAACCGAGGCATATTGAAGCAAATCAAGATAGATCAGGATCATGGGAGGAAATAAACAGCCAAGTCAAAGCAACTGTGCATGCGGGGCAAGTGGCCAGCAGAGTCAAATAATAGAAGCAAGGTCTAAGGCCAACGACCAGAGTGGTCGCGAACAAGCATGATCTACGTGGGAAACACACTGGGGCGTGAGCAGACCGACCGCCGACATGCCGGCACCGGCCATGTCCGAGACATTCGCAGCCCCGCAGACGTCGACTGATCTGAGGGGGGGGGAAGGCAGTTTTACCGCAGCTTGAGGGCGAGGCGATCCTCAAGCCAGAACTCGATCTGGTTGCGCATCAGGGTCGCGTGGTTACCCCATAACTGCGCTGCTTCTGAGGCATATCCTCGGGGATGGTCTGGACCAAGGAACGAGTCGCGAGCGGGGTCGCCGTCCTCGTCCTCCTCCTCCTCCTCCTCGATGCTGGGCTTTGGGAAGGTGATGTCGAGCACTTGAGTTAGCACCTTCACAGCGGCCTTGGTGACGGGGTCGGCCTTGAGGTTCATCAGCTTGTACTTGCCGCCGAGGGTGGTGACCCGGCTGATGAGCTTGTCGAACTTTGAAATGTAGAGCGACAGGAACTTGGACCGCGACGTCATGAACGCGGTGTAGTGCTTGGTCAGGAGCTCAAAGACCTCGTTGTAGGCTTGTTGGAAGATGAGCGGGTCGATCAGGTTCTTGTCGTCCCGGCCGAGATCCGGGGTCAGGGATGGTGTCATCGTCGACAGGATCTCCTTCATGCCATCTTTGACGACGCGCTTCGCCTTGTCCGTGACGTTGATCTCGAGTGTGCTCGAGGAGTCGAGGTAAGTCTGGTAGATCAGCACGGCCTCGACGTCTTCGTGATCGTTTTCCCAGTAGCGCTGGACATCGATCGCGAAAAAGAGCAGCTCGACAGAGTACTTTGTCAGCAGGTACGTCAGGAAGTAGATGAGCGGGACTCGGCTCGAGAGCAGCAGGTTGAGGGCGGTCGCTTCGGCCGTTATGTTATAGAGCCGCGTGATCGACACGGGCTGCGGCGGCTTGGAGGAAGTGGTGGAAGTGCTGATGCGTCCATATCCAAGCAGAACCGAGATGTTGGACATTGCCGTCGGTGGGATGGACGAGAGTCGAGACGACACTGAGTTTTGCGACGACTGCGAGGTGAGGGAAGCCATCGAGCCCACCGACAATGGACGCGATTGCCTCGACCTGGGCGCTGTTGGAAGCTCGATGGAGGGGCTTCGAGGGTCTGTTGGGTTGATTACAGCGGAGCGGGTGTGAGTAACAGCATCGGGGCTCTCTGTACAGGTCGCGGGCGACCTTGGTTCGATAAAAAGCCGTGCCATCGGACGGATCGACATAGCACGGCCGCCGTCCATCCGGGATAGCGAGATTAAGCGTTGACGACGAGACGCCTATTTCACGGCCGAAGCAGGGCACTGACGTGGACAGAATGCCGTGCGCCTTTGTAGCTTACATGGAACCGCCGGCAAGGGGCGTGGCCGGGACCGGAGCGAGGAAGCGCGAGGCTGGTGCTGGGATCCTTCAAAGGCTGAGGTGCTGTGTCGTGCTCCGCCCTGGCCGTTCTGCTCAAGGGACTGAGCGGTCGACTCGAGAGACTGGATGGCCTCTTCCCACAGGGCATCGAGCTGGCCGCGAAGCGCTGGATCCGCGGCCGGGGCGAGGTCGTGGTTGGGATCCGAGACGTCGTTCTCGGCCCACTTGATGTAGTTGAGCGTCGCCCAGCCGATCCACTCCTGGTCAGCCTTGGTGCGGCCATCGATGTCGGTGACAAGCCGCTGGGCTTTGGAATAGCCAGCAACGCCGGTGGCCTCGTCGCCGCCTTCTTGGGTCGTCAGTGTGCAGTCCGAGGAGGACGAGCCAAGGTTGTTTGGGTCGCCCGATTTGCTGACATCGAATGGGTCGCCTTCGGTCTTTGCCGTGAGCGGGGCGTATCCGTACCCCAAAGCTTGGCTTGGAAGCCGAGCACCGGACTTTGGGCTGGTTGTGGCCGCTTCGAGCTTGCGGGGCAGCGTGGCACCCGATGGGCGTTTGAGATCCTCGATTTCGATGCGAGACTCGCCCAGAGACCGCGAGAGTTTGGTGTTGCTGTTGATGTGGAAGATGGTGGCAATCGGGTCAGTTGGACGGAGACGTGGCCAGTAAGGTGCTATTTGATCATACTAATTGCAGGGAGGTGGGGGCATGCTATGACCGAGGCGAGGCCAAAGTCGCTCGACAGCCACCGTACAGCACCCATCCAGACGAAGGGGGCAGTCAGTTCTAGTTTGGAATCTATATTATCTAGTGAGCCGGCTGCGGTAGGGTTGGTCACTTACGCCTCCTCGGTCATCTCGAGCTTGTAGTAGAGCATCACCAGTTCCTTGTTCTTGGCGGCAACCTCTTCTTTCGCCAGGCGCAGGGATATCTCCAGTTGCGATATGACCGACTGGGCCTCCTTCTGAGCCTCCAGCAGCGACTGGATCTTGGCTTTGCTCTCGCCCAGCCGTCCGATCAGGATGCGCTTCTCGATATCATGCTCGTTGATGGCTGAGTTGAGCTGGGATTGTGTGTCCTCCAGAGCCTGCTCGATGGCGGTCATATCTGCAAGGCTCGCTGCTGGCTCGGGTTTGCCGTTCGACAGAATTGAGATGGCATCGGCGAGGGCTGCGCTCTTCTGCTGAAGCTCTTCCGACCGCAGCTTTTCGTGCTCGTGCTCCTCGATCAGGAGGGCCAGTTGGGCATTGACGTAGTCAAAGTTGCGTTTGAGCAGCGTATAGTCCTTGGCCTCGACCACCAGCTCACGGATGCGAGCCTCGAGGAGCTGTTTCTCCTCCTCGTGCTCCAAGGCCATATGCGTCGCGCTGGCCTTTGCGTGCTCCAGAGCCTTCTTGAGTTGCTGAAGCTCGTGCGCCGAAGCAGTTAGAGAGTGGGATAAGGGGCTGGCCTCGCTCTGGCGCGGCTCCGGGCCGGTGTGCATCTTGTCGACACTCGCCTTGAGGTCGTCATAGTCACCCTGGGATCGTTGAGCGTTGGCGAGCGACTCGGCAAGCTGCATCTCAAGAGTCTCCTTCTCGAGCTGGTGGTTCTTTTGAACAACCGAGTAGTGCGAGTTGAGCATGGAGAACTGGCTCTTCAGGTGCGCATAATCTTGCTTGATGGCGTCCAGCTCGGACTTGAGCCCTTCCATCTGGATCTGCCCGTCGGAAACCGTGCTGGGCAGCGAGTCACGGAAGGAGCGCTCGCTCCGAACAGGGGTGGCAATGCGTCGATGGCTTTCTGCGTGATGGACCAACTCTGACTCGGGCCTGGGCTCGTATACCGACTCGACGATTGGCTCGGGCTCGGCAACTTCGACGGCATGTGCATGCTGGGGACTGGGACGCACCGTTGCCTCCGGTTCTGGATATGCGGCTGTGTCAAATGAAGCCATTGAAACCGGACGGGAGTCACTGAATGCCGGAGAGGCGGGGCGGGAGACACTAGCAGCGTCGGAGGGATCTGGGGTGCCTCGACGGCTCGTGGTTTCGCTTGCGGTGTCAAGGGTTTTTGCGATCCGGATGGTGGTTTGAGGGCCGGCTCTGCGGGTGGGTTTCTGGGTCCCGTTCTTGCCATGGTGATGGCCGGCATGGGACACTTTCGATGCCGACGCGGACGATTTGACAGTGGAGGACTTGGTCGTGGCTGAGGCGGTCGAGTTGGTTGACTTGGTGGATGGAGTCGGCTTGGGGTGTCCATCGGATTTGGTAGCGGTTGTCGATCTACTTGCCGCGGGAGTTGGCGGCTTGAGCGACGCTGCTGAAGCTGACCGGGAGACACTCTTGGAGGCTGTCGAGGGCTTTGTCCCGGATGTAGACTTCTTGGTATCATTCTTGGGCTTTGCCGACTGGGATGGCGTTCGGGTTGGAGTCGCAGACCGCGAGACAGAGGCAGAAGACGATGATGCCGAGGACTTGGATGTGGAGACGGCAGTGCTTGCGCCGGTCGATCGTCTGGCCGCTCCTCCAGCCGTCTCTGACTGCTTCAGAGTTGTGACGACGGTTTTCTGAGACAATAGAGCAAAGGATGGAGGAGCCAGGGTCAGAGTACGATCGGCGGCACAGTGACCGGGACGACAGCGGGCTTGGCCAGGCAGTTCGGGAGGCGAAGGGTAAAGGCCGCCAACATTGCAAGACATCTGGATTGCGGAAGGCTCTGCAGACACCGAGCAACGCGACTCACCTTGGTGGATGATGCAGTGGGCATCGGTGGCTTGTGCACGGGATTCGTGAGAGGGTATTCAACTTGTGCGGTGAGAGGGGGCGCTCAACTTGTGTGGTGGCAAGGTATACCTGGGCAGGCGCAGAACACAAAGTTGATAAGCAGCTGGCCTGGTATCGGAACAGGCGGCTGAAGCAGCGATAGCGATGGCGATGGCACTCACTGATGGGAACTGCCTGTTATTCCAGGAATGGCCGGGTATGGATGAATATGGATGAATATGGATGAATATGGATGGATACGGGTGAGGCCAACGAAAACTGGAGACTGGGCCGGGCAACGAGCAAACAAGCGGGGTCAACAGAGCAGCCAGAAAATGGTCAACGAAAACGTCAAACAAACAGTCAACGAAAACGTCAAACAAACGGCCGAAGAATATCCACAAACAATACCAGGGCGACACGCAGCGACGACGACAGGCCGCAAGACTGGCTGCGAGGCAGGATGCGGGACAGACGAGGCCAGAGAGAGTTGTCGCTCCGGGCTTGGCCGGCTCCGGAAATGGCGTGGAGCGGCGGGGCGGTGGGTCGCACAGTCTATTTACAGCGTGCGGCAAGGCGACCGATTGCCGTCGCTCACCGGCCGGTCACGTTCGCTCATCCGGTCGGTCACATCTGCTCATCTGGTCGGTCACATTCGGCTGATCTCGTTCTTCTGGTCCTCCATCCACATCGCTTTCCTCCGGGGTTGGTTCTCGCTCATCGGCCACGGAGTCGAACAGAGCGACGCAGCAGCTCTCAACCACTGGCAGGAAGTCAGTGCTCAATCCACCGACCCAGTCATCAAGCCCATCGCCACCCACATGGTCGGCTGGATGCACTACCTCGGCCGAGGAACTTTGCGAGACCAGCGCAAGGGCGTCAAGATCATCCGCGATAACAAATCGGACCGATTCCCTTTCGGGGAGGGCGAGTGTTTGAGGGGTGGTGGTGACGAAACGATGGCGGCTCTTACCGCCTCGGACTGGCCCGCCCCACGCAAATTTTTCGAGCTGTGCGAATTGGGATCGAATCAAGATTGGCTGTGCACACACCTCATGTCCGTATGTTTGGTCAATGGATTCGGAACGACCCAGGACCAGACGGCAGCAGCGATCATCTTCGAGCTGCTGGCCAACGACGGCCACAGTCACAGCCAACAGTTGATTGGACTTTGCCACTATCATGGCTGGGGAGAATCAGAGAACTACCCGGTGGCCTTGGATTGGTTCAGCAAGTCCGCCGACCAAGGCAACCCGTATGGACAGTGGTGGGTGGGTTGGTGTTATCGTTGGGGGGAAGGCGCTCCCAGGGATTTCACCAAGGCAGCCATGTGGTTCAGCAAGTCAGCCGAGCAGGGCAATCGGTACGGACAGTGCAATCTCGGATATCTCTACAGGGACGGCAACGGCGTCACAGAGTGCATCGACACCGCCGTCATATGGTACCGCGAGTCTGCAAGCCAGGGAAACGAAGAGGCTATCGATAGACTCAAGGAACTTGGCAGATGGCCATGATTCCCGTGCCCTTCTGGACGATGGCTCTCCATCGCCATGAAGCATTCTAATACACAGACCCATTGCCTCCAAAACTATCGCTGGGGCTGGCCGTGCAACACCATAGCTACTTACAGAGGCGGAGCTGCCTCGACACCCCCCGGGATGGCATCGGGGACGAGACTATCTTTTGCCCGGCATCCGCATGGCCGATGGTGCATGGGTATGCATCCACTCCCCTTCCCCAAAACAAGGCAGCGAATCAACCCGAGCAACCAGGGTCCTTGCTCGCCCCCCCCCCTGTGGCATGATGCTTGCAAGACAATGCTATGATGCTATGTATTGCAATTCAGTCAGAGCCGGCCTCGTCGGCATTCGTGTTTTGGGGCGCCTGTGGGTTTGGGGACCGAGTCAAATCTGACTCCTGCCTGCAGGTTCAAGGATAGCGGTCCTATGATATGGGGGGACGCGTTTGCTTTCCCACAAAGAATGTCAAACTTGCCCATGGGTGTTCCAGCTGGGCGAACAAATCACTGACCGAGCGGTGGAACAGCGAGCGGCTTGCCAGGCGGCGCAACAGCACAGCAGCGAGGCGCGGTGAGAGACCCACCGCCCAAGCACAAGTCGGTCACATTGGCAGACCCGGAAGCGCAGAAGGGAACCACGGCATTCATTCAACACAAATCGATGAACAGCCAGACCAAGCCGCCGTCTCCTGGCTCGTCCGGCCGACAAAAGACGCTCCCCTCGGCCATTCCCCTCGCCGTTGTTGTCTCCTTTCGACTCCATCGCCGCTCCCCTGCCCCCGTCTGGCTTTGGAATCGACATCTTCGTCGCTTCCGTCCCAAACCCAGCATGCTCAGAGCATTCTCCTGCTGTTTCGGAGGGCTTGCTGCCCCACCCAAGGACCGAGATGTCCCCTCGCAGACCAAGGCCCCTGTCTCCCAGCAGCCAAAGTTCCAGCCACTGACTGATCCCATGGGCTCTTGGCGCCATCCCATCGAATGCCTCGTCAGTATCGCGCGCGACGAGCCCGATGCTCTCCTGATCAACACCTACGAGAACGGTGCCTCAGAACGCTTCAGCTATCTCCAGGTGTGGAAGCAGGCTTACTCGATCGCCCAGGCTCTCAAGGCCCTCCCTGGCTGGGATGATGAGAGCCACGAGGTCATCGGCACTTTCTGCGAGACAGAGGCCCACTGGATGATCTATTCGTTCGCGGTGTGGATACTTGGCAAGTGAGTATCGGCTGTCGGTGTGACGTTGTGCTGTTGTGATGTTGCGATGTTGTGATGTCGCTTGTTCGAGGCGGTGTTCACAGTCCACATCACATGTCCAACTCCATGACAAGGGCCGAGTCTCACCAATCCTTTGATCCCCATCTAGGAAAGCACTCAACTTTGCTCTCAACCTGCCCTCTGCTGCCCGCAAGACCCTGTGCGAGAGGTTTGTCCTGTGTGCTTGTCCCAGTCGTGACTCACGAGATGAGACGTCCCAGCGACCTCTGTGTTCAAACCTGACTCGGTCCTTGGCCTCAACCGGTGCAGATACTCAATCAAGTACATCCTCCATCATCAAACAAAGCCTGGCCGCACCGAGGGTGTGACGCTGATCGATGCCGCCACCTTCTCGGTGCTGGACAGCATTCCGTCCCCGTCTCTCGATGTCTGTGCGCCGCTCGACGATTACGTCACCATCCAGTGCACCTCCGGAACGACAGGTATACATGACTGCCTGAGTGGATGTCACAGCAGGATGGCTGAGGATGGTGTTGTGCTGACGACGCATGTCCAATCCGTGACGCTGATCCATTTCGTCTCGGGGCCGATTCCACAGGCATCCCCAAGTCGTGAGTCTTCCTGAGACAGTTGATCACATATTGCAATGTTTGAGCTCTCACCTCTGAATCGCAGTGGAGGAGCCTCAGCACCCGAACTAATCCCTCTTGCATGTCCATTCACGAATGCAGTTTCAAGTTTGCCCACACCGGAGCCATCACAGCTCGGGCCGCTATCGGCATTGCCAATTGTAGCATCGGGCTTTTGCAGGTACGACAAATGATCCACGACTCGGTGCAGGACTGCCACTGTCGAGAACGATGCACTGACGTTTGATGGTTCTCAGCTTCCATCGTTTGTGGCGACATTGGCCCTGTTCCTCAGTGCCCTGAATCTTGGAGGATCTGTGTGGATTCCAAAGCCCACACTCAGCTCCATTGACAAAGCAAAGAGCGTTATTCAAATACTCGATGACGGTGTTGACTACGTGTACTTGGTGAGTGAAATGCCGGCGAGGGTGTCGGAGCTCATTTCATCCATGTGCTGACGCTGGCGGCGCTCCCACAGACTCCATCCTTCATGAAGATGATTATCGGCATCGCCACCTCGCTGAACCCGAAGGTCAAGTGGACGAACACAAAAAAAGTAATGCTCGGCTCGGAAAGTATTCCTATGAGTATCATTTACAAGACGAAGGAGCGTTTCCCAAAGGTTGAGTTCCAGTCAGTGTATGGATCAAGCGAGGTACAGTTCATAGGATCCGTCCTTCGCAATAGCACCAAGTTGGTTGGTCACTAATCCAAAAACTCGAACCAGACGATGGTCATTGGCGCACTTTCGTATTCGAGAATCCCGGCCAACAGCGAAGTTCCAGAGAAGTTGGTCTACAAGCTGGCCAGACCTGGCGTTCGTTGCATTCTCTTTGACGAGGAGGGCAATGTCGTCGACCAACACCAAACCAAGGAAGGAATCCTGGTCTTTGCTGTCGACAAGGACCATCCCATCAAGAACCACCCCAACTTTGCCAACGCCGATCCCGGCAACAAGCTCGCCTCGTTCGGCTTCCTCGAGGATGGCTCACCTCGAATCTGCAGCATGGACTGGGTCGAGATGGTTGGCGAGAAAGAGTTCACTGTGGTTGGAAGGTGAGTCAATGGCTGGGTGTTGCATCTCTCATTGATGGCGAATGCACATCTGGCATCCTGACTACACATCCCACTCCTGCATCCCGAGTACTCACCCCATCCATTCCCTCACTCCACACCATCACTCCAGATTCGACCAGAAGATCAAGGTCAACGGTGTCTATGTCGACCTCAACGCCCTCGAGGAGCTGGCCAACGAAAACATGTCCAAGGTCATCTCGGACTGTGCCTTCATCCAGACCTCCGAGAAGAAGATCGTGATGCTCTTTGTCCGCAGAAGAGGCTCTCAGGTTAACCCCACTCCTGCCGAGCTTCTGCAGCTGACCGAGGACATGTTTGCGCTGACAAACGTCGCCAAGTTCCCGATCCACAACTGCTTCGAGCTCGACGAGTTTCCCTTCAACGACTCGGGCAAGCGCGACCTCAAGAAGCTCAGGCGCATCGCCGAGAATGTCGATCAGTTCGGCAAGTCGGTCGAGTACCCTCGTTTGAAACTCGCCAACACTCCCCTGTCCCGCACCGCCGCCAAGATCTCCACACTTGGCAGCCAGATCATCGACAACCCCGCCCTCGACGGCCGCAACTACTACATCGGCGGTGTTGGCTTTGACTCGCTGAGTGTCGGTCGTCTGGCCCTTGCCATCAAGGACGAGTTCAATGTCGAGGTCTCGCCACTTATCTTGCTATCGAACGGAATGACGCCGCTCGATGTCGCCCAGCTGGTTGTCGACATCCTCGACGACAGACCGATGATTCCCCCGACCGTCCATCTGGCTGCTGAGGCCGCCAAGCTCGACGATGCGAGTGTGACGGCCGAGGGTCTTCCTCCGTTTGTCTATCCCAAGGACCCTCGCGGCATCGTCCTGACCGGTGCCACTGGCTTCCTCGGTGCCTTCCTGGTCTTTGAGCTGGCCCACAAGTTCCCTCGGGCCAAGATCTACTGCCTGGTCCGAGCCCCGACCGAGCAGGTGGCTGTCGAGCGCATCATCAGCACGGCTCAGAAGCTGGTCCTCGATCCGAGCCAGAGAGCCTTCCTCGACCACAGCCTCAAATCTCGCCTCGTTGGACTGTGCGGCAACCTGTCGCAGGACAAGTGGGGACTCTCGGACGAGCGATGGAAGGAGATCAGCGAGGAGACCGACATGATTGTCCACAACGGCGCCGAGGTCCACTGGCTGTTTGACTATGACAGACTCAAGGGACCCAACGTCCTTGGCACGGCAACAGCACTGAGACTGGCCACAACCCACCACCTGAAGCCGCTGCACTACATCTCGACCATCGGCACGATCCCGATGGCCAAGAAGGCAGACAAGCCGCTCGAGGAGAAGATCTACTCGGCCTGGAACATCTCTGGCGGGTATGGCCAGACCAAGTGGGTCTCTGAGCAGCTGGTCAACAAGGCACGATCGAGGGGAGTGCCGGTGACGATCATTCGCCCAGCCGTCATTGCCGGCGACAGCCATTACGGAGGTGAGTCGAGTGTGGTGTGATGTGATGCGATGTGGTGGAGATGTTTCATTCGCTCCATGGACTGGCCATGAATCGATGGTCTCGATTGTCAAGTGCCACTCATCCACCAACTGACATCAACTGACACCTTCACACCTCCATTGCTCCAGTGTCCAACTCTGACGACTACATCTGGCGATATGTCAAGGGATGCATCCAGCTCAGTGTTGCTCCCTCGCACGCCACTCTCGTCACGATGACCATGGATCCCGTCGACCATGTTGCCAAGGTGGTTGCCGAGATTGCCGGCTCGGAGGAGGCCCTGTCCAAGTTTGTGTTCCACATCAGCGACTCGGAGCACAGGTGAGGAGTGTGTGATGTGGTGTGCGATGTGGTGTGTGGTGTGCGATGTGGTGTGGATGGTGGATCCTGACTCTGATTACTCACTCACTCACTCACTCACTCACTCACTCACTCACTCACTCACCACAGTGTCCTCTCCGAGACCCGGCTGTTTGAGATTGTCAGGAACCATGGCTGGCCGATCCTGTTCGAGACCCGCGAGCAGTTCAAAGAGGCCTTCCACTCCCATCCCGCCGTCGAGAGCAACGCCCTGTTCCCGCTCATGCACATGATGATGGACATGTCCTTCAAGATCGACAACGCCAACACCCGCTCGATCTACCCGACTCCCTGTCCTTCGCTGGAGGAGGTCGTCGAGAAGTGTCTCAACTATCTGCACCACGTTCGCTTCTTGGGCGATCCCCTGGACCCGTCTTCGTCCTTCAAGATCAAGTATCCCGAGACCAGCGTGGTCACCCGCACCGGCCGCAACTGAGGTCCGATGCACCACGGCGATGTGGGTTCGGGACTCTGAATGCCTCATAATCTTGATAATATCCCGCGTTTCGTGTCTCTTGTTCTATTTGGATCTATCGTCTCTACCTTTTCTTCCAGATGTGCCTTGTCTCCCGTTTCCTTTCCCTGTCCGTTACTTCTTTGGTGATCCCAGTGATGGATGGTTTGCTTCGATTGGTGTGTCAACCTATTTTGCAATAACTGCTCCGTTGACCACCTCGTTGGCCGTGTGCCCTTGCGCACATCCAAGCCAGGACTGAGTGAGAGTGTGGCAGAATACAAGTGGGTTCCTTGGCCCAAGCGGCTGATGATACCAACGAGGCCGGGCCATCGGCTCTCGACTCTCGCAGCTGAGCGGGCGAGTTGACAAGGAGGCATTCGATCAATATCCCGCAGTCGCGGCCCATCTCGAAAATCCAGGTGGGGTCTCCCCAGGAGCTCATTTATTTATTTATTTCTCTCTTGGAACGGTTGTGTGAATCGTGTGGAGTGAGGCAAATGGTACATGCACAGCAAGCAACATGCACGCATGCACCGACAACCAAACAAACAAAAGATGAAGAAAAGAACAGAGGATAGCATAATAAAAAACAGGGAGCAAGCAGTTTGGGCAAACCAAGTAGCATTGGAGCAGCAAGCGGATGTGTCTCCATCCTTGCGAGAGCACGTCGCCTATTCTCGGTAGCCATTGCAACGAGTGGGCAGTGCCGTTCAGACGGCACACAACGGATCGATTCAGTTCTGTTGGCACTGTTCGAATTGCCGCGATCTCGGCTTCGGACGAGCGGCCATGGCTCCATCAGTCCACTTTCATATCGTCGGGTCCGCTTCCTTGGGGACGAGACTCGCCCTGTGATGCAGGGGCCTGAGATGCCGTCGCTCCTGCCGGGGATGGGTCGCCGTTCTGCGATGGGGCACGTTGCGGGGCGGACGACGACAGGCCCGAGGCCGGCTGGTGGGACGGGGAGTGAGGCTGACCAGAGGTCTGAGCCGGGGGCTGCTGTGTGGGCTGCGGTTGAGGCGACTGGGACGACGGTTGTGGAGGAATATGAGGGGGCTGTGTTCCGGCCTCTGCAGGCAGCGCCGGGCTGGACGAGGCCAAAGGTGCGTGGGATTTGGAGCCGTGGCCGTCCTGGGCATGTGCTGTCGACCCAGAATGGGCGGGCTGGGAAAACGACGTGGATGACATCATCGAGGGACCAGCGGGGACGAATCCATCGGGAGGGAGTTCGGCAGCAACTCGCCAGATTCGTACCCGCGAGTCACCGGAGCCCGTGGCAAACAGGCCACCAACGGGGCCAAAGGCAATACTGATGACTGCTCGGATACGATGGGGGCATTTCATGAAGCAGGCGTGTCATCCGCCAGCCGAAGGACACCGAGCAAATCCAATGGGCGGAATGAGTAAACAAAGAGAGTGAGCAATCAGTAATGCAGGTAGGCCCGAGCACAACACGCAGCGGAGCGCTGCGCGGAAGGGGATTCTGGCGCCGTGAATTCACCGTTGTTTCTACTCAGCATCACCCGCACACCCGTCCATGTGCAACGCCAGGCTCAGTTCTGCCTCGTGTGTCCAGTTTCCTGTGTCGGTCGACTTTGACTGGCAGGCGCTGGTCGTGTCCTCTGCTCATCGACGGCCCCGTCGGCATTTCCAACCAGAATAATGCCACCTCACTCCACGCCACACCACACGGCACCGATTCTCGCTCCAGGTGCGTATTGTATCTGGGATGAAGGCACTCACCAGAGTTTCGATGGCCTTGCAGCATGAACTGGCAGACCGAGTTGGGTTCAGTCCGCGAGCCCTCCGAGTTTGCCCGGCCGTCCCAGAAGATCACTTTGCGGTCCTTGCTGGCGCTGACAACCCACTCGACACCAGCAAGGATGTCGCCGCTGGGAGTGCTCACAGCTTCACCATCATCATTGACACGGCCCAGGCTCGAGTTGACACCGGCAAAGGCAACCGAGAGGACAAAGTCGCGGTGACCCTCGAAGGTGTGGCGACACTCGGTCGTGACGATGGGCTCATAAGGCTCCAGCTGCGCGGCCGACGTCGATCGGCTACTTTTGGCAAGGTAGTTGATCGTGTGAGGTGAGAGATCCCAGATCTTGAGCGTCCGATCGAGGGCGCCAGACACGACTGATCGGCCGTCGGGCGAGAACGCGACCGCATAGACCGAGTCTGAGTGGCCCTCGAATCGCTCCAGCATCTGTCCGGTCTGGATGTCCCAGATGCGAACCATACGATCCAGAGAGCCCTAGAGACATGGGCACCATAGTTAGTCGCTGTTGGCACACTGGCATCCAACGGAGCATGGGAGTGCTGTGGCGGATCGAGGGAAATGGCATGCATGTCACGCTGGATCATGTGGGTTGCACATCATGGAGTGTGCATGACAAGGAGAATGCCTCCAAAGCGCGGATGGCTTTGCAGCCCAGGGTTGATATGTACCGAGACGACGCAGCGGCTGTCCAGCGGGCTCATCGCGATGCTCGTGACACCGAGATCCTTGTATCCGGGGCCAAGCGTCTTGTCGTTTGCGACCGACATCTCAACTGTACAGCGGCCGGTTTCAGAGTCCCAGACCTACAAGCCATAGATACATGTATGAGGTATGTTGGCGGTGCATCACAAGCAGTGCATCGCTGACAGGCTCGAGCGAGTCCGATGCAAATGGAGCCATCTGTCTCCGAGCGACTGCCTCTCGCGCAAGCAACGTCTCATCGCATGATACTTACGCGAATGTTGTAGTCGCCACTTCCGCTGACAATATACTTGCCGTCCTTGGACCAATCCAGGCTGTAGATATCCTGGCTGTGGCCCGTCAGCACGATCTTGATGCGCGATTTCGACAGATCCCAGACACGAATGATTTGATCCTCAGCGCCGGTTGCAAGGTATTTGCCGCACGGCGAGAAAGCGACCGAGCGCACGTAAGAGTCCGCCTCGGGATTTTCGCATTCGTCATCGACGAGCGAGCTACGATTCGCGGAGTGGATCCAAACTGATTGTTAATTCCATGCGTGCGACAGGCCACACCAGTAGTGATCTGAATCTCGTAGTGTCGGCCAAGGGCGCTTCCCATCTTGACAGATCGACGGCATCCATTTGAGCTTTTATCAAGCAAGTGGCGAATCATAGCTACAGCAGACTAGATTGATACGTACGCGATTTGTAATCCGGTGATGGCATCAAACAGACGCACGCGTCGATTTGATCCCGTGGCAAGGAACTTGCCGTCGTTTGAGAATTTGACACAGCAGACAACGCTGCTCCACCACGCATACAGAAAAGGAGGGCAGAAATGTAAGCCGATATGGTCCCGAAACAGGTAACGCGCGATGCGGTCAAGACATAGACCCGTTACTTGTCCGCTCACCTTCCGTGGTCGAGATTGTGGACCAGACGGACGTTGAGCTTGGCCTGCTTGAGGCTGGGGCTCTTGTGGTTGTAGACAACCAGCCAGTCATCATTCTCGGTCTTCCAGGCCTGCGGAGATTCGGGGTCGAGATCATAGAGGCCAGTGACTGGCTGGTGCGCGCGAAGCCGGGGGGGAGCTACGTTGGCAGGTGGCTGCTCAGCAGCGTGATGGCCATGCGTCGGGCCGCGGTTGTTGCTGTTGTTGCTGTTGTTGTTGTTGCTAGGGAGAGCCGATTGAGGGCGGTTGGCAGGGACATCACCGGGATGCAGGTTATGGTTGGGGCCTGGGTTGGGATAGGGTTGCGAAGGATGATTTGGGAAGTTGTAGTGGCCATGGGGGCCAGGGTGGACCGAGGGATCTCGGTCGGGTCTCTGATGCCGATCAGATGCAGGGAGATCCAGGTGGATGGATCAAATAGGGTCATAACGACGGTGGATCACGTCGCAAGTTAGTAGAGTCGCAGCTGTAATCTATATTCGTACCGCAGAGTGGAGTAGCTCGTCTGAACAGAGGAGGGGCAGGAGGGGGGGGACTCACCGGCTTGAAACCGTCGCCATCGGGCTTTGGAGTCATTTTCGGGGGTAGGGATTTGGGACCAAAGCTGCCGTCACGATACATAGGATCAGACATATGGACATCCTCGCCAAGCCTGGGCTTCTTTGGATCCATCGGACTCGGGCCGTTGGGCTGGCTGTACATGGCGGGCGGGAGATTGCGCTCATGCATCATTTCGCCTGTTTGGTAGACATTGGTGTTGCGGTGTTAGGTCCGACTGTGGAGCCAGCAAGCGAAACAGTACATGGAGCGAGGAAGGGAGGTAAACCGGACCACTGGACATGCAGCTGAGCCACGGCGAGCGTAACTGATACGATCGCAGCGTGGCTGAGTGCGACGACAGTCCAAGTGGCCTCGAGAAAGGCTAGGACGGCGCACAGAGCAAGGTCATTACCGTGGTGGCCGCTTGGGATCGAAGGTCTGTTTGGGCCAGGAACATTTGGAGGGGCACCTTCAGGGAATGAGGGGCCATTGTTCCAGACGCCCTTGCCGTCATTTGGGCCTCCACGGCCATCCAGTAAAGCCCGCAGGCGCTTGATCTCATCCTCGTATTGGTCCTTCATCTTGAGATGTAGCCGCTCGAGCTCGATGAAGTTTTGCTGAAACTGAGCGACTTCCTGGATCTGGTGGCTTACTGGAGAAGGGATGATCGAGAGGATGGAGAGGCCACGGGTTCAGAAGAGACGAGGAAGCAACACCAACAAAAGAGGCAATATGGGGTATGCAGCATGCAATTCTATGGAGCGAGCGAGAGGGCGCAGGTGGGAGAAGAGCATGGACAAAGGGAGCCAAGATCGATCAAGGGATGGATCGTTCACAGTGACGAACGGAGAGATAGACACGGGCAGGGAACTAGGGGGGCCATGCGACGGAATGGCAAATACATTTTTGCTCGGCTTCATCTCGCTGAATCTTGACGGTTTTGAGCTCGTTGCTGAAGTAATCGAACTCCTTCTTGATGGCGTCGAGGTATTCGGGGATGCGGCGGCTCGATGACGTGGGCTGCTGTGGTTGAGGCGGCTGCTGCGGCTGCTGCTGCTGGCTCACCATAGGCATATGCTGGGCCTGAGGAGGGGGAGGCTGAGGCTGCTGGGGAGGGGGCTGCTGGGGGGGCTGGCCGCGCTGCTGATAGGACATGGCGGGTGGACAGGTGTGGGTGCGGGTGCGAGACGGCTGGGAAGCCAAGACAGATCAAAGCAAAACCCGGCGAGCAGAGGAAGGAAAACGGGCCGATCTCGGAAGGCGACCAGGGGGCGAGAGCGAGAGCGAGAGGCGGCGACCGAGAGCGGGGGCGAGAACGCGGCGAGACGGCGCCGAGAACGTGACTGCCCGCGGCACGGAACGGCTGCTGCCACGGACAGGCTCGTGTCACTGCCGTGCACTCGATCCGACATGCACTCGATCCGCAATGCACTCGATCCGCAGTGCACTGCCACACACCGCCATCCACCCCCGGTTCGGCGTCCGCGCTTGTCCGCCTTCACTTGTGCTTGCGCTTCTCGTCTTTCACGCCGCCCAACCACCCACATCCATTCATCGGCAGCCATGTTCAGGAAGGCCTTCACCGTCAAGTCCCAGGACCCGCAGCGATCGAGCGACCGGCGCAAGTTCCGCTCCGAGCTCACCGCGCGCTTCCCAGGCCTCCTGGATGTCGATCCGGCAACAAGCTCTCCGCTGATCGACGTCGTTTTCCCGCTCAAGCAGACGGCGTCCTCGGGCCTCGTGGTGATCTCCAAGATCACGACTTCAGGCGGCGAAGTCCTGTCCGTCTTCAGTCTCGACGGCCAGCCGGCCTTCTTCAAGGACAGCTACGGATACATTTATCCAACCGGTGGGGTGTTGCTCGATGGCGTTGCCGATAGGCCTGTCCTCAAGTTCTTGATCTGGCTGCACATGACTGCCTGCTGCGATCTCGCAATTTTGCAATTCCGCCTCGTATCCGTGGTGTTCATCCGGTATTTTGACACCATCGTCGCATCACGAACATGCAAACTAAACCAATTGGTGCAATCGCCTCACTCACCTGGACAGTGTACACCATCTGGAAATCCCCGAACGCATGGACGACCTTCACCACTCATGAACCTGTCCTGAAGCGCCTGTTTGGCGGTGCCGGTAACCCATTGCGAATGCGTGCCTGTCGGTGTTCCTTCATGTTGGTGCCACCCTTGCCGTTGGAAAGACCCACTGACCGAAATAACCGGCCATACGCAGATCTGATGCTCCCGGGCGTTGTCCGGCCTGGGGCCGGCTTTGCCTCGTTCAAGGCTGATGAAGTCGCCGTCGTCAACATCCGTGGATACGAGTATGTCCCAAGCATCTGGCCCGCGCTGCATATTCAGGCAGTTGTTGCTCTCATGCTGGAGTCACTGGCCTCCAGCGACCCCGAAAGGGTGCTCAATGCACCCGTATTCCATGGATCGTCGTGAATTACCATCGCGGATGAGCATCCTGCTGTTCTCTGAGCCAGGCGCTCTCCCGCAATCCATCAAGCGACCGTTTTGGATTCTGCATGCAGAGACGCTCGCGCTGGTGTTCTATTCCAACATATTGCTTCTACTCCACCGCACCGGACCCATCTGTAGCATTCCGCTTGCGGTGGGGCGCACCGCCTATTCCGCTGACGAAATCAACGCGATGGGAAAGCTGCAAGGCAAAGCCGTTGTCATTGCACACACGTATGGCGATCATCTGTGGTATGTTTGCCCTCAGCCCGTACCCCCGCCACATCGATTGACTCCACTCTCGTGAAGATAGTGGGTCGGTTCATTCATTCATCCACAAATGCGTCGGGGTCACTTCCGTTTGGATACCCTGGCGATTGATCCCACTACGAAATCGCAGGCAAATGGGTGATCGCTCGGAACCACCCGAGATTCCCCAGAACTTTGACGACACCCCCGAAGAACTCGACAGCGAAGATGAGACAGACGAAATCGACGATGCAGACAATGTTGCGCCCACAGATGCCGAAATTGATCAAGCCGATGCTGTCCAGGTCTCGGTCGACTCTGTCACCGACCTCGCTGCACAGCTCGATGAAGTCCATGTCGATGTCACCGCCGATGCCCAAGATAACACCGTACCGGAGGAAGCCGTCGAATCGCTTGACGACGATGCAGTTGTAATCACCGCGAAAGGTAGGCACGCCCATCCACCCCGCGCTCCTGTGCATAGACCGTCGCGACGAAGGCCAATATTATTCGACGTGCGCATACAACTGGCCGCACAAAATCGAACATGCTGCTGGTCTCCTCATGGACAAGTGCGCACAAGCTGCACGCTTCATGGTTTGAAGCACCTCTGAGATCCGTCTTCCCTCTTGTCCTCTCAATTGTACAGATATGGACGAGTTTCTTGAGACGGCCTTTCTCACCTGCATAACCACCAAACTTGCCGAAGACCCAAAAGTGCTCCCCTTGCATGCTAGCACGCTGTACTCCAACTACATCATCCCATGTCGGTCGCTGGGCTCTATTGTGGACATCAAGCTCTCGACTCACAAGAAGGTGCAATCACGTTTGGGAAGCCTGTTCCGGTGCTCGCATGCCACCACCGTCTCGTTGCTCCACAGCGTTTGCTCATCGACGGCTGAATAAGCGTGCGAGTGTCAGTGTTCCTCAAACCAGCACGGTGGTAATGCACGGGGTAACTTACACCCGACTCGGACTTGTCTTCTTTCCAGGTTGGAAAGTTCTTGAAGGTCATGGAGAAGAAAGGGCTTGTCAAAATCAAAGAGAGAAGCGGCGAGACCGTTCTCGTGGGCATCAACTTTCAGCATCCGCAGTAGGTTATGTTTCTTTTTTCTGCCCTGTTTGTCGATTCAGGGGCCTGTTGTCAATATGGCGACCCTCCCTCATCTATCGTGGCCTGGCGCGACCGGGAACTGAAGGCACGACTGAATTGAGTGCACGACCGGGATCTCACCACTCGAATGTCTTATCTTGCCTCCCGATGCCATGTAATTCCGTTTGCCAAACCTTCCCGGATCACACCAACAAAGAATCGTAGCCTTTCAGCCCCCAAAGAGGATCGCTGGTGCCGAAAAGCCAGCAAAGAAGCCCGACAGTACCACAGGCTCGGCGCAAACTTCGACTTCCGCTCTTGCTGGCGAAACAATCAAAACTACAGAGCTGCTCAAGCCTCACGGCGCCACACTTGCGTTCTTTTCGAACCTCGGCTTCAAGGACCGGCTCTTTACCCTCGCCGAACTGCGAGACTCGGTCGGTCAGTACATCCAGTCGCAGTCACTTGCCGACGAGAGTAATCCCCGGTAAGTGGAATCGGCCGAAGGGCACGCGCAAACATCTGCTATGCGACTTGGGGTTCGGCGCCTGCACCAATGCTGATCCAACTGGCATCTTTCTGTCTGAAGGATGATCAAGCTCGACGACTTGCTCGGCAATGCCGTCCGAGCCAAGGACGAGGACTTTGTGTGGCTCAAGCGAGATGTGATTGTCCAGCGGTACTTGATTTTCGCCCAGCTACTGCCGCACAATGAGCTTGACAGTACCGGACGATATCCTGACCCACCCTCCTCCTGCTTCGGCCGTCGTTCCAACGGGATCACTTCCAGTCTCTCCGATCGCATGCAACCGCATTATGAGCTATGCATTCCAGGACGTGAGCCCGAAATTTGGTAAGTGTTTCAGACGGTGATGCGTGGCGCCGGACTTGGCCGTTCAGTGGTCGCGGTTGGTATTTGGTGCTGCTTTGATTTACTCGCTCCTTGGAAACGTTACATTCGCTGCCCTTCGAGTAGCAAAGGCGCCTTGGTCCCCATGCTCGTTACCATTGAGCAGCGACAAGGCCGGAAGATGGTCACTCGCATCCAAGGCACCGAGCGCTATGGCATCCAGCCAGACGATCTTGCTGAGAGGCTCAAGGTCAAGTGCGCCAGTAGCGCGACGGGTGAGTAGCGAGGCCCGTGTCTCGGCAAGCGTTATCGCTCGCACTTGGGGCTGCTCGGGCTTCAAGCTAACTCGCCATCGGCGCTGCTGCTTCCAGTCAATCCGCTCGTGGTGAAGGCCAATGCCAAGCCGCTATACGAGGTCATGGTCCAAGGGTCCAAGCTCAAGGAAATCAAGGCCGTTTTGGCGGACGAGTACCATATCCCCTTCACCAAGGGCGAGCCACGCAGCAGCCGATTCGTGGACGTGGTCGACAAGTCCGGTGGAAAGAAATAGACTGCGACCTATCCTGGTATTCCCAGGAGATGCTGCTGTTTGGGACAGAACATGTATCTGGCTTTAATCTAGATATCTAACTCGTCGAAGGAACAAATGGCGCTGCGTCATGGCGCATGGTGTGCGGACGGGACCTTCCTTCCTGCACACAGAGGGAGGCGTTGGCGAGCTGGGTTGATGTACGCGTGGCTCGCTTCAGGCACCGTCGCAGAGGAACAGATCTTGGATGAGCTGGATAGGGGCCTGGTCATAAACGACAAGCTTCGGGTCTCGGATCTTGTCTTCGAGAATGGCGTCGAGCAACGTTCGGATTCCATTGACCAGGACTGGGAAACGAGAAACGAGAAACGAGAAACGAGAAACGAGAAACGAGAAACGAGAAACGAGAAACGCAGTGGGTCGTGAATGTGTGTCCGGAGAGGCCAGACGAGCAGCTCAAGCTCAACCTCAACCAGGGCAATCCCGCACCGGGCGGAGCTCTTGATGTTACAACTGACCTGCGATGCGAGGGAACGCTTGGAGGGAAATGTTGCCTCCCACACGCACGACGCCGTGGTTGTGGTCCATGGAGAGCGGGCCTCCAAACATCAGGATCGGCCAAGGCGAGATCGTGGTGGTGTCGCGCAAGAATACCTTGGAGGTCGAGACCATTTGGTGGAAGACGATGAAGGGAGAGTCGAACTTGCGGGCGGAGAAGTTGATCGATGTGGGGTGGACGAATGTGCGTCCTAGTTTTGGGTGTCAGGACGGTGGAATATAGCGGCGGCCGAACAAGGTTGTCAGCTGCATCCATCTGCGCATCAAGCCGACCGCACATCCCGAAACCACCCCTCGAGCTCGCCTGTACGGCTTTGGATTGCCTACCAATCCTTTCCAGGCGAAACTTGATCTCGGATGCCTCGGGCAGCTGTGCCACCGATCCGTTGGGTGTCTCAACATACGTCGTTGGTGGGTTCTCGATCAGGACAACATTGGGATACAGTCCCGCAAGAAGCGCCGCCTTGATGATCTTGGGCGACTGCGAGTTGCTGTTCATGCGCGGACACTGATCCAGGACTGGCCGTTTGCTGTCTGACTCCACAAAGCCAATGTCGACCAGGTTGTCGAAATACTGCTGCCGCAGATCGGCAATGGCGCTGAGCGTGATCTGCGACAGGAAATTCTGCTCACAAAACCGTCGCTCGGCTGCTTTGCCTTCCTCACGCACTTGCTTCCATTCATCAAAGGCGCGGTTGTCCGTGAGCCAGTCGCTCTGTTCTTCGCTGAAACGGCCCCGCGCCCTGTTCGGCAACCAGGCGACCCGAATGCGTGGTGTTAGTATGGGACGAGGGTGGGAGCACACTCGCTGAATGGAAGCGGCTGAACGGTGTCGTTCCCAGCAATGGTCTTGCCCACCATGGAGACACCCGTCAAGGAGAAAAGGATGAGCAATGCTGCCAAACTCACTCTTTTGCTTCATCGCGACTGTCCATCGGCGACACAAATGGGCTCTTGGTGCTCATGCATGCCGCGATCGTCAGGATTGGATCCAGACAGTTCAGGATACAGCCAAACCTATCATCAAGGCCAGCGGATGCACTACGTTAACTGCTGGCTCACAGACAAGCGCCAGCGGACTATGCATCGCGCCCGAGGACTTACAGCAGCATCTTGGCGATCCTGAGGTCCGCCGGAATGGTTGCCTGTGCATGGCAGTGTGAAGTGTTTCAATGTTTCCGCAGTCGTGAGAAACCAAGGTCATGCCAAACGCAAGTCTGTCCGAGGGCTGCAGCAAAACGAACTTACCAAATGCTTTCCGAGTGCCGTGAGCGTGCCGCTGCTTTTATTGACTGCATTCAGATCCTTGAGCGTATTCAGAGCTTTGGTGATGTTCTCCACGGCCGGGGGGTCAAGGGCCTAGAAGGCAGCCATCTACAGCGTCAGAGGTGGCACGTGGCTGTCGCTTTGCCCATCGTATATATATGCCAGTGTGCCCACCTTGCGCAGAAAGATCTGAGGATCCTCGTATCCCAGCGCCAGAACTTGCAAACAGAGCTGCTCCAGCGGAATTCTCAGAATCTCGGGGAGGGCTTGCGCCGGCATCTTGCGCTGTTCGAGCTTCTTGGTGTACAGTTTGAAACAGAAGCCTGGCCGCACACGGCCGGCACGACCACGGCGCTGCTTGCACGAGGCACGCGAGGCCCAAGTCTCGACCAGAGCCATCATTTGGCCATCATAGTTCATTTCTAGCAGTAGTTCAGGACGTTGTTATGATGGACAGCTCGCACATGCATTCTGGTGACGCTCAATGTGCAACGGCAACATGGGACCCGCGGCTTACCCTTGACCTTGCCGGCATCGATCACAAACACGACATCATCGCTATTGTATGACGGAGGCGGAATGGTGAGGTTTGGGAGAGTGATCGCGGAGAATCTCGAGACAGCTCCTCTGAACATCCACACGGATGTCCCGCTCTGGCTTACATCGTAATACTCGTTTCGGCAATGTTTGTCGACACAATGATCTTGCGACAGCCCTTGCCATAGTTCTTGAAGACCAGCGACTGCTCTTTGGTGGAGAGGTTGGCATGGAGCGGCAGAACCTGCAGCCTTCCGCAGTCCGTGACTTCCGATTTGATTTGGTCGATGCACTTTTTGATTTCCATGACACCTGGTCGGAAAGCGCGAAGCGGCAATTCGGTGAGGTCGAGTCAAGGGAGAGGTCAAGTCAAGGGAAAGGGCAGTGTCGACACAAACTTGGTTGCCACGCAAGCCAACCAACGGGCTTTGCTTCCACCGACATTCAGGTTCTCGTCGTCCACCTCTGCGAGCGCGCCTATCAATGCATTGCCCATAGCGCCGCCACGGGTGCTTGACGCAAGCCGTACCTGGCATGAAGATCAAGATGGCGCCGTCGTCTTCTGGCAGACTCATGATGTGTCGAACCACTTGGGCGATCAGCTCGTAGTTGATGCGATCGCTTTCCTTTTCCGCGCGCATCAAGGATATCATGGTTTGGTCGTCGTAGCCCTCGTCGGTATACTCCTTCTTCAAATCCTCAAGCTCGCTGGTCTGCTCGATCGAGGCTTTTCCTCGGCCCTTGGTCGACTTGACCATGTATCCAGTCTCCTTCAGGATACTCTCGAGGTAACTGTTTGAAGTGCGACCGATTCGTGCGATGAGTACCCCGCGCAGCGTCCTCCGAGCAGACCGCCATGCCGCCAGTGCCACGACTTACATGTCTTTGACTGGATGAGTAAATCCAGGAATCTCCAGGACAGGAGCGTCCTTGAAGTACTCCGAGAATGTGGTAGCGTTGATGGTGGCACTCATCAGGACCAGCTTGAGGTCCTTTCGCTGAGCCAGCAGATCGCGCAGGATTACGAGCAAGAAATCGCTCTCAACTAAATACAGAAGCACGAAGAGCATGTGCCAGACACAAACATCAGCAACACGCCTCAGATACCCTCCCTGCGTCGGTTCATTCGGGTGAGAACGGTGACGGGCTGCCATTGAAGGCAAGTGCGTACCGACACCCTGACGCTGAGACCGTAGCCCACCGCAGTAGCGGAAACCAACCTCCTCTCTCATGAACCTCGTCAATTATGATGTGCGATACTTGGTCCAGCGAGCGGTCATTGTGCAACATCCGAAGCAGGATACCCGTGGTGCAGAACAGCAGCCGCGTGCGCTCGCTGCGGACGGTTTCTCCTCGGATGGCATAGCCGACCGTGCTTCCCATCTTCTCGTTTCGCTCGGATGCAACTCTCTCGGCGAGGGACATGGCGCTGATACGTCGCGGCTGAGTGCAGATGATGCTGCAATTTGCAGCGCGCTTGGAAGTGTACATGCTCTCCAAGATGAACTGGCCGACCTGGGTGGATTTTCCGCTGTCAAGCAATATGCAGGGACAGAGGTCAGATTTTGCCGCGCTTCTCAGTACACCGCAGCCTATCGACAATCGATCGACAGTTGGGCGACAATCGATTGACAGTCGGGCGACAGTCGGGCGACAGATCATGGCAGATCGTTGCTCCAATCCAGGATGGATTGTCACTGTGAGCTGCTATCTTGACCCTTACCAGCCGGTTTCACCACAGATAATCACGACCTGGCTACCAAGGACGCTCTGGTTGAACGTTTTGGATACGGATGAACGCTGTGAGATCTCTCGGCAGTGTGCTGCATTGCGAGAGCTCGACGAGACCCCCTCCGTCCGATCCATGGATACCTGGTGCGCCACACTCACCTCAATGATTTGGTCGCGGAACTTGTACGAGGGAAGCTTCTTGCGTTTCTCGAACATATTGATGAACTCGGACTCGCGCGCCTGCTGCTCGTATTGTTTGAGCAGCTCCAGGCTAAGTTTCCCGTCTGCGTCACAGAGATTGATTGGGGGCTTGGATCGGTTCGACGGTGCCGATTTGGCCTTGGATCGCTTTGAGGTAGAGTTGGCAGACAAGCCCGAGGCATCGACGGTACTGCTGGGTTCGGCCGCAGTGCTTCCGCCGATCGATCCATCGTTAGCTACGATCGATACCAACGGCGGGGGCGACGCTACGATTGAGGCGAGGTTGCCCTCAAGCCACGAGGACAGCGCGCCAACCAAAGGGAAACCAACCAAGCTGGCGCATTCACTGGCTAGTCCCTTTGTGATGCTCAGTCGGATGTATGTTGGAAGCGAGGGATTCAGGACGACGATGCCAGGGATGTCATGAGGATAGGACTCGGTGATGTGGACCTCCAAGGTCGTCTTCTCAGCAACGCTGCCATCTTCGATGGTGACGGAGACGACCGTTGGGCTGGCTTTGACTGCGTCTTCTCCGTATATAGACACCAACACCTCGACCTCTTGGTCGATCATCTCCTTCTGCTCCTCAGGCGTTATCTCCACAGATGACTCCTCGGGTGTTTGGTGGCTGATCGCAGCTTTGGTGAGAAGGGACAGCGCCAGCACTTCGTTACCCAGAGCCTCGTCCAGCGCCCGCTCACACATTCTACGTGAGTATCCCGAGCGATGCAGGCGAGAGATTGCATAGTTGCGGCCAAGAGACTGGGTGGTGTTCTTTTCTCCGACAATGTCGGATTCGATCTTTGGCATAAACTTGGCAGGGAGATCTGAGAGTGGTGTCGGAGATGCTCAGTGACAAACAGCTTACGGAATCAACGCAGCGGGACTCGATAGTGCAAGCATCGGAGACTGCCTACCGTCTTCAGGAACGTGGATACACAGCCAGTCAAGAAGCTCTCGGTCGGTTTTGGCAAATTGAAGGCCCTCTTCGACCTGGGGCTTGCGGAATCCTATCCTGACGTATTTGTTCAACAGCATCTGCGAAGTGTCCTCAGACTTTGTCCGACAAGAGGAAGGTCAGCATGGACGATCCGGGCTGAAGCGTCTTGACACAATCAAAGCTTGCCAGCTAGCATGTTCAATATGATATTGATTCCGAAACACGACGCCGAACAAATACATCAGTCGGCCTGCACCCACAGGAGTAGTCCTCGAGTTGGCTGTACAACAGGACTCACCAGGCCACCGCCGTCTGCGAGCGGATGATTTCGCTGGATCCGCTGATGCTCCTGCTTCAACAGCTCCTCGATTCTGAATCGCATCTCCTTGCTCATGTTCAAGACAGGGAGGTTGTAGATGTCGGTCTTGGCATCTCCGTCTCTGGTGGGCCGACTTTCGGGAGCAGGCGTCTTGGCGGCAGAATCTGGGGTCGGGGCCGAGCTCGAGCCTCTCCCGGGCTGCTTCCCGCTCTGCCGCATTTCCTCGGCCTTGAAGGGGTCTCGGATGTTTGCCGAAGTATCGACACCTTCGGTCTTCTGAGCCTCAGCAAGCTCGGCCCAGTAGCTGCTCTGCGACGGAGGCAGCAGTCGATTGAGCGACAGATGCGAAAAGAACTTGAAGAGAGTGTATGTTGCGACCGTCTGTGGGGGGGGGGAGAGATGAATGTGTGAATTGCAAGGTCTGGAGAAAGGGCTTCATCCCATCCGCACGATGTTCGGTCAGCACAAGACACCAACATGCTTGGCCTCCTGGTCGCTTTGATAGTACTGGCCGTTCCAGAATCTGAGCGACCTGATCTCTTTGGTTTTTTTGTCCTCGAGCGAGACGACAATCGCACATCGATGGCCCTTGACACCAGAGCTCTGCCCTCGGTGGAATCGAGACAAGAAGAGCGGCAGCAAAGGGGAGCCAGCAATCGTTAGCGATCCATTTCACTGCACTGAGGCCGAGCCGATGGACAATCCCAGGGCGAGCGGAATAGAGCCTGGCGCATCTGGCTGCTGAAATGCGTCAAAGCAGCGGCCCCAACTGCAGCGACGGTGGAAGGGCAGGGAGCCATCGATCGCCCCGCTCAACTCACGATCTGATACTCAGGCTTCCTCCAGCCAAACTTTTGGCAGTGCTCGTGCAGCAAGCTAACAGGGGTCTGGGCGCCGCTCAACCGCAAGGTCGGCCGACAGGTAGATAATCGAGCATTGCAAACGGAATTTGGTGAGCGATCCGGGTTAGCGAGGCGAGACGAGCCAGCAAACGATCAACTGAAATCTGGGAATGGTACGATGGGGGATGTTTGGGAGTTTCGCACCTTGCCCGTCCAGCTTCCAAAGAGCTTGGGAGGTGCCGGTGGTGCTTCAGGAGTGCCGGAGCCATCTTTGCCTTTCTTTGAGGCTCCCGACTCCTTGGGGGTGCTCTTGCCGCTTCCTGAAACCGAGCATCAACATCACATCCAGCGGGGTGAGCAAGCGGTGTCTGGAATGAAGTCTCAGTCGAGGCACACCGGTCCGAGAACAGCAGAGCTGCCTCAGGACGGCGCCGATGTCGGCAGGGAGTCGGCCCCACCTTGGTTGGCACTTCTGACAATCTTGGGAGGCATCTTGTCGCTGGTGGTTGGATGTGGGCTGGCGACCAGCGAGCCAACAAATACGATCACGGTTTTGGCGCCGCAGCGCTCCGCAGCATGTTCGGCACCTCCACCAACCAGAGCGCACCAACAGAGGTGGCTATCAGCGTCGGCGCAAAGATGGAATCGAAGCATCGGACCAGGTGTCTCAAACGTTATATTCATCACCCCCTGAGTCTCCTCGCACTCCGCGTTGTGCAGGACGCAGCCCAACGGGCTCCATCACACCAGTATCGCCCAAGCGAGGGATCTTGCCCGTATGCTATCCAACAAAGCGACCCCTGTTGCAACGCAAATCCCCATCGGTATCACCACCCGTCGTTGCGCTTGGGCTCCGAGCTGGAGGCAGGATTGTATCCCGATTCAGCACTCCCCCAGCCGTCGTTTGCGGATGTGCTCGGTGCGCTTCCCCAGCCGTCGCTGGCGATCTTGGTACCTGCAGAACCGTTGTTGGGAGTTTTGACGACACTTGCCCAGCCATTGCTGTTAGTGCCCTTGGCGGCACTGGTCGAGCCGTTGGGCTTGTCGCCTTTGGGAGCGGCGGCTTGCTCGCCGCCGTTCTTGGGCACGGCCGGGACAGACACAGTCTCGGTATTCTGGGCAGCAGCCTTGCCCTTGGCAGGTTTCGGGACCGGTGCCTGGGCCGGGGTCTGCGTGGGAGTGGTGCTGCGTTTGGTCTCTTGCATGGGCTGGCGCTTTGGGCTGGCGCTGCGGGGACCGCCTGCCGCGTCAGCGTTGGCTTCCTTGGAGCTGACCGGTGCGCTCTTGGCTTTGCTGCTGCTGGCAGCGCCTGGGAGCCTGGGATTCGCGCTTCTAGGGCCAGCAGTGGGGCTGGGGCTCAGCTCCTGGTTGCTTGCCATGATGCTCTGGCCGCCATCGTGAGTGATTCGCTTGCGAATGGACACGAGCATGCTTGTGCGGCCCAGCTTGGTGATCTCATCCGAGCCGTCGTTGCCTGTGCGCAAGAACACGCCGGTCGGGGCAACAACGAGGGCTTGGCCCGTTCGGAATTGGGCAATCCGGTCAAAGGTATCCTCGGCGCGCCCGCCATCGTGACCAATGTAGTTTGAAAGGTACTTCCACCAGGCCGGCGACGAGAACCGATGGACCAGAATGAGCTGGGAGAGCTCGAAGAGCGAGTGGGGCAAGTTTGTTGGATCTTGCGTCGAGATCACAGTCCGAACGCCCAAGTGGCGAAGTTGGCGGACGATGAAGAGCAGGTAGTTGACAAGCTTGGTTGCCGAGCCGCTCTTGGTGAGGTACTGAGTTGATTGAGTCGGACGAGGCGATCGAGGCGATCGAGGGGAAAGCGAGAAACAGGATAGTTAAGCAAGAGCCTCGGCCCATCAGTGGCCAACAGTGGCCAACAGTGACCATGCATCCATCTGTGTCGATGGATGAATCTGCGGCCGTCGCTAGTTACCTTATGGGCCTCGTCAAAGACGACAATCTTGCCCGCCGACATGGGCTTCTCGATGTACATGCCAATCGCCACCTGGAACAGGCCGCAGGCTGAAGCCGAATCAACAAACGGATCTGAGAGGTCGAGAATGACCAACGAGCCCTGACGGAAGAGCGACTTGATCGACTGAGGGACATGGCTTTCGTGGAGCTGCCCGTTGGAAGATCGCTGGGCGATCTTCTCGATCAAGAAGCTCTCAAGGAGCGATAGACGCATGCTCAGGGGCGAGAGCTGCTGGGCCGTGAAGGACTGGTTCCGCAGCTCATCCTTGAATCGGTCATAGTCGAACTGATCGCCCATGTCTCTCAGGATGCTCTCGACCACCTCCATGTAGAGCGGCTTGGCGTCTTCGTTGTCGACAGCCATGAGCGACAGCATGCGCGAAATGTTCAGGTCCTTGACGGACAGGAAAAACGGACGCACCGAGACGTTTGGGATGCCGCTGTAGACCTTCAGCATGGGCTGGTAGTTGGAGGGGGAGACCAGCACGGTCACAGGGATCGACGCCTTGTTGCTGCCGGTGGCACTGCGGCTGCATTTTTCTGCCAGATAGACGGCCTCGCAGGGCTGTGTGCCCTCGAGTCCGCCAGAGGCATCAAAATGGCAGACCAGACCAGAGAGGGGGGCTTTCAGGGAGCCGATGCGGCGATCCGAGATCAGATATCCTTCGAGCAGGGTGGAAAGGGTGTGCGACTTGCCGGAGCCCTGCACACCGCAAATGACAGCCGAGAGCGGCGTGTTGGTGTTGACGTAGACTCGCGAGTCGTTGTCGGCGCTCACCTCATGAGAGGGGCCCATGAATCCCGTTTTCTCGCCGAGCAGCGAGTACTGATCGCTGATGTAGATGGGGTGACTGGGGTCGCGGGACCGGTCCAGAACGTCGCGGGTGAAGATGGGGCAGTTGGAGACTTCATGCTCATGGGCAAACTGGTTGGTATGAGCTTTGTCGTTGAGGAGCGACCATTCGCTCTCCGAGTCGGCGCCATCATCCACATCGGGCACCCACGAAGGCACTTCGCCCAGCGGATCCTCATCCTGTATCTGGGAGCTGAACTCGACCAGGGTCCGGAGCGACGATGGAACGATCGTCGAGACCATCCCGGTTTTGATGGCGCCTTTCTTGCCCGGCTTTGCGTGGGCACTTGAAGACAGCGGTGCCGGGACATTTATGTAGGCACTTGCGTCAGGGCTGCTGCTAGTCGGCGCAGGAGCGGCGCTCTGAACGGGTGGTTTACTCTGAACGGGTGGTTTGTTCTGGACGGGTGGTTTGCTCTGAGCAGCGACCGGCTGTGCAGGCCGGGGAGAGGGGCTGCGGCTGACCGGGACGCCGATCGATGCATTGGTGGTGACCGAGAGGGTGCCGTTGACGCTGACGATGTTGAAGTCGGCTCTGTGGTGGGCAAAGGCAGCCATCAGCAGCTTTCTGGGAGACTTCGCATCATGTTTGGAAAATATCTTGGGGCTGTCATTCATGGCCTTCTTGATCTCCGGGAAGGAAACAACCTGATTGTCGGGAGACAGGCTGAGGAAACGGGCGTTGAGGTAATGGACAATGAAGCTGTACTTTTCAACCGCGGTGGCCTTTGCACCAGTGTCGTCTCCGAGGGGGCTTGCGGAGATCTCCTCTGCCGACGACAGAGACGGGCTCACACGATCGGGAACGACAGTGCTGAGCTTTGTGGTGATGTCTACCAGGCCATTAACGTCGATGATCCTGAGATTGTGTTTATCGGCAATCGTGGAGAGATAGGTCTTGAGCTTTCCGGGGATCACAATGTCCTTCTGTTTCAAAATCATGCCGAGGGTGGTGGCCGGGTAGATTCCGTTTGGGGAGGCTTTGATCCCGTCCTTGATGATCTTGACGACCTTCTTCTCGAGGAACTTGTTGGTGCTGCTCTGGCCTTCGGTGCTCATGGCGGGTGGATTCGACAGGGGAGGAAGCGCTGTTGGAAACAAGCGGATACGCGACGCTAGATCGGTGCAGATGCGGCGCTAGACGGGAAGATATACTGCGCTGGATCGGTGCGGACGCGGCGCTGGATCAGCAAGCGGGCGGCTCGAGCTGCCTTGGCGAGGGCGGGGAGATGAACAGAGCCAGACGGGCCAGGGGAGCAAGACGGGCGACCGCGGCGGGATTTTCGTTTTTTCTGCGGCGACGCGTGCGCAGCAGCCGACACGGGCGCCTGGATCCAGAGCGGACAAGGGCCGGGGCGTGTGCTGCCCCGAGCAGATCGGATTCATCATGGCCGACGGCGCATTCACCACGGCCAGCGGCTGCATCCGGAAGGACGGGCTGTGCGGCGATGGGGTCGGACGCAGATTCGCAGGAGCAAAGCGCAGACGGCAGGTGCAGCACAAGCGAGCTCCGGCGAAGCGCAATCGGGATGCTCGGAGCCATGCAGGCTGCACTCGATTGTCCGGCGAACAGCCTCCGACGTCATCGCTCCCGCCGCGATTGCAGCGAGTATCATTCCCGGAGCCCTTGTGTTGCCAATCAAGCGGCAATCAAGCACGAAATGGAATGATCGACTGAAGAAAGTGCAGTGCTGTGGACGACTGCAGATGCCCGGTGTGCAAGTGGGCACATGCGTCATGCCGCCAGGGCGAGCAGGAGGGCATCCACTCTGAAGTTCCTTGCGCTTCTCGAATCTATCTGGCGAACTGCACCGTTAGACGACTCGGCAGCTCGAACGAACGCGATTTGTGATTTGCGATTTGCGATTTGCAATTTGCAATTTGCACCGCTCGGAATGCTCCAAAGGAAGACCCTCAGGGCCATCATGGCTGTCGGCGAGAATCTCCGATGCCATGACTACACCGCTTCCATCTCGATTGCCTTTGTCGCATTCGTGTCCCGCTACCACGACTCGGCCGAGAAGCTGGATCTGCATTTCAGCATCGTCAATCTCTCGTCGTTCTCGTCCATTACGTTTGTGTGCTCGGTGGAGCTGGCCTCGACCTTTGCCCAGATCCACCGGGTGGTGCTCGGGGCGCTCTTCATGAACCTCCCGCTCAGCGACAACGATGTCCATGAAATGACCGTCGCCTGGTCCGAGACCGGCGACTTCCAGTCCAACTTTGCATCGCTTACGTTCTCGTCCAGGGACTTTGGGTCAGGTTTGTGTCTGCCGTGAGAACCACGCCGCCATCCCATGTTTTGTACACGCTGTCCTGCCCTATCATGAACATGCCTTGGCCCTTCATGCCATTTGGTGACTGTCTTGCTCTCGAACACACCCATCGATGCACCCATGCCGTCCTGGAATTCGTGGATCCCTCTGCTCACGAATCCAATCTTTTGCATTCACCAACGCCTCGCAACCCAATGTACCAAACCACATTCCGATTCGCACACCGACACCCGTTTCCGTGTCCAGGGCTTTCGCCCTTCGTCGATGAGCTCGTCCATCTCCAGTCGAAAGCAGTCGGATTTGCCGGCCTCTCCCCGGCCGAGATGGCGCTGGTCAACATCGAGGGCTCCGTCACGGCCTTCCTCGAGTCGCTGGCACAGCACCCCAACTTCCGCAAGATGCCCCTCGACAGCTTCAACGTCATCTGCCCCGAGGACTACCAGCGTCTGCTTGTGCTCAGCAACGCCAACAACCTCTCTCCTCAGCCGCCTCGCAAGAGCGACCAGTACCTGGCCAACATCTTTGTCCGCACCGTCCAGAAGCACCCGCGCATGCTGGCCCTGATCCACGAGACAAAGTCCATCACCTACGAGAAACTCTTCCATCTGTCCAAGCTGATCGCCCAGCATCTCATCGAAAAGTGCGGCGTTCAGGCCAACGACCGCGTCGCCCTGATGTTCCCAAAGTCCATCGAGGGCTTTGCCATCATGCTCGGTGTGATCCTCGCCGGCGCTGCCTATGTCCCCATCGACAACGAAAAGACCCCGCCCGAGCGTGCCGCCTACATCATCATGGACTCGGCCTCCAAGGTCTCTGTCATCGTCGACGACGCCCTCTGCGACAAGGTCTCGGCCGAACTCGACAAGCTCGGCGTCTCCGGCAGCACCATCCTCCTGACCGTGCCGGTTCTGTACTCTGCCGCCCGCGATCTCTTCATCTCCTCTGGCTCACAGAGCATCTCCATCACCATCGACGACCTCCCTGTCGACCGCAAGCCCTCCGATGGTGCCTACATCATCTACACCAGTGGAACGACGGGCAAGCCCAAGGGCGTGCTCATCAGCCAGGGCGCCATCGCCAACCTGGTGGTGGTCGAGCGCGATCTCTTCCAGCTGTCGCCCGGCGATCGTGTCTTCCAGAACTTTTCCCACAGCTTTGACTTTTCGATCGAGGAGATCTGGATGGCGTACTCGACAGGCGCCTCGCTGGTCATCCCGACCAAGGACATGATCTACGCCGGCCCCGATCTGCCCAAGCACATCCAAAAGTACAGCGTCACCGTGTTCTGCTGCGTCCCGAGCCAACTCGGCATCCTCGTCGGCGAGATGCCCTCGGTCAAGATGATTGTGCTGGGCGGCGAGGCTGCCCAAGAAAATATTGTGCAGCGCTACCGAATGAGGGGCCGCAAGATCTTCAACACCTGTAAGTGCTGTTGTTGTGTGGAGTGGTGTGTGGAATGGTGCGGTGAACCTGGGGGCAACCAGAGTCCCGGTGAGACAGACGATGCTCGATCTTCCACACATTCATCACATACTCATCACACACTCATCACACACTCACCACACTTATCCCACTTGCGCTGCCCCAGACGGCCCCACCGAGACCACCTGCAGCTCCACCTACCTCGACATCTCCGAGCCTGTTGAGAAGATGACCATCGGCCGGCCCTTCATCAACTACACGTCGTACGTCGTCGACTCCAAGAACCGCCTGGTTCCCATCGGCGCCATGGGCGAGCTCGTCATCGGAGGCAAGAGTGTCGCCGAGGGCTACATCAACAGGTGCGTCCGACTACTCGCCCCACGAACTGCTCTCGATTCTGCCCCTCGGCTCGCTGCTGCTTCCGTGGCGCTGACGCTGCATTCTCTCCCCATACAGAGACGACCTCACTGCCGAAAAGTTCATCCACAACCCCTTCGATCCCAGCGGACGCATGTACAAGACCAGCGATCTCGTCAGGTATGCTGTCGGTCTCGATCGTGTGCACCATCATTGCTCCAGCAAATGTGCCTGTCCCACTTGGCCCTGTCGAGGGTGGTACGCCTTGGCCATGACCGACACATCGCTATGAGCTCCGTGTCTCATCGACATGCCATGATGTGTGCTCTGGTCCACAGATACACTCCCGAGGGCAACATCGAGTACTTTGGCCGCATCGACTGCCAGGTCAAGATCCGCGGCTTCCGCGTCGAGGTGAGCATCGCACGCTGTCCTGTCCATCCTGCCCGCACTGCTCGTCGATGATCGTCGATGATCGAGCCATGCCCATGCCGCGGTTGGCATGTCGATCCATCAACTTTGCATCACGGCACCGCACTCTGCGATTTCATCTTACTGACCCACTCTGGGGTTTCTCTCCCCTCGCTCCCCCCCCCCAGCTCGGTGAGATCGAGTCCAATCTCTCGGATTGTGACGGAATCCAGAGCGCCATCGCTCACGTCTGGACCGCCCCGAACCCAGACACCGGCAGCACCGAGCAGACCCTCGTTGCCTATCTGATGCTCGAGACCTGGTGCCACGAGATCGACGACCGCAAGATCCGCGAGAAGCTCCGTGCCACTCTGCCGCCGTACATGATCCCCTCGGTCTTCCAGCGCATGCTCCCAGAGGACGTGCCGCGCCTGACCAGCGGCAAGATTGACCGCAAGAAGCTGCCTCCCATCACTGCTCCCGTGAGCGCCGATAGAGGCATTGGTTCCGGCTCTGGCGCTGGCTCTGGCTCTGGCTCCAGCCCGACCGCCGCTTCTGGCTCCGAGAAACCTCGCCCCAAAAAGTCAGTCGATGGCCCAGAGCCCATGAATGGCTCGATGGAGGATGTCATCACTGCCGTCTGGAAGGACCTGCTGGGCAGCGATCGTATCGCCAATACCGACAACTTTTTCCACGACCTTGGCGGACGTAAGTGCCCCACTCGGCTCGCTGTGACCGCCTTGCAATCATGTATGAGCGACGAGCAGAGTCTAATCATGGATCTCGTTCTACTCCCCAGACTCGTTCCTTGCGGCCAAGACCATCGGTGCCCTGCGCAAGCATCCTCGACTGGCCGGACTCAGCGTCCGCGACCTCTACGAGAACCCCACCATCGCCCAACTCGCCACTCTGGCCGCCCCCGCCCAGGCCGAGAACCGCACCGATGAGCGCAAGAGCAGGCGCTTCAGCAGCATCAAGCGCACCGCCAAGGTCCACCGCCCTTCGCTTCCGGCCAAGGCATTCTGCGGCCTGATTCAAGCGTCGTTCTTGTATCTCTCGACCTTCTTCGGTGGCCTTCCTCTCTACCTGGGCATGTTCTATCTCTACAACTTCCAAACTACTATGGAGCTCTGGACTTGGCACTATGTGCTGATCACAGCCATTCTCTTCCTCCTCGTCACCTCGGTGGGTCGCATCTTTGCGATCATGTTTGTGGTTGTCCTCAAATGGCTCCTCCTCGGCCAGATGCGCGAGCGTTCCGTCCCCGTATACTCCTTCTTCTACCTTCGATGGTGGATTGTCAAGACACTTTCTGGTAGCCTTGGTCTGACGGATCTTCAAGGCTCGTTCCTGCTCCCGTTCATCCTTCGTCTGCTGGGATGCAAGATTGGCCGTGACTGCAACATCTTCAGCATTAGCGTTGATGGATTTGATCTGATCGAGATTGGCCACGGATCCACCATCGGCAACAATGCCACGATCATCGCTCACGAGTTTGCCAACGGATACGTGCACTTTAAGAAAATCAAGATTGGTGAGTGTCGCTGATGGAGGTTGTCAGTAGTGTGGTTGTTCTTGCCGTTGTTGGATCTTTCAGCCGCACTCGGCCTGGGCGATGAAAGTGGTCTGCCAATGAGTCTGTGTTGGAGTCATCCCCGCATACGACCCAAACTATCACACTGACATCACTGGCCCTCCCGTCTCAGGCGAAAACTGTGTCGTCGGAGCCAGCTCCGTTGTCGAGGCCGGCGGAATCATGAACGACGGCTCCGAGCTCATGGATTCGTCGCTCCTGTCGTGCAATGACGTTCTCGAGGCCAACCACTACTGGGGCGGCTGCCCCGGCCGCGACCGCGGCAAGAAGCAGCCCTCCGCCAAAGCCCGCTCGCTCTCCGACGGCAACTTCATCTATGTCTTCACCTACTCGATCTTGATGATCCTCGCGTGGTTTATGGCCCAGGTTTTCAAGGGCCTCACCTTCTATCCCGGCTTTGCCCTGTACTTGTACGCCAGCTCGGTGTTTGGAACCAAGAACCTGATCTGGGCCTTTGCCCCTGCTGCGGCTCTGATGTAAGTCGACAACGGCGATGCAGGTTTCTGCTTTGGTCCGCAGCTGGCGCGAACCAGTGGCTGGCTCAGCATGCCACGTACATTCAAGCATGCGTTTCCATCACCGACATTGTCGCTGACTCTGTTTCCTCTGGATTTCCAGCAACATTCTGTTCTCACTCTTCCTGGCCATCGTTCTCAAGTGGATCCTCCTCGGAAAGGTCAAGGCCGAGCGTATCCCGGTGGTGTCGTTCACCTACATCAAATACTATCTCTTTGATGCCTTTGTGAGTGTAGCTTGCATCGCCGTCGAGGATTCGGACTGCATCAGAAGGCTTGCTGTGTCCAGTGTCTTGTCTGCGATGCGATGCGATGCGATGCGATGCGATGCGATGGGACTTGCTCACATTCCTCTTGTCGATGGCCACTTTCTTCAAACGTAGTACCATGATATGCTGACCTCCTTCAAGACCGTCTTCAACACCCAGTATGTGGTTCCCTGGCTCCGCATGATGGGCTGCCGCTTGGGCAAGTTTTCCGAAGTGGCATTCTTCAGCCCGTTCCCTGGCGAGCTGCTGACGGTACGTTGTCCTTGACATGCAATCTTCTGCCACTCCGAGCCTGTTTGGCCATGCTCAGGACACTCACTGTGCGCTCTGATGATTGTAGACCGGACAAGGATCCTTCATTGCCGATGCCGCCGTGATTGCTCCGCCCTACGTCTCGAACGGCTGGTACAGCACCGGACCCGTGCACATTGGCGACAAGAGCTTCGTTGGCAATGCGGCTGTTGCTCCCGCATACACACACATTGCCAGCGACTCGCTTCTGGGTATGTTGTGGAAAGAATGGACAGACGCATGCTGCACACTCCTGCTCGCTTTCGAGGCAAACGACATGATACTGCGTCGTATGGCTGCGTATCCTCCAGTCCTGCCTCGAAGCCTTCCTCGTGGCTCGTCGCTCTCGTACGGTGCAGCTCCGTGACTGACAAAACCCCACCTGCATTGATCCGTGGCTCCAGGCGTCGCCTCCCTGCCGCCGAGATGCCCTCGTAACCCTGAGGCTGGCGGATACTGCATCAATCAAGGCGAGACCTGGCTGGGCAACGAGGCTGTCCGCATCCCCTTCCGCAACAAGGACGGCAACGACCGCTTTGGCGATTCGTCGACCTACCAACCCTCATTTGCGATGAGACTGCATCGCTACATCTGGGGTGAGTGACAGTCTCAGTGCTGTATGATGATGATGAGTGTGTGTCGGTCTCGGTGGAGAGCGTACTCGAGGCAGTGGGAGTTCCTGCTTGCTGACTGGATCCTCCACGTATCCTGCAGAGGCCTTCCGTATCCTCGTTCCCTCTGCGATCTCGGCCGCCTTTATGCTCTTCCAGCTTGAGTACTTTGCGCAAGGTTTCCTTGACAACTACCTGGACCATGTCCAGAAGATGGTTTTGTTCCCTGCCCTCGTCTGCTTGCTCGGTGTCTTTGAGCTCTTGCTGCTGATCGTGCTCAAGTGGATCTTGATTGGCCGCTACAAGAAGACGGAGCAGCCCATGTACTCGACCTTTGTCCGCCGCACCGAGTTCCTCACGGGCATGCAGGAGCAGAATGTTGCGCCCTTCCTCGGGGCACTCATGGGTGAGTGCAGCAGACCGCACGACTTGCATGCTTGATGTGCAGGCAGGGTTCAGAGGCAGGCGGGCGATGCGGTGGCCATGGCGCATCTTGGTGGCTTGAACTGCATGGATGTCAATGTCGGCCTGTTTCATTTGCTGACCTGTTGGTGATATACTCGGTTCCATCATGCAGGCACACCCTTCATGTCGATCGTCTTCCGCATGCTCGGCGCCCGGGTCGGCAAGAATGTCTTCTGGGCCACCGTTGACTTGACCGAGCACGACCTGCTGACGATTGGCGACAACTGCACCGTCGGCTCCTATGCAGTCTTCCAGACACATCTGTTCGAGGACCGCGTGATGAAGCTCGGCCCGATCGAGATCGGCAAGAACTGCAACATCCGCACCCGCACGATCGTGCTCTACGACGTGGCCATCGGCAACGAAGTCGACGTCAACCCGCTCTCGCTCGTGGTCAAGGGCGATAGTCTCCCCGACAAGACCACCTGGGAAGGCCTCCCGGTCCAAAGCGGCCAACGGCGCACAGACGAAACCTCCTCGGACCCAGAGGCAGATACCATGGTCGAAATCGAACCGTCGATTCTGTGAGGGGACAGATCAGCCACCAGTCCCGAGCCAAGCCACCGCGGATTTATTCCACCGATTGGGCCTTTGTCCGGCACAGCTCTTCGCTTTGATCAGTCCGCCGCCCGCTCTCTCGGTCAACTCCCAGATATTGCTGGCCACATGGCCCACGCCGATCCGCAGCACCATACCCACTCTGGTGTGGTTAACTGGCTTCAAGTCCCTGCTTTCACAAAACCGTCCCGATGGGTCTCTTCTCTTCCGGAGCAGCTTCACGGCAAGCTTCTGATGCAATACGCCGCAGCATCTCTCCCTGCTGCGTCAAGCGCATGCATGCAAGTCCTCAACGCCGTCCCGTCTCAAATTTATACCGCGGTCTCCGACACAGCAGCATCCGTGCGTCTCTCGTGGATTCCCAGCCGCCTTAGCATATCGGATCCGGCCGCGACCAAATACGCAGGCGGTGCTGCGGCCGTCTGTGTCCCGGCCATTGCTCTTCCGCTGGCAGCCCCCGTTGTCATTGCCGCTCTGGGGTTTGGCTCGGGCGGCGTTGTCGCCGGGTCGGTCGCGGCAGGCGTACAGTCGTCGATCGGTTGCGTCTCGTCTGGAAGTGCCTTTGCTCTGCTTCAATCTGCCGGGGCGATTGGGTTCTCGGCAGCATCCCAAATCGCCATGGCGACAGCCGGGGCTGCGGTGGGAGCAGCTGGCTTGGCGTTGGGCGAGCTTGGTCGACGGAAGTTCGGTAGGCTGCAGGCCGCTGAAGCCAGAAAGTGACTGTCCCGTTTCTTTCTGGATAGACTGTAGTAAAATGAAGTGGCCTTTGACATATCGCGGTCGATTCCATGAGAGGCCATGGCGGATCTGTTTGGGCCCTTGTCCGGCTGTGTTCGACCGGGCCTTGTTGGGGACAGCAAGGCGTGACCAGCTGCGCCACCGGGGTGTAACTCAGGCCAAGCACATGACGCGCCGCCCATGCGCAGCACCTCGACGCGTCTGGATGTGCGGAATCCCAAGCGAATACATGGTCAAGACGAGGTGAATACTTGGTCAAGACGAGGTGGATATTTGGTCAAGACGAGGTGGATACTTGGTCATGACGAGGTGGATATTTGGTCATGACGAGGTGGATATTTGGTCAAGACGAGGTGAATACTTGGTCATGACGAGGTGGATATGAAGTGAATCCCAGCCGAGTATCGAATACGGGATTGTGACATGGTGTCCGTGCTCGTCCGTTCAGTGTTTGCTCAGTGCTCGTTCTGCGTCGCACGCCGACCCTGCCGGACACTTGTCCAACGACCCTCTGCGCTCGTGCCTCCAGCTGCGGCTCTGGGTTGCTTCTTGGCAGCAAGCCGGTCTGGTTGCCATCCTCCCCGCCCCCCTTTCTCGACCCAAGCACCGCTCTCGCCCGGCTTCGCCTGGACTTTCGCCGTCCTTCGGTCTGGTCCTTTCGTCTGCTGCGTCGCTGCCGGTCCTCCTCAACCGGTCTCTCTGAAAGCAGGTCACCCCCGGCGCCATGGTTTCGCCGCTGCCCATTGATCCGTCCAATGTCCAGTGGGCCATCCACCACCAGAGCACACGCATCGCCCCGCAGTGCGCAACAACGGGCATGTCTCCTGCCAGCATCGTTACCAACTCGGGTGACTATGTCGTTGCCCTGAACCGATGTCTCTGTTTCCCGTCGACGGGCAACTCTACCGGGAGCTGCCAGTACTTCTCCCTCGTCACCGCAAATAACACCATCGAGACGGTCGATTGCGAACAGGACACAAACTGCTTGACGAACTGCAAGGTCCTTGCCCAATATTCGACCCTCACCAACAGCCCCTGCACCACCGACCTCTTTACGGGGCCCTATTCTATCTTTGACTACACAACAACTACGTAAGCATCTGCTTGATCGCCAACGACTCTGTCCGCCCTGCGCCGTCATGACTCTGTCTTTCCAGCGGCATCGGCTCGGCTGTTCGCTTGGTCTGCTGCTGATCTCCGAGCCCCACCTGCTCACCTCGCAGCTCATGGACCCATCTGCGCTGGCCCTTGTCTCGCCCACACCTGTCGGCCCGATCGCTCGCTGACTCCTTGCTTGCCCTCGCTCTCCGGCACAATCGCCCCGTCTCGTCGCCATGACCGACATCCAAGTTTGTGGGATCCGGGTTTCAAGACCAACTACTTCTATTACTATGCCTTTGCCACAAACGACCCCTCCTGCACGACCATCAGCCAAGCCAACAGAGTGCCTGTCTATCCCAATTGCACCCAGATTCTTCCGGGTGTCTCTGCGATCACCCTACTGAACCCGATCAGTGGAAACGTCGAGCGCTACGCCTGCACCGACCCGGCCTGCAATTCTTGCCAAATCGTCTCCTCCACCACTCCAAATACCTTGTGTGGGGTCGATAGCGCGGACTCTGGAACCTACTTTAGCGAGTATCGGAAGGGCGCCATCATGAGCGACCCTTCTCTCGTCCTTCCGAGCCACTTTCCAAACCAAAGTGCGCCCGCCGTCTCGGCCACGGCGGCTGCGCCTGGTCCAAGCTCCTCAACCTCCACTTCCACCCCTCCATCGGACTCGAGCAACGCCATCCTGATCGGAGGCGTCGTGGGCGGCATCGCGGGTGAGTTGTATTCCGTGGCAGCGTTCCGCCCAACATGGAAGATGCGGCATGCTTGAGGAAATGGCCTATCGAGCCGCGCCATGGACAGGTCCAACTCCCGTTCATGACAGGCATATAGGCAGTGCATCGCCTTCGCATCGCATCCATTCTGTTCCCGATCGCTGGCTGAGATATGCAATATTGGGTCCCCAATCTGTTCTCTCAGTGATTGCCATCGCAGCAGGCGCCTTCATCTTGTGGTATCATCGGCGAAGCAAGCGACTGCAGCAACAGGATGCGCCGGTGCTCCCATCGCTCCCAAGCGCTGCGACCCAAGCCACGGCTTCCAGCAATGACAGCGTTTCCATCTCTGCCTCAACTCAGCCTCCATCACATTTCGTTCCTGACACTCTCGCCCCAGTTCCGGTGCCCGGTGCTGTCCCTGTGTCTGGCCCTGGGTTCGTGCCTCCTGGTCCTGGATTCGTTCCTCCTGGCCCCGGGCCAGTACCAGGCTCCAATGATCCCTATGCCCACCAATATCGTGCTTCTCAGATGTCCAACCTCGGACCTGCAGCACCATATCCTCCAGGCATGAGCTCCTCGCCGAGAGCATCGTATCTCGGTGATCCCGCCTACTCTGGCTCGCCGCAGTCTTTCCAAGCTCCTCCTTATACCACCAACGACCGCCACGGCAACCGAGGCTCGTTCCAACCGCCTGTGCATCCGTCCCAGCTGCCAAGCTATCGGGCATCGATGATGTCCCAGCCAAGCAACACCCCGGTCGTTGTCGATGAAAAGTTCCAAATCGCCAGCTTCCAGCGCGGCAATGCCGAGCCTGAGTATATTGCTTACACCAATGCTGCTGCTGGAGGCTCTCGAACATCCTCCGGGTATTCCTCCCAAGGAAGCCTCAGTTCCAAGTATGTTGCTGTTGTTGAAATCCCAAAGGTCCGCCCAACCGATCTTGCCCTCACTGTCGGAGACGTGGTCATTCTCCAGCGCGGCTTCCAGAACGGGTTTGCACAGGTATGGTCATTTCAGTGTCCATCGCGCGCGAAGGATATCCGTGGCGACGGCCGATTGCACTTGAATGCCATCGCTTCGGTCGACTGACATCCCATTCCATCCCTCCCAACAACCCGATTCGCCGTTTGGATGGACAATCCACCGTCAGGCATTCAACCAAACTACTGGCATGTCGGGTGTCATTCCAGAGCACAGCGTCAGGCCGCTGGGTCCGGAGCGGTATTTGCCCTCCCAATAGTAAGAGAATGTCATTGATGTCATTGTCCAGGACAATCCAGTCGCGTTCGCCGTTACAATAAATCGTGAGGCCTGTCTATCTTTCTCATGTTGGCGGAGAGGTGCTGACATATCTGTCCGAAATGGAGCAATATCGGCTCGTTCCGGGCTGCCCGCACTCTCAACTGTGAAACGGAGACGGGGCGTTCCGCAGGTTATTTTCCTGTTCTCCCCACCCGAAGCATTAAAAATGGCACATCAAGTAAAGCCCCCCACGTGATTGAAAACCGGAATTCTATCCACCATGACCACAGGTTCCTGGTTTGATTCAACTCTTCTGGCTGTCGATGCTTTCGTCGATTTTGGAAGCAATAATTCGATCGTGTGTTCCAGATGCAGTGATGTCCCCGGGCTCGTGAATAACGATCGTTTTGCTCTTTCGCCTCATGGCAGTGCCGCCTCTTTCCAGGCTACCCAAGAGTCCATGCCCGCTGTGCCCCAATTGTCCTCCGAGGTCACCGAGGGCACCGATTCCCTTGCCTTTGAAAATATGAGGCTTGGCTTTGGCTTCCTTGAAGTTGTTCAAAAACGTCAGTGCTGTCTCCTTTGATCCGAACTCGAGCGTGAGCTGAGACTTGTTGTTTCGGAGCTTGACGCTTCGGGCAAGTGCTTTGCCACCTTCGGGATCTGATTCGGAGTCACAGGGCTCGCATTCACATGCCGAGAAGCGGAAGCTTGCCTGGACGGTGCCATCGAGGCTGGGATCGCGAAAGTCGATGATGTCCAGGGTGACAAACACCAGGACAGTCGATGACATCCAAGCACCTCCGAACTTGAGACCTTGGACGCCGCAGTCATATACGTAGGTAATAATGTCTGCAGACAACATGCCCTGGCTTCGGATATTGGAATGACCCGAGGACGTGTGCATGGATTTGGGGGCTCCCGACTTTTCACCTTCGCCAGGGTCAGAGCGGAGGACGCCGATGATCCTGCCTGCAAACAGCGCTGCAGGGACAAACGACGAGATCATGACGATCAAGCAAGCCAGGATCACGCGGCCCACGGTGAAGAGTGCTTGCGAGTCCAAGCTTCCGGAGAGAATGTAGACGATCGGAAGGCACAGCACCAACGTCAGGGAGACCATGTAGCTGCATATGCCAATGACCTTGGACTCTTGGAAGCGCTCGTGAGCACCGCGGGTGAGATAGGCAAAGGCCACACACCCGAGCATGATGGCTCCGTTGATGACGTAGAGGACAATCTCGGGCACCACCGTGGACGAAAACGTCGCCGTGCATACCAGCCCGTAGAAACTGCCCTCGACCTCGGCCGTGGGGCCTTCCACGGCAACCCATGCTGCACACACCACAATCTCGGCAACCAACACGACAAGCGTCGCGAGGATGAGTTTCCAGTCCGGCGTCTTGAAGACACGCATGCGTCGGTTTTCAAAGATCATGTAGATCCGCACAGACTTCATCAAGAGCATGCTGCATGCAGTTTGGCGGCAAGAAAGAGTACCAGCAGTCAGCGAGTGAGCGAGCGAGCATGCGGCTATCATCCAAGCCGACAGGCAGTGCGAGGGCTCATGAAAGAGAAGATATCTCTCGAGCTTTGGGGGGGGGATAATGATCCTCTTACGACAACAAACCTGAAGATTGAGGAGAAGGCAATGACCGGGAAGAACATCCGGCTGGAGCAAACCAAGGTGCTGGGCTCGGCGGAATAGAATAGTGCGCCGATTTGACCAAAAACTAGAACCGATACCAACAAAAGTCAGATCAAAACTCCGGGTAGTATCACGGCCTTCGCTTGAACTGATGGCGCACTTCCACCTTGAGCTCGGCTCTGGCTGTCGGGTTCCAAAAAAATGTGCGTCGACTCAACTTACGGGCCCCGACAACGATTATGTAGCAACAATTCGGCGAAATAGCTTTGATGTTTGGCTTTTCTCGAAACACGAACAGCATGGCCAGGATGGCGGCGTTGATGAGCCCAGTGATGCTCAGGAACGCCATAATGGCAGTGTTGTAGGACTCGACGCCGTAAAAGAGGATCATGAATGGTGCGGATGGCTCAGAGCAATCCAGTTGCATGTTGTTCATGAATCCAGCATCGCAGATGCACTGAGTCACTGAGGAGTCTTGAAACGGACCATCGACGACGCAGTACCCGTGCTTGCAGGAGTTGGCGGTTATATAGGTCCCATTAGCGTCAAAGTACGGATTGCATGGAGAAGATGCATCAAAGAGCACCTTTCCGTTTTGGGTGACCAGTTTGAGTGCATCATACGCAAAGCGTCGAAAATCGGGATCCTGGAGATGCATGTATTTGTTTTGAAGATAGAAGGAGCCGGTTGAAGGCGATGCTGTCGATCGATTCGAGGGTTGCTGAAGGATGATGGCCAGACACATATATGGCGTTAGGGCCACCAGTTCACACATACTCAGATCGATCTGCCGTACAGAATCATCAAAGACAGACACTTGCACAAGCCGTTCATAGTATGTCGCGGATTACCCACCGTCTCTGTCCCGCCAAAGAGCATCCAGAAGAGGAAACGAAGTGTGGCACGCATTTGAGCTTCGGCGATGCTGTAGGGCTGGGAGTCTTGCCGAAGGAGAATAAAAGACGGTTCCATGAACGGATATGCATTTGGCGTGGTGGTGTCGATGTAGGTCGAGCGAATGTATGTGCCGATGTCGCCCGAGAAGTGTCGCAGAGACGAAACGTTTGTGGTGCTTGCTGTGGAAAGGGCATTCTGATGAGGAAATAAGGGAGAATGGGTGATCGATGTCCAGTGAGCTGACTGGCCGCTCAGGGACACATGCGTATGATTGGACTGCCGGTCATGCCCTTGCCAATTTATCGCTCAAGCGGTGTTGTCCGCAGATAGAGTTTCTCACGGTCGCTGGTTTATCAGTACAGCTGTTGGAAACTCACCGACATCGTGTATATGGATGGGGCAACGACATCGCCGTTGCGGTTGATGATGTTTGCGATGGCATACAGGTTCAGCCCTGAGGCGAGAGAGGCCAGGGTTGTCGAGGCCGACGGGTAGTCGACAAAGCCGATCGAGTACGGAGTGACCTGGATGCCGTCCGAGACAATTGTGTTGCTGGAGCCGTAGAATGCTGCAGTGGCCGGGCCCCATGTCGAAAGCGGGTACGACAGGGAGTTGCCCAAGTTCAGAGTTGGGTCGATGCTGTTGAGAGCATATAGAAAATTGGAGGCAATTCCAGAGGAACCGCTAATGGCGATGACCTGGATACGCGCGTTGATGGAGGTCAGTGCAGGGTTGTGCTGAACCAGCCGAGTGTCGTTCCAGTAGACAACCTTCCCGGTGAAGATATCGGCGACATTTTGCCGCGTGAGCGTAAGATTGGTGACATTCAAGTGATAGATGACGGCCACGGAGCTGAATGGGATCGGGATGTCAGGGATCGTGTCAATGCATGGCTCTGGTGGTCGCACGATGGTTGCGTGCATCCAAGAAACAGTGAGCAACCGACAGATTCCGCCCAGGAAATCAAGGAGGATGAGCTTGCCTTATAACTGAGGGGACTGGGACAAACTGCCCGACAATGTTCCCAGGTCCGACAAACGTGACATTGGAGGGCACGTTATCGGACGCTGCCCAGGTCAAGTTGGTCGATCCGGCGACGAGGGCCGCACGACCCGCTCCGGAGCCGATTCCAGTGTAGGCATAGTTGAAGTATGGATCGTAGGTTGAGTAGTAGTTGGCCAGCGCCGAGTAAACGGCCGCCGGGGCATTCGCACCAACACCCAGGAGCGTCGCCACGCTTTGGACCCATCCGTCTGTCGCGGTTATGCGCAGAACGAGAAGATTGCTCAGGTTACTGAGCGCATAGGTAATGGCAATCGCGAAGGGGTGGATGCATCCCAGAAGGAAATTACGCAACAGCCATACCTGCACATCGGAAGTAAAGCGATGCGACCAAACACCAGGCCAGGAGCCACCGTGATGCATGCGGGAGCATGATGTGTATCGCAGCGTAGTATCTGCGCCAACAAGGGTCTGATCGCTTCAGTGAGAATCACCACCAACTTTGGATGAACCGGATAGCGGCGCTCAGATCGAGACGGGGGGGGGAGGAGGAGCGAAAGCTAGAGGTCGACTACCAACTCGGATAATATCCGAGGGAGTGGTCCAGTCATCAATCTCAAATATGATCCAGTGTCCTGTTTTCCAATCAACGGCGGTCCTGATGAGCAACTGGTTCAATGACGCGATGCCAAGGGCGAATATGCCAGCACGATTATGCGGCTGTCCCTTATGTGTCTGTCCCTTCATTCAAGCGATGCTGTGTCAGCTTAGCACTGTGGCACTCATGGCAAGAAGATGTATTCAATCGATTGGCACGTTGGAGCGACTGTCTTCAGTGCGTGGAGGCAAATGACATTCAAGACTGTGGCACTGTTAGATGCTTTCCACATATTGTGCGGGGATGTGACCTACGGCTGAATTGCGCTTGAGTGCGCATGGCGCGATTTCATCCACTTTATTCAGAAAAAACGGGACAATACAGCGGTTTCCATGAACATGTAGTATGTGATGTGCTTGCGTCAAGCGAAGCCACAAGAAATAAAACAGATCACTTTGGCAGCCTCCGAGTGAAGACCGCCGGTCGCTCTCCGGTCTCCACAATCGACCTGCACACTGGTCTCGGAGTGCCAGCGGTGAATGGTGCTCTTGGACACACTGAATATGGAGGCAACCTTACGCAGGCTATGGATGAGGGCGTAGCATCGCAATGCGGCGGTGCGAAAGTCGGATGTGTGGCGAATGGTCATGGCCAGCGCGCGATGGTATTGGGTAACTGAATATTCGATGAATGGTCAAAAACACGGGTGTCCCGTTTTTTATTGGATTGCCTGTAATCGCAGCTGGCCTCGGGTTCTTCCACTTCTCTGATTCAACGAACAAACCGAATGCATGGTGGTTGCAATCGACTGCCTCCTCCAAAAACAATACATCTACCATCGATTCTCTGTGTGAGATGACATCAAGACTTTTGGCTGATCGGGAGAGCTATTGCAAATGCAAACATTTACGGCATTTCCAAATTTTGTGGCGACTCGTCACCTAGTGGTGCTGAGGCTACCCTCCGTGGTGCTCACACAGCTATCGTGGCTTGAGCGAACCGAATCAATAGTGCCAGATTTATGTTCTTTCGAATCGTTTTCCTTTTCCTTTCCACCTGTGTCGATTTTGCTGAGCATCCCATAGATGGTTTTGTCTCGCTGAATTGGCCCTCCGACTCCGCCGACTCCGCCGATTCCGCCGACTCCGCCGACTCCGCCGATTCCGCCTACGCCTCTGCCCAATGTGCCACCCGTCTTGGCCTTGGCTTCGGCATAGTTTTCCAAGAACGTGAAGGCTGTCTCCTTGGCACCAAACTCGAGACTGTAGGTGACCTTGCCCTGGCGCAACTTGACGCTCCGGGCCAAAATCTTATCGGCGTTGGGGTCGCTGTTCGGATCACACAATTCGCACTCGCACGAAGAGAATCTGAAGCTGGCTTGGATGGAGCCATGAACATCCGCTTCTCGAAATTCGATCAGGTCCAAGGTCGTGAGAACAAGCACTGTCGAGGACACCCACGCTCCTCCAAATTTGAGTCCCTGCAGTCCACAGTCGTATGCATAGGCGACGATGGCGGCCTTGGTCATTCCCTGACTGGTGATGGCAGAGCGATTTGTGGTGGTCGGAGAAGACTTTTGGGTTTGTTTCTCGCTGTCGGGTGCATCGTTTCTGCTCTTGAAAGTCCTGATGAGCCTTGCGGCAAAGAGGATGACGGGTACCAGCGACGACACCACGATCACCAAGCATGACATCATCACTTGTCCGAGCGAAAACAAGTCCTGCGAGTTGACTTGATCCGAGAGGGCATAGATCATTGGAAGGCACAGGAGCATCGTCATGGAGACAAAATAGCTGCACATTCCGATGACTTTGGACTCTTGGAAGCGCTCGTGAGCACCGCGGGTGAGGTAGGCAAACACTACGCATCCGATGAGGATAAATCCGTTGAGGAGGTACAAGAGTATGGAAGGGGTCGTTATTGATCCCTTTTCAGTGGAGCACACCATGGCGTAGACGCTCCCTTCGATTGAAGGAGTTGGGTAGTCGATGCCGATCCACACGGCGCAGTAAATGACTTCCAGGACGACAATGATCCCCGTGGCCAGGATCAGCTTCCAGTCTGGGGTCTTGATCGTGCGGATGCGCTTGTATCCAAAGATGATGTAGATCCGAATCGACTTCATCAGCAACATGCTGATGTGTGGATGAGATACGATCAATTCACAGGTAACTGGAGCAAAAGTGCCTGGATGTACTCGGCGATGCGATCTTACCTGAAGACGGAGGAGAAGGCAATCACAGGCAGCAAGATCCGTCCTCCGCAAACGAGGGGGCTCGGATTGGCAGAGAAGAAGAGGGCGGCAACCTGTCCGATGACTGCGAGCGACGACGATCTGTTAGTGCGTTGAAGGTGCTTTAAGCCAATCGTGGGGCATGTGGGAATCGAGCAACGGTGCACTCAACTGCGCGATGGATGCACGACTTACGAGCGCCCATCATGATCACATGGCAGCAGCTTGGAGAGATGGCTTGGACGTCCGGTTTTTTCCTCCAGAGGAAAATGAGAATCCATATGCCAATGTTGATGAGGACAGCGATGGCCAGAAAAGCGATGACAACGATGTTGTACGAGTCGATCCCGCCAAAGAGCAACATGAACGGGGACGCCGGCTCAGAGCAATCCAGACGCAGGTTGTTATAGTATCCAACATTGCAGATGCACTGGGCTTGGCTAGACGACTGGAACGGCCCGTCAACGATGCAGTAGCCGTGTTTGCATGAATTGGAGCTGATGTAAGTAAGGTTGGTGTCAAAGACCGGATTGCACGGAGAGGCTGGATCAAAGAGCGGCTGTCCATTGTGCGTGACAAGCTTGAGGGCATCGTAGACGAACTGGCGTATATTGATGTCTCGGAAGTGTATAAAGTTGTAGCGGTGGAAGTATGTGCTCGCCGAAGGCTGCATCACGGGCTCGGCTGGAGCCACCTTCATAGCACAGCAAGTGCGGTGGTTGTGAAAGGGAATGTCAGCACATAGTATGCTCCGTCGTGCAAGCCGCAGTACAGGCTTCGACACGGGGTCTGAGGAAGGGATCCTGTCGCAGAACAACTCACCGTCTCTGTTCCGCCAAATATGATCCAGAACAGGAATCGCAGGGTTGCCTGGATCTCGGGGGCGGTGAGTCCATAGAGTTGCGAGTCTTGTCGCAGCATAAAGAGCGTGGGCTCCATAAACGGGTAGGCATTTGGCGTGGCCGAATCGATGTAGGCCGACTGAATGGCATTGCCAATGTCACTTGACAAATGGCGCAGAGCCGACATGTTGGATGCGACTGGAACCGAGAGAGCGGCCTTGAAAGAGATTGTGGCGTGGAGAGTACAATGTTGTGAGATGGGAGAGATGCGCTTGTGGGCGAGATACACTCCGAGAATGAATCTCGAATGTGCAAGAAACACCTTGGGGGTGCAGCGCTCATCCAATCTCCTCCAGCTCAGGCTGAAATCAAGGAAAGATAGTCTGACGCAACTGCATGCTAACTCACCGACATGCCTGTTACGGAAGGCTGCACAATCTCGCCGTTTTTGTTGATAATGCTGGCAAAAGCATAGAGATTGAATCCGGAGGGCAGTAGAGACGCCAGAGTTAGGTTGGCGAATGGGAAGGCGATGTATCCGATAGAGTTTGGAGTGACCTGGATCCCGTCGGACATGACGGTGTTGTCCTTTCCGTAAAGCGGAGGGTTGGCCGGCCCCCAGGTTGGAAGCGGGTAGCTGGATGGATACGACAGATTCAACGAGGGATCGATGCGGTTGAGTGCGTAGAGGAAATTGACCGTCATCCCGACAGTGCCGGCATTCACGATGGTTTGGACCCGAGCCGTGATGGTGGTCAGGGCTGGGTTATTCTGGACGAGCCTAGGGTCGTTCCAGTAGGCGATCTTGCCAGAGAATATATCCGCAAGGTTCTGTCGGGTGAGCGTGAGGTTGGTGACGTTGAGATGGTACACGATCGCTATGCAGCTGAAGAGTCCGAAGCGAATGACGCAGCCGGAATCGAACGCATCGCCACAAGACATGCCACAATGGCATGAACAACCGAGGTGAGACAATATAAAATGGCCGCGAGTTAGCCAGAGCTACCAACGGAGGTGCTGAGGCGGTTATGGGGGGAGGGTGTGTTGACCCTGGGCGATGTCTGAGGGCAATATCAGCACAGGTGCAAGTAGCCCCGCATACACAATGTACTGCACGCCTAGATTCAAGCTGGCTCACCTCATGATTGCCGGAACAGGAACAAAGTTGCCCGAGGTGTTCCCAGGGCCAGTGTACGAGACATTGGACGGAACATAGTCTGAGGAGGCCCATGTCAAGTTGGAGTTGCTGGCGATGAGCGCAGCGCGCCCAGCGCCAGTCCCGACATCGCTATAGGAATAGTCCCACAGAGGATCATAGACCGAATAGATGGATGCCAGTTGCTGAAAGAGCGAAAACGGGGGATCGGGACCAGCGCCATCGAGTATGAGCTTTGTCTGCTGGCCAGCGGCGCCTGAAGGGATCAGAATAGACATGGGCAGTGTGATTCTTCGTGCATGAGGGGCTTCAGGGACAGCACAAGCAACGAGCACTCGAGTATAGTGCATGGCGATGTCCGCTACAATAGATATCTACCTGAGCATCCGAGCGCAATGGTTAGCACAAAGCACCACCACATAATGATTCGCGTTCGAGATGGAATGCAATTGGCATGAGGGAATGAAGCCGAGAACAGCATTGAGCAACGGCTGGCGGATGGGCCAGAGCGATGGATGAGGGATGATATGCTGCGAGCGATCTGGCACGAATGTCCTGAAGCGACCTTGGGCCATATCAGTTGGTGGGGTCTGTGGGACGAGTCCCTGTGGTTCATTTATAGGGCGGGTCGACGGAGATGCTCCAAATGCTCCGACTGGAGATCTTGATGAATGGCGGGCGGGTGCTCGCCTTCGTGAGGGGAAGGTGGTGCCCTCGTATCAATCATGCTTCGATGACCCCGGACTGGCTGAGCTGGACAGCTTGGACTGACGGGCTGGGATCACATCTCTGGACCCTGAAACTGCTTGGTGCCGATCGAGGAGTCTCCGGATTCAGCGATGATTGGAGTTGACGCCATGTCAGCCTTCCGCGAACATTGTTGTTGTGGCGAGTGACGACCGCTGATCGCCGGTGGGATGACGATAGCTGCTGATTCTTGATGGGAAGTGCATCCCTAGCAAACGGCGAGTGAGTTGAACAAGACACGGGTCGATGTCTCGGCCAGCATTTTGACAACGATGTGTCATGGACTCGGACAGAATGATGCTCCGACAAACCAAACTAGATCTCTCTGATTGTCCTGGGATCAGCACGCCAAGTCTTGCTCGATAAGACTTTGCCATAGAGAGAGCCGTAGTGGCCAACACGATAGATGATGCGTGCCAGCCAGGACGGCCCAAAGAATCAGGAGTGCTGGCGTCGCCCAGATTGTGGCCCTCGGTGTGCCAGAGAACGATGCCACAGCCACTTGCACAATCCAATCAGACCAGCGAGAGGCCATGACAACACTGTTGGCCTCGACAGCCTCGAACGTCATCAGCGGATGGCTTGGTTTGCCAGGCATCAAGTCGACAGGAGCAGTCCACCGGGCCAGAAGCCGCAGATCACTGGCCCTCGCGAGGAGTTGGCCTCCCTCGACGCATGCAACAGGATGGGACGATGCCTGACGACGGGTGGGTGGATTCTCAATCCTGGGTGGCGACAGAGCAATCGACCACAGCCATCGATGCTGCTTCAACCAGTTTCCTGGCAGCTTGCCAAGGACGATCAAGTTCGTGGGTCGATAGCAGCGCAGCCGGTCGTGGCAGCCACGGAGGCCTGGCAGATTGTGATCTGGTCATGTCCCTCTTCATCTCGGCATCCAGGTTGCGATGAAGAGGGACAGGACCATGCTGACCACTCGAATGGGTTGTTCCATGGGATATATGCTGCGCGGCCTCACGGGGTCTGGAGCGGACATGCTTGTGCGCCTCGAGGTGTTCATGCGCACCGCACATGCATCGACCTAACCAATAAGCCTAAACCTCAAATTTGACTGGCCAGCGCCACCGCACTGGCCTGGTTAGATTCCAAGAACGAAAGCCAGACTGCGTGTGGGGTCAGCACGATCCGGAATCATCGCATGACCGGCAGTCCAGACTGTCTGCAGCCCAAAGTCGTGGACAGGTCAGCCGACACGAACGATATCGCAGGGATCTGGCTTCGAGCATGGTCATGGAGCAGGTCCTTGGGCAGGAGTATAAAAGGCCCCCATCGGTCGGTCGGCAGCACAGCACCACCCAACCTTGCCTCCGTCTCAAGATCTACTTCAAGATGAGATTTCTCAGCATTGCCTTGGCTGCCGTTGCCTCCGTTGCCCTGGTGGTAGGTCATGAGCACATCGTTGACCCTGCCGCCCCAGTCGACATCGTGCCAATGTCTGCTGAGATGGTTCGTTGGCTGTCCAGTTTCATTGAAATTCGCCGCTTTGAAACCAAATATATGGGGTACTGAATACTAATTCGACTGCTATTTGTTGCAGAATGCCAACTGCGTTGGCGGCAACGCCTGTATCTCGGACTGCTACATCTCGTGTGGATGGCAGGGTGCGGCATCGTCTCCCGCTGTTCAGATGCGCTGCCAGAACTGCATCTGGACCAACTGCGGCACTTGCACCACGAACGCCCCGGCTCCTCCTCCTCCCTCCCCTTCTCCTCCGCCTCCTCCTCCTCTGCGCCAATGCATCGGTGGGAACGCCAATGCCTGCATGGACGATTGTTATATTAGCTGTGGATGGCAGGGAGCCTCGTCCTCTACTGCGGTCCAGCTCCGATGCCAGGCATGCATCTCGAGCAGCTGCAACGGATGCTAAGACCAGAGATAATGCCTGGGTCGTTGCTCAACAAAGTGAGAGCATTCTCGGCGACCAGACACTTGGCATCGCTGGAAGAAATAGTGTTAGTTGAGGGCCTGGTCTTATGTGGTGTCATTCTATGTGCTTGTTTGGCCTAATCCGGCATCCGAATACATATGGAACATATGGAGAAGGACAGCACTCGTTTTCTCTGGCATCGGAAGCCTCGGGATGGCACTCCTGTCGTTGTTGGAAATCCAGCAGTTTGGTTGGCTTGGGACACTGTCTTGGTCCATTTCCTGTGGCGACGATCGACTGGAACTGATGCGTATCCCTTCCTCTGTTTCCAGGAGGCATTTCCAAGGGCAATCACAATGTCGGTCTCCCTTGGCACCCGGCCAATGCCTCACTTGCACATCTCGTGGACATTGCGCTGTTGCTTGCTATAGAGATCGAGTCGCTTGAATCACTGTCGCATGGGTGGCGCCTTCCGCTTGCGGGGAGCCAACTGTGCGAGGAAGCGTCCTTGATTCAGATCCAGAAATGAATCATGCAAGGGATCTGTTTGGAGGTCGCTGCTCTGGACTTGTGCCAGCGATGGATGGGGCGTATTCAGGTCGCAGATAATGGGGCATTCCAAAATCAAGGCAGATGACCCTTATGATCGCCTTATTTCATGTTTCTTTCTTTATTTCTCATATTCTATGTTATTGCTATTGATTCCGTGTTTGACAGAAACAAGCGACGGAGCATCAAAGAGACGCTGGATCCAACCAATCCAGGCGGCTGGTTGGATCGGGTGACTCACCATGACTCACGGTCATGTTCCCAATATTCGGCCTGCGTTCCAAAATCCGCCGATGGTCTTCATCACGGACACCATCATGTATCCGTGTCCCGCCAACTCGACCATCTGGTTCGTCGACGACCAGGGTTTCGTCGTCGTCGACCAGTGCTTCGAACACAGGTGGGTCTGTGTACTATGCGACCAGGCGATGCGTCTCCCAGCCGCTCGCTAAACTCCTTCAACCTATCCTCGCTGATGGCTGTTGACTGCGACCCTGCCACGCAGCTTTACCGTCGGCATCCTCCCGCTGGCCCTGATCGTCGCTGCTGTCCTCTGGGCCGCCAAGGACATTGTCCATCCCGCCGCCTCCTCGGACGGCTCCGACACCGCCCTCGTCAACAGCGAAGATGGATCCACCCGCAATCGCTACGGCACCATCCCTGCCGCCGACCAGCCTGCTCCTCCCACCGTCGTCGCCCAGAATCCGGCCCTCAAGTGGACCTGTCTGGCTATCCTCGTCCTCGAGCTGGCTGTCTCTGTCGCTGCCTCGTTCCAGGACCTGAGCCAGTCTGGTTCTGGCTCCTTCGTCTTCTTTGGCTCGGCTGCCTGGGCTCTTGCATGGGTAAGCCATCGCAGCAGCATTGCTCGTCTCCTCTCACTCTCTCGCCGGATGCCATGCTCAAGCCCTCGCCGGCATCGTGCTCTCCCACATCGACTGCATCATACTCACACCGCCCGCTCATCCCGCCAGGCCATCGCAACCATCGTCTTTGCCGCCTCGACCGGTCCCGTCCCGGCCAGCATCCGCCCCAAGCTGAGCAGCCCCATCCAGCCCTTTGCCCTCGGCTGTGCCGTCCTCAAGGCTCTCCAGCTCCACAACACCCTGCTCAGCAACAGCGGCGATGCCGTCGCCTCGATCGTGCTTGCTGTTGTCCTGAGCACCATCCTGTTTGTGGCCAACTTTGCTCTGCGTCTGAGTCTGCGCGAGCAGGTCGAATCGCTGCACATTGTGAAGCTCAAGGGCCCCAAGAACACCGAGGTGAGTGCAGATCCAATGTATCGAACGAGCGCACGAACAGCGACGCTTCTCTGGCACACATGATGATTCCATGCAACCGCCTTGGCATCGCTGGGTACGGCTATTGCCTCGCTTGTTGCATCGATGGTGCAATCGCAGGACTGACTACATGTTCTGCTACTCCCACACATGTGCGTGCTGTTGGCATTCCCATTTGCACCCACAGATGCTCCCTGCCCCCGAGCCCGAGTCCACCTGGTTCGAGAACCTGTTCTTTGTCTGGATGGACGGCCCTCTCAGCCGCGGCTACAAGACCCCCCTGACCAAGAATGACCTCTTTGACCTGCTCGAGAGCGACAAGTCGGCCGAAGCCTGCCGTGTCTACCGCGAGCAGTACAAGCACCAGTACAAAGGCCTCAACATGCGTCTCTTCATGATGGAGCTTCATCCCCTCATCATCCAGATCTTGCTTGGCTTTGCGGTTTCCTTTCTTACCTTCGCTGCTCCACTCTGCCTCTACCAAATCATGAGCTACATCCAGAACCCGAACGGCCGCCCCGTTACCGTTGGTTTCTTCTGGGTGTTCATGTCGTTGGTCTTTGGACTCATGTCCACAATTGTGGACGGACAGGTGAGTCGAGGGCCTAAAAGTCATCATGGTGCTTGGTGCGAGTGCTACTCTGCTGACTCAAGCCGTTGCGGCGACCCGGATGCTTCGGAAATGCCACGTCGTGACATGTAGCAGAGTGCGCTATCCAAGAAAGCGCCTTTGTCGTGTTCACATCAAGTCGCATGAGTTCTAACTATGAGTCTAACGCTCCAAACCTGCCAACAGATGTTCAACATGACCAACAATGCCAGCTACCGCATGCGTGCTGTCCTGATCAACGAAATCTTCCAGAAATCTCTCCGCCGCGTCTCTGCCAAGGGCAAATCCAAGAAGGACGAGGACCAGTCGACGGGCAAGCTCGTCTCGCTCATGTCCATGGACACCGAGAAGCTGGCCATGGCAAGCTCATCTTCAATTCTGGTCACCTCAACTTTGATCGAGATCGTTATTGCCGTCGTCGCTTTGTTCAGCTTCCTGGGTTGGTCGGCTTCGATCGGTCTCTCGATCATGGTCGTCAGCATTCCCCTCACCAGCATCATCACCACGAGACTCAACAATGCTTACAAAGCACTCATGGAGAAGGCCGACAAACGCAACACTCGGACCCTCGAGGCTCTGCAGGCCATCCGCATCATCAAGTTCTTTGCCTGGGAGCCGCAGTTCCTCAAGCGCATCGACGAAGCCCGCAACGCTGAGCTCAACAATCTGATCTCTTACTTCATGACCTTGGGCCTCAGTGTCATGCTCTGGTCGTTTGTGCCCGTGATTGTTGCGGTTGTTACCTTCCTGAGCTACACCCTGATCGCTGGCCACGACATGGATGGTAAGTGATGCGCTCGCACCACCCATGGCCTCGGATGTCTGGTACATGTTGCTCGGAGCATCTCCAATCGACTCGAAACCGATTGAGTGAATATGTCTCAGCCTCCCACGCAATCTCCAGTCGCTGATGTGTGCTGACCGCGCTGATGTCTCACTTTCGACTTGTGCATGTCTCCCATCCAGCCACCACGGCATTCACTTGCCTCAGTCTGTTCAACGCTCTCAAGTTCCCTCTGACAGTTTTCCCCGACACACTTTCGGAGGCAAGTGCTCCTCGCATGGCATCGTTCCTGCCTGTTCGCTTGTCGCCATCCTCTTACCCACAGGACTCCCGCTGACACCCGTCTCCCTTCGCAGTTCTTCCAAATCTATGTCTCATCAGACCGTATCGAAAAGTTCCTGAACGAGCCCGAGCTCCAAAAGTTCTCCGACGACCTGCCCGTTTCTCACCCCACCGGCAACACCGAGCCCTGGACCGACCCTGTTGCCGTCGAGTTTGTCGATGCCTGGTTCGAGTGGCACCAGGCCACTGCCGCTCCCGACAGCAAGTCGCCCCAGCTCCCCTGGCACAAGAGACTCGCCAACCTGTTCAAGAAGCAGTCGCAGCAGACCTCCGAGACCACGCCGCTCCTCGGCTCGGAGCAGCCGGCTTCTGGTGCGGACGACTCGTCCGAGCCCAAGTTTACCCTGCGCGGCCTCAAGATCAGCTTCCCTCTCGGCAAGCTCAGCACCATCTGCGGCTCCACCGGCTCCGGCAAGTCCTCGATCATCCATGCCCTCCTCGGCGAAATGAAGTCGCTCCAGGGCAGCGCCAACCTGACCCGTCTCACTCGCAGCCACCGCTCCAAGGGCGGCATCGCCTTTGTCGCCCAGACCGCCTGGCTCGCCAACGCCACGATCCGGGACAACATCCTGTTCGGCGAGCCCTACGACCAGCTCCGATACGCCCGCGTGATCGAAGCCTGCGCCCTGTCCAAAGACCTTGCCTCCTTCGAGTCCGGCGACCTGACCGAGATCGGCGAGAAGGGCATCAACCTGTCCGGCGGCCAGAAGCAGCGAGTCTCGCTCGCCCGCGCCGCGTACTCCCGGGCCCACTACATCCTGCTGGACGATCCGCTCTCAGCCGTCGATGCGCCCACAGCCAAGCATCTCTTTGACAAGTGCATCACGGGCCTGCTCAAGGACCGCACCCGCATCCTCGTCACCCACGCCACCAGTCTGGCCCTTCCCGCCACCGACTACCTCGTCGTCATCAACCAGGGCCAGATCCTCGACCATGGCTCGGTCGCCGAGGTCTCCCAGAACCGCGAGGTCGAGACCATCATCGCCAAGGAGAACCTCGAGGCAGTCTCGCTCCAGCCCGAGTCCGACCCCGATGCTGGTGAGCTCGACGTCGACCTCACCGACGAGGAGCTCCTGAGCCGCAACTACTCCAACGGCAAGACGCCCGAAGACGCCAAGAAGCTCATCGATGCCGAGGCTTCCAGAACCGGCGCAGTCCAGGGCAGCGTCTACTACTTCTATCTGACTGCGGCAGGCGGCTTTGGTGTCATCGTCGCCTACCTCGGTATAATTCTTGTGCAGCGATCGGCCCAAGTGCTGGCCGACTACTGGCTCAAGGTCTGGGCCGATGCCTACAACCATGCCAACGAGCTCAACACGATGTTTGCCGTGACGCTCTCGGCCCCGCTGTCCCTCAGCTTCCTCAACCCAGTCTCAGGCAACGACAGCAACACCCTTGTCGATGGATCGTCCGGCCAGTCCGTCAATGTTGCCTACTATGTCCTCATGTACGGCCTCATCAATTCGTGCGTCCTCTTTCTCATCATCACCAACTTTGCCTATCGCAGCTGGGTTGGCTACAGGGCTGCCAAGAAGCTGCACGACCAGCTCATCACCCGCATCATGTATGCGCCGGTGCGCTGGTTCGATGTCACCCCGCTCGGCCGCATCACCAACCGCCTCTCCAAGGACATTGGAACCATCGACCGTAACCTGATCAACACATGCGCAACGTTTTTCCTTATCCTGGCGAGCGCCACCACCACCCTCATCGTCATCGGCACCGTGACACCGATCTTCCTCGCCGTGATTCCCTTTGTTGCCTACATCTACTACAGGATTGCAATCTACTACCTGGCTTCAAGTCGCGAGCTCAAGCGTATCCACAGTATTAGTCGCAGCCCCATCTACAGCACCTTCAGCGAGTGTCTCGTTGGCGTGTCGACCATCCGCGCCTATGGACACGAGGCCCGATTCATCGAGGACAACATGATCAAGGTCGACACCAGCAACCGAGCCCATCGCATGCTCGCCCTTTCGAATCGCTGGCTGTCCACTCGACTGTCGATAATCACCTCGCTGATCACCTTCTCTGCCGGCATCGCCATCATCTGGTCCAAGGACCTGATCGGTGTGGGCCTTGCCGGTCTCAGCTTGACCTGGGCAGCCACCATTGCAGATAACTTGCTCTGGATTGTTCGTGTCCACTCACAGATGGAGCTGGTAAGTGCCAGTGCTGGAATGCGACTGATCGGGCAGTGGAGTCGATGCTCACATTGTCGCTGTGTTATTCGATGCGGCTGTCGCTGTGACGGTTCGGGTGACTCACTTCGTCTCGCCTCACTCCCTTCGCTCTGTCTCACCATCGACAGAACATGAACTCGGTCGAGCGTGTGCACGAATACCTCGAGATTGACCAGGAAGCCCCCGCCGTCATCGAGACATCGCGTCCTCCTCCCGGCTGGCCTGCCAAGGGCCACGTCCAGTTCAACGACGTTGTCGTCCGCTATGCCCCCGACCTGGATCCCGTCCTCCGCGGGGTGTCCTGCGAGTTCAAGGGCCGCAGCCAAGGTCGGCGTCGTGGGACGGACCGGCGCGGGCAAGTCCACGCTCACCCTGGCGCTGTTCCGCATCATGGAGCTCTCCGGCGGCAGCATTGTCATTGACGGCGTCGACATCTCCAAGATTGGGCTGCGCGACCTCCGCCAGAAGCTCACGATCATCCCGCAGGATCCCGTTCTGTTCACGGGCGACATCCGCAGCAACCTCGATCCCTTTGGCGAGCACTCGGACGACCGACTCTGGTCGATCCTGGAGCGCGTGCGGCTCCTGAACACTCTGCAGGCCAAGCTGGACGGCAGTTCGTCGAGCGACAACCTGCCCGCGCAGACATCCGAGATCCAAGGCCAGACCCAAGTCCAGGGCCAGAACACCCGTGCCGCCGCCGAGGCGTCCGGGTTCTCCCTCGACACCTCTGTCTCCGAGGGCGGGTCCAACTTTAGCCAGGGCCAGCGCCAGCTGCTGTGCCTGGCCCGAGCGCTGCTCAAGGAGTCGGCCATCACCGTGCTGGACGAAGCCACGGCCTCGGTCGACAACGAGACCGACGCCTTCATCCAGGAGACGATCCGCGGATCCGAGTTTGCCAACTCGACGGTGGTGTGCATCGCCCACCGCCTCCGCACGATTGCCGACTACGACTCGGTGCTGGTCCTCAGCCACGGAGAGGTGGCCGAGTTTGGCACGCCCTTTGAGCTGATGCAGCGCGAGGACGGAGTCTTCCGCAAGATGTGCCAGGACTCGGGCGAGTTTGAAGAGCTCGAGAAGATGGCCCGAGCCAGGGATCAAGCCAAGAAGGCCCTCTGAGCCCGCCCTCATCCCGGCCAGTGTGCTGGTCAACAACAATCCGAGCGGGTGCCCAGCTGCTGTGATTTGCGATTTCTGTTTTGTTATTGTGTTGGGATACCGGACTGGTTGGAGCACTGTGCCTATTGGACACCGATGTGCTTGTGTGGTTGACTGCTTGTGAGTGATTGGATGTTTCAGTGTGCCGTTCTGGTGGAATGGGGTGGTTTTTGGTAGATTCGATCGCTCGACTGAGAGCTCTGTCAAATGAGAGTCTTTGTGACATCTATGATATTTCTTATGTTCATTCAAATCAGCATGCCCCATGAATGATAATAAACAACCGACTTGGCGACGACATCCCAGATTGTTTCGTGGATGTGTGCCTGAGAGTCCCCAAACGACCCGGCACCGCAATCGCACTCACGCTGTCGCTAATCGAGTGAGATCGAATGGTGCAAGTGTCGCTCGTTCAAAGTATCGGCAATCACAGCCATCGGAATGATGCTGGATTGCAGCTAGGCTGGGACGAGACATCCTGGACCTGGATCGATGGGCTGCTTGCTCTGGCCATCCAGAGAACACTCTTCAAACCATGAACGGGACACCGGAACCCGACAATATCGAGTTGATTCCATCGATACCACAATATCGGCCATGGGAGGGATGGCTTCTGTTCCTGGGGTCGAGGATGTGCTGACTCGTGCAGCATTGCGACACAATTGGACTCGAGAAACAGACCCAAGACACATTGGCCAGGAACAGGATGCAGATGATGCCTTCCAGGATGTGAGTTGGAGGATGGAGTGATGGAATGTGTGGGAATGATGGAGTGATGGGATGTGTGGGAATGAAGATGAGCACAAGCAATCGATCCATGGATCCAACCATGTTCCTGGCTTGGTGGCTGTGCCACTCTCATTCCATTCCACCCATCTCGTCTCGTCTCGTCTCATCTCATATCATCTCCTCAGCATCATCATTGAACTCTCATCACATCCCACTCAATCTACACATCGTGCATCATGGCTGCCAGTGTCCATCATTCAGCCAACATGGCTCGACCGGCCATCAACGAGCACATCCCAGATATATTCACCATCATTTGTTGCAACGACGGCTTCCAACTCGCCCTCGACCTCAGCACCATCAAGACTCTCCTCCGAGTGTGCAAGCGGGCCCGGCCTCTCCTGAGCTCCAAGGTGCCTCACTTCCACCGTTGGTGTCAGAAGGCAGGACTGTGTCGTCCGGATGGACAGATGCGGATCGGTCTCACACCCAGCGACAAAATCGCCCTCTCGCTGTACTGCGATGATCAAGCCACAACTGACCGATCCTGGCTCGAAGATCAAGCCGATAAGGGCAATGCTGCTGCCTCGTATCTCCTGGCTCGGATGTTGCAATCTGGTATCGACTCGGAAGCAAAAGATGACAGTCAGACTGGCGATGACGATGTCGATGACGGTGAGACTGACGATGACGATGAGCCTATAAAGAATGCCAAGAACCAGCAGATATTCCAACATCTGATGAAGGCTGCTGAAGGCCAACATCCAATGGCGCAGTCCCACCTCGCCCAGTGTTATCGCAACGGAACTGGAGTCGAACAAGATCACACCAAGGCCACCGGGCTGTATCGCAATCTTGCCGAACGTGGGATCCTGCAAGCCCAAATTGTCTTTGGCGGTTGCTACGAGGTTGGCGAAGGTGTTGATCAAGACTACGATGCAGCCATCGAGTGGTATTCCAAGGCCGCGGATCAAGGCAGCGAAGATGGTCGGTTCCACATCGTGTTCCTCCGTGGATGGCGCTCGTTCATCGGCCATGGTGTCGAACAGAGCGACGCCGACGCCTTAAACCACTGGCATGAAGTCAGCACCCAGTCCACCAACCCAGTCATCAAGCCCATCGCCACCCACATGGTCGGCTGGATGCACTATCTCGGCCGGGGCACTGTGCGAGACGAGCAGAAGGGCGTCAAGATCATTCGAGTGAACCAATCGAATGGTCTCATTTTTGGTGAAAATGAGTGTTTGGCATCGATTTGGAACTACTTCGGGTCCGACTCACCTACATCTCGCAAGTTCTATGAGCTGTGCCGGCTCGGATCTGAGCGGGACTGGCTGTGCAAACACCTGATGGCCATTTGCCTCATAAATGGATTCGGTACCCCGACGAACCAGACCAAGGCAGCGGACATTTTTGAGCAGCTCGCCAACGACGGCCACAGTGACAGTCAGCTGTGGATTGGAATGTGTTTCTATCGTGAATGGGGAGTATCGGAAGACCACAGGAAGGCATTCGAGTGGTTCACCAAGTCGGCCAACCAAGACAACCCATATGGGCAGTGGTGGGTAGGTGTGTGCTACTTGAATGGATATGGAGTCACCAAGGACCACGCCAAGGCAGCCAAGTGGTCTCGCATCTCGGCCGAACAAGGCAATCGGTACGGACAAGATTATCTCGGCAACTGCTACGAGTTTGGTTTGGGTGTCCCCGAGGACATCGACACCGCCGTCTTCTGGTATCGCAAGTCCGCCGACCAGGGCCACAGAGATGCCATCGACAGACTCGAGTACCTCGGGGAGCGGCCTTGATCCCCGATTCCCTTTCGATTTCCTCTCAAACCACCATATTTCGATACTGAACATGCAAGCCATAGGACAAACCGCACCGCCCACACCCATCCTCGAGATCATGGGTCCAAAGTGGACTTGACAAGTGGTCCCGATAGAGCGAGAGTAGTTGAGAGATATTGCTTTTGGCATTCAATAAATCAATATACAAAATACTGCTGTCCCATAACTAGAGCAGTGTGAAGGCCAATCGTGCTGGTCAGCAGTCTATGAGCGAGTCCGACCAGCGAGTTGTCCACCAGCAAACATTCCACCGTCTGGAAACACGGTTCTGCTTGGTTGGATGCCTTCACAGTGGCCTCGGAGTCGACCGGATCCCACCACGGCTGAGGAATTGCATGGAAGTCTTGCTGAGTATGAAATTGCACAGACAAAAGTCTGCCTTGGTCGCTGGTTTGAAGTCAGAGAAGGTGTCGGGCGACATTCAAGCATCAGCTTGGACAAGTCGCTGTGATATGGTTCCACACTTCCGAGCCGACTCTCACTTTTGTATACACTGTTCTCGCAGTCCTGGAGTCCTTTGCTTCTCGCGAGTCAGTCATTGCTTCACAGTTCAGCTCATTCTTGTTCGCGCCCCATTCTTGATTGCGATTGCTCGAAACTCTGTCGATTTGTCGGTGGCATTCAATACACCACTTTCAAGTGAATGCGAGTGCGGTCCCGGCTGCTGTTGAGTGGCCAATACAGGCTGTGTTCGCTGGGCATTCAGGACAGCGAAAGCAGAAATGGCTGAGCGATGGGATTGTTGATACATTGGTGGCAGGCACGTATTCAGAATCCGGACGATTCTGCTGCCGGAGAAGGGTACCGCATGTTCTGTTTCGCATCATACTGAATTGAAAATGACAAGCGCCTGCACATCGAGTCAAATCCAAAGCCAAGTCGATGAGGACTGTGTTCGCAGTGCGGTGTGTGATCCATTACTAGTGGCCCCAAGAGAGGAGTGCGTCAAATCTGCGGAAACCCGGCGAGGGATCTTTGTAAGGCTATAGTGCTTCCAGCACTATCCACAAGGAGAGTACTTCAGAGCCCCATTGCCTGCTCCTTGCTGAGGGTCTCGAGGGCCAGTCCATATTCGATCATGGGTCGGATGAGTCTCTTGAAGATGCTCGCCACCGTCTTCGACAAGCACTGATCCCGGCGCATTCCATGCTTTACCAGCTTGTCGAGGATGCCATTGGACTTGTGGGCGAGATGCTGGATCTGATGTCCAGTCGGAAAAGTGGATATCGACTATGGCGGGTGGAATTGGATAATTACGCTCTCTGAACTCCTGAATAGTGGAGATCGACGGAAACAACCACAATGGACGTCTCGGTACTGGAGAGGATAGGTCGACTTGCTGCCTGCATTCAAAGGTCTCAAATGGCGCTGTTGGACGGGATGACACTGAGTATCTACTCATCAGTGGTTGCAGAGCCAGGATCGATGCCGAGTGTCGAGTTGTCGTTGTCGATTCATTCGATGTTTCTCTCGGTCGATCAACATCAGCGATTCATATGGGACAGCACTATTCGTATATTGTACGAATTGAATGTAATGAACGTCAAATACAACATCATTACTTTGTGTGTTGGTGAGGTGGTTTCCTCGATTTATTGGATGTGATCTCCTAAATTTCATATGGATGATGAATCAAAGCGTCATCGGCCAAACCTGATATCAAGGCCATCCTCCCAGAGACTTGAGTTTGTCGATGGTATATTCAAAACCCTGGTTGGCGGACTTGCGATACCAGAAGACGGCACTGTCGATGTCCTGCGGGACACCACGGCCATATTGGTAGCAATAGCCGAGATCACCTTGTGCGTATCGATTGCCCAGTTCAGCCGACTTGCGATTCCATTCGACTGCCTTGGAGTAGTCACGGATGACTCCCCATTCATTCAAGTAGCACGAACCAACCATCCACTGTCCGTATGAGTTGCCTTGGTCGGCGGACTTGCTGAACCACTCGAATGCCTTCGGCTCGTCCATCGATACTCCCTTGTCGCATCGATAGCAATCTCCAATCCACAACTGACTGTCGCTGTGGCCTTCGTTTGCGAGTTGCTCAAAGATGCCAGCGGCTTTTTCCCAGTCTGGGGTGGTTCCGAATCCATTGACCAGACATACGGCCATGAGATGCCTGCACAACCAGTCCCGGTCCGATCCCAGCTGGCAAACCTGAAATAGCTTGCGTGCGGCGGATGAGTCGGAGCTGATGGACTCCCAACCCGCTAACAGACATTCGTCTTCTCCGAAAGGGAACTCATTCGATCTGTTCTCTCGGATGATCTTGATTCCCTTCTGCTTGTCCTGCTGGGTACCCCGGCCGAGATAGTGCATCCAGCCAACCATGTGGGTGGCGATGGGTTTGATGACTGGATCGGTAGATTGGGTGCTGACTTCCTGCCAGCGATTGAAGGCATCGACATCGCTCTGTTCGACACCATGGCCGATGAACGAGAACCATCCTCGGAGGAATACGATGTGGAGGCGGCCGTCTTCACTGCTCTGGTCCGCAGCCTTGGAATACCATTCGATGGCTGCATTGAAGTCTTGATCGACACCTTCGCCGTTCTCATAACTTTGACCAAGGGAGATTTGGGCCTGAGGGATCCCCCGTTCTGCAAGGCTGAGGTATAGCTCGACAGCCTTGGCTGGGGATTGGTTGAATCCATTGCCGTCATGATAACCTTTAGCCAGGTGGAACTGTGCCATCGGATGTTGGGCTTCGGCGGCGTTCTCCAAATGGTGGAAGATTTGCTGCTTGGTGGCTTCCTTCTCGGACCATTTCACTTGGTCTTGGTCGAGATCGAGTTGGAGGATCTTTGCCATGATATAGGAGGCGGCAGCAGTGCCTTGTTCAGCTTGATCTTCGAGCCAGGATCGATCGGCTGTCTCTTGATCATCGCAGTGCAGGGAGAGTGCAACCTGGTCACTGGGTGTGAGGCCGATCCGCATCTGTCCATCTGGACGACAGAATCCAGCCTTCTGGCACCAGGTGAGGAAGCGAGGCACCTTGGAGCTCAGGAGAGACTGGGCTCGTTTGCACACTCGGAGCAGGGCCTTGATGGTGCTGTGGTCGAAGGCAAGCTGGAAGCTGTCGTTACAGCACACGATGGTGAAGATGTCTGGGTTGTGTTCGAGTGAGAGCTGGGTGATATCGGGCATCGACGAGGTTGGTTTGGATTCATCTTGAGCTTGGTGGGCGGGAGATGCTGCTGTGTTTGGAGCAGGCTCGTTCATGCTTGCCATGTTGACGGAGACAGGAGGGAGGCAAGTGGGTGATGGCGATGGACAGGAGACAGAGAGGCAGGTTGTGGCGAAGCAAGCCAGACCCTGGCAGGCCATGCCCTGGCCATCCAACACAAACACACAAGCCTGGCTCGATCCGTTGGTTTGTTGGCTGGACTCGGTGTTACTCACTGCACTGCCACATGTACTGCCACATGTATTCATCGTGGAATCAGAAACGAACTCGAGCCTTCCTATTCACAGATCAGAGTCGACCAGCCTCGGTCATGAAATGCAGGTATGGACTGAGATTTGGTGAGAGTGTGAGAACGATCGACCCGAGGACCAACAATACTGGCCACATCACAACCAGGCACACATGAGATGATTGGGTAGAATTGCGTCGTTCATTGGCGGGATGGAAGGCACAGATGTCAGTCGGGTTGTGAGGCGCGGGAGTGAGAGCATGGTACAAGTATGAAGAGAGGAGTGCAATGGAGTCAATGAGAGACAAGGACCATTGGAAAGAGAGTGTATTTGCAGATTTCCCATAATCTCTGCTGCTGTTCCATGAATACAATGTCGAGGGCAATGGGCCGAGAAGCATGAAAGGTGAGCAGGCCTCGGAAGTCATGGTAGGATTCTTGATGAGGGGCAAAGGGAACTAGGGATGTGGGGAGGTGAGGCTCGCTTATATACTCTCGGTAGTGATGTGGTTGGTAAGAACGAAATGGGGCGATTCCCGATCCCACAGCCCAGAGTCGAATGGGATGGCTTGTGCATGCACCACATCGTGCCCATTCGAAGATGTCGTCTCGACAGCAACCTATCACTTGATCACGGTGAGCACGTCGGGCTGTTATGATGTGGAATGCCATTCTGGAAGATGGTGACTGCTTGTTCGGGCTGCCCCAATCATTTGTGTGAACCTTGTGTTCGTTGGGCTGCCATCCACGCGGTGTGGCTTGACACTGCGCATGTGGCTGCGTGACCATTGCGCGCCTGGCTTCGTGTTACTCTGTCGGATCATGTGCCATGCTTCGCCACCGAGCCAGAATAAAAGGGGCGAGGCTGCGGAATGGAAGGCTTGTTCCTGGGAGACTTTCCCGCTTGATCGCCAGCCTTCCACAATCATGCCAATCCTCGAAATCACTATAATTGCCAGTGAAATCACTGCACTCGCCCACCATTCCGATCGCTCCCTCCAAGGCCTCGTCCAAGTTGTCTTGGCGCTCTTCACCGATGTCCAGCAGGCGGACGAGAGCCAAAAGTCGTGGGGCGTCCTGGCCCGTCGTTCCCGCGACATTTTGATCGCTCTCTCGCAGTCTCGGACCGATGCGCCTGGATTCTCCTCGCAAGCGGACAGGCTTACTGCCTTCTTCAATGCCATCCAGGAATACTACACCAACGAGGTCCAGGCCCTCCACAAAGTCGAGCGGGTCTTCAGGGCCAACAAGATCCGCCGCCGAATCGAGCAGTTCTGTCGAGAGCTCAGTGTCCTCTGGCAGGGTGTGAAGCTGGCCCTCAACATCAACAGCAACGACATGCTCAACGAAGCTGACCTCCGCCAAGCTGTCCAGCACGACGAAGCCCAGAACCAGGCCCTCATCGCCCAAATCACCACCCTCCTCCAGCAGAACAATACCGCCGTCTTGGACCAAGTGGACATTCGTCTGAACCAGCAGGAGTGGAAAATCCGCCAAGCCACCGACGCCATCCAGAACCTCCTTCAGGAAGGCGACGTCACCCAACGAGTTGTCGAAAAGGCTGTCGCTCCGCTCCTCCACATGCTGCAGAACCAGTCCTCGGTCTCTCGCTCCATGAAGCACGAGCTATGGCGCATCCCCGCCGGCTCCATCACGAACCGCTCCCTTGAACCGATCGCCCGCGGCGGCTTTGGCGAGGTGTTCACCGCAACCTACTATGGCTCGGATGTTGCCGTCAAGCAGCTCCTGACCAGCTACCACGAGACTGAGATTGCTCAGTTTCGCCGTGAAATCGAAGTCTGGTACAAGCTGAGCCACTCCAACGTCCTTCCGCTCCGAGGTGCATGCGATACTACCGAGCGTCCTTTCATGGTCTCGCCGTTCATGAAGAACGGAACCTTGAAGCGATATATTTCCGATCCCCAGAACCCACGTTCGCTCGACGATCGCCTCCGCCTCATGTACGAGGTCGCTTCCGGCATGGCCTACCTCCACGGCAACGCCATTGTCCATGGAGACCTCAAATCGCTGAATGTCCTGCTGGATGGAGAATACCGCGCTGTGATCTCGGACTTTGGCATGGCCCGCACCAAGCATACTTCAGCCTCTTCCACCGCTCGGCCGGACCAGTCGGTCGGTGGAACGCTGGACTATATGGCCCCGGAGATGCTTGACGACGAGAATCCAAGTGGATCCTCCAAGAAGACCGACGTCTTCGCCTTCGGCATCATGCTCTACGAGGTGCTCAAGAACGGTGGCTACATCTGGACCTCAAAAGACGGCCAACCTCTAACTCAGCGCGCAATCGAGCGGTTGGTCTGCAACGGCCGTCGACCTGCCCGCTTCGATGGCATCCCCGACCAATACTGGTCGCTCATCGAGCAATGCTGGCACCAAGACCCCACCGAACGCCCTGCCTTCAAGGACATTATGTCGATTCTCGCTGCCTTCAAGGGTGTCACGCCGCCTCAAACCCCAATCGGCAGCCCCCGCACTTTCTCCAACCTCTCCCAGCAGATGCAGGGCTTGAGCGTGGACCGCTCCGGCTCGCGCTCCTCGTATAGTCCCTTCAGAAGTAACGATGTCGGAGTCAATCTGCAGAACTCGGGGGGCTACGCACGCTCGCCGAATCTCGATCACCTTTCTGGTACTCAGCGCGTCGTCGACCATCTCCAATACTCTGGCTCTTCCTCCCCAGATTCACGCTCCTCTGGGTACGCTGGCTATGCCACACGCGTTTCGGCGCCCCCTCGTCAGCCCGAGCCCTCGACCTTGGCCCAGAGACTCGGCACCAACTTTGGCGTCCCCCGGGCTGTGATCATGGGCATCCAGCGAGGTGACGCAGAATCTCATATCACTGCGGCACGCCACATCTCGAACGGCAAGCCAGCCAACGATCCTGCCTGGAAGGCTGCCGCCGAGTTGTATCAGACGGCCGCCGACAAGGGAAACGTCGAGGCCGCATTCGAGCTTGCCTGGCTGCATTTCACCGGCATCGGCGTGGCCAAGAGTGACACTGAGGCATTCGCCTACTGGCAAGCGGTTTATCAGCAAGCATCCGACGCCATCATGAAGCCCATTGCCACGTTCATGATGGCCTGGTGCTATTACCTCGGCCGTGGAACTCGCCAGGACGAAGTCAAAGGAAATAAACTCCTTTGCGAGAGCAAGACGACAGAGTTTGGGTTCGCTGCCATCACGATTCCTGATTATCTTGCCTCGTCTTTATCTGAGGCCGCCCAAAGGTTTTTTCAACTGAACCTGCTCGGCTTTGACCACGATTGGCTCTGCAAGCACATGATAGCCAGATGCTACATCGGCGGGTTCGGAACCAGCAAAAACGAAGTCGGAGCTGTGAAAATATTGCTCGAACTCTCGGCAAATGGCCACAGCGCAAGTCAGTGCGTTCTTGGAAGCTGCTATCAAATGGGCTATTGCCTGCCCAAAGATGGCACAAAAGCATTCGAGTGGTACAGAAAAGCGGCGGACCAAGGATACGCTATTGGTCAAATCAACCTCGGCTTCTGCTACTACAAAGGTGAGGCTGTCGCCCAGGACTACACCAAGGCTGTTGAGTGTTACACCAAGGCCGCCAATCAGAGGAATGCATGGGCTCAATTCAGCCTCGGCGACTGCTTCTACAACGGCCAAGGTGTCGCCCAGGACTACGCCAAGGCTGTCGAGTGGTGGACCAAGGCGGCAAGCCAAGGGAATGCAGATGCTCAGATCAACCTCGGCGGCTGCTACTACAACGGTCAAGGTGTTACCCAGGACTACTCCAAGGCCGTTGGGTGGTTCACCAAGGCCGCCAATCAGGGACATGCAGTTGCTCAATTCAGCCTCGGTGTCCGCTACTACAACGGCCAAGGTGTCGCCCAGGACTACGCCAAGGCTGTCGAGTGGTGGACCAAGGCGGCAAGCCAAGGGAATGCTGTTGCCCAGTGCAGCCTCGGTATCCGCTACTTCAAAGGTGAAGGTGTCGCTCAGGACTACGCCAAGGCTGTTGAATGGTACACCAGGGCCGCAAACCAAGGGAATGCTGCTGCCCAGTGCAGCCTCGGTATCCGCTACTACAAAGGTGAAGGTGTTGCTCAGGACTACGCCAAGGCTGTTGAGTGGTTCACCAAGGCCGCTATTCAGGGAGATGCCAATGCCCAGGATTGGCTCGGCGATTGTTACCGTGACGGCAAGGGTGTTACCCAGGACTACACCAAAGCTGCTGAATGCTACACCAAGGCCGCCAATCAGGGGAATGCAAATGCTCAGTTCAGCCTCGGCAACTGCTACTACAACGGCGAAGGTGTAATCCAGAACTATGCCAAGGCTGTCGAGTGGTGGACCAAGGCGGTAAGTCAAGGGAATGCAGCTGCCCAGTGCAGCCTTGGCAGCTGCTTCTACGACGGTCAAGGTGTCGCCCAGAACTACACCAAGGCTGTTGAATGCTACACCAAGGCCGCAAGCCAAGGGAATGCAAATGCTCAGTTCAGCCTCGGCAACTGCTACTACAACGGCGAAGGTGTAATCCAGAACTATGCCAAGGCTGTCGAGTGGTGGACCAAGGCGGCAAGCCAAGGGAATGCTGTTGCCCAGTGCAGCCTCGGTATCCGCTACGAGAACGGCGAAGGTGCCGCTCAGAACTACACCAAGGCTGTTGAGTGGTTCACCAAGGCTGCCCATCAGGGGGATTTAAATGCCCAAAATTGGGTCGGCATCTGCTACGAGAACGGCCATGGTGTGACCCAGGACTACTCCAAGGCTGTTGAGTGGTTCACCAAGGCTGCCAATCAGGGGGATGCTGATGCTCAGAACCAACTCGGAGAGCGCTATTACTACGGCAAGGGTGTCACCCAGAACTACACCAAGGCTGTTGAGTGGTTCACCAAGGCCGCAAGCCAAGGGAATGCAAATGCTCAATTCAGCCTCGGTATCCGCTACTTCAAAGGTGAAGGTGTGACCCAGAACTATTCCAAGGCTGTTGAGTGGTTCACCAAGGCCGCTATTCAGGGAGATGCCAATGCCCAGGATTGGCTCGGCGATTGTTACCGTGACGGCAAGGGTGCCTCCAAGAACACCGAAGCCGCCAGATCCTGGTACCAAAAAGCAGCTGCACAAGGCAACACTAACGCTCAAACCAGTCTCAACAATCTCGGATAGTCACCTGCCATCCCATGTAGCACTCGCTCCTCTTGGGACTTGCCAATAAAAGTATTCTCCACCATCTATTCTCCCCTGTTGCCCTTGGTATGAAGGGAGCGTCCGTATGTGTTGGGATCAGCATTCACGTTGCCGAGCAATTTACGCATCCAGCTCTCTGAGAGCCCCTTGACAGTGGATTCCAGTTGCATTCGCACACCCCAAGGCCATCCCCTGTTGCATCGCACTCATGAAGAGATTTTGTGGGTCGCTGTGTAAATGACACACATGGCACCTTGATTCACTCACACTCAAACAACAGACAGCAGTTTTGGACTGTGCCAAGTGACGCTTCACTCGCGAGCAACGATTCCAATGCATTTGAGAAAGCCAATGGATTCCAAGAATCCTGGTGCACCTATATTAAATTCGGGAACTCCCATCCTTACCTGCCACCTCAGCGAACCGGGACTAGCAACAAAAGTAACACAGGCAGTCGTATTGCATAACCAGAATAGTCTCCAATGGGTGTTTACCAGGCTACACCATGTTCCTACCAAGAATCTCCTCGATGCTCACGCTTCAACAGTATGGTGTGGGCCGTTGATGTCTCGATCTGTCTTCAGCTCACATTTACCACATTGACGCTCTCAAGCTGGCCCATCCCGGTCTATCCAAGTCTGACAAGGACCAGTGGAAAGCCTTGGTCGACGCCATCCCGGTCCCGCGTCATGGCAAGTGCCCCTCCTTCTGCCACATGGCCCTGACCCAGCTTCGATATAGGTATTGTAACCTCGACACCCGAGTGTTCCCTGCCACACACTGATCAGTACCGAGAAGTACGCTTACGAGTTCCTCGACGGAATCATCAACGAGTTTGTCGAGAGCCTGGCCTCCAATCTCGCCAAGTGCGCGGCCATGAAGGCCCGTGGTGAGAAGGCCAAGCACTTCCGCTTCCGTTATCTGAGCAAGAAGCGATCCACCTCCGAGTCCTGCTACATGAGGAAGCGACTCTGGGGCCCTGTCCAGTCCACCTTCAGCTTCTGGAACCGAGTCAACATCCGCGAGTTCCTCGGCATCACTCCTCCTGGCGCACAAGACACTCCCGTGCAGCTTCTGCGTCCCCCTATTCCACAGCCTGTGGATGCCGATGGCGACCGCATGCTGTCCAGAAGCATGAAATGTGTCAAGAAACCACCCAAGCACAGCCGGATGGAAAGGAGATTCCTTCCCGCCTCCGTGCCGACGGGACCATTGAGGATCGCCGACTGCAGCTCCCCTTCCTCTGCGAGACTCGCATCATGCGGACCAAGACCGGCACGTTTTACATTGTGGTCTCGGAGCCACTTGTCCGTCCGGGCGAAAGCCAAGCCCAGGACACGGGACGAGTACACGAGCAAGACATGCACTCGGTGCGGGCACATCAAGCGGGACTTGGGAGCAGCCAAGGTGTATCATTGCAGGGAGTGTGGGTTGATGATAGATCGCGACATCAATGGGGCTCGTAACATTCTGTTGAAGAATGCGAGCTCGGAGGACATTCTTGGCGAGGGCATGGTGTAGCCTCGCAAACACCCCTTTGAAGCCTATTTCCACTTTGTGCATTACGGTAAGCTGTCTTACTTTGTCGCTTTCCCAGTTCGCTGGGGAGGCGGGTAAGGATGTTGTTATCATGAATTCAATATTGGCATATTTGGTACGAAGCGCAAGACCAACACACGCGAGCGACTTGCACGAAGCAGGACATGATTTGGCGGTGTCGGGCCTGGTACTCCATCGTCCTCGACAGGGATCATCAGTGTGCTCTCACTTCTCTCGTAATGGCAGGCAAGTGATTGAATTCCCCATTGGGCTTGTACTGCTGGAGCAGCCTGAGTGTCGTCTTGAGCACCACCATGGGGCAGTCGCCGTGATCGGTCGTGAGAGCTGGGATCGCTTTCCTGACCAACGCAAAGTGTGGGTTCATGCCACTCGGGTGGGCAGGTTGCTTCGAAAAGTCAGCCAGGAAACGAACCGACCATGCTGCCAAGGGCCTTCTTGATGAGACACAGCAGATCCTCCTTGCCACTGAGCATTTTGTCTCCCAGCCAGAACAAAGCGAATGTCAGGGTGCATGAGGCAAAGATCAAGCACAGGGCCAGGAAATCCAGCAGGTACTCGAGGACATTCCCTTCGCACCCCACATTCCCGGACAAGAAGTGCATCACTTTCACCGTGGATGAACGATCGGCGTAGTCGTCCAAATATTCTGGCGAGAATGCAAAGGGAAGAGTGGAGGCAAATCTATCACCAGCACGAGCGGGACGGGTCTGCATGGTCATCAAGTCGAGCACGATGCCATCGTTGAATACCACCGAATCATGGCACTGTTGATCTTCTGCCGGAACCAGGCACTCTTGTGGGAAGGTGAGATCATTTGTCTCCACTCATCTGCATGTGTCTTGACGAATCTGCGATACATCGTTGGAGCCAGCATCATCCCCGCACTGCACACCTCGGCAACATGGGGGAGCAACTCCAGGCGATCGCGATAGACTGCCAAGACAGAATGACCAATGCTCTGGAAGGGACCGCTGGGATAGTCAAAGATGTCCATGAAGGCCTTGAAATGCGGGGCGATACGCCAGATTCCATTGCAGTTGCAGACCAGGCACGCTTCTCATCGAGCCCAAAGAGGAGGGGACTTGATCATTGTCCAGCACAACCATGAAGACACTCTCTCGCATCTCGCAATGAAAGCCTCCTTCATTTGGGCGGCCTGGGTCGGGGAAGCACCAAGGGGACACCATCGCTATCGGCGCGGGCCCATAGCGCAATGAGGCGTTCGAGCTCGGAGGACATACTGAGGATGTGGGATGGGTTGGATCTCTGAGCACTGGTGGAGAGAGAGAATGAGATCTGGCCAGGGCATTCGAGGATGCTGCCGCGCCATGATCGATCAGCCCGAACGACCACGAAAGTCGCAGTTTCGAATGCTCAATCGGGGTGAACAGCCCGAAACAGCCCGAAACACTCCATATGGACAGCCGAGAACAGCCGGGGAACAAGCTTCTACAGCCGAGCTCACCAACCACACCAATACCATGGAGAGAGGATGGATGGCCCAATACTGGCGACAACACATGGAGAGCGGTATGGGCTGGATGCGTGATCGAAGTGGAATCGAACCTGCGACCACGCCATATCAATCCGGCTCCATTGACACTGGCTGGATCCCATTCGAGCCAGCACAAGAAACAAGGTTTGCCCAGCCCGATTTGGCATCCGCTGCGCTCGTGTGTCGCGCGTCTGACACCTGTATCGCCACCGTGACCCGGGTGGCGAGGCTTGTACAGCGCTTCGCCTCCAATTGCCAGGGTCTGGTTTGCTTTTCCATAAATCCTCTCGCCGTCTCCCGCTCATCGCCATCGTCATCGCCCACCCGCTTCTCACCTATCCCTGCTGCCTCTCGTATTCAACATGACCAGCATGAACGAGCCTGCTTCAACCACAGCATCATCTCCCACTCACCAATCTCAAGCTGAAGCCAGAGCAACCTCGTCGATGCCCAATATCAACCAGCTCTCACTGGAACACAACCCAGATATCTTCACCATCATTTGTTGCAACGACAGCTTCCAGCTTGCCCTCGATCACAGCACCATCTCAACCCTCCTTCGAGTGTGCAAACGAGTTCGCCCTCTCCTGAGCTCCAAGGTGCCTCGCTTCCACAGCTGGTGGCGGAATGTGGGGCTGTGGCGTCCAAATGGATCGCTGCGGTTCGCACTCACACCGAGCGAGCAGATTGCCCTCTCGCTGCATTGCGAATACGAAGGCATAGCCGACCGATCCTGGCTTGATAATCAAGCCGATCTGGGCAATGCTACTGCATTGTTCTTCTTGGCGTGGATCCACCAAATCGATCTCGACAGCCAGCAGTCTGTGAACAAGCACAAGCAGGAGGCCATCTGCCAGCAAATCTTCCTCTATCTGGAGAATGCAGCCAAAGGTGGCCATTCAAGGGCCCAGTACGACCTAGCTGGGTTTTATCTCAACGGAATTGAAGTCGACAAAGATCACACCAAGGCCGCGGAGCTATACCGTGGTCCTGCAGATCGTGGAATTCCTCAGGCTCAGGTCGCTCTTGGCCGATGCTACGAGATCGGCAAAGGTGTCGAACAAAGCTACGACACGGCCATCGAATGGTATTCCAAGGCTGCCGATCAGGGCAGCGAAGACGGTCGACTCCACATCGTGTCGCTTCGTAGATGGCTCTCGTTCATCGCCCATGGTGTCGGACAGAGCGATGTCGATGCCTTCAACCACTGGCAGGAAGTCAGCACCCAATCCGACGATCCAGTCATCAAGTCGATCGCCACCCACATGGTCGGATGGATGCACTACCTCGGCCGGGGCACCGTTCAAGACAAGCAGAATGGTGTCAAGATCATCCGAGAGAACAAGTCGGATGTGTTCAAGCTCGGAGAGGACGAGTGTCTGGCATATTGGAGTTCAACCTCATCCGACTCACCCGTAGCCTGCAAATTCTTCAATCTCTGCCAGATGGGATCGGACCGTGACTGGCTGTGCAGACATCTCATGGCTATTTGTGTGTTTCTTGGATTCGGAACCAATCGGGACCCGGAGAAAGCAGCGGTCATCTTTGGGCAACTCGCCAACGACGGCCACAGCGACAGCCAGTTTTGGATCGGAGTGTGCTACTTGAGTGGCTTTGGAGTTTCGGAGGACTATGAGAAGGCATTCAAGTGGTTCGGCAAGTCTGCCGACCAAGATAACTCGTATGGGCAGTGGTGTGTTGGATATTGCTACTACTTGGGAGAAGGAGTGCCCCAGGACGGCATCAAGGCGATCGAGTGGTTCCGCAAGTCGGCCGAACAGGGCAATCGATACGGACAATATTTTCTCAGCGTCCTCTACCAGGATGGTGAAGGTGTCCCTCAGGACATTGACACCGCCATTTTCTGGCTCTACAAGGCTGTCGAACAAGGATACGAAAGTGCCATCATCAAACTCTTGCAACTCGACGAGTAGCTCTGATTCCCGAGTTCCTTCGGGCACCACCTCCAATCATCCTTGTCGCAACACTGATCATACTATCCAAGCAACCAAGATGTCCTTGCCGGGCTCCATGATGCCAAACAGAGGTCTTGCAATGTAGCGCCGATGAAACAACAATGGCATAGTTGCGTTGTGATGGACATTCAAACATTCCAGTATTCGTGACAGCGCTGCCCCATAAAAATGGCTGAAGTTGATCCACCGAGATAATCATCGCATGACTTGACAGTGACAACGACTAGATGCACCTCGATTCAAGGCCCAGAGGGTCGGACAAGTCATTCAGGGGCGGACTCACACTGCAGGGAACCTGGTGGAATTGATATCTGGTTGCTTGAATTCAATAAAATATGCCGAGAACCCAATTGCATTTTGACTGAGTCGTCGATACGTTGGATGAGAAACTTTATAATGGCCTCAGTATTTTCCTTCTAATATGATTATTTGTTTACAATATTTGTATTGATTCAGGACAACCGACCATCCCTATCACAAAATCCCGGCAGTGGAAGAATAAACAGCTCACACACCCCTGCTGCGGCTCTCGCCGACTCTCCAGCCTACACGGCGGACCATGCGGGTGAACACTTCCTCCAAGAGGTCCCACAGGGACTCGCTGTCGTGGCCTTGTGGCCCTCAGCGCCCCAGTTACTCTGTCACTGCTAGGTGTGGGGAGAGGGCTGCCTCTCCTGCTGGTCGTGTGAAGTGCTATGTCCACCACTGTGTGTATGTAATCCGCAGTTGAGGTGCAGTGCTCTATGTGAAGTCGTGTGAGCTGTGCGGAACAGCAAGTTCAGGCAGAATGTTTGTGTCCGGTGGAGCCGCTTCTGTTCGTTCTTTGGGATGGCGTCGAGGGCGAGTCCATATTCCATCATCGGCCAGGAACGTGCGGTATGCAATCGTCAGTGTCTTGGCCGTGAGGTTCCCAAGGGTCAGGCCCATCTTGGCCATGTTGGATGCTGCTTCTCTTGTTCTGGTCACCATTCGGTCCTGGCAGATTGTCGATGAAGGCGCTGAACATGAGTGAGCTCAGCACCGATCCCTGGATCAGTCCTTTCTGGAGCCATACTGGCTTGGATCTTCGGCCCTTGCTGACCATTTGGATGGATACCCGGTCAAACATGGCTTTGAGGAAGCCGAGGGCGATGCCATTCATTCTTCGCTGCTTGAGCTTGGTCCACAGTCGCTCGCGCCATACGGTGTCATATGCGGCTTTGATGTCGAGGAAGATCAGAGAGTACTCCTCGCCGTTCATCTTGTGGTGCTTGATCAGGGTGTCCAGGGCGACGATCTGGTCAAGGGTTCCTCGTCTGGCTCGAAATCCGCCTTGGGCGACGTCCATGTCTCCTGCCTGTTCTGCCAGGAAGGGGAGCATGATCCTTTCCACGATCTTCCTGCAGGTCTGAGTGAGACCGATAGGGCGATAGGGCGATACATGGCCGGGTCCAGGGTCGATCCCTTCTGCTTGTACACTGGGTGGATCAGCACGCTGTTCCATTCGCTTGGCACCACACTGGCCTTGAGCGCCGCCATGATGATCAGGCGGAGCCACTCGGCTATCACTGGTGCGACTGGTATGAGCATTTCGCTCTTGATCTTGTCGGACCCCGCTGCCTTGCAACGTGGAGCTTTCTCGATGGTCTCTTGGATGTGCTCCAGCGATACTTCTGGGAGCCGCTTGTCGGGCGGCAGGAGGGTCGCCTCCGTGCTCAGGGGTGGCGGGGTTATACTTCTGTCGTACTCTGTCCCGCTGTCCTGCGAGGCAGAGGATACCTTGCCAAAGTGCACCACGAGTTTCTCGAGAGTCGGATCCGAGTTGTCAAAGAGATGTGATCCCTCTCTCTCCTTCCTCGTGCGCATCGCTCCGATGGTCTTGGTCATCTCGGAGCATCTCTGGGTGTCCATCGTGGCCATGGACTCCTTCCATGACCGTATGCCGTTCTTGCGCTTGAGCTGGGTGATGGCCTTTCTCGTGGACCGGAGCTGTCGGCGAAGGTCGTCCAGCTCTTCCGTGTCGTACTCGGGGGTCTGGGCGAGCATTCTGCTCAGGCATCGCCGTTCTCGTTCCAGGCGTCGGATTTCGGGCCCCTGTGTGCCCTCGATCCGACCAGGGCTGATGCTGGATGATCCCTTGGTAGGTTTCTGTTGTTCTGCGCTTTGGCGACCATTGCTGGCAGTGGGACAGTGGGCGGGATGTGGTTTGTTCTCTGGTGTGTGTTCTCTTGCTGGGGATCCCGCGAATATCGAGATCAAGTAAGGGCATGCCACTTCTCATATCGCGGAGCTTGTCGCCATCGAACGACAAACAAACCCTTGAGCATGGCCTCGATGATATTGAGCAGCATTGACTTGCCGTTCTGGGTGTCAACCACAAGGAACATGATCATTTCCCTGTTGCGTTCGGCGGTCAGTGCCGCATGGTTGTATCGGGCCTCGAGCGTCGTCGTGAACATGTCCTCTGCCGTGGCCATGCGCCGTGTGCCATCCAGGAGATTGATGAGAGTGCCATCACTGAACACGACGCTGTCCGTCGATGTGTCCAGGGTGCCCACAAAGGCCTTGTATCCTTGGCGACGACGGTCTTGAACGACGAGTGGTGGTTGGCGAGTCCGCTACCGTCCTTGGTGATCACGTCACAGTGGATCTTGTCGATCTGGGCAGCAGTGATTGCTGTGTGGGATCGCATCGATTTGGGCCTGGTAGTAGTGCTTGGCGGTATTGAGTGCCTTGGTGAATGCCAGGTTTTCGTCCCGAAGGAGACGGTCAAGGATGTTCGAGAGTGGTAGCTCCTTCAACATCGGGAACTCGAACTGGTAGCCCATGGTGGCATCGGCTTTGTCGGTAAACTGGGCAAGGTCATGGGCACTGGCATTGAGGCAGGAATAGATGCGGATGACATCATTCTTGATGGCACTTGTATCCTGGCAGCTGTGGATCGAGAGGAGTGGTTCTTGTCATTCGTGGTCCAAAGAGTCCTCTCTCAGTCTCCAGGCTGCACTGCAGTGGACTGGTTTCATCCTCGCATGGTCTTACCACATACGCTGGTGTGCTCCAGTGTCCCTGGGTCGGATCGAGGGTGGACCAGAAAGCTGCAGTGTGGCCATTTTCTTTCTTTTGGCGGCTGAAGAGGCGAACCTCTGTCCGTTTGGATCCAGGCCATTCGTCGCCTTTGCCATCCTTTTGTCGGTCCATCGATGCTGATCAGGGCACGCTGCCTGGTGTCGGATCGAGGGAGGATGGTATTGGTGCCGGGGAAGGCTGGTGGCTTGTTGTCTGCTTTCTTCGGTACCATGTGGCGAGGGATGGTCTGGGTCGCGCTCGCCAGCTATGGTTGCAGAACGAGTATCGATTGTGAATGTCGAGTTGTCGTTGTCGAGTCATCGGATGTTCTCTCAGTCGATCAACATCAGCAATTGTTATGGGACAGCACTATTGTATATTGGATTTATTGGATGTCAAATACAATATCATTTGGTCAATATCGATTAATTGGAATCACTTTGCAAGTTTTTTTTTTTTTTTTGATAGTTGTATATTCAAGAATATTCAACATGCCATCAGTATCGCAGGATACCCGGCAGTGGGTGGCCAAGCTCGCTCATACACCCCTGTTGCGGCCTTCGCCGACTCTCCAGCCCACACGGCGAGCCATGCGGGTGAACACTCCCTCTAATAACTCCCAGAGGGAGTCGCACGTTTCCAGGTCCCTCTCAGGGATGTCGGGGGTTGGTTTATCCAAGTCTCCCTCTAGTATCAACTCGAACCCACTCCAGGGTTTGCTGTGCGGTGTTGGGTCTTGACTTGCCCTCAAGGGAGTGTGAGTTTGTCTGTGGGAGGGGTACTCGGGATTTATCTCGTATCCTGGGGTCTGACCTAGTCCCAAGTCATCGTCGGACTCTGGGATCGGGTCAGTACTTCGTCCTTGGGAGGGCGTGGGAACCACTCTCGGTTCAGGGCCGGGGACCGGATGTCTATTCGTCTCCCTGGCCCGGTTTCGGTCTCGGTTCGGGAGGGAGTCTTGGTTGCCATCAGGGGAGTACTCTGAGCCAGACTCTGAGCCAGACTCTGAGGTTCCTCCCCAGTTCGACCCCGAGGCAAGGTCTGAGCTCGGTTCGGGGTGGTGGGGCTCTAAGTCCACACCTGTGCCCAAATGCACCAAGTCCACACTCTGGTCGGAGTGAGGTACTAAGTCCCCACCAAGATCAGAGTGAGGCACTAGGTCCCCACTATGATCGGAGTGGGATACTAAGTCCAAACTCTGGTCAGTGTCCCAGCAGTAGTGTCCTCCACTATCGAGAGACAGTTCGTCAAGCTCGTCCCAGATTGGTCTCGGCGTTGGGTCGGTTCTTACCAAGAAGTCAAAGTCAATGTCGTAGTCTGACACTGAGCTGACTTCCGAGCCAAGGTCCGAGTCCACTTCAGGACCAGTCAGTCGGAGCCTCCCCATCCGAGCAATCACTCCCGGTAGGGAGCTCCAGAGCCGATCTCGATCATCAAAGTCGTCGTCTACATCAGCATCACTGATGCCAGTGTCATCATCTGTATCCGAGACTATTGATGCGATCAAAAGCCCCGGTCTCTCCCCTCGCTTCCCCACCGAGTGATTATTATTGTTATTGCCATGTCTCTCTCTCCCTGGTGTTTGGGTTCCCACACCAGTGTGCTGCTGTTGCTCTTCTCTATCCTTCTTGGCTTCAAACTCCAGCAAGTCAAGCAGCATGTCTATAGGCCCCACTCCTTCGACTGTGGGTTTGACCCAGCTTGGGTGGGTCCGTGCGAGTTCGTTGACCTTTCTTGCCAAGATGCCTTTGGGGTCGACGCATCTTTGAGCGTGGGAACGGTTAAGGTCTACTTTGATTCCGTTCTTGGAGCACCATCGGCAGGGTCTGCTTCCTCCCTTGGTGTGTCCTGGGAATATCCCAAGTCGCCATCGAATCATTAGCTCGAGGATAGGCTGACTACCTGTGTATCCCTCGGCTCTCCACAGTGCCGACATCGAGGTTGTCGGTGTGCATGCGGCTGTGAGTTGTTGGTCTCGTTTGAACGCTGTCCTCATGTGTTCTGTGAGGATGGCTTCTCGCAGAGGGATCGCCAAGTCGTCCTCTTGGGCAGCCTGGGCTCGCTGTCGATGTCGTGCCCGTCCGTTAGCCGGGTCTGGGAATGCTCGAAGATACCTGTTCTTCCGTAGGTCCCGGGCTAGTCGCAGTGTCCACTCTGGGTTGTTGCAGAGTAGTGGTCTATCGGGGTCGAGGAACGGGTGGAACCAGCTCCTTTGTGTCCCTATGGTTTTGTCCTTCTTCCTTAAGGCCGACGCTTCCGTTCCAAGGAAGGCCTCGGTCGCTGTCAATTCAGGATTGGTGTCCTGCCTGGCCATTAGTCGTTGCCAGTGTTTGTCTTGCAACAGCTTGTGTCCAAGGAATTGCTCGCCTGTGAACGGGGGTGAGCGGGTG